CGGTCCTGCCAGTTTGCCAGTTGGCACTGACGGCCAAGAAGGGCCTTTGGCGTCGTGGCAGGGAACCAGGGATGGGTCGGCCGGTCGTGACGGTCGAACAACGCCAGTTGGCGCCCTGGTGGGCTTGGAACATGGGCATGGACGTGTGGGGGGCCGGACCGCTCCTCAAAACGTTTGCCAGTTGGCGGGGGAGGCGATAGGGGGATGGCCGGTCGTGACGGTCGAACAATGCCAGTTGGCGGCCAACCGAGGTGGCTGCGGGCTTTCAGGCCCGGGACGGGCATCCGGGAAACACACCACTGCACATGCCGTCTGGGCATTTCCGGGTGACCGGCCGCGACGTGTGGGGGACCGGACCGCTCCTCGAAGCGTTTGCCAGTTGGCGGGGGAGGCGATAGGGGGATGGCCGGTCGTGACGGTCGAACAATGCCAGTTGGCGCACTGGTGGGCTGGGACATGGGCATGGAGCAAGCGGGCGGCCGCGACGTGTGGGGGGCCGGACCCCCGCTCGAGAATATTCACCAGTTGGCGGCGGGCCGCGGCCTCGATTTCATTAAGTGTCGAAAGTGCGGGAGTTTGGGACTGACCCGGAGGCCCACTTTGTATGGAGGGAATGACCCGTGCACAGACCACCCCATACAAAAACATCCCCCTCCCAGACACGTTTGGACCCCGGAACATAGATGTGCCACTTTCGACCCTGGCGGTGTCCGGAAGATATATGTGGGAAGGGTGGTCCGCCACCCGCAGGGCGCGCCAGGCCATCCACGGCAGGGGGGCGGCGCCGCGGACCTCGAGCGGCAGGGCTGGCTGGGTGGCCGGTGGACACTGCAACGCAGAGCCGCGGCGTGGTTGCTGCTGCCGGGGCGGGCGCACGATGCGGGTGCGCCGTGGGCCCTCTCCCGGGCGGCGGGACGCCCGGGCCCCGCGATCCCCGTGGCTGGGGGTCCAGGGGCCGGGGGTGGTGGGCGTGAGGTTGCCAGTTGGCGGCGATGGGGCGGGGATGGGCGCGGCCGCGGGCCGAAGAGGGATCAACGCGGATGCCGCCGGATGGCGGCCTTGCCGTGAGGCGGCGCGCGGTAAGAGGGACTTTGCGGACCTTAACCCCAGCAGGCCAGTTGGTGGCGGCGGGCGGCCCGGTCTTGGTGAGCGGCCGCAGCCACCGGAGGCCCCGTCGCAGCGGCGTGGGGGGTAGGTAAGAATTCGCCAGTTGGCGGGGGTCGGGCAGGCCGGGACTGTCCTTGCGGGTCGTTGGTGGGTGTCCGGGGATGCGCGCAGCCCCCCCCAGTAGGGTAAGGATTTGAGTCGGCTGGCTAGATGCTGGATAGGATTTGCAATATGAGTTGTCCGTTCAGAGATATATATCAGGATGGGGACGGGCAACCCATGGCGAGGGTGGGGAATATATGTACATGGTTGACCGAGGTCGGCGGGGTCAACGTACCGATGGATATATATCTCTCCCCACGATCGACATCTGGGTCGGTACGGCGGGGGCTCAATACCTTTCCCACACATCTCTAGAAGCCCCGAGGATGCCCAGGACCCATTAATCTGCCACCAGCCGTGAGGTTTGGGGGACCGGCCGGTCGGTCGAAGAAGCTCGCCAGTTGGCGGTCGGCCGGCCGGTCCCAAAACCAACGCGGCCGCGCGGACTATTGAGGGTGGAACGGGCCTCCAGGAACATTCTACAGACCGTCTGAACCCCCACAGGTGACCGGCCGGCACGTTTGGGGGACCGGCCTCCCTGGTCGAAGAAGCTCGCCAGTTGGCGGCGGGTGGGCCGCTGACTGACCGCGGCCGACCGACCGGCCGGTCCCCAAATCAGCCCGGCCGCGGACCTCCAGGAACACGGGACATGCCCTTTCAGCAGCGGGAAGCGGACTGGCCGGCCGCCCCAGACAACCGGCTCGCGGCCGATGCGACGAGCGGGCAAGTTGTTAATGAGCTACCGTGGGTAGTCTGCCGGGGGCATTGCGAAATCCCGGATCTCCCATATTTCCTACCTTGGAACACCGTAGAACCGCGGACTCCGACATACTAATGTATGGTGGAGCCCGCGGCAGGAGAGTACTTAATGTAGGGTTCACTCCCAGTTAGTTACGAGAAATCGAGCATTCTTTTGGTTTCTAAGTTGCTTCACTATTATCGTCTTCGTCGTATAGGAGCGAGGCTCCGTCGTCATTGTGTTTCTTCTTTCGTTATATCGTTCCCTTACTAGATCGTCCGGTGCCGTGTGGTATAGCGGCATCGTTTTGGTATATCCATCCCATCGATCCCTCGATCATAACCGTCCCTGTGTCACGGAACTCAACTAGACGATGAATAGGATGCTATTCGACTATCTAGGCAGCTATCGACGAGAACTTCAAGCATGGAGAGGAGGGAAAAGGGAAGAGATCTACGTGAAGCTGGACGACGTATTCCTATCCACGCACCACGCTAATCCAAATAAGGAAACTCACGTGCTCGTCCTGGTCTACATGGCAAGGGCTCTGACACCCTGCAGGGAACAACGCACGTACGCTCCCCTTTACAGTAATCGGTAAGCGAGCGTTCCACCCTAGACCATGATCTAGAAGGATAGGGACAGTATCCCCCCCAAAAGCATATATATTATAAAAAACCAATTACTATAACGATTAGGACATTGTGTTAGGTCACGTACGCAAGCATGTAAATATTAATCAGCAGCCGTGTAGATCACGTGGCCCAACGAGCATACTTATAGCAGCGCAGTACATGATGCTTAACTGCAGCCAGCGCTGGTTCAGTAGATTGTGTGACGATTAGTACTACAAATAGATGAAGAAGAAGCAACATGTGCTATTCAGTACTATTTTCAATGAATACCAGACACGAGAGGAGAAAGGAGAAAAAAAGGACTGGAGGTCGCGTAGACGCAGTATGTAAACAGGCGACGTCATGGAGCTAAACCGGAGCCGGACCTGGCGGCTACTGTGGGACGGGTCGTCACAGCTCTAGCTTGGTCATTCGCGGGAATAGGGCAGGTGTACGAAGAGGCCTGCCCGCCAGTGGTAATACGGACAGTCCCCCGCGAGCCATGGTAGGAGAAGGGGCTCCTAGTACCAAGAGCACTAAGGCCAGGTGCAGCAAAGATGCGCCAGGAGCAGATGGAAAACAGGGTTCTGGAGTATGCGTTCAGCCCATACTCAAATAAGTGGTTCCTGGTACCAAAAAAATGCGGGACCAGGTGGTGAGAAAAGGCATCGACTGATAAACAGCTGCATGAGGATGAATGGGGTCATATTGAAAGATGCCAACATCCCCCCTTCAGCGGATGACTTTGCGGAAGAGCATAGTGGGATGGCAGTAACGTCAGTAATAGACCTGTTCTCGGGATATGACCAGATACCATTGGATGCTCGTTCAAGGGACATGACAGCGTTCAAATCATCTTTGGGCCTAGTCCGGCAGATGACCTTGACTCAGGGCTGGACAGGAGCAACCTGCGGTCAAGGTGGTCGGGCATGTATGCGAGTATTAACGGACGGCACCCCGAGGCAAATAAGGTGGCGAAGATCCTGGACTGGCCTGGGTGCAAGACTTCACGGAAACAAAGGCGTTCATTGGCATCGTGGTATATTATCAAATATGGATTAAGGACTTAGCAAAGATAGCTGAACCGATATACGCGCTGCAACGAAGGGAACAGCTTTTGAATGGGGGCAAGCACAACAGGAAGCCATGGATCAACTCAAAGAAGCTCTGAAAACAGCCCCAGCCTTAAAGTCAATCGATTACCCGGTACGGAAAACTGATGGGACCATCATTGTTGCAACGGATGCTAGTGGAACAGGTTGGGGAGCAGCCCTCATGCAGGCGGAACCCGGCTCGAAGAAGAGGCATCCGACCCGGTATGAAAGTGGTGTTTGGACTGGAGAAGAATTACATTATGATGCTGGTAAGCTTGAATGTCGGGGAGTTCTAATGGTCTTCAAGAAGTTTCGGTCATACCTGTATGGGGTTCCTTTTATTCTAGGAACCGATGCTGCTACGCTGGTCGCGCAATTGAACCGCACTATTACCGATATCCCCAGCGCGGTAGTTACACGATGGACTGCATGGACCAGAATGTTTGATTTTACTGTGCGGCATGTGTCAGGATCAAAGAACTCTGCCGTAGATGGGCTATCTAGGAAGCCGATCACCTCAGAAGCACTGGAGGAAGCAAAACAGGAGCAATGCGGAGGAGTTCCTAGACAGGCAATTTAACCTTATCTGCCATGTTAACGACACCTCGCATTATGACGACAATGAAAGGCACGAAGGGGGTGAAGAGGAACAGACTAATTGGCTCACCAATGAAGAAGAGTGGTCTGATGAGTCCCTTCAGATTGCAGAATGGCTGCAGACATTGCAACAGCCAAAGGGAATGAGTGCGTCCCAATACCACCGGTTCCGAGTTAAGGCATTAGGTTTCATGGTCCAAGACGGTTATTCATTCAAACGGATGGCTGCCAACCAACCAGTGCGGCGAGTAGTTGATGACCCCAAACAACAAAGGGAAATTCTTCATGCATTACACGATGACAGCGGTCACCGTGGTAGGGAAAGCACTTATCAGAATGTTCGAGAACGTTACTGGTGGCCAAGGCTCTGGGAGGATGTCAAGGACTGGTGCCAGAGACGTGACCCATGCCAGCGAGCGGCTGAGGCTCGTGTAGGTGAAGAAATGACGGCAACTCCGTGGCGGAAAGATACTTAAGGCGAGCCTCCTAGGTAGTTTCGAAGAGCCGGACATACTTTTCGTTTTCGAGTTGCTTCACTAGTATCGTTATCGTCGTATAGTACAGAGTTCAGCTTTATTCTCGTTGCATTTGTCCCTTTGTTATATCGTTTCTTTGTTAAACCATTCCGCACCGCGTTGTATCGCGGCATCGTTTTAGTGCATTCATCCCTAAAATCCCTCGACCACGACCCAATTCATTTCGCAGGGAGCGCACGTCCGCCCCCTTTACAATGTGAGCTCGTAGCCATCAGTGCCCCAATATGAGGTCATAACCGTACATGTCAACTGCCTCCACTGGGATATTGAAGGTGCACTCTTCGCCCTTCGCGTCCACAATGGATGCAATGAGGTTATGTTGACCATATGGTGTAATTTTGCGATCATCGAGTGCGCTTACCGATCCAGGTAGCGCCTCACTTGGTGGTAGGTGTTGTTTGGCCCAGCGCTGGTTAGCGAATTCTTCTTGCGCTCCACTATCAACCAGCGTCCAGGCATCTCTTTTCTTCATGGGGGTGTCAACCTTCAAGAGGACAGTGAATGCCCATGGACTGGGTCTGCTAGAGGGGATACCTAATGCCTCCACAGCCCCTAGTAGCATGGGCAATTCTAGTTTTTTGATGAGTCCGCACCTGCTCCTACAGAGTCCCTGGGTTGCGGCTCCTTGTTTTCTTCATCATTCCATTGCCACCACGGCTTTGATCCTCTCCTTTTATTCTCCAAATAGGAGTCATAATTGCGCTTATGTGCTCCACGTTTTGGGGTAGGGCCCATATTATCAGTGCCCTCCACAGTGTGGGTACGACTATTTGGGCGTCCCATCCGCGCCTTTCCTGCGGGCTGTTGGGCTAATTTGCGCCCTGGAAGTTGATCTTCTATTGTTTGAAGGTATGAGACATAAGCCTCATACGTTTCTGGTTCCTGCGGGTACTTCAAGGCCTCACTACGTATTCGTGGGAGCACCCTGGTCCTTAAGTATTCCTGTCGGAGTTCTTCTGATAATTGGGTTTTCATTTGACGCTCCCATATTGCAAGGTAGGCTGCAAAGTCGCGAACACTTTGGTGCTCTAACTGCCTTGCGTCGAAGAACTTTTGAGCCGCATCCTTCTGGAGGTTGCGGTGGTCATTAATCCAGTGAAGGCAGAATTCAAGGAATTCCTTCCACGAGCGCTGTATCGCCCACCCATGCGTGTATTCTACCCAATGGTAAAGTACACTCTTATGCAGGTAAGAAACTGCAAGTGCGACCTTGCGCTTCTCCACTGAATAGTAGTGCTCATATTTGTTGAAGTGTGCCTCTAACTGGTTGATGAAATCGTTGTATTCACCGATGGTTTTCCCAGTGAATATGGCCATGTTAACTGGATTCGGTGGGGTTCGGTCATCAACGTGCACGGTTCTGGTTATTTCCCCTGGCACTAAGCTTGCCTGCGGTGGTAAAGGTTGTCGGTTTATTGGTAGCACTTGAAGGTCTGGGTTCGCAGGGTCGATTTGGTAGTCCTGTGATGCCACTGAACGTGTCTCAAGGCTGACCTGGTCAATTGCGGTATGGTTGAGTCCGATACGTGCGCCCGCAATGTTAGCCTCAGCTGCGGCAGTCCGTCTTCGGAGGTCAGCCAATTTGACCTCTTTGGCCAGTCGCTCTAAGCGTCGTTCCTCAGCTTGTATCAACGCATCAAGGTCTTCGCCCGCATCGTCACTATCATCTGGTCTGGCGGCATTGGAGTCTGGCGCTGGTGTGTTCTCGGTCGCGCCCAAAGGTTGCCTAGCCGCAGCTCTCACTTCATCAACAAGCTCTTCGACATGTCCTTCAATTTCAGTCATTTGAGGACTGGCGTTCTGGGATGTCCCATTTTTCCCAGGATCCTGTGCTTCCAGTTGCGCTGGGCCTTGGCGTCTGGTTCCTCGAAAGGCCATCTCGTGTATCTCGTGCAACTCCAGAGTGTTTTGAGCGGTTAGAACTGCGAGGCTTGCGAGTCGGGGACGCGCAGGTCAGGCTAGGAAGGGTTCGAAGGGTTCGAGTAAGATGGATACGGATCGAGATAACTAGATGCGCTTACAGATGCACGCAAGAATGCAGATTGAAGGGGAAACATGCGTGTAGCCTTGATTCAGAGCAACCGCTGGTCTTCGTAAAGGCCTGCGGACGAGAAAACCATTTGTGCACACGTGATACACGATCACGTGTACTTAGGAACTTGAAGTGGATCAGGGGTGCTGCTGTTGGATCAACTTGTATTGTATCTCTATCTATGTTGGTCTAACTATTTTAGTGTCAGGCAAGCGAGGGCGGTCAACCGAGGCAAAACCCACGTGACCTCTAACAGCGGCGTCCGGATATCAAATACTAAAAGGATAAACCGTAGGATTCGATTATCACCAAAGAAGCGACAGTCTAGTCAACGAGAAGGAGTGAGTGCTGTCGGAGCGCGGGATCAATATCACACTAGCTCATGCCTTTGACGCTGTTTGTGCCCATGGGAGCACGAGCACCAGGAATTCTTAACCCAGACCACGGGAAACTTGCATGCGTTCCGCCAATATCTGGTAATAAGCTGCCCGAGTCCCTTGCCATGGATGAGGATCCAGCCCCTGCAGACGAATGTGTGGGGTGTGCATCGCCAATGCTGGAAGGCGGCCGTGCCGGAGATCCAGCCTTTGGGTTCGTTTACTTCCGGTATCCGGCTAGGGGATTAACGGAGGTGTGGTTCTCTGGTCATCCCTACCGGGTGCGAGAGGATGGTCTTCACGGAGTTGAAGGAGTGTTAGGCCAGCGCAGTGAAGTATGTGTCCTTTGGATTGAGGATACACCGGCATCGACGAACCCGTGAACATGAAAATTTATGTTTGATTCCAGTGCAAGTCTTGGGTGAGGTCCATGCCCTCGCCTTAAATTGACTAGTTCAGATTCTCATGATGGCTCGCAACTGTGGGCTTATTACGATCCTTGTCAAACTTATATCTCGAAGCGATGGCCGAGTTCTCTCTTCGCTGTACTCTAGCAGAGGGAGCCAAGCTCCGCCAATAGGTCATGTTGGATACTGGATACGGAGAGGGTGGCTAAGCATTGTATCCCGGCAACTCGCTGTAAGAGGCGCGGGTTCCTCACTGGACGGAACAGCATGACTCCTTCGGGGCGACATGCCGGTAGGATAGAAATGGTCCTTACAGGATAGGCTACAAAAGGGTTTACCAGGAATCGCTAGTGCTTCGAAAGATGGGTTCGGACTAATGAGAGACGATGGATAAGCTTGACCCCTCACTAGGGAACCGAAATACTCAAAAGCTTCGGCGCTTAGAGCTTCGGCGGTTTTTCGCTGCCGTGACAGTTAAGTTCTTCATTCAAGGTATTCGTATCGTGTGTAGTAGCATTGGCCTAGGTGTTAGCTAAGCTACAGTCTCGTGGTGTGTTTTGGTCTATCTGTCTTTCTCTTTCTCCTCTCTTCTCACTACAGCTTCTCCAGCTCCCCTTGATTCCCGCGTGTGTGCGCATCCCACCTGCCTCTAGGATCGCGTTTACGAGCTCATGAGTTCCTCCCATACAATGACAACGGGAAGATACTGGTAGATGGAGTTCAGCATGGGTACCAAGCATTCGCGCTGTGTATGCTGGCCAAGAAACATTCACGACGGCTACGCCGGAGATCTGCAGCGAAGGAGACTAAGCAGCGCGGAACGCGATACAATTAGGCTGAGGTATGCAGAGACACGCGAGGATTTTTTATGGAGAACTGGGGAGGTTGGTTTGCCAAAGAAGGCGCGTGGCAGTAAAGGAGAAGGGGGTCCTGGTCTCAACACCATCAATTTGATCGATTATTCCTTTTGCAGATACATGACGAACTTCATGGTACCGCTTAGAGCGCGTTGGAACTACATCCCGAAGAAATTGGAATCTTCAGTTCGGGGAAGCCCCTACGTCCTAGCGCCAGCCTACGTACGTTGCATTGCACCTCTCTTCACGCTATCTCACTGCTCTTAGAGCTTCGCTATTCCTGTATAGATGCACCCCTGATAGCAAGGTCAGGGAAGCAGGTACACGTTGGTATGAGCTGTCGTAAGTCAATCATCGACATGGTTTGTTCTTCTGCCAGACTGCGGAGGCGGGACAGGCGACAGAAAATGCCAAGTTGGCGAGCGGGCCCAGAATCGTATCCATAGTGTAGGTGTCCAGGATGACGTCCGGCAACCGAGCGTTACCAAGGTCTACGTCGACGTTCATCACATTTCACGTCGGACATGACGGCATAATCGGGCGGATGGGAGATTGTAAGTCGTGGCGTTGCAACGCAGCTGATTCCCACTGAACTGGGGAGTATGAGTAGACGTGCGAACAAAGAAAAAAACGAATAACGATCAATGGAATCACATTTCTAAAGTTTCCATTCCAGCCCCGATTAATTAACAATACACATTAGAGTACCCTCATGCTGTCTTCGACCGATCCCGTCTCTCCCAGACCACCTTTGCCGGAGCCAGGGGCCGAGAAAATAGAGACTGTGCATGTCAGAAACCGTAAAACAGTGAACATGTCCGATAAAAAGAAGGATGAACTTACAGAGTAGTCGGTCTCCGGGGCCCCCTGGACGCCAGGGAGATTCCGCAGCTTGAAATTCTGAACGAAAATGGCCAGGATCACACCCAGCTGCAGATATGCAAAGCGTTCGCCGATACAACGATGTCTTCCGCCGCTAAACGGGAGATACGGACTGTTAGCGCCCTTGCCAATCTTGTTACCCTTGGCATCTTCGTCATCGTCATCCTCGCCAATTTCGTGTTGCGCCGCTTTGCTTTCCCAGCGGTGCGGGTCCCAGCTCAGTGGGTTCGGGAAGTAAGCAGGGTCGATGGCGCTGCTGGCAGGGGACGCCAGGACGACATGAGATGGGGGAATTACGTAGGGTGTGCCCTCCATGACCACTGGTCGCTTGACCTGTCGCAGAATCGAATGGATGGGGTTGTGAAGACGCAGGGTTTCCTTGATCACGAATTGATTCAGGGTCAAGTCCCGGAGACCGTCGTAGGTCAGCTCAAGTGAGGGACCCAGAACACGCTGCTGTTCCTGGTAGAGGTCTTCTACAATCGCAGGGTGCGATGCGAGTTGCAGAAGTGCATAGGAAATCGTTGCCGCAGATGAATGATGACCGCCCATCAACAGCGCAATCATCATATGCGCTATTTCCTTGTCCGGAATTGGCCGACCGTCTTTGTATTTGCATGACATGAAGTTCCAGATCATATCATCCGAGTCCTTCGATTCAGGACCGGCCTGCCGCCGCTTGCGGATGATGTCCAGATAAATCTGGGCCATTCTGTTGTGTGCCCGATCGCGCGCGCGGTTGCGAGGCAGCGGTGCCCATGGGAACATGAAGTTGATCGGTGTAAAGCCCATGTCGAGATCGTGGAAGAGGTCTGCGAAGGTAGAGTCAAGCTGGTTCCGAACCTCCTTTCCCTGAAGCGATCGAGAAGCGGTGTAGAGGGTCAATTCCGCCATGGCCGTGGGAACGTCCAGGATACCTCCGCTGCCTTGGAGATCATGGTGCGATGCGATGAATTCTTGCGTCTCCAATGCGATTAACCGACCGAATGATCTCATGGCATCGGGAGTGAGGCCGACTTTCACGAACTGCTCGGAAACCACGAAGTCAGAACCTAGCAGACGACTGGGATTATGCATCATGAAGCCTTGCCTTCTTTTGCTGGATAAACTTGGCAGGAGGGCAATCAAACACGACATCCGACCCAAAAACCGGCGTGGTCAATGGCGAGTACACATCCTCGGCGGCCAAATCGAGCTGTTTTCCATTCAGGACAAAGTTGTTTCCGTGGGCCCCAAGACAGACGGTCGTCGGCTTGCCGAGCAGGATGAAGGTGAAGACATCGCCGTACTGTCAGATGGATCAATCAGTATGACGTTTTCATCGTCTGGTTCTCCCGGCCGATGTTTACCTTTTCTTTGCAGTCCTGCAGGAACTTCAGCGGCTGTCTACCGTAGGTAACAGTGCTTCCCACAAACGGAAACCAATGGAACACGACAGGCGGTCTCTTGGGGTCCTTGAACAGGATCTGTTTCAGCACATTGAACAGCACCGACAGAACAAGGAATGCAGCGAATCCCGCAGCGACGGTTGTAGGCGAGAGGCTGGCGAAAGCAAACGCCAGCTCAGAAGTCATCGAATTGCCCATGTTGACGCTACCGTCGCAAGAGAAGCAAAGCAGGCTTAGAGGAGAGGAAGAACAGAGCGGCCAGCCATTAGTATTTATCGGTCGTCGATTGGCATACGGCGAGCACACCACCAGGTCCCGGGCGCAGCGTTATGGATCGACGTGCAGATTAAGACTGACGGGCAGGAATGACGGTGAGGCCACTTCCCCTGGTCGGATTCATGGCTCCATCAGAGCATCTCGGGTGATGCCTCCCTCTCTCTCTCTTCTTGCAATGCCGGAATGCGCCCATCCGACTCGGATCATGTTTCACGGTCAACCGAAAGCGACTTTCCACGGCACCACCCAGCGGGGGAACTCTGCTGCCTAGAAAGGGTCAGGAAGTTGAACGGTGTGCAGGCCGCCTCTCTTTGACGGGTGGACAGTGGACACATACCTGGTATTACTGACAATGGCGGCCGAGACCAAAAATCCCAGGCCAATGCAGATGCCCCCGAAGGGTTAATTAGACCAGTCGCATTCCGCGGGGCATGAGGAGTGGATATTGCACTGTCAACCCAACCTAGCTCTTGCAGCAGGACGACATTATTATTGAACAACCTGTGACGAACTGCTGCTACTGTCAACATCAAACCAGATCTGCAGCGGCCGCTATACGAACTCGAGGTGAACAACACGTGATGAAAGGGCCAACTCAGAGGCCCTTCGACTGCCGGCGCTGCCGCTTCAATGCTGCAGTAGAGACTGGAATCCTCGTGGAAGTTCTCCATGTCCGGATCGCTCATGCTTGCAGGCTGTGATAACCATGTTGGCTGTAAGTACGCTGTGTTCTCCGCTGTATGTACCTTGGTACTCCATACTGATCCCTCGCTGTCCCAGGATCACGATGTCCAGGCGACGAAACCAAGACCCCCAGACGCCGAATCCTCCGTCGACAAGCTTCCCGTTCTTACGCCTTCCGGTGGAACTGCGCGTGCAGATATACCAGTATCTCATCCCTGATCTTCCCGTGCCGACGTGGTTTTCCAACTACCGTCGGTCTCCTCTCAGACGGGACGGCGCGCCATGCTGCCCGGCGATTCTTCGCACATGCCGAACGATATACCGAGAGCTGGTAGCTGAGTGGTACGGTGCGGCTATGTACAGCATCTCGATAGCCTACCATGGCATCTACTGTTTCAATAGCAAATTCCTGCCGTACTCTCGCTCACTACCGTCCGTGTTTCGCGAGATCAAATACCTCGACTTGTCCATTGAACTCACGGGGTATCTCCATGTATGCACTCCTCGTTCGTCGGACTATGGGACTTCCACATACTGTCCCCAATTCACTTTCCAGGATTGTCTTCAGGTCCTGGTGGACTGCTTTGCTCCTGGACGGGCAAAGCTGAAGCAACTACGCCTTCATTTGTCGGCTGGCCTACCCTTTTTCTACTACATCAAGCGTCACCCAGGTGAAGTCCTCCGGACTCTGGAGTGGAACCTTGCGCCTCTTCGGAAGATTCAAGGTCTGTCCGAGGTAAGCATTGACCTACACATACCCAAGATTGTCAGCCGTGTAGACTTCCGCAGTCAACCCCTCATCCACAAAATCGAGGCCGAGTTCCGGACTGTCGGCCGGGAACTTTTGGATATGGTGCAGCGGGAAATGTCTGGTGATCCAGTGGACACGCATATAGCTTTCAGGAAGCGTCACCCTGTGAACCCAACGGGGACGGTATGCAAGTGGAACGCTACTCGCTAGGTTGAATTTGCGAAGAAAGATGCTCATTTATCACTGCATGATACCGCGTACCCGATACGGGATGTACTGATCTAAAATCCAGTACTTTGAAACTGTCGACCATCAGACCATTTTCAGCATGTATTGCCTGGAGCTTTCGATAGAAGCCGAGGCAAAAGCCGGTTAACAGACCACCGCAGCCGTGGAACAGCTCATGCAGTGTCGCCGAATGGCCAACACCAACGATAGACTACTGGTATCTTGGAATATTTTATGATTTCAATGGCGAGGGTATATGTCATCTCCCGTATGGTCTGTCCAGGCTCTGGCGGACACTAATATGTACGAATCGGCTTACCGAAGAAGTTCGCTTTGTTAGAAAGCAAAATATGTTAGCGGATTGGAATGTCACATCTTTTTGAAGTGTATTATAGCTTCGTGCAGTGTACACCCTTCCCTTCCTGTCTTTCTGGTTTATTCATTACCTCCGCACAGTACTTGGATAATTCGGGCCTACTTCATGCGTATGCCCATAATACATAAGCCTGATTCTCGGAGCTGGCAACCCCCAGCTTGACGGAAGTCTCTGCTCGGCGTGGATCATAGTCAGAGAGGTATACAACGACCGGTCGATAAGGTCCGCTACTCTCTTCATCCTTCCCAGAGATAAGCTCTAGATGGCAACGCACTGAATACCAGCTGTCCAACTAGCTCTCCCCTTAGCTAGAGCAGCCAGCCTGACCAGTTCGATTCCTGGAACACCCTTGCATGCGAGCTTCTCCCACCTGTCTGGCGAGTATATTGGCACGTATGCATGACGTAAAGTTCACTTGATAGATCAGTGGCAGATCAGAGGATTGCAGTACCATCCCAAGGTCGTGGGTTCTGCCTTTTTGAAGTCGGGGAATTTTTGCTGCCTTTACGCATGGAGTATACTAGGTATCACCGGACTGGAAGAAACGGTGGGGTTGGAATTTGGTGGTGCCACCCTCCGAGTCTTTGCGAGTTTCGATGGCCTTTTAACCTCTTAGCCCAAGATCTTAACTGGAGAGAATAGAGTCTTGTCAAGAACAATCATCAATGAATCGAGGATATTCAATAAAGTTATCGACAACTTGTCTTCCAAGTTCCAACAGGTATCCACCTTGAAGATGCGGCAAAGTCGGAGCTAGTTGCGGCTGAGCATGTACTCCGCAGTTTAAGGCGTGATTATTCTTTCTCCACCGCTCTTTGTCCTTGAACAAGCCGGGCACCGGGAGCTTTGTATTTCAAAGAGAATCCGAATTCTGCTATCCCTTCGACAAGATAATACGTACATGTATTCGTCCCCGAGAACAGGAAGACAGATAACAGGAGAGCAATGCAGACAACATTATTTGAGTAAGCCAGGGTAGCATATGAGAAAAGCAACGAAACGTGACAATAATTCCTAGATCGTGCAGTATCCATTTAACCATTTCATTTCATTGCAGCCAATAGATGATATAACTAACCAATAGACGCATTAAAGCCGAGCCTGAGTCAAGAACCATTTAGATATTAAACAGTCCGGTGATCAAGGTCAGCAACATGAAAGAGCCACCCAGGCTGACGGCGGAGGCACCAGAAGACGTTTGGCCCGTGCTGCTGGCGCCCGAGCTTGCGAGGGACCCAGATGCCGCCAATGCGGAAGGCGAATCGGAGGAAGAGCCCGAGGTATCTGTAGGGGAAGGCGAGTTTGATGCATCAGCGGTGGAGGATGAACTCGAAATCTTGGGAGTGGAGGAAGGGGAGGGTGCGATCGAGGAACTAAAAGTGGATTGGAGGGGAGATGCTGAGGTACTGAAGGTGGATGGAGAGGAAATGATGGTCGAGCTACTGAAAGTGGAAGGAGGAGGGCTCGACGTACTGGATGTGGAGGTAGAGCTGGAGAAGGCCGTGCTGGACGCGGAGGTGGAGGAGCTTTGCAACGTACTGGAGGTTGAGGACGAGGATGAGCTTGATGTACTGGAGGAAGAAGGCTCATCCGAGCTCGACGCGGAGAAGCTGCCGCTGGTAGTCGACGAGTTCGAAGCCTTGATGCTCTGGTACGAGCCTGTTTGGTCCGTGTACGTATAGGTAGAGGCCGGGTTGTAGTTGATGACCTTGACTGATTCGACGTACATGGTGAACGGAGCCTTGCTGAAATCAGTCTCACCACCGGCCCATTCGATGGTACCTTCACCGTTGCTGGGGTCACCACCGGCCCAGATGCCAATCCTGATGCGCATGGGCGTCTGCGGGAAGTTGGAGCCACCGACAGCATCGGCATACTGGAGAGTCCGCACAGAGTTGCCATCGACATACCAAACAATGGAAGCGGAGGTCCAGACGACAGAATACGTGTGGACAGAAGTCTGGGGGCTGTTCACATTGATAAAGGTGGCTCGGTCGTAAGTGCTTGTGTTACCCTTGCCAAAGTAGTCACTCTGAACTTGAGTGGTGTCACCCCCAAGCACTTCCTGTACGTGGCAAGTTAGCTGGGCACGCAAGGCAGATTTCTCCTCTGATTTCACATACCCAGTCAATTTCATCAAGGTCGTCAGATTCAAACACAAGCGAGCTGACGATGCCTGTCCCCGGAGCGGCTTGCATTTTAACCTCGAGTTCGCCGAAGAAGATGGCAAATTCACTCTGGATAGTCGGTGCATCACCCTGCTTGTTGATTGTAAACACAGCGCCCTTTGAATTGGTGGTTACTTTTCCGGCAGTGGTCGTCCAGCCATCAAGGGCTGAATCACCCTGGGTGAAATCACTATAGAAGTTATACTGGTTCAACCCTCCATCTGGCGGACAAGACTCTGCGGAGGAATAAAGACAATGTTAGTTAAGCCCGGGAGCAAAAGACAACAACGTGAGGTAATGAGGATATACCCTTCAGCGGGTTGCATTTGGTCGAAGTCTGAGCAGATGAGAATGGAACTGCAGCAACGAGAGCCGCCAGGGCGTATCCAGTGAAAGACGGCATGGCGGATCACCAAGCTAGGAGCTAGCTATTGCAACAGTCTGCGCGAACGAGTGTATTGCCAATCGAACCCCGAAAGAAGCAAAAACAAATCAATGAGCGATGGACTAGCCAAGACCCTTTGGATACTTGGTTGAGATGACAACAGCAGCCGGTCTAAAGAGCGAGAGTCCTGTTCTCCGTAGAAACGCAGGTGTTGTGGCTGGAAGCGAGGGGATTAAACATGGGTTGAAGAGGCCGCGTATGCAGTTGGCAGGGGGCTTGCGTATACAAACGGCGCGCTTGCTTCGCCCTTGTTACAGCACAGCCAGGCCGGGGTGGACGATGGAATGTGATTGATTGAGCCCTGTTGATCCGAGATAGGGATGCGAGGACGTCGCCCAGTGCGTGGCACTGTACGCGGCAGCAGTGGAGAAGGCTGAGAATGGATCGCGAACGAGTCGCCACTGATGTATCTTCTAGACCTGAAGATCCACGAATCTCACGAATATCCCGAAAGTGCAAGATGCACTGTTACTTAATGGCGGACTGGGAATGGGAAAAGCTTGTGTTGACTGCCGGAGGCTGGAAGGGACTGGCAGGCGTCTTATTATAGCAACGCCGTTCTTCATGGCTTGCACCGGTCCTGGTAACTAGTGAACTTTCGTCCTCCCATACTGACGTATGCAGCATGCTGGGGCATAAGAATTCATCCGAGGGTGTGTTGTGGATGCAACACCAAGCGGTCCAACAACCACAGATCGCGTCGACGGAGTAACCGTGGCGAGACAGAGGGAAAAACACGAGGGCGCTCGGGGTCGAACTCCAGTCCCTGCATCACATGCCCTATATTATTTAATCCTAGTGAGAGCCGCGTCTCTCCTCATGATGATCAGGTGATGACAAAGAAGGCGCCCGTCGTCTGTACAGCTGTCTTTCATCCCGACTCACTTAAACTACCATTTACTAACTACATACTGACCACTCTGTCCAGTGGCACGCCACTCTCTTTTCTGAGAGTATATCTCAGAATCCAGGGAACCCCCTCTGTACATCACGAACAGTCATGGATCGCGTCGTCTACATACCCCTCTGCATCTGCCTGATCTCCTTCGCCGTCATCATCTGCGGCGACCTCTGAATATCCCATTACATTCGCCGTCGAATATAACGGATAGAGCTATATATCTTGTACCAAGCGGGACCTGGATCCGATCCCGATCCCCAGGATTTCCAGCGCAGCGTGTCGCATCGCAGCCATGCCATGTCGCGTATCTATCTTATCGTCGATGCCTCCACTCCGACGGTCCCCTGTGAACGGGTGATAAATGGCCGGGCAACAGCGGCATTCGCACATTCATGACCTGGTTGAGGGGAGGAAGAACAGGTAACCGGTACTGTCGGGGATATCGGTGACCTTCTTATAAATGACACGGATCAGGCCTTGTTTGTTTGCTGCCGAGTGATTCTGTCCGGAGACGGAAGTAGCGGAGACAATGACAGCACGCCAGCAGGTGAAATGGTGAATACGTCGAGGTTTACATACGAAGAATGATGGTGACAGAGAAGCTGTTGATATTCGTGTCGAACTTGAGTTGTCGGGGCAAGGCTTAATCGTCCTTTTTCAGCTTTCATTGTCAACCTGTTAACGTCCAGCAACGATGGATCCACGCTGATTATTCCTGTTTGCATTTGTAGCTATGTACCTGAATCTAGTTACACCAAATTCATTTCAAACCCAGAGCCTCCAATAGCATTACTGTAAAACTCCAGAACTCCTGCCAGGACAACACACACAACGTCTCCAATCAGATAGTTTCAAATTGTCCCTAATTGGATGGTGACTGGGCGCAGGGCATGTCAGCATCGCCCGTGGGTGCAGCCCGAAAGGGCCAGCGCTCAACGAGTGCTGAAAAAGATAACACGCCATCTCTTCATCTTGGATTTAGTTGTGTGATGAAGAGGGAAAAAGAGAAAGGAAAGGTAGGAAAAGGAACCGGCGGAGAGAAAAAAAAAAAGGGACTGACTGTGCGCACGTGCCTCCTGCTGAAAATGGGATAGCGCCGGTAGCTTTCCGCGGGCAACGAGAATGAGGTTATCGTCCTCCGCGGCCGTTACTATCGCTGCATCAGCGCAGGTCTAGTCGACTTGCCCGTGGCTGGCACCCCTCTTTCTTCCTCTCTTTCCGTTCTTCTTCCCGAGATAAAAGTCATCTTGCTGGGTCCGGGAGACACAATGTCCCTGAATCGTTGTTCGCGCCAGGCATCGCGGTTGATTCCCTTGTCTGGGGCCTCCGCCAGACCTTCATCCGTCCTCACTGGCAGGTATCGTCTCGACTGCTTCGGGGCCACCCTTCAACGGAGAAATGCCTCCTCTTCAAGTCATGATACCCAGCAGAGTGTATGGACATACGGGCTTCTTTCTTCAGTATACGCGACGGATGCTAACGTCAATGCTTGCTCCCTCCAGTTGCTCTCCGCACACCTCGAAGACTCCGACTCCGCGGTTTACAATATCTTGGAGAAGGTCCGTTGTCTTAGCGCTTCGTGCAGTGCCATTGGCTTTCTCTGGGGTTTGTAGAGGGCGCTTACCGGCTAATGCCACAACAGGAGAAGAATCGCCAGCAGCACTTCATCAATCTTATCCCTTCCGAGAACTTCACGTCGCAAGCTGTCTTGGAGGCGCTGGGCAGTGTAATGCAAAGTCCGTCCTTGATCCACCTACAACATGATTCTACGCTGACAAAGATCGCCGTTATCAGACAAATACTCCGAGGGATATCCCGGAGCGAGATACTATGGAGGTAACCAGTATATCGACGAGATGGAGAGGCTATGTCAACAGCGTGCTTTGGAGACGTTCCGGTTGGATCCCGAGGAATGGGGTGTGAACGTACAACGTGAGTTCTTCTATCGCAAGATCCCAATTCTTAGAGATTGCGGACAAGACTGATTGTTGCCAGCACTTTCTGGCTCACCGGCCAACCTGTATGCAATTTCCGCTATCCTCGATACTCACGACCGTCTGATGGGACTCGACTTGCCCCATGGTGGACACCTTTCACACGGTTATCAGACGCCAACGAAGAAGATCTCTTTCATCTCGAAATACTTTGAAACGCTACCTTACCGACTAAATGAGTCCACAGGCCTCATCGACTACGACGAGCTCCAGAAACTGGCACTTCTGTACCGACCTAAGCTCATTATTGCGGGAACGTCGGCATACAGCAGGTTGATCGATTATCCCAGGATGCGTGCAATTGCTGACTCGATCAATGCATATTTACTGAGCGATATGGCACATATCTCAGGATTGGTGGCTGCCGATGTCCTCCCATCCCCATTTCCGCAGTCTGACATTGTCACAACCACTACTCACAAATCCTTGCGTGGACCGCGTGGTGCTATGATTTTCTACCGCAAGGGTGTCCGCCGGGTGGACAAAAAGGGCAACAAGGAAATGTACGGGCTGGAAAACGCTATCAACGCATCTGTCTTTCCGGGACACCAGGGTGGTCCTCACAACCACACCATTACCGCACTGGCGGTTGCGCTCAAACAGGCCCAGAGCAAAAACTTCCGCGTGTATCAGGAAACGGTCCTTGCCAACGCTAAAGCGCTGGCAACACGACTGGGCAACTCCACCAGCAACGGTGGCCTGGGATACAACATTGTTTCTGGTGGCACGGATAACCATCTAGTCCTGGTGGATCTGAAGAACCGCGGGGTCGACGGAGCTCGTGTAGAGCGTGTGTTGGAGCTGTGTGGCGTCGCCAGCAATAAGAACACCGTCCCAGGGGACAAGTCAGCATTGAAACCCGGCGGTCTACGATTAGGGACGCCAGCCATGACATCTCGTGGGTTCCAGCCAGAGGATTTCGTGCGAGTAGCAGAGATAGTTGACCGGGCGGTTATCATCACTCAGAAGCTGGACAAGATGGCTCGAGAAAGCGCAGACGCCAAGGGAGTCAAGAACCCAGCCAGCGTTAAGGCCTTCCTGGAGTATCTGGGCGAGGGAGAGGAATTCCCTGACATTGTGCTTTTACGGAAGGAAGTAGAGGATTGGGTAGGAACATTTAGCCTCCCATGGGCGAAGTATGAGTAGGTGGTATCCATTATTTTGAGCTGATTCGTGGACTGTTCCTGTTCCTGTGGGAATTGCGTTAAAACTGTTCGGTCCACGGAGGCCTGATAAGGTATTGTGTTTATCTGCATGTACATTTCCTCTGATGACTAGGTTTGATAGTTGAATATATAGGCATTGCCTATTCATGAGTGCCATCTACTGGTTTAAATCTGTTGCCGTATTATTGTTTCGGGTTCTCGCGTACTTAGTGAATTAACTCCAGGAAGGTTCTGCGCGAGTGCCGCGCCGGCGACACGGACGATATCTCCTACTAATGGACGATACTTTGCCCAGTGTCCCTTGCTATTTTCTTGGTTCTCGAATGCGGATACAAACGTAGGTAGCGAATAGGTCAACGCCTTCCCGTCATTTCGAAGAGGTCATGTTGGTATTCGATGATCTCGATGCGAATCGCGACTCCGGTTTTAATATCTCTGAGGCAATGTTTACATATGATGATGACCTCTACACCAAGCTGACGGTCCACGGTATTTCCTTAGGTCTGATGCAGGGATCTGTGTTAATAAATAGACCGCGCCAAGAAGTGTTGTCCCGGGTTTTGGGTGGATATATATTTTGCTCACTGGGACTAATGGTAAGGGGTCCACCGATGAGATGTCACATCGCACATCCTTATGGATATACGTCCCGTCTGATCTGTTTCCATGGAAGGACTGCAGCACAAGCTACTATCTGGTTCTCCTGAGTTCAGATGCAGGTTAATACTGAACCGAACTGTCTAACTGTCTCTAGGAGATGGCGTCAATGTGCCAGAGGAATAATCACGTGCCAGCGGATGATTAATACATTGGCGGTGAGTCTGGCGGCGACTCCTCCCAATCTTTCTGCCGTCAGATTTCGCTCGCTCTCCATCAGCGCTGCCTCCTGTCCTCTCTGCACGTCGAGTCTGAATCTGCCTGAACTCTCCGTGGATATCAATATATCTGATAGATTCAGAAATATATCGCGGCTAATTCATCTAGACATCTGTGGCAACAATAGAGAGGTGAAAGACTTGGTTTGCCGGCCAAGATACCTCAGATCTAGATCTGCTTTTCGCCGGCGTGCCACCCGTTAGATGCCTAACGGATAACCTAGACTCCACGCTGTACGGGCCTCTGACTGTCTACGAGCCTGTCTGTTACCATATCCATAGCAGTACACTGTCTATTTCTCCAGAAACCTGCAACGTTTCATATTCATCATGGACAGCGATAATAGGGCAGGATCTCCAATGAGTCAGGGCCAGCGGGAAGGGGAACAAAAGAGCGACGTATTAGATCCCTCAGGGCCATTAGATCAAGCAACTCGGGAAAACATGCCGACAGTTTTGACGGATACCGATGAGGCGAGTCGTCTACGGGAGCTTCAGGCGGATGTTCGCGACCAAGGTGATCTTGAGAGGGATATCTCTCGTCAGGTACTTCGCGTTATTTGGATATGGGAATTAACTAGTTCCAAAACTGACTCCAACAGGCGGATAGGTTACTCATGGAACAAGCCGATGAACGAGACAACAGACGATTGGAACGAACCCGTCACGAGAAAGAGTATGGATGTAGCCGTCCCTTTAGCTCTTTGAAGTAATACTAATTTGTATCTTACACAGGAAACTCGAAAAGCAGATTCTAAAGCTGCACCAACGAGCGGCCCAGCCAGTGGGTACCTCGGCTCGCGTGCGGATACAAAATGAGATAGAGAACCTGGAGTCGCGTATCTCCTCTCTTGAAAAGGACTTGGAAGAGATACAGCAACGTATTGACCAGAGACAACAAGAACATGGAACCCTGGCAACTGGAACAGCGCGAATGCCAAACGAATCTCGCAGGGACTATCTTATTCGGACCGGAAAGATTACGCCTTTCTCTCAAATGAGTGCTGGCTCGACAGAAGGTCCCTTTGCAAGCCTCAAGGATGCACTGATTGATGCCGAGGACGAAAGAGATGAAACGGAGGTCCTGGAGCAGTTGAAGGGAAAACCGGCTGTGTCGCACCGTATCCTTCAACGACCTGGTTTCGGATTTGATGAAGTGAGCAAGACGAAGGAACCAGCGGTCGACCACCGCAAAAAACGAAGAAAGCTGGAGCATGCAGAAGGACCTACCAGGTTACTAGATCGGGATACTTCACCAGTCAGCGCCGAGGATGACGTGCCTTCAGAAAACCAGGATGATTCTGCCAGTTACGTGGCGTCAGAGGAAGCCATATCTCTGTCTGAGGACGAAGAAGACTTCGTCCCTGATGAGTCACCAGCGAAGAAGTCTGTTGCTACCCGCCGGAAGGTAGCCAAGGAGGAGGATGGCACCGAGGATTTTAGCGGAGTGGATGATGGAAACGAGAGACTATATCAATCTCGACTCCAGAATTGGGTCAGCCGCAGAAGAGAGGCTCGAGAACGCGCTCTCAGGTCAGATGAACACGTCGTGGACCATGATGATGACCTCATTGACAACGATGGGAGTCACAACCGAGAAGAATGGTTCATGCCACACCCTTCTGTTCCAGACACATCATATACTAACGGATACCGTATTCCTGGCGACATATATCCATGCCTATTTGACTACCAGAAAACGGGCGTGCAATGGCTCTGGGAATTACACCAGCAAGAGGTGGGCGGGATAATTGGCGACGAAATGGGGCTGGGCAAGACGATTCAAGTGATTTCATTCTTGGCCGGACTCCATTACAGCAAGAAATTAACCAAACCTGTTATTGTCGTATGCCCTGCTACCGTTATGAAGCAGTGGGTTAATGAGTTTCATCGTTGGTGGCCTCCATTTCGTGTCTCCATCCTCCATACGTCTGGAAGTGGAATGGTAAACATCCGAAGTGAAAGTAGTAGGGAAGACGCGCTCACCTCCCGGATGTGGGATTCTAGGGGTCCTAGTGGCAATACCAAGGGCTCCAAGGCTGCAAGAAAGATAGTCAAGCGGGTTCTGGAGGAAGGACATGTCCTGGTTACAACTTACTCGGGGCTACAAACATACGCGTCTCTCCTTATCCCAGTGGAATGGGGATATGCGATTCTCGATGAAGGGCACAAAATACGGAACCCGAACACCGCAATCACCATTTACTGTAAGGAGCTTCGGACGCCACATCGGATCATCCTGTCGGGCACTCCAATGCAAAATAACCTCACGGAGCTTTGGTCCTTGTTCGACTTTGTCTTCCCAATGCGTTTGGGTACACTCGTCAACTTTCGGAACCAGTTTGAATTCCCCATCCGCCAAGGCGGCTACGCAAATGCATCGAATTTGCAAGTGCAGATTGCTGCAAAGTGTGCAGAGACGCTCAAAGATGCTATCAGCCCTTATCTCTTACAGAGGTTTAAGGTGGATGTGGCGGCCGATCTCCCGAAGAAGAGCGAGCAGGTGCTCTTTTGCAAATTAACAAAGCCCCAGAGACTCGCGTACGAAGCGTTCCTTGGTTCCGAGGAAATGAAGTCGATTCTCAACGGACGGAGACAGGTTCTGTACGGAGTTGATATTCTACGTAAAATCTGCAACCATCCTGACCTTCAGAACCACAAGCTCGCATCTCACCAATCGGGTTATGGCAATCCTGTCAAATCTGGCAAGATGCAAGTGGTGAAAGCATTACTTGAGCTCTGGAAAGATACGGGGCATAAGACGCTACTATTCGCACAGCATCGGATAATGCTGGACATCCTGGAAAAGTTCGTGAGATCATTGACCGGCTTTAATTACCGCCGGATGGACGGTGGCACACCGATTCAGCACCGACAGACCATGGTGGATGAATTCAACTCAGACCCAAAACTACATGTATTTCTTCTGACGACCAAGGTAGGAGGGTTGGGAGTTAACCTAACCGGGGCAGACCGGGTTATCATCTACGATCCGGATTGGAATCCGTCGACAGACGTGCAAGCACGGGAGCGAGCCTGGCGACTTGGACAGAACCGGGAAGTCACCATCTACCGATTGATGACTGCGGGCACTATCGAGGAGAAGATCTACCATCGCCAGATCTTCAAACAGTTCCTCACCAATAAAATCCTCAAAGACCCCAAACAGCGCCAGACATTTCAACTTAGTGACCTGCATGATCTCTTCTCTCTTGGTGACGAGAAGCAAGGGCCAACGGAGACTAGTAGACTGTTCAAGAACGCGGAGGTGACCTATGACGAAGAACGCGACCAAGCAGCTGCACATCCCAACGCTGGCTCCACTCCTGCCAACGCGTTTAAGCACGTAGATGAAGAGACAGAGAAGAAAGATGTCAGAAAAGTCGCAGGGGTGGCATCAGTGGAGGATTTCCAAGACGACAACAAAGAGCAAAACAGCGCCCAGGGTACGACCGCTGGGACATCCAAGTCCGAGGCTCGCATAATGGAGGGCATCTTTGCGCGCTCGGGCGTACATTCAGCCTTGGAACATGACCGGATCGTTGATGGTAAAAGGGCCGTCCGAGCGGACCCCAAAATCATCGAAGCGGAAGCCAAAAAAGTTGCTGCTGAAGCGGCCAAGGAACTGCGCAAAGCCGGCGAAGCCGCGCGGTCGGTGCCTGTTGGGATACCAACATGGACGGGCCAATTTGGGGTGTCTGGTAGACCAGATGAATCGCCGTTGTCCATCCGTCCAACGTCGACTTTTGGCGCCAGTCGAAGCGTGGCACGGAGAGCTGGTGCTGGTCCATCATCCGCAAGTGTGCTTGCCAACCTTGCGAACCGCAATGGCAGTGGCAGCAACTACAACAGCCCTGCGGGAGCGACATCGAGTACTGCTCTACCAAGTGGCAAAGACTTCGCTGCCATGATCCGCGAATTTATCATCTCGCACGGCGGCTCAGTCTATACACAAATGCTGATTGATCATTTCAACCGGTTCTGCACCACGCCGCGGCGCTCAGCCGAGTTTAAGGAGATGCTGAAGACCATAGCGATACTGGAGAAGGGCGGAAGGAATGGGAGGGGAAAGTGGTTGTTGAAGCCGGAGTATGCGACGAGGCGCTAGAAACTGTGGAATCAACAGGCATTCCGGGTCATACATGGCAAGGTTCCTGACGGCCAGTTTCGGAGAGAGCGATCGAAAAACTTTCTGCTTGGGCGTCCAATTTGCTACAGGTGATCATAAACGAACATTTTGTTGTTTACTACGCTGGTGTTCTACTTTTGCCCCTTCTTTGCTGTCATAGCATCCACAGACCAGGTTGCTGAGACTGTATACTAAGAAAGCGAAAGAAGCCGAACACCCGAAGATATGCCCGATCGTCAGAACCGTGACAGCTACTGAGATGGGAAGGCACTGAAGCAGGGAATTGCACCGAAAAGTGCCCCAAGGCCCAGGCCGATCGCCTGCGCTGTCCTTGAAGGAATACGGAGCAAGCCGACCTAGCAAGAGGCTTGACATCTGGGCCATTGACTTCAAAGAACTGAATGAATATATGAGGACAAATAGTCGAGGCTAAGGGGTCTGCCCTTCATCTCACAGGCACATCCCATACCCAGCTAGCGATCGCAATTCCTCCAAGACTCATTACTGACGCCATCAAGAGATTCACACCATTATTATCCAGTAAATCCCATCCAGTCTCAACACGGCGACTCTCATGAGCTGGATCGTGTTTCTCACTAGACTGTGTCTTTATTGGTGAGCTTGTGGCTTTGCTGCCCTTCAATGCGACCATGTTCGCCACAGCCTCAGTATTGCGAAGATGAACATCACCCTTCACGCTAGATGACTGAGAGCCCACATTATCTATACCGTCATGTTGAGTAGAAGCAGGATGGATAAGAACCTATTCAAAGAAGTCAATATTGAGTACAGGAGGCGTTCTAGCGGGAGTCCTGGTACAAATGACTTACCTTCTTACCGCCACTTCCCTCAACAATCTTCCCGGTTCTTTTATCTATCACACTGGCTTGCAAAAGCCCACCCAGAATACTGTCGACAACACTTCCCAATGCCCCCCAGGCGGTCACTGCCAGAAACAGCTGCACGCGTGTTTTGATATCGATTCCAGCCCCATCTGAACAAAAAGGCAACAGAACAATAGACGTCAATGCAATTGTGGTCGCTCCTAATATGCCAGCGAAAAGACCAGTAGCAGTGACGCCGCCATTTGTACCGGGGGGAACGACACGGAGTGTTGGAGAGGTGATAAGACGTGGTTTTGATTTCGATAGGATGCCCAATTCAGATGAGAAAGTATCAGCGGCCACGGCAGCATAGTTACTATAGCCAAAAGAATAAATCCATCAGTAATTGTACCCCAGTACCTTTTACACCCACGTAGCGGGGACGAGAAATAATGGGTCTGCGAAAAAGAGATCTTTCCATACGCAACAATTCCAACAGTCAACAAATCCAAGGCATCACCACCAAAAGAGAAACACTGTCCGCGCGACTTGTTCTTCGCGTGTAAATATGCGTACAGCAAGCTCAATATGGACGCAACAATCGAGTTTGCCAGGACCTGGTTGTGGGTGCGCTGCGTGTCATTGCCTTCGGAGCCTGTCGCTGAAAGGGTCAAGCTTGCTTTAAAATCGTGTTTAATCTGTTATAGATAAGAGTATCTCATTCTCGTTAGAACGGTAGATCTAAACAAATGCCTGGCACGCTTGACACTGGATTGAATAGGTGCAGCGGATACGGCTCGAGTGAACGCACCTTGGTAACCTTCGTTCCACCCAGATAGAACACGGCCAACAAGAAGAACGGTGCCGACCATGGATGGACCGCATGGGCAATAGCCGTGAGGAATGCAGCAGTAATTCCTAGGGGTGTGAGGGACTTGCGCGAGTGGGCGCGGTAGACCAGGCCAAGAACGGCGGGGACTGCGATGATGGGTTTCATCGTTCGGGAGTCGATAGTCAGGCCGGCGGAAATGTTGAACGGCAGCGAAAGTGCTAGTCAAGACCAGAGTAAACCGACTGTAGCATGATTTCGAGGATGGAAACAGGGAGAGTTGTGGATGCTGTGATGAATCCGTTGAAGGACTTGTGTCAACCGGGCGTAGGCGTTCTACGGAGGACGGAGTGCCGCCTGTGTGCGCTTGATCTACCATGCGCCTGACCTACGAGCATATCCTTTGTACTATTGAATAGCAAAAAAAGACGCCGGGAATAATGGATCGCAGATCTCTTTATTATTATTACCACTACTATTTTGTTTTATTCAAGGAAGCCGGGAAACAAGAACGAGAAACTTGAATATGAGCCATATCGGGTCTGACGTCATGCCAGCAGTCGACATCTTCTGAGACCATTTTGGGTCTCCCGGTCTCTTTCTACCCCTCTTCACCATTATCTTTGCTGAAATAAAGATCTCTTGCGGAATGTCGAATGTGGTTCTTGTTACTGGAGCTACAGGCCTCCTTGGTCGGCAGGTTTTCAATGTCTTCCAGCACTCTGGCTGTCTGGTAGTCGGGCAGGGTTACTCGCGAGCTACGCCCCCAACAATCCTCAAAGCCGATCTGGAGAAGCCGGAGGACATCGAGCGGCTACTAGATGAAGTCAAGTAAGTCCTTATGACCCGGAAGATTGTCAGTTCGTCGTGAGAAACCAGTTGGGAATGAGCGATTGTTCCGCCTTATATTTAACATGAGGGCCTTGCTGATATGTGACCTGTTAAACCTCAATACAGGCCCCAGATAATCATCCATTGTACGCGTCATCCACACTTCATATTTGGTGTAGTACATACTGCGCTGCACTTGGGCGATGACTCTGACCAAACTGGAATTCTAGGCGCTGCGAACCGCTACCCCGACCTGTGTGAACAGGACCCTGAAGCGGCCCACAGGGTCAATGTTGAATGCTCACGCGCCCTGGCCCAAGGAGCATCGGCGCGGCGTGCATTTCTCATTTACATCTCGACCGATTATGTCTTTCCGGGTACGGAAGGCGAGGCGCCGTACGAGGCAGACGCAGAGCCTCGACCGGTCAATAAATACGGAGAGCTGAAGCGGGAGGGGGAGCTGGCCGTTCTGGAAGCCACCCGGGATACAGGCATGGGAATCGTCTTGCGTCTCCCACTCCTGTACGGCTCTGCTACTAAAAACAGCGAGAGTGCCGTGAACTCGCTGATCGATGTGATCTGGAAAGCGCAAGACGAAAAAGCCGGCATCAAGATGGACGATTGGGCCCTGCGGTACCCGACGAACACCGAAGATGTGGCACGGGTATGTCGAGACATTGTTATCAAGTACGTGAAGGAGATGAACAGGATCAAGGAGCTCCCCAAGATCCTCCAATTCTCCTCCGAGGACCGGATGACCAAATACGAGATGTGTGAGAAACTGGCCGAGGTGCTTGGTTTGTCGCTGGCCGGCATGGTCAGGGATCAGAGAGGGAACGACCCCAACTCGCCCGTGAAGAGGCCGTACGACGCTCACCTTTCAACCAAGGCACTGCAGGACCTGGGCATTAACGTGAAGACGATGGACTTCACGGCATGGTGGTGAGTAATTAACCGGCCCAACTCCACTTCCCACGCTAACCAGAGATCCAGGAGGAGAGAATTGGGCGCCTACCGAAAATAGATACTATTACATATTTAAACCCTACTCGATAATATATCCTGCGACATGGCGCAAGGCTAGATGCATACGAGGAATTTAAGGTGTACGGTCTAGATCGGGCATTATTGGAAAGTCCAATAATAACAGCCGCCGGTGTACAGCAGATGGAGACATTCCAAGAAGCACTAATTCCTATCGACATTCGTTTCCCGGACCGGAGTAACCATGGTTGCCCATCGCACCGCGCTGTAATTACATCCTGCAAGGCACATGCAGTGTAGCGAGCGGCCATGCATGCATTTCTGTGACTGCCTCGATGCCCAACGAAGGATCGCTGAGCCACCATCGCCGGGTAAATGCATTCGAGGATCCGGTGACAATAACCTGTCCGGTGCTTTTGCTCTGCGGCCGGGACGATTAAATTATTGCGCCTTGCCAACGTAGTATCGCAGTGTCGCGAGATCTCCTTCCATGGAAACCCCCTGCAAATATTTTTTTTATTAATATTAACGTGTTTCTTATTTTAATCCCTTTAATTACCTCCCCGCATCGATGCTTCAGACACGTCCCATAGGATCATCTGCAATTTTAAAAAATCTGGGCGCGGCCTTTTCTAAATTCACACTGCGCACACTGCCACGAGAGCAGGAAGTCGGATGTAAAGGCTCAAGGCAGACCAAGGCGCATCTTCCCCCTTCCGTTCTCCCGTGAGACCCTCGCACTGCAACCAGATCGAATGGATCTCTGCTGGTGTATGCTGGGACTCGAGCAACTCGATCGATGCAATTCTTGACCGCTGGAGCATCCTTTGCGCGCACGCACCTCACCTTCCGACCACAGCCATGGCTCTAGAGAGCGCCGAAGCTGCTGCGCAGGGCCAACACCCGATCAAACTCTCCCGGTACCGATCCGTGCGACAGGCTGCCTCGCGACAGCGACAGCAAGATGCGAACGCTGTCGTCCCCCCGGTTCCAAGTGTCAGCAATAAAGCCGCCATGCCACCTACGCCGTCGAGCGCAGTCTCCAGGAGCAGGTCCCGCTACCGTCGCGTGAAGCCGGTTGCGACTCCCTCCGCTCCACCACCACTCCCATCCCTTGCGGGCAATGCGGATGGACGTCACCATCCCGGTGGCCTTGACCACCAGACTGGCGGGTCCGGTTCTTCTGCGTCGCGCGAGAAGCGTTCTGGTTCCGGTACTCACGCTGAAGGACGAACATCAGAAGCGGACGAGCTCATTGCGAAGCATCGACAGGACGCCATGGATCGCTTGACGGGCGCACGGAGTAGCAGCACGAGATCGCGGTCCAGTTCCCGACGACCAGCAACGAGAGCACGGGACGAGCGCAGGGCTCCGGAGGACCGGCAAGCCCACGCGCATGCGCATGCACAGAGAAAGGAGGAGGCATATCCCAGGAAGGAAGCGGAGGAGCACGCCAACGGACACTCGTTCCCTGCGACCACCGAGGCGAAACAACAACTGTCGTTCAAAGAGCGCGTGGAGCTTGCAGGCACGAAGGGAACCGACCACAAGGCTATCACCAAACATGGAGGGCCGGGTGCCAACCTCATCGAAGTAGGTGGAGGGGGAATAGGTCCTGGCGTGGATGCTCCCGTCTCCGCGATCAATGCTGGCGACAGAAGGGTTTGCGTGCAGTATAGTGACTCCTCTATCCTTCTACCGGTTACACCTTCAACGCACGCCAAGCGCCTGTTATCCTCCGCGGCAAATTTCCTGGGCAGTGGGATCAACCCGGAAAACTTTATCATTATGGAATCCTTCAGTCAATTCGCCCTCGAGCGGCCGCTACGCCGGTACGAGCATATACGAGACGTCATGAATTCATGGACATCCGATCAGGACAATTCCTTGATTATTGTTCCGGCGTCGAGTGAGGATGCCATCGACCAACTGGATCTCAAAAGCGTTCCGACCCATCCGCCGCCGGAGACAACGTTCTACCTTCACTATTCCCAGCGCTCGGGGAAATGGGACAAGCGATATGTGACTTTACGCGCCGACGGACAGATCACGCTATCCAAGAAAGAGAGTTCGAAGGAACAAACGAATGCCTGCCACCTGTCCGACTTTGACATCTACTCGGTTGCCGCATACAGTCTTCCCAGGAAGGACAAGCCGCCGAAGCGATTCTCATATGCTATCAAAAGCCAGCAGAAGGCAAGCATGTTCCTATCAACGGAGGACTTTATACACTACTTTACCACCAACGACGATGGGGTTGCGAAGGGGTTCTATAAAGCTGTGCACATGTGGCGAAGCTGGTATCTTGTTAATAAATTGGGTGCGGGTCAGAAGAAGGGTACAGAAGAGTCACCGGTGACGGGTTCTACCGGACCTCAGAGTCCTCGGCGGCACAGACCCATGTCGTCTGAACTGTACCAGATTGGATCTTTCAAGCCGCTGATAGATCTCGATGCCTTCGAGAACCGCCTCCGGGAGGGAGCGGAGGACCCAGGTTCCAGCAATGTAGGGGGTTCCACCCAGCACATGGGCTCTCGGGGGCGTTCACCATCAGTGTCGTCTCCTACTAGCGATGGCGGGATAGATTCCAATTTACACACCGGCATTAGCAACCTCATAACAATGGATAAAGCCGGCGACGAGGCACCTTTCTCCGCATCAGGTCTATTAGGGCGAACCTACAGCCAGCGCCAGCAAAAGATGCGAGAAAGGGAACAGCAAGACAAGAGGACAAACGAAGAGCCTTTCTTTTCTCAAGGTCTGATACACTCGAAGTTCTGTGCTCCCTCGTCGTCGCAGGGTCCAGACAGGAATCCGCGCAGCGCTTCAAACAGTCGCTCAAACACCATGCGTTCGATGCAGGGCCCAGATCCCAGCGGCCTCAGACGGTCAGCTTCACAGAAGCAAAAGCCCCTAGTTGACCTTACTCCCCAGTACAAAGAACCACCGCAACATAGCCACAAGGGTCACGGCGTCAAGGTCGAACCGGGAGTGGCTCTGATTGACGCTGCTACCGGCCGTGACCCGCCTCCGGGGGGAGTAGTGATCCCACCGGCGACGACTTGGCGTCGACCAAGAGCATTATCACCGCCAGTGCCACAGCTACAAATCCAACCGAACACCGGCAACGACTTCAGAACCCGCCAGTTCTCCAACGCAACACGGGACGGCCAATCGCCACATCTTTATCAGCGACAGCACTTTCACAGCGCGGCGGGAGGCACCCGAAGTGATCAAGAACGCTCACCAGAGACGCCTTTCACGCCGGATAGCCTGTTGGCCCGTTCCGGGTTGTCTTTCGCCGAACGTGGAATACCCAAAGGCCACGGTGTAGCCACGGGTGACCGTAATGCTAAAAAACCCATGCTGGACATGTCTGAAATGAACCCATTTGCTGAGGGTAGCTTGCTGAGAGATTTAAAGGCCTAGCCGGGAGGCTGGACCAAGCGCTTTTTGGTTCATATTTATCTTGGTTATTTTTGTGTGTTGTTCAACGTTTTGCATGTATATATTGATTTGGCATCAAGAGTTTTGGCTTGAGTGGATTGATGCGAACAGCCCGGAGCTGGTTACTGCGTTCGCTTCTGTCTGCCATATGGATACCTTTCAATTGAATCATTCGAATGCATCTCGTGTTGCCCTTTTCCGTGATAATCAACATGGCATCATCCACGATGATGAGGCAAACAATGTACGAATCACGCGATGGCTTAATTACTCCAGCAGATGCTGCTATGATTGCTTGGAACAATATTATGCCCCTCATCAGTAAGCGCGGGGAAGTCCTGGCATAACTGGCTGCTCCAAGTATAAGAAGAGGCATAAACGACTTCTTTTCTCCCCTAACTGACTCACGTCTATGTCAGTCCTCTCGTCACCACCATGGCCACCGCCGTGGGTAGACCGCGACAGCCGGATATCCAGTACGCTCCCGATGTCGACAAGTGGAGAGCGCGCACGGAGGCTCGATTGCGAAATGAACAGCTGGAGTCATCTCTTCCGCCGGGTTACCCTCATAGGCTGGAATCGGATCTCGTATGGGAAGGGGAGACGCTGAAAGAAAGCTACGACTGGGTGTATGAATTGAAGGAAGACGAACTCGATGAGATCGAGAAAGCACTGTCGCATTTCAAGTGCAAGTCAACCAACCTATACACTACATATAAGATGCAGAGTCGCCAACGCTAATCGACCTTGCAGCTCTGGATAGACCCCTCGGGGGCATCGACCAGTCGACTTTCCCATTGCCAACCCTCCACAAGGCCCTGCGTGACATCTCCGGAGAACTACACAACGGCCACGGCTTCAAAGTTCTCCGTGGCTTACCCGTTGACCGGCATACCCGGGAAGAAAATATCATCATCTACGCGGGCGTGTCGTCGCATATTGCCCCGATCCGTGGCCGGCAGGACAATTCATTCAAGGGCGCGCCGGCGGACGTGGTGCTCAACCACATCAAAGACCTCAGCACCACGGCCGACAAGGACCGGATCGGTGCACCGGCATATACCACGGACAAGCAGGTCTTCCACACGGATGCAGGAGATATTGTCGCGCTGTTCGCGCTCAGCACGGCCGCGGAAGGTGGACAGAGCAAGCTAGCCAGTTCCTGGAGGGTGTATAACGAGCTTGCGGCAACGAGGCCAGACTTGATCTGGACACTTTCGCAACCATGGCCGTTTGACGGGTATTTCTCTCCCTCTCTCCCTCTTTCTTTTCTTTCTTGACGTATGTCGCCAACTCAAGCACCAGATTCGGAAACCCCGAACACCCATACCACCTGCGCCCTCTCCTTTTCTACCAGGGGAGTCCCACGGCGGAACCGGAGCGCATCATAATCCAGTACGCCCGTCGCAGTTTCACGGGCTTCCAGGCTCTTCCCCGATCCCGCGACATCCCATCCATCACGGAAGCGCAGGCCGAAGCCCTCGACGCACTGCACTTCCTGGCAGAGCGGTTCTCCGTGGCACTGGACTTCCGGAAGGGCGACGTGCAGTATGTGAATAATCTGAGTATTTTCCACGCTAGGGATGGGTTTACGGATACCCCGGAACAGCAGTATGCCGTGTCCTTACATTCCTTTTTTTTTCTCTCTTTCTCAAAAAAAGAAAAAAGTCTAACTCAATGAAGACGTCATCTTCTCCGTCTGTGGCTTCGGGATCCGGAGAATGCATGGAAAACGCCCGAGGGTCTCGAAGGGAGATGGAAGAATGTGTATGATGGCGTGAAGGCTGAGAACCAGGTGTTTCCATTAGAGCCTAGTATTCGCAGTGCGAGCGATGGGCAGAAGAAGGGGAGTGGGTATTGATGCTGGAGTATTAAATAACAATCGGTGTTATTATTATGATCGTCTCCCCTGAGGTGTAGGGTTATCTTGAACGCGGTAGGATAGTTATGCCCGTGTTCCTGGCACAAATCATCCTTTCTATCCACTAAACATCCAAGGATGAACTGGAATCGGATCCGCTGCAGCCAAGAGAACGGCGTGGATAATAGTCTGAGGTGAAAGTCTAATGAGCGTCTAAAACTCCGAGAGCTGACTCGTGAATAGCTTCAGCCTTTGCGGACTGGACCTTGGGCAACGATGTTTCTACAGAAGCAACAGAAGACGAAGATCCAGTGCAACGAAGTGGATGTATACAGTCTGGCTCAACGCACTGTGAAGGACCCAGAGGGACTTTGCAATGCGAGTGACGGCGATAATCGACATTCAGATGCCAAAGAATCCCTGCACCTGCATAGCCGAGGACTGCATCCATGTGATACTGCAGGATCCCAACCGGTTCTCATGCTCTGGGAAGAAGATCAAGACATGGCAGTGTATCTCTCCGTTCATCAGCTAAAGGATACATACAGGTTGAATTCTCCTCCTGGAAGTGAAGTGGGTGCTTTGAAACGGCCAGGATGGATGAAAGCGCGGCCAGTGCCGTGTCACGGTGAATCCGGGGTCTGGGGTATTTGACATGGAGATTATTATGTGGATCATCCCTATTAATATCGATCGGCTGCTTAATAAACCTAATTGACCTGATAGTTAGATTCCGGTTCAAAAACGAGGGGTATCGCTCTGTTGAGCGCGGCATCTTCGTCCTTTTCACTCCTCGCAGAATATGAACCCGTTCAGGATGAAGAGGATGGGCGCGCTCTACGCCAGCCTGAGGGCTTCCATCATGAAGTCCAAGATAGCAGACTCGCTGGAACTCAACGGCTGCACGCCAACCCTGCTCTATGATCTGGAGCGCCAGGATCTCAATCTCTCCCCCGAAGCCCTGCCTTCATCACCCAATACCACCGGCAATGGCAACCCCACGGCCTTCCTCGACGGCCTGCGTGGAATTGCCGCCGTGTTCGTCTTCATCCAGCACTTCATCGGCTCCTACGATTACAATGTCCACGAGCACGGCTTCGGCGAGAACGGCAACTACTACATCGCCAGTATGCCCTTCGTGCGCATCCTGTTCAGCGGCGGCAGCGCGGCCGTCGCCATCTTCTTCGTTCTGTCGGGATATGTCCTAAGCAAGTCCCCCATCCGACTTCTTCGACAGGGAAAACGCTCGGAATGCGCCAGGAGTCTCGTGTCGGCCACCATCCGCAGGCCCTTCCGGTTGTATCTGCCCACGCTGGCAGTAACCCTCCTTGTGGCTCTGCTCATGCACGCTCCATTCGGCATCATGCGGGAGCAGCCGTGGCCTCAACCTCGCGAGACCCTCTGGGACGAACTGGTTACTTGGCTTTGCGACTCGGCAGCCTTCTTCAACCCCTTCCGCCGCCATTCCAACCTCGTCTGGTTTCGCTACAGCATGGTGGCATGGACCATCCCCGTCGAGCTCGTGGGCTCGTGGTTTGTCTATCTCCTCATGGCCATCCTGGCCTTCAGCGGGCTCTGGCTCTCTCTGTCCCTGTGCCTGCTGAGCATTACGGCCATCCTGCTCCTCCACAACGGTCAATGGGATCTGGCCTGTTTCACGGCCGGTCTGATCCTCGCACACTTTGACGTCTACTCGCTGGATATCGCATATCTTGCTCAGCACCTGACGCGTCGGCCGAGGTTGATTTTCTGGAATGTTACGTTCGTCGTCGGGTACTACCTTCTCTGCGAGCCGGCCCATAACGGTCACGTCGAGTACTCGCTAGATACGCCGGGCTGGCATTATCTGACGCTGCTCATCCCGTCTTGCTACGATCAGGATCGGTACTACCGATTCTGGCATTCATGGGGCGCCTTTCTGCTTGTCTACGCTATCCTACGTCTCCACTGGCTGCGGGCCATCTTCAACACCAAACCCATGCAGTATGTCGGGAAGGTGAGTTTCATGCTGTATCTGATCCATCTCCCAATGTTTGCCATTGTCGGAGACCGTATCGGGAAGATGCTCGGCCAGGATAATCTCGCTGCAGAGCCGTGGTGGGAGAACAGATTGTACATCCCTGACATCGGTCCAACTGCCATGAGCACGCGCTTTCTACTGTGTCTGTCTCTCGTACTGTCAATATGTCTCGCTGTGGCAGATCTGGGGAGGAAGCTGTTCGATGTCCCAAGTGTGAGGGCTGGGAAGTGGATCTCTCAGAAACTGGGTGTGCCGTAGATAGAATACCTCGTTATGACTTCTACAGCTTAATGAAGCTCTGATATACAGCCATTTGACCACTGCAGACATCAATGCAAGTTCTATATGCAATGTATTTCCAATCATGTTACCCAAAAAGAAACCCTAAACGACGCACATGCAATGGACCACCTCCAGCATCAACCCAGCAAAGCCCCATCGGATACATGTAAGAAACCAACAATAGCCATCTTCCAAGCCAAAAAATAAATAAATAAATCACTAGCCAGCTCTATATATACATGCTGCCACACTGGGCATCAGCCAGTATGCCTGCCGTTTGCTCCTCGAAACCTTTCTTTGCGGAAATATCTTGGAAAAGTCCATGGTCACGTGGCTCAATCGTATAGAAACTCTGGGAAGGAAAGTAGCCATAAAAGATAAAAGGATAACTTTTCCAACGCCCCTTTATGCATTCAGGTTTGAAAACAAAACCCATATGAGATAATCAGATTCGATAATGCATGACTCCATCCGAAGATAGGAATCCGCTAGAAATTGTATCGTGTGCCTTGGCGAGTCAAGGGTTTCCCCTGGCGATTTACCGCTGTCTTCACATCTTTCGGTTCTTCAGTGGTTCTTTTTGCTCGTTTCGACGGCCGCGATGCATCCACATGCAGGTGCCCGTTCTCCGACATAGCTGTGGTGTTTCGCCATTTCAGGCAACGGTGCTTCTGGTCGTCCATGTATGTCTTGTGTCGTGTGGTAACGAGTTTGGTTGGCGCCTCCTCCGACTCCGCCCGTTGAGCGCTTTGCGCCAGGTAACTATCACGGTTCTTCATGTATTTGACTATGTGATCTCGCTGCAGAGAGAGCTCCTTGCGTAATTTCAACTCTCGCTCGCCGCGTGAATCCAACCATTCAATCAACTTGTCCACTGAGTCTGGATCGTCATAGTAACCCCAATGGTACGCATCTGCGAGACCCGTAGGTCCTTCTTCAATCTTCTTCCGCTCGGCCGGAGTCATCTTGAATTCCTTCCGATATTGCTTCTTCTGGTCTTCCGGGACATCAATGAAACCCACCCGTTCCATATCATCAGGACCCTGGACCCAAAGGCGTCCGTTGGCATAACGAGCATCGGCCGTTGAGCTGGTAGGTAATCCCTCGTACGGCATTGCGTTCCTCTCAAACCACCAGTACCGGTTGCAAAACCGATCCTTCCCAAGGCATCTTGTTCGTGGACAGTCCGCCTCCCTGAGGTCATTATCAATGACGGCGATCTTTTCTTCCAGCTTGACGATCTTGGTTTTCTGGTCTTCCATTTTCTTCAATACTCGTTGGTATTGTTTGGACCCCTTAGGCTGTTTCGCTTGCTGTTCCTTTCGCTCTCGTTCCTCCTCCAGTTTTCGCTTTCGTTCAAGGATCCTATCCATACCTCCGCGAAGGGAGCGTTCGTGATGTGAATCCTCATCCTCGGTGTCCATAACTTGATCCGATTCCCCGTCCACACCAGCCATTTTAGAGTCTCCTAAACCGTCCAGCTCCGGGACTGGGGATGGCGACTTCTCCGGTTCCGGTTGAAGTTGTTTTCGGTCTTGGTGAAGTCGGCGCAGTTCCTCAAGTCTAGATTAAAAGAAAAAAAAGTTAGCGCAAAAGAGATATATAAGTTGGGGTTACCTGGCATACGCTGATTTGCGGGACCGCTGATATTCAATCTTCTCCTTTCTGAATTCCGTCATTTGATTACTACATTCCTCCAGATAGTTCTTGATAGCCCTTGTCTCAAGACTGAGCCTGCAAATAATCTGAAGAGCCTCGATGCGCATGTTGAGATCAAGCGTCGCATATCGAAGTCGCGCTGTTTCCTGTGTTGGTTCTGCATCAAGGGGAGCCAAATGCGCAAGAATTTCATTGCATACTTTTTCCATTCGAGGATTGGCAGACAACTGATGTAAAAGGCCGACCATCACCAATTCCCAACCACCATTCCGGAAGTCCCTTTTACGCAACCGGTCGATCCATCCATAGTTTCCAAACATATCTGCGGCGCGATGCACAAGGTTGGAGGAACCAGAGCTGCCGTGTGCCTTCAAACTCTGTGCTTCCGCCTTGGCAAGGCTGCTTCGAGTGGTCATTCTTGTCACAGCCGGTTCCGGGGTCTGCTCCTTCTCCTCTTCTTCGCCATCTTCCCCGTCGCTTTCAGATTCCTCGGACTCATCTGCTGGAAGATCTGGTAGTGATATCTGAATGGCGCCCCCCTGGTCCTTCTCCGCATTAACTAACCTCTTCAAAACGGCGCAATGGATTTCCACAAACAGTTCACAGTCAATCTCATCCGATGAGAACCGCATTGCTTGTATAAAATCATCAAAAGTAAAGGAGTCCAGCTGGAAAACTTCACAGTAGACGTTAAGAGTGTCCCAAATCTCCAGCAACGGGCCAACTAATTCCGGCTTGATTTCGGGGTCCAATAAGTATTCATCCTCAACATCATCATCCAACTCGTCCTCCAAGAACTTAAGTGCCGGTCGATGGGGCTTGTCACGGTCAGGGGCTAGGTCAAGATCCTCTATGGGATACTTTATCGGTGGAGGAGAAGGTGGTCTGGGAGGCTCATTCTTAATGACGGAGGGAGCGGCATTCGCTCCCCCTTCGGATTCCTGGAACTTAGCGGAGGCTGGGCTGGAAGTATTGTTGACCGGGATTAGGAATGTCGGGTTGCCATTGAGAGAGCGTTGATACTCCAGGTACTGTTCTTGCTTTGCTTGAGCCAGTTCTTGCAACGAGGGCTTTGCCTTTTGGCCCTTAACCGCGGGTTTCAACTCGGGCAGACGTTGCGATGCGAAAAAGCCAAAAAAACCATCCTGGTCTGCCTTCTTCATGGCCTTTTTCTCGGCCACTCTAGCGCCATACTGCAAATGCTTGGGTACTTCAGTCGGGATCTTGTACTGCTCAGCGATACTGGGCTTCACTAGCCAAGGAGCACCACTCCAGGATTCCCTGGTGACGGTATTTTTGATAAAGGCACGTAACATTTGCTTGGTAAAGGTCTTTCGATCACGAGTGATATGTTCTTGGTCCAGCAAGGCTTCCTCATCCTGACGATCCAAAATCTTCACCAAGTACCGCGCATAGCCGGCGGTTTTGACAGTTCCATCCGGGTGTAGCTGTTCCGGGAAGGTTGCCTTGTCCCTGATCATGCCATGGAGGCGCGAATTGTCAGTGAGCAAGATTAGTACATGCTCACCGGGGTAGAAATCTTGTTTGAAATCCTGGATCTGTTAGGCACTGCACACTCTTGGCGAAAGAAATGTAGTCTATCTTCAAATGAAGCCCACTCACATCGTATACCTCGTCCACTGGGAAGGGCCTATCAGCTTCGGTTACGGCACAAAAGTCAAAGTCAAAACTCACCGAGGTTGTCAATCCTAGATACAGTCGAAAACTGGACTCTGCGCAAGATGGGTCCTTTGAGCGCATCGGGGAATGAACTATTAAGCTCTCGGGACTCTTCCGTCTAAAGGAATTAGAAGCTTCTCACATGAGAACCAAAGACATTGACATACTTCACTTCGGAGAGCCTCGAAGAAAGTCAGACCAGAATGGCCTGTAATTTCACATATAAATCGTCTTTGTTTGTAAAAGTCCATGCGCTGAAGATACGGCTCATAGTCTGTGAAGACTTCATTCGTCTCGGGAATCACCCAAACCTGGAAGGTTGCTGTAAACATAGATTTCCTTTCTATCTTTTGGGGTGATATAACACTGGCGGTGCGCATTAAACATACCTCGGAGCTTTCATCTTTGATAACGGGTCGTGGAAGGTACTGAACTGGTTTCCGCTTGAAGAGTACCTGGTCAATGGGTCAGTCTTCTGACTGGGAATTATATACTACACATGCGCCTAGCGATCGTATACCATGATATTTCAATTTTACAAAATAGGAGAGTCGGCCCAGTCTTCCATGGGCCAGAGCGACAGTCGGCACCAGCGCGCTATATATATAACCTTGTGTCATATCAAGTCAGTCCAAGAACGAAATGCGGCAATGCGCGATAACGACGATGGAAGGCGGGATTGAAGAAAGCCAGAAGAAGTAAGATATCTCCGCAAAGCGGGAGGCAGTTTGAGGTGAACAGGATTGCAAGTGACGCTAATGCTGGATATGACGCGCACGCGCACACGGCGGAGTCTTGACGGTGAGCGATGACTTATAGATATGTATATATAGATATCGTGTATATATATAAATCTATAGATCGCAGGGTTCTCCAGAAGATGCAGCAAGCGTAGAAGCTCGTGGAGCACTGTCCGGCTGCGCAACATGGCAAACAGAACGCGTCTTGCAGCCAGTCCAGGAGCCGTGCGCGAAAAGCAGTAGAGCAAAGCAAAGCCGGCACGGGAAAGAAGAAAGCTTACAGATGGAGCAGCAGTTCGCAAGACGGGAGATGATGGAGATGATGGAGACGATGGCGCGGATGAAAGCGAGTCGATGGCGGGTTGCAGGGGCGCAGGAGGTGAGGCACGAAGAAGAGAAGAAAGGAAGAGGAAGAGGGAGCAGCATTGGCCAGGAAGAAGAAAGGGAAGGACGAGGTGGTGGACTGCGCGCTACGGGCGCTGATTGGTCGAGACAAGGAGCTCCGGAAAAACAACCTTCCTTATTGTTTGGAGAATGCTTCTACTATTAGTAGAAGCATTCTCTTATTACTGTATACAGCAGAGGTATACATATCATGCAGCAGATCAAGTACGGAATGCTTAAAACAGCTGAATTAGATAATATACAATTCAACTCAGGAATCATCGTCGTTATCGTCGTTGTCGTCCTGGAATCAACACCAACTAACTCCCGAGTTCTTCTTTATGACACGAAAGGCTAATACTCCTGCGGAACTTGAATGCGGATCGAGACATGTCACGTGGTTACAAATACAAACAAGGCAAACTTACATCAGCATGCTAAGATGTGGCCCTTGGCCCCGTCTATCTACGCTGAATGCTTTATGCTGAACGCTACAGTGTATCAACTTCACTTCTCTGGTTCTACTCTCACTCCCATGGCCATGTTCGCTCCTCTCGGCCTGTTCAAGGAAGTCCCCTGTCCCCAGGGCCCGGACTGTGGCCTGCTGACTTGCATCTTTTCTCACAACACTCCCCGCTCTGCCTCAACTAGCCAGCCGGCTTCTCAAAATGCACATGTACCATCCAACGACACAGATATGGATTTGCCACGTCCGCCAGCTGCTAAGAGGATTAAGCTGGAAACAGCATCTAAGAGCCAACCAGAAAAGATGAGACAGTCATCTATAAGGAATACTGCTAACGGCCATGAGAAGGCTCGACCATCAACCGAAACAGGCACAAGTACAAGGACAAAGCAAGATGCAGTGAAGCTCCATTCTACATCAAGGGCTGTATCCCCCCCAGCTTCTCGTGTAGAGACAAAGGCCAAGCCCACAAAGCCCAAGGAGGGCAATCTGGCCGGCCATGAACGTCGGAGGAATGCGCCCAAGGAGTCGTTAAATCCGCGTATGATCCCGAAGGCGCCAGCCACGCATGCAGTGCGTTCGTCTATTCTGACGAAGCTCCATGCGGCGATGTCAGCTTTGAACTGCAAGGTGGCAAATGACAAAAACGTGGAAAGGTACCTGGTCTTATCTTCCAATGAGCTTGTCACCATGGCGCTAGATGAGGAAGAGAAGGCAGCAAAAGAAAATGCAAATATATATGCGAATGTCATCAAGCTTCGGATTGTGAAACTCTCTAAAATGAAGAAGGAGGATTGGATAGAAGAGGTCAAGGTTCATTTGAATTCAAGGTACTACAAAGAAAAGCCCGCCCAGGCGTCTCAGGAGAATAAGCCAAAGCCGTTTACAACCAGTCTAAGCGTGGAAGAAGAAATGGCGATTGTGGAGAAACTCATTACACCCCTGAAGGGACTTGAAGATTTTGGTTATGTGACCAGGGCGCCGTCAGAAGAGGAAATCGAAAGCGCAAAGAAGGGTGTTGCTGAGTCGAGGGGTTGGGAAAAGTGCGATCGATGTGGCGGGCGCTTCCAGGTATTCCCTGGTCGTCGTGAAGACGGAGCGTTAACCAGCGGAGGCCCATGTACATATCATCCGGGCAAAGCAGTTTACCCCCCCAGAAAGCCAACAGACCATCTCACCGGTCCCAGGGACGCGATCTATCTTTGCTGCAATGAGACGGTGGGGACTACGGCAGGCTGCACCAAAGCCGAAACACATGTCTTCAAGGTGTCAGAAACGAAGCGACTTGCCTCCGTCCTTCAATTCAAGGAGACCCCCGTGCAGTCGGACAAGGGCACGCGACAACCCGTGTGTTTCGATTGTGAAATGGGATACACTACTCTGGGGCTGGAGATGATTCGGCTAACAGCCGTCAGCTGGCCAGAAGGCAAGGAACTACTCGACGTCCTGGTCAAACCGATGGGCGAGGTTCTGGACCTCAACTCCCGTTACTCTGGTATCTTCCCTGAGCACTATGCGAATGCCATCCCGTATGGTACTGGTGATGCCAGTGGCACCACCACTGCTTCTGGAGACAGGGACAAGACAGGGGATGACGACACAACCGTCCCCAAAATCTTACAAGTTGTCGAGTCTCCTGCAGCGGCTCGGGAACTCCTATTCTGCCTCCTCCAACCCGACACCCCGCTAATTGGACATGCTATCGACAATGACCTGAACGCCTGCCGGGTCATCCACTCCACTATCATCGACACAGTCCTGCTCTACCCACACCCCAGAGGTCTACCGAATCGCATGGGCCTGAAAGCCCTATCTCGCAAGTATCTCGATAGGGAAATTCAGACTGGAGGGGCCCGTGGGCATGATTCGAAGGAGGATTCCATAGCCACGGGTGACTTGGTACGGGTCAAGGCCGCAGAGACTTGGAAAACTCTCAAGGCGAAAGGATGGCTCATTCGCGATGGCAAATTGGTACCTCCGCCGGGATACCGGGGGGACGAGAGTGACTCCGCTGCGGCGAGATCACTTGGGCCTGGGGCGGGGAGGAAGAGGAAGTAAGAAGCAGGCAGTCTTTGTATTTACGACAGATCATCATTGCATGGACAATACTCCGTAACATCCGGATCCATGGCAGCCCGGGGATTCTTCGGGCGAAGGCTGAAGGGGATGACATAATCTCAGTCGGTTTCCAGAACTGGCTCCGGCCGCCCGTAATGCCGTCACTGACCTCGGATGCGCCGCAAGTATAACGTCTAAATACCTCCAATTTCCTCTCGCCACCTTGTCTCTCCTCTCTTCCATATCATCTGTACCGGTTTGCACGAACACTATGGCTACTTCCCGTATATCAGCGATGGCCGTGCCGCGAAGGATGGCCGCTGCGTGCCTCCCTCGAATCCAATTGGGCGTTCGCTGCACAGCGGTTGCGCGCCCGTCACTACGGCCCGTTGCTGGCATCCGCAGCAGGGCGAAGTATTCGACTGCAGTCGAACAACCGACACTCGCACCAAAGATCGATCGGAGCTCTTCCAAGGTGTTTAAGAATGCGGATGAGGCCGTGGCGGATATTAAGAGTGGATCGACCATCCTCAGTGCTGGATTCGGTCTTTGTGGTGTCGCAGGTAGGGAATCGCCCGTTGTGTCCTGGAGTCATTCGGAAAGACGGTGAATCAATTTCTAATGTCTTTTTCGGTCACCAGAAACCATAATACAGGCCATGGCTCGCAGAGGACGCGAGAACCTGCACTCGCTCAAGGCGGTTTCGAACAATGCCGGTCTCGCTGGTAGAGGAGGACTCGCAGTCCTCACTGAGTCCGGCCAGGTTGATCGACTCCTCATTTCGTATCTTGGAAACAACAAAGTCCTTGAAAAGCAGTACCTGAATGGCGAGATCGCCATCGAGCTGACTCCCCAGGGCACAATAGCAGAACGGTTGAGGGCTGGAGGAGCTGGCATCCCGGCCTTTTACACCCCAACAGGGGCTCGTGAGTGACCCATCGGCAACTGACTCAGGCAGACACTTCTGCTCCTAACATTACACGTAATGCAGATACCCGCATCCAGGATGGAAATATCCCGGTTACGCTGGATTCGGCTGGGAGAGTCCTTCAGCGTGGCAAGCCTCGTGAAACGAGAATCTTCAACGGCAAAACCTATCTTATGGAAACCGCTTTGACCGGCGATGTGGCACTTGTACGGGCGTGGAAGGTCGATGAAGCCGGAAATTGTGTGTTCCGGTAAGTAGCCAGAACTTCGACGGTGATGTAGACAGTGTCTCTGACGGAGCAAATGCAGGTATACCACGAAAGCGTTTGGTCCGTTGGTAGCCAAAGCCGCTGCTCTCACCATAGTGGAAGCGGAGAACATTGTCCCGATCGGCGCCATCGATCCTAATGACGTTCATTTACCTGGAATCTACGTCGACAGAATTGTTCCTTCTACTACCGATAAGCAAGTTGAGATCAAGAAACTGCGGTCTGCAGAGGATGAAGATGCAGTTAAATCAACATCAAACCCCAAGTTGGCGAAGAGGAATCGTATCGCCAAGAGAGCCGCAAAGGAGCTCAAACATGGTTATTATGTGAACCTCGGTGTCGGTAAGTATCCAGCGTCTAAAAAAAGGGTTCTCAGATCGCGACTAAGGTTCTGTTCACGTAGGAATTCCCACTCTTGCCCCATCCTTCTTGCCTGAAGGAGTCAAAGTTTGGATTCAGTCAGAAAACGGACTTTTGGGAATGGTAAGCATATGCGTCTTGACGTTGTCTTGCCCATTCGTATGGCTAACGCATTCGTGAAGGGCCCATATCCGACAGAGGAGGAAGTCGATCCGTAAGTCGCTGCCCCCCTTATACGCCTAGAACCGCGTATTTTTGCCTTTCTAACATGGACCCAGGGATGTCATCAATGCCGGTAAAGAGACCGTGACTATGATGCCCGGGGCTTCTACCTTTGACAGCAGCGAGTCGTTTGGCATGATCCGGGGAGGACATGTGGACGTTTCCATTCTTGGGGTTCGTTCAAACTTACCCGCAAACTTCTCAGTGCTGTGGATACAAAACTAACGGAACTATTTCACCGCAGGCTTTGCAAGTCGGTGCCAATGGTGACTTGGCCAACTACATGATCCCTGGAAAGATCTTCAAGGGAATGGGAGGTGCCATGGACCTCATTTCGAATCCCGACAAGACCAAGATCGTGGTGGCCACTAACCATGTGGCCAAGGATGGCTCGCCGAAGATTGTGCAGAACTGCAGCCTGCCTCTGACGGGCGCCAACTGTGTCAGCACGATTATCACGGACCTGGTAAGTGAAGAAGGAAGCAAGTGTAGCATACGCCAGGTGGCTGACAGTAGATTAGTGTGTCTTCCAAGTTGATCGAGTGAAAGGCGAGCTCACCCTGACCGAGTTGGCGGACGGTGTGACCGTTGACGAAGTTCGGAGCAAGACTGGAGCTGAGTTCTCGGTTGCCGACAATGTGACTTCTATGGAGTAGGCTTTCGGTGGCTTGGGATTCTTTCTTGCAAAATATACATTGTTTCCTTTATAGCGGTTGGCAAGGTACGGGTTTGACGGAGTATGGACAGTCCAATCATCATCCAATGGACAAAATGCATTAGGAAGAAATTCCTTCTATATTCAAATAAAGAACGTCACCGATTTATAGCGTTCTATTTAAATACAATATCACAGCCTAGGCCTTCCCGATGCAAAGTTCGAGCCGTGACCCTCGCTGATAGCCTCCACGATCTTGTCCACACTGCTCAAGATCCACGTATTGCCCTCTTCCCCGGCCAACCACTTCGCGCCCTCTTCGCTCTCCACGTCGTTGGCCCACGTCCCATCCTCCAGAGCCTTGCGCAGACCAAACACATGGGAAAGAACCTGCGGTCCCACACCACCCTGCGCACGCAGACAGCAAATCCCAACGACGGAAGTCAACAGCCTCCCCAGATTAGCCCCGGTAGTCCGCCCGGCGGGATCAGACAGGAGCGCACCGTAATGGGCATTGAGAATGTAAACGGGCATGTCAGGATGAGAGGCACCGAGTTTATCGTACAGCTTTGTCTCGAAGGGTCGGTAGATGGAGTCCCACAGCGCGCGACCACGGGCACGGACCTCGTTGATGTTCTCCGGGGTGAGTTCGCGGGTTGGGACCGTGGAGAGCTTCTCGCTGATGGACTCGGGGAGGCTGGTCTTGAAGGCGTTTAGGCTGTTGATTGTACGGGGGATGCCGTTGAAACTGATGCATTTCAGACCGATTTCACGCATCAATTCGGCCGTTGCGAGTCTTTGCTCGGGGGTTTGCGATGCAGTGGCTGAGTTGTACAGGATTGCGAGGGATTCGGGGGAGTTCATGGTTATTGTTGCGGCTGTCTGGGATAGGTTAGGAGTCTTATTTATCATTCTTGTAGAAAACGAAGAATTCAACGAACCGACACGGCCAGCCATGATGGCTGCGAGAGATTATTCGACAGCGCCTCCTGCTGGATCTTCTGGTACACGGATTGGATGTTGCGAGGAGCAGGCACGGTGCCTGGTCGCGCCACAGGCGAGTTGATTAGGGCCTTGAGGGCATTGGAGAGCCTTGCCATGTCGACTGTGTAATTGATTGAGTTGCTGCCCGTATAGTCCCCTTCTCTGCAAGCAAATATAATATATAGAAGAACATGAAGATAACCGGCACAACCGAATGACGGCATGACCGGCGCTACTTCTGGACGCCGACAGGTGGGCCGAGGATATCCCGTATTGCCACAATCCCCACGATTCTTGAACTTAGCTTCAACCGTCCATCCGACAACGCTCTGAACCTCCTGAGTTCTAACCAGCAAATTTACTCTGTTTCCTCATGCCCGCATCGAATCTCCACAGCAGCAATGGCGCCGGGACCCCAATGACAATAGCCATGAATCCAGGGTCCTATTCCCCCAGCTGTACCCCAGGCCGGCATACATACTCGGCACGAACAAGGCGAACGAGAACCGGGCCAGCGATCGGAGCATGCCAGTAGACGCCAGCGCGGATGCCGTGTACTTGGGATAGCTGTGCACGATGTACGGCTGGATGGAAATGAAGAGCATGGGGATGAAGATGATGATGCTGACGCAGACGAACGCGACGCTTCAAGATCGGCAGGATCCAGTGCTCCCCATAGAGGAAGAACCCGACGGGACAGAGCACGGAACATGGGATCATCAGAGTTAGTCAGTATTCGGGGATAGAGCAGTCTCCAGGTTCTCCCTGCGGTAGGGGTATGCGCCGGCCGACTGCTGTTGTTATTGTCGTTGCTGCTGCTGCACGCCTGTTCTGCGTGCCTCTTTCTTCGCTCGAACATGCAGGATTCGAGGAAGATAGGTTTTGCAGAAAAGGAGGATTGCAATGACCCCGATGAAGCCGCCGAGGGCACAGAAATACCGCCGCGATATTTCTATTTCTGACCTAGAGTGGATGAGTTGCTCATGGCCACAGCTGCATACATCAACCATGGGAAAAGGGCAGATTAAACAGAAAACGACAATACTAGGATCTGGAGGGATCCAGCGTCAACTGATCATTCCCCCTAGGAATTGATACCGTGATTCTGAGACATGATATTACGCATCAAATTGGAGGGAGACATATCTAAGGAAAGATGCTGCGATTAGAGCAAGCGATGAAGGCTACGACGCGCGGAACGCGTAAATGATGAATTTACATTTAATCTACATAACATTACTCAGGGTGAACAACTCAATGACCAGTCTCCGTCTCAATATCCGGTTCTCGTCCCGTAAGATCACCTCCGGGGAGCTTCTTTTTCAACTTTTTGAGGCCGAATTTCCCTTCATCTTTCGCAAAGGCGGCATTACGCGCTGGTTTCCATTGCATGATTCCACGCTCCTGTCGCTTCTCCGTGCGTCGATTCACCTTATTTATCTCTTTGCTACCTTTTTCGGTCTTCTCATAAGCCTTTCCTGCGGCGTCGCCGTTTTTATGATGGCCCGTGGCAACGAGAGAATTCTGCTCGGCATCCGTCGACTCGCCGGACTCTGAATCCTCGGAATCGGCCAGGGCGTAGTCTCCCTTCTGGGAATTCAACTCGCGAGATGGCTGCCCATTGATCGGGGGCGGCATTACAGGATCATGACGGGGCTTGTCTCGCCCAGGTTCAGCGATCTTGCGACCTTTCGAGTCTGTGTAGGCACGGGGATCATCTCCAAATGCTCCGCTCCAGTCCTGTCCGTGCTTGTCGATCCACCGGTTGCGTTCTTCCGGGTCGGTATTTTTCAGTCTCTCGCGGGCTATGTCGAGGGATCGCTCGTGGAGTTCGCGGATGTTGTCGGGTATCTCCGACGAGACCTCCCGCTCGCGGACACCTTCGGCGAGACATGCTTCCCAGGCCTCGTAGGTCTCGCGGGAATCGTTGTCGACGATGTACTGCTCGTGGGACTCGTCAATCCCCGGGCTGAAGCGGGCTCGGAACTTCAGACGGCCGACTTCTTTGAGGTCCTCAAGCCCCGGGACTTCCTTGGCTTTCCAGTTTCGCTCCGTGATGTAGTTCTGGGTCAGTCGTTTGCCGTTCTTGGTCGTCCAGATGGGCACGTTGATCTCGGTGTCTTCATGGTCCACCAGGTGATGGAGCCACAGGATCGAGTACGCGGCAGGATCTCGTTTGTTCACGGTATGGAATTCAAAGATGACAGGGGAGCGGTAGCGATACTTGACTGGGAGCCGGATGCTGTCTCTTAGGGACTGATCAGATAGATTGAATATGGTGTTGTCTCCTTCGGTATGCGAGACGTGTCGTGTGATTTTGCTCCTACTCGCCCCAGCGCGAAGTTTGATCTTGGTATGCTGCGTGTAGTTCTCCGCTGTGATCTTGTCCGAGACAAATTCAAATGTGCCAACATCCCATCCAAGCATGTTGGGAGGCAGTTTGGTCTCGACATGCCGGAAGAGAAGCGATATGCGGACTCTGCCGAATCCAATTCCGCCGTCCAGAGGGTACCACCTGGTTACTTGCGAGCTTGTCTGAAGAACCTCCGATATCTTCAAGGGAATCACGCCCAGAAGAGGATCATGCTCTCGGTACCGTTTATCCCTGACGCTGATGGTCAATATTGCTGATTTCCAGTCACGAACAAACCTCTCCGTCCCGGCGTTGAATATTGGCTGTGAGGTCACAGACTTGGGACGCGTGCGGTAGATCTGAAGAATACCATCAGCATGAAAATCGGTTGGGAATATTAACGGGTGGCCTCACCATTTGGTCATTCAAGATCATGTCACAATAGCTCGTTGGCAGCTTTTCCGACTGCTCCTCCTTACTTTCGCCATACTCTTTAGCCGGCTCGAATTCCTTTCCCTTTCGGCTTCCCTTGCTTCCTTTGATATCGGCTAGTTGCAGATTCACAATCTGATGGATGACAATGTGCAAAATCCCACTCGGCCACAGAGGATCGGGGGGCGTGTGGACCACTGCGTCTTCCTCGTCGTTGATGATGGCACCTTTGTCATCTTGAAAGACGGGATCATCTCGGAAATTCTCTGGCAGGTTTTTATTCTTCCCATCTGTCCTCAGTTCACGTCGTAGATTCGGCTTCCCAAAGTATCCAACTTCCCAGTGCAATTCCCCGGGCATCTCGCTCCCCTGTTCCATGCCCTGCAGCCTGGAAACCTGGGGATACATCCGACTGGGATGCTGCAGCATTTCGCGGATGGGTAGTTCGACTTTGCCGACAATGTCATCTGCCGTGTTGCGATCAGAATCCCACAGTTCCACGCTCAGGCGTTCGTCGGCTTTGATCAACTCAGGAGTCACAAGCAGGGCAGTCGATTCCTCCCAGATGGGATTGAGATCGTCCGTGATAACCCGTGTACAATACATGGGTTTCCCATACTTTGAGAACGAGAGGTTGATATAGGGGTCGCTGCCACCACCCTTGCTCCCACGTTTGTCCTGCTTGCTTAGTCCGACTGCGCGATGGATGCGAATCCACATGACGCCCAACGTTCGGGTTTCCTTGTGGATATCATCGCCTTTCATTAACATGCTCAGATCGATCGTCATGGATTTGGGTGCCGCAAAGATGCTGCAGGCTGTTCTGATAGCGTAGTTGGCGAAGTTCGAGATAATCGGGAGATTAAGGATATTGACGCCTCTTCTAACCATGGGGACGCACCCGGCCCTCACATGGGGAATACCGATTAGGCTGAACGTTGCATCCTTCAAGAACGGGGGATCTGGCATCATTTGACATCGCAATCGAACAGTCCCCATCATCTCGATCAGCTCGACAAACACCGGAAAGGGAACACCAATTAGACCTCGGATTCCAAGATAGAACACAAGCTGCATGTGCATGTTCCGCGCTTTGGACGAAGCGGACCGTCCACTTGGCCTTGCATGATATGCAAAGGAGGCCTCCATGTTATAGTATCGTCCCCCTTCTTCGGCTACAGCTCTCTGCTGAGGATCCTTATGTCTCATATTCTCCTGGTGGACGTTCTCTTTAAGATTCTCAACCTCCTTGTCCGGAAGCGAACGCATGCTCAGGATCCGCAATGGATTGTTCCCTTGGTCGATTTCGGCGACGCGGACATTTTCGATAACTTTTGGAGAAGAAGCCTGCATAATGTCCTCAATAGTGTCGGAGATGGGTGACAACATGTCGGGGTTGATCAGTCTCCAGGCAACGCTAAGGAAGGAGTTCATCCATTCTACAGATTCCGGGAGGAGGTTTGCGGTGGCCTTGTGAGAAAATCAGTACACCTTTTGATGGCACGTCTGCATTGAGAGCAACTTACTGTTTCACCTCGAAGCTGTTCGCTGCTCCATTCCATCTGCAGACCCTTTTGGACAACATCCTTCGCCCACAAGAACACGCCGCATGAGATGCAAAGAGCCAATGGGACAAGGCCCCAGAGGCTACCCCCAAAGAACTTGCCCAGGAATATGATAGCGAGGGCGGTTCCGATGCAGAGCTGACCGGCTCGTGTTTCCAATTCTTCGAACATGGGTCTATAGCTGACAGACGGGGTAGGATGAAAGAGGATGTTCGTTGCTTCACCGTGGATGGGGACATCGGAGGTGGTGCCTTCAGCAACAGGATCCGGCGGTGCTGTTACATCCTGGTTTTCTTTATACTGTGAGAATTCCTGGTTTTGTTCTGTTTTTACAGCCTGAAGCCGCGCGGTCAGCCATTAGCTTGCTTCACAGTCTCAGATCCATAACTTACCGTGGGTTTCCCAAGGTTGGCATTGGGGACCGTTAGCTGTGTATATACAGTAAGCTTAGCACCAGAACTCGAACCCTTTAGGCTGGGCAGCAGGAAAAGATCGTACCGTCTGGTGTTTCGCTCGTTCTATCGACGCCTTATCCATGTCCTCGACCTCTATCTCCCTACCGGTCGTTGGATCCGTCACCTTTCGATACTTTGCCTTTGCCTTTGGGATCTCCTTTGGTCGTTCTTCGGGCGGTTTTCCTTCCTGTCTTGCAGCCTTTTCCTGCTCTTTTCTCGCCTTATTTTCATCGTCGATTCTCCGGTCCCGTTCTCGTTTGTCCTTGTCCAAATGCTCGATGAACTTCTGAATCGTTGGAATCGGGTTACTCCCGCTCCAATGCTCCCCGGCATGATGCTGTTGGTAACTTTCACCTGAATGAGCTTTGGCCGTTGTCATTTTCGATTTGGTCCTGTGGGGCGTATATATCGAGATTGATAGATGGCTATGTTACATGAGGGATATCAGCCGTTCAGAAACATGCACTTGCACTCATTCCAGATTTCACTGTATGTTTGGGAATGGGGGTTTGTTGCTGGTGGTGCCGGAGGGAAGAAGAAGTACTACTACGCAGTACATTGAAATGATTCAGTATACATACCCAATACATCTACGTACGTCATCGCGGAGGATAACCAGTGGCACTCCCCATCCGATTACATCGTTTTCAATAGGGAATCGAAATCGAAGCCATAGAGTTCAGTTCTTCGAGATCCAAGTGAGGGGGGCAATCGTAGGGCGTGATCCCAAACAGCAGCACTGTCCTCCCCACGGACATTCGTCCAACACTGCTTTTCTTCACTGCAGTTGCACACTTCGCAGTGCAGTATGAACCAGACGTAATGCCGTCGGTGGCAATGGGTTTCCAAGCCGGCATTGGGATGATGTCAGAGATTCTGGACCATTGACATTTCGTCATAAGCTCTGCGAAACCTGACGAGTAAATGAACAAGCGCTAGATAGATTGAATATCGCTGGTACAGCGCCAGTAGGATTTACCGAAACGTATCTGCTTGGATAAAGCTGAATACTGCATGGCGGTTTATTTTAAGACTGCCGTGGATCGTTGACGAGGCAGGTATTGACGTTTAGTTGCTGAATGCATCCTGTCCTTCATTTCTCCTTCCATCATGGCCCTGGAATGAGTGAAGTCTAACTTGCTCAGAAACCCAGGGGTATGCAGACTCGACCTAATACGACGGAGATGACCATATTTCCCGATAGCAGTCCGGATGAAGCTGTCCTTACGACCCCATCGGAGGCGGCTGATCACTATTGAAGAAGCAGATGTGCTCATTTGTTATCACCGGCCAGGATGAAACCGCGGCTGCGCCCCATCAGAAATACGCATTCTTATTCCTTGCTGCGGTGACGGTGAGCCTGGAGGACAATCTACGGTTGTACAAGAGACCAATCCATCAGAAAAACATTTCGAAATGCGTATAACTAGTTATAGTCAACTAACGTACCCACAAGCAAGCCGCACCCCCTGGACCATGGTCTAGGGAATACGTGTAAAAACTAGTCCCTCTAGCGACTAGGGCATTGCAATCGCTTATGTCCAATAACATGGCAATCACTACACCGTGGTGGTGCCCGTATACGCTGCTCAATTGCAGCCGGTGCTGGTTCAGTAGGTTGAGCATCTTGAACATTTTGGACCTCATTCTCATGCTGGAGGAGCTGCTGGTCTTCTTGGATAAATAAACCCCTTTTATGAAACTGCTTCTCATGTGCAGCCCGCAGATCCTGGTTCTCTTTTGCCAGAATAATAGCGCTATTCACAACCACCTCACACTCCTTAACAAGCTGGTTCAATGCAGCCCGCAGATCCTGATTCTCTTTGGCCAGAATAATGGCGCTATTCAGAACCATCTCACACCCCTGAACAAGCTGGTTTAATGCAGCATTTGTTGAACTTGGAGAGCTCTCTGTATGATGCCTTAGAAGCTTCTTGATCCTAGTTGCTTGCTTCTCCAATTGTCCGAGACTATCCGGTGTTTTTGGTGCTGAATTGGTTGATCGGCTGCCGGGCGGTGTCGGTGTCATTATCTGTGTATTAAGCTGTGAAAGCACCCTTTCTGGATCGAATGGGTTTAAGCCAGTTGCTGCAAAACCATCACGAATGGTTTCTGGCTTAAATATATCTGCATGGGCATAGGGGTATGCCTCCAGGAAATCAAATTTATCAATATGGTTGAAGCCAAGCCGCATCTTATTTTCAACCAACCTCCCGTATGCCTTTTTCAATGGGGAAAAGCATGCCACATCGAGAGGCTGTAAAAGACGTGATAAATGTGGAGGCATGGAGATTGGTATGATATTGTTTTGGCTGCATATCTCATCAAACTTGGGAGTTAAATGGCTTCCATGGCCATCGAGGACGAGGAGGCGATATCTCCCAGTTGTATGTGCCTCTGTGGATGGAATAAAGACATTTTTAAGCCAGCAGAGCCCAATCTCATCAGTTGTCCATCCATTGTCACTGACTCCAATCCTCCAATCATGTGGTAAAGCCTCATCTTCATACAACCCTTGGATATGCATCTTTCCTTTGACGATGATACAAGGCGGAAGCACCCGTCCAGTAGAGTTGATGCATTCAATTGTTGTGACCCATTCCTGATCGCCTGGCTGTATAAGGAAAGGCTTGCCAACCATCTCAGCTCTAGTAACTACTTTAGCAGTAGCTAATAGGCCCATTGCAAAGCCAGTTTCATTAAAATTGTAGATATCCCCCTGTACAATCCCATGTTGCATAATGGTATTTTGTACACGGTCAAACCACTCCCTAATAATCTTAGGGTCTTCCCATTGGGCACGCTGGGAATCATATTGTCGGGAATATCTTGTTCTGAGCTCATCCTGTCGTTTAATAAAGTTGTATGCCCAGTTTACACCAACTGTCTGGATAGGCGTTGTACCACGTTTGGAGAGTAGAATATTGGCCATTTCTTGCACATGAGACGGTTGGGGAGCTGATCCACGTCGATCCATAGAGCGAATCCATTGTAAAAGAGATTCCTCTTCACTTTGAGTCAATTTATGGTTATTTGCGCGTTTATCAGGGCGGAAAGTAACTCCACGGAGTCTACCACGTAAGGTAGATCCAGGTACTTGATAATGACGTGCTGCTTGCCGTATAGACTTGACTTGCCCACTTTTAATAGCTGAAACAGCTAACAAGATCCTTCTCTCCTGTTCAGTTGAATCTGTTGACTTTTGATGAGCTTTTGGTGGCATGGTTGGTGGTTGAATTGCTTCAACTTGTTGGCCATGACCAAAATACGTAGGGCGGGCGGCTCGCGTGTGGATTACGTGATCACACATGATTATATAATCATCAAATGGTCACGTGACACACACCGTTCTCCGCGCCACCGTGGCTTGTACGTGCCACATAGCTCCGGACTGAAAGATGACAATGGGATGAATTCTGGGGTGAAAATACTGGGTCAGTATCCAGTTGCTTGACTGAAAGAAGTGTATTGCATGTGTAAAAAGATCCTTCATTTGTCTATGATACAGGAAGAATCCCATCGGAAGAGATGCATTACTGAACATGGCAGGTGGGGAAGAGGGTCGGGTTATCAACATGACGTTGCTCTGAATCCTGGAGAATTCCCCTCTTTTCTCCCCAACAACAACAATAAAGAATTCAGCATTCAACCAGATCCAATTCTCACCAAGTGCCTCAACGGTCAGTTCTGCCCTGTTCAGCTAGTTGGATCCATGCAGTACAAGCAGCTTCTGACCATTCATCTGCGAAGGCCTTCCCTTGCTTCCCTGAAACCACACCATATTGGCACCTACAGACCCATTCATTGTTCAGCTTCAGCTATGGCCGGTGTTAGCAAGGCTTGCTGCTCGTTAGTTTATCCCAGACGATCCTTAAACCTTTTTTTATGCTGATGGTTCTTGTTGCGCAGCATCCCACCCGTCGTCTCCAAGGGCTACCAAGCCAAGGGAGAATACAAGACCATCAATGGTTTGAAGACATGTATGACCTTCTTTTAGCCCGCCTTGGATAAGGCCTCATGTTGGGCTGACTCGGTTGTTAGATGTTACGGGACCGGATTCCGCGTCAAAGGCCATCCTGGTGGTTTACGGTAGGCAGAATCAAAATCTCCATGAGAAATCCATCCAGCTAACGACATTTTGTCCGCGGCAGATATTTTCGGCTTCTTCGACCAGACCATCCAAGGCGCTGATATTCTGGCCACATCCAACGAAAAGAAGTACCGGGTTTTCATTCCTGATTTCTTCGAAGGCCAGCCTGCCGACTTATCCAAATTCCCACCCAAGACGGAGGAGGACCAGAAGAACCTGGCCAACTTCTTCCAGACCAAAGCCGCGCCGCCAAAGACCCTCTCCAGACTCTCCGGGATCGTGACAGAAGCCAACAAGCTTGCTCCCGGCGGCAGCGGGTTCGAGTCCTGGTCCATCTTCGGCTACTGTTGGGGAGGGAAGATAGCTAGCTTGGCTGCTGGCAAAGAGAACAAACTCTTTAAGGCCGCGGTACAGTGCCATCCAGCGATGGTAGACCCAAATGACGCGAAGGAGGTGACGGTGCCCATGGCCGTGTTGGCCTCCAAGGACGAGGACCCGGCTGCCGTGGATGCATACACGAAGAATTTGAAGGTGCCGAATTACGTCGAGACCTTCCCCACCCAGATTCACGGATGGATGGCCGCGAGATCGAATCTTGAGGAGGCCGAGGTGCGCAAGGAGTATGAGAGAGGATACCGGACGGCCCTCGGATTCCTCCACAAGCATGCCTGATCTGCTACGTTAGCGGGGGAGGGCGGGGGAGGTACCTGAAGTGGACTTGTGCGAAAATGAGCCTATAATGTGACATAACGCAGAAATGATGCCGCATACTGAGAAAGTTGCAATTCGTTTCGATTGTCTCCTGACCGCATCACCTGAGAGAACACGCAGACAATGCATAGCGTCGGACGACGGCCCGAGTAATTTAAGCAGCAGAAGCGGAGGCTGGTGTTTTTGCCGTGTAGCATCGGGCGCTTCCGTGCTCGGCGACTCGTAAGGAAGCCATAAAGCATAAAATGGACTGTAGAGCGTCATCGATCTTCCAGGATCCACTGCACGTGCGGCTCCCTGGCAGGTTTCCCTCTTCCTTCTCCTTCGTCTGTCTCTCCTCTGCCTTTTTACGCCCGTCGGTTCATCGTCCCCTGCGTCTTCCCAATCGGTCGGCCTTCTTCTGCTGTCTTGTCGCGTTACCGGCCCTCGTCTTTGCGCCCCACCATCCGCAAAGCTAGCTATTGTACATTTATTAATCGCTGAGCTGTTGATCGACAGACGGGACCGTGATTTCGCCCGGTCTTCGAAGCTTATCTCTGCCGAATTGAATGAAAGTCAAAGACGAAATAATAATTAATACCATCATCTTGGCTCTTTGCCGGCCTTCCTAAGTCTTTGACTGTTCTCCTTAGAGCCAGAGCCTCGATGACGTTTCCCTTGACCCGCAGACGGTCCGTTGCGGTCGCCGCTCCTCGCGCCGGCGACGATCACGAAACCCGCGAAAATGGGGATAATCATCTGGTGCGAAGGGCTTCCTTTCCATATGCACCTCCTCATCCTGAGAATGCGCCCCCGCCTCCTAGCAAGGGGGTGTTCTCGAGTCTTTTTCGAAGAGGCAGCGATACTTCGAGAAACAACGAGCGCCCAACAGGCGCGAAGACAACTGTAAGAGCTATTCACATACATAGCCCTCTCTTCGATGAAATGCAACGTAGATTAAATATCTGACACCTGGACTCATAGGCTCCTGGGAGATCGTCGCAAAAAATCAAGCACGAACACTTGAACAAGGAAGCAGATCCCCTTGTTCACGGCCACGATGGTCGCTTACGTCGCGCCTCTGAAGAAAAAGAGCCACCTGGCGCTACATCGGAAAATCGTCGGCCATGCACTGTACAGGATGCGCTTGAGCTGAGGATCGATGCTGGTCTCCAGGCCAATGAACGCGCGCTGGAGGACCAAGGTAACCCGATCTCACCGGATGAACACACCCTTACCAGGGATGATGTGAAGGCGCTGTTCTCTGGCGCGCCTCATTTCCTTCTCGAGAGAGGCAAGCAGAATGTTTTCTATCCCCAGGTTATTTTCCCATGGGACGAACATGATACTTCCATCCAGAACCTGTGGGATCGAAAACCGCTTGCTCATCGCTCGTTCGCTCTTTCTACTGTCCATCCACATCTGCCTGTGCCGGAGGAGTGGATGGTAAACCATCATTCTTCCAACCCAGACCATGATCTGGACGCCCACAGTTCAAAACGGGCCGTTTTCGATATTGGTATATTTGAGGTCCCGAGCATGCTGTCCATGAATGGATGGGAGCCAGGGTCTGTCGGTTACCGTTACTACCTGGAATTTCCGACGGCGGATTCGGTGAAATATGGTGGACCTCCTCGCCTCAAAATGGGCCCTGAATTGCAGGAGTTCTCTTCACTACCCGCCACGTCGGTCTTTGAAATGATGGAACATCATGATGAGCCGTATTCCGAGTGTGGAAATCACAGAATCCATGAGCGGCATAGCCTTCTGTACGAGGGTCCTCTGGCGTGGAAACGGATAGGAGTGCGAGACACAGACTTCAAGGTCATGATTGACCGCTTGGAACGGCTGAGGAATATTCGCCACGAGTGTCTGCATCACGGGCCGGGCGTGAAGACGATACTCGATTTCGAGTCTTCGCGCGACCTATACAACATGCTTTTTACAAAACTCCTCCACCCGCCACCACAAAAGCTCGTGAATACGTACTACGAAAACCCTCATAGTCTCAAGGCACAAATCAAAGTGTTGACCCATGTGCTAGCCGTACAGGGTGCATGGTGGGACTTTAGTCTCGTTGAATGGCGTTTTCGCGTTGGTCAAATTCTCTGGGAGGCACCACCGCATCCCGACGGCGATTTTTTCGATCTGGACTCCTGTCCGGACCCTGCGAAAAGACCTTGGATTAAGCCCCGCTTGGAGAGAAAGTGGCTTCTTCTCCAAATGCTTCTTGCTGCAGAACTGCTGCTGCGTCTGGATGCAGCGGCGCACGTTCGTGGCCCAGACCATTTCATCCTCATAGAAAGTGAACTGCGTGTTTTCAATAAGTTACGCAGCGGCAAAGTAAACTGGGACCTTGTCGTTGTGCGACGCTTTTTGGACAGCTTCAATATCGGCTGTGCGCCGGCGGAGGTGAATCCGGAGCCACCAGCCGAGAAATCCGAGAATGCCCTGGAGCGGCATTTATCTCTGGGGAAGGGACATCGTTTCTTTGGATTGGGCCGCAGGATGTCGACTTCGGGCGTTACCAGCACCTGGTTTGCGTGGGAATGTAAGCTGGCCTCATCTCATACGGGTAGGCAGCTGGAAGGGCTGTTGACCTTTGCAGAGAATATCGGCTGGCCACGGTTTGAAGCATTCAAAACACGGATGCAATCCGTAGTGATGAATGGAGTTTCAGCACCGGTGGTGGATGATATCTTTGCCAGGTCTGTGCTCAATATACTTCCAGGATCCAACATCCCCAAACCTGTAAGAGACGAGATGTACCGGAAGAGCTCTTCTCGCTGGCCGGTTTACCTTCACTGTGCCCGGAGTAAGGGTGACACGACTATTGGTGGTTGGTTGTCTCGAAGCTGGCTGTCTGGCTTCGTTCTCCCGGGTGAATCGTCGAATCACCTGCTCATGGCTGCACTGCTGGAGAACGACCCGCCAGCAGTGGAGCGCCTTGGACCAGCTGCGAACCTCTATGGAGGGTTCCTACTTGATGGTAAGACCTGGTGGAGCAAAGCATGTCTAGTGGGCCGTGTCTTGGCCAGTCTGGACGGAGTGAAAGAATGTATGGGATGGATGAGCTGCAATGTTGTCCCTCGCCATGCGACGACGTCCAATCCGTTTGACGATACCTGGTTTGAGGTAATCACTGTTCCGACACCACGCCGGTCAGAAAAGCCGAGGATTGAGCAGGGAAGCAAGATCATCCGGGAGTCTACACCGCTTGGAGTCGGAGCATTGTCGGGTGAGACGTTCGTCTTGCCAATGGATGAGCCCTTGACCCCCGTGTCAGAAGATAAGGTGGATTTCGAGGATCTGATACTGTACACGGAAGCTGTTGATGAATCGCTCCCCCTTCACCACATCCGCATTGCCAAGGAGGCCATTTTATCATTCAACATCCGTTCAGCATTAGCGGCAATGCCGGCTAAAATTCTACTTCCCTTGACATACAACGTGCATTTTATTTCGGCGCACGAGTGTCGTGCCCCACTCGGACGGGTTTCAGGGCATCAAGGCTCAGAATCGGATTTCGTCGGTTTCAAAATGGCCCAATCTTCCGTGCTCGCGCTTCCCTCGGGACACACCCGCCTCCCAGGTCACCCACTCCACACATCCTACTCGTATAAATACATTCCGTTGAGCTCTCTACCTGAACTGCCGACGGAAAAGGTGCTTTTCCCCCAGAAGGATGGCGACGAGAAGCGTGACGAGATCACTGTTGTTGATGCCCGTGGGTGCAAGAACAAAGAAACCTTTGCACGGGCCTGGTGTGCATCTGTAGGAACCGACGCCATTATAGGCCGAGTCGGAAGAACATGTCTGTCCTGCTGTATTCGAGAAGCATGTGCTGTGGGTGTTGGACTTGTTATCCGCGTTGGAGAGTGAACGTCACTGCGTGACATGCACATAACTATCCTCATCGCAACCTTGATTGGCCTGAGACGATTTACGATCTATGGAGTCTTCCTATTTGGCTTTAATAATGTATCTATCTATTTTGCGTTTGTCGAGGCAAATAACAAGATAATGGTAATAATGGAGTCGGTCGTCCGTGTCTCTTACGATATTGCAGCCGGGCAATACTGGCCCTTCTTACCACGCCAGATATCGCGCCGCCGGCCAAAGAATCCATACAGGAAATGGTCTGTCTCGTCTGAGTCCGAGATCCATTGCCAGTGCTGCATTGGGTCAAGGCCCATGTGCTGGCAATACCTGCCAGGGAGCTACCGACTAGCCACCTGGACCATGAAACCTAATGCCTTCGCTCAGAACCTGTGGTATTGAGATGCATGCATTCCCTTTGGCTGCTGTAATGCCTGCAGCCATTCTGCAATCTGGAGGGACTCATCAGACCATTCTTCTTCATTGGTAAGCCAAGTCGTCTGTTCCTCTCCACCCTCTCCGTGCCTCTCGTCGTTGCCATGATGCTGGGTGTCATTCACATGGAGGGCAAGGCTAAATTGCCTGTCTAGGAACTCCTCCGCATGCTCCTGTTTTGCTTCCTCCAGTGCTTCCGGGGTGACTGGCTTCCTGGATAGGCCGCAAACAATTGGATCCATGCAATCCATCGAGTAACTACCGCGCTGGGATATCGGTAATGGTGTGGTTCAGTTGCGCAACCAGCGTAGCAGCATCAGTTTTCAAAATAAAGGGAACCCCATACAGGCATGGTCGAAACCTCTTGAAGGCCATTAGAACTCTCCGACATTCAAGCTTACCAGCATCATAATTCTGCTCCGCTCCTGTCCAAACACCACTCTCATACTGGGCCGGATGCCTTTTCTTCGAACTGGGTTCCGCCTGCATGAGGACTGCCCCAACCTGTTCCACTAGCATCTGTTGATGACTGCTCCGGGTGCTGTGTTTATGTGTGCCATACGGCTCATGTGCTCAAATGGCCTTCCCAATACGACTGCATGTCCGCCACAGCGTATCCACAATGAAGAAGGGGGCATGGTATTGGAAACTCCCAATCCGCACTGGGACCGGCTCGCAGATTCCAAAAGATGGAGTGAGACCTCCGTTGGCACTTTGCATTGTTCCTTTGGCATGCAGAGTGACTGGTAGCGCATGTTTTTCCACCAGCCGGGCCTGCATCACATTGATTTCCGCCTCCATCCAGCAATACCTGAACCCTCTGTGGATCCTCTAGTATCTGGATCCAAGCTGCCAGAGTTCCACAGACATAGAATGGGGGTTCTTCATCATCATACTCCATTTCCTCTTTCAAATTCAATGGGCATTGTCACGAGCAGCTGGACCCCTGAGAAGAGGCTCTGGTTGCGTTTAGTTTAAAGGATCAACAGTAGTAGCGGGTTATAAATAGCAGATGCGATGAACAAAGGGACAAGACAGCCTGGATTGGTCATGTCAACCCATTCGCCGCAGTTCTCAGCGCCGTTCTCAGCATCGTCATATCACTTTGTGAGCAATTCTCGTGGGAGGAACAACTGCTGGTCTCTAGAACAAGGTGAACTCAACAAGCCTTTTGTCGCAACCTGAGCCACATGGGTTGACACAGAAACGTTTCTTTCTGTATGGAGTATTCCGGATGGGTGGTCCCAGATGAGCACATCGAAAAGGCAGCAAGATACTTGACCAGGCAAACTTCCCACCGTGTATACAAGGCTGCCAGGAATGCACCATCTTCTGGGACTGGAGGAGGGATCCCTACCCCGACTATCATTTCCACACCGACCTTTCCTACCCGACGGAGATTCCCAAAATGACATGTGGTATCTTCCTCTACCGCAAGTCACGGCTGTTCTGGACATTTCCCGACCCCCCAGTCGGGCGTCCACCTCCAAACGACCCATTCTACAGGCTGACGTCGGACGCTCGCATCCAAAATGCGCATCTTACAGCCCGCGGTCCCTCGCCAGCGGACTACTATCCCGTCAAGATGCCCGACCTCACTCAGTACACGGAGACCATGTTTCTGTTGAGAATCCGAGACATTGCCGGGCAACAAACTCTTGTCCGCTGGGGCGTCGAGCTAAATCACTTGGTCGGGGCGCTGAGCGACAGGAATGCCAACATGAAGTTCGACGATCTTTCCGAGCCATGCCGCGAGTGGTTGGTGCGGAGAATAGACCGGCAGTATGACCTGCACATGGATGGCGATCAGGGCTACCGATTTGAACATGAAGTCTATGCTGTCATGAAGGAAAAGAACGAGCTTCCGCCATCGACCCCGGGATGACGCCGATGGAAGAGCGTCTGAGGAAATTGAATATCTCCTTTAGTCCGGCATGAGCGTTGACTGTTGTAATCACGGATTACAATAGCTGTGTCATGAAGAGCTTGTCATCATTTAGCATCAATTAGGCTCATGATTCCCGACTGCAGTGCAGCTAGATCTCCAGAGACAGGAACGCCCGATGCACGTAACTGGATGCATGAATGACCATGGTTGCTAATGCGTATACCGTTCGGCATGCCTCCATCGAACAACATGTCCTCTGCCCGTGCTGCGGCCCTATTCGCTGCTGCCTGTCTAGATGCTCGTCGCCAACACCGAGAAAGCTGCAAACCCTTGCTTATTTGATTCGATAACAATTGTCACCAGCCAGCGGCATCCTTGGATTGACTGTGCTGGACAGCGACTCGTCCACATCATGCCATCGGATCCGTGGATGCTGCTGAACGTAGCATGTGAAAATAGGCAGAGCCATTCCACCAAAAGGGCCATTCTCCCACCGAGGAGTAGGCTACTTCGTTTGTATTCTGCCTTGTTGGTATTTATTTCATCTGGCCGGATGCCCAAAATGTTTGGAATCCCCGTGCAACATCGCTCGTCTTGTTGCAATCATGCCTTCATTCGAATCGATCCGGCCCTTTAAGAAATCCAGGGCGAGCAGCGTCCTGGTCAGCGCTGACAACGACAGTGATAGGAACTCGCTCAGTTCATGTCCTCCTTATGCCGAAGGAAGCGGGAAAGTGGGCATCCTGAAGAAAACGTGGAAACGCTGTAAACGGCCAGCGCAAGTGCTTCTTTTTCTTTTGCTTCAAGAGATTCCCTGGAGCCAACTACGCCGACGGACACTGCTGGCAGCCGGCATAAGCTGACCTCGAGCACAGAAGCGCTCTGATCGCCAAACATGTCGCTCAGCCAATTCTCGCCAAAGCTTCTCTCCTTCTCCTCTCTTCGTCCCTGTACAATCCCACGCCGAGCACGATCGATTTCTCAATGCGCATGACCCTGACGCTCCCTGTCGCCTTTCAAGTTCTGATAGAGTCAATGCTCGTCCGCCTGTATCGCGATGGACATTCTCCCGAGGATCCGTTTCTCGAGTTGACGCTGCCTGCGTGCGAAATCAGACGTTCCACGGATATCGAAATCGACGGGAAGACGACTAGGATACTCAACATAGCACAGTTTGGCGACTTCATAGGCGATTTTATGTTCAATGAATCGGTCATGCTGCGTGTCTGTGGTTCGGCGAAAGCGCACTTCAGTGGGATACGATCTCGCCTGCAGATGGACGACCATGTTATAGTGACAGGCAAGGCTCCTCTTCCTCTTCCGCGTGATAATGACGGGATATGCTGACGGATCATGTCTATTTCAGGGTTGAACACTTTCCCCGGCTATGTGATCAAGTCCTGTCAGCTCCTCATCCCTAAAGCTCCGGATGGGGCCCTGTTGGAGGCCGTTCTGGATCTTCCGAATCCTTCTCTGGCCACGATCGAGATGGTATGTGCCCAGCCAACCTTAGCATCGTAGAATATGGCCCGAAAGCTGACAACAACTGACAGGGGGATCTCACGTTGGATCTGTACATTGGACCCGTTGTTGTCGGCGAAGTCTTCATTCCCAACGTCACGTTCGCCCCCGGTCCGAACATCGTCACGTCGCGTGTCCACCTCGACACGAAGACGGCCATGTCGAATCTTCGAACGATAATCCAGTCGCAGAAAGAACTGCTACGCCACGGAAAGCTCGGGGTGAAAGTGTCGGGGAAGTCGACGCGTCGCAACGGCGAGAACCTGGTCTACTTTGAAAAGGCCCTCTCCAAGCTGCAGCTATACTCGCAGGTGCCGCTTTCCAGAGTCCTTGGCAACACGGTCGGGGGGATTGCAACGTCCATCGCGCCGGGGAACCTTCTGACGCTGTTGCGGATGACGGGGATCATGGCGATTCTGCAGGGGAATGGGCTGGATCTGGCGCAGTTGACACAGCTGGACCAGCCTCCACCAGGTTGAGGTCTTTTACTTAGGACAGGGCCTGGGGAAATAGCCGAGAAGACTCTCGACTTGCTAGCACGATTTGCGGTGAGCTTCACGGTTGAAGGCATTCATAAATACTCTTCAGTCTGTAGGGCTACGGGTGTCATCTGATTATCGCATTCATTAATACAAGCATATAGTCAATAAGATTGGAGTTGTGAACGAGCAGATTTTACGACAATACATATCGTTAGAAGCTGCCTAGGCGTGAACTCGCTGAGCCAGGAGATTCTCGACCGAGTGATGTGATCACCGGATTCGAGGCTGAACGGCGAGCGTTTGAGGATAACCATCGTACTCTGCCGAGCGACGTTCAACCGCCGGAGTTGGCGTCTGTCGTGTTCGCTGAGAATCCCCAATTCAAGGCGCTCGGTCCACGGATTGTCTCGCCTCCTGGGTGTGGTGGACAGAGCTATTATTTCCCAACAGACCGAATCAATGGATGATCGGGAAGTCAGCAAGGGGAATATGCTGCCTATCTAGCCAGCGTTCCTTTTGTAACCCCGATCGCTTGGGCTTGGGGACATTCAGCTCCAGATCCAGCGGTTCCAAAGAAAGGGGCTACCGTCTTTGGCCACTCTCAGGACAACTGAGCATTCAATTCCGAGTACGGCGATAGTCCGGATTGCTTCAAAGAAGCCTTTCTAGACGGCGAGGAACCCGCTCACATGTGGAGGGTAGAACCTGATGCAAAGACGTGTGGTCCGTTCATGAAGACGACAGCCGCTGGAACACCCCGAATGCCGAGACCGCGAAACATGCTATTTTCAATCAGGACGGGCGGCTAATGCTGCAGCGTCTTGCACCCAGAAAAGCCAGAGTGGTTTCAGGGACCGAAGCATTCCAAATCGACCCGGCGCTATGTGACGTTCATGCCTCGGGCAAGATGGGATGTTCCGGGCGACAGAGATATTCTGTGTAAAACGGTAGCCGTGGCGAGAGAAGGATATCCCGGCATTAGATAATGCATCCCGGCTAATTATTATTATTATTTCCGACGACATTGTGGCTGGCGCATTGAGTTTGGTCTGCTATCATGCATGACGAAGCGTCTCCACCGGTGGAGTGACACTGAAGAAACCAAGGCTGCTGCAACCCGCGAGCCAGCCTGTGGAATTCTCTCTGTACTTGGCTCATGGGATAACTCCAAGGTACTCCGTACTTCATCTGCGTATTCGAATTGATCCATGGCAGGGATTTGGGGTCAATTGTTGATATACTCCGTACAGACGGCAAAAAGCTTCACGCCCAGACCCTAGAGCCGGAAGACGCGTTGATATGCTTGGCGCTTGGCAATGCATTCTCACTCGATGTTCCCTGGTTGCGATGCCACTGATGCCGTGCATCTATCCGTAGTTATTTATATGACACGCCCCCTCCTCCTGGCGTTCCCGTCCGTAGAAATGTATATGAAGAACCTTCCCTTCGGCTTGGCACCATGGTGGGCGGCTTTCTGGCTTGGTTGCTCGCCCTCTTCAGCCCGCTGGGCACGCTCTCCCCTCCTCCTATCCCCGTTCAAGAGCAGCTGAGTCCGGGCCATCCGCACGCTGTCCCTCCCGGGCGCTGGGATGAGATCATCACCGGCGTGTACGGAGTGCCGGCGCTGCTGAAGATTCACGACCGAGACGGCATCGTGAAATGGACCTGGGGTCGAAGCGATGTTACCCAGCCTCTCCCCCCTCAGATCAAACGGTGTCTTTATAGCAACGCGAACGATGCGACCGAACTCAAATGGATCCGAAACGGGACCAGTGTGGCCGCCATCTACAGCAATCTCGTCCTGATCATAAACCACACGCCGGACAACCCGGCGACGGATAAACAGATCACGTTTGCCGTATGTCGAGAGAATGAGTTTCTCTGGAACGCACATACCCTGGAACTGCTACCGGGGAACAGGGTCGCAGTGGCCACCACGGGTCAACGACCATGGGACGGTATCCTCGTTTATGACGCGACGATAGGGAATCCCCTCGTTGACGATCCCCCTATCCTGCAGAACATCACCGGCCTCCGTGCCATCCACGGCATGATCTGGGATGAAACAGAACAGATGCTCTGGGCCGTAGGGACGGATGCAGCGGCCGATGGATCGGATAACATCCCTGCCTACGGAACGCTGCAGGGCTATCCCTTCGACGCCACGACGGGCACGCTTCGCAAGGACGATTCCATTCGCTACCGCTACGCGCAGCCGTACGATCAGGACACCGAGTGGGGACAGGGATACAGCTGGTGGGTAGGACCGCATGATCTCGTCCCCGTTCCTCACGAGCGGAAGTTCCTCATCTCGGACGATCGCGACCTGCGGTCTTTCGATCTTACCACGCGCCAGTTCACCGAGGAAGGCGAGGCGCTGACACAGACGTATCTTCGCGGGTTTGAGGTGACGTCCAATGACCGGCATGGCTACAACCGCGAGGGGCAGTATGAGGAGTTGCCCCGGGGGGATCTGAAGAGTTTCAGTCTCGCTCCAGACGGAAGCTTCCTATACGTGCAGTCTCTCTGGAGGGAATTTCGGGGGAATCATACCAATATGGTGGTGAACGGGGTGAAGCAGGATATCAACGAGGGCGACGCGATATATCGATCACGGTGGTTTGGGGATATTCCTGGCTGGCCCAAACCGGTGACATAAACGAGTTTGATATCCAGCAATTGCTTTTCTTCTCCCAGCACGCTGGATGGATGCTATCTGTCTGTCATCAGCATGGCCGTGGAGAGAGCCGGACTGAACTGCAACCTGTCTCATGCTGGCCATGACAGACGTAGCGATGCCCGAATCACTTTTCACCCCTCCCCCCGATAGAAGCATGTTATGACCATATGATAGCTGTATGAAATATATAATTAAGCCATAGTGAATCAGCATCGACATCATCATTGCAGGAGATCATCGTCTCGCTCTTTTCTAGCCTGCCGGGCTATTGTTGTCCCGATGGCGGCGTTGGACGAAATGAAGCACTGGAAGTAATCTTTGTTTTCCATCCTCCATTCTCCCACATCATCGTGGAATCGGACTCGTTCATCTGCGATGAGCTCGTGGAAGCTCTTGTGGAGTCTTCACGGCTGTCCGCATCATCTGAGCCTCCAAGTATGCCCGAATCGACGAGCCCATGATCTAACCGCATGCGTTCTGACCATTTTCTTTCCAGGACCCTGTGCTCTTTGCCGCAGTCGTAAGATCAGAGGCAATTACCAGTGACTATGTGCAAACTGTGTCCTGTTGGGGCCTGACTTGTTGGCCCTCCGGGACGAGGCAGAGCCCCATGAGGGAGTCGCCAAGCGACAAATGCTCGGTTGGTCGACCGGCTTTCAAGGCTGGAACCTATCCTACAACGCCTACCGCGTGGCAGCTCTGGCCGACCATTATTAACGGGTGCAGAGGGAGATGGTGGACCAGTCTCCGAGCAGAGAGCGAGCGCCTCCCTTTGATCCGGAGCTGGGTCGTCTGATGATTGATATCTGAATATCCTCAGCATACCTCGTGAACAAGCACTGGGAAAATACCGCTTTGTCGTGGAGCAAGCATTGGCACGTGCAGACCTGCTCAATGTGCAGAGTATTGTTCTCCTCCAGGCTGCAGTCTCATCCCTCTGGGCTCTACGCACTGAGGACAATAGCCGGACAGCATGGTCACTCACTGCACTTATTTTTCATATTGCCCGAGCGACGGGCCTCCACCGTGATGAATCAGTGTCTAAGCCGAATCTATTTGAGACTGAGCTCCGACGACGACTTTGGTATCATATATGTTGCCTGGATAACAGGTCAGCAGAGCACAATGGCTGTGATCCTATTGTACCCGGTGAATTTGCCTTCAATACGCGGTTGCCTTTGCATATAAATGATAATGACGTGACTCTGGATATGACCGTGGCTCCTCCCTCTCGGAATGTGTGACATGACCTTCTGTCTGATGCGGCGTGAGGCAATGGTTGCTGACTTCAAAGCCAACTATCTCCCCGGTTCCATGCCTGGAACCTAGTCCATACGGTATACAATTGATAGCTCAACCTTTAGTGGAATTGGCATGGGCATGGATTACACCACGCAAAGTATGCCTGGTACGGAATCATGGGACCTGTTGCTAGAACCCTTGTCCGATCCTCTTTACCCATGGAATCTATCCGTGAGCGCCCCTATGTTTCCTGCTACAGACACGCCTAGCGAATTGATATCGCAGGCTCCGCAGCCCAAAGGATAATATGTAGGCAGACTCATGCTTCTTGAGATATGGACATGGAGTATTTCCGTATCTTGATTTCGGCTACTTCACAGGCCAGAATGTTACTATCCTACCAAAGCCCCAAGCGGAAGGCGATGTTTCCCATTCCACTCATATTTGAGGTTCTACCTGGAACCCATGTGGATGGCCCAATAATGCTTTAGCTATCATCGAAGCGGGGCCTCTTCTCCTGGTCAGGGAATGTGCGTCGAGGATGCCTAGCCATACTCAGGACGAGAAGACGCGAACGAAGCAGAAACACTAAATAACAGAATCATAGCGGCGCAGGGTGGTCAAAATGAACCAAGCAGCAGGTATAAACATACAACAGCTGGCTGCTAACCGTGCAGCTTCATCAATCGGGTGATGGATGTAAAATCCCGGAGGCTACCATTCCAGGTTCTCGTTCTATCTCTAAAGATCGGGCTCACAGATGGATTCGGCCTCTTGACTATCGGCTTTTGATAGAAACAAGTTAGCTGCCCGGAAATATTGGTAACTGTGGAAGTCACTATGGACATAGCGAATTCTACTGAAACAACGGGTTGGGTTCTTGAAATGGAGTCACTTAATTGTGATGGTTACGTCTGTACTTCCAAGGATCACGTCTTGAATGAAATAGATCCTTCAAAAATATTTCTTCGGGTATTCCGTAACAAGACCTAGTTCTAATAGAGGTTCTCAAGACCACAGCAAAGGCGCTCATTTGCCAACGCAGAATCTGTTTCAAAAGAAACATCAGTAACACTGCAAGTATCATTGATACCCATAATGACTCACTTCTCGAAAACAACACCCAAGATATCCTCCACATCACCACTCTCGCCCTTGCCAGTGATCTTAGCCAGGGTGTCCGCTGCAAAACGCAAATGCTCTGCAGCAGTTACAATATCCACTTCTGTTTCAATGCCCTGATAGCCATCGTCGGAAGTGTGAGAACCGTGGATCTTAGCGGTCTGCGTTAAGAAATCCTCCAGATGCTGAAGACATCTTTGAAGATTGGAACTCTGCCGGTGAGTGACTCCAAGAGAATCCTCCCAATAGCTAAGGTCGTATTGGCTGCCTTCATCGCCTTCGATGCCCAGAGGCGAAGCTATCTGTTCAAAAGTTGAAATGAGCCCTCTGAGGAATCCCTGGATGTTGCCGGGGTCTACGACTTCATTCTGTCCCGGGGACAATCCTTCTTGCGCTTCATGGCAGGAGATGGCGAAGAAACGATCTTCTGGAACAGTTTCAAATAACGGGCGGATGGCCTCCGTTATCTCACTTGGGGGTTGCCCGGATGGAAGTCGGTCTGCTAGGGGCAACCTGTCACACTTATTAACCACTATAAGAAGGCATTTTCCCGCCTGAGTACAGTCATTGGCAGCATCGAGAACTTCTTTCTCAACGGACAGTCTGTACGGTACATTTTCTGCGTCCCTTTCAATAGAAAGGACCACAAGGACCACGTCTGATTCCAGGGCTCTTGCCTTGGCGCGTCGGATGCCCTCCTTTTCGATAGGGCTAATAACGACCGATTCGCCAGTGACGGAGCCACCAGGTTCTGATCTGACACCAGCCATATCGCCAAGCTTGCAATACCATCCACCAAGATCGATACCGACATCCACAATATCACGGGTAGTACCTTCTTCCGTGCTAACAATGGCCGCTTCCTTGCCAACAATCAAATTGAGCAGAGAGCTTTTACCCGCATTTGGAGCGCCCAGTAAAGCGACCTTAATTCCATTTCGCAACAGCTCGCCCTTGGACGCATTCTGGATATGCAACTTGATTTGCCGGTGCAGAGCATGGACCTGTTCTGCAACCGACGTAACGAGCTCATCACTAGACTCATCAAAATGCTGGTCTTCTGAAAAGTCAATCATTGCCTCCAGCTCCCCGCGCGCATAAAGCAACAGCTGGCGCCAGAACTCATAGCGCTTTGAAAGAGCATCGCTAGCTCCCCGAACAGCTAAGCGTCGCTGTTGTTCTGTATCAGCAGAGAGAGTATCCCCCAGCGCCTCAATCTGCGGTAGGTCTAGCCTATCGTTCATGAAAGCGCGACGCGTAAATTCGCCAGGCTCCGCATACCGAACCAGGGAGTCTGGTCGGTTAATGGAAGAGATAGCCGTGAGAACCGCTCTAACAATGGCCGGACCACCATGGAGGTGTAGCTCGAGCACATCCTCTCCTGTAACCGTTTTGGGTGCAGGAAAGTACAAGACAAGGGCGCCGGAATCGATCACACTGTTACCGGACGGGTGCTGTGTTGGGTTGTACAGAGTACGGAGAGCCGCAACGCGCGGTTTCGGAAGAGGTGCTTTGGGACAAAGGCTGCGGTATATCTGGTCCATAGGAATAGAGGATGAATTCGTTGCTATCGCCTAGAAAGGGATAAATTGGAGGGATTTGACTCACCTGCACACAGGCAGGGCCGGATACCCGCACTACAGCAATTGCAGCTCGCCCTGGAGCAGTGGAAAGAGCATAAATGGTGGACTCTGCATCCAGCGCAGAGTTCACTTTTCTAGAAGAAGTAAAACATCGTTTCCCATGTCGTATTGAGCTATCAGACATAGGGGGAAATCGAAATTGCCGTGACAGTTTGTAGGTCCTATGTGGACGGTTCAAAAAGCGAAATCGGATCCATGGAGCATGAAAAGGGAGAGCCCAATACAAGGCTTTGAAGAAGGGTCCTTTCATGTGCTAGTCGGATTGCGATGGGATAGATCAACAAGCCAGAAAGTCGACATTCTTCTTGTTGAGAATAACAGCGAAGCTTGGTGTTGCGGCCGTCTGACACGTGATCTCCCCGTTGCCGAGGCTTTCCTGATCAGGAAGAACACCAGAAACTATTACATACAGGCGAGGGCGGTCTAACTTGGCATACAGCACGTGACCTCCAACACTATCTACAGTGATGTGGATCAGGGGTGCGACGTCTGGATACCAGATACTAAGAGGATACCGTAGGATTCGTAGAGATTGTGGTGGAAGCTCTACACCAATATACTGCCGTCTCTAGTACATCGTGAAGCTCTAATTGATGCGCTTAATCGCTTAGATACTTGCTCTTATATACAGGATCCGGGATACTCGGGTATGGTCATCTTTCCTCCCGGAACATATATACTCCTTATTCCGGGACCGGATTATTAGATAATCCACCTGTCCGAAATAGTAACTATATCCTTATCACAGACGTTAAATAATACAATCAATCAATCAATCAATCTGGGTTAAAATGCGCCAGTCGTAGGGCCTCTAAGAAAGCTTTCTTGAATTTCTGAAACGCTTGCCTGGCGTTCTCTGTTAGGGTACATGGCGCGGTCTCATGCGTACCATTACCTGTCCCTATCTCGACGGTCTCCTCATGCCGGGGTGCGGGCTTCGCAGTGCGAACTTCGCGACCTCTTCTTGGACATGGTGCTACCACAGGTATCTCAGTTAACGATGCAGAGATACGTGAGTATTCTTCAATAAATCGGCGGTAGAAATTGGTGAAACCTAGGAAGACCTGGATGTCTCGTACACAGGTAGGCTCAGGTCAGTCCTTGATGCTCTGTACCCGGCTCTCTTCCATAAATACCCCTTTAGGGTTCACCATGAAGCCGAGAAAGTTCACGGTATCCACGTGGAAACGGCATTTGCTTCATTTTAGCGTAAAACCGATATTTCCGGAGTCGTTCAAATACTTGGCGAACATGCCGCTCATGGTCTGCTAAGTTTGCGGAGTAGATGAGGATATCATCTAAATAAGCTACCGCGCACACATCGAGTAGGTCGCTGAGCGCATAGTTGATATAAGCTTAGAATGTGGCGGGTATATTGGCTAGCCAAAGGGCATTACCAGGTATTCGTAGTGGCCATAGCGAGTGCGGAAGGCAGTTTTCCATTCATCTCCTTCCTTTATGCGGATCCTGTGGTAAGCGTCCCGGAGGTCTAGCTGAGTAAACACCTTGGCCGTAGAGAGCCGGTCCAGGGTCTTTGAAATGAGTGGCAGTGGATGCCGGTTCTTGATGGTCAGCGAGTTTAGCCCCCGGTAATCCACACACAGTCGTAGGCTTCCATCCTTTTTCGGTACGAATAGGATAGGTGCTCCGGTCGGGCTCTTTGATGGGCTGATCCAACCCTTCTCTAGTGCACCTTCAATATATTCTCGTAGCATGGCTAGCTCTCGTTCGATGGCCTGGTCATGCGCTGCATGAGGAGGTAGTACTCCAGCTTGTTTCTCATCAAATATACACTGGAATTCATCGAGTAGTGCCCGTAGGGGGTTGGCATCTTCACCACCGGCAACCGCTATTTTAGCGGACCCTGCTGTAACGATCAGCTATAATAGGATGAGAAGAGGAAAGCAACTCGCTATTTGGCCGTACTGTTTAGGAATATCGTACATGAGAAGAAGAAGAAAAGGAAAAAAGGTGGAAGACGTGGTGGGGAGGAAATAGGAGGCGAGGGCAGCTGCCTGCCCTCAGCCCTAGCCCTGTGCCCTACTTGCTCACTCTGCTGGCACCTTCTAAGACGTGCCAGTGCCAGGGTCACATGCTGACGACCTACCCGGGAATTACGTTAACTAACATGCCAACGCGCTAGGTGGGTCCAATATAAGCATCTGCGCTAATAGCCCCGCACGGAAAGGTTAAATAACCTTATTAACTTCATTTCTATTCCATCTACACAACTACACACCGAACAGAGACCTCTAATCGAACAACCTAGAAGTGACGATGCCCATGACCATGCCCATGACGATGAACGTCCGCCCATTTTACCGCAGGAGAAGCACGCATCGCCACCTAAAGCCAAAATAAATCAACCATTCATGGCGAGAATGAAAAAAAAAAAGTTCGTTCAAAAACCCACCTCAACAGACGACGCAGACGAAGGGACAACCACCACAGATGACGATCCCAAGGGAGCTCTCGATACAGAAGATGCAGAGGAAGATGCGTCACAAACCCCAGAGACGAAAAGTGGATTCGGCGCCCTCGACACCGGCACGTCTCGATATAACTGGCACTCCTCGCCGGAGGTGGAATACAACCAGGCGCGACAGGAAGCGATGTCTGCGCATTTGGTGGCACAGGACTCGGCGGTGGGAACTTCAAAGGAGAAGGTTAGGGGGGCATGGCTGAAGAAGGCAATTGTGTTGTCTTTGACGGATTGTGTGCAGATTTTTGGCTGTTGCGCGGTTGCTGGTGTTGCTTGAAGGGTTAGGAGGATGGTCAGGAGGAGGGTAAGTAGGGGGGGAATCATATTGTTCACGGGAGAATATTTTTGCAATGGAGCTGTTGCGGAGAAAAGAAGATGGCATGCCCTACTTATGGTAGTGGATGGAAGTCTACTATATCAAGCTTCGGGGGTCGTCTGATGCCAAGACCTTGTCTCGGTTTTGATACTACACTGCGCTGCACGCGCAATCTAAAAGATGGGCCAAAAGAACTGTTGGAAAGCGTACATTGGTGCAGGAATGGCTCTATTAGGAAAACAGCCCAAGTGGGTCTGAAGTAGCATTCTTGATGTAACCTTGCAATTAGAATGTTCCACGGCGGCCATCACGGAGACTCGTATACTCGCGCATATTCGCTGACCACGGTAGGAGAGTAAGGAATCATTAGCTGGTGGTGGCCAACGGCATCCTCGCAGACTTGCCGTACGTGCTCCTGCTCACGGCAGAATTCCTCGCGAAGTCGCAGTGCCTCCGTCGTGGATACAGGCGAACAGTCCGTCTGCTCCATCACCAGAGACACCAATTCCGGAGGCAGACGGATGTCAAGGTCTGCCGCACTCCGCGCTACCTCGGCCCACCAGTCGTGCTGCTGAGGGGGCACATTTCTTGTGGAGCAGATGCGGTAATGCGGGTCTACCAGGTAGAGTTTAATGACGGTCAGATGCCCAGGACGACTGGAGTCCTGGAGGGAAAACGACTCCTCCTTTGAGCGTAGAGTATTTGGCCAGCTAAGCAGATGGCCTTCTGACGCCGGGACAGAGCCAAATGTGTGCAGGGCTTTAGGCTCCGGGTCCTCAAAAGGGTTCCAGTCAGGGTCATCAAAAGTATTCCAGTCGAAATTCTCCCAGTAGGGGTCCCAATCAGGATTCCATTCAGCATCCAGAATCCATTGTATCACATCTGACTCTTCACACTTGTACTCAATCGGATGTGTCTTATCCTCATGTTGGAATGACACTCGGGGTTGCGTGATATTCTCCGCTTCAACCACGTACATGGTCGTGGCGACAATGTGCTCATTGCGTAGCCCCTCTGTGTGGAAATGAGCTTCTCCCTCGTACGTTGGCTTCTCCGGCGTGAGGTCGATGCGTGAGATCTGAACCACGACCTGCAGACCGTCCTTTTTAAACTCCTCTTCCAGCGTCACTGAAGCATCACCGTGGTGCAGCGGATCAGGGTATCTTCCAGCCGCCTGTGGGATAATAGCGCGGCCGGTATACCAGCCTTCCTTCCACTGCTCGTAGGAAAACGAGACGCCTGGCTCTGGGTGATCAAACCAGGCTAGTCGATCACATTTTGTTCGTACTGCGTCGGCAAGCTCGTCTTGAATGGCCCATTTCTCCGGGGTTAGATACTTGAGTAGGTCTGCCGGTCGACGCCCCCGAGGTACTGCTTGTTTCCAGCGGGGAGGCTCTGGGCGAGCGAGATAGTCGCGGATGAGATCACGCATCTCCTGCAATTCCTCATCGGACAGCGGGCTCCAGAATGCCAGTAGCCTTTTGGTCCAGTCTGGGCAAATTTGGTACTCAATGTGACAGCCATAGGTCAGGATGCGTGGTGGATGGCGGCCTCTAATCCCGTAGGATAACACCTCGTTCCATGTGGGCACCGAGAGGGAGATGAGCCGTTCCAGCTGCGCATACATAGCCTGATGGTGGTGTGGATGGAGATTATTGACATAGGAGGTGATCCGGACATTGGGTGCATCTGGTGTGCTTGACGCGTCAAACTCAACCTCGCAGGGCAGCCATTGAAATCGATTTGACCAACAGCTCTCCTCGGCCCCCATGGAGCGCCAAATAATGCGTTGACCAGTCCGCCCGTCGACCTCGGCTGGGAAGCGCATCTGGTCGAGCGGGTGGACATGAGTGGGTGCAGTTTCAACCGGTTGTTGTCTCCTTATGCTCCATGGATCCTCCAGACGCACCGTTCCACCGTTGGCAAGCACCCGTGTGCGGCCATAGATAAGAGGAAACAACGACGGATCCACTATATGGCACCAGACAGCAGCAGTGCCACAGACAGGGGCACCTGTCTGCTGCCATAGCCGCGCCACCTCCCGCTGGATGTCAGGCTGCACTGGCCGCACGTCTGACTGGCAGACGGTGGTGGAGGTATTGAAGACCACCATGCGCCCGGTTTGCTCCCAAGACTGGGCTTTGTCGCGCAATTCGGCGACGCACCAGTCCCAGGCAGCCGCGCTGAGGAGGAACCCCTCCTCTGCTTGTGCCTCGCGATGCCACTGTGCAAGACGGGCTTCATTGTGCTCGAGCAATGCTTGATGCCACCCAGGCTGCTCGGTGATGCGCTGCATAACCCGCAGCATGGCCATCTCACGCGCCGTCAAGCGAGGCGTGTGCCGGAATTCCACGAGCCCGTGGGCGAAGCGAGCCTCGCGGGGCAGGTCGTAGTCCAGGGCGATGGAACCAAAGCCCGGAACCTGGAGGGGTCCATTGCCGCTGTTGTCGAACGACGCCATCTTGTTGGGGAGAGGTGAAGTGCAGCTTCACAGAACGGCTTATATTCAGGGGGGCTCATATCTCGTCGATAGCCCTTGGATGGAAGGGGGAGGTGGACCAGATGCGAGATGACATTCCTGCAAATCCAAGCATCGGAGAATGGATACTAAGAAACCCTGATAACTTGAGGTTACATGGCGTCTGTTAACGGGGGTCAAACTCGCTGAGTTGGTTGACCTAGCGAAGGAGGCCTGGAGTCGGGCAAACTATCATTTATGCTGACTAATACGGGCTAAGCCTAACTAGGAAGAAGCTGAACCATGGAGACCACCAACACTTTGTTGCTACTCCTGAGCTCCAGCGCAACCAACTACTCAATACGCTCTTTAAGCCACTAATGGCGTCTTTCAAGCGCAGTGATAACTTTAAAAAGACACTACAACGCCATACACGAAGCCAGACTGCCCAATGAATCGGACTGCGTCCGGATGCTTCCCAGAAGCCGCCAATGGTTCAGAAATTCCCGGTCCTGCCCGCCTGGGTTGGAACACCAGCGTTTCATTTCGCGCAGAAGGGCAGCTAAGTTCTCGTTCGTATACTGCGCTGTCGCCTCTGCCGTGGCGGCCCAGTCGATGTCCTCGAATGCAACGATGTTCTCCAAGAAAACGGTCCTCTTGCGGACCACGGCCTGAGGAAATATTCTGCGAAACTCCCTGATTTTGTGCTGAAGTATGTCCTTTTCGCGCTCCGCGTGGACCGATAGCAAGGCCAATTTGGCCTGGGCGAGGATGTTCCCAGACAGCACTGTCGGGCGATTATGGCGCGCGTAGTTGAGGATGTTGGTCACTCTCCGCAGCAGCACGCTGTGTCTGTCTTCATTGCCCCTGACAAGACGGCCAAGCGCGTAATTGGTATAGTGCCAGTTGAGCATGTCCTCAGCGAGCGCGTCCAGATCGCCAGGGCTGGTTGTGTCGCCCAGCGTGCTGGGTCGCATCCGCGCGGCGTCATAGTCACTCATGATGCTTTTGACAAACTCGGCGACGGTGCAAACGCTTCTGTGGCTTTCTGGATCGGGAGTGCACCTGGGGCCAATGCTACGTTTGTCCCCGTTGATGGCCAGGTCGACCAGGTAGCCGTAGTAGAAGTAGATGGCTTCATAGTTGTGTATGAGCGCGGATGCTGCCTCCGTGATGGGAGAGAACGCAAACAACAGCCAGAGGAAGATGGCAACAAGACGCATTCTGTGGGCTGGAAAAGATGAAAACGAGTGTGCTTGAGGACAGAAAACTATGCAAAACGAAGGTATGTGTGAAAGAGCAAAGGAAAGGGTTGCTGCACTTCTCTATGGCACCAGCCTCTCTCTATATAAGACTACATTTCAACGGCTGATGTAACGCTAGTGGAGTGCATCTCAATAGCTCAAACGCTGCGGCCGCCGACGAAGCAGGCTAGAGAAGGCCAGGCATGCATTAGGGCTGGCAGAGGCAATTGGGGAGAATGCAGAAGGGCCCATTTAAGGCCCCTTTCTCCCGCATATTGAGCCAGCTCCATTTCACTCCCGTTTTTCGTTCCTTCAAAAGTGCTGTGGCGCTTGTTCCACTCCCTTTCTGTTTCTTTGGTTCCATCCAACCCGTTCTGTCGCTCTCTATTATGGCTATGTGGCTGTCAAGGTGCATCGTGCTCGCACTGTGCACCCTGCTTTGCGAGGTTCATGCCCGGGCAGTGTTTGCGCACTTCATGGTCAGTCGTCGGCCCATCCAGAGTGGAACATTACACCGGTTCAAAGAAACCTGGCTGACTCTTCCAGGTCTCCAACACGGCCGGCTACCAAGTGTCGGACTGGGAGGACCATATGACGGAGGCCATCAATGCCCACATCGATGCGTTCGCCCTCAACATAGCCAACGACGAGAGCACCACCGACACCTCGCTAGGCAACGCCTTCCTGGCCGCCGAGAACGTCGGCTTTTCCCTGTTCTTCTCCTTCGACTACGCCGGCAACGGTGCCTGGGACAAGGCCAAAGTGATTGCCCTGATTAACGCCTATGCTGGATCCTCCAAGGCCTACTGGCACCATGGCTCTCAGCCCCTGGTCTCCACCTTTGAAGGTTCTGGCAGTGCTGAAGACTGGGTGGACATCAAGAAGCAGACCAACTGCTTCTTTATCCCAGACTGGTCTTCTCTCGGCGCCAAACCGGCTGCGGCCGAGGCCGGCGGAGTTGCCGATGGTCTGTTCAGCTGGGCAGCCTGGCCGTACGGGCCTAACGACATGGACACCTACATCGATGCCTCGTACCAGCAGTATCTCGCGGGCAAGCCGTACATGATGCCTGTGTCGCCGTGGTTCTTCACCAACATGCCCGGCTACAACAAGAACTGGCTGTGGCGCGGTGACGATCTGTGGTACGACCGCTGGCAGCAGGCCATGTACCTGGCTCCCGAGTTCATTGAGATTATCTCGTGGAATGACTACGGCGAGTCCCACTACATTGGGCCGATCTACGATATCCACAATGACCTGGCCGCGGCCAGCTACGCGGCATTTGACAAGGACAAGGGCGATGCGCCCTACAACTACGTCGCTGGCTATGACCACAGCGGCTGGCGTGCTCTGCTGCCCTTCCTGATCGATACCTACAAGTACAACGTCTCGACCATCACCGAGGAGGGCCTGACTGCGTGGTACCGTCTGAATGCGGCCGGGTCGTGCGCGTCAGACGGCGGCACGACGGGGAACACAGTGAGCCAGCTCCAGCTTGAGTACCCGCCCAAGGACATCCCCCAGGACAAGATCTTCTATTCTGCGCTGCTGGCCTCCCCAGCAGACGTTGTGGTGACGGTGGATGGCGTCAGTCTGGGTGCCGCCTGGACGCATACGCCTAGCGGTGATGCCGGCATCTATCACGGCAGCGTTTCCTTCACAGGGCACTCTGGCAGCGTTGAGATCACCGTCACGCGAGGAGGCAGCACAGTGGTATCGGTCTTGGGAGAGGATATCTTCAGCGGATGCTCCAACACCCTTGGGATCGAGAACTGGAACGCGTGGGTGGGCAGCAAGATGGCTGGAAACGGAGTCTCTGCTATACCGGCCTCGCTGGCCGACCAGGTCTGCGTTGAGGGCTGGGGCAAGGGCAACTTCAATGGTCTGTGCGAGTTCACCTGCGGCCTGGGATACTGTCCGGTGGGCGCCTGCGTGTGCACCAAGATGGGCCCGCCGCCAACCAAGCCCAAAGCCACCGGCATCCAGGGATATCCCACGGCCGGCGAAAGCCCCAGCTACAGCGGCCTGTGCTCGTTCGCCTGCAACTACGGCGGCTGTATTGAGGGCGTCTGCGGCACTGCCAAGGTCCCTCTCACTATCCCCACAGTGTCCCCCTTCACTCCTGATACCTGCACGGCCGGCAGTGGCGAGGGCTCATTCGCCGGCCTCTGCAGCTACGCCTGCAACGTGGGATACTGCCCAATCCACAACTGCACCTGCACGGCGACAGGTCCGCTGAATGTCCCCAAAGCCGCAAACGCGAGCATCCATGCCGTCTCCACCGTTGGAGGCGACAGCGGCCTCTGCACCTTTGCCTGCGACCGGGGCTACTGCCCATCTCCAACGTGCGTCAGTGACAAGGACAGCCCGGCCCCAGCCTGTGCGGACGACGGCACCGATCCACGCCCAGAGTGTGCAGAGGTTGACGTGTGCGACTTCACCAAGTCGTACCCGACACTGGATGACCTGGAAGCAGCTCTCGACACAATTGAGCCGGCATGCGTCGACTTCTACACGCTGGACGGGCTCGGCACTACAATGGGCCAGACGCTCGACAACTACACGCACATCACAAGCAGCTACGACTCCAAGTTTGACGACTACGTCAAGTACGTCAAGGAGGTCATAAACATCCAGCTGGAGGACTTTATGAGCTCTGATGAGCCTTACGGGCCTGGCAACCAGTTTTTCCGGTGCACATACAGCAAATCTGGCAGGAATGAGACGCCCACCTCCTGCCCCGGTGATATTGGCATCCAATCGGGCACCTACACCGTCTACTATGATCTGATCGATCCCGACGGCTTCTATAGCAACCTGACGGCCACATACGGCATTGAGCGGGACTGGGTGGTCTTCAAGGAGAGCAAGCTGGATCTGACCTGCACGCCGCCAATGGACAAGGGTGGCTGTTTGGCGTTGCATCGCAAATACGAAGGCTTCCCTGTTAAAGCACCTGACAGCGACATCAAGGTCGCCAACCCAAAGGACATCATGACACAAGCCATGCCCCACATCCAGAACCTCACCGAAAACATGGTCGTGGCGCAGATCGAGCTGGCTCTGGGATCGTGGATGGGCCTGACAGACGACGTGGTACAGAGCTTCTCGATGGCCGTCTTCCTCCTCAGCCAGGCCGTGATCAACATGCAGAATGTAGTCGACGTGGCCGAAAAGTACGAAGAGGCAAAGAAGAAGGAGATGATCAATGACATTCTCATGGGCATACTGTTGGTATTGCCATTTCTGGGGGAGCTGGACGTGATTTCCGACTCCTTGCTCGGCATGTCTCGGATCATCACCATGATTGGAGAGGCAGGCATGGGCGCCATGACGGTCTACTCAGCTGTTGAGGACCCGACGATGGCGCCGCTGACGATTCTGGAAACGCTGCTGATGTACGGCATGAGGAATCCGGGCGATTTCGACCAGATGGGCACTGCGCGTCGGGGCATGACCGAGGACGAGATCAAGAGCATCGGCGCGTCCTTTAAGGAGCGGAACGATCAGTTCCAGACGATTGTGGCAAAGTGTGCCAAGGCTCCCTGATGAATAACAGGTATAATCAGTGTAATATATATTCTCCAGACTTAAATCCTATTGAGGAATTCTTTGCCGAGCTTAAAGCTATCCTCCCTGGTGAATTCTTTCGTGGGCCCCATTGTAAACCGCGCAATATTTTAGATTTTCGAGGGATCAATGGAGATTTAGCATATGAGACTCGTGAGTACATCACTATAATCGCATCAACGAGATTAAAGCAGGGGTTTGACATTTACACACAGGTACGGTTGTTAACCACCCGTCAAGTCGTAGACCCGCAAAGATATCCCAAACGCGTTGAGCCATCTCTGGCATCCAATTTCTCCATATCCCAAAGGACTCTCTCGATATATTCGCCTGCGCCACTCAGTTTCATGATAAGCGCAATAGCACGGTGGACATCGAGAAGCTGGGCGGGTGGCAGATCTATTGTGCGGCGAGGGCTAAGAGTCAGCGAGCGAATGATGGGGAATAAAGGGTCACCCAGAAAACACTGTGCTCCGTCGAGTCAGTCCTGTCCTGGTGTGGTATGCCAGCGCGTTGGAAAAATATCTAGAATTTGCCGAACAACCGGTGGTAGTCCAGCGGTAAAGTGAGGGCATTTAAGGGGCTGTCAATTCTTGGGCTATCAATCGAATGGCCAATGCCAGGATCCAACATGTCTAGGGTCCGAAGAACATTTTTCTTTGAGTCGCTCTAGACAGGACGTCAGTAAGGTTGCATCTTTCGCACTTGCAAAACCCGAGTTGAAATGCGTAACATTTGATTCAACGTCCGCACGTCCTTGAAGTTCTTCCATCGCCACTTGATATCCACATCACTCAGGATGCGGTCCCACGTTTCTGGAAAGGTCGTGTATTTGTCTTTGATATAACCCCAAAACTCAGACTTGGTGCTCTTCAATACACTGAGGCCAAAGACTGAAGATATGATATCAATGCCGGAATTCCTGGAAACGTCAACGCGGACATATGCTGGAAGAATGAATGCGGGTGTGGCTCATTCTCTCCCAGGTATGGCAAGTGATTTCAACATGGGCCTCGTGGATATGGCTATATTGTGTGATGAAATGCTTTCCAGATCCCCCGTGGGCCTCGAGAAGGCTGGGACAATTCGCTACATCACTAATTGAACCAGATGACGATTAAAAAGATTAGTGAGTTCCTTTGGGGTTTTTCAAACGTTTTTACCACGTGAATATCATTATAATTTATACATGCCCAAGGAATCAGAAGATTGTAGGTCCAACGCCCTCCGGTGAGCATTCTTTGCTGTAATATACGATGTAATGCAGGAGCTGCTATTACAGAAATTAACAGCTAGCACAGAACCTAATGGAACAGTTCAATCATGGTATCCGAGATCCCACCATATGAGGGCAGGGCACTGTGACGATCAGCTATAATGGGATGAGAAGAGGGAAGCAACTCGCTATTTGGCCGTACTATTTAGGAATATCGTACATGAGGAGAAGAAGAAGAAGAAAAGGAAAAAAGGTGGAAGACGTGGTGGGGAGGAAATAGGAGGCGAGGGCAGCTGCCTGCCCTCAGCCCTAGCCCTGTGCCCTACTTGCTCGATCTGCTGGCACCTTCTAAGACGTGCCAGTGCCAGGGTCACATGCTGACGGTCATACCTCAGGTACGGTCGTCAGTTACCGCCACATGGATGCTGGAGGTTCAGAAGCATTATTGGAATATTGTGCCGGGGGCACTGCCCACCCCCAGATCTCTCATATTTCCTACCTTAGAACGCCGTAGAGCCGTGGCCTCCGCCATACTTAGGTATGGTGGAGCCCGCGGCCGGAGAGTACTAAGGAGGGTTTTCTCCCAGATAGTTACGAGAAATGGAGCAATACTTTTGGTTTCTAAGTTGCTCCACTAGTATCGTTTTCGTCATCATCGTCGTATAGAACGGAGCGAGGCTCCATCGTCGTTGTGTTTCTTCTTTCGTTATATCGTTTCCTTACTAGATCGTTCAGAGTGTCTGTAACTTGGAATGCTGCCGGGCAAGGGTTCCCCGAGATCGTCAACAGCGTCACAGTTGGTGTGGGATGCCACAACCACTGACTGACCTTGCTATCATCGCGAATGATCCCACCTCAATCCACAAGACGTGGGCTGGTTCTCACGCTGCAGCCGGATACACAAGTCCAGGGCCGACAATACTAGACTACGGGGAATCCCAGAAATTGACAAAGAATTAACGATGAGAGTCAAATGTCTATGCCAGCGCTGTATATTGCTATTCCTACACTGTCGGCGGTTAGCTAGCGGAGCTCTCGTTCATATTCAGTAAATATTTAGCTCGATGATGTATAATCTCACGGAGAAGTTACATTGGTAGCAGCATGGAGAGCCTATCGTTTCATTTCCATGTAACTGGATTCACATCTACATGTCTTCATATATCACATATATACCTGAATGACTAGCCGCAGCTGGCCGGCCATCCAATGTCATGTCACGTCAGATTAACATCCTGGAAGGCAGTGATATCCCAGATCCCTGTCATGTCAAATGGGAAGCCATCCATGGTGCCGAACGTTCCCGAAATAGACATCATGTCGTCAACGATTTCGTTATTCGTCTGCGTCTCGGGTAGTGAGATTGCAGCTGGGTTGACTAGGCAGGCGTTGTCCATTGCAAATCCACTTAAATTATCATCGGAGTTGCCGCCAATCCCTTGCAGTGTATGTTGGATTCGTTCACAATGATCCAGACACATATCTGCCACGTCCCAGTCCTCTTCTTCTCTAACCCTACGGAGGACACTGCGGAGAGTTTCAACATTGGCAAGGCAAGACCGCGCTACCTTCTTATCTGTTGTTTCTAGGGCGCAGCGAACAAGTAGCGTTGCTGTTGATGTGAGATGGAAGGCGCTGTCTAATGGAACGGTCAGCCATCGTACCCGGGAGAAAAACATACTGAAGGTTGTGTAAAGTTCCCACATACACGGTAGCCAAAACTCCTGGAAGTTTTCCTTTCTCAGGGATGATATAAACTGCACAATTTCCTCCGCAGATCTCCTGCACTCTGTCTGGAAATAATGGTGAGCCTCGGGACTGTCAGTATCATTATTGACAGCCTGTAATTGACACGTGAGCACTTTTTACCCTGTCTCAAAGCGTGGAAATGAATATCTCACCTTGAGCTCCACTCTGCTAACAAGCATCTTGGCGGCCAGGAATGCAAGCTGTAAGCTGCAAGGACCCGAGATGTGAGTATCCATTTTGCCAACGGGGTCCTTTAGCCAGTCAGGTAAGGAATCTTCCCACATGTCCAGATCTGTCCTTATTTGCCTGAGTTTCTTTGTCGTTTCTCGTGGGAATTTTAGCTGCAACCCATAGACGAGAGGTAGCAACTCGCCCAGAATCTCTGTCAATTGACAGAGAGCAATGTGGCAATGAGCTGCTCTCACACGCTCCGGGGTGCGTGAAGCCTGTGGGACGAGCACATCCACTGTGGGAAGAGGGACATCATATTGATTCTTGGCAATCTGGGGCGGTACCCCATGGCCATAACTTCCCCTGATAACATGTTAGGAAGACATTGGCATGAAATAAACGGCTCCACAAGAAAGCTCACCAATGATCATGTATCACAACACCCCACCAGAGACGGATGCGGTTGTTCTTTTCCTGCTGGGAAAGTCTCCAGTTGCTGGGATCCCGGTTGAGACCGAGACAATGTGCGAGTGAAACGGTCCGACCGCAGCTGATGGCATTGCCGATCATAGAGAAGATTGGCCGTCCGGTCAGATCAACCAAAGCAGCGCTTATTGTTGATAAGCCTGGCGCAGAGAATTCCTCATGGAGGGCAGCAACGGTCAAGTTAACAGCATATCGCACATCGGGTTTCGGATGACACGCGAGTTTGGGTGTGTGCTTCCAATAGACAAGTGACATTGAGTAAACCTGACAAAGCAGAGAGGCTGGTGGTTCATGCGAGGAATCAGAAATGTAGGCATCCCAAAAGCTTTCACCATCAAAAATCGGAAATGCTACATTGAACCTATCCAAAAACCTGGAAGTGGACGAAAAATTAGAAAATAGGAGATTAGATGCATGTTGTGCAAGTTACGGAAAACCTACAATCTTACAAGGTCATGTTTGAAAGGCCCTAGGACTTGCTCAAGGATCTCCTTCTGATTTTCCCCGGGAGGGATGCCAACGCGCATACCCTGCCTTCGCCTGGATACTGTAGTGTATAGTATGGGTTTCCTGGGATCACTGGAATAGACGTTGTACGGGTGGTTTTTCGGCTGTGGTGTTGCACTAGACGGCTCTGGTGGCATGAATTTCTCGATGACCTGTGCATCCTCTGCCACGACGGGCCCAACAATAAGCACCGACTCGTTGTTGGGGTCTTCAGGTGCCCGACGCCTGGACTCGCTTCTTCGACTGCTGCCATCGGCTGACTTTGATGGGGGGAAATCGCGAATGTTGCCGGACGTGAAATCCATTGAAGAGCGACTGGTATTGGAGGGGATATCCGGCGAGAACTTGCGCTTCCGTCCTGCTATGGGAGTTCCTGCAGCCTGTTCCATGGACCAACCACTTTTCCCCGTACCATTCTCAAGGGTTGACTCCTCCTGGTAATGGCATTCTGCGCCTTGGACCCGACACAATAGGCACGACTGGCCTGGAATATCCACAGTACATCGAGATTTGCGTTTCCGGCATAAATCGCAGGCCCTGACTTTGTGCGATCTGTACGGTCGTGTCCCCGCATTGAAACCTGCAGAGGGGGGCTTTGCGGTGGAGCCTCGTTGGGCTGGTGTTTGTGGCATGTTGGGCCCCTAATAGGCAAGATGAGACATTATAAGCATGTTCCTGGTCAACAGACTATAGCGCACATACCAATCGCAGGATCGGAGTTGCCGGTCAACGGCCGGTCTCAGCTGTGGGCGTTTAGACCCGGCGCGATGCTGGATGCAGAATGACTGTCAGCGCAACGGGGCAACAACGTGGATCAAGAAGCCATTGGGCTAGTGAGAAATAAATCAAGGCATCTGCAATAGATTAGGAGAAATTCGAAGCCGATGGCAGGACGTGAAGAATGGTCGATCTTGAGATTTCCACTTTCGTGCTTATCGCGATTCAGGCCGTGGATACAATTAGTCATCAATCACGTGAATCACGTGTGGAGACACCGCCTGCCGGAGTCAGCCATGCAGCCGCAGCGTTGATCTTCCTCGTCTTACAACTTAAATTGTTATTTTATTCTCGACTGCGTTGGCTGCTGCTGCTGGGCTGCCTTGACCAATACCAGCATTGCCATGCACATTATTATTATTAGTCCTCGGATTCAGGTTAGCAGTCACAGAGCCCTTGGTGAATAAAGTTTCGCAGAATAACCACGCCGATGATCCCCCGAGTTGCCTTCGGTTTCCTGAGATGGTGGCAAAGAGTCAGACGACATTAAACATTTCTCTGCTACCACTCCGGCAGTTGTTCGGATCCTTCCTTCAATTCCCAGACGAAGGTTTCGGCTGCCGGCAAAGAGCGCGGAGACCCGCCAGGTTCGGAAACTTGGTCCGTCTCTGCAGGATTCGCTCGGCCGTTTCTCGTGCGGTAGTGAGCGGAGGGAGCCTTCCTGCAGTCATCGCGGCATAACTACCGCGGAGTTCAGAGTCCAGACTTTAGAGTCAGCCTCATAGGGCGTTTTAATCTGCACAGGAGATGGGGCCGTCTCTATTTGTGTTGCCAGGCGTGCGGCAAGAGTGGGCATTGGATTCGGGAGGAAGGCTGATGGAAGTAATAACAGCAATAACAGCAATAGCAGCTTTTTGTAGCTAGTGTTATGCATGGAAGAAAAGGCCCTAAAAGTCCTTAATTGATCTAATTACTGCAAGGCTCACGGAGGGTTGAGACCGTTGTTGCGGGTCTGATGCTAGCCTCATGCAGCTGGCAGCCAAACTCTGTTGCCTCACGCCGCATTTCTTCCTCCTTTCACCTTCACTGTCAGGCATAAGCATAAGCACAACGATTTCATCAATTCTCATCTGTCCAGACCCCCAAGTCAAATCAACTGAATACTCCAAGAACGATTTGATGATGTTCGAATAACCCGTCAGGTTCCCTAATTACTGCACTATCTGTTCTGCCTGGAAAAATCTCTCCAAGCTACACACACAAGATCGCGAGTCGAATACTTTTCATCTCTAAACCACTGCATTCTTCTCAAAGGCAACGCGCAATACAAACCATGGCCCTTAGAGTCCGATTACGATACTTCCATCTACCTCGAAGATCATCGTATCTGCGTGGGTAGCGGTGTGCGCCTTGCCTCAGACTTTTCCAGGATTCGTCCACCGTCTATCTATTTCCCTCCTGGGGTTTCGACCATCGTGGAGGACAATTCTCTTTTGTCGTTTCATAAAAACGCCCTAGTTCAGGAACTATTTGGATTCCTATCTTTTCCCTCTGTCTCCCTGTCCTTTTTTCACGGGAAAAATTAGATTGCCGATTTCGTCATGTTCTGTATGGTTCCCTTCCCCCTTTTAGATCCCCTTTCTTTAAATGAAAAACAGCAAGAGGACTAGAAATGGTTGCATTCATAGATAACTGATGTTTATTACAGCTCAAAGATTTCGGCAGTCGCTTGGCCGCTGCATCATTGCGGTGCTCCCGCCATTCAATTTCCTGACACTGCATTATACCTACTTCTTCGCGACTTGTCTGATCTGCAGTGTCATTTTCTGGGCCTCCTCAACTCCCTTCCGTAGTGTGAGTTATACTGATGCACTGTTCATGTGCGTCAGTGCTATAACTGGGGCTGGTCTCAATACAGTATTTCTTCCCTCTCTCTTTCCCGTATAGGGCTCCCAAGTACTGACAGTACGAGCCAGGTGGACTTGTCATCCCTGAATACCTTCCAGCAGCTTATATTGTTTTTCCTAATCATTGTTGGGTCACCTATCATAATTTCGAGTACCGTTCTCTATGTGAGAAAGCGGGCCTTCGAGTCCAAATTTAAAGGGATCTCGCAAGAGCGCGCACGGTCCAGACACAATTCTGTATTCGACCATCAGGCAAGGTCGGATATTGACTTGCCTAGCTATTCTCGCCCTGGCAATACAGGGGCATACGGCGGAGACCAATGTGATCAATCGAACTCAGCGGCCCAAACTACGCCCACAGACCCCACGGATCTAAATCATATACATTGGGTTGGAGATGATCAGATAACGATCGGCAATGTGAAACCACGATGCCACCATCATCGTGTTTTTCCAATGGCGGGAGTCGGGGCCAGAAAAGATCTGAACAATGATCCAAGAGACGTCCCGCCAAATCACTCGTTATATGACGAAACTGAACTTGCTGGGTTTAAGGGCGTTTTGAAGGGCACTCAGAAATTCATTTTGGCCTCGAAAGCCTTCATATCACGTAACTCACAGTTCCATGGTCTCACCCCTGAAGAGCGTGAAGAGCTAGGTGGAGTCGAGTACAGGGCGGTCTCTTTCCTGTCAATCATCGTGCCATTGTACTTCTTCTCTTTCCTTATCCTCGGGGCCATTGGTGTAGGAAGTTGGCTCACTGTGAACCGTCCACGTGTTGCCCAGGACAATGGATTGTCGCCCTTCTTCACCGGCGCCTTCTTTGCGGTTTCTGCGTTTGGGAATAGCGGAATGGCTCTTCTGGACGCAAACATGACTGCATTACAAACTAAGTCTGCCACCAATTCTTTTATGAGCAGTGAGAAACCAATATTGACGGTCTCAACAGTGCATATCCCCTTATTACGATGGGAATGTTGATCCTAGCGGGAAATACATTGTATCCCTGCTTCTTACGTTTTATTATCTGGGGGATGAGGCGTCTTTTGCCGAAAAAGGCGACCTGGGACGAATGGAAGATTACGCTGGACTTTATTCTAAAGCACCCCAGGCGGGTATGATATTGCGGACTCCATTTCTGTACTGGGTGTAACGACTAACCACGTATCCTACCCCAAGGTCTATACGAACCTCTTCCCGGCACGCCACACATGGTACTTGCTGGGTACCATAGTCATTCTAAATGGAATCGATTGGGCTGGTTTTGAAATCCTCTCAATCGGCAATAATGAAATCGACAGCCTGCCAACGGGATATCGAGTCCTGGACGGCTTGTTTCAGGCATTAGGTTCGCGGATACTTTTCTTGATGTCTGTGTCTTCATGATTGGAATCGCTTACTGACTCATCCTCAGCCGTGCGCTCTGGAGGATTCTACGTTGTGACCATCTCCAAACTTCGCCAAGGCTTGCTTGTCTTATATGGTAAGGACCTACGACACCTTTTTGTAGGGCAACACAATGCTAATAGTCTCTAGTGCTTATGATGGTTAGTATCACTCTTGATTCGGTATATCACGAACCGTGATAGCCAACTGATAAGTATCCAGTATGTTTCAGCATTTCCGGTATTGATTACTATAAGGTTCGTCGACCATTTTATTCACTTCTGTTGGACTCCACTGACTGTCTATACCCGAAAGGAACACAAACGTCTACGAAGAACGGTCGTTGGGTATCTACGCCCACGACGACGCATACGACCAAGAATCCTCGAGCTCCAGTTCCAGTGAGCTGTTTATGGCTTTGATCCGTCAGCATCTCCTTGGGCGCTCCGACGTCCCAACGTCAGCCAATGAATCCTCCCGCGGTTACTTCGTTCGCCAACAGGTCCGTTCCCAACTCAGCCACGACATTTGGCTGGTTGCTGTCGCGGTCCTGTTTATCTCTATCGCGGAGTCATCCAACTACAACCACAACCCTATGGCTTTCTCAACCTTTAACATCATCTTCGAGGCTGTCTCCGCCTATGGGTGTGTGGGGATAAGCGTGGGTTTTCCCGGAAAGAATTACTCCTTCTGCGGCGCGTGGCATACGATCAGCAAGTTGATCCTGGCGGCGGTTGCATTGAGGGGAAGACACCGGGGTCTTCCGGTTGCTGTTGATCGGGCAGTCATGCTGCCGAGTGAGTGGCTGGCATGGGCGGAAGAGGAGGATGCAGCATTGAGGAGCGAAAGGTCGAGGACTTGGGGGGCAGACAGGATGCCTGTCGGGGCTGTTTAGTTTTGGATATTAATGAGTATGGTGCGCTTTGTTCGGATTATTTTACAATTAATCTTTGATAGCAATCATGAGTGAGTTTTAGCATGGTTATATTGTGGATTTTGTCATGTGCCACTGAGTCTATGGGGGTTGGATTCTTGCTTTGGAGGATTTGCCACTCCAGGGCGTTCAATATGCACCAGGTTTCTGCTTGCATCATTTGTGATGGGCATGTCAATGGCATGGGTAATTTGGAAGTGGTTAACCAGGCACCATTGTCGAACTGCCCGTATAAAATAGAGGTGGTGAGCAGCCCAAGGGGAATATGTGACCGCTCACTGAGACCATGAGTACTCAGGCGAGCGCTCACCTGATGTAAAATATGTTGATGGAGGTCGAACTCGCTGAGTTGGTTGTTCTAGCTAGGGTTAACTAGTTAACTATCTACGCTATGCTAACTAAGGAGCTGAACCATGGGGACCACCAACAAAATACTCCCTGGGCACTCCCTGAGCGCCCTCGTGAAAGCATGGGCATCCAGAAGGGGGAAATCAATGTGGTTCAAGAAATTCCAGTATATATAGGTAAAGATATATTCTAATGTACAGATGATCTCTATTAAACAGTAGATGACATGTACACTCTATGTTCGATCTATAAACAGACGCGAGTCTCTATCATGATAGATGATCATTGTTCAGCTTGACGGCTTTTCCCTACAGCCTCGAGCACTTGGTCCAACCACCAGGAATGAATCCTTGCATCGCCCGTTAACTCAGGATGGAAACTTGTCCCAAAGACATTACCCTGTCGAACAGCAATAATGTCCCCTGCCTCCTTATCGGCACGGATATCGACACCCTCACTGGCCAATTTGGCCGCTCTCCCAGGGAGCGTTGCCAAAACCTCCACGCGGGATCCCATAGCTTCCCGAGCCAGCTCATCCTTCGCCTGTCTCGAAGGCGCCGTGACAGTGTTATCACCATTGCTCTGGGCATCATCCGGAGTAGCCAATATCTTCTCGACTACGGGTGCACGAATAAAAACAGCAGGAAAGGGCGCAGCAGGCTCCGCGGTATCGGATCTCAAAAAGGGCAGGTCGAGCAACGTCTGGAAGCTCTCCGTTTGACGACCGAAATGGTTCCGGTTCACGCGCACATCAAGACCCCCGATAAGCTCCTGGCCCCCTTTCTTCGTCCGATTCGCAGACTCTGCTAGTAATATAAGACCGGCGCAGGTTCCCCATGTTGGTTTATGATGGAGCCTAGGAAGAAATCAATTAGCCTCGTGCGAAAGTGGTCAGTCAGTCAGGAGCAGGGGCACATTGTACGCACTTGACGAAGTCCCGCAAAGGCTCGAGTAAATTCGACCTAGCAGCAACTAGTGAAATGGTCGTGCTTTCACCTCCGGGCAGGATAAGGCCATCGCATCTTTCTAGTTCCTGCGGGGTTCGCACCTCGATGAATTCCCATTGCGCGGCAGGGGCAGATGGGGTTTTGTCTGCTTGCGCTTTGGCGGCGGATGCCTTTTTCAGGAGCTGGATGTGCTCGTAGAAGGCGCCTTGCAGGGCGAGAACCCCGACTGTGAGAGTGGTCATGGCTGAGGTTTCTGGTGATTCCCAAGTATTGAGTCATTCTTGTTCTTTTCTGGTTATTTCCGGCTGGAATGCCATCTTGCCTGATCGGGTTAGTAGGGATTAGGTAATCCATCAGACAACGTCGAAGGATGTCATTGTACATGGTACTATTATACAGTAGTGTGTGTTGATGTGGACGATTATTATCCTTACTGGCAATGACACGGATCTCCTATCGAAGCTGTCAACTGCTGAAATGGATAGCGGCGTCCGTGAAACAGCATTCTTATAAGTTCCAGACATGCAACGCGTCACGACACCACGGTCCAACACCATGATTGCCGACGCGTGGAAAGCAATTTGAAACCGGAAGTCCTGCCAAGCGAACTAGTGGAGGAATATTGGCGGAAGACTGAATATTTGGTACGGAATAATAATGATAATAATAATTAAAATATACGGAAGTGTCCATCAGAACCAGGCCGCGGACTTCCGGGCCCAGAAGACGACCTGGATTCCAAGCATGTGGATGGAATTGAACGGCGAATGCCCTACAGCTCAGGCATAGCCGTATCTGGGGATTGTTCTTCGAGAAGCAGCTTCTATGCTATTATCTAGGTACGAGTACAACCGATATTATCACCCGCGTGCCTCGATACAACCGTAGTAACTGCTATCTCCAGAGCTTCACACTATCTAAGCGAGGCTTTCACCGGTAGGCTCGTATCGACCAGGATCAACATCAGATGCAGAGGATTTTATCTGCATCTGCAATCCTAGCATCCCCAGATACAAAAGAATCAACAATGCGTCGGAAACAAGCGAAGCTTGCGCGGAGAAGAGATCTGTTCTCTCCTCCTGACATCATAGTTCCCCGGAGAGATGATTGATAATGGCCCTTCACGGCCTCTTGCGTGCGATGATCTGTTTATCTCGGCTGCAGCTACTCCTCTCAACGTCTCTCATCTGACCCGGTGCGTGGAATCAACATGCAGCATCCGATTGCCCAGGGTTAAGCGAGCATGATGGTTGCATTAGCTCGAGCGGTTGGAAGTATGCTGGCCGGCACAGGCAATAATAATCTCGATAGATTAAGATCAGCAGATCAGCCGGCCGAGGACAGATACATACTATGTACATACAGATAGGTATGATGGCCAGCTCACTCCCAAGCAACGCCTTCATGCTTGGCCATGCTTGAAGCAATGGCAGGGCCGCCACCAACCACGGCTAATGCGGCGCAACGATGTCGAGAACACTGGAAAAGACCCTGCTGCAAGTAGAAGTTCGGATCATCGGCATGGCCGGGCCGGCTGGGCGAAAGGGTTTTCATTTCCCTCTGGCACGCTAGACGCAGCCATCTCGTAGCGGCGACATACCGCAAATCTTTTTCAGCAAAGAAAAGAAAAAAAGAACGAGCCCGAAGCTGCCAAGCCCGGGTCATCCGGTCCCTCCGCATTGAGTAATCGAATATCCGCCAGTCAACGGTGCAGACAAGAAACGGCCGCAGAATCCACCCTATGACGATCCCGTTCGCGAAACAGAGGCCGTACCCATAAGCATCAGGGATACATGGCTGCCGGCGGACCTCGTGCTCCAGCGAAGGATAAAAAAATAAAATAAAAAAATATGATAATAAAGAGGCAAGATGAATAACGAGGTTAGTCAGCGGCTCGCAGGGAGGTCCTCCGCGAAATTCCTGGCAGGATCCAAATCTCTCCGATCATGCGTTATTATAAATGGGCTCCGGGCCCCCTTTCCCCCCTGCTAGCTGCTTGGAATGGATCCGGATCTCCCTGCTGCTTGTTCGCTGACTGTCTTGCTGGCTCTGGTTCCCCGTTGATCGCTTTGACTCGAGAGAACGAACGCACCTTGCCGTCATGACACTACAATCCCTACGCCACTCGGGGAGAAGCTCCGAGAGCAATACGGAGAGCTCCCTGGACGACATTGACATTGCGAAGCGGAACATCGCGACGGGCTTGTCCCGTGGGCGCCATGCCCACGTTGATCGAAAACACGCGGCTGCCTCCAAGCGGTGGAAAACGTTCTGGTCTGCTTTCCGGTACCTGCAGGGACTGACTCCGAAGCAAGTGGATGACTTCATGGCCTCCTACGTCATCTATAACCTGGACTGGTCCGACGAGAAACAGATGATCGCGACGCTGGGCGAGGACTACCAGCAGAAAGTCGGCGACTGTCTCAAGGCCTACTATGGCGTCCTGAACCACCTCTGCGCCCTGGGCGATGTCGAGAAGATGTACATCCCGCCCTGGATGAGTAAAAAGGCGACCGTGCGCGAGAATCAATTGCTGTACGAAGAGTCCATCGCCCAAGACATCGGCCTGAAATCCGGCGACAAGGTACTGGATCTAGGCTGCGGTCGTGGCCGCGTCGCCGCGCACATGTCCAGCTATTCCGGCGCTCCTTCAACGCGCAGCGCGGATTCTCGAATAACACCTTCGTGGTGCAGGATTTCAATAACCTCCCGCTACCCTTCGAGGACGAGACCTTCGACGCTTTCTACCAGATCCAGGCCCTGAGTTTGTGCAAGGACATCCCCGCCCTCTTCCGCGAGATCTACCGCGTTGTCAAGCCTGGCGCAAAGATCTCCTCCCTGGACTGGGTCAGCCTGCCGGCATACGATCCCCAGAACCCCGAACATGCCGAACTCATGCGTCGCGTGAAGCCCCTAATTGGCGCCGTGGGGACGCCCACCCCCGAGAGCCTGGAGAAGGCCCTGACAGACGCCGGCTTCGTGGTTCTCAAATCCGACAACGCCAGCATCGACGGCCTGCAGGCGCCCCTCATAGATACCGTCGACGGCTACTTCCGAGCAATGCGCCAGGTTATTTTGGGTCTGGTAAAACTACATCTCATCCCACACCACTTCAAGACGCTCATCAACCGGTTCTGTCTGGACGGACTCGCTTTCATCAAGATGGATAACATGCGACTCGCCACGACAAGCTACCGCATTGTCGCGCAGAAACCAGCCAGGAACTAAGTCAAGCGCAAAGACAGATATCGGTGATGACATTGATGTTCATTTGCATGGTTAACAAGAGGAGTTATTTGCGTGTTTTTGTGTTTTGAGTGTTTATGCTTCTATTCGACAATACCCTAACTGCACAGCGTGGGCGGTATTTCAACCCTTTCTAATGAACATACAGATTTTATTTTTCCAATCATCATCATTGTCTTTCCCTTTCCATTGTAGTGCTGGAGTCTTGGCACCTTTTGCTCGCTGGGTAGATCTGAACACGCCCTGAGCAACCTGAGCGGATCACTGCATATACCTGCGAACTTCACATACATCTTTTCCTCTTTTCTTTTCTCCCCAGGCTTGAAGTTTTCGTTCATAGCTACTTGGATAGTCGAATAGCATCCTATATATCTTCTAGCTGAGCTCCGTGACGCTTTCCAATCCAGCAAGCTAGTGAGACTCTATTTCTTTTTCTACCAGTCAACTCTCGCTTTGGAGGATTGCCCCTTGAAGATCACTTGATCCCCATCAGTTCTGCTTGCGTCATTCTTCTCATGGGACAATGGGTTGGGGTAACTTGAAAGTGGTTAATCTGACACCGTTATTGAGTTACCTGCACAAAATAGAGGAGCCGAGAAGCTCTGGTGGCATCCCGAAAGGGAAAGTCTGATGATAGAAAAAAAAAAAAGTACGTATAGTAACATCTTACATGGAATTCATGGTCCAGATCTCCAGATCTCGTATATCCGAGGTTTCACGAGATTACCTTTCGCAGACTAGATTTGCCCCTGAAAGCAACAAGATCCCAGTGGTCGGCTGCAGACGTCTCTTACTTAATTATAATCCTAATAATACATATCCGTATCTACTATCCGGAGGCGAATCCTTCCAGAAGCCTCATGACGTAGCTTGCGCGTCGCTACGTCATGACTCGTTGAGATTTGAAGAGTAATCCTAGACCCTGTTCCCTATATACATTCCACCAATGCAACGCCTGTCTCAATCTGTAGAATATTATCAACATGATATAAACGCATCCTAAAATTATAAAGCCGCACATCAGGTCAAGGAAGATCGAAAGACTTCTTCCGATGTCTCCCCTGCTTCCTGTGATGACGGAGAAGTCGTCTTGTTTCCCGCGTTCCTCCGCACATGCATGAGTATTCTCAATGCACCGGCCGGGGTGACGCCTTCAATTCTCCTCGCCATGCCAATGCTAACGGGACGGACCTGCTCAAGAGCCTGTCTCTCCTCGAAACTGATGCCGTGGATCTTGGAGTAATCCAAGTCTGCCGGGAGAAGGAGGTTCTCGTCCTGCTGAAACTTTCTCGCCATTGCCTCTTGGCGTTTGACATAGGGCGCGTAGCGGCCTTCAATGGCGACACGGGTTCTGATCTCCGGCGCAAAGGAGGATGGGGTATACGCTGTTCCGGACGGGGATTCAATATGCGGGATGAGGGAGTCAATGTCGACCTCGTCGAGACAGAGGAGGTCAAGAGCTGAACGGAAGGATGTATCGACGCGGACCTTGAAGCCCTTGCGTGACCATGCGGACGAAGTGAGTCTTGTGTTTGCTAGGAGACTTTGGAGTTCTTTAATCTCTGCTTCCGAGTCTGTGAAGTGGTTCCATCGCTTGTCTGATACAAATCCCGCGTCGCGCGCCATGCGCGTCAGACGGAAATCGGCATTGTCTGACCGGGTGGAAATGCGATATTCACTACGTGTGGTGAACATGCGGTACGGCTCGGACACGCCCTTTGTGAGGAGGTCATCGATCATGATACCGATGAAACCATCCGAACGAGTCAGTGTGAACTGCGGACGGCCTTGAGAGGCCAAGCCGGCATTGGCACCAGCAATGATTCCCTGGCCGGCAGCTTCTTCGTAGCCTGTAGTACCGTTGATCTGGCCAGCAAGGTAGAGGCCACTGATCAACTTCGTCTCGAGTGTTGGTCGGAGATTGCGAGGGTCAATATAATCGTATTCCACTCCGTAGCCAGGTTGAAGCATATTTACATTCTCTAGACCACGCACAGTCCGCAGCATGGCGAATTGTGCGTCAGCTGGTACAGTCATTGAGATGCCATTGGGATAGATGACCTCGTTGGGCGCAAACCCTTCTGGCTCCAGCCAAATCTGGTGCCGTGGCTTGTCGTGGAAGCGGATAATCTTTGATTCCAAAGAAGGGCAATACCTGGGGCCACGAACCGTTTCACGGATGTGAATGGACTTATCCAGGTTTGCACGGATGATATCATGAGACGCAGGGTTGGTATGGGTCATCCAGCATGTGAGTTGGCCTTCGTCGCCCACTTGAACAGTTCTGTTCAGGTAAGAAAACGGTTGCGGAGGGGAATCACCCTTTTGGACTTCCAGAATGGAAAAGTCGATTGTCTTCTTGTCCAGTCGGGGAGGAGTTCCGGTCTTCAAACGCCCAAGCTGAAAGCCAGCCTCGCGGAGTGACTTACTCAGGCCATAAGTAGGCGGCTCACCTATACGACCTGAAGGGAAAGCATCCAGTCCAATGTGGATTTCCCCACCCAAGAACGTGCCTGTTGTGATGACAACACGGCCGGTGGGTATGATCTCCCCGGACTCGAGTCTGACGCCGACAATCTTGCCCTGAATGCCAGGTTTATCCTCCAGATCTTCCTTTGAAACCACGATGTCAGCTACCTTGCCCTCGAGGATACTCAATCCCTCCGTCCCAAGTAACTCCTGTTGCATGTATTTCTTGTAGAGATCACGGTCTATCTGGGCGCGTGGACCCCAGACAGCAGGACCCTTTGATCTATTCAGAACCCGAAACATTATCCCAGCTTTATCGATAATGCGACCAGCGACTCCATCCATCGCATCGATCTCGCGGATAATCGTGCCCTTTCCAATCCCCCCGAAACTGGGGTTACAAGAGCACACGCCGATGTTGGAAAGTGAAGGGGTAATCAATGCGGTTCGAGCGCCCGATCGTGCGGCCGCAGCAGATGCTTCAGCGCCCGCATGGCCGCCCCCAATAACGACGACATCATATGGCCTATACCGAGCTGATCAGTACTATGTCTGCAAGGGAAACCAAAAATTCGACCAACGCATACATACCGCGAGTTGTCAGAGACAGTGGCAAATCCACGGGACGTCCACAGCACCCTTGAGCGAGGACTGCAGCCCCAGCGGAAAAGAGCCACTGATCGTGCTCGGAACGCCATGGTCACAGGCTGGATGGCTGTCTACCACAGCAGTCGATCTGGCAGAGCAGCGGAAGTCGACGAAGAAGCCAGCGACATTTTCCGTCACGTGCATGGTGTTATTGCCGGGTTAACTCCGAACAGCTTATGTAACCCTTGATTAGTAACTAGTTAATTATGCCTGAGGCAACAACGCCGTCATTTACGCTGCAATATGGAATGACTATGAACAACATCCTTCCCAGGGAGGCTTCACTCGCATGACTTCGGCTGGTATCTCTGATCAAATGCCTCGATAAAGGTAAAATTACTAGCAATGTGTTAGTATGTATGTCTCTGCCGAGACATCTGTATCCATACGTCTACTGATAAATATACTTTGATGGCAGCGCCCTCTGTTGGAGTGATTTCTTAAGCGCTCGACTCGCTTATGCATATCTCTGTGGAAGAGGGATACATCTTTCATAGCTGCAGCAATGTCACATTGACTACTCGTATCCGTATCGAGACTCGAAACAGCGGCATCACGCCAATATGCCCGTGCAGTGATTGACGCTACGAGTGCATAGCGCGAGGAGAACACGAATCATCGTGGCCGATCACGAACCGTCCGTTATGAATCTGCGTCTAGCCATGCTAGCATGGGGGTGGCATCCTTCCGGAGTCTTTAATAATGTTGCTGCCACGCATTCCTCCTGCTTTTGCAAGTCTCGGAATCTTCCTCTACTCATCCGAGTCCTGCTGCAAGATGCCTGACACCCATGCCAAAAGTCACCCCGACGAGCCTCTGGAAGCCGACGTGAGCCTTTCCTATGCAGCCGTTATTATCTTTTTTTAATTCTGTTAGAGTCCCGCTAAATCGTGTCTGTTCTATACTACAGGAGAGTTACGGTGATGCCGATTCTACATATGCGGGGTCGTGCGTACCATCCCTTGCGCTTTGTCCTACCGTACTGTGTCTCATTGCTATGTACAGGCTAGGCGATGCAAGCTACACAAGCTCCATAACGTCGAGTATTCTCAATTATAAGTATGCTTCTATCTTCTTCGTTCGTTGGGAAGGCCCAAGCTGATCTGTATCCAATCAAGGTACGAAAATGGCCGCCGATACCACGCCTTTCACGATGGCGAATACATGCTGGTAAATCCCGATACTGCGTTCCATGCTCTTATCCAGAAGTGTTTTCTGACTCTCGGCGAAAAGCCAAATGATGAACAAGAACAGGATCGATTGGATCTTGTATGCCATGTCTTATACAGTAGATTTACTAGGTTATTGACACTGATCTAACTACCCCCCCAGAGCCACCATATCTACCGACTGCTGCTTGACGGTGAACTGAATCTTGCGCCTATCAAAGATCCCAGGAGGGTATTAGACCTTGGCACCGGCACTGGCATATGGGCCATTGACTTTGCGGAGTATGGGAAACCTTTATGCCTTTGTTCTCACTGGCCATCATGACTGACCATATATTAGTGAACATCCCGAAGCAGAAGTACTGGGTAGGCTCTTATCTCCTTTGTGAAATTAGGCCGAGTTCCGACTGATGTGTTTAGGCAATGATCTCAGTCCTATCCAGCCGACCTGGTATTTATCTTTTTATCTACCGTGCCTTAAGGCCGATCATTCAGGGTTGTGATCTAACGGGATATTGGACAGGCTACCTCCAAACTGCCGATTTGAAATTGATAACTACGAGCAAGAATGGCACTACTCTCGCCCCTTCGATTATATCCATGGCCGGGAACTTGAGGGCTGCGTGAAAGACGTTGATCAGCTTTTTAGCCAGGTCCTGAAGCATTTGAGCCCTGGTGGCTATTTTGAAATTGCATCAATTGAAGTTAAGAGCACCTCAGATGATGGCACGCACCTGAAGGCTAAAGATTTTGTCCGGGCCCATGAGCTTGTCTGCGAGGCTTCTCAGAAGTTTGGAAAATCTTTTGCCTCTTCACATACATGGAAGGAAAAGCTGATCAAAGCCGGCTTTGAGGATGTCCATGAGAAGATTTTCAAGGTAGGTTGTTTGTTTTACGCCCGTTAGACGTCTGATCGTTCCCAGTATTGTACCTCACTTTTAGTTGAGTGGGATATGCTTGGGCCCTTTCCTCCGACGTCATGCATATGCTAATGCTAAGAAATTCTGCAGCTCCCCCAGAGCCCTTGGCCCAAGGATCCTAAGCTCAAAGAGCTTGGCCGTTATAATCAAGTCAATATTATGGAAGCCATGGGTTCCTATACATATGCCCTCTTCACTCGTGTTTTGGGTTGGTCAAGGGCGCAGATTGAGGTCCTTCTTATGGGTGCACGGAATGACCTGAAAGACCTGTCGAATCACCTCTATACCAATGTCCGTATCGTATACGGGCGAAGGCCAGAGGAAAAGTGATCTCAATCGGTGCCTCATCGAATACTCTCATTTCGCCCTCATGGAAAGTCTAAGCCAGCTCGCCGCCTACGCGTTTCTGAAAGCTCCCAACTACATCGTTTGGTGCTGAATTATGAAATTGGAGAATGCTGTGCAAGGAGTTATCATGGAAGATTCCTGTCAATTTTTAGTTTATTAAAACTACGAACCTGAATTGTTGAAGTATCTCCGCTATTGGCTTCTGTCTGTACAAAGGTGTTGTGAGTAAGATGCAGCCATCACCGAAGGTCCCCAGTACCCTGGGAGCCATACAAAACACAACGTCAACCATCCTTGCAGATCAACTGAATAAGGACCTTGGGAATAGGTACCTGGGTAGTTTCATTGCCTATTGGCACCTGTAAAGCATATATAACCCCCAGACTCTCAGGCCTCCATAGTATAAAAGTACACTGACCATACCCCAGAGACAGGATCGTTATATTATTCTATTTCCCTCCCTCAGGGCTAGTACAATGATAAACCAAAAGCCACCGACCTTCCCAGACCTCCTCGATGTGATAATCATTGGAGCCGGACCGTGCGGGCTCGCCGTCGCCGCAAGACTGCAGGAAGAGACCCCCTCAGCCATGTTCACCGACGAGGAACACCAGCGGTACCACTGGATAAACAAGCACAGCGGCCGGATGGCTCTGGTGCGAGCGCATAATAAGCGGATTCGAGGCGTTAAAGCGGAAAAATGGCACGGTGGAAATGGGAGCGGGAATACTAGAAGCAAGGATACATCCACGCATACGCGTTCATCTTCGTCACCGTCATCGTCAATATCAACGCTTGTCCTGGATAGCTCCGGGAACAGATGGATGGAGAGGTGGAATCGACTATTTCGCATCCTGGAGATCGAGCACTTACGCAGCCCTATGTTCTTTCATGTTGATCCTGGTGATCGGGATGGGATGCTAGCGTACACGCGAGAGACGGGGAGAGAGGAGCTGGGAAAGGATCTCTGGGAGATTCCGGGGTGTGTTGGGAAGGAGTTAAGCAAGCATAAACAGAGGAAGAAGCAGAAGCAAAGACAGGCTCGGAGGGGGTTTAAATCTGCCGAGTGAGTTCCTTGTCTTGTTGTTCTCAACGCCATCGTCCGTTGTTCACCAGGGCTGACTGATATTGAAACACCCAGAGCAGTAAAAGAAGTCCAAATCGACGAACGAGATCGAAAAGACTATTTCTCACCCTCAGCAAAGCTATTTGCTGACTTTTGCTCCGCCATCGCGTCCCGGTATAGTCTGGATCTTCCAGACCAGATCCATCAGTGTGAAGTCAGCGACATTGAATACTCTGTTCACCCAGACCTGTCACCATCCACTTACCATGGCAACAATCGGGATGACAATGACAACAGGATTTTCACCATCACTACGAACGGTGGGATAAGGTTCTACGCCCGTGCCGTCGTGCTGGCAATTGGGCCCGGTTCTGGACCGGCGTCGGCTAACCCTAAGAATTTTCCCTGGGAGTTATCCAGCGAGGAGAAGATGGGAGCTTGCCATGCCATGGAGATCAAGTTGATCCCCAGCAAGACAGTTCAGGATAAGATCCGGAGACACGAGGGAACGAACGTCGTAGTCGTCGGTGGTGGGTTGACGTCTGCGCAGATTGCAGACATTGCAGTGCGAAGAGGCGTGCGGAAGGTGTGGTTTCTCTTGAGATCTGGTATAAAGGGTGAGCAGTATCTTCCTGGAATTAGCCAATATATCCAGCTAACCTCTGATTGATAGTCAAGCATTTCGACATCGATCTGACCTGGATGGGAAAATTCAAGAATTACGAAAAAGCAGCGTTCTGGTCCGCAGACACCGATGAAGGTGAGCCCATACACGTTCAGGGGAATATGGATAGCTCCTAATAACCATGACAACCCAAAAGAACGCCTTGAAATGATCAAGGTAGCCAGAAACGGCGGCAGCATCACACCCACCTACCACAAAATCCTCAAACAGCACGTCCACGACGGCAGACTCTCCATCCATACCCACACGACAATAACAGATCACAAGTATTGCCCAGAGACACAAACCTGGCAGTTGACGACGAACCCACCGATTCCCGACCTGCCTCCGATTGACTATATCTACTTCGCAACCGGCGTCAAGACAGATGTTACGGAACTCCCCCTGCTCCGGCGGATGCAGGATGAGTACCCCATCGAGACGAAAGAAGGACTGCCGTGCCTCACGGATGACCTGATGTGGAGGAGTGATGTCCCGCTGTTTCTGACGGGAAGACTGGCAGCCCTGAGACTCGGTCCGGGGGCGCCGAATCTAGAAGGGGCAAGACTGGGCGCTGAGAGGGTAGCTTGGGGTCTTGAAGAGGTTCTCGGGGGATCCAGAGATGCAGATCATGATGATGACAGCAGGATTTTGAAGTCTAGGGAGTGTTTCTGTGGACTGGGGAATCGCTATGCTGGGCTGAGCGAGAGTTGAGGTTATAGGAAATGATTAACCCTACCTGCAGGGGATAAATGAACTGTAGCATATCCATCCACCAACTGGCTGACCGTTCAAGGAAGTCATCCGAATTAATCACTCTTTCTCGACCCGGCCTTTGCAGTCTGCTCTTCGCCGCTGCCACTTCCATTCCCTTCATCCGGTACATGGCTATGACTCCCCACACCCACAGCATGAAGCGTGACATGGTTCCGTTCCCCCTCAAAGAACAGCGCATACGCCTCCTCGCCATGCACTGCATCATCGCCAACAAGGAGATCATCCTCGCTCATGCGCAGCGGGATCCGCAGCACATACTTGATGAACAACATAATAACCGACGTCATGAAGATATTGTATCCGATAACGAATAGCCCGCCGACGATCTGGATCCAGACCTGGTGGCCGTTGCCGTCGATGGCACCGCCGGGGTTCGTCAGGGCAAAGGCCGCGCAGCCCTCGATTGTCGCGAAGAGGCCGGTTAGAAAGCCGCCCAGGTAGCCGGCGACCATGTGCGTGTGAACGACGCCCACTGATTCATTCATTAGGCCGCCGGATTTCGACAAGACGGAGCGCAGAAGGGGAGAAACTTACTAACGTCATCCACCTTCTTGAACCATGGGTGTCTCCCCAGTACATTCATCGATATCCACGGGATGGATCCAGAGCAAGCTCCGATGACAATAGCACCCCATCCGGCTACGAACCCCGCTGCGGGAGTGATAGCAACCAAGCCCGTAATCTCGCCCTGCACAGCCCCGACGACGGACGGTTTCCCGAAGAAAATGTAGTCCAGGATGGTCCAGACGAGCAAACTCATGGCAGTGCAGATGTTGGTATTCAGCACGGCGACGCCGGCGTCGGGACTCGCGGCGTAGGGATCTCCGCCGTTGAAACCGTTCCAGCAGGTCCAGAGGATGCCTGCGCCGACGAGCATCATGATCATGTTATTGGGGTAAAAGGATTCTCTGTCGCGTTGGGCGCGGGGCCCTAGCCAGAACGCGGCGACAAAACCTACTTTCAGTGAGAACGTATCCTCCAGCCAGTCCGCAAGTGTATAAGGATGTCTTACCGGCCGTCCCAGAGGATAAATGAATGACATACCCGCCGGAATAATCGAGGATGCCACGGGTGTACAGGAAGCCTCCACCCCAGATGCTACGTACGTACGTCAACAGGAAACAGCAGAGAAGCATGCCGGAAATCGAGGACAAACCTGAAAGCACCCACAGCATAACTAAACGTAATCCACAACGGCACAAAAACCATCCAAGCGAGAAAGTTCATCCGACCCAGCAACGCACCGGCCAGAATGACTGTCGTGATAGCGGCAAAGACAAACTGGAAGTAGATCATGGTGGAGAGGTTAAAGTTCTGCGTGGAACCGGCGGCATACAGCTCGGACTGGGCCAGGTTTTGCTGCATGGTCAAAACGGGACCTGGTATGCCGACGAGAGGGAGCTTGCCCCATTGCTTGCCGAAGCTCATTTTGTAAGCCCAGATGACCCAGCAGATGAGGGTTGAAGCGAAGGCATAGAAGACCTGTGCTGGATTGAGCGAGACGATTCCGGAGTAATTGCCGGTGGGAGGGAAGCACGTACCATGAAGGCCGAGTTGATGGCCCATTTCCTATGCACACAGTCATGTCAGATACGATTGCCTGCATACAATCGCGTGAAAGAGGCAATATCCAAACGCACTTCTTCACCATCCCCGCATACATCACAGCCAGCCCGGGGATGGACTGCAGTCCCACGAACGTAGCAGCCGTGAGCTGCCATGCTTGATCACCCTTGTTCAGCCAGCTAGATGTCTGTCAGTAGATGTAGTTTCTATCCACCGCTGGGTCGATAGTGGTCTTACTCCGGTGCCGGGTTGGTTAATTCCGTGAAGTTGGACATGATGAACCGAACTCGACCGGCACAGATTATCGAAGGATGCAAAGGGCTTGAGCCCCACGAGTAGAAGGAGGACCGGAACGGCTTGCAGGGAATGTCACTGGCGCTATAAAAGACGCAGGTGGAGAGTACGTAAGACCACGTCCGTACGATCGGTGTTAAATGAGCGAGAGTGGGACGGGCATCGTAGGGTACATGTACTTCGGAAATGAAAATACATTGAACAGCGCCTCTTTCTCATCGTATCAATCCAGGCCTATAAACGGCATGGCACTTCGTATACCCCGAGTCGCAAAGCGATAGCAGCACCTCCATGGCTGAATGCGTCCGATATGGAACAGAAACGGTGATAGTTGGATAATGAAGGCTGTTTACGGCCAGTGAGAGAAGAAACAGCTATCTCCATCCACGCGTACTCGTGAGCAGAGCCGTCGGATGATCCTATTCTCGCCTGAGGGCAGCTTGGAAGACTTTCAGGATATGCATCTCTCCGGTTGTGGTCCAATAATTGTACAATGGCTTATCTCGGCCTTGCTGCACGGCGCTTCGACCAGCAGACGCTCTGTTGCAGTGTGATTTCATGCGACAATTGAGTGACCAGTGAGTGCTTTTTCCCTTCCTTCTCATTTCTCATACCGAGGGAGAGTCGGTGTGCATCGCCGTGGAGTGTGCGGAGGAGAGGAAAATGGCATGCGCCCCGTACGCTCTTCTTGATAATGCAGTAGAGCTGTTATAATAAATGCCATCCGAATCCGGCACAGCCGCATTCCCCATCTTCCTCACAATCAAGCTCTTCTTGGCTCTTTTAGCTCTTCTCGGCAATGCTTGGCTTCAGTTCCATCAGCGCTGCTCTCCACCTGAGGTCCAAGGACCCAGACGAGAACGACAGTGACACGAACCTCTTGCCATCAGAGAGTCCTCCTCCCTACACTCTCGCACCCGTCCGGTATCAGTATGTGCACTTTGGCATCGGCGGTGCTGGGAACATACGCAAGTGAGTCCATTTCCTTCCACTTCTCGTGGATCCCGCTGTTTGTCTGACCCGTGTACGCATCATACTAGAGTTGCCCGGCGTGATTGTCAAATACTATCCATGAAGACCTATCCGGGGACCGAGTCGGACGTCCCTCCTTATCCAGGGACCGTTTAGTGGGAGCGAGAGAGGATGCTTCTGTCACGCTGCGATATTCTGCTTTTCCTCGAAAGAAAGTAGAACCGGATATAGGCAATTGATGTTCATTGCAACTCGTTACTCATAACGATAACGATAAGCATAGGATGGTTTAAGGAGTAGTTTAGGTGAACCTAACGACTTCAAAAATGAGTGTATTGATTGAGTATTGATTGATTGTATTTAGCTTAGCGTCTGAGGAAAAAAAAACTCCGGTAGGGGGAATCGAACCCCCGGCTGCCGTGTGAGAGACGGCGATGTTAGCCACTACACCATACCGGAAACAGTGTGCTAGGTAATCAAGTTTATGAACTCAGAGGCAGCTAACTAAGCGTAGTTGAATCACGTGACTGAGATCTCTTAAGTCAACAGAACCTCATCCTAGGGTAGGGGTTGGTATGTTGGAAAAGCACCTCTCTTACTAGTAATCCAGACAAAACTCTGCCAATCGAGCTTAAAAAGATTGTCATGACACCCTTGATTTGTACTGGGTGAGTTCACTGAACGGCGGAAATCACCTGATGTTACCACGTGACCTTCCTTTGGCAACAGCTGCTGAATTAATTTTTTTTCCTTCTTGACAACCCATCCTCGCATCAAGACTGAAAATGTCCTCCATCAGAATCGGTCTTGTCTCAGGCCTCCAGAAACCAAGATACGTGATCCATCTTTCCAATGGAAAGCGATTGGTGTTATTCCGCTTGCCATCGATTGAGCCGTCCGGATCAAAGAGCACCTCCGCAAATGAAACCGACGATGGATGGTGTTATTTTGCTATGGAAGCTGAATGCCCGCACGCTGGAGGGCCCATGGAAGATTCTCATGTAGACATTGAAGATTCCGCATATATCGTGACGTGTCCGTGGCATGCATACGATTTCAACGTTGAGACGGGCGAATCGAGTGTTGGCATCAAGACTTGCACGTTCCCCGTGGATGTCCGTGGAGGCATTGTGCGGTTGCATTATACCGTGGGTGACGTCTCTCTCGTCCAGCTCGAACCAGTAAGCGAAACGGTGAAGTTGAAGAATTGCCAAGAGCCACAGCGTCCTGCTTCAGCACAGCAGGACTCCCATCCAGCAGGGCCGCCTAAGTACCTTGCTCAGGAAGCTACATTATGTGAATGGGCAGCCCATATCTTGAATACGCCCAATCCGGAACATAAAATTGAACTAACAACTCATTTGTATTCCACCTTTGTGGAGAGGGAGGGTTCATCTTCTCCCATGCCTCTGGGGAGCGGAACCGTCACAGCCCCTGCTCGACCGCCGCGGGAAGGCCTGGTCACCGTTCAGCCGTGGCTGATGCCGAAAACAGGAAAAGGTGGGACATTGAAAAGCAGAATCGCCATGTTACATGCCCTGGCCAACATTGAGCTCTGGGCCATCGATCTTGCAATTGATATTTGCATTAGATTTGCCACCTTCCAGACAGAACCACCAACGCCGGGAATTCCACGCGAATTACCGCGGACCTTTTTCCATGATTGGTTAAAGGTGGCTGCGGATGAAGCCAAGCACTTTTCTCTGTTGCGCGTACGGCTTGAGGAGCTGGGCTCCTACTTTGGCGCACTGCCTGTGCATCATGGACTCTGGGATTCGGCTACCGAAACAGCGCATGATCTTCGCGCGAGGATCTGCATTATCTGCCTCGTTCATGAGGCTCGCGGTCTAGATGTTAATCCTATGACTATTGCAAAGTTCCGAAGGGCACGCGACGACGAGAGTGTCAAGTCTCTCGAGATCATCCACAACGACGAGATTACGCATGTTACAACCGGTCATAGATGGCTGACGTGGATCTGCCAGCAAGAAGATACGGATGCGGTGCAGGTCTTCCGCACAAACGTGCAGAAGCATTTTCGGGGTGGAATCAAAGAACCGTTCAATGAGGAAGCTAGATTGCAGGCCGGAATGGATAGACGGTATTACGAGAATCTGGTCTACTAGGGACATCAATTAGTTAGCCGCTTCGTGTGATGGTTGCTTGCTCTTCTGGATGTACTCTGGGCTGTTCCCGTTGCTTCGCGAAGACGCAGAACACCCACTGATCCTCATTATTCAGGGGTGGGTCGGCACTTCTACTGTTCCTGCCTTGGAGCAGCTGTTCTGGAGCATCCTACCGGGACATAGCCCGAGACATGCCACCATTTTTACCACCAGTCGAATCTGGATCGACGGTTGACAATGGCCAGTTACCTTGATGGTGCTGGGGACATCGCAATCCGCACTGCAGCATCGTTGCATCTTTCTACTCTCCATGACTCTCTTCCATCGGAAACATGCGCACGATGCTTCAGCGTATTACAGATAAGATCAAGATGATGTCTATCGGCTGGAACAATTGCAATTTGTCGTAGTTTCCATCGCGATATTTGTCGGCACAAGCTCGATGTTATGCTGTCAGGTCCAGCCTACACAGAACAGTAGAATGAAACACAACATAACCAGGTTGACCGACCTGAATGAGTGCAACTCGCAAAATCTATTTCTCATATTCAGAGTTTTCACCGAAAACAAAACAAAGCTTGGTCATTCAAAGCAGATATCACGCAAGACGATAAGGCGACCCGGCCATTGAAAGGCCGCTTATTTTGCTACCCCGCGTGCGTCTTCCACAATGTGAATCGTTTCTTGTTCTTGTTTCTTGTTCCTGGTGCGCCTGCGTGAATGCACAGCTTAGACACCAACCATGCCTCCGGACAGGAAATTGAAGGTCATTATCGCGGGTGCTGGTATTGCCGGTCTCTCCGCGGCAATTGCCCTACAACGGCTCCCTTATCTGGATGTTGAGTTGTATGAACAAGCACCCGAGCTGAAGGAAATCGGAGCCAGCATCGCTCTCAGTCCGAATGTGCATATTCCCTGCATTTCACTTATGGGCAGCTACAGGCGGCTAACTGTGCAGTTAGGGACTTCGCACCCTGGAGAAGCTTGGTGTTTTCAACGCCCTTGGTGACGAGGTCGCCTTCCGTGGCCCCAGCGGCGTTCCGATGATCTACCGGTTAGTCATACATCTTCGTGTAAAGTCAAGATGCTAAACCGAGTCATTTCAGCCATTGGAAGACAAACCAGATCGTGCACCAGGAGCATTTTGTGGACGTGCCAGTCCATCGCCACCAGACGGCCAGGTTTCATCGCGGACACCTGCACGCAGCACTGCTGCAGCATGTCCCATCGGAGCAGATTCATTTGAACAAGAAAACTGTTTCCGCATCTGTAGATTCGGAGAAAGCAGCCTTATTCTTCGCCGATGGTACTTCTGTCCAAGGGGATATCTTGATCGGCGCAGATGGGATTCACTCGGTAGGATACTCGTTCGAATCCGTAGAATCCGTAGTCAATAAAGATTAACGGAGATCTCAGAAAGTTCGCCAATCCTTCCTCCCAGACCACCGCCCGAAATGGACGAACAAGGTCTTCTTCCGTTCAACGTTTGACACATCCTTGGTGGAGGGTATATCTGACTTACCGCGGGATTCGGCGCACTGGGTAGGTTGCACCATCATAGCTCTATTCCTAGACTCACATTCGGGCATAGTGGGGTCCGACTGAAAACTTCTTCGCATCTCGACTTGGTGGGTGTCTTCTCCCTACGTCGGAGACGCTACATGGCTCTGACAGTAGACAGGGAAAAATCAATACACAACTGTTGCCAACTTTGATGTCACAGACATTCCCGAGAAAGTGTCAAAGAATCTGGATTGGAACGCTGAGGGAAACGTGCAGTTCCTGAAAGACAAATTCAAAGTTAGTCACTTTCCAGAACTGCTATATAGGCTTGTCTCGGAACTAATGTTACCTCTAGGATTGGAATCCGGTCGTTCGGGCTCTAATAGATGCAACTCCTTACACTCGCGTCTATCCCAACTTCGCAGGGGAGCCATTGCCCACATGGATCTTCGGATCCCGCGTGACACTCGTCGGGGATGCAGCGCATACACACGGCGGGGCATTCGCTGCGGGAGGATCGCTGGCTATCGACGACGCATATGCATTGTACCTGGCATTCAACCATGTCTTCTCAGTGAATCAAGCCGATTTCGCAGCGGGGAGGATAGAACATGCTCTGAGGCTATACGATAAAACACGTCGGCCACATACAGAGCGGCTGTTGAATATCGTCATTAAGGGTATCGGTCAAGCACAGGTTGAGCCGTCTGAGAGTGCGCTTGTGCACCGATTCAAGAATAAGCCTGACACGACCTGGCTATCGGAGCATGATGTAGAGAAGGCTTTTACAGATGTGGTCAGTCGGGCTGATGTCCCAGGCCGGGCAAGCAAGATATGACTCTCACGGCTAGACCGTGTATATAAGCAGGCATCAAACAATCCGTGATAGACACAAAATCAAACTCTATGGACAATTCGAACCCACCCGGCGCCTAGGAACGAGCTCGGCGGGAGTACTGTCAAGAGAATTCGGCCGCAGCACCAACCCAGCACATTTCTACTGTCGCGGCACGGGTTTTCTTGCCCTTGTGGCTATTACTGTGATGTGTCTTGCTCATATCGATCCTTGTAGCAGCGGCGGCAGCAGCTCAGCCGAACCCGGGACTGGGACAATCTTCTACTTAACCGCGCACAGCTGCCCCAGCGACCGCGGCATGACGGGGCGCACGCTTACGATCATTGAAATATGGCTTGCTCTGGGATGGACATGATAGCGCCGAAACTAACTACGATCACCCACCGTCTGCGGGCAATGGAGGCCAACGCAGCTACCGGAGCAATCTACAGCATGAGCTCGTCTGGACCTGCAGACGAGGAGCTCGCGAGTGTGACGGTACCGTGACGAACGGCGGACAGGGACTGCATCCCAGTTTTGGGACGATTGGGTTCAAGGTGGGCTTCGCGACTATATCCCTTCCCGGGCACTTGATTGAGATGGACCGTCAACTTCCTTTTTGGGGAGGTTTTTCGCAATGAATGGGAGCTGCAGGGCCTGGATGTTGCTCTGTTTGATGCCTTTTTTGGGCAGTTGGCTTGAGTCATAAAGGAGGCTGAGCACGCACTCGATTACCCATGTCGTATATGTAGCATGAATGCTCCAGGAACCTGGGAAATGTTTCCTGATCAGGTATACTTTGGCTATCTATTTGAAGGTTGAAACAGATCCTGACGGAGTTCCAACAAGGTTCAGAAGTGCCGATAGCACGGTAGATATTTACTCCACTTCTATCTTGGTAGGCAGTATATTCTCCGTACCCTAAAATTACACGGAAAGACATAAATAATCTTACTAATGAGTTAATATTCTACGATATACACAGAGTATATACAGAGCATATATGGACAGGCTATACAACCTCCCTGAGAATCCCCGAAAGAGCCACAACCTCCCTCTCCACCAACGGACCAACATACTCCTTATGCCCACGAACATAGTACCAGAACACACTGAACAGAATCACGCCACCCGTGACGAGAATGCTGTAGTTCATCGTCGACGCAGTGACCTGCTGCGAGGGCGGCCAGACGCTCCAGAAGATAACGAAGATCATGTACAGACATGCGTAGGCGTTGTTGAGGGTGCCGAGGAGACCCGGGACTTTCCAGGGGCCCCAGAAGAGCTGGCCCGGTGCGTAGGCTATCAGATCCGAGTTGCTGTTGCTGTTGTTGTCGTTGTCTTGTTCATCCGGTTGTTGGGAGGTGGAGGGGGAGGGGGATGTCTTTTTCTCTTCTATAACTGGGGTCTTGAGGGATTGAGCATCCCCTGCCTGCTCCGCCGTGGTAGGCTGTCCGTCGACGAGCATCGCCTCGTGCGGGAGGATATGCCCCCATACACGATGATAAAGAAGAAACGCAGACGGGACGAGGTACGACCCGTAGAAACCGGTGATCGTCAGGGAGATGACATCGTTGAATGCCACCGACGAGCCGATATAGATCAGCGAGAGGAGACAGGCGAACATGACGACGACTCCGACGGCGATGATGGGGACGCGCGTGCGACGGTCGACCTTCATCAGTGTCGATGCGAAGGGGACGCCTCTGTCTCGCGCAAAGGCCCAGGTCATCCGGGAGGCGGAGGTGGTGATGCCCGTTGCGCAGGCCCAGGTGAGGATGAGGATGATGGCACCCATAACGGTGGCCCAGGGGATGCTCTTGATGTTGTCTACTTGGTGTCAGGACTTCTTCTTCTTCTTCTTCTTCTTCTTCTTCTCCTGGGGGATGGATTACCGTGAAAAACCTGGATAAAAGGAAACCCAGTCGTAGTGTTGAGAACAGTGTCGACATCGCCCAGACAGAACAGCAGGGTGACCATCATCGCGAAGCCAATGATCCCATTCATCAACATGCTGATAGTAATAACCCGGGGTATGTTGACAGCAGCATCGGAGACCTCCTCAGCCAGATGAACGCTGGCATCGGCACCGACAAACGTCGCGACATTACCCATGAACCCGACGCAGTACGACAGGCCCTGCGTGGACCATCCGCCCTCGTTCATGCTCGTCGCGAAGACAAAATCCGCCGAATGACGCGGGGAGAAGCACCAGAGCACGGTGATGATGGAGATAAACCCGGCAATGTGGAAGACGACAGTCCCGATCTCGATACGCGGCAGGGCAGCGGGGATGATGACATTAAAGAAAACAGACACCAGCACCACCAACCAGGTCAACAGGGTACCCTGCCAGCGCTTGGGGGAGTAGTCTGGGTAGTCGATGACAAGCAGACCCTGCAACATGGTACCAGCGAACATGCACTCGGTAGCCACCGTCGCGATCCAGGCAAGCGTGGTCAACCAGCCGATGATGTAGCTCACAAACACACGAGCACGCGGGGGAGCCATAATGTACGACCAGTAGTACTGGCCGGCAGCGATGGGCGCCATGGAAGCCAGCTCCGAGATGACCGTGTACACGGACAGGGTGGAGCCCCAAGCGATGATGAAGCCGTAGACAAGACCGCCAGGGCCACCATTCTCGAAGCCCTGGCCGAACAGGGCCAGGACCGTCTCCCAGGTGATGAGTTCGCAGACGGCAAAACCGAACAGGGACCAGAAACCGAAGCGACGGGCGAGGACTTGTTTCTTTCCGAGACGGGCCAGTTCCTGGTCATCGGAGATGTAGGACTGTCGACGGTCCATGCTACAGGGAGGTTGACTGGCGGGAGATGGAAGCAAGGAGCTGCCAGTGGGCACAGGAAGGGCTGCGTGGGGTCAAGCAATGGCCGATGGCATGGACGGGGCAGAAGAGAGGCGCGTTAGGGATGGGCAACACAAGGCAGCACTACGTTGGATGAACGGATAGATAGGTAGATGCATTCAGCATACGGAGGCAAAGTAAACTCCGTTGAAGCTTGACAGGAGCGGGAGGAGCGGGGGAAGCAGGGAGCCAAGCTTATATATCCTTTTTTTTTCTCTCCGGAATATTAATTAAGCATAGTAATAATAATACTGTGAGGAGTAATGAATTACTACGGAAGAGCCCTAGGAAATGCACTCCGTATGTAGTAATTTATTAACGTTGCTTTTGCGGTGGGTTGATACCCTATCTGCGCATGCGGATTGGCTGATCGCGAATGCCTGGTGGCCCCGCATGCTATGACACTAACCCATATCGGGTTAGTGCTTTCAGAGTGCGGTTGACGGTCACGAGCCTGTTTGCTGCGTTTGCATTGCTGCCTCATGCACGGAAAGTTATGCCTTATTTCCCAGGTGTCGAAGTAAGCACGCCGAGATTCGGTCTTGTCGGTGCTTGTTCTCGGTCTCCGAGAGATCGCTCGGAGATATGAGATAACCCCAGGAGGCTCGGTCCCCAGTGCTGGAAACGGCCTAGTGTCGGCGGTAGCTGATCCTCGGCATCAGTTGCCGAAAGCCTGCAGTTTACAAAGTACACGAAGTACACACGCAGTGCTTACAGCGGTGCCTGGGATAGTGAGATATAAAGCATGATGGCTGGCTGCTTTCACTCCCCTCGGGGCAGCTGGCTCACCCCGACTCCTGAGTCTCAAACTCCCCTGGCTCTATTTCCCCAGAATACCCTCCACCAGAGTACCCTCTTCCATATAAGCCAATATGGCCGACGCGGAGAAGTCGAAACCAGCTCCTCCAAGGCCAAGCTTCCCAGAAGGCGGCTTCAGGGCATGGATGGCTGTGCTGGCCTGTTGGTGCGTCATGTTCAATACCTTTGGATACATCAATGCTTTTGGGTACGTTCAGATAAGACGGGGTTGCAAGGAAAGCACTGACAGCGACAGAATCTACCAGGCCTACTACAAGAGCACCTTTCTGAAACATGAAAGCGATGCCAATATCGCCTGGATCGGATCTCTGCAGTCATTCTTCATGTTCGCGGCTGGTCTCGTCTCTGGTCCGATGATGGATCGTTTTGGTCCCAAAGTGACATCCTCCACCTCGACCCTAACTCTCTTCCGAGGCAGACTAACGAGGGCCATAGGTCATCATGATCCCCTGCTCCGTCCTCTTTATCCTATCTGTCATGCTCACCAGCCTCTGCAAGGAGTACTACCAGTTCATCCTCGCCCAAGGCGTCCTCGGCGGCCTGATGAACGGCCTCACATACACCCCTGCATTGACCGCAGTGAACCAGTATTTCTTCAAAAAACGCCCCCTCGCCATGGGAATTGCGTCCAGTGGCTCCTCTCTTTCCGGCATCATCATCCCCATCGCCCTGAGCCGCATGCTCAACCAGACCACCCTGGGCTTCGGCTGGTCTGTCCGCGTCATCGGATTCATCATGCTCACCATGAGCATCACAGCCTGTCTAACAGTAACCTCAAACTCGCCCAAACGACACTCGGGATCTCCATTTCTCGTCGAAGCCTGGAAACACCCCGCCTACACACTGCAGGTCATCGGTCTCTTCCTCATCGTCTGGGCTATCTTCGTCCCCTTCTTCTACATCCCCGTCTACGCCCAGTCAGTCGGCATCGGCGTCGATCTCTCCAACTATCTGATTTCCATCCTCAACGCGGGCTCCATGTTCGGTCGACTCCTCGGCGGCGCCGCGGCGAACCGTATTGGGCGCATGAACACGCTTGTGGGCACGTCGGCCATCTGCGGCATCTTGATTCTGTGCTGGTTACCCATCAAGTCGCACGGAGGGATGATCGTGTTCTCGGTCCTCTTCGGTTTCTTCTCGGGGACGTTTGTTGCGCTGTTTACGGCGACTATAGCCATGACCGCGCCGCAGCCCAATATGATCGGTTCGTATATGGGTATGGCACTGGGTGTTTTGGGCGTGGCTGCTCTTACGGGGACGCCTATTACGGGGGCGATGATCAATGACTACGGCACCTATAATGCTTGCATTATCTTTGCTGGTGTTTGCGCGCTTGCTGGTGCAGGTATTGTTTTGGTTGCTCGGTTTTTCGTTGCAGGATGGGAGTTGGTTGCATAATTATCCATACTTCATGCGTATAAAAGGTGCATATCAATCTATTACTCCCTTCTACACCAGGATGAGTTGCGGACAGTACTTAACATCAACCTAGGAAGCAAAAGCAATCAAATACTATGCTTACTCCACTCACCCCTAGCACGAATCCGCCTCCCCCAGAAAAAGAAAAGAAAGGGCACCGGAGTCAACGCCGCAGCAATGCACCCGAAAACCGTCGAGCCCCAACTCACGCCCATATGGTGATACATGGGAATGATAAAAAGAGGAAACGCGCCCGCGAGGATGGAGCGCAGGAATGTATTCGCCGCAATGGCACTGGCGCTGAAGCGGGTGAAGGTGTCGATAAGGTAGTTCAGGGCTGCTTGGAAGATGGTTGTGAAGCCGAAGCCGATGAAGGAAATGCCGATGATGGAGGGCCAGAAGTTGATATTTTTTGAAGAAGTCCCTATCATCAGTTCACCAGACAGTTAATACAAACATAAATTATGAAGTATAGCTGCTCCAGATCTTACATCCATATAAAAACATCCCCCCGTAAAAGCAAACCCACCAGCCATCATCGGTGGTAATCTAGCCTCTAGAACAGCCCTATTGCCATTCGCGCGGAATTTGCGAAAATAGTATCGATTATTCAAGATGCTGACGGCTGCAGCGAAGAGAATGCCGATGAGCAGCGCGATGAAGGGTAGACTTCCTACGACAGCACCCCAGCCGCGGTTTTCTTGTACTCGATGGAGAAGCCTTCCAGGTTTGCATAGATGATTGCTGTGTAGTAGTTTATTTTTATTTATTTATTTATTTATTTATTTTTTTTTTTTTTGAGACATAAACATACCGTAGACGAAGGCCGCGTAGATAGACATCAGAAAGCAAATCGGCGTTCCCAGCATCTGAAACGGCCGGATGAGATACTTTTGCAGTAGTTCAGACAGGGATGCGTCCCATTCCTCATGCTATTCGGTCAGTTAATATACATATATGCATGGAGAAGACTAACCTTCGCATGAAGGGCCCAATTCTTCCCCATCAACCTCATCCTCCGCGCCCTTTTCACCAACAGGGCAGGCGGATAACTCTCGTCAATAACCAGAACATCAACTGCAAACTGCGCCGTCATCAGGATTCCCGTTAAATACTCCATCCACCGCCAACCGAGGTAGCTAGACGTGAGAGCTGCGCCGACGACAGGGCCCAACGTCGGTCCCCCGACGAGGGTGACCGCGTAGCCCACGACAGCGACCCCCCTTTGCTCTGGGGACCAGATATCTGCCATTGTGCCGCCTGTGTTGGTCACCGGGACACTGCCAAAGAGTCCGGTAAAGAACCGAGTGATCAGGACGGTCTGGATATCCTTCGCTGCAGCCGTGCCGAAAGAGAAGCAAGCAGCTATGAAGTAGGGCTAGCCAAACCCAACATTAGCAGTCAGTCTTCAAACAGAAAGAAAACAAGAAACGAACAACAAGAACAGCCCATTTCCGTCCATAAACCTCACTAAGCGGCGCCCAAACCAACGGCCCGAACGCAAACCCCAAAACGATCAAACTAACCCCCGCCGCAGCCGTCTCAGTGTTAACACGGAACTCCCCAGCAATCTGCCGGATCCCAGCAGAATACACAGCCGACGCGAAGGTGATCCAGCACGTCGTCAGTCCGTACAGGACCGTCGTGACGATTTTCTTTCGCAACGGCCAGTTCATGGGTCTGTATGGATCGTCGGGACCGTCGAAATCAACTAGGGCATTTGACGAGGTAGCTTCGTATAGGAGGGGGTGGGACAGGACAATGTTTCCCGGCATTTTGAGGTGTTTCCGAGTTCTTTTGCCATTGTTCAGTGTAATCGCTTATCAGTGTCAAGGACATAAAAGCAATAAGCTGGTCGCTGCACCCTGTTAGTGGGATCATGGCGATTTATATAAGAATGTTGGCCTTGAAGACGGGGCGCATAAGGTTATCCGCACCGGCTGCGCGTAGGCGTCCCCGAACTGCAATTTGCATCTCATTTTAATATAATCGCAACACGCGGTAGATGCTTGATAGATGCTGGTATTATTAGATTCGAAGTCCCCGATCTCCCTCATTTGAACCAAAACAATGCTTACGGATATATCAGTAAGAAAAATCCAAGTCATCGTCCCTATTATCCAGGACAGGCAGACAGCAAACTAGACAGAGGTATATATAGTATAGTACATGCCAACAGATTGAACCAAATATTCCAATACCCAAGAGAAATAAAAAGACAGTCATCTTGGCACACCAATTTCATATCCCAGCAGCACCTCCGTAGTGCTACCTTCCCAGCCTCTGTGACCGCCAGCTGAGATCATGAATCGACATGCTTGGTCAATGTACAGTTGGGAAATAAGTCCCGTGCGATGCCCTGGGATGATGAGGAAGGGCACGGTTGAACGATGAGACGTCTGCTCGTGCCTCAAATCGTATAGACGAAGGATATCATGCGATGCACTGTATTCCGGTGGTTTAGTAGAAGCACCACAAGTACAAGAGGAAAAGACTACTTACCAAACGAGATGGCGCCCATTAGGCATCGCTTTGAGCGCGGTAACTGGTCCGCTTCCTTGAGGGAACTTAAAGACCCGTTCAGCGCTTCGCAGGCCCTTGTGCAGACTAAATTCCTCAACCGTGCCGTTCCGCCGGCCAGCATAGACGTAGTCACCGTTTGGAGACCAGCAGGCATTCATGCACCAAGGAGGCGCATTGTGAGGGCTGATGCGCGCAACTGGATCCGGTTGCCGTCTGTCCCATATGCGGATCGTTCCATCAATGGATGCAGCAAGGAAAGTTGTATCACCGGCAGACTGCGACGGTTGGGATGCATCGCTCGTTTGCCGGGGCATCTGCTCTAGATCCTCCGCATGCGGCAAATGGTTGACGGCGGGCTCGGACGAGATCCCATTTGGGAGTCCCATTCCAGGGTCCTCTGCTTCTGCTTTGGTGTTTGAAATGCCAGACAGGGCGTTCGCGTCAGGATTCGTATTTTCCAGGGAACCGCTGAGGTTTGTAAGCCCGTTCGTATGGTTCGGTTCCTCATGAAGACCTGTCTCAGGTACAATGCCGTTGGTGAGAGTTTCACCAAACGAACTGTCCATTCCAAAGGGACCAGACGCGCCTGTACCATCCCCAACACCGCCATCTCCATCGCCAAATAGAGAATCAGCTCCACCAAAGAGTGAATCCACCGGAGAACCCGCCTGCGGGTTGGGGCCAGCACCAAATTCATCGTGGGTGTTCCCGCCATCCATAAAACTGAATGCTCCCAGGCCATCAGCTTCGTTGTTGGATGAGTATGTTCCATTGCTGAGTTGAGGTTCGACAGTGTCTCTGGGGACCGGAAGACTCGATTCTGGCCGGAACTCTATAGCCGAAATTTGCCTGGCACTGCTTCCATATGAGCGCCTGATCTGGCCTGTATTCAGATCCCAGTCGAGAACGCGTTTATCCCAGCTACCAGATAGCAGTGACTTCTCATCAGAACTCAGGGTCAAAACCGATACAGCAGAGTTATGCTGTTGCAAGGTAGCAATCTCTTTGCCTTCCTCATGCCGGACGGACTGGAGCTTTATGCAGCCCGATTCCAACCCCGAAAGAAGCCACAGACCCTCGCTATGGCAGGCTAATGAATACACGGGTGACAAAGCATTGCCATCCATATTCTCCCAGTATGTCATGACCACACCGGCCTTTATCACACAGTCCACAAAGGGATGCCTCTGTGCAACAGTTAGCATCAACTTGCCGTTGACCGACTCCACCCAGTTGAATTTCCGGATATATCCATCGGAGCCTCCACTGAATACCCATCTCATGTCTGCGGTGGCGGATATCGCGTTGATCGAAGTGCTATGGGGAGCGGCAGTTGTCGGGACTATATCGTAGGTGGTGGCAGTCAGACATTCGGCGCGCACGGGAGGATGGAAAACGGACATCGAGGCAGCTGTAGCATTCACCGTGCTGGGAGGGATGGCAGGGTTCTGTTGAGCCTCGGAAACCTGGTCTGTGATGGAAGAGCTCTCTGCATCTTGATCCGGATCCGCATCAGCGTCCAGGTCGGGCTTGTTGTTTTCATTATCACCGTCTGCATCATCGGCATCTTGCATTGTAACATCCATATCATTATCATTGTCATTTTCAGAGCTCCCATCTTGTGAGCCTAGAAGCGAAGGAATCGAAGAAAGATGTTAGCTGGACGCGTGCGCTATCACCGGATTGCAACTCACCCGCAAGATCGCGATCGTCGTCGTCGTTATCCACGAACGAGGCCATTGTTACGTTGGTATGTACGTAGGAAACAGATGCAGAAGATGCACTGAGGAAGCTGGGCCCTTCCACGGGCGCAGACAGGTCAACGTCAACCAGGCAGCCATTTGTTGTACCTCGCAGTCGCAAGTCGCGATGCAATCAACTGTGGTTGAGGGGATGCACGTGACATCTTTTTCTTTTCTTTCTTAGGACATACGACTTTTCGACTTGCTAAGCCTTGTTTTCCTATTTTCCTATATGCTGTACTATTATTCCTTCTCAGAAGGCTAATTACTTGAGTGTATGAAAACTATCCGGAATACAATCGTTCAGCGCAGCCATCTCTTCCACACTATCCACCCACGGCGTTGTCCCGTAGCCAGGAATATCACGGAGCTCAAAGTGGTTCAGCATGTCTTCAAACATGGCATCTTCAGGCCCTGCGACCGGTCGGTCCATGAATAATGGCTCTGCAAAGATATCCGACGGCTCACCCAGGATCTGAAGACCGGCCATAGCCATGCTGGTCTCGTCTGAAGGCACCAGAGCAGGAGTGGAACTCGATCGTGGGCTACTAGGTCGGGCATGTGGACTCTCCTTCAGAGCATCATCGTCAAATGTTGCAGTGGACAAACCTCCGCCTCTCCATTGGGAAACTTGGCCAGGACGACCGGCCTTCTGCCTTTCCCGTACATACTGCGTCTTGGCCAGCAACCGCTTGACGGGTCGCCACATGGTGTCCTTCTCCTTTTTTAGCTTCCATTGATCAGCCAGGATGGTAATGTAGTTCCATGCGCGATCACATTCGGCAGAAGGTGGACGGGAGCAAATTCAGAAAGGGTAAAGGCTGCTGCCTGCCACTGGATATGAGTCTTCGCATGCCAAGCCCATCTTGAATTGCGTTTGTCCTTCAGAAGCGCCATAGATTCTTTCAAGACTTCTATCGCGAGTCGGAGAAGTTGGTCTCGTACTGTTGTCGGCAGATTGGCCTCGTCCTGACGACTCAGGGGATAGTACAGGACAAGCCATGTTTTCGCAAGGATAAGCGCGCCGTGGTTAAACAGGCGAACAAGATAGGAATCGAGTCATCACAGTGTTTCAAATAACGGTCCTCAAGTCGCTGTTTAAGCTCCTGAACCAACGCCTCGCGCTCAGGCAGTGACATGCTATTAGGTCGTTGCCTCGGGCATCTCACATTCGGCGGCACATAACAAATCTTCCAGTGAGCAAACAGGATCTCACATCGAATCAGACAGAATGTCATCTCTGTTGCACCCTCCCGTTCCGGAGGAGGCTCCGTCATGTCGCGGGTCAGGTCACTGTCGTTGATATTCAGGAGAAATTTAGTATTAAAGGAGGACCTGTTCACGATAGGCTCGCAGCCATGGTATATGCTGGATCGATTATCCAGGAAGCAGATATGCCACCAGAGACGCCGACGAAGCTCTGTCCCTAGCGGCGTCAAACCGAATTCAGTACCGTCACGGTGGAGACCCATGGCCTGCGCGATGTGGAAAACCAATGCAGTCAGCGACCACACAGTTCGAGATTCATCTTCGTTTCGGAAAGCCGTGAGAAAGATGACCATAGCCTGGAGCAAGGCCATGCTTTGCGTATTCAGCAGATCAGCGCGGGCCATGGCTTGCTGGACAGCAAAATGATAAGTCACCAGGGCACGTTTGCGGGATACTCCAAGGACGCTGAAGCACTGCTCGGAGTCCATGCTTATCACGGCAGAGTAGTAAACAGCAAATAGAAGGGCCTCTGTATCCTTGTCCAAAGAATCCAACGAGGCAATGGCATCCCAGTAGATACTCACCAGGGTGGGAATGTGGAAGATCAGCACCACTGGAGCGACATTCTCCTTGAATACTTCAAGGAGTGCCACCGACTGCGACAGAGGCGGGTGGTATTCACGGAGCGAGCGACAGACTGCCCGAAAGCCCATGATGGCCGCATTGGCATCGAATGGCATGGCTTCTTCGGGGGCTGACTCGTCCAGAAACGTATCGCTATCCGTCTCCAGTGGTGGTTCATAGAAGAGTAGATCACGCATCTCTTCAATCTAAGCATGTTGATATTGAGCAGACGTGCCGTGATGAAAGGGACGGAGGCGTCCAATTTACCTCATCACCCATACTCGCCAAGAGAGAATTGCTAATATAGCAACTTCGTGTTTCATCAATCAGAAGACGGCCTGGATGCCGTTCGATACGTGTATTTGTGCTCAGAGACGAGAGTGATTCGGAATCTTGATCGTGGTCGTCCGGCATCTGTAGCTGCTGATTCAATTCAGAGGATGTAGCAGTAGTACCCTTCATCCTCTGACCTTCTTGTCGTTCCAGATGCCTGATCATCGTCTCCAACCGCGACAGCCGATCGAGCAGTCGCGCATCCAGCGCAGTCCAGAGCCGCTTGGGAGCTCTCCCAGGCCCGGGTGGATAGACACATTGGATCCCTGCGCGAACGCATATGGCACACGGTTGTTTGCGGTCGCATTTTACCTGATGCTTGTCGCATTAACATTGAGTTCATGACAGCTCCGAAACCAAAATGACGGATGCTGTTGGATGCTACGAGGGTAAAGCTCACCTTCCGATGCCGGCAGGTTGTACAGCTGCGCGGATGAGAATGCGGTGGCCAAGGAGGCACATCGGCCTTGGACACAGTTGAGGAAGCGCTACTCATGCCGACTTGGCTAGCCCTGGTGATGATAGGGATGGGGAAGAGAGCAAATTCCCCGACTACTCTTGTCTGTTAAAGGAGATGATGACGGTGCGGCGATCGAGAGCCACCGCCGATGCCAAGACGGATAGCCCTATGCGACGCCGACGGACTGGGGCGAGTGATCCTCCCGCGAAGACTGTCTGGGGACGGCGTAGTAGGATTGGTTTCTACTGCTGCGTTATGTGTTAATAGACGAGGGTGAGTCTATCGCTGAGCGCAACGAGGCATGTTTCGAACGCCTACTACAAGACAGCAATCGCCTGTCACATTTGCGCTATTTCCGATAGCATGCGGTACATGGAAACGGCACGACAGGCTTTTTTGATGGTCCTGAACGCTGGAAGCTGGCATTAGATCGGTCATCTTCAGGTAGTGTAGGAACAGGAGACTAGAATTCCCAAGGTAGGTGGTTGGTTTAACCAAGATAATCGGCTACCTCGCCGTCTTCAAAACATTAACAAATCAACATTTCTTCCAACATCAATATAGATGGAGCTATATAGACCGTTTCTTATGGCATTGGAGTCGATTATGGCCGATCTGGTGGCAATCGCTGCATGTTGGGGGCCTGCGAGACCTCCCTAATGGCAGCTGTCGTATTTCCTCCTCTTCTCGAGCTCTTGGCAACCCTTCAGCGGCTAATAAGCTGTCACCATTCTGAATGAAGTGCGCAGGCCTTTGCTGCTGCTGCTGCTTTTGACGAGCAGATTCAGCCCGAAGCCGATGGAGCTCTTCCTGCAGTAAGATAGCATTCCGCATGACCATCTCAGCACCCTTGATTATCTTGCTCACTGCTTGATCCACGGTAGTGAGAGACATTGCTCGATAGCTCTGAAGATGTTGAACTTGCTTCTTCTGCTTCTCCAGCTCATATATATTGGCTGGGGTTTCCCTTATACTAAAAGACTTCGAATTGGCGCTATTCGCCGTAGACGGTGGTGTTAGTGTCTTCAGCTGGAGATAAAGCTTGGAGGAGACTCGCTCAGGTGATAAAGGAACCAAGCCAGTTGCTGTGAAGCCACTTTTGATATTTGAAGCCGATAAAGTATGCTGGTGGACTGTCGGATAAAGATATAGGAAGTCCTCTTTGGTGATTGATTGGATCCCTTGCTGCATTAATTCCTGGACCTTCTGACCATATAAGTTCTTTGTTGGTCCAAAACAGCCAACATCCAGTGGCTGGAGAAGATGTGAAGAATGAGGGGGTAAGTATAAAGGGATAATCATCCTCTCAGTACAGAATTTATCAAATGAAGCTGTAGCATAACTGCTATGCCCATCAAGGATAAGAAGCCGATATCGTCCAACTGTGCGAGAAGCTGTAGCCGGCTCGAACACTTTTTGAAGCCATTCAAAGCCAAGCCCATCATTTGTCCAGCCATCCTTGCTGATGCTGATTGTATAGTTGCCTGGGATATCATGATGCCATCTAGACTGGTGACTCTCCGCAGCAAGGATGATTTGGGGAGGAAGAGCCCATCCAGTAGCATTTATAGCAACAATTGCAGTCGCCCATTCCTCATTCCCAGGCTGTACAGCCTTAGCATCAATATTTCTTCGTATATCAGAGCCACAGACCACTTTAGCTGTGGAGATGATGCCAATTTGAAAGCCGGTCTCATCCATGTTGTAGATATCCTCTGACAGAATCCCATACTTCTCAACAGCATCGTTAACCCGTTGAAACCAGTCCTTGATAAGCTTTGGATCTTCACATTTAGCTCGCTGGTAATCATGCATTTGACTAAATTTGGATTTGAGCTCTGGACGGCGTTTTATATAGCGTGCTACCCATTTCTCACCAATGGGTTTGGAGGAAGATGGGATTCGGGCCGATAGTAATACCTGAACCAGATGGCGCACGGCAGATATTTGAAGAGGTAGACCACGTTTCTCCATGTCCAGAATCCATGCTGAGAGAGTATCTTCTTCAGTATCGGTCAATTTCCTGCAATTGGCAATTTTTTCCTCTCGGGGAGCTACCCCCTTAATACGGTCCTTCAAGGTTGAGGGAGGAACATCATAGGTTAATGCTGCCTTCGTAATTGACAAGAAGAGGCCCTTTTTATAAGCTTCAAGCGCGAGCTGCAGCCGTTGCTCCTTTGGTAAGGGATTCATTGTTGTATAGCTAAAAAGTATCAAGAAGGGTGTCCTACGGTCAGCTCGTTGGCCGGACGGTTCGGCTGTGATTACGTTAGACTGATGGGTCCGCGTGCTTATGTAATCTACATGATTAAGTAATCGTCAAAAATGCAACCACCGGCCTGCGATAAAGCAACACCAACTCCAATGCCTCCAGAGCACCAATTCCAACGCTTGTTACATTAAGCTGATTATAATACATCTAAATATCGTAGAGGGCATGTCCTTGAGATCCTTATACGGCCAGTTGCACTACAATGCGTGGGCACCTTTCTTCGCGGAACATATATACTCCGGATCCGGGGCTGGATCATTAGATAATCCACCTGTCCGAAATAGTTGCTATATCCTCATCAAATCGATCAATCAATCTAGCTATCCATCGCCCTACTTTCTTACGTCAACAGGCTCATCATCTAGATCGACAATCCTGGAGTTCTCCTGCGGCGTACATCTCCTGTAGTGGGTCGGATAGGCCTCCAGCATGTTCATCATATAGATGCGACGACACCACGTCTGGTCCCCTTCATATCATCCCTGGGATTTTCCATTGGTTTCCCAGAATGGCAGGAATGCTGGAGTCCTAATGCTCCTTGCAGGAGAAGACGCGCCATAGCAGCCGCAGCTGTATTATACGTCGTAATGTCTTCCACGTCTCCACTCTCCAGTGTTTTCCTCGTGCTAATTTTCAAGTTTGTCGATCGGCTCCAATCCAGGAACTTATTTGTTGCGGAACAGGCAGGCTTCGTGGGGACTGAAAATCGAGGCAGCGTCCTGGATTCGTAACAGCAACGTGCATCTAATTAAACAACCATGCATGAACCCAAGCCGATAGCAGCAAGAGCAGGCTCCGTTTCTTAATATTCAGATCCTGCCCGCCAGACATGTTCTCGTCCAACCACCGTTGCATGTCCGGTCGTTGCGGAGAAGGATTGTCCAATCCGCCGACTTGATCATACTGAACTATACGCAGATCTCCCATAGTATGCGCATCCTTGTTCTTCCTTATGATCCTCCTGTTGATCCTTGCGCTGATGCAGTAACTGGTGTATGCGTCTGAGAATCTCATGTCAGCACTGCTTACCCGTCCTCCATACTAATGGACAGGTGTGGGCGTTGTTGTGGTGACCCAGCCAGATTCAACAAATAGACAGAGTGACCTGGTGTATATAAGTCAAATATGATGCCTTGGAGTATTTCCTCAGGGACCATCGAGTCATGGATTATTTACATCCACCGTTTATCATGTTGACCTTCATCGTAATCTTGTTCATTACATTCGCAAACGCTTACTCCCCGGGCCCATGTTCAGGGGACTGCCAGGCACTTGATCCAGCTCTCATTCAAAGACAGAGTGATGGCAAGTACTTCCGCTTCTCCACCGGCGGAGGCGTCTCTATCACGACAGCCGGCAAGCTGGAAGGGCCATGGACACAGCAGGGCGAAGCATTGCCCAACGGCTCCTCCATCCACATTTCGGGGGTTGACAGCGACAACCTTTGGGTGAGCATGACCCCTTCTATCTTCAAACCGCTGTACTACAGCTAACAATTTCTCCCAGGCACCAGATGTCCACTATGAAAACGGCATATATTACATGTACTACGCCATTTCAGCCGATAGTAAATCGACCTCGGCCATCGGCGTAGCCAGTTCCCCATCCATGGAGGCCGGATCATGGGAAGACCACGGCGGCATCGGTGTCGGAAGCAACAGTGACAGTCGCTACAATGCCATCGACGCCAACTGGATCTCAATTCAAGGACAGGCCTATCTCAACTTCGGCTCGTACTTCGACGGCCTTCAGCAGGTGGAGATGCTGGATGCACTGAACAGGAGCGCAGAATCGACTCCGCACCAGATAGCATATAACACGACCGATGGCTGCAAGGAGGAGGCATCCTTCATGGTTGAGCGTGATGGCTTTTACTACCTTCTGTTTTCGTCGGGCATCAACGAGTATCCGAATAACGCCAAGGTTCCAAGGGGGGAAGAATATCGTATAGTCATCTGCCGCTCAACAACCGGAACGGGTGATTTTGTAAGTGGATTCTTCGGTCTATGTAGCCTGATACGCTTATGACGTGACACCTTGCTGACTTCTCAGGTCGATGCGAGCGGCCATCCATGCACGCAAAGCGGAGGGACAACCCTACTCGCAAGCGACGGACGTGTCTACGGTCCAGGCGGACAGTAAGGACCCAATTTACTGATGTATAGGCACATCTTAGGACAATATACTAACAATATCGCATCTAGGGGCGTCTACAAGCATCCGCAACTGGGCTACATCTTGTACTATCATTACGCAGACGAAAACATCGGTCTCTCTCGTTCCGATTTCCAGTTCGGCTGGAATTATCTGTGCTGGACGCAGGATAACTGGCCGATTGTGTGTGATTCTCCTGGCCAAAATTGAGCCCTGGAGACTGTCGAAGAATAATTGTTATAGCCGGATGAGTGCATATATGCTTGCAGGGCATGGTCCGTTCGTGTATATATGGGGAGATACATGAGTATTTAATATTAATTTCTAGTATATTTCAGACCAAAACGCAGGCCATGGCGATGGATGTCTGTATACAGCGTGCATTACGACTGTCAACCAGTGCGATCCGTCTACCTGGGATTTGTCCTTTCTAACCGAAGTGACAGAAACAGAGAAGAAAGTCAAGCCTATGACTCTTTCATCCGGCAGCTAAGCTCAGCCATTCTGGTCCATTACAGACGCTCCCCCCTGGAGCTAATTTGCAGCAGTTACCGGGATCTGGACTACATGTGAAGCCGTCCAGCGCCAATTATAGTCAGTGTAGTAAACATTAAAATTGACCGGTTGAGAAGCTGTAGATATACAAGAGGAAGACGCCCTTATCCACCCTTCTCTGCCGGCGTCTGTTCGTCGACGAAAGAATATCCGGGAAATAGCATGAAGTTGGACAGCCCGTATACCACCAGACATACCACTCAACCATTATTCGCCTGGTTAACCATGCAGTAATCGATATTATGCACGCTCTGATCGGGATTCCCAGCCCAGGTCCTAGTCACCGTTAGCAAAGAACGCAAGATCCCGACAGGGCGAGGAAAACGTACGGGAAAGGATGAACAGAACCACCATCCCCGAAAACCGCAAACGTCAAAATAAAAACACAAATCTGCGTCCCCCCATCCAAGGCCGCAGAAACAATATAATTGTACTTGTTAAACAAATGCGGATGATACCTCCTTAGCCAAAACTGCGCCCCGAACCCGAGAATAAAATACGACAGAATCGACGCGTTGATGCCCGTGCACAGCCAACCCAGATACCACAGGATGATAGATGGGTTGATGTACGACCACGCGCGATGCGGCCAGATACGGTTGGCGATCCAGAAGGGGAGTGGCACGGCGAAGCCGATGAGGTAGGACAGGGTTACCCATTGGTAGCGGCCGCCGACGGAGAAGAGGTCGCCGGCCATGCTCCAGGCGATCGCTAGGGTGTTGAAGGCCTGAACTTGTGCACCGCTCCAGATGTTGGTGCCTTGGATGGATTTCAGGATGGGGCCTTGGTCTTGGACAATTCTGGTTTCCGTGTTAGTTGAAGGACGGTGCATTCGCACTATCGCAGGGAAGAGAAGGGGCCTACGTCAACATCATGACAAAGTTGAACAACGCTCCGATCAGACACCCCAGGACTTGCACGAAGAATGTGCACCGGGGAGAGACGTGGGTATTCTGTGCCAGTCGGAGGTCTTTTGCCAGCACCTGGCCCTGTTGGAGCGAGTTGTACGTGTAACAGGTGAAATATAAATCTGCGATGATGATGGTGTTAGGGCACACGAACCGAACTCGAGGGCAAAAACAAAACAAGCTTACTAGCCAAGGGCCTCTTTGGAAACATATAACCAGCAAGCATCTGACACACTGGCTGGACATTAAACTGGAAGCCCGTGAGCCCGTACTGGGCCCCAAAGAACAGCATGAAGAGCAGCGTGAGCAGGTTGCTGACGATGAACCCCCACCACGGCAGGGTAGACTTCATCGCATACAGACACCCCAGGCCGACGGCAAAGTTGATGATGAGGATGGCAGCCCACCACCACTGTGCGGTGTCCTTGTACCCGTTGCGCAGCATGAGCCGGTAGTGCGGATCGAGATTCTCGTCATTAAGCTGCCGCTGCAGTTCGTCTTCGGCCTGCTCTTCCTGCGCCCAGAATTTGTACGTGGAGGGCGTGAGCCACTTCTTGATTCTGCTGGGAGCGGCCCATTCCCAGCCGGATTTGATATCATCCCAGTTCCACAGGAGCATGTAGACGAAGGTGGCGGTGACGCCTGCGTTCGTGGTAATGATGCTCGCCAAGTAGGTGGCGGTAAGCCACGGCAGACCCTGTTCTTTCAGCTTCACGTCGTCGATCTCGAAGGACGGCCCTAGGATGAGGGACTGGTTGTACTGGTGGTAGTACGTCGAGTTCGAGTCTCCGTAGAACGGCAGCTGGGAGAGGAAGGGGAAGTCCCTTGCTCGCCAGACATTGCCGTAGTAAAGGCCCATGAAAAGGATGATGCAGCCCAGATAGCCGATGAAGGTGTTGGTCATGGCCTGCAGGGGATACCACAGGGGCGAGCCGAGAGAAGCGACGTAGTTCCAGTCGAAGGAGAGGGACAGGAACCCCAGACCCTCGTTTCCCGACGCACCGCCGAAGAGGTTGGTGAAAACGAGGTTATGTTGGTCGGCCAGACAGAAGATAGAGAACCCCTCGAGAACGGAGAAGATGTACTCGGGCACAATCTCCCACAGAAGCATAGCAAAGAAGACATAGTAAAACACCCTGATTCGCTTCTTGGACTCCGCTCGATCCTTATGGAGAGACTCTAGCAAGCTGCTAATCGGGATAGTCATCGGGTACAACATCTTCGTCGGACGCACGATGATATCCCTCAGCAAACCGCCAATACCGTATCCGATCAGCTGGGAGGACAAGGTGATGAAGACACCAGCCGCCCTGCTGGGATAACCGCCGTAATAGAGCTCCTGGGCGGCCAGCGCCTCCGTGGCCAGCGCCGACTGGCCCGCAGCAGACGCCATCAGGGCTATGGCAGCGTGTTCCTTGCCGTTGAAGGGGCCGGGGTTCAGGAAACGACCGATACGGCCCCTGCGAGGGATGAGGAAGGCCATGGCCTGGCCGAGTGGATAGGCGAGGACCGTCAGAAAGACCTGGGAGACGAGGATGACCTGGGGTTTGAAGTAGAAGATTTCCTGGAGGACACCAGCGAAGATGGAAAAGCCAACGCCTGGGCCACGCGGCCAGTCAGCGCCGCATTCCAATATCAAGCGGCGAGGATAGACATACCGAGGAAGAGCATGCGAAAAGTCCACGGGCTAATTGAGGGATCATCATCGACGGCGATGACCTCCGCAACGATATCCTTCGCATCTTCGAGGACACTGGCCCGGCGGCCGGTGCCGCCCTCGATATCAGTAACCTGACCCAGGGGGCCCTTTTCCTGTTTGCTGTCAAGACTGGGCGAGTCTGAAGAGTTTTGGCCATCGGCGACGACACTGTCGGCCGTGGCGAAGCGTTTGACGTCCTTTTCTGGCATCTCCATGACGGCCAGATTCCGGATCCAGGGGTTGGGAGGGAGGAAGCAGACCGGATCGAATGCACCACTACGGCTATTATATTATATAGATCCTGGCAGCAGAGATAAGACGAGCATCCCATTACTACGCCGGCTGATTCAAGTGTCCATGCACCGAACATTCCGCGGCGCATCTATGGTATCGTTTACGGGGCATTCGTTCCCCGGAAGTGCCATGAATGCCACCAGTGATCGCGACTCGCGGACTTCCGACGGGAATGGCTATGATCCATTTCTCACATTCCAATGGACGGCCGAGGATAAGAAATCCCCTGTGCCGGTGTGGGTTGGGGCCAGGCTACTCGCTGTAGCGCATGCCGATCGTTGGGTTGCATGGCGCCTGCGATAAGTATGGGCACCCACGGAGCATGCCTGCTGGCTTGCGCTGGCTTGCGCTGGCTTGCTCGATTCCTGTGAGAATGCTGGATACCGCAGAATGTCGCCCGTGTTGATCTGGTTGAGCCGGGGATCCTTCAGCGTGCTTCTCTCTCGGGCATCGAGCCTGGATGGCTTCACGATGCGCAAGATCTGTGCTGGGAGAAAGCCAAGCCTGATTGCCACAGCGGATACTCCGCTAGAAGCCACTGCCGGATGCTTGGTGTGCTTAGCGAAAGCTTCCTTGCCGGTTTCCAGTGCTACCGTCGTATCCTGATATACCGTGCGCGGATTATGCCGCATACGGGATGCTTGTCATTGTCGTTATTCATTATCATTCCTCGCTCTGGGATGGCCTATCTCTGAATTACACTGCAGCCACCAGCGCCACTGTCTCAAATGCGCCTGTCCGGCGCGCTGCGATGGCTGCCGGTGTGAGGGCTTTGTCTAACGAATCGGACGATTGACGTCGCCTGGCTCAGTGTCCTTCCAGCGTGGCCGGGAGCATGCAAAGTGAATGGGATCGGAAGGTGAGCCCAAGAATCTACGGCCTTTTTGTGGTTTGATAAAGTACCTCAATTCATCTTTAGCGATCTGTCTAGGAATGCCAGCTGTTCAGCGCATCGTCGCCAACGGTCTTCCTGACAAGGCAATCGCTGAGAGACCACAGTCGCGCCCCAAGCTCCCCATCGCTGGCCTGGGAGCTTTCCTTGCCGAGTTTGCCCTGTCTCGGTCAGTCATGCCATTACATGGGTTCCGTGACCTTGGCCCTTGGGTTCAGGAGCGTACCGGATTGTTCAAGTATACCCCGTTCCACTGCTTCTCCTCGACTTCCGGGCTGGTAGCAGCGTACCAGGTGCAATAGGCACCCTGCTCGGGGCTCCGGCTCAGCAGGATACTGATATCAGTCACAATCTCCCCGGCGAGGTTGGCATACGCTTCTCGGAAGTGTCGCAGCATGGCCGTATTGACCTGTTAGATCTCAGCATCCATCGCTCAGAAGCACAGCCATTCTGGAATTCTTTGCTCACAGCCCCCGGATGCAGCGCAATCGCATAGACGTTATCCCGATTCGGCTTGATCACCCGCTCGTGCAGTCCATACTTCACTCCGAGAATCATGGCTAGTTTCGACCGTGCGTACAGTTGCACCGGCCCCAGCTTCGGGTCATTGATCTCCTCGATCGACCCAAACGCGACAGACGACGGGGCTAGTCGGTGCATCTCGGATGACTCCAGTATGATCCGTGCCGCAGGGGCTCCGGGCAGCGAGGCCGTCTTGCGCAGCAGCGGATATAACAGGTTAATCACGTAGTATTGACCCAGCCAGTTCACGGAGAAGTGACGATCAAGTCCTTCCTCGGTGAGTTTAAACTGAGCCGCGTTGATCCCGGCGGATAGAACCAACTGGACATCATCACCACCATCATCATCTGCTAGCAACTGGTACCGAAACCAGCAGGGGATGACGTACCAGATCCAACCGCTTCTCCATCTCACAAAGCCGCGAGAAAACGGTTCTCGTCTTCTTCAGATTCTCAAAATCGCAATGATGCCATTCCACCTGCGAATCGAGCCCGAATTCCTCTTTCAGCTTCCGCACGGCATTGTGTCCGCGTCCTTCGTCGTAGCTGACGAGAATGACTTTTCTGGCGTTGGCTTTGAGGAAGCCTCGTGCGACATTGAACCTGTGGATGGATTTAGCAGGCTTAGTACGGGCTGCTTGCTTCGGTAGAATCACCCTATGCCTTGCGATCCCCCTGTGATGACGGCCACTCGCCCACTCAGACTGTGAAGTTCTTGTTTGGGACCGATGATGGATCCGAATACTGACTGCATTGTGGAAACGAGTTACAGGATGGAGGAGATACATCGAGGGAGAATGCACGAGAGATATGGCCGATGATGCCACTGTTGACTGCATCGCGAGGGTGACGTTTTGTGACGCAAGTACGGGATAGATTCATCCGCCTCTCACGAACCCTTGGTTCTAGACAGGACAAAGTGCGAGCCTCGTCCTTGCTCTCGTTCTGGCACGGACTGTCTGGATGGCGCAGAACGCGAACGCCAGCTTCATCGTCGCCCGGGTTGGAAGGGGCTATGCGTTTGACTCGAGTGGATCAGAATAGCCCTGATACGTGCTCACCTACACAACTATCCCTGCTTCAAGTGACGCTGTAAGCGTCGAGAAAATTGCACCTCCAGGCCGGGCGTTTAATCTCGTTTAGAGCGAGTGCGACATAGAAGATGGATTTGGCATGGATGGATAAAGACGACGCGAAGGAACCCGAATGCAGATATGATCAAGCAGGAATATCCGTCACTGTGGCCAACAGTGCGTCTCCCAGCTACCTTATAAGCGGGGGACAGTATGCAGCATAAAACGAATTCCGTGCTGGATTCTTTTGTGGATGTATTCAAGGATAATGTCACTGCCATGAGGCGGGCGTGGGCATAACGTTCACGAACTTCGTTTCATCATTGTGTATATACTCTCTCATATCGACAATATTAAAAATGAAGACGGAGGTAGCTTGGCTTCCCTTCTGGTTCATGTTTGAAAAGGAATGTATAGAATGGTAGGATGCATATACATGCTCCAATATCATCCAAACCCCCGACGACTCCACGGCGCAAACTCACTCGTCGCCGTCGCAGCCGGATCGTCCATGTCCAGCTCAGCCTCGATACCATCGTCCTGCTCGGCAGTGTGAACCACCTGCAGAGACAGCTGTGGATCCTTAGAATAGACCCTCAACCCGACGACGCAGATAGCGTTCCACAGGGTGTCATGGGTCTCTTGGATCTCACCGGATGGGCCTGGTGGGAGGCTCTGTCCAGGATTGTCCGGGGGCATGTCGATATCTGAATCAAATTCAAACCCTTCTAGTAGCTCCTCGTCCTCGCTGTCAAGACAGTTCGTTGCGAGACGGGTGTCCAATGAGGGACGGCTCCTTTCGAATCCGAGCCTGATGCGCTTGGAGCTGAAGGAGCTGTCTGTTTGAAGGGTAAGTCGACGTTTACGAACGCCGTTGGTGCCGTTGCCGTTCATGGCCGACTGCACACCGTTACCATTACCATTCGCTTGCTGCTGTGTGGAATCTCCGTCCAGTCCATTACTTCTGAACGAAGGAAGTCTTCCGGCCAGGATATCTGCATGTCTTCGCTGTCGAGCTGCGCGTTTCCGCTCCACGATCCACTCTTTCTGCATCTGCCGCTTGATATCATCACGTAGCTTGTTCCTTTCAGCTTCCTTCCGACTGCCCTCGTGCTCTTCACGATCTCGCTTCTCCTTGTCGGTCTCCGCATTCAACCCCTTTAGATGTGCGAGGTCATACGACAATCCGATCTGGAAAAGCTTATGCCGTTTTGTTAACGCGTACTCCCGCACGATGTCTTCAGTCGGTCTGCCCTCGTTTCGGTGCGCGATGACCTTCATGAGAACGTAGTAGCGTCCTGGTTCAAGGGTGATCTCGGCATTTACAGACCGAGCCATCAGATAGCTGGTCTGGCTGCGAAGGAGGTATCCTTTCTGGCCTTCTTTTTGGACTCGGAATTTCAGGTAGAAGTTATACTCTCCGGCCAGTCCTTTGAAGTACCGCGTATCCAGCTGATTCGGTTAGTAAGGATGCTTGGCCACGGGTGCAAGCAAAGAAGCTCACCTGCGAGAGGACTATCACGACAGGACTAGTCTTCTTGATATCGATCAGGAACCTGGTGCTGTGGTATCGAGCGGACCAGGGAACATTCAATGTCGTCCAATGCTGAGTAACTCTCCAGTCCGATCCAAACAGGCGCGTTCTATCGAGATGCTGGTACCGCTTGAGGAAATCCTCGTAGGAGATCCAAAAGAACTGGCCGTCCACAGACCAACGTCAGCACGCTCTTCAGAGTCTGCGTAAGTAAAAGAATGTGTATCGTACCCCATCGTTGCCAAATGTATGGCCCAACTTCTCCATCCACTCCGTCGTCCATTCCGCTGAGCCATCGCTCCACGCGCCCTTCCATTCTTTCTTCCCCCAGGGGTTCCTCAGCCGGAGTAAACGCTGGCCATCGACCTCTCTCGCCTCCATAATGGAGTAGGAGTGATTCTCGGCAATACCCTGTCTATCCCTCGGGGGACCCTTGTACGAAGGATAGAGCCAGTTTGTAAATAAACCAGTTCCACAGCCGAAGAGAAACTCCTTGTTGACTTTCATGAGTTCTTCGGTCCAGAACCTGTCCTTGTCTAAGATGTCGCTCAGCAGTACTTCTGAGGTTACGCCGCCGGTGAAGTCTTCCACAGCCTCTCTGGAGATGGCAATTCTGTGAGATGGAGACAATACTTAAACATATACATATATTGGTAGGACTTACCCTACAAGTCCACCTTCAATGGCAGAGTAATCACCATGAGCCTTTGCATAGGCCTTTTCAAGCAATGGCAGCCACGTTTCATTCTCGTCATTGCATTGAGCGAAATACAGAGCCCGCGAGCCCGTCTGGAAGGCTTTGCGGTATTCTTCCTCTGCGTTGGACCGGTTGATATCGTCCCATACAGGGCGCTCATCCATTGACTCGTCATAATCGGCAGCTCGCATGTACAGCTGGTCATCGACAATGCAGTGTTTCCATTCACCATCTAGCCTGCTGTCAGCATGGTTCGGACGAGCGTGAATGATTACCTAGGTGAATGTCTACGGGTATACCTCGATAGAAGACGAAACCGTAAACACCGACTTTCTCATTGCGAGCCACGCATATCTTCTCAATAAGACCCCTCTTATTCCCCATGGTCGACAGGGCAGCCATGGCCCAGCAGTCGCCATCACGACCCTGGCGTACATCTGCGGCCGTGGGACCATTGACGAAGAACTGCGGGTTTTCAAAGATCTCCTAGATTCGGTTCATCAGCAAATTCATCCCGCTATGCGTTATAAGGAGCTAACTGACAGTAACCCTCTTAACACCCTTGGGAAACATCTCATCATTCCTCTCCTCCAACCCATCCAGGTAATTCCGCGTGTTGGACTTCAGATCAACCTCGAGATTAAAATGCGGATCCGTGTACTTCTGATTCACCCGCTCACACTCGACAGAAATGCACAGCACAGCGCGCCGGCATTCCCTGCACGCCTCTTCGTACGACTTGTCGACATCCTGGCCTTGGATGAAGCCCGAGGCTGGGGGCTTGGTCAGGGCATATGGATTCTCGGGAAGGACGGTGAAGACTTTTCCGGGAGACTTGGAGTTGAATTGGTCCCAGAATCGTCGGACGGTTTCTTGGGGGTTTGATACTCTTGATTGAATCCGATTCATGTTTGCAGGCCTTCCAGAGTGTAGTGTAGGAGGAGTGTTACCGTCTCGATCATGCCGCGGGCTCAGACTTTATAGATACTCGGTAAGATGAGGGACGATCAAGACAAAAGATAAAGTCTCAAGACTCCAGAACTCTAAGAGCAATTCAGATAAGTTTCATCATTCCAGAGACTCAAGCTGAACGGCCGTGGTCAATTAATCAATGGGAAACACAACCTGGCATATCAGGCTGAAATACGGCAGGTCTCGATCATTTTAACATCTCTTCTTTGAAATTTCATTTACTCCAAAGTCAACTCCCGGGCGAGGCTGAGCGAAACTACATCCATACTATCATTACTATGAATAGTTCCCTAGTAAGCACTATTGCAGGGATGGTCGAATCAACTGCTGCACCGGCACGATAACTCGGACACTTTGCTGACCCAGGCGCAGAAGGATCGCTAAGGACAGATTATCTTTCTTATTGCCAGACGCCGTGCGCAATTTTCGACGTTTCACTCGCGATGTTTAGAGGCAGCGCATTTCATTTTTAGAACCTCACTGCAGCTCGCTCTCGGCAAGTTACGTCTACTATTCGAAGCCCATAACTGACTGGTCCAACCGGTGTCATCCTCGTTCGAGAATGTTCGCCAGCCTTGCAGACACGAGCTGAATGCTAGACAAGATGCGACAGTACATGCAACTGCAATACTCCATTAGGACAAATAATTAACATACTTGAACGGACGGATATGCATGCTCGGGTTCGTTCAAAAGAGTTTCCTTGACACCCAGTAGCCTAACCTCTCCCCATGTTACTCCCCACATAACGCCGTGAACAAAAGAGAAAAGAAAAAAGAGAAAGAAAAAAAAAAAAAAAGAAAAGAAAAGAAAGGGGTCAATCCGCGAATATCAGTGAAATAAATGCGGGTAGAGTTTACCACCAGCCACAGGCGGCAGACCGAACCATTCGGTGATACTGTGCGAAAGCTGACACCGCATGTAAGACTGTAATAATCAACTGAAAATCATTGCCTTAATTGTACGCAGCCTTTCTCTGGCCAGAATAATATGAACTCCCGTGCTGGAAATAAGGGTGCATGCACGCCTGCTTGGCTGAGATTCGTCGCGCCGGATCGTACTCGAGCAGAGCGTCTAGGAGATCCAGTCCATCTTCGTCTAGACCAGGGACAAGTGCTCGCGACTCGGAACGTCTCCACTTGGGGAATGTCGGCTTGAAATCGGGGAAGGACGTAACACCGGGCCAGGTAAGTTCGTCAGGAGTACCAAGGAGTCTGCAGACGCGAAGACGGAAAGTTAGTCTACCAGTGTCACGACGGGCGACAACAGAAAGAACATTACCGGAAGATCTTGAAAATCTCGTCAATCTCGGAGTCACCGGGAAACAAGGGTTTGCGAGTGCACATCTCAGCGAAGATTGCACCGACTGCCCACATGTCGACACCAGTGGAGTATTGACGTCCGCCAAGTAGAATTTCAGGAGCACGATACCACAATGTGACGACCTGGCCAACAAGTCAACCCATGCTCAAACTGCCCAAGGAATGCAAAATTAGTGCTGGGGCATTACCTCATGAGTGTATGTTCTCAATGGCACTCCAAAAGCTCTTGCCAGACCGAAATCAGCCAACTTCAGGTTGCCTTCCCGGTCAATCAGAAGATTCTGTGGCTTCAAGTCTCGATGCAGCACGCGATGGCTATGGCAATAACGGATTCCTTCCACGAGCTGAGCCATAAACTTCTTAACCATAGCATCTCCCAGACCCATGTTCATATCCAGCCTTGACCCATCGGGAAGGGCCTTGCCCCGTCCTCCTTCGCTGACTGGAAGTGCCTCCATGTACTTCTTGAGATCGAGATCCAAGAACTCAAAAACAAGATAGAGCTTGTGGCCATCTGCATGGACAATGTTGAGTAGTCGCACGATATTCGGGTCTTTCATCTCTTTGAGCAGGGATATCTCGCGGATGGCAGTGCTGGGAACGCCTTCATCCTCTGCTTCCAGCCGGATTTTCTTCAGGGCCACTATACGATTGGGGTGGCTAAGCTCGCGAGCCTTGTAGACCACTCCATATGTTCCTTCACACGAATTGTATGTCAGTTCATATTTACGACTGGAGCAACGGCCACTGTGCGTTGCTGCCGCGGGACCATGGGCACTTACCCTCTCCAATCTTCTCAATCTTCTGGTAGTTCTCCATGATGACGATGCAACCGCACACAGTCACCAGCTACGAGCGATGAAAATCAAAAAAGAGAGGCAGTCGCTGCAGTTGGTAGAGGCCGAATGCGTTTGTCCGCTTCACACCGAGCGAGGGACGCGGTGACCGTTGCCAGGGAGAGAAAAGGCAAAATTTTAATGGTCCGACACGGGTTCTCGATTGGGCCAGGTGGAACGAACGGCTTGAAGAGGAACTCCAGCGAGGGTATTTACAGAAGCAATTGGATGTCAATTGAGCACGATGATCGAGATAGAAGCAGCGTCAATTACAGAGTATGCGTAGAGTCCAGAGAAGAGGCTCTTGTTTCTCAACGAGGGGCCCAAGGCGGTAAATAAACAAACAGGCACTTTGGGGGGCGGTGAGCGCCACATCACGTGATTGTTACACGTGACGCACATGTTACGTCAAAGAAGAAAAGAGTGCTGCAAGAGTTCTGTCTTCCTCGTCTCCTGGGATGCAACACCGAATCAACGACTTTCTCTCGTCTATGGACCCATCGCTGTGCCATATCCACCTCAGTGAATCATCTCGTCATGGCGCAGATTAGAGGCCTCAACGCCCACGACCGTCCTCCAGAGGTCATCCGGCAGCAATACAAGAAGTACGTCAAGATGCCGTTGTCGGAGGTCGAGCTCGATCCTGGCATAATCGATCCTCGAGCATTGGATCCCGATTTTTTGCCCGAGGAGATTTTCCTCGTGGGTATGATGTCCAGCAAGGACCTACGACTGGCGTTCGACCAATTTATCAAGGGAACGACCGCGGACGCAGCGCATTCAGGGAAAGGCCGTCTGGTTGAGGATCTGCCTATCTTCTCACATAAGGCAGTGACCGGTCCGTTTTGAACTCAATCTGCGATGCCACGTGTGGTGCATACACCAAGGAGACCCATCTCTAATTCAGGCGACAGGCTTACGCATAGTTCCGGCCCTACTTCCCCCGACGGTTCAGTTCGAGTTGTTATCGCGTTTATTCCATCGCGATTTGCCAAATAAGGAACATCAGACCAACATACACTTGCACTACGATGTCACCTACCCTGCTGAGACTAGCGCCTCCATCTCTTTCTTCGAGGACGACCCTACTCGCATTCTCCATCCCAAGAACCCGGAGGTACACAAGCCAATCACTGTCCAGAGTCTCCTGGATAAGAAACTGCGCTGGATGACATTGGGTGGCCAGTACAACTGGACAAGTAAAGAATATCCCCTGGGCCCCCCGCCACCATTCCCCCAGGATATCGCCAACCTGTTGCGTGTGGCCTTCCCGGAAACGGACGCACAGGCTGCCATAGTCAATGTCTATGCCGCTGGTGACACTTTGAGCATGCACCGTGACGTCAGCGAAGAATGCGATGCTGGTCTTATTAGTATTAGCTTCGGCTGTGATGGGTTGTTCATGATCAGTCATGACAACGGCGACGGCTGCGAAATCATCAGACTCCACTCAGGCGATGCCGTGTACATGGACGGCCACTCTCGATTTGCGTGGCATGGCGTACCAAAGATTCTTCCGTCGACTTGTCCCAGCTGGCTGGTGGATTGGCCATGTTCCAACGAGACAGATGAAGACCCGTACCGCGTCTGGAAGGGTTGGATGTCAGGCAAACGGGTTAACTTGAACGTGCGACAAATGGCCGGGCTTACTGAATCAGTAGTCACGGGGCACTGAGATAGGGTGTGAGCAGTCTCCCCGGACAACGATTAATGACCCACAATATCACGCTATCCTGTGAAACATCTCGGAGAGATGTCCCTGACGAGATATGCATCGTCACTCCCAGAAGAGTTGGGGTTCTCTGAGCCCGCAAGTTCTCTGCGCCTACTATGGCGGCGGGTTGCGTAACCGGACAGGACCCAAACATAGTACAACAACAGCACGAAGAGGCGTCCTTGCTTCCCAAATTGAAGCTCTTGAATACTAACCGCAAGCCCCGATGTAGTTGTCTCGCGTAGCGGTTCCAGGATCCTGTTGTCGAGTGTCCAAGAAGAGACAATCGATAGCGCGTTGTCCGAGGACACGAGCGCAGCATGCTCCACTAACCTGGAACCACAAGCATCGTGCATCGTGACAGCAGATGCGGTGAAGCTAAAAGGGCCATTGTCTTCCTACCAATTGCTCTTTCCAGCCAGACTGATTTATCCATAGCGGGGCTTTTCAAGAGGTGATGCCCAACCTCGACCTGAAGTAGGCCGCATACACAGCTAGAAACCCACGATTAAATATCTACCAGCTCTAGCATGCTCCGAACACCCCTTAAATCTGTGACGTGGTTCGAGGTAGATCGACACATCCACCCGCGGCGGGGGTGCAACCCCACCGTAGACCGTGTTTTTTGGTAGTTAGCTATCAATCATCCCATTCTTGGCTTCATCGGTCTCATCGTCCGCTAAGCAGAAGCGGGATAAATTATAATTATGGAATTGGGAGATAAGCAGGATCCTATATAACAGTAGCCACGCCGCAAGCTGAGAAAGAGCAGATATTACCGTATCAACACCATCGTCATCACGCGAAGCACTCGAAACACTCGTAGAATTCCTCCCGCTGGGCTACTCACCGAGTGCCAGCATGGATACGCAGCCAGAGTGGAGAACCCTAGCAGCAGAAAAGCGCCAGGCGATCCTTGATGCTATTCCACAGCAATGGCGGATCGACGCTCCCATTCCTCCAGCAGAAGAGCTACGAGATGTCACAGGGAGCAACTACATTCACCAATTCCTGACGCCGCGGGAAATCGAGATCACGGAGACAGACGCCTTGGGGATAACAGAGCAGACGACGTCGGGGAATTGGACTGCGGTAGAAGTGGCAGAGGCATTTTGTCATCGGGCTGCTCTTGCCCATCAGCTTGTATGCCTACGCTACATATCATGACAAGGACGTGGTTAACCTAGCTACAGGTGGCCTGTCTGCACGAGATATTCTTCGACGCAGCTATCGAGGACGCCAAGCGCCTTGATGCGTATTACGCAAAGCACAGGAAGCCCGTGGGACCCTTGCATGGTCTGCCGGTCAGTCTCAAGGACCAGTTCCACGTCAAAGGCGTCGAGACAACCATGGGATATGTGGGATGGATGGGGACGTTCCAGGGGAGAAGAGATGATCTACGAAGAGGCGAATTCGAGAGTGAACTCGTGCGAGAACTCCGGGCTTTGGGTGCTGTGTTATACTGCAAAACCAGCGTGCCCGTGACGCTGATGGCAGGGGAAACAGCCAACCATATCATCCAGTATACGTGGAATCCCAAGAATCGACACCTCTCCTGCGGCGGCAGCTCGGGCGGCGAGGGTGCGCTGATTGCATTGAAGGGGTCTCCTGGGGGGTTCGGCACGGATATTGGGGGTAGTATTCGCATTCCGGCTGCTTTCAATTTCCTATATGGGCTGCGGCCATCGTCCGGGAGAATACCTTATCAAGGCGCAGCGAATTCGATGGACGGCCAGAACACCATATTGTCGGTCATCGGGCCACTTGCGCCCACGGCACGATCTGTGAAGCTGCTCTTCAAGGCCGTCTTGAGCCAACGGCCGTGGTATCATGATCCGCTTGCCGTGGAGCTTCCATGGCGGGACGATATCGAACAAGAGACGCGTGCACTGATCGAAGAGTCGAAATCCGACCCTACCAAGCTTTCCTTTGCCATTATGTACCATAATGGCCTAACCCGGCCGCATCCACCCGTGGCGCGGGGATTGAGGATGGTCGAGCGCACACTCGAACGACTAGGACATAAGGCAAGTGTGAAACGATTCGAGAGGATAGATAGAATGCCTAAATGCCAGGATTTGGTCTAACTTGGAGCAATTTTGAAACCAGGTCATCGAGTGGAAGCCGCCGTCTCACAGAATTGCGGAAGATATTGCAGTACGCCTGAAAGAATCCCATACAACTCCTCAACTAGGCAGATGCTGACCTGCAGCAGAGCAAAGCCTTCACGGCGGACGGTGGGGAGGACGCGCGCATACACTTTGGGTTGTCCGGAGAGGTGCCCGAGTGGCCGCTTCTTATCGGCAGGGAGGATCAGAAGAAGAACGCGCTCGAAATTGCTGCGCTGAACGTCAAGAAACGAGAATACCAGAAGCTCTACATGGAGTACTGGAACAGCACCGCAGAGCTCACGGGCACAGGACGACCCGTCGACGGTCTCATCTGTGCTGTAGCACCCAGCGCCGCCGTCACCCCGGGAGGCTTCAACGATGTCGGGTTCACCAGCTTCGTGAATGTCTTGGACTACACCAGCGTGGTGATCCCAGTGACGTACGCGGACAAGACAGTGGACGTGGCTCCATCCAACAACGAGTTCTTTGGTGAGGTAGACAGGAGGACGCAAGCAGGATGTGAGTCGCCCTGCAGCCAGGGAACAGGAATAACAGCTAACGGCCTTGCAGACGACGCGGAGATCTATGACGGGGCGCCGGTAGCAGTGCAGCTGGTCGGACGGCGGTTCCAAGAGGAGAAGATGCTGGTTCTGGCGGAGCACATTGGGGCTGAGATTCGAAATGGCTGATGGTTCTTCTGATGTTAATTAGTATCCTGTAGCAGAAGGAAGCACAGGCCATAGCAAGTTCTACTATGAAGCTGAGTAGAGCCGAAAATGCTGAATAATCCGTCGAGCTGAGGCTTGGCATCGCGAACAATTTCTCTTTTCTTTTCTTTCCTCTTCTTCCCAGGAGTCATCTGTTGCTCTGCTTCTGCCAGCATCTCCCCCAGAATCTCCATCGGGGCGGTTCAGCATTCCCGGCAATGCGTTGAGCTGATTTCGCCAAGCTTACAGCGTTGAGATCGTGCAGCTCGCCCAGTTTTTGTTGAGAGCCTTGCTCCCACCGCGTCATTCTACCCACCACGCTGACCGCGTTGCGCCCTTGAATTTCCTCTCATCATGTCTTCAGCCATAGGCAAAGACACGCCTACTCGTCCGGTGGATACTCCGGAGGGCTCCGCTGCAGGGGACGAAGGACACGGACAGTCCTCCGCGAAATACCCGGCCGTCAAGGATCGCAAATGCCAGTACTGTCACCAGGCCTTTACCTCGTCCTCTCTCGGTCGACATCTTGATCAATTCCTTTTCAAGAAAAAGCCTGATGGGGTTCATGATGTCGAGGAGATCCGACGCCTTCGGAGTGGGATCACCAGGCGACAGGCTCGAACCTCGTCCACCAAACGCGACAACCTCGAACGGAGCACTGGCAAGGGCCAGCCGGATTCGCCTGCCAGCGCTCGGGAAGGTCGACGGGCATCTCGAGATGGAGTCAGGATGATGTTTAACACGCCTACATGGCACGCGACTGGCGTGATCAACGACATTCCCAATCCGAACCGCACGCGCGAGTTCGCCGGATCGTATCGGCCCTCGGTATCCCAGTCCGCCGCGTCAATTACTCTTCCGGATTACGCAAACAGGAGTTCAGATACAGCCAGCCAGGATACCTTGCGCTCTCTCGAACTGGCCTTACGCGAGGTGTTGGACAATATTAAGGCTGCAGCGTGCGTCGGCGCCCCTTCCCATTCTCCCTGATGCTCCTCCAGTACTAAACTTTACGTCAATGCACAGCAGTACGAGTCTACGTCCACGATTATCCCCGTTTGACTTTGAGATCCAGTCGCAGACATTTCCCTCACTTTGTTTACAATTGCTTCCAGCGCCTCCGACTTTGTTCTCGACACATCCGTTCCCGTCGCCTTCGTCATTTCCACTCCAGCCCCCTGGGCCTGAACATCTGGAGATTGTCAGACAGGCACTCCGTTCCAGGATTCAACAGTGGCTTTCCGATCAACTAGCGGTTGATGCGTCCAGCGCTTCCCAATCTGGGCAGGCGGGCATCGGTCTGGATGCGAATATGATCAATCGAAGTGCGCAACAGCACGAGGACATGAGCTCCAGGCATCTCGATCTGTCCTTTAATCATTGGATGTCCTTGTCTCCGGAAGCTCGAAGGAACCAGTGGCAACTGGAAATCACTCGGGCATTTGTGCGAGAGGCCGAGAAGCGCAAATCATCAGATGAACAATTGGCCCGGGTGCAGCAGGAAGCGAACCAGCTTCGCGCGCAGGTGGTGAAGCTGGGTTCCTGCCAATGGCCAAGGGAGTTCGCTCTCTTCCCTCCGGACTTTTTGCCCCTGCCGCGCGATGTTATTAGGGAGCTGGACGCGAAGGAAAGCCAGGCCAGTCCGAATTCCGCAAGGTGGGATTACGACAACCTTGTTGCCAAGTGGAAGCGTGTGGTGATGCATAACAAGAGCATGGGCCGTATTGGAGTAGGGCATTCGAACGTCCTCGCGGATGAGAACAATCCAGACAACACACGAGGGCGTGGTGACGATTCAACGAATCGCTCTACCGCCCCCGCCTCAACTGCAAACCGAGCGAAGACAGCTCAGCCTCCGGCGAATGTCAGTCCAGAGCACACAGGCGCAAGTTCCGCATTTGCACCTTCCAATACGACGCCACCCTTGACTTATCAAAATGTACATCAAAGCCCACGAGCAGGCCCTCCGGCCAAGCGTCCACGCCTAATGAACGGCAACTTGAATAGCAACCACAACAACCACGGCGTCGACGGTGTCGACGGCGAGAATGTTCCGCCCGGGAACAGTATGAGCACGAGCACTAGTCAGAATCCTGCCGGCATGTCTAGTGCATGAAATCCGCACCAGTCTCCTCTGGCTTCCCCTTCGGGCCCGAGTGAGCCGTCTGGCACGGAGACATAATAAGAACGATATAGTAGACCTCGGGATCATCAATCCTATCCATTTGCACGGCAGTGCCTTCTTGCATTCTCTCCTGTCTATGATTGGATATCCATCAATAGGCAATCATGGTTACTGTAGCCAGCCTGCCGGTTGGAAGCAGTCCTGGTATCTACACGGGGTAGGATTTTATCCTGCATATAAATAATGAAACAGTTGTACACTACAGGCATTAATTGATGTACCTTCATATATAGCGCTCTAGTCACATCGTGCATATATCCTACCCGTACATCAGCCGTAACAGGACAGATGGCATCGTTGCTCTACAGCATACTGTGGATATAAGCCTCCCTCATATCTTCATGCCCTTCCTTGACTTCCTTGTCTTCCATTTGCTGATCCGCTTCGTCAATTTCTGGACGCCGTGAAGATAGCCCCAAGAGAAGAGAAACACGATGAAATTAAACACGACATAACCCCAGAAGATTCCCTAGAAACGCTTCTGTCAGAGATCACGAACGGAGAGAACTTGGTAGGATCATTCTCCTTACGTAGTCACGCCATTTACTCGAGTAGGAGACGTTGAAGTTTTGAGCCTGTAGAACAAGTCAGCAATGCACTTGGGCTACATACAGCTGAAGAAAAGAAGCATACAAACTGATCCCCATCAGCAAACTGACAACACCGACACAACCCATCAGATGCAGTATAAACATACCCACCAGCCTCCCTTGCAAAGAACTATACCCCTCACAAGTCGAATTAGGCGGAGCCGTACGCACCGCCTCCTCCCTCTCAATGCAACGAACAGGCGCCTCATGCATGATGAGGCCCAGGAGACCCTCAAGAAGATAATGGAACGGCGTCAGCCAGTACATCCACCATTTCCAGAAATGGGTCATAGCCTGGTAGGGCACGGCGACACCGCAGAAGGACACGATGAAGGTGAAGAAGCAGGGGATTAGCAGGGGGTTAAGCCAACCCAGCCATTTTAGCCAGGGACGCATCTTCCATGGTGGGATGAGGTAGCCTGAGCGGTTCTTAGGGTTGTTTGGGGAAGATGACATTGAGGAATTGGAGCATGAACATACCGGTATAAACGAGCAAGGAGTTGAACAGGAGTATGCAAGACATTACTCCTCCTCGGGTAAAAACTCCAGCACTGGATGCCGTACGATTATCAGCCTGGAGGGCTTGTAATGCGACGATCGTCAGAATCCCACCTTGTCTTCGGGGGATTGTAGAACAGGCTCCCTATAAGTAGGGCTTGAAAAGTGACCACTCCCCATTTCACAGCGAGCGACTGTCTGTCGCCGAGCATGACGAGGAACTGCCTCCATGTGAGTATCATGGCCTGTTCATGGAAGGGGATCGTAAAGTTCTTCTTGTTTTTCTCCCTCCTCGCTTGTTCCTTGGCTGTATTCGTCAAGCGTCTCAGGCTCTGAACATACTCGAGAGCCGTGCTTGCATCGAGGCCTCTGGTCGAGTTGTCCCAACACTGCACGCTCGCCTTGGTGGCCATCGCCTCGCGATCGAGACGCGTTTCTTCCCTCCCCCGGAAACGCCCCGGATCATCTCGTTGCCAACTTTGGTGTCCAGCGCGTGCTCGATCCGGAATAACTGGGCAATCGCCGATAGGAAGGCTTGTTGATACTCCTCGCGACTCTCGCCCGGAAGACGAGACGCTTTGTCTGGTGTTCGAGCTTTAAGAGCGAAGAAAAGGGTGTCGCGTACTGTCAGCGTGGCGTGATGGAGATCGTCTTGGGGCTGTACAGGACTGATTCCTTCAGTATGTTCCATGGAGCTGGCCGGCAACAATGGCGTGGGAGTCCGCTTCAACGATGGCTCTGACCTTGCACGGCGAGACTCAACGGACGACGTGGCACTGCGGATTGGCTCGAGGGTGGTGATGGGTTCAGACGCGGACGACAGCATGCTGGACGTTGCTGATGGCTGGACAGATGTATGGGAAGCCGATTCTCGTCTCCCGGCTTCACTGTCCCTGTCACCACGGGCACTGCCCGTGTCCATACTTGTCACATTGAAGCTGTCTGATAGAGGGTTCGTGTACCCTCCACTGGATTATCATCACCAGGAGAATGAAATCCAGGTCTCACGGAATGGCATGGCATCGAAGGAATCTACATCAATTACGTCAAGGGCAAGTGGATTGGGAGCTGTCTCATGAACATATTCATATCGATTATAGTCCTGCTCGGCATGCCCATCACCGATCAACGCGAGGATTGCCCGTGTACAACAGCCATCGGATGCCCTCGATGCCGAAGAGCGATATGCATGCTTGACACCGACAGGTCTGTCTCTCGGAGAGCGTACCTCTACAATCACCAATGCAATACAACCCCACTTCCTCGCGAACGTACGATATCGAGTTTCAAGTTTGGGACATGGTTGAGCGTGGTTGGGCGTGGATGCAGTGTACACAGCGTGGACCGGCGTACAGTGCCGATCGGTCATGATGAAGTCATAGGATGGTACACTGTTCTGGGTCGTCGAGCTTGAGGATTAATGATTGCGTGAAGCTCCGAATCAAGCACATTCTACCGCGTCATGACTTTGTCGTGGATCATACGGTTGGTCTTCGTGTTGTCGTCGTGTAATGCATGCTGTCTCCGTGATGCCAAATCAGTACAATATTACATAGTGGAGCAGATTCGGATTCTCCTGGCTGTCGTACAGATAGAAAGAAGAATAGAAAAGCTTTTTTGATTCGGAAATGTTTCTTCATGCGGTTTGATCCTGAACAGTTTCACTGGATGCTCTTATGGTGGATTCGTAGTTACCGGAGGCCAATGTAATAACAAGATTGTCCGAATGGAAAAGAACAAATTCTGAGCAGTATAGTATAGGTATCCCTGCCGAAGGATTCGGACACATCAACAGCCTCGAATCTCTCCAGAGCCAGGAAAGGCTTTGTCATAGATGTACCATCCCTTCTGCAGCTTAGGATCATCCGCATGCAACGCCATCGCCTCATCGTAGATCTCGATATCCAGCACGGCCATGCGAACATCATACCAACAAAGATTCTTAGCCAACGGCTCCGCGACATCCATGTACCGGCGATATGCACTGCTACCCTGCGGGGAAGACCAGACATCCACCTGCTCCTCGCGGAGGATCTTGTACAGATCGTTCAGACTGTCGATCTCACATGCATACGCCTCGAGAAGCTCGACCACCGATTCCAGCGTCGACACGGACAGATGCGCGTACAGCTTCAATCCGGCTATGCCCTTGTTCTCGCTGCATCGCCAGAACCGCCGGTCGAGCTCCACGATGCCCGCGTAGGGATAGACCTTGCTTGTGAATCCGGCGCCGAGACAGAGCGCCTTGATGCGGTCGTAGTGTCGCGGTCCGCGGGCATCGTGGACCTGGTAAAGGCCCAGCCAGACCGTCCTCCAGAGCTCCACGATCCGGGCCTCTAGCTCCTCGCGGGAGAGCAGCCTGGTGGGCCTGAATCTGCAGCCCGAGTCCGAGTCCGAGTGGGCGGAGAGGCGGGCCGGACCTTCTGGGGGGAGCGTTTTCTTCTCCTCGGCGACCGGGCTGGTACTCAGCAAAACGGGCCCTCTGGGCTTGGGTTTACTGCGGAAATACCGATCAGTTTAATTCGAGGAGTATATCGGAAGTCAACAACGAGGCAAGTTATACACACTCGGGATGGCCAGCCGGGGGCGGTGGCAAAAGGTGAAAGAAGCCCAGGATCTTCTGGTAAAGAATCCGATAGGATTTCATTTGGCAGGCGTAGATCAGCGTTCAGCAGGTCTCAAGGAGAATCGTGCGTGGGAAATGGTGGGATGGTTTGCAGCAGATCTGATCGACTAGGAGACGCGATGCCCACCATTCAGTCACGACAGGATGCTAGTAGCAGGTCAGAAGTTCTTAAGGTTGACCATTGCGATCATCAGCATGGCGTAATTGAAAAGTATCACAGCAATTGCGTCCGTGTTGGGGTATTTGACATCAGACTGGGGGAAGGGTTGGACATGATGTGTTGTCATTATGCCGTGGTAGGACAGCAGAGTCGGTACCCGACCTGGAAGACAGGTGAATTGCTTCGTGCGAGTTTCTTCCATATAACAATGATAGCTAGCTATGTACACTCTGATTTGGCTATAGACGAGGACGGAGGACTAGTTCATAGCGTCAAGGACGCTTCGTTGTATACACGACTTTCAGTTGTATATGTTGACTCGAGTCCATGCTACAGTAGATGTCATGACTTCGTCTTTTTGGCCGCTATATCGGCCAATCAAGCTTTCGCAAACCGAACTGCAGTCGATCGATCCATAATTAGAACCCTCAGACCGTCGGGTACGGTGTAGTCTGTGCAGAATATGGGAAATATGAGACACGAAGGGAGAAGAGTCGACTTGTATAGGGCTGGGGCTTGTTTGCATATCCGAGTAAGAATCACCGCAACAACGCAGTACCTCGAGTAACGGTGTTAACATAGGTACTCGCATGGCTCTCAGCTGCAGCCCACGTTAACTCTCTAGATCTGATCATCAGTATGATTATTTATTACTCCTACCCCTAATCCTGTCAATCGAAATGCGCTGTTCCTCGCGGTCACGTGCGCATACAGCAGCCCAACCAATCAGCACGCAGCCCAGCCACTCCGTCAGGTATGAAAATGCATGGCTGGGCTGCGTCGAGGTTTTATTATTATATTCCTTCCAGCGAGCATGGTGGCATGGCATTCTTCTTCTTTCTTGCTTCTTCGTGGGAAGGGATAGCATTGCATTCATTGTTATCTTCCTCGAACGATTGTGGTACAGCGTCCGTTACCGAGTAACAGGGCTATCACAAAAGCAGTTCTATATACCAGAGTTATATATATTGTACGACAACATCAAGCAAACAGATTGACCTGTCGATATATTTATTGCCTCCTACTTCGTCGTTCCAAAACCGGACAACGCTCGATCTGAATCAATCGCCATGGACGGAAACGCAGTCATCGCCATCATCATCGTCATCCTCATCTTATGTCTAGCGATGGCTGGATACATCATCTGGTCTATCCAGCACCGACGCGCATTTTTCGGAGAGGAGAAGGAGGGGGGCGATGAGGAGGCTGCATAGATGGCTATCTGCATCTGTGCATGCATGCTTCCGATCATCTTGTCGAGTCCATGCTTCATGGATATGATACGGATCATATATCGGGATGGGCGACGACCAAACACGGTTCTATGGCTACGATCGACAACGATAATCTCGGAGATGAGAATACGCTTTATTTCTTCTTCTTCTTTTGACGAGCGGTTGAACAATGAGAAAAAGAAAACGGAATATTCGATGATCGAGCATATCACGAAAATATCATACGGAGTTCGGTGCGGTTCAGTTCGACCATTCGATCGATCGATTACGTTACTTTCCTTCAGCAATCGACTCCTTTGCGACGATGACGTTGGGTACGAGCTGCTAGACGAGATATGATTGTCTTTGGTGGTTTGGGTTCGGAGTTAGTTATCAGGAGTTTGGTTGGGTCGTCATGACCATGCAGACTGTTTGGGACTGTGATTTCTGATTTTTGTCTTCTGTTTTTGGCTTGGCGAAGGGCCTCTGCTGTATATGCTGTACAATATGCCAGGATATATACCCGCTACTCAAGCATCACTTTATGTGAAATGGATAATGCACATGCAATGCCTCTCGGGACACCGTTTAGTCGGAAGGCCATTATCGAACCTCTACCATAGTTCACTATAGCATGGATGCTGTCCTGGGCGAACTACCCCAATACCTTCAATCCTCCCCTTGTCTTTTCGTGCTTCTTCACTCCCCCGCTGCTCTTCTTTCCGCTCCCACCGGCACCGGCCGCACCACCGCCTCCGTGACGCTTCTTCCCAGACTGATTTGAGCTCGGTCGGATTTCGGTGGTTGCACGTCTGAGCAAGACCGGATGCGAGCCAATGTACTTCCCCTGCATCTCCCTGGCCGCCTTGAAGTAGTCATCCCCGTCACTGAAGCTGACGAATCCATACCCCTTGCTCTTCTGCGTGCGCTTGTCGCGGATCACTCGCGCTTTCTGGACAGAGGGGAATCGAGAGAACGCCTTCAACAGTGAGTCGTCGGTCACCTCGCCCGCGAGGTTGCCTACGAACAGCCGGAAATGCGCTGGATCCCACTCCAGCAGTGTTGGATCGGTCCAGGTCTGTCCGCCACCGGAGCGGACAACCGTTTTCTGCGGTGCTTCCGGATTAGCAGAAACCGGCGTCGGCGCACTGACAGGCGTGTTGCTGGTGCTTCCGGTTGGCACGCTGGATCCCATGGTGTTGACGCTCATCGCCGCCGGCATTCCCTCCCGACGACCGGTTCCCTTGCCTACCGGCGCAGCCTCCTCCCGGCTCATGTAGGCACTCTGCCATTGCGCAATCTGGGCCTCTGTTTCTGGATCGAAGTTGGGGTCGTGGCGTCCAGGGTTTCTCCCGCGCGCTGCATACGTGTTCGACTGGTCTGGAACTGCGGGAGTGAATGGATTTTGAATCTTGGGCACAGATGGACCGTATGCATTGGCGTTGTATTGCGGTTGTCCATAGTATGTAGGGCCAGCCTGGTAGGCCTGCGGCGACTGCTGGTAGTCCGCTCCGTAGCTCATAGTAGAAGATGGGAACCCCGATAGAGGGGTGGGCGGAGCAGAAACCACAGGACTAGCAGTACGATGGGTCTGGCTGGAGGCTACGGAACGTGGTTGGAATGCAGTGAACGGGGCGGGAGTCCCCCGCGACGCAGCGGACGCATATCCAGGGTTAACACCGGGAGAGTACGAGGGAGCGGCGGCGTAGGCGGGCTTGACCGTTGCGCCATGCACTGAGCTGACAGGCGGGGGCGGCCTCGGAGGTAGCGAAGACGGGGCTTGTTTGAGACCTGGAGGTGGCGGAAAGGACATGATGAACGGAGACGTTTTGAATAGAGACGACGGACGATTATAATGCGCCGCAGAGTTAGCAGCAGAGACGTACCTTCAGGGCCAGCCTGACGCAAGCGGTCAAGGTCCCAAAGCCGAGCAAACTGGAGAAAGAGTAGAAGGGGACGAGATAAAAACCCTCTTCAGGAGTGAGATGGCGATAAAAGCCTGGTCTGGTTGAGCTGCTGGCGGTGGTGAAACGTATCAAACCTGATCCTTGACGGAGAAAACACTGGAAGATCGAAATGCGCAGGAGGGTGGAGCGCCATGCCGTACTTCACTAGCCGCATACTGAGTCAGCAAGCACCAGCCACAAAACGCCCCCACGTGGGATGGGCAGGCGGTGTGGGGGTGTGACGTGGTGACGTCAGGGCTGCAGCAGAGGTAAATGTTAACTTGCTGCATGCATCATGGATCACTACACGGCTATCACTGCCAGCTCCAGCAGAATTCATCATAAAATGCGCTCTCTCGTTTTAAGACTTGCCAGATGCTGGTCGGGTAGGTTAATTGATAATAGCCAGAGGTCCAGTCCATTCTTTTCCAACTTTCCAGTCCAAGTTTCCAGGGCCCCGACCGGTGATATCAGCAATTCCGCTGGCTGGCCTTCCTGCTTTCCTCACCGGCTTATGTAATCAATGCCCCGCCATCCTGCTCTCGCAGGATCGTCATGCGAGAAGTAATATTGATTATAGGTAGATGATGCATGGAGGAACACTACACAACACGACGGAGCAGAACTACAGACTCGAGACGGAACTCGATCCAGATGCCAATGCGGCAGGTCAATAGCCGACTCTTGCTCTCTTGTTCTCTACTCCATATACTCCGTAGTTCAAGCTTAAACCTGCCGGATCTCACCGGGCGGACCACTCTGCTCCTGGTAATATTACGCCAGGACATACGCATAACATAACGCATTAGGCATCTTTAGGTAATCCCTGCTTCCCCAAAGCAACAGCTCTTCTCTTCTCTTCTCGCCTCTTGGTTCTTCTTTTCTTCTCTTCTTTCCTCTTCTTTCCTCCTCATCCTCTTCTCCCCATCCTCGCTCCTCTTTTCCACATCTCCCCAGACTCCCAGCTCCCCAGACCGTCCCAAACTACTCGCCTGTGTCTGCTTGTCCCACTACCCCACCTTGTCTTTCATCATGGCGGAAAAAGCTGTGTAAGTTCAACCCCTCCTCCGCTTCGAAGCATCATCGCCTTTTTTTTGGTGGTTTCTTGCACAATCCCCTCCTGCAGGGGAGACGGACTTGAGCCGTATACCCCTTCCTGGGGATTTCATCGTGGAAGAGCTATCTTCTCCTCCCTCCCCTCATTTGCGCACCCGCCTGTTAACTCGTAGACTACACGGCTGACTTAAAGCGCACGTCTGGCCGGCATCAATGTCGGCTCCCCAGCGCCTCTGTTGCCTAGTGCTGATTTTGGCCTCATCGGTCTGGCCGTCATGGGTCAGAACCTGATCCTCAATGGTGCCGATCATGGCTTCACCGTCTGCGCCTATAACCGTACCACTTCCAAGGTCGATCGCTTCCTGGAAAACGAGGCCAAGGGTAAGTCTGAAGTCTGACCAATATTCTGTTGATTGCGCTCGTGGCTTTCCCCTGACTGACTCGGGACGCCTCCAGGCAAGTCCATTATCGGTGCCCACTCGGTCGAGGAATTCGTCTCCAAGCTCAAGCGCCCTCGTGTTATCGTCCTCCTCGTCATGGCTGGCAAGCCTGTGGACGCTTTCATCGAGTCTCTTCTGCCTCACCTTGAGAAGGGTGACATCATTGTTGACGGTGGTAACTCCCACTTCCCTGATTCCAACCGTCGCTGCAAATCTCTGGCCGAGAAGGGTATCCGCTTCGTTGGCAGCGGCGTCTCTGGAGGTGAAGAGGGTGCTCGTTATGGTCCCTCTCTGATGCCCGGAGGTAACGAGGAGGCCTGGCCCCACATCAAGAACATCTTCCAAAGCATTGCTGCTAAGAGTGACGGTGAGCCCTGCTGCGACTGGGTCGGAGATGAGGGTGCTGGCCACTACGTCAAGATGGTCCACAACGGTATCGAGTATGGTGACATGCAGCTGATTGGCGAGGTGAGTACACCTCCATACCTCAGACAACCCGGTCCTCACCACACTAACGCTTATTATCTGTCAGGCATACGATATTATGAAGCGTGGTTTGGGCATGCATCCCTCCGAGATCGCTGAGGTCTTCGACAAGTGGAACAAGGGTGTCCTTGACTCCTTCTTGATCGAGATCACGCGTGACGTCCTCCGCTATAATGACAACGACGGCGTTCCTCTTGTTGAGAAGATCCTCGACAAGGCTGGCCAGAAGGGCACTGGCAAGTGGACTGCCATGAACTCTCTGGATCTCGGTATGCCCGTGACCCTGATTGGTGAGGCGGTCTATGCTCGCTGCCTCAGTGCGATCAAGGATGAGCGTGTCAAGGCTAGCAAGATCCTCGGCGGCCCCACCCCCAAGTTCACCGGTGACAAGCAGGCTTTCATCGATGACCTGGAGCAGGCCTTGTATGCCTCCAAGATTATCTCCTATGCCCAGGGATTCATGCTCATCCAGGACGTAAGTCAATTCGTCTCTATTGATACATGACAGTGCCATTGACTGACTCGTCTTTTTTCCCCCAATCAATGCAGGCGGCTAAGGAGTACGGTTGGAAGTTGAACAAGCCGTCCATCGCCCTGATGTGGCGTGGCGGTTGCATCATCCGCTCCGTCTTCCTCAAGGACATCACCAATGCCTACCGCAAGAACCCCGAGCTGGAGAACTTGCTGTTTGATGACTTCTTCAACAAGGCCATCCACAAGGCCCAGGACGGCTGGAGAAACGTTGTCAGCAAGGCTGCCTTGTGGGGTCTTCCAATGCCGGCCTTCAGCACTGCCCTCAGCTTCTACGACGGATACCGCAGCGCCAACCTTCCTGCCAACCTGCTGCAGGCTCAGCGTGACTACTTCGGTGCGCATACCTTCCGCATCAAGCCCGAGAACGCCAACGAGAACTACCCTGAGGGCAAGGATATCCACGTTAACTGGACTGGACACGGCGGTGATGTCTCTGCTTCGACCTATGTGGTTTAATGGGGGGGTTTTATGCGACTACGCTGGACGTGGGAACAGACTGCCCGCTTTGAAACGTTGGTTCCAAAGTGGAGGGCCGTGGAAGAAAATAGAACGGTTACGGTGAAATAGGAATATCTATTGTCTGATGAGCCAACGTTGTATCTACCTAGATGCTTCTTGTCATATTTATGCATATTTAGTTTTTGTCAAAAAAAATATCATGGGTTTGGTCTGGTGAGCATGGCTGGGCATAATAAAACAGCACCAGACCGGACATGGGGAATGATAACATGTACTTTCCCGTAAGAGAGCAGGCATTCTGGAATTCCCCTTCCTGGCTTTTGTCTTCCTAGCATCGCTATCAGGCAAGGCGCTGTGCTGCTTTGTAAAACGCCCAGCTCGGGGCTGCTTCCATCGAGCCTCAGCTTTTCCCCCTCCCAAGCGCTCTCTGTTCGTTTCCCTGCGCGTTCCCGACATCCTCGTCTTCTTCTCGCCTCCTTAGCTGTGATTTTTTTTTTTCTTTCTTTGTTTTTTTATTTTATTTATTTTTTTTTTTCTCTCTTTGCGTCTCTTCAATTCGACTGTCTCGGTTTATTTTGAAAGTCATCGAGTTCCTGGTTGCCGTCGTCACTCATTGTTCGTCTCTCCTCCATCCTTCGTCTGCGCCGCACTACCAATTCCTCCTGCCATCTCTTCCCCCCTTTTCGTCCACCCTCGATCCCAGCATCTACTGCTATCAGGGCCCGGTTGTAGTTGGGTTCCGCATAGCTCAAGTTCGGCTGGGAAGGTCGCTGGAAAGCCCGCCAAGGAAGACAGAAGAGCTGGCTCGTTGGTTATACCCTGCAAATCAATCCACGCCGTATCCTGGCACTTCTTTCCAAATGTCCTAGTTTTACCCTTTGAATTGTTTCGAATTGCAAAGCAGTTGATCCCATTCGTCTCTTCGCTGTTGGCATCTGGTTGCTGCCGACCCCGTTTGCACGTGCTTTCTGACCGTCCAGGCCTAATAGCACGCACCAAGTGACAAGCGTGGGAAGAGGATTCATCTTGTCCAACTACAGCTCCCGGAATGGCAGCTGCTATCGTGCCGTTGGAAACGGCATTAAGCGGCGCAATCGGTGCCCGGTAAGCAGCTCTGTCTTGATGAGAACATATTTACCTTGTTCTTGTTGTCTCCCGTTTTTGAGTCACGCTGGCTGATGAGACGACCTTCTCGTCCCCCTCCGTAGGGTTCGCATTACCACGGCCCCTCCCACCGCGATTACCGTAGAAGGGACTCTTTTTACGGCTTGTCCCATTACTAACCTGGTCGCTATCAACACCGCCCCTTCTTCTACTCCCTCGACTGGCTTTGCGGACTCCAAACCGGAGCATCTCGCAGGCGACTACCACATTCTCCCTGTGTCGCGCATCCAGTCATTCCAGCTCCTTTCCCTTGCGCAATCCTCCAATGCCTCTGACGGACATTCTTTTACCGATGCCGTACCCGCATTGCATCCGCTTGATATCCGCGCTCTGAAGGAGCGCGAAGCGACCGTTGTTGCCAAGCTACAGGATCGCGAGGCACGGCGCGGAAAGGGCGTGACGCACGAGGCGCAGGAGCTTTTCGATCGATTTAGCCGGACTATGCCTACAAGATGGGATGGAACAAGCATCATTGTCGCGGACGCCGTCGTCGTACCGGCACCCTATCGTGTAGATGATTGCCGTCCTTTGGTGGCGGGGGATAAGGCTGCTCTGGCTAGAGTCCGCAAAGTGGTACGTCCTTGCTAGAGAAACTCGATCAAGAGACAATTTCTTGGAAAATAAACTTGCAGCTAACGAATGCACATCAAAACAGCTCCAAGTGGAACGTCAAAAGATCGAGTTTCGTAACGCCAGCAATGCAATTGGTAATACCAGCACTTTCACCCGCAATTCTGGTGCTGTGCCCTCGGCCGTGCCTGCTCCCAGTAACCTCAGCGTATCCGCAGGACCAGGTGCTGCCGGACAAAGGAAGGGCGGATGAGGTGCTGTCGAGACACCTATTCTTTCGCAGTTGTGCCTACCCAGGTATTTGCTTGCGACTCGGGGTGCTCATTTGACGGATTGAATAAGAACCCTGTCCACTCTGAACGACGAACGACTGAGCAGCATGAAATCAGGATAACGTAGAGGAGAATAAACAGGTGCGCCTAATTTTTATACTCACTGACACTCGGAAAGACGGAGCAATAGAAGAGCAACCGACGATACATAATGCGGGAGTGATTCACAGCTAGGTATTCCAATCGACTCAGGATGCTACTTGAGTCACGAGTTAATGAGGGTGTCAGGAGTGTAATTATAAATTGAAATGACAACAATTCACCTATCAATATTAGAAACTATACAAAATTCTGTAGCTCTGCGGAGTACTCTGTAGTTTCTACTTCCTAGCTGGCAAGGAGATCTAGAACAGATTGATTCGACTCTAACTAACCAAATAATGACAAGAAAACAACTAGCTTTGCTCCTTTCCTTTTTCTTTCCTTCCGCCCTCCTTTGTTTCTTTTTTGTTCTTTGTGACAGTTTTCCGTCTTTTCTTCAAGATAAACCATAGTCAAAGAAAGACAACAAAGACAATAAAAAGTAAACAGAAACAACCTAACCTGGGCACTGCCAGAATACCAAGATTCCAACTAAAGATCAGAGCCCCCCCCACCCAGCCGCTCAAGGTTAATAGCGGCGCTAATACAGGCCAAATGACTAAACGCCTGCGGAGTATTGCCCATCTGTTCACCGGAAATGGCAACTTCTTCAGAGAACATCCCCAGGTGATTTGCGTAGGAGAGGATGTTGTCGTAGTGGCTGACGGCGACTTTATAGAGGTTCGGGATGGTGGTGCTGTATCTTGCGGCCTGTTTCATATATATGTCAGTATCAGCGTTGAACTGATATTGTACTCATGGAGGAGAGGAAGAACTTACGCGAGCCATGGCTTCGACGAGCCAGAAGGTTACCATGATGAAGGCTCCTTCGCGGCCTCCCACGCCTGTTTGATAGTCAGCATTTGAACTTATATAAAGAAATGAGAAAGGAAGAATCATACCATCGTTCGCCTTGACGTGGTCATATCGGAACACCAACTTGGCACTGGTTAGTCCCTCTTTTTCCGGGGTTGCCATGATTCTCTTCAGCGTGCTGATGAACCGCGGATCATTCGGCGCAACGAAGAACACCAGTGGTGCAATCAAAATGGAGGCATCCACAACGTCCGGGCTCTCATAGCTCTGAGAGAAGTGACCGCGGGCCTCGTTGTATCCCTTATCCATAATCTCATCGTACATCCTGTCGCGGACGTCTATCCATTTGAAGCGTTCCGGCAAGGGCAGGCTGGACCGCTTGTCGGCCAGGCGAAGGCCGCGATCGATGGCGACCCAGAGCATGATCTTCGAGTACAGGAAGTTCTGTACCTGACCGCGGGACTCCCAAATGGACATGTCCTTCTCGTTGCGCATCTCAATGACGTAGTTCACCATGCGGCGGATCGCGCACCACTGCTCATAGCTGATAGGATTCCCGTATTTATTGTAGATGTAGATGCTATCCAGCAGCTCGCCATAGATATCCAGCTGCGTGTGGAAGACGGCCGCGTTGCCCACGCGTACAGGACGACTGCCTTTGTATCCCTCGAGGTGGTTAAGTTCCAATTCGGGGATCTCATATTCACCGCGAATGGTGAACATCAGCGGGAGGAAAGGCCTGTTTTCACCCTTGTACTCCGTGGCATTCGGGAAAATGCGCTCGAAGATGAAGCTAACGTACGCCTCAGCCTCCTCCCGGTAGCCCATCTTGAGGAAGACGTAGAGCGTGAATGACGTGTCCCGCACCCAAGAGTATCGGTAGTCCCAATTCCGGGACCCGCCTACTTTTTCTGGGAGGGAGAACGTCGGTGCTGCTATAATGGCACCCGTTGGTTTATAGGTGAGCAATTTCAGCACCAGGAGGCAGCGCTCGACTGTCTCGCGGTAGTGGCCTCGGAAGGAACACTTGCGGGTCCACGAGGTCCAGTACTCGAAAGTTTCGCCCTCCAGTTTGGAGAGATGCGCCCCCAAGACGTTTGCATTAGGGATGACTTTATCCGGGCTGTGGACGACGAACGTGACACTCTGTCCCTGACGTAGCGTCAGTGTAGCCACAATCCCACGGCCCTTCATGCTGGGTCTGTCTTGCCATTCGAACTTGGCTTCAGGCAATCCAGTATGCTCGGGCTCCTTGGATTCAGCGAAGATGGAGACCTGCAGCCGTTCCATCTCACTCTCAAAGTACATTGTCTGCAGCGGCCTCCGACCCAGGTCATTGTCGAGATTACCGCGGGCTGTGTGCGAATCCCTGGCGTAATTGAAGGCTGGGAAGATCTCGACCTGCATCTCCATAGAGCCACGAGAGCATTCCAACTTCCTGATCACGGAGGAATGTTTCAGGCCAGACTTGAAGCGGGATATGCCCGGGTCAGTGCAGGGGCAGTACCCAGACAAAGTACGCTCGGGATGCGCAGTCTTGCGGCTCGAAACGGGGAAGTAGTCCATGGAGGTCACCACACCGTCTTCATTGGTCCATCGTGATTCCAGGATGTTGGTAAAAGGAAGATACCGCTGTTTGCTTATGGGGTTCTCGACCTTGGACGTTGGCAGAATGCTGAAATAGCCACCCTTATCCTTATCAAGCAGTCGGCAAAAGACTGTGGGGGAATCAAAAACGGGCCAGCACATGAAATCCAGGCTCCCATCTTTGCTGATCAGGGCACAAGTGTGCATGTCCCCGATGATTCCGTAGTCTTCGATGGCAGGGTACCCTGTAGCCATGGTGAAAAAGCAAACAGGTCAATTTCGGCAGTGGATGAATTTCTAGCAATAGAGGCAGGAGAGCGGCTGGGGAAGGTGGAGAAGGTGGACGAGCTGCAGACTGGGATCCAGCGGTGGTAAATAATATGGGAAGACAGAGCGTCTTTGATAGCAGGATTATCTGCTTCCATAGGGTCCCGACGACATTATGATGGGACATGTCTGAGGTCATCGTCGATATAAAGTCTCTTCTCACTCCCCGTCTGTGACCTTCGGGGCTCTCATACTCGACGGCATGATGATGAATGTCATCATAACAACCACTTCCCTGGTCCCGGTCCGATTCCATTGGATCTACATGAGTAGTCTCTCTCTCTCTCGTCGAGATTTGAAGAGTATATTGGGCCTGACTGTTCAGGAACTCGCTGCAAGAGGAGAATCAACTGGGATCGACGGAATATAGTTAAAAACCCTCTAACTGAAACGGCATCTCCTTCGTCCAGCTCAAGTCTTTTGATAATTTCAATCGCTCACCAGGAGTGCTTTGGACTCAACTGGAGGGTGCAAAGAAGCTCGGCAGGAATAGAATTCCTGCCAATAGGAGGCAGTCATACCTCTGGGCGGACCATCCGGAATTCACAGGTGTTGTCCGGGAATCCGCACCTAATACCATTAAATGAGCCAACCAGCATATTTTGTGCCCTGCACGGGGTATACATTGATGGTTCATAGCATTGAGGGATGACTGAGATGACTTGAATCTATGAATGGTGATAACTAGATGGAAGAAGAAATGCAAACGGGACAAACAGTCACGTGAACTATAAGATTATATAACCATCATGTGACCTGCACCTCACCTGTGTTGGATCACGTGGGATTCTGCCGCATAGGTCCGCCCTCGCTGACCCTTTTCACCACGTAGGCCTATCTAGCTAGTGACCAACTAACGATACACCTCCATTAGGTTATGAGCCCGTTTCTTGCTCGGAAATATGAGCTATTTTAGGCCCGTATAAGTGGTCAATTTAAGCCCTCCGATTGGCTGAACCAAAATTCCATACCCCAGATTCCAAAAAATTACAGGATCCCAGATACGGTCCGAACCTGAGCATGTCAGGAGAACCTACTACGCCTCCCGCTACTGCTATACGACGATCACGTCGCCGAAATCTCCAAAACAAGTCCTCGAATATAGACGAGACCTCTTCATCAGTTGTCTCTGAAGAGATAGAGACCCCAACGCCTTCCGGAGCCAATCTGAGCTCTACCAATACCGCCAACATGGCTTCCACAAACGAACCTACCCCTGATCTTGCTGATATGATGCGACAAATGCTTGCTCGCCAGAATCAGATGGAACAACAAATGCTTGCTCGCCAGGATCAGATGGAACAAGATATGCGAGACCGTGAAGCTAGAATGGAGCTAAAACTGGCATCTATCATCCAGTCTAATACTCCACAAGCTTCCTTGCCTTCAAATACAACCCAAGATACTACGCCAATGGATATCCAACCGCCTCTGCGTGATGCCTCAGACACAAATATCAGCAATGCTATTGCCCTTGTCCAAGCCGATGTTGATACGCTACTGCCTGACCGATGCCGTGTCATCTTGACACTGGATAATTACGATGCATGGAGCTCTGCCATACAAAAAGAAGCTGGTATTCTCAATGCTATTACAACTCTTCACCAGGACTCTCCTCCTGCTGGATCATCTCCACTTGATGCTGCAGTTTGGCACAGAAAAGCCATTGTCATGAGAGCCCGTATGCTCAATGCCATGACAACCCCTGCTTCTGATAAACTAGGCACCGTATATGACCTCTCTGCCCATGGTCTTTGGGACCGAGCTGCCACACTTTTTGGCAAATCCACCGGTGAAGAGCGAATGGCTCTTACCATGGAGCTCAAAGAGCTCTATATAAAGGATAACGATTATCTCACCTACCAGTCATCCTTCAATCGAATCTTTGACCGCCTACACGCTATTGGAGAAGAATCTCTTGAAAATCTCAAACATGACCTCTTCTTTATAGGTCTCCGGGACTGGAACCGCGCCTTTATCAAGAGTAAACTAGATGATGTCTACTCTACTGGCCGTGCTCCGGTTACCAACCTGGATCTTAAGGTTATCCAGACCCAATTATCTACTCGAACCGGCACTAAATTCCGTGATACTCATTCTCAAGACCGGTCAAACCAACAGAAAGAGAACTCCCAGAACCGCAGTTATTCAAAACAAGCATCTGGAACCAAATACACAATTCCTCAACGTTCCAACAACCAAGATAGATCTCGTCATACACTTATAGACTGTGATCACTGTGGAAATCGCCATGGACTTATATGCTATTTTAAACATCCTGAGAAAGCACCAGAGTATAGACGCAAGTTCTATACTACTATGGCTAATGCCCTCCGTGTTCAGCAACAATCTGAAGCAAACCCACAACCAAACCAGGATCACCTTGCTTCACAGGAACTTGTCTTGCATAAGAAACTCTCCAATGCCAAATCTGCCATTGTGAAGTCTGCAAAGACTCTCTCATTTTCCAATCAATGGTTTGTTGACAGCTGTGCCTCTTTCCATTCTACACCTGACCGTTCACTTTTTGCAACCTACAAGGCCTTGCAGAAGCACGATCTGGTGGAGACAGATTATATGGAAGGTGCTCAAGGCCATATCTCTATGCCTCAAGGCATTGGCACCGTGATTATAGATATTGGTCACGGATCTCTGATCCTAAGAGACGTCCGCCATGTTCCTTCCTTTACTTCCAACCTCATTTCAGAAGGCATGCTTGTACGACAAGGCTTTAGGCTTCAATATACACTAGATTGTGAAGTCAAGCTGATTACCACACCATCTGGAGCTGAATTCCAAGCCCGATTGTTCAAAAACAATGTTTACCTCCTTGAAGACTGTCTATCTCCTGGAGAAGAAGAAAATTCCTATGCCTTTGTCACCACCCGGTCTGGCAAAGAAGTTAACCGCCCAGAAGAGCCACCTGCAAAGGCTCCCACAATTAAAACACCAGCTGAAGCTCCTACTCCAAAAGAGACCCCGGTTCTAGGGAAGCCGCGAACTACTAAGATATCCCTACCTATCATGGCCTGGCACCGACGCCTATGCCATCTCAATCAAGCTGATCTCCTCCGCCTCGCCCGAGATCCTGAGTCTTGCATCGAAATCAAAGGCCCTAAAGAACTCCCATTTTGTGAAGTCTGTATACAGGCTAGACAGACACGCTATTATAGCAAGGTCCCTAGGTCCAGAGTTACCAAACCCCTTGCCCGAGTCCATCTAGATATCGCCGGCGGTGGACAAACTCTTGATTTTGACAACCCTAACGATGTTGTCCCTGGCCGAATTGGGGCAAAATATGTCTTACTTATTACCGACGATGCCACACATTATCGATGGATCCTCTTCCTTGAGACAAAAAGTGCAGCCATTACCGCCTTCAAGAACTGGCTTCAAAATATGAAGAACCATGGCTTCACTGCCCCTGCCTACCTAGTCTCTGATAATGAATTCCGCTCCACTGAATGGATGGAAACCTACCGTCAGGAAGGCATAGAATGGCAACCAAGCTCACCATATTCACCATGGCAAAATGCTGTTAGTGAACGTGGCATCCAGATCCTTTTTGAACGGGCCCGAGCTATGATGCTTGATGCCCCATATATACCAGAACGCTTTTGGGTAGATGCTCTCCAATATGCCGCAGATCTTACAAATCGGCTCCCTACATCTACCATCCTATACAATTCCCAAATTCCTGGGGGGGTGAATATCAACAAGGACATACACCCCAGCCCTTATCGCGCTCCGTTGGCAGCGTGGACTAATTCATCCATTTCTTCACTCCCCGGATATCGCCGTTGGGGGTGTCCAGCCTGGGTCCATCAGCATGGACCAGATAAACCTGGAAATAAGCTTGATTCGCGTTCTCACTGCTGTTTCCTCATTGGCCAAATTAGTAGCCATCAATATCGTGTTTGGGACCCTAAAACTGACACCGTCTTTGTCACCAATGATGTTATATTTGATGAGGATTACAAAGATCCTACAACTACCACTCCCAAAGGTCCCAGCACCCCTACCGAAGAAAATCCAACTCAATTAGTTGAAGATGAACCTCTCAATGACCAAGATATATGGCTCCGACCTGCCAAAGGCATGTCCCTAGCTTACTTTGCCACTTCAACCATTCCTTCATCAGAAGACAACACGCCTACTTCTTATAAGCAGGCCATATCCCATCCTGATGCTGCTAAATGGCAAGCTGCCATGCAAAAGGAAGTCAACCAACTTAAAGAGAAAGGCTGCTGGCAACTCATTCGCCGTTCTGACCTACCACCAGGGACCAAAGTCATCCCTGGCCGGTGGGTATACAAAAAGAAAGAAATCCCCGGCATACCTATCTCAGAGGATTATCAGGCTAAAGCCCGCTGGGTCATTCGTGGCAATCTACTTGATAAGGACTTCATGGAATCCTACGCACCAGTGGTAAATGAAAATACTACCAGAACCCTCACGGCACTGGCCACCCTGCTTGGCTGGCATACCCGAAAAGCTGATGCCACCCTTGCTTTCCTAAATGGGAAAATGCCCACGGACAAACGTGTCTTTATGACCCAAGTTCAGGGATTCAAAGAAGGTTCTGGAGATCTTGTCTGTGAACTCCTTCAATCCCTCTATGGATTGGTCCCATCTGCCCGCATCTGGTATGATACTCTGGGTGCTTTTCTACGCCAAATCAGCTTCAAATGCTCTGAATATGACTCTGGTCTATGGATCCACACTACCCGGACCCAACTCTATGTGACCACCCATGTGGATGACTTCAAAGTCTATGCTAAACATGAAAATGATGCCATCTGGTTTATGGAGACTCTCTCCGCCAAATTTGACATAAAAGAAGTTGGAAACTCTACCAAATACCTTGGCATGACCATCTCCCAGTCTGAGACTTCATCTTCTTTATCTCAAGCCGACTACGCTGAAGATGTTGTTGCCTCTTTTGGTCAAGCCCAAGCACATCCTGTTAGGATTCCAATGGATCCTAGCCTAATAATTGATGATGAACCAGACCCTACAGTCAACACCAAAGAATATCAACGTGGTGTAGGCTGCCTTACCTGGCTAGCCACCAAAACCCGGCCAGATCTTAGCCAGACGGTTGGCATACTATCCCAATATAACGCCAAACCCACCCAAAAAGCATGGCGTGCCCTTATACACGCTATACGCTATCTTAAAGGCTCCATCAATCGGCAAATTACCTATCATAAACCCACGGAGTCCATTACATCTGACCTCCTCATGCCAAAATGTTATACCGACTCTGATTGGGGTGGTCAACTGACAGGCAACCGCCGGTCAGTCTCTGGATACATCTTTCTGCTTGCCGGAGCCCCAATTGCCTGGAAAAGCCGCAAGCAAACATCCGTTGCCCTTAGCTCCAATGAAGCTGAGTATATGGCTCTAAGCGAAGCCAGCCGTGATGCCCTCTGGCTCCGGAATCTCATCAACGAGCTTAATGTGCTCCCAACTGAATGCCCACCAATATCTTTTCATATCGATAATCAAGGTGCTCACGCCATGGCTGAAGCCGAGCTCACCACCAAGAGATCCAAACACATTGACATACGCTACCATTACGTTCGGGAGAAGGTCCAAGACGGCATTGTTAAACTTCAGACCTGCCCTACCAAAGAACAGGCAGCAGATGGACTAACAAAACCTCTCCAAACTGAACGATTCAATCATTTCCTGGAACTCACCGGCATACATTAAGCGGCGCTTGTTCCCCCATTTTGGTTATACTTTCTATTCTGATTTACGGCTTCTGATTGGCCAAAGCGGAACCTCTCATTTCTCTGCTTAATTTTGCTTTTATTCTCTCATTTGAAGGCCTGAATAGAGGCCGATTTTTGTATTTAAATTCTTTAGATTAGTCTTAGGCCAGCTCGTGCGTGGGGGGGTGTTGGATCACGTGGGATTCTGCCGCATAGGTCCGCCCTCGCTGACCCTTTTCACCACGTAGGCCTATCTAGCTAGTGACCAACTAACGATACACCTCCATTAACCTGCCTGAACAAGACAATCAAACAATACTCGAGCTGCTCTGCGCCTTCAACCATCATGTACAATATACACTTAACCATGTGTGGTCTATTTTAAAAGAAAGTACCCTCGAGCGTTTTTGTGTATATTAATGCTATGCACTGATTAGCATAGCTCTTCCCAGAACAATGGGCTCCCCCAAGGACCAATGGGGAGTCTTCCTCCACCAATGTCTAAAGCGTCGCATAGATGTGCTCGAGTTCAGAGACCTCTCGAAGATCCTGCTATCTCGATGTCCCGTGTCTGAATTAGCACTGCTCGATTTACTATTAGAATCCCCGACAAGAACACATTTGAAATGGGACCCTCTACTACCCCTTTACATAGATTGTCTGCGCAAGCTGGGCAAGTTAAAGGCCTCTACTGTTTTGGTGTCCCTTTTGGAACATTCCTCCGTTCTAGATAAGGTTCCCGCTCAGAAATTGTCACCTTTGCAAGATGAGTCTTCGGAGAAGGGGAAAGGGAAACCACCACAGCAGCAATCGAAGCCTAGGGGGGGGAATGGCTACTCGACCTTTATGCGGGATATCAGGGTTATTCAGGACATTATGCTATCCGTCTCGACTGGTCATATCCCTGCAACGTCTGCAGAGGCCGTTGGTATCTTCTTTGCAATCGCTGAGTGGATCTTGGCTGTTGTCGCCTGGAATCATGGTACTGTGGATGACGAGCAGCAGACTGGTGGGTTTATGAGTTCTGCGGATGCGATATCATTGTTTGAGTCTCTGGGAATTCTTCTTGCTGCCCTGTCTGGAAGCAGGAAGGGGTTGGAGGTTCTATCTGTTCATAATCATGAAGGTACTTTGCCCCCGTTGTCATTCTATCTCCCTGGCTATTAACCATCATGTAGCTCTCAAGGTCAAGCTCGGTCAGGCACTCTCTGCTTATTTACCCCTTTGTGCTGGGTTATCCTTGCCACTTCGCAACAGGTTGGATATTCTGCAGAAGGATTTTCATCTTTACGAGGGTTCAAGGGACCCAGCTGCTAAGGCTTTGGAGGATTCTATGATGGATGGTGTCAATGTGAATGCTCTTCAATTTGAAGCGTCCGTTATGGATGAACCTGTTATAAACTCCAGAGCTGGTCTCTATATATACGTAAATGCGATGGTACGTGTATAAATTTACTATTCTAAAAAAAATTCTACATGCTAACTAGTTTTTAGCTCGTGGGACGCCCATTAGTCGACGACAATCTGCTCGTTAATTATTTAAACAATCGATATGGAGTGAGACACGCCCATGATATCATGATATAGTTTTCCTTGACCATGTATTCTAACACCTTTCAGGGACAATACGAAGTTCTCGTCGAAGAGATCATCACAGCCACATTTGACGTCCTTTCAAACGCGATGTATCGAAACGAATCTAGCCGGCTGATGTTCCTGTTCCGCTCATTCCTAGTAAACAAACTCCCTACTTTCTTTGCGGCCATGACTGCAGCGTCAATGATACCTATCCCAATGGAGTTATGTATCAGTCGAGCTCTTAACCGGCTAGATCCAAATACGTTTCCTTCATTCTCTCAGATGTTTGCCATGCAAGGCAACACGGTCCTGTCGGACGTAAGGCAGGAATTTTTGTTTTCTTGCGCTTCTCATAGACTCATACCCGAGTCGAGCATCGAGCGTCTTCTAGGAGAAAATCCCATGCAGACTCTGCCCATGGGCGGCCCATATTTGAAGGATGATCTCGTATCACAGATTAATGTCAGCCCTGACCGTACGGAGCAATTGATCAATGATCTCGAATCCATGGAAGGCAATGCTGGCGCGATAGTCGGTGCAATTACTGAGGTATGTTGTTGAAATCCAGTGGCTGACTGTTACTGACATGGAAATAGGTCATGCATAACCTTTGTAACCAGAAAGAAACAGTAACACTAAAAGGCATCTGCAATTCATTGTCACGCCGGCCACTGGCTCTGGATGTTATCCTGCTTTTCCGAAGCCCTAAGCAGGTTCTGCAGCCTCTTTGCTCCCTGATCGATACATGGCATTGGGATGAAGAAGACCAAGGCGAAAACCAACCAGTCTACGATGAATTCGGAAGTGTTTTGTTACTTGTCCTTGTTTTCAAGTATCGGTATGACTTAAGTCCTTACGACCTTGGAATCACTGGAACAGATTCGTTTATTTTGAAATTACTGGATCGCGGGTCGTATAGCCAGAAACTCGAGGAACTGAGTGAAAAGCAGAATGGAAATCTCGGTGCCTGGATTGGGGCTCTGTTTATTGCCGAAGGAATCAGTGAGGAAACCATGTCGGCCTGTAGCCCTCAGGAGTTTTATCTTCTCGTCTCTACCTTGTTCAGTCAGAGTCTAGGGGCATGTGAAGCTGGGAAGTTGGAATTTGAGACATTAAAAGGGGGATTCGAATGTGAGTTTGTCTTCTGAGAAATTCATGTCTGCATGCTAACAGTCGCAGATCTCCTTGAACCCTTCCTTCTTCCGTCTCTGATAATCGCTCTGGCCTGGCTAGGAAACCATATCTGGGAATCAGAGAGCTACCCTACGATCCCGCTGAGAACGCTTTATTCACTGGTCAAACCCAACTCAATATCCGGCGATGCGCAGGCCATCCACAGCACAGTCTTGAATATCGTCTCGCGCACCTTGCAGGAGCAACTGAAGGACGTGCGGAACCGCCACCCGAGCGGTCCAGATATCAAGCCCCTCTTGGACACACTTGAGCCCTACCATTCATTCCATCGTACGGGTAGCTGCCACCATTCCGAGCTCGAGAATTGGACGGGCCACCCTGGAGGCGGCGGTCTCTTAGGCAGCATCCGCAGCACCTTCCAATCCCTCGTTCTCTGGAGCACGAACCCAGAGATCAGCATGGCACCGCACTCGTACACGCATCGACAAATCCTAGCAGGCATCCGAATTCTGGGCTCGTGTCGGGTCCTCTCAGAACTCATCGAAGAGCTAAAGTTGCAAACCGAAGCCGGATCAGGACCTCTTGCCCTCGACCTGGCGGCGACGCTGGTCTGTTCTCCACTAGGCGAGTCCTTCGCAGTGGACCAATACAACTACCACAAGCAGCACCAGCAACAAGGAGGTCGGCAACAACATATCCCCGAATCCGCAAAGGAGATCCTCCCCCGCTGCCCCATCCTAACCCTCCGAGACGCACTGATCCTGGAACACGAAAACGTGCCGCGGATCTCCGAGAAAGAACCATTACGCGCACAAGTGATCGTCCGGCTACACCGGCGGGTGAACGCTCTCCTCGCACCACCATCGCCACAAGTCCCGAATCTAGATCTCGATAATATCAACATCATTCAAGAAATGCAACTGGATGGCCACGCAGAGAACAACACACAGTTGCAACAACACGGCCATCCTTCATCTCATCTCGACCAGTCCGGTCTCGGAAACGGACAAGGAGCAGCAGACGATGACAACGACCCGGAGAATATAAGCCGGATGCTCAATGATGCCGCTGCAGCCGCGGCTGCGGGGATGGATATAGATGGCACGGTGCACCATGGTTTGGGACTGGGAGGGGAGGGTGGCGCCACTGGTGGTGGTGATGCTGCTGGGACGGGGTTGGACACGAGTATTGATGATGTGTTGAATGCGGCTGATATGGCGGTTGGGAATCCGGAGTTTTTGGATTTGGATATGGAGGGGATGTTTTAGTCTGTAGTTTACTGTTATACTAACATTGTTATATATCTCTGGGAGTACTAGCAGTGAGAGTAGAAACTAATTCGAGACACTGAGAAGTAGAAAAGATATTATTATCAGATCAGGCCATGGATAGGACATACATATAGAATAGAGGCTGGGACCATATAAGCGCAAGAATAACCTAAATATCATAAAAATAAAAGCACATAACTTTTGAAATTCCTTTTTGCCCCTTCGCCCAGTACGCATCCATCTTTATGGATGATCCGCCCTGCTTTTGATATATTATATACAGTAAGTGACCCAGTAATAACGATGGATAAAAAGAAGTAAAAAGAGAAGGGAATATTATACAAAAAGTTTCGAAATGGGTATCTTTCAACAATGAACAGAATAGAACAGAATAGAGATAAAAAGGTAGGTATATATCAAGTCCAAGTGAAGGTCAAGTAAGAGAATAATATGTAAGAAATAATGGTCCGTAGTAACCATAAGTTACTGGGGAAAAATCAATGGGAAACAGAACCAGAAGTAGGACGAGAACCACCACCACCGCTACCACCAGTCCACGGAGCGAGTTCATGCATAATCCCACCATCTCGAAAGGAGACTTCATCTCCCTCAGCTTCATCATTATAATAATAGTTAGAATTATAGCTGTGATTATAGCTATGATTCCCCGTATCAATGGACGACGGACGCTGATGCTGATGCAAGCCATAATTCCAATTCTGCGAAAAGGAACAGGAATCAGGTAGCCTATTCTCATTCCCAACCGTCGACAACGGCACCTCACCGATAAAACTGCGACGACGGGAAAGGACGCCGCCTCGTGAGGGGTTCTCTCTTGTTCTTGTTCCTGTTCCTGTTCCGTGTAGAGTGCCTTTTTTCTTCGGTTTTGGTTTTGATTTAATGTTCGATTTAGAATTCCGTGTCGACCGTCTCGGTCGACGCAGATACTCCCCCGGGACAGGATCAACCTGTTTCCTCACCACCGGAATAGCATTAAGATAAATAGGGAACACAGCGCCAGCGCTGAATAAAGCCACAACAACAGAATACGAGTATCCAACACCCCGTGACACAGCGATGGCGTGTTGAACGAACGGAAAGGGTAAACCGCTGCTCGCACCGATGGCGAGGAGGGCCGCGGCTGATTTAGTGTGGCGGGCTGTGCCACGGAGGGAGATGGCGAAAATGGTGCTGAAGAGACTGCTTTCGAAGAGGTAAAGGAGAAGACCCATTGTTATGGCTGCCATGCCGGTGGTGGACATGCAGAGGGCGGAGAAGATGATTGTGCCGATGTAGCCAATCAGTAGGGTCCAGCGGGGTTTGAGGATATATTGGGCTAGGGCTGTTAGGAAGCGGCCTATTGCAAAGAGGGTGTGGCCGATTATTAGGTAGTCAAAGGGTTGGAGGGATGTTTGTGTATCAGAAGCTTCGACAAAGGACATGAAACCCGTCGAGAATACCTCTTGTGCGCCGACACAGACGTACTGTGAGAACACGCCTAGCATCAATGTCATCCAAACAACGGGGACACCCAGGACTGTTCTGGAGTTATCCTCCCGACGACGATTAGCGAGTTCCTGGAGGTCCTCGTCCGACGCTTCAGGGATGGGGAGGTAATAAAAGGCGACGGCGAGAAGGACATCGAAGAGCGCGATGGCGAGATACGTCCATTGGACGTCGACGAGAGACGAGATGGTATTGACGGATTTAAAGAGGACTTTCTTCGCGAGGAGCGGCGACACGACGCTGCCAATTGCTTGTACACCTTGAGAGATGTTCAGGCGGATTTCAGAATTCTCCTGCGGTCCGCAGAGGGCTATGAATGGGTTCGCAGCCGTCTCGAGAACGGCCAGTCCGATGCCCACGATTAAGTTGGAGACCGTGAAGGCGGCGAAGGACGTCAGCACGGCCGAGGGCCAGAAGATCAACGTCCCGCAGGCATAGATACAGAGTCCCACGATGAAGGCGGCTTTGAAGCCCCACTTTCGGAGGATGAAAAGGGCCAGGACTGGCCCGACGATGTAGCCACCGTAGTACGCGCCGTGGAGGCCCAGGGACCTCCACATGTTCAGATGGACGATGAGCTGGAATTGGCTGTTGAGGATATCGAGTAATCCGTACGCGAACCCCCAGAGGAAGAAAAGGATGGTGGTCAGTGCGATGGGTGCGACGGACTCCTTGGTGCTCAGTTTCAGCATGCTCTCCGGGTTCTTCATATTCACAAAATCAAAGAACGTGATGCTTTGGTATGAGTCACTAGTGGTCCCGCCGTCCGCTTCTAGTTCTGACGGGCGTGTTCCGGGCGTTGTCAGGAAATCAACCATGTCCACCAGCCCGTCTGCATCTTGTCGGCTGGCATCCTCCGTCGTCTGGGTGGACGACTTGGTCCGATCGGTATCGGGTTGGGGCTGTGGCTGCAACTGCGGTACGTTGGGTGCGGTCATTGCGGCGTCGCGAGATCCAGACGGTAGGGCTCCTGCGGTATTCTGGGAATATCCGGTGGTATCTTTGATCATTTTTGGAATGATGCGAGCCACGAGGGGTTTGAGGCCGGGCACGCAACCACAAATGATGGACATGTTTACCTTGACAACGGACCACATGAATGATAGCGAAGCGTACCCTGGTGATAATTAGCTGGACGGAAAAGAAAATACAGTAAGAAAGAAAAAGGGCCTGCCTACATGAAAAGTCATCATCAGCCGAGTCCTGAAAATGAATAGACGTTAGATCTCGTTGACGAGACGTCGCCGCACCCTGCAGGTACGCGATACGAATGACATCGACGATAGCGACGAAGAATCCAAATCCGAAAGTAACGACAAGAATGATCTTCTGCTTCCGCGGCAGACGCATCTGAGTCAAAAGGGGAATCGGGAGGAAGAGAATAGCCAAGTCCGTGATGATATTCACCGGCGATGAGGAGAGATACAGTGTGATTATATCGATACATTCCGCATCCGCTAGGGGCGTAGAGATGAACGCCGCGCCGACGGGATTACATTGGAAGATATTGACAAAGGTCAATGCGAGGCCGGCTGCATTCACGACGAAGAGAGTCACGTAGTTTGCCCAACGGAAGAGTCTTTCGGTTTTTGTCAAGGCGAGGTAGAAGACGAGAATGGACGATTTAACGGCCATTAGGGTAGGATTCTAATAGATATAACGTCTTAGTCTGGGTGCGCTGCTTTTTGTTGTTTTATTTTGACCGATGCGCAGGGACTCACATAGAGCACAGTAAACGCATACTCAGCACGATTGAGACCCGGTTTAACATCGGCACTAATATCAGACGCATGAAGACCCAAACCAAGGTGTGTCGCATAGAAGAGGGAGAAGGAAAAGCCGGAATCGATCAGCTGTTGCAGGGTCAGAAGTTAGAACTGCATTCGAGAACGAAGACGACAACCGGCAGAAAAGGGGGGTGGGGGGAAGGAGAAATACCCATGCCAACAGCATTAAATAATCCTGCCGCCCAACTCTCCTAACGACAAATATCCTAGAGACGAAGAGTAAGGCGACGAAGCAGCTTGCGACAACGAAGAGGGCAATGGAGACGACCAGCACGGCGGGGCGACGGTCGCCCATGCTGACCTTGGAGGACGAAGATGAAGACGCGCAGACAGTAGGAACTGGAGCTAGAGCATAGTAGGCCAGTGCGGATGGTTTGGTTCCATTGCAGACGAGCGGAAAGGTCCCATGGCCCTTACGAGAGGAGCATGCGATGTCCTTCCAGGAAGGGGAAATGCGAGGCGGGAGAGAAAAGAAATCCGGGGTAAAATCCAGTCTGCCGGGACCGGAGGAAGAGCAGGACCAGGGGACCTGGGAACAGACAGAACAGGCTGGAAGAAAAGGCAGAGGAAGTCAACGAGAGGCGGGGGACTGGGTGAAATGAGCGGAACGAAGTGGGTGATGGAATTGAGCTGGCCCAAGCGAAAGGACAAGGCGAGAGGCACAGGCTTGACGGGCGGAGAAGAAAACTCGAGGGTGAGTTTGTTTCTAATAATGTGCCGAGCGGGCCGGCAGAGGACCGAGCGCCACGGCTCAATACCAGTTGTTATGAGGCGAGGACGTGGGATGATCGGCTACGTTCATTGCTAAATGCAAGTTCTGCTATTCCTATCCAAAAAAAAAAAAAAAAAAGAAAAACACAATGGCAACCCGTTTCGTTGAACGCAGGTTGGAATTCCAGACTCCGTTCCTGCCATCATACCAACACCCGTTGCGCGTTACTCGTGGGACCTGGTCGCCAAATCTTGGCAAGACTTTTCGATCCAAGGCCACAAAGAATCTATGGACACGAAATCAAACTCCACTGATGCGTGGGAGAGAAAAAGAAGCGTGACATGATCAAATTTGTACGGAGATCCGAAAGAGTGAAAGAAGCGGACAAACAGACATGTCCTTCAAAGGAGGACCAGACCAGTCTGGTCGACCAGGGGTCACGTCAAAACAAAAAATGAAAAAAGATTTGTCTCTTTCATATACTTGTTTGTTTCTCTTGGGGGAAAATAAAGCCGACTCTTCAAGCGATCGACGCTTTAGTTGAAGTACCACTCGACGCCGTGGAGACGGCCAGCGGATTCGTCGGCAAGCTCCGAGAAGAGGTGACGAGAAAGATCAATGGAGTCACCTTCGCAGCCCATGCACTTGTCGACGACGGTACCGGTGGCAGTCTTGCCGCCGTACTTGATGGTGACGGACCTTCCGCAGTCGGAGTCGGTCATGATACCGTGAGCCAGAGCAAGGACGTTCTCGGTGTTGCCATCATTGGCAGTACCGCAGGCGCTGGGGTTGGTCATGGTGGTAGCGGTATCGTAGTAGGTACCGTCACCGGAGCAGGGAGAGCCTGCAGAGCAAGGACCGCTGCTGCTGCCGGAGCTGGTGCTCAGGGTGTTGGTGGCAGGCGTGGTTGGAACCGGAGCAGCGGTGGAAGAGGTGGTGGTGGACGTCGAGGTAGACGAGGTGGGTTCCGGGGCGGGAGCAACCGAGGTGGTGCTAATGATGGTGGGCTCAGGAGCCGGGATGCTGACCGACGGAACGCTGACAGCAGGCTGGGGAGCCTGGGAAGTTGGCACTGGGGCCCAAGTGGAGCTGGTCGACTCGGAGGTGGGAGCCGGGGGAGCCGGGGGAGCGCTGGTGGCAGACGTGGTCTCAGCCGGCGCCGGGGCAGCCTTGGTGGTCTCTGCAGGAACAGGCAGGGCAGTGACGGTGGGAGCTTGGCTCGGGATGACCGTGGTGGTCACATCGACGGTGGTCCAGACAACGTTGGTGACGGTCTCCCACACGACGGGGCTGTTGTCACGCTTCTGGAGAGGAAGAGCAGAGCTGAGGGCAGCGAAGAAAGCGCCGGTCAGGGCGAGAGTCTTAGTGATCGGGGCCATTGTGATGGTTTGTTTTTGGTATACCGCAGGTATGAACCGAGTTTGTGATTGTAAGGATGGTAAGGATTGTGGTGGATGGGGAGAGAGAATGTGTTTGTTGCCGATTCACAAGGAGGGTGTAGATCCGGCGACGAATAGTCAAGAGGCACTGCACAGCAGCGATGATGAGAGAACGAGACCCGAAGGGCGACTGAAAAGAACAGCCAGAGACAGAGAGAGACTGACAAAGGAATGGCGATACAGAGGAAAGAAGAAGAAGTGCGATGAGAACGGGGGGAGGCGCAGCTTTAAGTATTAGCGTCGTGCCCTAAAGGGCCACGCTTTGCCCTGTTGCCCCTTGTCTAGACCGCATGCAGTCAAGCGGTTTCGTGTTGGTACCCGCTAGTACCAGCCCGTAAGCTACCGGAGGTTGGCGCCAGGAACGGGCGCCGTGCGGGCGCCCCGATTGGCGGGTCTCCTGGGCGGTTCATTACAGGGCCGTAACGAAGCCGTCCCGAGGGCGTCCCAATGGGGGCTAGGGCAGTACAGAGTTTGGTTCCTGGCAGGGACGGCCCAGTCAGCCTTTTGTTATATTATGTTGTTATATTACCATCATCATCATTATTATTGTTGTTATGGTAATTAATTGGTATGATATCGCAAGGCGCAGCAATGTAACAAATAATAGATCTGAATACATATTAGTACTGTAAATCAAAAGGAGCAAGACTCAACCGCGCAATAGCAGGATGAATCCAGCACAGCGTCAAATAATGGATTCATGGATGATTGCTATTCACTGCTCCATCAGAACCAGTCTTGGACCCGCCCTGCATTATTATTGTGTTCTGTCCTGCTTCTGCCCGATTGCCATCGGAATGCGTGGATATACGTGTCAGAAGTCCAGACCGGCATTCCTGCAGCCTGCCAGCTCGACGTTGCCCCTCACCACTGGTGCTTCATCCTGTCAGCAGTCAGCAGGAATCGCATCGACTGGTGGTCAGGCCAGACACATCAACATCATCCTCCCTTGGATCTGTCCTCATAGGCTGCCCGACCCGGAGTCGGTTGGGTTCAGGTTGGATTGTCGGCCGGCTTCGTCGCAATAGTCACCATCACAAAGACATCCTTGCTGAATGCCGTCTGCTGTTGAGCCTGCTGTTTTGTTTCAAGCAGGATTCGGGATTCACTGCGTCATATCGAGCGGGGAACCGTGTGTAGCGTCTACATCCCGGGTGTGTACTACGTACTCTGTAGCTCTATGACTCTCTACTTGCTGCCTCAGGATACCATGCCGCACTCAGTGGCATACAAGGTAAGTACAGTTGTACTGCTATCACACCTACTCCGTACTTCTTCCTAACAGTACCTCCGCTGTTTCCAGAGATCATCCCAGAATATTCCGGTTCGAGGCGAGACGCCGCAGTCGTCCCAGTCCCAGTCTGGACAACGCCATGTCCATTATTTCGTACTGGATGGTTCACCAAGAAGAAACGAGATTGAAGGTCTCGACCAGTGGGTTGGCCGATTCGCCGTCCAACATGGTCAACGCCTCGGGCAAGGGATGACTGAACCGCTGCCTCGACCGTCCCTTCTTCATCTGGAACTTCCATTCCATGTGCGGTGCCTTCGAACTGTCCGCAAATCGACTTCCCGAAAGACAAACCAAGTCGATCCACAAGAAACCTTCCCTCGTTTCTGGGAAGACAGTGGCCAAAGGGAACCAGAAAGAAAAGAAAAAAAAAAAAAAAAACGGTCTAGACAATGGAGCGTGTGGTGGAATTCATTCGAACTTTGAAGCCACGAGTCGTGTAATCCGCTCCGCTTTTTCCCTTGAAACTCTTTTCTCGTTTCTGTCCCTGTGGCACCGGCCGTGGAAAGCCAATACGAGCCCAACACGGCGGATACTCATTCCACCGTGTGGAGAAGGATTCCGCAAGGTTTGCCTCTCCTGTCCTGTCCAGTGTCCAGAGTCCAGAATCAGTGTCTGGAAACGAAACTTCTCTTTTTTTTTTTTTTTTTTTTTTTCACAGGCTTACTCCGTACCCAGCGTACCGACAGAAACGAAGGGGAAAAAAAACCTTAATCGATCCCCATCGTAGCGCACCGAGGAGAATGGCCTGAAGGAGAATTTTGCCATCAGAACCTTTCCATAACCCACATTGAATCCCGCAAGACGAGGTAAGAGACGGATAACATGATCCACCATTATAATTTGTCGACTGCTACAATCCAAATCCTCATCCTTCCGGAATCCACAGAATCCTGAGAAAGAGAGAAGAAAAAATTTTAACACTACCCATCAATGAATCTGTTTCCCCCTCCGATCTAGATCCCTCAGCCTGCCTGAATCTGGCGTTGAAATTATTCCGCAAGGTGGAATAGTGACTACTAATGCATGTCATCGCTTGTGCGGGACTTTGGCAACAACCATGCTGACATACTCCGGAGTCTGTAGAACAGATCGATTCGAATCTGGACCGATTTGAAATCGAACGTCTGCGGGTTTGAATCGGCGACTTCTATGTGTCTACAACGTTTTGTCTAGGCCATCTCACCAAGTCTTCACTGTCCATCCTCCATACATCCGAATAACCTGAATAATTAATCACCCTGTAACAATAGGAATAACAAACGATACAACGCCTGCCTGCTTGCTTGCTTGATACCACCAATTTCAATATTACACTTGCCATTTTTTCGTTGCTGTTTCACTTTCAGTTCCTGCGAAAGCAAGTTCGATTTTGTCTGCATTTCCTGCTTGTTGGCCACCATCTAATGATGTAATAATAATCATAAGGGAGTATCAACCAAGTATCTGTTAGACTGGCCTAGAAAATACAGCGATGCTTGAAACTGAAGGTCAATCATGTTTCGGAACTAAAAGTCCACTCTATGCATGCACAAAAGAACCAGTAGCATTCTTGAATACCCTAACTACCATATGTAACAAAACAGAAGAACAGGCTCAAATCCAACACGCAAGTACAGAGAACCATCCATTTGTATGCATTAGCAGAGGCCGCAGCAGCCGATAAAAACATAACGAAAACATCAATCTCATCAGAAATAGGAAATCACCAAATCAACCCTGGCACATGAGGCAAGCCTCCTTGTTCTCGATGCTGCAAGCGAGCACCTTTTGAGAATAAATGTCATTCTCACGCTCCTCGCTCTCCTTCTCCTCGTCCTCCTCCTGAGAAGTGCCGTTGCCATTACGCCGTGGCTGAGAGAGCTCCTCATCTGGATGAACAGGGGACGAGGGGTCAACGGCAAGAGTGCGAGGACTGCCCCCGGCCTTCACACCGTTCGTGCTCTGGAAGTCTGGCGATCCAAGCTCATTGCTGCCATTTTGGGCACCGACCGAATGCGAATTGAACGCTGAGCCAACGCCTCCGACCTTCTTCCGTAGGGGGATTGACCGGGCAACATTGGTGTCAGCGACCTTGAGCTTCTCCTGGTCCACCGTGAATTGAATTGGTGCAGAAGCTGCCATGGTTCTGAGATAGTACATGCCAGTCTTCAACCCCATCTTCCACCCAGCAAAGTGCATGCTGGTAATCTTGCCCATGGTAGGCTCCTTCATGTGGATATTGAGCGACTGAGACTGGTCAATGTATGCACCACGGTCTGCAGCCATCTGCAGGATGTTTCGCTGAGAGATCTCCCAGACAGTCTTGTAGAGGGCCTTGATGTCTGCGGGAATATTGGGAATGTTCTGAACAGAGCCACCCTCCGCGATAATGCGATTCTTCATGTTGTCAGACCAGAGACCCAAGTCGACGAGGTCCTTGAGAAGCCATGGGTTGACAACTTGGAATTCTCCAGCAAGGACTCGGCGAGAATAAATGTTCGAAGTGTACGGCTCGAAGCACTCATTGAAGCCAAGAATCTGGCTGGTGCTTGCCGTCGGCATAGGGGCCACCAGCAAACTGTTGCGCACGCCGTGCTCTGCGATCTTGGCCTTGAGCGAATCCCAATCCCAGAGGTCGGTGGGTTTCCTGTCCCACATATCGTATTGGAGGATCCCTTGGGAGACGGGAGAGCCTTCATACGTCTCATACGTCCCAGACTCCTTGGCCAGTTCTACAGACGCAGTCAAGGCACCGTGGTAGATGGTTTCGAAAATCTGAATGTTCAGCTGTCTCGCTTCGGCCGAGTCAAATGGCAGACGCAAGGCAAGGAAGGCGTCAGCAAGACCATTGACACCAAGAGCAATGGGACGATGGCGGAGATTGCTCTTCTTGGCTTCGGGAACAGGATAGTAGTTAATGTCAATAATCTTGTTCAAGTTCCGGACAAGAACCTGCACAACTTCATGCAGCTTTCCAAAATCGTATTCACCGCGGACAGAATCAACAAACGTAGGAAGGGCAAGAGATGCCAAGTTACAAACTGCAACTTCGTCCGGAGCGCTATACTCGACAATCTCAGTGCAGAGGTTGGAGCTACGGATAGTTCCGAGGTTCTTCTGGTTGCTCTTCCTGTTGCAAGCATCCTTATACAACATAAAGGGGTTTCCAGTTTCTGTCTGCGCCTCGAGAATAGCATACCAAAGCTTCTGGGCTTTGACGGTCCTACGACCCCTTCCTTCCTGTTCATACCTGCAAAGATGTTAGTGTATGTCATAAAAAAGTATATTAAGAAAAAGAACTGACTTTTCGTAGAGAGCGTCAAACTCGTCACCATAGACATCAGCCAGGCCAGGTGCCTCATTCGGGCAGAAAAGTGTCCAGTCGCCGTTCGCCTCAACCCGCTTCATAAACAGATCTGGGGTCCAAAGAGCGTAGAAAAGGTCACGAGCCCTGACCTCCTCCTTTCCATGGTTTTTGCGGAGATCCAAGAATTCGAAAACATCAGCGTGCCAAGGTTCCAGGTAGATAGCAAAAGCACCCGGCCGCTTATTGCCACCCTGATCCACGTATCTCGCAGTATTGTTGAATACACGGAGCATAGGGACGATTCCATTAGAAGAGCCGTTGGTTCCGGCAATGTAAGAGCCCGTGGCACGGATTCGGTGGACGTTGAGACCAATACCGCCTGCAGTTTTGGAAATCATCGCGCAGGTCTTCAAGGTATCATAGATACCTTCGATGCTATCTGCTTTCATATCGACCAGGAAACATGAGGCCAGCTGAGCCTGGGGAGTGCCGGCATTGAACAGGGTCGGCGAGGCATGGGTAAAGTACTTCTGAGACATCAAGTTATACGTCTCAATGGCCCTTTCAATATCGTTGCCGTGTATTCCAACAGCAACCCGCATCAGCATGTGCTGGGGACGCTCTGCCACCTTCCCATTGATTCGTAGCAGGTATGAACGCTCAAGAGTCTTGAAACCGAAGAAATTGTAGTTAAAATCGCGATCGTACACGATTGCGGAGTTAAGCTCATCAGCATGTTTCATAACTATTTCATATGTCTCCTTAGAAATCATCGGTGCTGGTTTATTATTCTTTGGGTTGACATAGTAATAGAGGTCTGAGATGACCAGAGAGAACTGCTTCTTGGTTTGCTTGTGAAGGTTGGATACAGCTATCCGAGCAGCAAGAATAGCATAATCTGGGTGTGTTGTAGTCATATACGCCGCCGTCTCAGCAGCCTATGAGAAAGACAAAAAGAAAAATCATTAGCTCACGGTCCCTTCTGAGCAATGCACGCACGAACGGCTTACCAAGTTATCCAGTTCCACCGTGGTGACTCCCTGGTAGACACCCGAGATGACTTTCTGTGTGATGGCAGCAGCGTCAACGTGCTCGGGGTCTAGTCCATAGCAGAGCCTCGATACACGGGCTGTAATTTTGTCAAATTGTACGCGTTCCTTGCGTCCATCTGTAAAATTGCAAGTGGTTAGCACTCGATTGGACGCAGGTGGCAATCTAACCACAATAGGGGTTGTGCCGGATACAACGTCGGGTTTCACGAGTTCGATGACACTAACTCGGTTCTACTCACCTCTCTTGTAGACGAACATGGTGAATTGTAATTAGAAGTGTTGGAAGAATCAAAAAGTCGGTGAGGGGCACAGCGGTGAGTGTATAATGATCTAGTTATTACTGAAGAGACAAAAAAGAAATACTTTTCTATATGGAAAAAAGGGAAAGGACATACGGATGTCCGAGAGGATGTTAGGAAGAGATGAAGAGGATGGAGAAAAAGAGAGACCAGACGAGCAGGAAATATTAATGAGAAAGGCACTCTCGTGGAACGCGTCTTCCGCGACGCGAAATGTTCACCGCGCAGACGCCACGGTCACGTGGTTAATATCAACTTTCATTAATAATTCTTGGGACACGTCTATTACGGACTACGGAGCACTCGGGTGCTTACGAACATATTGGTCATCAAGAATTCTGCATACACCCAATTTGTATTTCTATAGAAATTGTATATTTAAGATAATAATATAAGATGTTGTCTCGAGAGTTGGCAGGTCAAAGGTCGATATCCAAAGCCAAAGATACAAAGGCAGTATCAGCATATTCTCACAGAGTAGCCGCAAATCCGACAAATACAACAGCGGCGAAAGCAGCGGCAGACATTTGTTTGTTCGGCGAAGAAGCTCCGTTGCTAAGGGGAAAAGCACTAGAGGGAGTCTGGCTTGGAGTTGCAACGGGAATACCGCTGGGATAACCGGAAGGAGAGGGCGTAGCAACAGCGGTAACAAAGCCAGAGCTTGACGGAACGATTGATCCTGAAATGGCTGGGGTGGCAGAGGTAGGGCCAGAAGTAGGAGTACCGTGGGTGCCAGTTGTGGAAGTCTCAGCGCCAGATGTGGTAGATGAATGAGTGACTAAGTAAGCATTAACAGATAGCTTCCCAATCACAGAGGCCCAGGGGATTACCTACCGATCTTGTGACCGGCCGAAGAGCAGGTGCTGGAGAACGCGCTCAATGCTGCCTGAGCATTACCCTTGCAGGTAGAGGAGATCTGGGACTGGATCTTGCTGGCATTTGAGCCGCAGATAGTATTGAGATCAGACGGGCTGGGTTGGCCACTATTTATTTCCAACATCGTTAGCCGGAGTCATTGAAAAGGTCCGTATATCCGGTTTAGCCATTAAAAAACATACCCAACGACGTCGAGCAGACATGCAGGTGGGAGAGCGCCCACTGCGACGCGGGTGAGCGCCAGAAGGGAGAAAACAACAGCGGATTTTGAGAAAAGCATTTTGGCCACAGTGGAAAATTGAATAATTAGAAAGATTCTCAGGTGATCTGATCTCGAAGACAACAACCGAACAGTCAAGGATGACTTTATGAACGTGTAGCAGGAGCAAAGGGAAAAAAAAAAAAGGGAGAGAAGGAAAGACTACTGGTGAGAATCCAGAGAATATGAAGGGGAAAAAATGAATGACAGGCCTTTTAGGGCAAAAGAGCGACGAATAGAGCGATTGTGTATAGGGAAGATAGAGAGAGATGAAGTCGGAAGTTCAAGTTTGAAGGTCGAAGCAAAGTTGGGAGATCATAAAGGGGCATGGTGTTGAAACCAGATCGAGCCAATAATAGCCGTCATATACTTAGGAACATTTACTTTCCCCAAATAAGGTTAGCTTCAATACTAGTCCCTAATTGGGTTTGTCCGGGGCTAGGGCTGTCCACGTGAGACTATATGTTCTATGCACATCAGACAATACTGCTGAATCGTCAATTTCCCGTGCTGAGAACGAAGGATAATTGACAGAAAATGTCCTGTGTTATTCACTGTTAGGACATACGGGTGCTAAAATAGAGGTCATGGGTGACATCTTCCGCGTATCTGTAGCTTCTTCACTTTTCAACCAAGTACCAAGCTGTGAACTTTTACCACGCTTTTCTCTATACCGCCAGAAACAAGTATCTCCAGATTCCAATATCGTCCAGAGCATGCGAGTGATGTAATAATGATAGTCGAAAGTGCCAGCTATAGGACACACTGACGGACGCTGTTCCGACGGGGACAAGGATTAGGTAGAGGGGAGAGGGAGATACGCATGGAAATAATGCACGGCAATCACAGCGCTCCAAACGCAGCGGACAGGTGTTTCCATGTCCTATTCAGGCATTGCCATTCTGCAAAGAGAAAAAAAAGCAGTCAATCTCAGCCCATCTCAGAAAGAAGGGGGAAACGCTAAAGCAAACAGGAATCATCTTTCCCAAGCAGGGTCATAGTGACTGACAACAATCTCTTGAACGTCCAACCTATTATCCACAATTTCCTTCCCATTGACCAGATCGTTCTCTGTGGCCCGTTTGTCCGCCTCCTCCTCTGTCTTTGCAAGCCCAGCTTGAAGGTGTCTTCGGACTAGTCTCTTCCGAGCGATTTCGAAGTCCACATCAACAAACCATAGTTCATCCATGACCTTTGCGGCTGTGCTCCATGGCTCCCGGTTCAGACTCAAATAATTCCCTTCAAAGAAGATGACCCGGCATGTGGGAGGAATGGCGATATCGTTCTCTACGGGGTCTTTAATCGCGTGATCAAAACTCGGTGCATAAAGGTTTGGAGTCTCAGCGGTAATTTCTCGTCTCAGTGACTGAGCAAGCTCAAGGAACTTTCCCCCGTCAAAAGTGAAAGCCGCACCCCGCCTGGCAGCAGCGTACTCGGGATCCGGCATCTGAGCGAGTTGTGCGCGTGTCAGATGGTACCCGTCCATGGGAATCGCAGTTGCAATAGGGGCAGGGCCTGGCTTCTCGGAAGTGTAGATTTGATTAACCCGTCTGGCCATGACGCTGGCCAGCTCCGTCTTCCCGGAACCTGGGATTCCACTTATTGCGATCATCAGGCGGGCATTACTCGGCGTGGAGCGGAATTCAGCTGGTCAAAGTCAGTATAATGATCCAATCCACTATATATGCATACGGGTCTCGTCCATCTTCTCCAGAAATTTCACGCCGAACAGGGGTCCGGAACTGTCCTCGTGACCAGTCAGTGCAGCACTTACCCCAGACCTTCTCAACCAGTCTATTTACCTGCTGGTCCATGACGAATATTAAAATAAATAATCAATGAACGACAAGCAAATAACAAAACAGATGAGAGGCAACAAGCAATTTCTGCGCGTAGACTGCGACCTAACGTGACGTTCGTTCGATCGGTCGTGGTACAGTGCGGAGTCGCAGTACGCTAACAGTCGGTGTCGCGGGGCTATGAAAGACTAGACGATGAAAGGGCAGCAGAACCGTCAGGATTGTCTTCATCGGGGTCTTTTCGATAAGAGAACAAGACGCATGTCGAATCAATTGCACACCGACATGGCGGATTTCCGCAACTAGGAGACATGCGGCTTAATGATAACAGTGGGCGCCCCGACGTAATAGGCGGGTCGGCCCAAGCTCCTCCGCGCGGAGAATGACCGGAAGAAAATTCACCCACGGGACAGGGGGTTGCAGAATGCAGATAAAGTGGACACCAGGCTTATTTCCCCTGAGGGGGGTGTTTCTCTACGGGCGTGTGATGGCATTACTATTCGGTCTCTCTGAACTCAGCTTTAACGGCAAGCGACCGTGTCAAACGTAGTATTAGCCTCGGCGGCTGGACTGAGAAACTCGTCCCAGTCTGTTTGTGGGCAAGGTATCCATAACTATTTACAAGGACTGGGCAGGAAGTCCACGCAAATCCGCAAGGAGCCCGGCTAGAGAACATCAAGAACGCCCTATACAGTGCTTATTTACATTCCAGAAGGGACGTTCGATCGGTGTAAAATGGCAAAGGAAATGGGAACGGAGAAAAATGAATATAAAACAAGGCCAGAAGAAGTGAAGAGGGGAGAAAGAGCTCTCAGAGTCTCTCTCTCAGCGGTCCATCAGGAATATCGAGATCTGGGGAGTCATCGTTCGCGTGGACACGACGACTCATGGTGCGAGACAGCCCAGCCGCCGCCCACCAATCATCTGGAATATCCTCCCTCCGAGAAAGCCGGTCCAGGATGGCCTGCATCTGCTGGAGTTCTGGGTTCGCCGATGAGTGGGAGAAAGAGACGGAAATAGTAGGAATCGGCGGTTGGCTGCCCATGGTCGATCCAAGATGATGGGACCTACGCAACCGGTCTCGACTGCGTCGGTAAAGGGTCCTATAGTTGACCTCTGAATCCGAATCCGGCTCTGAATCAGACGAAGACGGATAGTCACAAGGATTCAAGAATTCCGGATATGGATCCAAGACCACCGGCACTGTTGTCCCGGAGGAATCGAAAGAGGATGGCAGGGTCTGTGACGAGGTGATGGGACTTCTACGCACCCCAAGCCTAGGCAGGTCCGTCGTTGCAGATACAGAGCCCGATGCAAACGAGGACTCGGCACTAGGGAGATTGGCGTCTGGGGTTATTGTGGTAAGAAGGGTTTCCCAAGCATCGTTCTCGTCATCTGGGCTCAAGCTCCGTTGTCGATCCCCAAGTCCATCGACAAGCGGCTCACGCCTCTGCCTGGTTCCTCTATTATCAGGCCGCGGCCTGGCTCCCTGTAATAGCGGTACTGTTGGCGCCGTCGTGTCATCCTCAGGCCCGTCTACGCGAGGGAACGACTGCGCACGGGTGGCATCCGGGGGCGGCTGCGAGGAGATTGAACTGTGATATGCGATGGCCGGCGCAAATCGCGGCGTGAAGGGCAGATGCTCGGAACTTCTTTGACTGCCCGCGTCATCCCCAGGCGACAGGTGATTAAGCAAATCACTTGAAAACAAGGGACTGGTCAGATCCGGACGAAGTGTCGACTCTCGCGCAATCCTCAGCCGCCGGCCGGGGTGTGCCTGGCGGAGAACGTCTGATAGGATCCTCCGACCGGCGTCGCGTCTGCTAAGGTCTGCAAGGCCGGTTGAAAAGTCTAACGCATCGTTTCCATAGCCACGGTTTGGAACAGAAGATGGCCCATGGCGCCATGTTGCAAGCAGGTCGCGCTCATTATCATCTGCACTTTGACGAGGAAAGTGAGAGCGGAAAGGCGCACCACGCGTACTGTAGCGATTTGGGCGACGAACTGAAGTCTGGCGGCGGATCGTAGACCGTGAAGCGGCAGACGGATCCTTAATAGTAGTGCTATTCTTCGATGTCTCGCAGGGCGAAGGTTCACGGAACATCCTGCAGCAATGTCAGCGACACTGTTCGCTTCCGGCCGGTGATGCGACAACGCAACGCGCGCCGGCACTAGTAAAGCGCCGACGGATCGACTTACGGAATCCCCATGGTTACGAAGGTCGATTGTACGAAATGGCTTCGTGGGAGAGAGTGAAAAGGGGCTGTCAATAATATCCTTCAGAGAGTGCGACGCGAATAGTTATGCGCGGGACTAAAAAGAACGCGATGGGGGAGGACAGCCGCTGGATTATTTTGGCGGAGAGCGAGGTTGGAAAGAAGATGGGGCGAGGGCGTTGTTTGTCGGCTGCTGCACATCGGCTGGCGGTGTGGCGTTATTGCCATTTGTGGCAATCGTCTGGAAAGCCACAGTACACTGGTCATTACTGGTAATTACATGGCCCCTGTAATGTGGCTGGTGCCAGAAGAATGGCTTTCAGCTCCATCCATGGACTCTCAGCTCGTCCCATGGTCTGCCTTTCCATGGTCCGTGATGGTATCGATTCGTCCGACATAGTTGCTAAACTGCCATTATAGCCATCATGCCATTTAACTACCACTGCCAGAACTTCATATTCTATCTGGGAAATTCAGAGCCTCTATTCAGATATATATGTGGGCAGCTGGGAAGCCCTTCCAGATTCTGGGATAACCGAGACTGCTTTTGACATCCCAGAGAGCTCTCTAAATGGACTTTACCAGACTCCATGTTCCTGACTGGTGGCTACAATGACTACAAAGCTTCCATCATCAAAATGGGCACGAAGAACCCGCTTTCAGCTCACGCAACAGATATGGGCCTGTCTGTAGATCTCTCTATTTACGAAGAGGTGACGCTTCATCTCCAAGTAGATCCAGAAAAATGGGCTAGGCGTGCAAACGTGAAAGAGGCATGGCACAAGCTGCGGGACAAGTACGATCTGGATCACGACGCATGGGACTATGCAACGGGACTTCCTTACTTTCGCCTTCGGCAGAAACTGGGGCTGCGTGGGCAATATGACCAAGGCCCGAAAGTTTGGCTAGACAGGGTACACAGACACTTGAGAGGAACTGGAAGCGGCCTTTGGGATCCTGGAAAAGGAAAAGATTCTACCACCAGTGGAACAGTTGAAAAGTGATTTCTCGTGAAGTCCAATTGTCCGTTTCATATATAATATGTACATATCTGGAGAACGGCTCTTACATGGGTCAATATTGTTCACTAAAATCTATAGCCAAACTTCTCCACTAGATCGCCGACAAATGGCAGCATGAACAACCAAATAGACACTCTAGCTCAATCAATAGCCAATTCAGGGGGTTGCTCGATACCGGTATCGCCATTCGATCTCTCTTCTAGCTGTAGGAGTGGCAGGCCTCTAATTCAGACTAGCGTAACCTATTAGCAACAGTCAAATAATCGTAGCAATAAATAGAACCAACTAATAAATACCGAGTAAGTTAATTATCCGCTCATCTGATCGTCCTTATCATCGAGATTGAAGTCAAGCCGCCGACAAACTGGTAAAGTTTTTGGGGTGATCATTGAGGACCGCGATGTGGAAGATAATTTCGATTTAGAGGGTTTGGGAAATCTGACTTGAATAATTCTGAATCAAATAAGAACATAGCAACAAGCGCAGCAGCTCCTAAAGCTGCAGATCGAGTCATTCGGGCAGGCTTAGGTCTCGTGGGTCCATGGTGTTGTCTGTCTGTGATGTTGAATGATGAACCCTGGAGTTGTTTAGAACTTGAATTGAATGGAGTGATCAGCTACAAGCAGCTTTGCCATTTTCTATTTGTGTTAAATGGCCTTCGTCTAAGTTGCCTATTTAGCTTGCCGGGAGACATTCAACAAAACTTCTTTGTTGTTGTTGTTGCAGAAAGTGTTCAGCAGTTTTATGAAGTTACTTATAGTAACAGGCTACCGCGGTTATTATTAACCGGTGTATAGAATACTGTACTAGATGTTGTACTGATATTATTCCTGGTATTTGATCACGTGCGAATTACAACCGAAGCCAAGCATTTTCCAAAGAAGCTGCCTATTTTTGGAATTCTCTGAATGTCATCCTTCCAAGATGCTCCATTATCAATCTAGCTGAGGCGCTATTTCTGATCATGAAGTTTGCAATCCTAAGCATCCAAAAAACGCCACATATTTGGAGGAAGAATGATTGAGCTAGGCCTCAACCGCATATCTCGCCTCCTCCAGCAGACCCCTCTGTCATGGCATGCCGTCCACGTTGCTGGAACGAACGGTAAAGGCTCCATCAGCTCCTACCTGTCCCACCTGCTTTCCGCTGGTGGTGTTCGCTGCGGTCGCTTTACATCCCCTCATTTGATCGACCGGTGGGATTGCATCACGATCAACGAGAGTGCGGTGCAAGAGTCTCTTTTCCGGCAGGTAGAAGAAAAAGTCAAGTCGAGGGACAAGAAACTGGGCATTGGGGCCACGGAATTTGAACTGCTGACGGCTACGGCATTTGAAATCTTCAATCAGGAACGGGTTGAAGTTGGCGTGGTCGAAGTCGGAGTTGGAGGTCGCCTGGATGCTACAAATATCTTGAACAATGTTCTTGTCTCGGTTATTGCGAAGATAGGGATCGACCATCAGTCTCTATTGGGGGACTCGATTCAGAGTATCACTCGCGAGAAAGCTGGCATTCTGAAGCATGGGGTCCTCTGTGTTGTCGACGGCACAAACTCACCGGAGGTCATCCAAACCCTGCAGTCCCGCATAGAAGACCTCGGACTGGATGCTGTTTTCGTTTCTCCTGATGTGACTGTCAGAAAACATCCGCCCCTTTCAGACATTTTCCAGAAGCTGGACCTTGAACCCCACCAAAAAACGAATATGTGCTGCGCAGTCACCGCTTTTCAGTTTGCGCTATCCAAGCTGCATCCAGAGATCAAACTTGACACTCTGATACCGCGTCTCCGTGATGTGAAATGGCCGGGTCGCTTACAGACCGTGTCCCTCAGGCCTTTAACCTCCCGCGAAGAGCCTATTTTACTCGACGGTGCGCACAACGCGCAGTCCGCTGAAGTGCTCGGGAGATATGTCGACCGGAAACTCCGTCCGTCTCGAAGCCGTGTTACCTGGGTTGTTGCAGCATCTCATGGCAAGAATGTGACGGAAGTGTTCCACTCGATTATCAAGCCTGGTGATAATGTTGCGACGACTTCTTTTGGTCCTGTAGATGGGATGCCCTGGGTCAAAGCGACAGACCCTGCTGAATTGGTCTCATGCGTCAAATCTATTCCGGGAATCGGAGAAGTGAGGGATTTCGAAGCGGATATCGTTGGTGCGGTCAATTGGGCCTGTGGAATGGCCAACGGGGGCCCATTGGTAGTCGCGGGCAGTCTTTACCTTGTATCAGATCTCCTGCGTATCCTCCGCGATGTGCAAAGGGGGCATGCATTACAGCCGTAGATTCTCTAGACCAATTGGATTACCCTTGGTCTATGTTGTGGAAAATGAGTGGAGTAGTAATGAATAAATATATATGCAAAGAAAAAAAAAAAAAAAAAAAAAAAACAGAAAAATTCAAGGTGTAGGATTCTGCGTTGTCGATTTGTGATTTCCCTGGAATATGCCGTGACGCGTTCACCGTGGCGCTCCTTGTTTCCAGCCATAAATGTCGAACCATGAGTCCCTTGGATTCTTGTCTAGAGGCTTTAGAGGCCGGCCATCGTAGGGCTGGCGAATCTACGAAGAGTCGGGCAGGTGTGTTATGTCACTATCGGCGCTCCTAGTGCGGCGTTGGTTTCCTGTGGATCTGAAAGTCCCCAAGACACTCCGATAAACCACAGCTCTGGACCATCAGCCACTGCAGTCAATAGTTGGCTCTCCTTTTTCTGGTGCAGCACCCCTTTCAATCTGTCTGTATGACTCTTTAAAGCACGTTGGACGAATCCGATCCCGAAGTCCAGCTGCTGTTTGAAACGCCTCTAGCGCCCTGTGCCTAGCGCCGTTCCCAATGGGTGTCAGCAAGGCTCCCCTCCGGTATGTCATTGATCAATGTTTACCTGCATCTCTTACGATGGAATTACTCCTATCCCAATTGAATGCGATCGGTTCCTTGGAGTTTTACTGATGAAATGTGGCCTGACAATGCGTAGGTATTGCTAGAATGACAAGCCGATCGCCTAACTCCTGCTACCTTCCTTGCGTCGCTTACCGCATCCGAAAGCCGCGTGGGATACAAGATCAGACTCTCCGATCAAGTGTATTTGATAAATTATACGGATAAACCTCGCGATTCGCGACAGGTCATGGTCTCCCGATCTCGCGAGGGGAGCCAGGCGTTACCTCCCCCTTCATCGTCTCGAACTCCAGCTACGGCAAACAGACCCAAAATGGCGAGATTAGGGACAAGCCCAACCAAACGTGATGATAGGATGGGGAAGACCTCAGCGAAGGATGTTGCGGAGCTTCAGGACTACGTAGGAATACAATATCTTTCCCCCGCCGTTCATGACCTGTCGGGATGCTGATGGTTGATTTGTCACAAGCAATTGGGGGATTGCTTGGGAAGGGGTGCCTTTGGGTCCGTCTACAGGGCTTTAAATTGGAATACCGGAGAGACTGTCGCTGTAAAGCAGATAAAGCTGACAGACCTTCCGAAGAGCGAACTACGAGTCATCATGGTAGGTGGATGCTCGCCAATTCCAAGCATGCCTGTGGAGACAGTATCGCTGAGTCTTCATATACAGCTAGAGATTGATTTGTTGAAGAACCTGGATGTGAGGCTCGCCCGAGACGCTTTGGGGTTCCGGTTCCAAGAATAGGTACTGACAGTGGCATAGCATCCCAATATCGTCAAGTACCATGGTTTTGTGAAGTCTGCTGAAACTTTAAATATCATCTTGGAGTATGCGTCCTTCGATTTCGAAGACAGGAATGATAGCTGATCGAACCATACAGATACTGTGAAAACGGCTCCTTGCATTCTATCGCGAAGAATTTTGGCAGATTTCCAGAAAACCTGGTCGGTCTGTACATGTCCCAGGTCTTAAATGGACTGTTATATCTCCACGAGCAAGGTGTTATCCATAGGGATATTAAGGGTGCGAATATTCTTACCACCAAGGAAGGTCTGGTGAAGCTGGCGGATTTTGGTGTTGCCAGTCGGACCACTGGTCTCAACGAAAACAGCGTCGTTGGTACTCCATATTGGATGGCTCCTGAGGTGATTGAGCTTTCAGGTGCGACCACAGCTTCAGATATATGGAGTCTTGGTTGTACTGTCATTGAGCTTTTGGAGGGCAAGCCCCCATACTTCAACCTTCAACCGATGCCTGCACTGTTTCGCATTGTGAATGATGACCATCCCCCACTGCCACAGGGTGCATCACCGGTGAGACTCTTTGACCGATATTCACTATCACTTCCCTTCTAACTCTACTATAGGCTGTGAAGGATTTTCTCATGCAGTGTTTTCAGAAAGACCCCAACCTCCGTGTTTCTGCAAGGAAGCTACTTAAACATCCCTGGATAGTCAATGCCCACAGGTCAGATTCAGTGGTCCCGAAGAAGTCTACCGAATATGAAGAAGCTGTGAAAAGCGTCCAGGAGTGGAACGAAGCTCTTCGGTCACCGGGTAAAGGTGACTTACGGAGAACTTTCAGAACAAATCATTATAGCCCAGCTCCTCTGCGTCAGGACTTTCCTGGTTCTCGGAGCCCCCCAGCGAGGGACTCCTTACCGACCGCTACCTCTAAATGCGTTACAGATAGGTTCAAATCCCTAGATACCGCAGAGGACGACAACTGGGACGACGACTTTGTCACTGCTATTTCTCCTAGCGCATTGCACTTGCCTCACCTTCGGCCACATGATAATTTCGGTGGCATGCTATCTTCTGAGAAGCTTAAGGCATTTGCATCTCTAGATGGGACGGTGACGAGACACGACGACAGCTTCGGTTCCGATGACACGGTATTGCAGCCGGGTGAGACAGATCCTCAACAAACTATACGACCATACCCATTCCAACGTCAGCAGGCGAGCAAGAACTCCGTGTCTTCCATGCAGAACGTTCCCATTCTAAACCAGAGCCCAATGCCGCCAAGACGACAACAGCGTCCAGCATCTTTGTTTAAGGAGAATTCCGTAGAGGACTTCTCGGATCTCGTAATTGGCAATGAAGATGTCTTGGACCGGAAGCTAGGTGCCTTTCAAGTGAGCATTTCTCAGTCGTCTTATTATTGCATGCACAATTTTCTAACTGTCCTAGGATGTGGAATATTCCAGGAACCGCCAAGCTTCACAGGGTTCTTCATCATCTACCAAAGTCCCTAGCAGATTGTTCACTCAAGAAGACAGCGTGGAGTCACAAGGTCAACTTAAAAGGCAGATATCCGTTAGACGCAATCGTTCCGCGATCGAAATCGAAAAGTTTGCAGAGAACGAGGGGGATGAAGATTTCTCTGATATCCTCGGAACCGGCGAGGTTGTTTTGGACAACCCTAAAGTGCAAGGGAACTCGGGTCGAAACCTGATGTTGAATTCAAAACTCTCGAACAATTCTTGGCTTGGGGACCAGGATGATGAGGATGACCCGTTTGCGCAGCTGGAAGAGGGGTTTGACGAGATGGATTTAGAGGCCAACATCGCGCGAGATAAACACGCCCGGCTTCGGAATCAAGTCGAGGGTCTTGTTACCTCCTTGAAGACATCACAGGATGATGATGTCCTCGAGGATATTTCCGATCAACTGCTAGGCATTTTCTACGATTTCCCTGAAACAAAAAACGTCATTATCGGTGCTCATGGAATGCTGCCAATACTGGAAATCCTCGACATGTGCCGACGACGTGATATAATCACCAACCTTCTGAAGATCGTCAACGCAATCATTTTCGACGATTATGAGATCCAGGAAAATCTCTGCTTCATCGGAGGAATACCGATAATCAATGAATTTGCCTCCAAAAAGTATCCACAGGAGATCCGACTTGAGGCAGCTGCCTTCGTGCAGCAGATGTATCAGACCTCGACTCTTACACTTCAGATGTTTGTTAGCGCTGGCGGCCTAAACGTCCTGGTTGAATTCTTGGAAGACGATTACGAGGATGAACGTGATCTTGTCCTAACTGGCGTCAATGGAATTTGGAGTGTGTTCGAATTGCAGGTAGGCTTCAGCCATTTCCTTTTGGGCTAAACATGCATACTCACACATTTCTCAAGGGTTCCACTCCCAAAAATGATTTTTGCAGGATTTTGTCTCGTAACTCTGTCCTGGACCCTCTGTCTCTAGTTTTGAGCCGCGTTTTGGATGAGGGAGGAGAGTTTGCCGAAATTGTTGAGGGTCGTATTGCAAATATCTTCTTCATCTTCTCACAGGCTGAGAATCATGTCAAGGAAATGGTTGCTGAAAGGACTGTTCTGCACAGTAAGGACGATCATTCTTCATCCAGAGGCTCTTCCTTTTTACATTCTCTGACTTCTTGCTTCTAGGGGTGCTGAAAGAATTGAAACGCATGACACCGGTTCATCAGATAACCATGCTGAAATTCATCAAGAACCTGTCTATGTTGTCCACGACTCTCGATGCACTTCAAAACTCAAACGCTATTGACGTGTTGACAGACCTGTTGAGATCAACAATGAAGCGTCCTCATTTCCGAGAAGTGTCTAATCAGATTTTAAATACCATATACAATATGTGTCGTCTAAACAAGTCACGTCAAGAAGACGCTGCATTGAATGGCATCGTGCCTCTTCTTCAAAAGATTGTCAAGACGGAGCGCCCACTGAAAGAGTTCGCTCTGCCCATTCTTTGCGATATGGCGCAGTCTGGCAAGGTCGGTCGTCGCGAGCTGTGGCGCAACAGAGGTTTGGCGTTTTACATTTCTCTACTCTCGGACCCCTACTGGCAGGTCACTGCTTTGGACGCAATCTTCATTTGGTTAGTGGGACGGCGACATTTCGATGCCCATGTATGACCCGACTGACTATTTCTGTAGGCTCCAGGAGGAAACGGCAAAGGTTGAAGAGCAGCTTCTGGATGATAGCCACTACAAGCCGTCTTTCACTGACGCCATTGTCAAATGCTTAACAATTTCCAAGGCTAATGCATTCGAAAATATTTTGGAACCGCTTCAGAAACTTCTACGTTTGAGCCCTGCGATTGCTAAGACACTCGCCCGGCCAGATCTTTTCACGAGGATCGGACTAAAGCTCCACCACAATAAAGCTGCGGTACGGTTGAATTTGCTCCGAATCGTAAGCAGCATCTGTGATTCAAGCGAGGAAAATGGCGATCTTCTGGCTCGTTACGATCTCCTTGACGCGATCAGGGAACTGGAAGATGACCCGGCCATTCTGGTTAGAGACATGGCTGGCAAACTTATTAAATCCAGTGAGCGAAGTGAAGCTTTGGGTCTCGGGAAGCGCAAGGCGGCCGTGAGACAGAGAAGCACCTCGACCTTATCCGGCCAGTCTACCCCGTCTACGCCCCAGCTCAGCCGTTCGAGCCAGTCGAAGGGATTTATGGATGGATGGGAGACGCCAAGGCATTCGCGTAACGGTCTTGGTGGCTCTGGTCTAGCGTTGCGACCTAGGAGCCAGGATAGCAGCATTGGCCCTAGTCTTCTTTCCCCAGGGGCGAACGGTTCGATCGCAGTGAGAAACAGAGTCATTCGCGGGTTGTCTCATAGGCTGTCTCAGGTTGAGCTTTCACCGGATGAAGACACCAGGCCTTCTCTCTCCCGTCGACGTTCGATGGTACCTCGTCGTCGCAGGCCAACGATTGCAGACGCCGAACTGTCGTGATTTGACCACTCATTTGATCTGTTCTCCCACTCTGACTCTCATATGCACGATCTCTCCTTTTATTTCCCCGTTGAGTACATGCATAATATGGGCGTACTGGACTCTGGGAACTGGTATTTTCTGTTTTCACTCTCTTCCTCGACTGACTGCCGTCTCTTGGCATCGTTGATGCGAACTGCACTTGCTTTTGCCTTGGGAGCTCTAGTTATTTCTTTAATTTTCCTTTTCCTCCCTTCTCTGGGTCAATGGTTACTGGATAACGGACATTAATTGGGAGCATATCGGAGGTGATTCTTACCTACACGGAGCGGCGAGATGGTTGCGCGCTGGATAGGATACATAGAGAACTCCAATACGACCGGCCTAGTAGTAGCATATTTTCTATTTCACCATATATTCTGTAGTTTATTATCTGTATTTCTACCGTGGTGGCCAGAGCGTGAGGCGAATAATTTAATGCTGGCAGTGGCTCCGGTTGGCGCCGAGGAAGAGCCGCCGCAGAAAATCCAACGGAAAGACATGCGTTAATACACCAGAACAACAGGAAACCAGCTCTCCCTTTCTCCCGCCAACCTCTCGCCTGTTCCATTTCAGGCCCTGACTCTCATCCATCTGGTCTGGATTCGCTCTGTCGCACTACAGAGTACAATGGCCTGAGGCCCCCCCCCATGTGCAGGAACGGCAGCGCTGAAAAAAAGTCCAAGTCCCACTCTGTTCTTCTCTGCGCAGCGCCGTTGTGTACGGAATGAGAGCATCATTCCGCATTCCGCTGCGGGCTTCCATATGTGATCCTGCTGCGGTGTTCAAAAATAAATACAAATACGACTATAATGGCGTGTCGAACAATCGGCTAAAGTCGACCGTTTCCCTCAGGCTCTTTTCTTCCCGCTCGTCAATCGCGACTACTATAACGACCCCACCAACGACCTGTTGGCACTGGCATTGTTCTCCGGGATGGACCCTCTCTAGGACCTATTCCACGAGGACTTCGACGTTGAACGCTACGAGAGGCGCCGGGGCCAACTATAATGGGTATACGCGGACGGATTCCGATTCTAAAAATCTTCGACGGAAGTATATCAAATATGCAGTGATCGGGACTGTGCTGGGCGTGGGAACTATTACTCTCTATGATCAGATTGAGCATGTATATTATGCTCTGACGAGAAGTGGGAGGGTCGTTGGCGCGCTGGCCGTTTGTATCAATGAGTAAGTTTGGACGAGGTATCTCCTGGATTGTTCTCATCGGGCTAGTTTGGCTTATAGAGCGAAACAGCTATCGGAAGACTCTCAAACTCCGGGACCAACTTCCTCCAGAAGAATACGCAGAAACTCTTCGGGCATGTCACAAGCGCTGTGCGGTACGAACACTACACGTTCTCGAGAAAAATGGATCCGTCTTCATAAAATTAGGACAACACCTGAGCAGCATGAGTTATTTACTTCCGTTAGAATGGACGACAACTTTCATCCCGTTGCAAGACAATTGTCCCGTCTCGTCGATCGAATCCATTCAGAACTTACTCGTCACCGACACGGGTCATACTATGGACGAGCTCTTTGAAACGTTCGAGCCCACGCCGATCGGGGCCGCCTCCTTAGCACAAGTTCACATTGCCACATTGAAAGACTCGGGAAATAAAGTTGCTGTCAAGGTGCAGCATCCTGTACTAGCAGAATGGGTGCCGTTGGACCTGGCATTGACGCGGTTTACGTTCTCGATGCTCAAGCGGTTCTTCCCCGAGTACGACCTTGAATGGCTATCTAGAGAAATGGATATGTCTCTGCCGCAGGAATTGGATTTCCGGAATGAGGCGAGGAATGCGGCTAGGACGAGAGAGTACTTCAAGAAGCATCCGAATGCCCCATTGGTGATTCCGGACGGTATGGTCTCTTATTTCTCTCTGAAAAGCCATAAGACATCGTCCTGACAATTTCCTTTTAGTAATATGGGCTAAGGAGCGCCTCGTTGTAATGGATTACGTTACTGGCCACCGCCCCGACGATCTTGAATACCTCGACTCCAACGGCATTGACCGGGACGAAGTCTCCGCTGCTTTGGCGCATATCTTCAACGAAATGATATTCGGCGAAGATGCCCCCTTGCATTGCGATCCGCACGGCGGCAACATTGCCATTCGCAAGAACCCTAATCGGCGTTATCCCAATTTCGACATCATCCTCTACGACCACGGCCTCTATCGCGATATCCCCCGTGATATGCGCCGCAACTATGCCAAGATGTGGCTAGCAGTCATCGACGCAGATATACCAAAAATGCGCAAGTACGCGCATGAGGTCGCAGGTATCACGGACGAGCAGTTCCCGCTCTTCGCCTCCGCCATCACGGGCAGAGACTACAGCGTCCTGGTTAACAAAAACGTCACTTCCTCCCGTACCGCTGCCGAGAAGGAACAGATCACTGGTGCACTTGGCGATGGCATGCTACAGCAACTAGTTGATTTGCTCAGCAAGGTACCGCGGATTATTCTTCTAATTCTCAAGACGAACGATCTCAGTACGTTACCCTCTCTTTCTGTTATATAGAAAGCTCAAACTTACACATTCATCTTATTTACAGCGCGCAGCCTGGACGAAAACCTCCACACTCGCCAGGGCCCCGTCCGCACATTTCTCATCCTAGCCCGCTACGCCACACGTTGCGTCTTCGAAGAGAACATGGAATCCATCCACGAAAGCGGTGGTGTGCTCTTCCGACCCTCTAATCTCTGGAACTTCCTCAAGGCATGGTTTACTTACATGCGTGTTGAGCTGAAGTTATCCGTGTACGAGCGTGTGTTGTCTTTGAAGAGTCGGTTTGGGATACGGACGGCCGTTTGAAGTGAAGCCAGCGGAGGAGAAATTAATATGAGAATGAAGATAGGGCAGGGACAAAAGGAAAGTGAAAATAGAAGTAAATACAGTGTGTTAAAACATCGTTTTTTGTGGTATTTGCTTGGTTGTTTCTTTTCCTTTTCTTTTTTCTTCTTTTTATCTATGTGCATTCGCTGTACATTTCATAGTCATGGAGACTTGATATATAAGTAAATAATCATTACAGCTAGCTACCATATATGAAGCATAATGCCTAGTATAAAAGCAGGATCTACGATATACAAGGACTGATAATTATACCCAAGTATCAACGCAAGCGCCCTGTCATTTTGCCTATAAATAAAACGAAAAAAAGACGATTGCCTCGGCCATCACTCAATCATGTACAAGACGATAAATGAAATATTGCCCTTCCAGACAAAGGAAAAAGAGAGAAAAAGAAAAAGAAAAGAGAAAATAGGAAATTTGACGGATAAATATTCTGTACACGTACAACCCAAACAAAACCCGTTCGTCTGGAAATGGCAATTAAGCGCGTATTTCAAGCGCTCCTCCAATTTTCACTGCAACATGACATTCTCAGCCAGTGTGCAAACTGCAAATTGGTAATAAAGCCGTTGCTCGGTGCGATGAAACACAACTCCCCCGTGTGTCGAAACGAATGTCGAATTTCTTAGATTCCCTTAAAACGTAGAAATATGGGAACACCCATGACATTTTCGGGAAAAGGAAAAACCACATGCACCTGGATATCAACCCCGTTTCATCATCTTCGGTTTCAATTTCAATTTCAATTTATTTAGGCGCTAGCCGCTGCCTTCTCGGCGACGGCTTCGACTTCGGGAAGGGAAGCGGATGTTCCGCTAAGATCGGTCTTCTTGGCCTTGGGGTTCTTTGTATAGTAATCGGAAATGGCGGATTTGATGGCATCCTCAGCAAGCATGGAGCAGTGTACTAAGATGTTATTAGCATCGAGTCAATGGCATTCTTTGATGCATCAATATGCGTCTCAAAAAGTGGGGGTCGACAAAACATACGCTTCACAGGAGGAAGACATAGCTCCTTGGCGATTTCGGTGTTCCGGATTTTACCAGCCTCATCAAGAGTCATCCCCCGCACGAGTTCAGTCAGGTAGCTAGAGCTAGCAATGGCGCTACCACATCCGAAAGTCTTGAACTTGACATCGCTGATCGTATTGGTGTCCTTGTCCACGCGGATCTGCAGTTTCATCACATCACCGCATGCAGGGGCGCCGACGAGGCCTGTGCCAACATCGACCTCACCCTTACCAAAGGATCCGACATTGCGAGGATTGTTATAGTGATCTAGCAGTGCAGGGACGGTCAGCATTTTCCTCGGCATACTGGAGCCACCAATGCCGCCCTGGCATGGTACTCGGAATTTGAGGAAGTACTTATCTTTCTCATGATAGCCTCTCCTCTGGAGCCGAAGTGCCGGTTGTGCCTGTAGACTGGAGATAGCAGGCGAGACACGAGGCGAGACGACTCTGCCCACGGCACGCGGGGCGACGACAGCCAGACGCTTGAACATTATGAGAATGAAAGAAGGGTCTAAATCCGCTTTGAAACACAAGAAAATGGAAGGAAAGGGTATAATTTTTAAAAGGACGGTGTGGGCGTTGCCAGCAGGTCGAAGAAGCAGCCGGGGAATGTTGAAGGAAAGATGGGCGATGTCGTAACGGAGGAGAATTTAGGATTTATCAGATTTGATTACTCAGCATACGACAGATGGGGCTTGACTTATATAATGCGAATCAGATAGCGCGATACCGGAGCGCTATGCCTGTTGCGGTAAATGGCGTCGCTCCCTTCGGAGTTACGCGCGGGCTCGGCTGATGACGTTAACTGTGACAATACCGGTATTTCTTGTTGTAATTTAAAGGGGCGTTTCTGGACACACCGGTCCTTGTTGGCAGTCGCTGCTGCATATGCTTTGCGAGGCTTTGCTGGTCGATCCATCACCATTGGATCCCATCTTCATCCATGATATCAGCGTGCTCTCCCACGACATATCCTATCGCGGTGCTGATTTCATGGCCCCATCATTGCAAACCAGTATGTTTCGGTCCGTTTCGACAGTCTCATACGGCCGATACAGGGGATTAGGTATGTTTCACCGGTGCGTACGCCGTGTAGTCTGATAAGCTTTCGAAAATGCCGGAACCTGAAGGATACGCGGAGGATACACTGTTATATTACATAACTCCGACCGGAGTTAACCTCTGACGGAGGAATAATTTTCCACGTTCGGCTTATGTAACATCTGCGGTCCAGGATGTCGAACATCACTGTTTTGGTGACAATAATATATGTCCATATCCGTAAGGAACAATCTATGAATCTGGTACTGACACATGTAAGATGAGCATAATCCTGTACATATACTCCATCCAGAAGCACAAACTAAGTCCAGTAATGCAGGCCTGCCAATTGAACAATGCCGGAACCAAAAAAGGTCCTTGGTAGAACTACCGGTGTAAGTCGATCGTATCCTTCACCCGGCCCTCCATATGGACTATGGAGCTTCTCCTAAGGACATCGGATTCCTCTCCTCTCTTTTTATTCATTTCGTTTACTCTGCTGGATGCTCTACCCGTCCCCTATCCCTGTGTGATATTGGACACCCGGGACATCCGAAATGCAAAGAATCCAGAAAAGGAAAGGAAGAGAATGAATGCATGGTCCTAACCCTAATTCAAACAAATCCAGTCCCTCAATGCCCCCATAGCAGCCTTTACCATGGCTATTCTCCTCTGCTCGTACTGCATCAGTTCGATCCGCTCTGCGCGTCGCGAGGCGGCGAATCCTCATCCAGCTGGCCAGGATGATCATCCGCGTTCGTATCGGGAACGATCATCTGTATCTCTCCGGTCGGAGTCGTGGGTGCAGCAGGCTCTTGAGGAAAGTAAGGAGGCAGAAAAGAGGAAGAAAGCATAAGTGCTGTACATGAATGAATGTATATCTACATTTTCTATTTCTATCTGGTGGGTTTGTCTCGGGCGAGCGGCCTAAATCTGATGCAACACGGATCAACTGACACCTTCTACCTCCAGTTGCATTAATCAAAACATCCCTACGCCCGGCCTATTGTCTATAAGGAGAAAAGGGGTCTGTTCACGGTATTGGTCATATTTGTATGTCCACAATGAATAGATAAGAAACTGAAGAAAACATATGTATGCTCTGCGTCGAGAGGCAGCGGGCGAAAAGAAATGCAAAGGTGCAATGCCCACAGTAAAAGGGGGCTTAGAAATCTTCTGCAAGAAGAGAAATAGAAAAAAAAAAAACAAAGCAAAACAAAACATCTGTATGTGATAACAGGTGATAAACCAGGTGCCCTGGCAAACTACCCTTTGCGCATCTCAAAGCCTTTACTCAACAAAACATAAAAGCCCATCAAAGCAACGCTATCTATCCTGTTGAGAAAATAAAAAGAGCCCTTGGTAAAACGTGTCCCTCTAAGTGCGTCGTAAGGAGTAGTCAAGATCTTGATGTTGGGTTTTCGAGGTCCTCGAATGGAAATCGTAGATAGAGGCAAGGAGGTTGCTGACCGTTGAAGTCAACGAGAGGACATATATCATGGTTCCTCAAAATCTTGTTCACTAATCTCCGTCTTCCCTCATGGAATATCTTCAAAACCCTCCTTTTGCAGCAGCAGCTTATGCTTCTCTCCTTCATGTTGGAAATTCTGGATGAGCTTCCGTAAATATTCATATGTAAGCATGGTTGTCATGGCAGCTGGAATAGCGCGGAAGAGATTCGTGCCAATTCCAATGTAAAAGGCATGCCAGCCTTCTTCCCTTAAAATAGTTTGACAGGTCTTGAATACGCCTTTGTATAACGGTCGGTTGGGCATGCCATCCGATGATGCTGCTGTCACGGAACGAGGTCCAGGGTGTTCCAAGCCTCCACGGAAAGTGAGTTCTTCGGATGAATTTACTGGCAGCCTTCTCTGCTGCGTTTGGAGCCTCGTCCGTAAGACCTCGTGCGGATACGTTATAGTGCTCGCGCAGATCTTGCTCAGGAATGTAGCAAGCGAAATGGAGACCCAATGTGAATTGCCATCCTCAGGGTGCTCGCCGATCCCATAACCCGTGAATGCCAGTTTCAAGTACTCGTAGAGTGGGAATTGAATGGCCACATGTGTCAACCCCAGCAGAGCCGCTGAGAGACCAGAGTAGAATGAAAGAATTCCTTCGTTTTTATACATTTTTCGAGCAGCATCAAGTGCACCTGAGTACTGCCACGGAGCCCTGAACCCTTCCGTGCTGGATGTGAGGCTCTGGGTCATAAGTCTTGTTTTTACCACCCATATTGGGTTCGTTATGATTGTGGAGCATGCGCCAGCCGTGACGGAAGCGTATCCTCTTGATAGCCACCAACTTTCTATAATGAATAGTCAATAATCGTCTCTTCGATTTTATATTTTCAAACAGCCGATACTGACCTGTTTTATCGTAGTAAAATTCCCGGGAACTATCATAGACTGACAAGTAAACGCCCCAGGTGGGTAGGTATCCTAGTAGCATAGGAGTTAGGCCTTGGTAAAGTCCTCGGATACCTTCTTCCCGCCATATGACCTTCCCAGTGCCTATCATGCCACGATACAGTACTTTTGCTGGAACATTGCCTCCTCTTCGCGTAAATCCTCCCTGGGCTTGTAGTTTGGTCTTGATCACATCTAAAGGGCACGTCACGATCCCTGACGCCACTCCCGCACAAGCCCCACTAAAAGGCGCGACATAATATTCGGGTATGTTTGTCGAAAGAAGTTGAAGGCGGGTGATCAATGGCGAAGTTGTAGAATGTCGATGGGGCGCGGTGCTCGTCGGTGAGGAGTGGCCGTCTTCGTGGGGGAAAACCTGCCGCTCTTCACGAGAGCCACTGGCTGGTCCTGACACCATCCTTTCTTGCAGCCAGCGCCCACGCAGGTCTATTTGTCCTGTCCGTCCGTCTTTTCTAGCACTGAGGGTTCCCGGACCCGAGCATATCGGTGCCCGTCCCGGAACCCACGGGCCTTTGAACTGTCTCTTTTTGCTTTTTCCCCCTCTTTTTTTTTCCCCAGTTATAGTCCGTACTTGACCGGTCTATTCAGATCGGAGGGTCGAGTCTGGTTTATCTGGTGTAATCGTCTCGCAGACACGTTATGGATTTACCCTAATTAAGAGCACAGACGGTGGGTGTCACGAGTCAGCACCGACAAGGGTTCTGTCAGACAACGGATCAGGATCCAGGTCAACTGTCAGCAGTCAAACAGCCTGCATGTCCAATTTATAGTCCTCGGGGAAGCAATCCCCAAAGATTGGGCAATTGGAAGAGCGGAATCGGATGGAAGGGAGGGAGGTAGACAGCATGCGCGGTGGTGTTGGGAGGTGAATGTATCTCAAGTGGAGTTGATATGTCCGGTCAATGCCGACTTCATCTGATACCTGCCTTAGGCACGGCACATGAGTATTTTTACCAGGATGGGGTAATGGCATTACCAGCGTTACCATGCATGCCACGTGATTAACCACGTGATTATGTAGCCTCAGGCTCTCATCGTCGGATGTTTTTGGAATTGTTCGGAGCCGCCGCTTTGCACGACGTCTTGTCTGCTTGATTGACCTCGTTTTGTGATCCCATCCCTCCACGCCAGCCTCGCAATTGGATTTAAAAGGCCCCTACTGGGATCCTGCACCATGTCGGCTCTTACCAACTACATTGTCAAGCGCCCCCTGCTGAAGCGCTGGTTGACCCCCATCGCTAACTGGTATACCGATGCGGCTGGTTACAGGAAGCTTGGTCTGAGGTATGATTTTGCTCTTCTCTCGATTCAATTGATCCGAAGCATGAAAGCGAAAGGATGAAGAGGGAGGGTTTCTCTCAGTCAATGGACGATATCTCTTGTCAAAATCGCGTTCTCCCGTCATCTCGTCTTCGCAGACCCCCCTTCTACCATCAACGTACCTCATCTTCTACACACGACAGTTTGCTGACAAGATGACAATTAGGTTCGATGACTTGCTTCCTGAGGAGTCTGACACTGTCCAAACTGCCATCAAGCGCCTACCTCCCAAGGAAGCTTACGACCGTATCTTCCGCATCCGCAGAGCTTTCCAGGTTCGAGATTGAGACCACCGTGAACATACCTACGACTTCATACATAGTCTAACACATCCAACAACAGTGCTCTATCTCCCATACCCTCCTCCCTCCCGCGGAGCAAACCAAGCCCGAAGAGGTAAGTTCAATCTTTCATCTTTTTCTCCCCGCATCAGCAGATCGGCCAATCCCGGGGTGCGGATTTGTAACCCACCATACAACATACCGCAAGCTGGAACAACGGCCTCTTGCAAGCTATTTGAGATGAAAAAAAAATCAAAAACACAACTGAAGAATTCTTACTGACGTATCCGTGTGATCTCTTTTGAATAACTAGGACGTCGAATATCTCAGCCCCATCATCCGCGAGGTCGAGAAGGAGAAGAAGGAGCGCGAGGAGCTCGACCTGCTTGTTGTCAAGAAATAAATGGTGGTTTTTATTATCGATTTGGTTTGATTTGGTTTGGTTTGAATCGGTCCTATTCGTCGATTCGAAGATCCTATGTCGGGACGCTTTCCTGTACCTCATATTGCGAGAAGAGAGAGAGGGAAAAGAGTATAGAGCTCTGTGACTATGCAGTATCACTTCAATTCAAGGGAAGGTCGAAAGTCCAGTTATGTCCGTCCTTACTGATAAATTTCATTTCTGACCTAGACTTATACCCTTGATTTGATTTGCTTGGTGCTTGTCATGATTGTGTACTGATACTTGTACAATCCAATGGTTCTTTATATATATTCGTCTTTCTTTCCATGGGTTGATATATATTGCCTCTTCCATTAATTGGATCCATGTTGCGAATTGCAATACCTATAAGAAAATGTGTTCGTGTGCACAGTGCCGAACATCTGGCTGCAAAGAACCATCCGAATTCTGCATATTATCACCCACCATGCAGAAGGGTATCGCGTGTAAAGCTCGTCAAACTCTGAAACCAGCACTGAATGGCCACAGGGTATATAATATTATCAACAAACGCGGACAAAGGATTCAGTTTAAAACAGCAATGTCCACATCTTCCACTCGCCACATGTACCACATGAAGAGGCTCCTAGGATTTCGAATGTGAGATATCGACAATTTTCAGCTCCGTCAAACATGAAGGAAATATGAAGCTAGAAGGAAACTGTGCTGTGTAGTACAAGTGCATCAACCATAGAACGGAACATACCTATATGGAGCGAATTTGGCGGCTAATTCCAGCATGTCTTTCTCGGACATATACTTGAACTTATTGCCACCTTTGGCTTTGAGCTTGTTCACGTCTTTTCCCATGAAAGCGGCGCAGCCTCTTCTGTTTTTTTTTTTTTTTTTTTTTCTATCATCAGCCATTTCTTCACTTTCGACCAGGTGGGTGGACCGTTAGTTCCCATCTTTCTTCTCCGATAATCTCGGACATTTCCCAGCCTAGTGCAAATGGAGGGAGACTTATAGAAACATACTGCACTCCTAGATCACCGGTGGAGAAAACATCAATGCGTTTCAAAGCAAAACACGCGAACATCTCGACAGACCATCTACCTAAACCCCGAACAGCGGTTAGTTTCTCGACTAGCTCCTCGTCGCTCGCCCTTAGCAACATCTCGGTACTTAGTTCGCCGCTGGCGAACTTCTGAGCAAGTCCTTGGATGTATTCTGCTTTCCTCTGGGAGAGACCCGCAGTTCGGAGCGTGGAAATGTCACAGCGAGCGACTTCCGCCGGGGTCGGGAAATAGGCAGCTGCTTGTGACCATAAATCACCAGGTTCAACATCCTTGTTGTTAAACAATGCAATGAACTTGTCTTTGATGGATTTGGCCGCCGCTCCTGAAACCTGCTGTGCAATGATACTGCTGGCTAGGCTGCGGAATGGATCAACCTCCTCCGCCAGTCCTGTGGGTGAGAATAGAGGACAGGGATGTCGATCTATAATATGTTTAAGTCGTGGCTCCGCCGCGATCAGATGTGCCACGGCCTTTTCGAGAAGATTGCCCGTTGTAGCTGTTGGATGCGGCAGGCCGATTTTGCTGGGCGAGATCTGATCCGCGTCCGGCGGGTATGCCACACGCGATGAGCCACCGGGAGTCAGAAGGGTGGCATTAGTTCTGTGGGGTTCAACAGGTCTGTCCATGGAGGGTAAAGGAGGGGTGTGTGGTCTGCTGGTTCCGCTAGTGGGTGGTCCATTGCTGTCATCAAGATCGCCTTCGAAGCTCCGTCTTCGTGCAGCGTTCACTATAAGAGTAGCATTAGAAGAAGCGGTTCTGGTAATCCGAATGGGGTTACCTCCTCTCAGAGGCTTTTCTACTGTTGACTTGCGAGTTTTGCTCCCTCTTTTGGAAGACCTGTGTGGTGGTTTCGTGATCCCATTTGGCTTCCCTGTGCTCAATCTCCTAGATTCTGGATTCCCTTGCAATGAAGCGGCCATTGCACTTGGAATAGCGCTCAAGCGAGCTGAACGCCGCAAGGCCATTGTAGAGGTCTATTTCGTTGTAAGCTGAATATGCTCTTGACAGAGTAGAAGCTACTCCGTAGCAGTGCGTAACTGGCCGGTTGCTGTTGTGGGGGAAGATGGAACGGCCAGCCGGCTCACAAACTGGAAGACTACTGCTTAGGGCCGTAGATAATATTAAATAATGGACATAACTAGAAAGCAACAGAATAGAATGATGAGTAGTCCCGCTGCTGATGTTAAGCTTGACATTATTGCAGCCTCAGGCTTGGCACTGGCCGTCATTGCAACACAGCCATGACTAATCTATACTCTTAACTACGTTAGTTAAGTTAATTAGTTAATTAACCCAGTCCGTATAAAAGAATAAAATGAAGCAATTGGAAGTTCAATTTAATTGCAGCAGGCCCTTAACTTTAAGAGAGAGACCTCACACCGAAGTGAATAGTAGTTTGGTACGCATATCAGGTTAATGGAATGTCCCAAAGCGCTATATAAACGTGGGATTCACCATGGCAATATACTCTTCTCGACTTCTGATATTGAGTCCCGAAATGATTTCTCTAGACACTGTTATATTTCTTCTTTGATCAAAGCAATCTCAGTAACTGCCACATGGAGTTGTTTTGTGATCCATCAGCCTAATAAAGTTATCTGGTGGCTGCCACAATCTGATATGTTTGAACAGCCACGAGCACGATTTCTGGACAAGAGGACTTTTCATCCTGCATCCAGTTCTATCTACTGTCAGATGATGAGAAAGCCCTGACAGACGAATTTTACCGGCAGCAAAAGCAGCCGCATAGCGGCTTCGATACTGTTGATATCCTCGAGACCCCTTTCATCTCGAGACCTAACACATGTCCAGAGGAACACTCTCCATGCGGTCAATGAAGATAGGAATTCAAGACAAATAAGTCCGGGGATACTTTTACCTTGACCACTCATAACCCTCAAATGCACCCGCTACAAAGCTTTTACTTGAACCAGAAGACATCTGGAGAGAATCCGTACGGATTTAAAGAATTGAATCCACCAAGGCCGAAGACCAAAGCACCGGAACGAACAAGGGGCAGACAGGTATTTCAGAGACGGGCACAACAACATGCTCAATAGCGGTCAGCTCTTTGAACTTGTTCGTCCCCCATACAGTTTCTTCATAGGCGACGGTGACAATCGACCCAGGGATCTAGATAACCCGGCCTTATATCGCAACATGGTTTTCCTCGGAGAATGGTTCTTTACTTGATTTAAATGGCGTATGATGACGGATATGCCGACAATTCCATGGAGATTGAAAGATAGGCCATACCTACAGCTAGATTTGACCCCGAGGACTACATCTCAGATGAGTTTTCGGAAGGTGATTCTCTCTCGCGACAGTGCTCTCAGGAATCCAAGCACTCCTACAGCTCGACCTCCGACACAGCCTTCTTCCAGCAGGAAAGCTTAGTCACTCTACACCCTCTTCACGTGCCTTTACCTGCCAAAAAACCGATACTCGACCTGAAAAGTTCGGCAGATTTACTCAAACGACCTGTCGGCATCGCGTTGTATCTTAATAGAATTGTTTCTATGTCCGGTGCGGCTGAGGTTTTCGACGGATATGACGAAGAGAGCGACGATGATGGCTTTGGTGATAGACTGGTCCTCAGAACCTCAGAGGTTGTAATGTTTTTTTTTTTTGACTCATGATAGTAAGTTGGGACGCTGTACTCCGTACCACAGTACGAGAAAATCAAACTCCACCAGAACCAAAAGGGAAAGTAGATAAGGAATTCGGATAAAAGATCAAGGGGAAGCTGGATTCGGCCCACATTGTAAAATCTTAACTGAGGGGAATAATAGTATTTTTAAATAAATAAACAGGAAGGGCATCAATCATGTCATGGATAATTATAATCTTCGTCGTGGGCAGTCAACGGCACGGATGTCCGTAGGATATTACAAGGGGATTTTCCTGTTTTTTTATGACAGTCGTCGTACTCCCTGCAGGGATGTTTTACTGGACGTCCAGACAAGCCACATCGGATGACCAGTAGATATGATGGATAGATAGAGGATGCATAACTAGGTAATTAAAGAGAGACACGCACAGTGCCAATCTTTGCAGATTATTATTAGTTATTGCCACTGACAGAAAGCAGCCGTGCAAAGATCCATATGTACAATTGTACAGCGTAGATCAAACAGAGATAACTCTGTGCAACTGTGGCAATTGCATTAGGTTCGTTGAAATAACAGGTGACGATCAGGATGTTATTCAGTCCTGAATAATGGTGTATGGTTATTATTGCCGTTGTTTCGAACAGGGCAAGATGTGGCGGATCCACGTGAAAGCTGTATCCACCAAATCAGGCACTCCTGCTAATATTCTAGGCCTCTGGGCGGAAGAAGATCAAAGTCGATCTCCAGGCACACGGAGGACGAAGACGCCTAGCTTCCATTTCCCTGGGAGGGAGAATGGAGCGAGCACGACAGAATAGAATGAATATGATACCTCCAGCAGCCACGATCGCAGCAGATCTCAATATTAAATATGAAGGACGGCCGGCTGTGAGTGGAGCATTCAGGAGGAATGCTAGGCACTAGTCCTGGACTCATTAGTCTCAGTGCTAGTTTCAGACTCCCGCCAATCATACCTCTTATATTCTCGGCCATTATGATACGTCACAACGCTAGTAACCAAACGCCCCACCCTCGGGCCACGCCCCTTTCTGCTTCCTGTTTGGCTCTATGCCTGATTGGTGCTAGCTCGGGAACCGCGTCCAAATCCTCTAATATCCTGTCCGCCCTCCGCCCTCCCTTCCTCCTCTCCTCCTCCTCCTTTCCAACCTCATTCCCTGTGAGTGCTTGCCCAATACAGGTCACACTTGGCAGCTCCTTGCCTTTTCGTCCTTGTCCCTCGTTAAAGCTTTCATCCTTCTTTCTTTCACTCTTTCAAACACCACTTTCATCTGCCCATTCTTTATCCGAACGCGCCATCGCATAGTCCCCTGTTCCCTGTTTTGGTTTCAAGGACTATAGCATCAACTCGCATCTTAACCCCCATTCTAGTCTATCGTTGGTGAGTTTATTTATCCTTTTTTCCTTGCTTCTTACAAATTCTGGCTTCCCTTTTTTTTCATTGTATCCCATGTTCTCGGATTCAAAATGGACAAACTGACCCCTGTCGTTTCTCTACCTCAAATAGTATCAAATTAATTTCGCAACTTTTCCCTCCATCTGGTCTTCATTCGCAATGGCCTACGGAAAGTACCTTTTACCTGTGCTGGCAGCGGGCCATCTCGCATTGGCTCAGACTGCTACTGGAACCTCCGACGGTGAGTACAAGATGTTCGGGATAGCAATGGTGCCAATTCGCTGACTGGCCGCAGCCTGCCAACCTACTGGTGCCCTCAAGATCCAGAGCTCCGGCGATGCTAGTGTACTCGCTAGCTGCAAGACCTTCAAGGGTGATATTGAAATTGTGACGCAGGCTGCCGGCGACATCAGCTTGAACGGAGTCGAACAGATCACTGGCAGCCTCACATCTAAGGGTGCTCAGAACGTCACTTCCTTGACTGCCCCTCAGCTTGGCTCCATTGGAGAGGCATTCTCCCTGAACGGCCTTACCGGACTTACTGCCCTCAACTTCGGCTCTCTCAACAGCGTTGGCAGCATCGAATTCGAGGCTCTGCCCCTCCTGCAAACCCTGTCCTTCACCAAGGGTGTTTCTCAGGCTGACTCTGTCTCCATTGTCAATACCGGTCTCACCAGCCTCGATGGTATCTCCTTGGAGAGCGTTGGTGACTTCAACATCGCAGAGAACCCTGCTCTGCAGACCGTCAACGTGAACGAATTGAAGAACTCTACTGGCATTATCGGTTTTGCTGGAAACCTTGACACTCTTTCCCTTGAACTTCCCAATCTGGAGACTGCAGCCAACATCTCTCTCCGCAACGTCAGCAGCGTCAGCGTGCCGTCTCTCCACATCCTTAAGGGTCTTCTTGGCCTCTATGGCGACTCTTTCCTGAACTTCAGCGCTCCCAACCTTACCTCGACTGGCGATATCAGCTTTGTCGGCAACTCCAAGCTCAACAACCTCAGCTTGCCTCTGCTGAAGACTGTCAACGGTGGATTCTCCATCGCCCGCAACGACAAGCTGGAGAACATCTCTTTCCCGTCTCTTCAGACCATTGGAGGTGCTCTTGACTTCAGCGGTGAATTCAATATGTAAGTTGGACTGGAATCTGTTTGGTGGTATGCATCTACTAACCCAGCCTCAGTGCCGATCTCCCTGCCCTCAAGCAGGTCAAGGGTGCCCTCAACATCCAGAGCACTGGCAACTTCTCATGTGCTCCTTTCAGCAAGCTTCACAATGACGGCGTCGTTGGTGGCCAGTTCAAGTGCCACAACGAGACTGCACACCCTAGCACCAACGATGGATCGTCTGGCACCTCTGGCACCAGCACCGGCACCAGCAGCAGCGCTTCCTCCACTTCCAGTCACTCTGCTGCCATTGCCAATATTGTTGACGTTCCCTCTATGGGAATGGCTGCTCTCTTTGGTGCTCTCCTCCAGTTTGTTTTGTAAAGGACGGTCGATATGAAGGTTCTGCGTGTTTTCTGTTCTATGGTCCTGTAGATTCGCCATAAGGTCAATTCCTCGTCTCCCATCTCGTTAAGTATTCCTCGCCGCTGGCCGCTCTGATAATTTGTCTCTATTGGGTGTTCCAGTGGCTTACCCATACCAGGAGGCCAGCGTGCAAGTTTAGGGTTGTGTTATTATGTCGATTCTACTCCGATGAGTTAACAGTTTGTTCCAGCGCTATCTGCTTTTACGGTTTCATAGACGATCCTTTTACTTGTTTTGTACTTTCGATTCTACTGTGTGTGATCACTACTCTTGTAGGAACGTAATAATTGATTGCATGTTCACACTGATGCTATTGTCATCGTCTTTCAAGTTCCCAGATCTCAGTAAGTTGGTTCGGAGGCGTGGAGGGGAACGGCTAAGCAGATTGGTAATTATAATAGTAATCGTAACCTGCGACATAGCGCATAACTTGGACAAGTCTGGACTCCAGCGGAAGTGTGAAGGTTCTATAAAAAGAAGCAGCTCGGCGTACGGTGCTGTATTAACAATACGGCGCCCCTGGTCGCTGCAGCCTGCCGGACTTCAGGTGCCAGCGGACACTGCTTGCAGAACATTCAACGGGCACCGCAAAGCAGGCTATGGGAAGTTGGTTGCTAGTCTGGACTTCCATTCTCAACGACAGTACATCTGGTGCTATTTTCCCCAGCTGCTACTTTACGCGGAACGTCGTGCAGAGGAACCCAACCATCATCGGCGGAGGACAGAGTGGCTCCTCGCTGACAGGTCGAGAACTCTCACGGCTCACCCCGGACATTCTTACACCTCCTTTCTCTTCCTCCCACTATTAACGTCCATTTGGCTTCCCTTTTTCATATTCATCTCCTCCCCAGTCCGTTCTTTCGGGCGCTGTTTTTACTTCTCTTCTTTCTTGCCTTGGTCGTCTGCTCCGTGCGGCACGGACTTTTCTGCCCGGCCCTCCTGAATAAATCATTCCATCGTCGTCGGTCGGAGAGTCAAATCGATCTCGTGCCGAACAGAGGTTGTCAACGTCGCCGTACTTCTCTCAGAGATTACATCCCGTTCTGTCCCGGATTGCGACCGGTTAACGTCATCTCGAGTTAAACACCCACCGGTCGCTCGTCCTTACCGATTCTCCATCTCCCACGAACCACAAAGACTGGTCTTTGCGTTGGGCGTGTCAGCTTGAAACGGGGGCTTAGGGGGATAATCTGGTCGCCGTTGCCGCCATCACCGTCGCATTATTCGACGCCTGATCGTTTACCTCCGATATCTTACCTTCTTCCCTTCCGTCTCATACCTGTTGCTCGCAGGTATTATTTATTACTAACAGGGTCGGGACTTGGGTTAATTAGGAACCCGAAACATGCTACTTCCCAAGGGTGGAGTAACGTGGAAGTCGGCCAAGGCTAGGTTACCGCCATGGAAGGCCATTCTTGTGCTTCTGACGCGGACGAGATTCCTGGTCTCTTTAGCGGTTACCGGTCTAGTGATTTTGCTATGGCGAGGGATTAGCAAGTCGGCTTCCGAGATGCAAAAGTAGGTCTCCGGGTGTCTATCTGCAACGCCCCAGAAATAATGTACAATGCTGACCTTGTCTACCTTTGCTACTATAGTTTCTATTGCTACGGCTCGTCAAAGTCGCCGATGCAAATGTCCATCAATGAGATGGTTGAATGGAATGCGCATCTTCAAACTCCTGTCATCTTCAACCACCACGAGCCTTACGAGATCAACTCTAGCACTATCTCTAACGTCGATCTCAACCCTATCCAATCGACGTCGAAAGCTGCTTTGAATCAGGAGCGAGTCCTTATTCTAACACCACTACGGGATGCCGCTGCTTATCTTCCCAAGTACTTCGACCTGCTCTACAAGCTGACGTATCCTCATGAGTTAATTGATTTGGCTTTCCTTGTCGGTGACTGTTCGGATGACACTTTGGCAGTTCTTTCTTCCGAGTTGAAGCGAGTTCAGGACCAGGTGGAAGAGAAGATTGCCTTTCGCAGTGCGCTGATTGTGCAGAAGGACTTTGGATCGAATGTTGCGATGGAGGTTAACGACAAGCACGCATATGCCGTTCAGGGAGAACGTCGTAAGGCGATTGCCAGGGCCCGCAACTACCTTCTATACACAGCTCTCAAGCCTGATCATTCATGGGTCTACTGGAGGGACGTTGATATTGTTGACAGCCCAGAAGCTATTATTGAGGATTTTACAGCTCATGACAAGGATGTTCTCGTCCCAAGTATGTATTCTTCTGCTAGCCCCTGCCGTTAACTATGGAATGCTAATGTTCGCTCCCCTTTTTCAGACATTTGGTTTCATCGCTACGAGGAGGGTCGCGATATTGAAGGCCGATGTACGTGGAGCTTCATTCTATTTGTTTATCTCCAGGAATTATCACTGACACCTCTCCTCTTGATAGTTGACTACAACTCATGGATCGAATCAGACAAGGGCCGAAGACTACGTCAGTCTCTCGATCCTGACACGATCCTGGCCGAAGGCTACAAAGAGTTCGATACTGGGCGTACCTATCTTGTTAGTATGGGTGACTGGAGGAAGGACAAAGATGAAGAAATCGAACTTGATGGGGTTGGTGGTGTGAACATCGTCGTTAAAGCGGATGTCCATCGATCAGGTATTCCCCCCCCCGGGGAGACCTTCTTTAAGCCATCCTTCTAATGTGCCTTTACAGGGGTCAATTTCCCGGCGTACTCCTTTGAGAACCAAGCAGAGACCGAAGGATTCGCTCGTATGGCCAAGCGAGCTGGATACAAGGTCGTTGGCCTTCCCAACTACATTGTCTGGCATATTGACACTGAGGAGAAAGGTGGCAACCTGGGGAATCGCAAAGCTTATTAATACAGATTCCGACTCATTTACTTATGGCCGGTTCGCTATTCGGGGTTCAATAGAGTAATCCTTGAACATGGAACACCCTATTTCACCACTACATTCCGGCTTTTCCCAATCTCTCACCTACTCCTTCTCGGTGGATTTCTTGTCCCAATTGGGCCTTTTCATAGGATTCCTGCTATTATCTGTTTGCTTTTTTCGGAAGGGTATGGTCGAGACGGGAACGCCGATGATTCCGGTAATCTTTACGTGTCCGCGACCTTGGGATGTTATTCTACGCCTCACTTTCTGTTTTCTTGGGCGTATGCAGGGAAGAGCGCGTTCAGTGTTGTTGAGCATTGATAGACATGGGGATTTTCCTTCTTTTTTACTTTTCTTTTATGGCACTAAAAAAACGAGGAGTTTGTTGCATCATCTCCCTTCTCTTCAAGCCATAAGGGGCTCGTTTTAATGAGCAAGTTTACATCAGCCTATATGTACTTTTCTTCTTGCTTCTTTTTTTTTTTTTTTTTTCTCTCCCTCTTGTGTTTCTTGTGTATATCAATTTCTAATTGTCCTTTTTGCCATCTCTTTCTGTTTTCCCTTCTTTACACCCCAGTGTCTTTTTCAACCCTTAATGCGCCTGGACGCTTTACGATATATCATGTGTCTGTTCATTGTCTCACTACCTGCATGGTTTCACTACAAGGGAGCCGTGTACCCCTCATGCAATGCAATCTTGGGAATCTTGCATGGAATAAGGGGAAAGAGAACAAAACAAACAACCAGTTGGGAAGTTTCCTCTCGGGTAGGGATGAGAGCGGAGTTGAGGATGAAATCATTAAAACAGTCCATCTATCTATCTGATTGATTTGATTGTCTCTGGTGTGGTTGCTTGCTTAGGTACTATCTCTGTATTGTATATATTTTTAGGTATTTGGGGTTAGCTTGCTGGCTATTGCACAATCTAGGAGTGTTGCAGTTTCTTTTCTATATGTACATATAGATACTCCAGGTGTCATCCACATGTCCCAGTACTACTACTCAGGAAAAAGCAGCTGCTCACAGTGAGAGAGACCCATATATTGGTATATAGCCCATGGTGATGCTGGGAAAGCCTTCCAGGAATTTTCCGCTTTAGGAATTCCTAGTAAGGTATATATAGTTCCTTGATATTACGATGATACCTTTGACCGTTGTATGGAAAGGGAGTTGCCATTATCTATAGGAGGTCTTGGAAAAGTCCACAGGAGTTTTCCGTGAATAGAGACAGGCAGTGAATGTCGTTCGTTTCTATCAATAGATAATGTTCGCTTTTCCCTCTCACCTCTCACCCGACTCTCACCATCTCTCTTGCCTCTCTCCACCTATCTCTCCCCCTCCCCCCAAACGCGACCTCGTTTTACCAAGGAAGGTTGCATTATTTGGGATCATTCAGACCGGGATCCTGCCGTTTGATCGCTGCGGCTTACTGGATGCCTTGATGGACCTGGGGAAGGCTTCCTCAGGAGAGCAATGGTCTGCCATGAAAGTGAAATGGGCAAGTCATTGACCCAAATGTTTATCCAGATGGTGAGAGTTGCAGGCGGCTCTTGAGTTGAAAGAATTTCCGGTTGGGCTGTAGGTAAGAGTACAGAGAGCGTCCGTATATCACCCTGTTCAGCAGACCTGATCTGTTCTAAAGCCGGCAGGCTCGCTACAGGAGACAGCAAAAGCAACGGAGAAGAGTCTTACAGGAGTTCTGAATCCCCATTCATTGATGGTTGAGCAGCCTCACTTGTAGTATTTAACTGGGGAGTAAAAGCCAAGGACGCGGGCAATGAAAGGGGAATATAAGCCTGAAAATCTTGGACCTCGGATCCCCAGCTTAGCATTTGGTGCGCCAGTGACACAGGCAGCACTGACAAATCTATATGAGGTCTACCTTGCTCATCGCAACTGGGGAAGATTGGAGTCTGTCCCTGGGGGATAGAATCAGGTGGCGGCAGTAGACTTGCTTCCTCAATTGCTTGATCCTTATCAATGATAGACTGGGAGCCTATGATAGTAGATAGCTGCCGGTTCTCTTCTCCAACGCGTAGTTCTGGTTCTGGTGATCTAGTCAGTATTCTCTTATAGCAGTATACAGCATGGATGGCAGACTTGGGGGGCGGCATTTTTGAAAACATGTGAGGTCTGTACTGCATGAAATAGCAGATCTTTGACAGGAGCAGCAGACACCAGACTGACCTACAACAGTGTATTATTGCTACTATCTGACTGCTCCCTGTAGATCCAAATCTTCTCAGTATACAGAGTCTTCTCTCATTCCATGGGGGACCCAGGTTAATTGTATATTACTGAAAACCTTCCTCCCTCTGACTTGGAGAATGCCTTTTCAGGAACTTTTATTCTGGCCCTAGTGTACCGGGGGAACCCCAGTTCAACCCACGCAGGGTAATGATATTCTGTTTGATCAGAGGGTTCTAGGGTTGTTGATAAATCATATGCTGTCTGCTGCAGACTAGCTGAATATATATACAGAATATACATTGTCTTTTACTGGGAGTATTCAGATTTATTCAACTTTGGAACTCAGCAAGGCAAATAACTTACCTGACTGCACCAGATTACCCAAAATACCAAATATGGCACACCTTCCCAAGCGCTGATAGAGGGCTTGTTCATGCTGGAGGGATTCGATATTTGCTTCCACTTTTTCATCGCAACTTATGCTTCACCTTCACCTGAGAGGTAACACGACAGCAAACTGCCCTTGGCGGGTATAGGAACCCAAGTCACCATACCCCCATGGGACGGGTCGTCACAGCTACTTGGCCATTTAAAATTTGAGGGATGTACGGATAAGTAGGATTAAGGATGTGAATAGCTTCATGATTTCCTGTTTAAGAAATTATCTCTACCTGTATTAGGACCTGAGTGTATTAGATCTATATAGTGCTATTATATGCAGCTCCCTGCTGTGGCGGAGTATACAATTAATAGGAAAATCATATAGTCATCGGATAGTGCTACTCCGCCGCTATTGATATTAAGGTAGGAAGGACTGTCTGATTAGGTAACTATAGGGTTACATAACGAAGTTAGATTTCTGTAGATAGCTCTACTTGTGGTCTCATTTCATATAGCAGCGTCGATAGCTACAATATATGCATGGGTGTGCACATGTTGTGCACACCTCGTTAATATATATATCGTAATACTGAATTACAGCTTCGCCTTTGGTTCCTCCTTCAGCATTGCCTCCGCGACTTTCCGCCGCTGAATCTTGCCAGTTGCAGTCTTTGGGATCTGCGAGACGATCCAGACCTGTTGTGTTCAAATTTAGTCAGTACAACGGTATTGTACTTGGGGCTACGTGGAGATTACCTTCTTCGGGACCTTGAACTTAACCAGTCTTGATCCTACAAAAGCCTTCAGCTCTTCCTCGGAGACGGTTTGTCCGCTCTTCGGGACGACAGCGACCCCAATGTCCTCTCCATAGTGGCCCGGGTCAGGGATAGCGAAGCTCACTGCCTCACCTGCCTTGGGATACTGGAGGAGGGTATTGTCCAGTTCGATCGGGCTGATTTTCTCTCCGCCCTTGTTGATGAGTTCCTTGATACGTCCCGTGATAATGACATAGCCGTCTTCGTCCTTCTTGCCCTGGTCTCCTGTGCGGAAGAAGCCATCCTTTGTGAAGGATGATGCGTTGGCCGCAGGGTTATTCAGGTAGCCCTTTGTCACGTTTTGGCCGCGGACACAGATCTCCGCCTCCTGGCCCTGGGGGACTTCGTTGCCATTTTGATCGAGGATCTTCACTTCGACGCCCTGTCCGAGGCCAACGCTGCCTGGTTTTCGTTTGGCCGGGGAGAGGGGGTTGCTGGTCATTTGGTGCGATGCCTCGGTCATAGCATATGCCTCCAGAACAGGGGCCTTGAAGGTATGTTCTATGTCTTGGAATGTTTTAGGGGATAAAGGGGAGGAGCATGAGCGAATGAACCTTATGCTTGGCACGGGGTTCGGGATGGGAGACTTCAGCAGAATCTGATGGATGGTTGGGACGGCCGTGTACCAGTTTGCTTTGTGGGTTATGAAGTCAGACCAGAACTCGTGTGCTGAGAATCGCGGGGGTACGACCACCGATCCTCCAGAGAAGAGCGGTGCGAGGAAGCCCGCAAGCAAACCATGAACATGGAACAAAGGCATCACCAGATACGTGCGGTCTGAGGGCGTCAATTGGTAGGTATTCTGGATGTTTTCTGTACCGTATTGTCAGCTTGTCCTTTTTATTCTGGAATGCGGCATAATGTAGCTAGCTCTGTTGTCTCCTTACTCATGGTTGTGGTTAAGTTCTGGTGAGTGAGAGGGACCTGAATTATTCTCTCGTTAGGTCTGAATTCTTAAGCAGGTGATCGGAATCCCATAGTTCCTTACAGCTTTGGGCCTGCCAGTCGTCCCGCTGGTATGCAAAACGAGAGCAATATCATCCGGCTGAGCCTTTCCGACCTTGCCGTTGCCTTTGCCAGCCAACTTCCCCAATTCCTTGACATCCAACACGACCTCCTTGCCATCCCAGTAGCATTCCGCAATCGCAGCATTGTACTTCCTGGCAGCCCTAACTGCAGGAACATTGGCCGCAAAGGAGCCCTTAGGTACAAGGGCAAGTGCCGAGTTGAGATCATCGATGTAGAATTCGAATTCCTCCTGCTTGTATCCTGGATTCAGAGGAGCTGCAATGGCACGCTGCCACGATGCCGCCAGAAACGTGACAATGAATTCGTACGAGTTCACGAACACTAGGGAGACGGCCGCCCCATGGCCAATTCCAAGTTTGGCCAGCTTCTCCTGGAACGCTGCAACATGGGAATGAAGCTGTTGGTAGGATACCGTCAATGGCGTCGGCTTGAGGGGCACGATCACCGCGGTGCTTGCGCTGGTCGCGGAGAAGGATTGCGACAAAGTAGCCATCCTGTGGTATGACGATATGACCGTTCTTCTGTATGTCAGGGATGTTCAGACGAGCGAGACTGTGTCCTTTTTGAGTGTACAGCACTGACGCGTGGCCATTTGAGCCTACACCGGAGAAATCATGAGATGGGAGTCCGGTTGTCGGCTAATCTTCCGGGACAGGAAGCTCATAGTGTCTAGAAGATGACGCATTCGTACTAAGGAGAGAATGACAGCGGTATTGCCTAATTTGGCTAGTATCAAGCGCCACGTTAAGTCATGTGATACAGAAAATTCAAACAAGACAAACACCATTGCAGCGGACAGTAGCTCTCAGTCGACCCAGCTTGCTCCATCACCAGAACGTGGCTTCTCAGAATTTTATTTCCCTCCCTTTATCTCCCAGAGGCGACTAGCGGCTCTACGATGGCTCCGGAATCAGCCCCGTCGAAAGGCGGCGGAACGCTGTCGCTGTATGCCAACCTGCTTGATCCCTCCGCAGATATCTCTTCAACGCCCGGAACCATTTCGCGCGCCCCCGTTGTCTTCAAGCAGGCTTCGGAAGCCGATTCGCAGCCTGAGGAATCCGCTGCGAAGAAGCAGCAGCTAAGTGCCGGTAGACTTCATACCCTCCTTCTGTGACTGAGAGGTTCTCCCTTCATCCTGATCTGATTACTCACCTTGCGTCTGGTCAATTCAGCGTCTCTCCGATTTCAGCCTACCAAGAGACCACAGTTGGCCGCACAGAAGCCAAAGCCCAAACCAGCATTACCAAAGTCTGTCCCTGGAGCTACAGCAGTTCCCGCTCCCGTCGCAGCTCCACCCGTTAAAACTACACTTGCGGATTGGACGGCCGCGGATGATGACGATGTGAACGGGTTCTACGTTGGCGAAAAGAGACAACGAGGTGGGCGCAAGAAGCGCAAGAAGAACCGTGAAGCGCAAGCCGTCGTCCAGAACTGGGATGATATCTATGACCCGTCACGGCCGAACAACTACGAGGAGTATAGGCACAGCGACGAGAAGATCGCAGAGGTTCGGGAATGGAAAGACCGTTTGTATGCGCACCGGATGATGAGATCACGGAGCAGCGATTATGACAGCGACAAACAATATTCTAGACCTATGAACAGTATGTTATCATCTTACCATATTGCGCTAAGAAAGACGAAATTTTGCTGAACACAGGCCGCAGGACAATTTGCTCCCCCGAGCAGCTTCGCACCACCTCCGAATTTTAACGAACCACCTGTATCAGTACCAGATGATGCATCTGGAGATGATGCATATTATCGTCTACGTATGAATCAGAACCAGACTGATATGCCAAGTACTGATCATCCTTCTCACTCTCCGCCCCCACCGCCACCGGAGGATATACCCCCTGCTCCATTCCCAGATGCTCCCACCGGAGATGATGCTTATGCGCAGCGCCTCCGGATGAGTACGAATCAACCAAATAACCAAGCGGCAGAGCATGCGCCGCCAACGCCAGCACCATTGCCCTCCAAACCGCAACCACCTCGCCCTCTTGGCGCCCTCCAGCCGGAATCTGCTACTATATGCCGCGCACCAGTCCGGTATACTTTACCTCCCCCTCCGGCCGACATTCCAGCCTCGGAGGCAGAACTCGAAGAGGTCTTCGCTAAAGAGCAGCCCGCGGAGGATGAAGCAGGAGAAGATGCTGGGCGTTCCCTCCGTCCGGGACAGAAAGGGTTTGCTCAGCGTCTACTAGAGAAATATGGCTGGACAAAAGGTTCTGGTTTGGGTGCAACAGGTTCGGGTATCGTCAAACCATTACAGGTCAAGGTTGAAAAACAGAAAAAACGCCCCGACTCGGAGGGTGGTGGTTTTGTTACCCCCGCTGGCAGAGGCAAGATTATAGGCAGTGCCAAGAAATCCGAAGATGAGGGCAAGTTTGGTCCTATGAGTGAGGTTATCATTCTGAAGGGCATGCTGGATGGTATGGATCTGGAGGCGGAGCTGGAAGGAGACGAGGATGTAGGGCTAATGCAGGAGATTGGAGAAGAATGCTCGGAAAAGGTGAATTGAACTCCCATCATGTGGTCGGTCTTGGATATGCTTGCTGATCATTGAACAGTATGGCCGTGTTGAACGCGTCTTTATCCACAGAAATGCTGGCGATTCGGCACCAGTTTTCGTCAAATTTACCAGCCAGTTATCAGCTTTACGAGTGTGTTTAACAAATGATCCTTGTATTACTTACGTCACTGACTGGTGGTTATTCTCGCAGGCTGTAAATGCTCTTGAGGGTCGAATATTCAACGGCAATGCGATCACAGCACGATTCTTTGACAAAGACAAGTTTGAGCAGGGCATATATGAGGAATAGGAGCTTGATGAAAATGATGACCGAGCTGGTGATGGAACTGTTTCCACTCTGGTCACCTGTCGAATGTTGACTTAGCTCTGCCCAAGAGTGATAATGAGGACGACTTTGTAAGGTAATTCGGCATAGATGGAGTTGAGGTTTATCGTTTACGAGTATACCACTTGCTATATGATGGACGGGTAGCAAGAGATACATGTATACTATAGTACAGGAGTCAAGCGGTATATTAACCCTTACTACTGACACGATCAGTATAGAGACAATATCAGCTCTCTAACACTGACAGAGATCTATTATGGACATTTCTCTTCGGCGCCATCCTCCGCTATCGGCGACATATCTCCCTTTCCCATTTCGCCCTCCACTTCGATGCCATCTCCCTCAGACCCCTCAGTGCTACTGCAATATTTACAGAGTCCAGCGATGGGGATTTCTAGAAACTCATAGCCCAGACAATCGTATCCATTTTGGATGCTCTGGAGACACGGGATACAGTAGGTGTGGGTTTGGGTTGAATGCCGACAGAGGACATGGTACCAGAGTATCTGATGGCACATCTTTCTTCTCTTGTTCTTGTTCTTCTATTTGGGACTGAAATATGATTAAACTCCTGCGTTGGTCTTTTGAACAAAATCGATTGATTGACTGAATGCTTCTCTTCAGTGAGAGGGCGCTAAATAGATGTCTCAATGGGCATTGTATTGTCTGTGGTTTCGACACAAGTCAAGAATTTTCTGTCATTATATTTCATTTTATAAGCACGTATAGTAAATATATATGTTGCTGAGAAGCTGATCTAAGTCGTTCGTTCACTCTATTGTGTGCGTTTGCTGAATGTTAAATGGGAACAAAGATGAAAGACGCTTTGATGGAGCTTGTCATCATCATTATCCGTAACAGGGTTCTTTGGATGCTCTTTCTGATGGCATGAAAGGCTCAGCCTTTGTGCCACGGCCCCAACAATTGTCCTTTATCACTTGGATCTGCCGTGTTCCCTTGATGGATGTAGATGTACTCCAGATTCCAGTCACATGACCCGCCTCTCTACTGCGGTAGTCATTGGCTGTGGCAGCCATGGCTGATGCTCTGGAATCCCTCAAAGGCGTCTTTCATGGCAGGTTTCTTTGTGTGAAGAAGTTGTCAGTGAATGTGCAGACTGCAACTGGACTTTCATATAATTGTTCTCTCTAAGCTTCTGGTTCTTGTGAAGTTCTCTCCCTCTTTTCCCAACCCCCCGTTTACCTACCGCTGTCTTATTTCTCCCCACTTTATCATTCGCAACTCCTCCCAGTTTCAGCCTGGTCTGAGAGTATCCTGGACATACGTACCTGCTCTTACCTCCAGTGAAATATCTCTGGTTGGTATAATTCTGTCATAAGCGCGGCAAGATGTCATCTCTCTGTCTGAATCGCCTCACAGAGGAGCGGTAGGTGGATGAGAAGAGAAAAGCCCCACGTCGCTCAGTCTGAAGTCGAGCTGATGAGTCCATGATAGCAAACAGTGGCGCAAAGATCACCCCTATGGATTTTATGCGAAGCCTTATCGCACACCGCAAGGAGCGCTGGACATGAAGCGATGGGAGTGTGGCATTCCGGGCAAGGAGAACACGATTTGGCATGGTGGTTTGTTCAAGTTGGACATGATTTTTCCTGATGGTGCGTCTTGTTTTCCCTCCGTTGCGTTATGTCCCCTCCTCAAGATCTTTTGCGAGAGCGGATGTTGCTGACCTGGACTTCTGTATTTTACAGAGTACCCTACGAAACCTCCTAAATGTACGTTATCACGATTTCGCAAACGTTCAGCAGACAGGCCATTCTTTTGCGTCATGCGCTAAAGAGCCATGACTACCTTTCTCTGATATCTTTACTCACTGCGCGCTACAGGCAAATTCGTTCCCCCGCTCTTTCACCCCAATGTTTACCCTTCTGGTACCGTTTGCCTGTCGATCCTAAACGAGGAAGAGGCGTGGAGGCCAGCGATTACAATCAAACAGATTCTTCTTGGCGTTCAGGATCTGCTGGATGATCCGAATCCCGAATCGCCCGCGCAGGCCGACGCCTATAATCTCTTCAAGAAAGACCGCGCCGCGTACGAGAAGAAGGTCAAGCAGGTCGTCAGGGAGAATCCTCCGCTTTAGACCAGGCTTGATTTCTCTCCTTTTGTTGCCGGTGTGAATATATCGACTAACGGCCAATATTTTCGTATTCGGATGCTATGAAGGAAATTTGCCTATGAAGCATAGGGAATCTCCAAGCATGGAATACCGATTCCTACTCACGAATGCACTTCCTCTCTCCTTCTCTTCCCCCCCTTGTATTGAGGGGTAAAAAGAAAAGCGCTTTAACCGCGATGAGCGACTCATTATACTAGCGATGCACTGTGCTGCTATTTCCAGACCATCTCACTATAATTCTATAATTTTTTTTTTTTTTGTTTTGTTTTGTTTTTCTCCATTTGCCTGGCGTCTGAGAAATGTGTGCAATGGGACTGGCGGAACCATTTGGGTCAGGCGTTTCTTCTCGTTTTCCCCGTATTCCTTTCGATTTTCTACTTTCTCAGAATATCTTTATTGTTCTTTTTTTCCCCTCCACAACATCGAGTCCGTGGAAAAGAGTAGACGGGGTATTGCCATGATATTCGGTGTATTTTAGTACCACTGCTACTGTACATTGTTGAGCACAGAGGTATCTTTGCACGCAAGCGACGAGGGCTAGATGACGGTGGACTGCAATTTTTATTTTACATCCTTCATATAATCAATTTTGTTCAAAGGGAAGAAGACACTGACTCATGTCTCAGCCGGCAGACCCGTTCATAATAATATGTCTGTTGCCAGTATTTCCAGGCATTATTCATTAGTCCTCCGAATCAAGGTGGGGTTCAACGATCTACAGAAGAGCGGAAGAGCATAAAAATCCTCCAGGACAGTGAGAACAGGAAGCACATACTTTTGGAATCATGTCAAAAGCAAAGATGCATTGGTGAAGCTTTTACAGACGCGCATTAATCAGAATTAGACGCAGCTGCATGTCTGCATAGTAAAGTAATAATAAGTTAGTAACGTAATCGGTAAGCGAACCGGCCACGTAAACGAACCGGCCACATCTCCCAAAAATAACTCTATATATTGATTTACTATATTTCAACGCGTCAAAATGCCACAAATTCGCAAAAAAGATCCATTACAAATAGCCCAAATAGAGGGAAAGATTGAATTAGCTATTTCCGACTTGAAAAATGGAAAAATTCGCAGTATTCGTGAAGCTGCACGAATCTATACAATCCCTCGTACAACTCTTCAGGATCGATTAAAGGGAAGACAATATCGACAGCTAATACGCGCCAACAACCATAAATTAGCTCAATTTGAGGAGGAATCGCTTGTCAAATGGGTGCTCGATTTAGATCGACGTGGATTACCCCCCGGCACTCTCTCGTACGAGAAATGGCCAATTATCTTCTCTCACAATCTGGAGATCAACGGGTTGGAGAAAAATGGGTATATAATCTTGTTAAACGTCGCCCAGAGATCAGTTCGAAGTTCTCATGAAGATACAATTATGAACGTGCGAAATGTGAAGATCCGAAGATTATTCAAGAATATTTTGACCGCGTACAAACTACTATATCTACGTACGGAATCCTACCAGAAGATATCTACAATTTTGATGAGACTGGCTTTGCTATGGGACTCTGCGCAACTGCAAAGGTTATTACTGGAAGCGATTGATACGCTCAGCCAAAGCTTTTACAACCTGGAAATCGAGAATGGGTGACTGCAATTGAAGCAACAAATTCAACTGGATGGGCCCTGCCTTCGTACATTATCTTCAAAGCCAAAAAAATGTACGATTAGGCTGGTTTGATGAGCTCCCAGATGATTGGAGAATCAATATTAGTGAAAATGGCTGGACTACAGATCAAATAGGATTAGAATGGCTTAAAACCCATTTTATTCCTCTTGTTCGTGCTCATACATTGGGAACATATGCTATGTTGATTCTTGATGGCCATGGAAGCCATTTAACACCAGAATTTGACCGTACATGTACTGAGAATAGTATTATTCCAGTCTGTATGCCAGCTCATTCTTCACATCTCGTACAGCCTCTTGATGTTGGCTGTTTTGCTGTTTTAAAACGGCATTATGGGCAGCTTGTTGAGCAGCGAATGAGGCTTGGCTTCAACCATATTGACAAAATTGACTTTTTAACAGCATTTCCACAGGCTCGTACGATGGCCTATAAAGCTCAAACTATCCGGAATAGCTTCACAGCCACTGGATTAGTGCCTTTCAATCCGGATTGAGTTATTCAACAACTTAATATTCAATTGAAAACGCCAACCCCCTCCAAGTCAATCCAGCAATACACAATCATCCTGTTTACAGACACCTCAAAATATACGTCAATTCCTACGCCAGTCAACTACATTAAAGAGACGTATAAGTGAATGTACAGGAAATCCAAATCAAGTGATTGATCAAGTAATTACGCGGATGTCAAAAGCCTATGAAATCACAATGAATGATCTGTTACTCGTACGGAAAGAAAGCCATGATTTTCGAGCTGCGAATGAAAAAGAGAAGCAAAAACGCCAAAGATCTAAGAAACAGATATCTACTGAGCAAGGGATTACTAGAGAAGAAGCTCAAGCACTCGTACAAGGTCAGGTTGAAGCATCTCAAGCTGTTACTACTGCTCCGGCCGAGCCGGAGCTCCCAGCCTCTCAAACAATTGTACGACGCCAATTTCAGTGTAGTGGTTGTGGAGTTATTGGGCATCGAATTAACAGATGTCCTAATCGTAATGCTAGTTAGATTTTTGTATACATTTTGTATGTGGATTTGAAATTGGGATTTGAAATCAATATATAGAGTTATTTTTGGGAGATGTGGCCGGTTCGTTTACGTGGCCGGTTCGCTTACCGATTACGTTATCTATTTAATGGCTTATCTTATCGGTTTGAGTCACCGGGTTTGGTCCGATTTCGCCCCTCGTTTTCTTTTCTTCTTTCGCTGTCCACTTCGTTCCCTGGAAAAGGTTCCCAGTGTTCAACCTATATATTGAACTTCTCTTTGGCCTTCTTCCCCCTGTCCTCATCGTCTAAATTGGATTCAAATCTTTCTAGAGATCTGGATTAAGTCAATTGCTCATCGTTCATCATGTGTGGCATTTTCGCTTGTCATCGGTAGGCTTTCTGGTACCTGGGTAGATTTGTCTGGACTGACTCTGGCACAGTCATCCTGATATACAGAAATTTAAGCCGACGGCTTTGCGCATGGCAAAAGCGTGAGCAACCCATTTCTTTCTGTGTATAAGGAATTGATTGTGCTGATTGTTTGTTCTCTCTTGTTTTGCAGCTTGCGCCATCGTGGTCCCGACTGGAGTGAGTCATGGATCGTCCTCGCCGGAAGAACCTCATGATCTGTCTCTAACATTTCTTCTTTCTCTCTTCCACCAGGTGGAAACTATATGGACAACCAGACAAGTGAGTTGGAGTCTGAATTAGCTTGGGTTGTTTGGTGTCATTGCTTGAAGCTAAACCTGATTGTGCTCTAGTCCTTGCGCATGAGCGTTTGAGTATTGTCGGGGTCGGTATGTGAAACACCCCATGTTCTCTAAGACGTCCGAGGTAAATTGAATATTTGCTAAATTCCCGTGAAGACTCCGGTGCCCAGCCCCTTGTCAGCGAAGATGGAAGCCTTGCCCTAGCCGTCAACGGCGAGATCTATAACCACCGTATCATCCGAAAGGAACTGAAGACCCCATATAACTTCCAGACACATTCCGACTGCGAAGTCATCACTCCTCTGGTATGTCTTGCCTAGTCTATGTTGCTGGAACATTTCTTTCCCCATGCACTGCGGGATCATTGACTGTTACCCCAGTACCTTGAACATGGCCTTGACGCTCCCAAATACCTTGATGGCATGTTCTCTTTCGTTCTTTATGACAAGAAAGAAAACCGCGTCATCGCCGCCCGGGACCCGATTGGTGTCATCAGTTTCTATCAAGGGTGGTCATCTCAAACTCCCGGCACAGTGTATTTCGCTTCCGAGTTGAAGTCTTTGTTCCCTGTTTGTGACAAGGTCATTGCCTTCCCCCCGGGACATATCTACGATTCAAAGACAGACAAGACTACCCGCTACTTCGAGCCCAAGTGGTGGGATCCCACCAACGTTCCATCTACACCCATCGACTACAAGTTGATCCGTCAGTCGTTGGAGAAGTCTGTTCGCAAGCGCCTCATGGCTGAGGTTCCGTACGGTGTCCTGCTGTCTGGTGGTCTGGATTCCAGTCTTGTAGCATCTATCGCACAGCGCGAGACTCTGCGCGCACGCGAGGCGCATGCAGTGAACGGTTCATCTGATCTGGTTGGCATTGATGACTCCAACCAGCTGCAGGTCGTTACAACTCTCCAGAAACTCCATTCTTTCTCCATTGGTCTCCCTGGAGCCCCCGACACCAAGGCAGCCCTCGAAGTGGCCAAGTTCCTTGGAACCGAACATCATGCTTTCACCTTCACCGTCGAGGACGGACTTAACGCTCTCTCCGACGTTATCTACCACCTGGAAACGTACGATGTCACAACAATCCGTGCGTCCACTCCCATGTACCTGCTTAGCCGCAAGATCAAGGCTATGGGTATCAAGATGGTTCTAAGTGGAGAGGGAAGTGATGAAATCTTCGGCGGCTACCTTTACTTCCATGCAGCTCCCAACCGGGAGGCATTCCACGCGGAGACGGTGAGACGAGTGAAGAACCTGCACCTGGCAGACTGCCTCAGAGCGAACAAGTCAACATTGGCATGGGGCCTCGAGGCTCGCGTGCCGTTCCTGGACAAGGAGTTCCTTGAGACCGCCATGGGTGTGGACCCCCAGGAGAAGATGATCACCAAGGACCGCATTGAGAAGTACATTCTTCGGAAGGCGTTTGACACCTCAGACGAACCCGGTGTGGAGCCATATCTTCCAGACAACATCCTCTGGCGCCAGAAGGAGCAGTTCAGCGATGGAGTTGGCTATAGCTGGATCGACGCTCTCAAGGACAACGCTGAACTTCACGTTACGGATGAGATGATGAAGAACCCTAAGCCAGAGTGGGGAGATGACATTCCAGACACCAAGGAAGCGTAAGTTGATATTCTTCATACACATAAGGGAGAATTCGAGCTGACGAGAAGAGCTAGTTACTGGTACCGTCTCATGTTCGACGAACACTTCCCGCCCTACTGCGCCAGCACCGTCGAGCGGTGGGTACCAACGTGGTCCAAGCAGACTGACCCCAGCGGAAGGCAAGTGAAATTCTTTCTACCTTGAATATTGGACGCAGTATGCGCTGTATATGTGCTAAGCTGACTCTGGACTCCAACAGAGCTATTTCCACTCATATTGCCAAGTACGAAGATGCCGAGTAAATTAGAAGGATTTCGGTTTCATACGCCGTTCTCTTCGGTTTTTTTTTTTGGGAATACATAGGAGCGGGTATGGGTTTCTTTCGCCGCAGGTCAAGGCAAAAGTGGGCGTGTGATCTATAATGATTTACTGTAGTTTACCCCTCTTGTCTTTTTGATGTCTTCTTTTTCAAAAGAGCCCGCAAAGAGTATTTAGATTGTGGCGCCGTGGTTCCATGTATGCTAGATATGTCTTGATAGAAAGGCGCTATCCATTGTGGTTACTGTTTATGTTATTTGCGTCGTTTGCGCTGTTTGCAGATACGACACAGCTAGTGACAGGTCACGGGACCCGGCGGGTGTGTCCGGCGGGCATTGACCAATCAGCGCGGGCAACAATTCCCGTGCGGATTTCTCGCCCGTCCCTTCTCGCTCTCTCCTCAACCTCAACTTCAACCACATCTCTTCCCCCAACAGAGCCGTCTCTCCTCTCCCTCCTTGCTTCTATTCTCCTTTTCTCAGCCTTTTCAGGTGTCTCATATCCTCCACAATTCACAATGTCTGCCCCCGCTGCTTTCTCCGACATCGCTAAGGCGGCCAACGATGTATGCTCTGTGATTTTTACCCACGGCAAATAAGTAACTTTATACTGACGCAAGACCTGTCCCGGCAATAGCTCCTTAACAAGGACTTCTATCACACCAGCGCTGGTAGCTTCCATATCCGTTTCTGTTCTGTGCCTTTATGCGACCGAGCTGATGAATTGCTCCAGCCAACCTTGAGGTTAAGTCTAAGGCTCCCAATGGTGTTACCTTCTCCGTAAAGGGCAAGAATGCCCACGAGGGTCCCATCTCTGGCTCGGTCAGTTAACCATTTATTTACCCTTGCATGGCTCAAAATTTCAGAAGTCGCATGGAATGACGGGCTGCTGACTAGTTTCCAATCCGATATAGCTCGAGGCCAAATATGTTGACGCGCCTTCTGGTAAACGCCCCATCAAGCGGAAACCACCCGAGCCCAAGAAGCCCCCAAGACTGCGAGGGTCACGGTCCATGATTGCATTTTCATGCGGCCAATACTCAACCGGTCTACTGAGGTTCCATTTCGTTTCTCGCATTACCGACCATGCAATATTGCTAATGCTTTGTCCCTGTTCAGGCCTCACTCTCACCCAGGCATGGAGCACTGCCAACGCTCTGGACACCAAGCTTGAGCTTGACAACAACATTGCCAAGGGTCTTAAGGCTGAGATCAGCACCAACTACCTCCCCGCCGTGAACTCCAAGGGTGCCAAGCTCAACCTCTACTTCAAGCAGCCCAATGTTCATGCCCGTGCCTTCTTCAACCTCCTCAACGGCCCTACCGCCAACTTTGATGCCGTTCTTGGCCACGAAGGCTTCCTCGTCGGTGCCGAGGGTGGCTACGATGTGCAGAAGGCTGCCATCACCAAGTACTCTGCTGCTATCGGCTACAGCGTTCCCCAGTACTCTGCTGCCATCACTGCCAGCAACAACCTGTCTCTGTTCTCCGCCAGCTACTACCACCGCGTCAACGCTCAAGTTGAGGCTGGTGCCAAGGCTACCTGGGACTCCAAGGCCGGCAATGCTGTTGGCCTTGAGGTTGCCAGCAAGTACAGACTCGACCCCTCTTCCTTCGCCAAGGTGCGTACGAGGTTTTGAGATTGAGTTCGTCCCTAAATGATAATTCCAGAACTGACCTGTGTCTTTTTCACAATATCTAGGCCAAGATCAACGACCGCGGCATTGCTGCTTTGGCTTACAACGTTCTCCTCCGCCCGGGTGTCACTCTTGGCCTCGGTGCTTCCTTCGACACTCAGAACTTGAACCAGGCTGCCCACAAGGTTGGTGCTAGCTTCACCTTCGAGGCTTAAATGCCCTGTATCAGATGTCTGCGTTAGCAGTGATTCGAACATATTTCCGTTCTGTGCAAAACGCATCTTCAAATAGTAGATCAATGTATTTCTTTTTATGTCACCCTTTCTTGGCCTCTTGGACCTCCAGGGTGACGGGTGGAATCGGATGAGACGACTGCGGTAAAAGGTGTTGGGGGGCAGACATGCTGGTTGGAAGATTTCTATAAACATGATGAATTCCTGTGTATCGTAGCCATTATGGACGGTCCACATTGTATATCAATTTCAGTTCTCGCCTGGTTAACTGGATGGGTAGCACTGATGTTTGAACATGTAAAGCAAGCCCACGCAGGGGAATATATACACAGGCCGTATGAGAAATATCAGGGTATCATATGTGACACAGCAGATGTATACTCCGTATACATTGCAAGATCAACCACCTCACCTCGCACCTGGAAAAAGAGCCGTAACAAGACCAGTCCCAACGAGAATGGCACAAACAGCAACGAACCGCAACCCAGAATGGCCGCCCGTCCTCATCATCTCCTCAGCACTCACCCGCCTCGCGCGGGCACGACGTGCTTCCCTCCTCTCATCCTCAGCAGACTGAGTCCTGAAATGGCCGCGAGCATTAAAATGCGACACGGGATTCCGATCAACAAACGCCGTCGCATCCTCTGGATCACTGGTAGCGCCGCGGGCGGCACCGCCACGACCGGCACCCTGTGCATGACCATAGCCGTTGGCGCTCGACGCCGTCCGACCGGTTCTCCCATACCCACCATGTCTATAGAAACTGGGCGGGGGACCGCGAAAGGCGCTGCGACGTTTACTCAGACCACTTGCGGGTCTGGAGCCTGCGTAGGATGCGCCCTGTTTCGTGTGTAGGTTTGCAGAGTAGGAGCTGTAACTGCCCATTGGGTGTGCAGAGGAATGTGTTGAGGGCAAGGAGGAGTGGATGCCATGGTCACGGTCGTATGTGCGGCGTTTTGCTTCGTTGCTGAGGATGTGGTAGGCGGATGAAATGCGGGCGAAGCGGGAGGTGGCGGTTGGGTCGCGCGGATTGCGATCTGGGTGGTGACGGAGGGAGAGGGAATAGAATTGTCTGTTGCTATTAGTCTCAATGTTATACAGTGAGGAGGTTAAGTACTTTTTGATCTCTGATGTGGTGGCCGTCACCGGCACGTCGAGTACTTCGTATAGTGTTGGCTCGCGTGCCGATGCCGACCGGTCTGAGGAGGAGGAAAATGCATGCTGTCGTTGATTGTAGTGGGTGACGGCGATGGAGTTTCTGAGCTGCGCAAAGGTCTTCAGGCGAGGAGGCATTCCTTTTTACCTCGATATGAATGAATAGCTTGATTGAAGGGAGAAAGAGAGGAGAGTATGAAGAGAGAAAGGAAGAGGATATGCAAGACTTATCAATTAGCCAGAATGCGTCATCGTCTCTGTCTACAGTGTCTACCACGGCATTGATCTCAGTTTAATTCTGAATACTCGGAATTATCAAAGAATACTATTTACTCATCACGGAGAATACTCTCTGATTCATCGTACTTCATCGTACTGGATCTTATCTCATCTTGTCTTGCAGCATCCCGCGCTTGGCGAAACTTCGCCCGATCTGCTCCACAAAACTCTCTTCTTCTCTCGATCTATCTGCATCATCTTTGTCAGCCTCTCGTCGTCCATCAACCTTCACCATGGCTGCTCAGACTACTGAGAAGCTAGAGAAGCTTGACTGTGCGTTCTGAATCCCCATCCCCATCGCCGTGACTACCCGTGGTGACTGCCCCTCATCTCGATGAATTTTCCGTCCTTGATCTGATAACATGTATCTATTGTAGTGAACGGTCAGAGCGCCGACGCAAAGGCGGTCTCCTCTAGCACCGGCCAGGCTGCAAAGGCAGAGGCAGAAGAAGACTCAGACGACGAAAAAGAGGGAGAAAATCCCGCTCCCGAGTCTGGGGCCACTGGAGGTCTGTTCTCTACCTATGTTCATCCACGCAAAGAACCGGAAAAGTGGGGAGATACTAACAGGAATAACCTGCAGCGGCCAAAAAGAAGAAGAAGCGCAAGCCTAAGAAGAAGAAGAGTCCCAAGGTCCAAACCTCCCCGCCTCGCGTGCCAGTAGCCGACCTCTTCCCCAATCACCAATTCCCCGAGGGTGAGATTGTCGAATACAAGAATGAGAATTCCTACCGCACTACCAACGAGGAGAAACGCTATCTTGATCGCATGAGGAATGATTTCCTACAGGAATACCGCCAGGGCTCGGAGGTGCACCGTCAAGTTCGCCAGTATGCGCAGAAGAATATCCGGCCTGGTCAGACTTTGACGGAGATCGCAGAGGGTATTGAAGATGCCGTGCGCGCGCTGACGGGTCACCAGGGTCTCGAGGAAGGTGACAATATCAAGGGTGGGATGGGCTTCCCTTGTGGGTTGAGTATCAATCACTGTGCTGCCCATTACACGCCCAATGCGGGGAATAAGATGGTGCTGCAGCAGGGTGATGTGATGAAGGTGGATTTTGGCGCACATATAAACGGCAGAATTGTCGATAGCGCCTTCACCATGACTTTTGACCCTGTTTATGATCCTCTCCTGGAAGCTGTCAAGGATGCTACCAATACTGGTATTCGGGTATGCTGGCTCCCTTCGATCCTCAAAACATTCCTTGCTAATTGGACCTTGACTATAGGAAGCCGGTATTGATGTCCGCATGAGTGACATTGGCGCTGCCATCCAGGAGACAATGGAAAGCTACGAGGTGGAAATCAACGGAACCACGTATCCGGTAAAGCCCATCCGGAATCTCAATGGTCACAATATCGACCAACACGTTATCCACGGTGGTAAGAGTGTACCCATCGTGAAGGGCGGTGATCAGACCAAGATGGAGGAAGGCGAGGTATTCGCCATTGAAACATTTGGCAGTACTGGAAAGGGTTACGTGAGAGAGGATGTACGTCAACCTTTTGCATCTATTCCTTCGTATAAAAAGTTTCCCTGGTTGCTGATTTCCAAACAGATGGAAACCTCTCACTACGCCTTGATCCCTGATGCGCCAGTTGTCCCTCTACGGCTATCCTCGGCGAAGAATTTGTTGAATTTGATCAACAAGAACTTCGGTACTCTTCCCTTCTGCCGTCGTTATATCGACCGGTTGGGTCAGGATAAGTACCTGCTGGGGGTAAGTGGATGGGAATCATACCCATGTCACGGAAACTGAAAGACGCTGACCTGGATCGCAGTTGAACAACCTGGTGTCTTCGGGCATCGTCCAAGATTACCCGCCTCTGTGCGACATCAAGGGCTCTTACACCGCTCAGTTTGAACATGTATGGACCTGTCCACCTTCCCTGTGTGTTACCGGTGTGTGAAACTAACGGATCGGGGCAGACTATTATTCTTCGACCAACCGTAAAGGAGGTCGTCAGCCGTGGAGACGATTACTGAGTGAGATCAGATGGTTGATGTTGTGTTTGAGAACTGTCCAGGCTGGATTGATGTCGGTGTTGGCATGGTTGAATGTACAAGTGAAATAGGCCAGCGACAACACAGAATTAGAATGCGTAAATAAACTCATCATCATACATAACTATCATCATCGTCTTATTGTGATGCCTAGTAACGAGCATCATTATACTGATTTTATCATAATGGCGATCGGCCCCACGTGGAACTTTCAGGCTCCGCATCAGGTTATTTTATTTTATGCAACTCCTGGTTTCACCGTCTCTCTGCCATAATCCATTGCATTGCACGCTGCCACTTCTTTCTCACTTCTTCCTTGCTGCTCTCTATGGCATAGAATCCGGGCAGCTTTGTGTTATCCTCCGCCAACTCATATACCATGCCGTCGGCCAACGTGACAGACTCCGCACAGCTCCGGTCTGCATCCAAGACGAACCAGAAGACTGAGCTCCCTGCACCGAGAGTCCCCCCTCCGGAGTCGTCTCTGGTCGCAGATCATTTCTACTGGACATACTCGGATGAACCGCACAGATCAAGACGGCAGGCTATTATTAAAGCGCATCCAGAGGTACCGTCCGCAAGGAAACTCGTACATCAAAAACCGTGGACTAACCAATTTCTAGGTAATCAAGCTCTGCGGACCGGAACCTCTCACGAAATATGTCGTCCTCGGTGTTGTATTCCTGCAAATCACCTGTGCATACCTCCTCCGCAACACCTCGATACTCTCATGGCCCTTTCTCGTCACCGCATACGTGATGGGAGCCACTGCCAACCAGAACCTGTTCTTGGCTATCCATGAGATCTCGCATAATCTCGCCTTTAAATCTCCCATGGCCAACAGGGTGTTGGCTATTATTGCCAATTTGCCCATTGGGATTCCATATAGTGCTGCGTTTCGGGTATGCCACCGTACACTCTTCTTCGTACTTGAACTAACCAAAAAAAAGCCATACCATCTTACCCACCACAAATCCCTTGGAGTTGCAGGCCTAGACACCGATCTCCCCACAGCCCTGGAGGCCTTCTTCCTCGATTCGCTCCTCGGAAAGGCCTTCTTTTGCACCTTCCAGATCTTCTTCTACGCCCTCCGTCCCATGTTCATCTACAGCCCCCCTTTCACATCCATCCACCTCCTCAACGTAATCACCCAATTCACCTTTGACTATACCCTTGTCAAGTTTTCAAACGGCTCCATCCAACCACTACTATATCTACTCACGAGCTCCTTCCTCGCAGGCTCCCTCCACCCCTGCGCAGGCCACTTCGTCTCAGAACACTACTTCTTCTCGAACGTCAAATCCGGCGGGACGGAATCACTCCAGGAACGGAAATTGAAACAGAAGAAAAACTCAACAGGTGACGATAAAAAACTACAGTCCCATCCAATGGACACCCTCCCTCCGCCAGAAACATATTCATATTACGGCCCACTGAACATCCTCACGTACAACGTAGGCCTGCACAATGAACACCACGACTTTCCCGCTGTCCCGTGGACAAAATTACCCGTCCTACATCGCATGGCGAGGGAGTTCTACGAGCCGCTTCCCTGTCATCGGAGTTGGGTTTGGGTTATCTGGACTTTTATCCTTGATGAGAATGTGGGTATGTGGTGTCGTGTGAAGAGAGCGCGCGGGGGGAGATTAGTTGGTGGCGGTGGTGGAGCATCGAGGAATCAGAATGGACGTGGTGGTGAGGGGATTTCTGCTGCTACCTCGTCTGGTGGAGGTAAAAAGGAGGAAGAAGAGGAGGATGATGGGTGGAAGGAGAGTGAGATTCAATATTGAATATTGAATGGATATGAATATGAGAATATATATATATATATATACATGAATATGATCTGATGGAATGAACAGATATCAGTCATGAAAGAATGAGAATAAAAGATATGAGAAATACCAAAAGGCACTAACTTGAAAAGGTGTACATGTGATATTGTGATGTACCTACTACAGCATTACTCATACTTGCAATGCTGAATGTGTATTTATACTTATAACTATGGTCTTTCTCAAAATTCCAATGTCTACACTGTGCAGTAATTAATGGCAAGGACGTGTAACCATAGCAATCATTATGAATTGATCTAGTGCATCACCATTGTCCTAGAACATCACCCCTAGCTACTAAGAATAATAATGAACCATTCGAAGAAAAAAACCTGAGCAGAGACACAAGTAAAAAGAAGAAAAGAAAAGGAAATGACAGGTTGGGAGGACTGGGGATCCTCGAAACGTATTCGGGTCAAAACATCACAAAAGGGAATTTTTCGTGTAGCACGCATCAAGCAGTGCTGAAACGTGATAAAAGAAGTCAAATAAAAAGCTTGCCTTTCCTTGAGGTGAAACATGTCCTTCTTGTGCAGCTTGACAGTTGGTACGAACTCGGGGATTCTTCAACGTAGGCCCAATCCACAATGTCGAAGAAAATGAACAGAAGGCGATTAAAACAAGGGCGGAAAAGGATGACGGCAAGGTAAGTCGAAATTAGGGTAGAAGGTCAGCCAGAAATAGACAATTAAGGGACAATGTGGAACTTGAGAGGTAATGTGCAAGCGAATGCCAATGCCGGTGAAGAAAAAAGGCGACTAAGAAAGGCCACGGATGCCTCGAACATGGATCACAAAACCGAAGAGATCATGTAATAGGAAAGAGATAAGAGAGAGACTAAAAGAAAAAGTACGCGAGTAAGAAGCTAATCAGACACAAACTAGCGACAAACTGAACTGGCACACCGGCTTCTGGTGGTGCCTGTTGCGTCTGCAACTGAGTTGGCGCGCTAGTGATATCTTCTCCGACTTTTCTCTGTCTCAAACCCTGGTCCGAGAGTTTCTCTTTCAGCTTCTGGATCTGGGCCTGCGCATCTGCGAGCTGCGCCTTAAGTTGTTCGACATCTGCATTTGGCGTGGGACCCATGCTTGGCGATTTCAAGCTAGCTGCAGAAGCATCGGAAGCAGATAGTGGGCTCGAGGGCTCCCGCTTTGATTTCTCGGAGACATCAAGCGGTGAGGTGGATGACGTGGTATCAATTAATTTCTCAGAAGCCTTCGATGCCGGCGTTTCCTCGACAGTTCCGTTTAGAGAAGAATAGGAGGGCGGTTCCTCTTCCGATGCAGCCTGGGAAGGAAAAGGGGTTAAGATGCCGTTCAAGTCGTGGACCTGGAGATACATGTGGCAGTGAGGACATACAACTCCGTTCGCATGAGCAGACTCCTCCAAAACTTCGTTTGGGTCTGCATCCAAGTAGTTCACACGAATCTTGCGCTCCTGAATCGACGCCTTGGATACTTTCTCAAACTATTATACGTCAGATAAGAAAACGGTATATCATGTCCATCTCCGGAGATAGGCATACAATAGCGGAGACGTTCGAATATTCCATATCGCCGGTGACCGCGACAGACTGGACCAGAAACTTGTCCTTGCACTTCGCATTGTAGGGAGGTTCTTGCTTCATCGCTTGGAGTAGGACTGTTCCAGATATATTGTCAATCGACATTGTAGGACTCCTGGGGCGGCGTTGCATCCTCGATCACCGACCTTGAACGTCCATATGCTTTCCCGGTTCTATTCGGCCGGAGTTGGGTCGGACACAGTAACTAGCCCCCATTCAGTGCATGCGCCGACGACAAGTCTGGTTAGAGAGGAAGAAAAGCCAACGTACTGCTTCGGAGCGGTGGTTTTGACCTAGAGCACACGGGAGTCAGCATGCGACAACCCCGGAACGGATTGCGGAATGCTGTTTCGCATACCTTGAACACAACAGGATCCGGGTTCTTGTTTTCGATATGCAGCACCTGGCAGATTTCGCGGTTGAAAGGCCCTGTCAAGTATTTGTGTCAATCCATGATGTACGTAACCGGCGATATTATTAATAGAAGCGGTAGATCGTACGCTTGAAACCCAACTCGGGCGGGTCGAGTTCAACCGACATGGCGGGATCGAAGGGAGCAGGCGATGACGGGCGGGCAGAAGAGAAGGAAGAGCGAAGATATTGACAGAGCTAGGGTGAGCAGGACGGAGAAGAGCGCGGAGAGAAGAATGCCAGGAACAGGAGAGAGAGAGAGCGGCAGGGAGGACTGGAAACTATCCGGAATAAGTAATCGTCGAGGTGGCCGCACGCTACTATCTGTGATTGGCCAAATCAAATGACTCAGCGCCTGCAACGGTCAGGTGATGTCCTGCTGCTGTGCATTTTGCGGTTTTCTCCCTTTTTCTCCCTTTTCTTCTTTTCTTTCACTGCCTTTATTTGCCAGCACACCGCGCTCTCACTGCACCAATGATGCTTTTCCTATAATCATGACCACTGTGCTTAATCCCTCCTGGCTAGCCCTTGGAAGATGCCATCACATCATCTGTGCTCTGGACAGGGGTATATGACCAGGACCGTGCCTGTCTCCACACATGCACCTGCCTACTACCCGAGGCTGCCTGGGTGTCACACATGCACCGATTCCTAGTTTGGTCGTACATCATACTACTAATAATTCAGATCTGAGCTGGATAGGCTGAGCCTCAAGGGTCCTACGGAGGCAACCGTTTCGAGCTTCAGTTCATTCCCCATGTCTGGATTCTCCGCAACGAGAACGAGAACTAAGCTTCTCCAGCAGCCCCGCCCATCCAAATTAACTGGATCTGGTTCCTAATCTGTTCCGTGGTTTACCTTCCGAACCTGATTCCCAACTTCGTTTGCGATCTCATTGCATCCTTCATCTATATGATATTTCTGCAACTAGTTGCTGGGATGATACCTCGGTTAGGTTGATTTTCAGATAGCTGGAGGCCGATCAATATCTATCTTGGGAATGATTGGAGTTGGTTCTTGAGGGATACACTTGACTATCTAACAGTTGTCAGTGCACGGAACCCTCTTGCAATTTCGAGACCTCAGGGCCAATTATCTATTCCCTCTGGTTGCGTTTTCGGAAGATGGATGTGGAACAACTCAGCACTGCGACATGGGATCGTTTATGCGGAATCCAAGCCTGGGATCTTGCCGGCTATTCGAATGATTATGATGATCTATTGGAACTTGAACGGAAGACCATGAAGGGAACTTTACTAGCTAGTCATTTTGTAAGACATTTCATCTAATCGGCCTGCAAGTGAAGAATAGCAATGGCATCCATTTGACTGCAGATGAAGCTTCCGTAGTAGTCCCGTATTTTCTAGCTGTATGCGACAACTACTTTGCAGGGTAGCCCTATTCAGGGGATGCATAATACGCTTGCATCAGCTATCGTAAAAGTCCAGCGAAATTCTCACCCAAGTAACCTCCACCTTCATCAACTGTCGAAAAAGCAAGAAAAGGTAACAAGTGGCCCAGACCTCGACGCCGGCGGGGCTCTCCACATCGTCATCGCCGCCGGTCGGCAAATAACGTCACACAGCAGATCACCAACCACTCACTCCCTTCTCCCTTCCTGCTGCCCACAGCTTCTCCTGTCACGCAGCTGCTATTATCTGCACTGCAATTGCATACATACATCTGTCCACTGAACCATTGCTCAAGCTTATTTTGTCCTGTTCCATTACTCATTGTCTAGCCTGCACAACAGCTTTGTGCACTCTACCCCGCCATCTTAGTTCGACGAACCCGACGTCGTGCTACACCAACTTGCTGCTACTACTACTCCCATTTCCCACCCCCTCTACGATCTATTTCTGCAGTATAGCAATTATGGCCCCTTCGGATGTCGACCAGCTCTTGGAAATGGGCTTTGACAAGGAGAGAGCTGAACTTGCAGTGTCGAAGACAGGGGGTCGTAAGTGCCATGTTCTCACGATAAGACCGGCGTCTTATCCTGCTAACACATCATTTCAAACTATGATCTAGTCCAAGGAGCTCTCGAGTGGCTTGAAAGAAATCAAGACAAGTCTCTTGACGAAATCAAAGCAGCCGAATCAGAACAGGCCGAAGCAGAAGAGGCGCCGGCGCTCCAGCCCGGCGAGCAACCTCGCAGTCTCATTTGCAACGAATGTGGCAAGAAATTCCGGAGTCAATCCCAAGCCGAGTTCCACGCGTCGAAAACAGAACATGTTGATTTTTCAGAGTCTACGGAGGAAATTGCCCCTTTGACAGAGGAGGAAAAGAAAGCCAAACTTGAAGAATTGAGGGAGAGACTTGCGGCAAAACGAGCGGCGCAGTTGGAACAAGAAAAGATAGATAAGAAGAGAAACGAGGTATTGGATTTCTGTTTCTGTTTCTCCTTCAAAAATGTATGCGGTCGTTAACCCCATGACAGGAAATCAGAAGGAAGAACACCAAGGAGAGCCAAGATATCAAGGAAGAGCTTCAACGGAAGGCGATGTTGAAAGAGGCAGCCCAGAAGAAAAAGGAAAAGCTCGAAGAGATCGAAGCGAAGAAGCGCATTAAGGCCAAGATTGAGGCAGACAAGGCGGAACGACGACGGAAAGCTGAAGCGGAAAGGGCAGCGCGAGCAGGCCTGGCTCCTCCCGTTCACGCGGAACTACCACCTACACCATCTGGCCCTGTCTCCTCCAAACCTGCCTCTACTTACACTGAAAGCCGTATGAGATTCCAGACGTCCAAGGGGAACATCTTGAAGACATTCCCCGTCACTACGACGCTATTCGAGGTTGCCGCATCCCTGAACAAAAATGATGGCATTGAGGTACAGAGTTTCATCCAGAACTTCCCGAGGAAAGTTTTTGACTCCGAATATTTCGGTGAGACGCTGAAGGAGCTGGGCCTTGTCCCTAGCGCCAGTCTCATTGTTCAGTGACGTATTTCTAGAGAATTCGCCAGTGCGGGCATACGATGATGACAAGATGCAAGAATTAAAATGTATACACTCATGGCAGCACTACAATTACAAGATAATCTCCATTCTTAATAGCAGAGGTACACTCTTAGAATCGCGTCATATCTGCTTTGTACATTTCATCGTTCTTGTTCTTATCGTCAGCTGTGGCCGTTGTGGTCACGTGATATCGCGACACAGCGCGTCCATCTTCCCAACGCGCTACAAGGTAGACAACCACCAGCCATAACATCCAACTCATAACATCGTCTGTTATAGCCAATCCATGAACACCATATAATGCCGGCGTGAGCAAGAGATCTCTCCTACCCTGCATCTATCTCAGCATCACCACTTCCCCCAGCCCAGCAAAACCGGTAACTAATAGTAATCGATTACCCCAGAGTTGGTGACCAACATCGCAGTGGACAAGCATGTACCATAACAATGCCGTCCAACGGAACCGGAGCCATTCTGGCCAACCCATTTGAAGAACCGCCACGACGCATGAACGAATACACAGCACGGGAAATCGCTACGCTTCAGGCACGGCTCGATAAGAAGTTGGGCCCTGAGTATATCTCCTCCAGACCAGGTGCTTCGGGACAGAGGGTGCACTATCTCTCTGCGGACAAGTGTATAAATCTTGCAAATGAGGTCTTTGGGTTTAATGGCTGGTCCAGTTCTATTCAGAATATTCAGATTGATTTTGTATGTTTGCCTTCATGAAGATAAGGGTAAACGAGGCTAAGATTCATCTCTCACAGGTTGAAGAGAGTCAGCACACTGGCAAGATTAGTCTGGGACTATCAGTGATAGTGAGGGTCACTTTGAAAGATGGAACCTATCATGAGGTATTTGATGCCGGTGTGTTTATATTCGTCGTTCTAGTGCTGATGCCGGCAATCTATCTTCAGGATATTGGGTATGGTCACATCGAGAATTGCAAGGGGAAAGCTGCTGCTTTTGAGAAGGCCAAGAAGGAAGGGACAACAGATGCCCTTAAGCGTGCCCTGAGAAATTTCGGCAACGTTTTGGGCAATTGTATTTACGACAAAGACTATGTTTCCAAAGTAACTAAAGTGAAAGCCGCACCTGTATGTATCCGGCTATGGCTCTGCTGTATATGCGTTTTGATGACTGACATTGCCCAACAGGCCAAATGGGACGTTGAGGATCTTCATCGTCATCCTGATTACGTCCCGATTAAGAAAGAGCCGGCTCAACAGAAACCAGCCTTGGAGGATGACGATCTTCCTCCTCCTCGGGTGAATCTTGCTAGTAAGAATGAAAGTGTTGATAACAGCGCTGCGTTTGATGGCGATGGAGAGTTTGGAAGTGAGTACCCAATAATTGCCTCGTTTCGAATGTTCTGAAATGCTTACGGATGCTGTAGGTGATTTATTTGATGAAGCCGACTTTGTGGTTTCAGCCACTGGAAATCCCGATGAAATCGTATTGGACTCAGAGTCATTGAAAAAACAACCACAGGTGCCCACACATGGCCAAATTGTCCAACAAAGAACACAGGCAGATCTTTCTCGTCCTCCTGGGAGGCCCAATCCAGCTTTTACGACGCCGTCGAAGCCAGATAGGTCTTGGGCACCTTCCCCAGCACCAAGACCACAGAATCAGATCACACACAACGTCGCTTCATCTCTCAACGGGCGATACAATCCCTCACTAGGTCAGGATAGGTTTGCTGGACAAGGGGACTTTGCTTCTCGTCCCACAGCCCAACCGAACGTTCAGAATGTCAGAATGGGATCCTCTCTCCAACAAAGACCTAATCAAGAGACAAATGCCATTGGTGGTGGCCAAATACCTATCAAGCGGGAGCCTGGTCCAAATGTCATGGATAATGAGACTGGAAGCAATGATTCGAGTGATATTAGTCTAGGCGGTTCGCAGTCTGCGGACAATCAACGTCTACCCGGTACCCCAGCTACATTCTTCTCTGCCAGAGCAGTTGATATGATACGGGATAATCCCAATATAGCTCCCACGGTAGCTCCGCAATTTGATCCTCATGCAGAGAGCCCGTCCATTCGCAAAACTGCGGGCTTCGATCACAGCAAGAGCCTCCCTATCACCAAGCCAATGCTTGCCAGTGCCTCTTCCGCTACGAACCAAACTCGTGATTTTATCAACCCCTCCGCAGATATGCACCGCAAAATAGGCGCTCCTGGCGGCAGCGGAATCGGCTCCCCTCTGAATCGGGGACAAACAACCTCTTCTTACCGTCCCTTGACACGCCCAAACGTTGACCCGAGAAACATGAACGCTCCAAACAAGGGGGGAGTTTGTCTCGGTCCACAGATAAACAATATCAACAATAATGGGAAACGGCCCCCGCTGAGCGACGTCACCAATGCCAATAATAACGCTGGTGGAAATGGGAATGGCTTCGCTGCTGGAGCTGGAATCGGCGATCCAAAGAGGCAGAGAGTCAATAACAACGATGGGACATCAAATGGTCTACCACAACAATCACAGAACTAATTCCGTGGCCGGCCATAATCCAGAAACACGGGAAAATTTGTCCAGACATCCATCTACAAGTCTGGTTTGACTTGCCCTTCTAAGTATCATTCTTACCACAGTGCACGGCGTTCATTGGGGAGTAAAAGGCCATACCGTAGGTATCATACCATGCTGGAATAAACGGTTCGAGATAACATGCAAGGAATGCTCAAATTAGTTTGTTCTGTTTCGTGTTGTTATTAGAGTTTATATAACAGCCTACATGTTTTATCCCTATTTTCATTTTCCTATACCTATCCTTCATACCTATATATACCTGCAACCTAGGGGGGCTTTTTGTCTGAGCAGATAGGTGGCTGCAAGTCTCGACGTCAGTCTCTTGTCCCATGTAATCATGTAAGCTGCAGCAGGATAATGTTAGAGGTCTGTTCATCCTATAACCTATTCCTGTCAACTGTTTCCCCTCTATGTATGCATTGCCCATATGGATAGGATACGCTCCTATTGTAAGAGTAGAGAATGGCAAAAAAAATATAAGCTTCAAAATGATAATGAGCTAACTGTGTAGCTGGATAATTTACTACTCTCCATAGAGTACATTGTAGTTAGTATCTAAATAAGAACAATTCAGCATTGAAGTAAAAGAAGAAAAGAAGAATGTTGATACAATACAAAACACAAGATAGAAATAACAGACAGACAATTCAATAATCATCATTTATTCCTAGGGCATCACTCATGACATTATCACATTATCACATTGTCAAAGAAATGAGAAATCAGAGAGTTTGAAGGTCATAAAAGGAAACAGATTAAAAGAAAAATAGAGAAAGCAACAGAATCAGAGTAATGGAGGGAAACGAGGCTACCATGAAAATTTGCACATACGCAGGAATTATTATGCATGATTCATGACATCATATTCAGGAATGAAGGGAATAGGAAATTCTGATTTAACGTGAGGGCTTATTGTTTTCATCAGATGCCCAGGTTGGGCCTTGAAGGCCACCAGAAACAGATCTGTTCATAGTAGAACGACGCTCAGTCGGGTTAGGTGTGAGCACAGATGGTTGACACAATTTGGGGGCAGGAATTGACTGCTGAGAATTGTGTGGAGCGTGGACTGACTCTTGCGAGGCGTGGGAAGTACCGGGTCCAATAACCTTCGGACCACTTGAATGCAACGTCAAGGATGGAGCTCTGGATTGGGTCTTCGTCGGTGTAATATTGGACTCTTCCTTGCTTGATTCTGGAAGAGGTACGCCGGTTGGAGTGAGAGGCTTTGTCTCAGGATCTGGCGAGAAGAGTCTAGCTTTTCCCTTTTGCGACTCTATGATATTAGTTGACATGGAGATACCCAATCCCTCGAAGAAGGAGGGCTGCGCCTCTGATAGCACAGATCGTTGGGGAGGGATTGATATTTGGAACTTGGGTTCTACTAAGCGTCAGCGATTTATTTTGAAGGAAATGTACGCGCGGTCACCACTAACTATCAGAAGAGCTCGCTGGACGGGATGGACTAGCTTCGGTCTGCGAATCCTGAGCCGTACGCCTTCTGGGAAATAAGTGATCTCCAAAAATATGATGTGGCGGACTAGGCGCTGGACCAATTACCTTGACTTTGTCACCGGGAGAGGAAGAAGTAGGTTGACCAGGTAGCGGGGCAATTACCTTGACCTTGCTAAGAGAGGGCGATGTAGACGGATCAAGTAATGGACTGAGTACCTTGGCTTTGTCGCCGGGAGAAGGGGAATTAGGTTGTAAGACCTTTCTAAGAGAGGGCAGATCACTCGAAGCAGATGAATCGCTTGAAATGCTGTGCGTTGGGGACCGATATTTTGTAAAGCTCGGCTTTCTTGGGATGAACTCGGGCGCAGTAACAGCATATCTAAGTCGGTTCTCTGAGAGAGGGGGGCTCTGCATGATCGAACCCGACTGGTCGGTTGGCTCTTGAATAGGTGATTTATCTTTTTCCAAATCTTTGGCTCTCTCATCGTCTGTGCCAGGCTTGTTGATCGAAGGACCAGCCCGAAGAGCTTCCCGAGGGTTACCAGCTCGCGCCGGCTGTTCAGGTTTGGATGGTACTGGTTGTGCAGTAAATGGCTGATCAGCCAGGGTAAGTCGCGATTCCAATGCTTTTCTGCATTCTTCCAGTTTGTATAGATATTCGTCTGGAAGAGCCTTTATCTCCATGAGGTTGTCAATCATCGATAAACCACGTCGATATTTCGACAGATGCTCATCGTCATCAGCGTTGGAGACTGCTGCAACATCGGAATCTTTCTTTTCATCAGCATCTTGCTTGAAGTCGAGCTTCTTTCCGCAGCTGAATGGAAACCTGGATGACGGAGGTTTTAGTGAAAGCGTGGTATCAGTGGTATTCTGAATGGAAAAATCGATTCCTTCCAAGTCATCAAATACAGGGCTCCTTAAAAAGCTTTGGTCCATGTTCGCCATTGAGTTCTTCGTTATTGCATTATCCGGCGAAGAGTCGAAATCAACAAGAAGCTCAACCTTTTCTCTTTTGGTCTTATCCTTCTCGTGCCCTCTAGAGATGCCTTCCTGGCGCGATAGAATGGGCTGGGGAAGATTAGCAGTTAATCCTTTGAGCAATGAACTCTTCCCTTCAGCTTGACCGTTTCCAGTTTTTGATGAAGAGGTAACTTGTCCCGAAGATGGTAAGCTAGTGCCTTTGGAACGACCCTCGGTTTTAGGCCTTTCTGGCGTTGAGGTCAACACGCGCAAAGCGGGAGGTCTACCAGCCACTGGAGCAGTAGTAGGGACGGCAACTTCCTTTGCTGGGACTGTTTTTACATCGACTGCCGAAGGAGCTGTATTGCCATGTCGTCGAGTGGAGCTAGGAGCAAGGTTCTTGGCTGTAACGACAGCACCTTGTGCCTTAGTATCCTGGACTGGCTTTTGCTCTTTAGGAGATGCAATGTCAGAGGCTTTAGTGTTATCAGGTGGAGGTTTCCGGACCATACTACGGGCAACGGCCAGAAAATCATCAGGAGAACTGAGAAGTCGCGAATAATCACCGCTCCAACGCATGTCAGTTATTTGAAGACAAAAAAAAAAGAATGGAACTGAGGGGTTCTTACGCAGGCATGGGTGCAACCCGTCTGGTCCTAAGAAACGCCGGTGGTTGCTTCTTGCCACCTAGAGAACGGGTATATTAGAACCTCCTGCATATGTAGTGTCCGTATAAAGGACTACTTACCTGGTTTATATTTCGACTTGAATCCGCCGCCTTTCTGGTCCCCATCTGGATCAAGAGCAGGATCAAGACCACGGTTTCCTTTGCGCGAAGTCTCAATAATCTGATTTCCTAACTTTGATACAGCACCCTGGGTTGTCCTATTGCTTCTGGGCAGTTAGTTCACCTGACAAGTGCCCTGAATTCGAAGGACCTACCCGATAGATGACATTGATCCACGACCTCTCGTTCCAATGACACCACCGCCGCGCCCAGAACTTCTTTCCGGGCGCCTCATAGATAGGGTTTCTGTAGACTTGATGCCTATATCGTTGTTTCTGCTATTATTACCTTGTAATAAGGACCGAATGCGGTGGGTCTGGCCATCAAGCAGATTATCCAGTTGTTCCAAGTCTTCAGTGTCTCCAAGCTCTTTATACATGTCTGTTATGAAATTTAGTCAACTGCGTGCTGCACCGATTAATTCCAAGGATCTCAGATACCCACTGGCCCATTTAGAAAGCTTTGACTTATTCTGCTCAGCCATCCGCTGAGCTTCAGTTCCAGCTATGTTCGACAGCCGGGATGCTTCGATATCTTCTAGTCGTACGCCAGTAAGCTGCTTGTTCTTACTATCTACAGTCGAGATGTATTCCCGTCTAGCCGTTCCTAAGTCCGCCTATGAATATTCCAAGTCAGAGCTAGATAGTACTGGGCGGGCCACTCAATAGAAGCAAACGTGAGACTCACCATTTGCAGCATTTTAAGCCGCTCCTCTGCTGAAATATCCATGTTGTCTTTGTCCCAGAGAAGCAAACCTGTCTGTGTTTTTGATGAGCATAGACGGGCGCGTACTGGGGTCAATGAAGTTAAGTTGCGGTGTTACTCAGAACAATCCAGAAGAGCAGGAATGTTATCAACGTAGATGACTTGCTGGTGTTTGGGGACAAGGACTGACGCGGGATAGAAGAGTGCCAGAGTGATATCTCAAAGGGTGCGCGATGGATTGAGAGAAGAGATTATCATGGTTCTAGAGAGGTGGGAGACAAGAATCCAGTAATTTGAAGGGATTAAATTGAAAACAAAAGGAGAATTATAGAGGACCGATAAAGAGGCAAGATACGAAGAAGAGGGGCCTTGAGGGGATATATGAGGAAGTGGTGAAAGGAAGGGAGAAGCGCGATGCTGGTCAGTTGCCAGGACAGTCTCTGTTTGAGTCTGCAAACGCGGATTTCTCCACAACACAAGGGAAATTCACGAAATTGGCTTCAAACATCCCAAACAAATGGCATATATGTGCATGCTTGTTTCCATGTAAAAACTCACTTACAGCACACTGGAATCGGATGTTTGTTGCGGATATAGACATGACGCGGCCCTCACCAGCCCGCAGCATCCAATCCACGCCTTGAAATCCAATAGATCGGTTATGAGCCTCTCCAGATCCGGACTGAAATGTAGTCGAAGTTCTGTCTAGCATTATACGTTGTCACTTGCTTCTCGTGTCAAGACGACCTTGCTCTCAAGTGGTGTGGTGGAGCTATTACTTCTGAAAGCTTGAGTATTCCATTCTATGCAAGTAATTAAACCACGCCAATAAAAGGATCTCATCAAGGGAGTACATAAATTTCTTAGCTATGAGGTTCCACAGAATGCATGCAGGAATGAGGGAAAGAAGAAATGGCAAAGCAGGATGCTCCCTTGACCAAAATGACAGGGGAAAGAATGAGAAGGCCTTTTACCTTAATTTAAGTTCATATCTTGCAGATACCAGCATGAAGATAAGACATGAGGTGTAATAAATGCAACAAAGGCATGGTATGCGATGTTATGAAATGCCAGACGTGAGTATATTCTACAAATATGGGGATATTCTTTCGTTAAATGGCACTGCACGTATGAACTTCACCTTCATCTGTAGCAAGACAGTTGTCAGATATTTCAAATCAACCATGAATGACAGCGGGAAGAAACATGGCCAAACTTACTTCTAATCATTTTTGCAACGGCTTGTATAAGACTCACACCCATTACAACAAACCCAAATGTTATACAGATGAAAGCAGGAATCTTCGCCTTGCGACTTGCGCTGCTCAACTTGATGTAGCAAAGAGGCGGAAAGATATATGCTAGAGCCGCAGCACTTGTCGCTCCAATCAGTTCGAATACGGTGCCGAGGTCGCATGTTATCAAAGCCATGGCCATTGCCGTCACAACCAAGGAGGTCGTGAATATCAAGTGCCGATTCGGATTGAAAGGCTCATCGGGGAAGTAGTATGTTGTCATAACAGATCGGCAAACAAATGCTTCCAGGGGTAAAGTCGTGAGCATGTTCAACCCAAAACAACTACTCGGGGTTAGCTCAGGTAGTGCAATTCCCGGCGTAGCATAACTTACAGCCGTGCTATATTAACTATGACGTTGTCTGACGGGAAGTTATTCAGGACGTTGCCTTGAGTTTTGGAGCCAAAAGTCAAAAAGCCCGCTAATCCCATGGCGAGGCACGTAACGAGTGAGACCCCTGTGGAATAATGTGTGACTTTGGCAAACCGATCCAGCGTCGGTTTCTTGAGCGAACCATAGATCAAAAGACTGTTATGATCTTTGGCGAGGTTAGCTTCGGGACGATATGTAGGTAACAGCGGTTCAAACCAAGTTCGACATACGGCAAACGAATGCTGCGAATCATTAGTAACATACAATGTTGGTTTTAAGGTAACTTTACGTACCAAAGGATATGACTCCGACAGACTGGAAGAACCCAGAGTTGGCAAAGAGAAGACTCTTCACTTCGCCCCGCGATTCGGATGGTACGCGGAGGCCTTGCGTAATCACTGCAATTACGATGACCATCATACTTATCAAAGCAAGGGTAGATGCTTTTGCCAACTACTCGTTCATCAGCTCGTATACCGATGAATTGACTGCACAGGGGGGAGCCAAACCTTTGCAATGTCCCTATATAGGGACAGTGGGTATGAGACACCAAGAACAAAAATGGCAATTACGGCCCGTCTATCAGTGAAGAGCCAGAGGAAAGGCATATCTCTGAGGGAGGGGATCAAGGCGCTTATGACATGAGGAATGGTATCACCGACGATAATACAAAATGCAACCATGCCCCCGAAAGCAAAAACCCACTGCGCAATGGAAATTGCGATAAGGCCGCTTTTCCCAAAGCAATGCTGCAACGTAGCCTGGTACGAATCCGCACCGCTCAATTTGGAGTTGATCACGATCAAACGGATTGTCCAGTCTACAGTGATCGTGAGAACAATGAGCAAGATTATACCCATCAACATACCGGCTTGTCGAAGTGCGTATGGTTGTCCTATGATCCCCGCCCCTATTATACTATTTGCCATGTTCATGAAGGCCATCCGCATTCCACTCCTCGGCCTAGCATCTTCCAAATGCTCTTCGGGGAAGAAATCGTCGGTGGTCGCAAGCGTCACACTGGGGGCTTCTATGTCGGTGAGAAGGGGAACCATAGGTCCTCTGCGACCAGATCCCGATGAATCCCGGCGTCCACTTTCGTAGTCGTCCTCGTCCAGCCACGAGTCCTGCGATCTGCGGCCATGGCTGTTTGAATCGCGGTCGTTGTGCTCGGAGCTGGAGTCCTCATCTTGCTGTTCGAGGTCAAACCGCACTCGATTTGTGGTACGAGGAGGACGACGCTGTCCGTCCGGAGAAGGTAGAGATATAGATGGCTGCCTAGGGAGAATCCGAGGACGAGAATTAAGTGGAGGTGCAGGTGCAGGTGCCGGTGGAGGCGGAGGTGGAGGTAGGCTCGGGTGAACTATGATGTCTTCTTCATCGATTGATCCTGAGAGAAGGGACTGAGATTCTGCCTCGTCCACGCCATTCGGTGGAGCCAAAAAAGCTCCTGGTTTCTCATCCTTGGGCATCCTTGAGCATCGCGGGCCTTCAATGTTTGCAGAGCGCCGTGTTGCATCTTCTCCTGAGACAGATTTCCCCCGGACCCGGCACGTGCGCTCTTATCGCTTCGTAAGCTGGCGATAAGCCTGCCCGATTTGGCAGCGACACGTAACCTTGGATCCTACAATTGTATGACATGGAATAACTGGATGGAAATAGACTGTATGCTGTGTGGTAGAGTATTTGATGGGGTGAAATTCTATTTTTACCCCAGTCTGTTTCCTGATCTGTCTGGTGAAAAGGTACGGAGTAATTATCGCTGATCTAAGATACCAGCCCTACTATTCTGCTGTCTGGTATGCTGTAAACCTCAGGAGGTATAATATATCAAATAGGAGTAGAAAATGTCTACTCTCATATAAAGCTTTTTTTTTCATTGACTGTGGTCTATTTTCATCTACGGAGAACACAGTAATAGTACTAGTGCTGCAGGTCAGGTGCCATCCTTGGGGGTAGCACTGTTATGGCTTTTTTCATTCCACCATCTTTGTTGCTCAGCCAAGACAGCACCAGAAAGCTATTAACACTCGCAAAATCAGGGAAGGGAGGGATTAGTTGGACAGTCACCGACATCTATTGTTCCAAAAAAGACCATTCCAAGTTTGCATTAATTAACGTACCTCGATGTCAATGTTTCACGATCTCAGCCTAGGAAGCAGGACATTCCACCTGCAGAAATCCATGTTAAGTCTTACCTCTAGTGGCTCTGTGGAACTAAGACTTCCATCGGAGTGTCCGGAGTTACAAAATCCCAAAAGGATCGAGCAATTACTCCTGTCAAGAGACATATGGGTTACCCAAGCACCTGAGCTCAGTCTATATATTCGCATCAGCCTACCGCTGGACCCTTCTTACCATTCTTCGAAATTCTCATCACAGGTTGGGGATAACTTATGCAATGCGAGGGTAATTATTTAATATGCCCAATACTTGTGTGGCTCTGAACAACAGCACAAGCTAATGCCGTCCCCTGCAGCTTTGGTCGGATCTCGGCCTCGTGGCACTGTTTAGGAGTTGCGAGCATCATCCTAATACAGAAAGCCATACAACTTTCCAAATATGCATTGGTCTGCGGAGCAGAGTTGGGCCATCGAGAATTAATGCGAAAACCGGGAGATTACCACTTTCGACCCAGACTCTCCATGAAGCAGGCCTCCCGGCTAGTATCAAAACCGCTATTTTGTCTTCAGTCAACCTCTCACTTGAGTATACTCATTGTCCCGTGAATATGGGGAATATGTCTCACTATTCAGGGACAGATCTCACCACCGTTGAGCTGCCAATGCAAAGGTCAGCAACGAATACGCTTCATGTTGGGAGCGATAATGACCTCATTGACGCCATGACCTCGGAGACAGAACACTCGCCAAGGACAGGGAGCTCTGAAGTCGTGGACATAAATGAGCGCTCAGACTTTGAGTGGGATCTGCAGTTCTTGGATGAAGAATGCCCCATCGTCTCTCTTCCTAGTTTCAACAGCAATGGCCTCTTGCAATGGAAACATAGCGCTTCCCCACCTATAAAAGATCTTCACAGACTATTTAGCAATGCCCTTCGAGACGTTATAGTCTCTGATTTACCGAGACCTGATATCGGAATCAAGAAAACTAGCATTGGGCCGTTGAGGTCTCTCTCCGAAATAGCCCCCGCTGTGTTTAGCCTTGGATACCGCGATGTAAGCAAATCATCCCCAAGGAAGAAGGTAGAAAAGAGAAACTTGGAGTCCTTGGCTGACCATCTCTGGAACAGGCAATAAACCAACGTTCAAGATTCATACCATCGATAGCCAAATCATTGGCTTGTATTCTCGAGAAGACAGAAAATCCAGTCTTGCAGGCAAAAATATCCACTCTCAAACAATTCCATTTACAAAATCCTCAAAAACCGAGCTTACTTACTAATCATAATACCAATGCAATTCCACAGACGCAGGACGCCAAAGCTATCATCAAAACCTGTCTTTGGAAAATCAGCCAAAGGGATCTTTACAAACCCGGAGCTTCTCGAAAACTCCCTCCTTTAGAAGAGACCTCAGGTTTACCACTTGATGAGAAATCCTCGACACTGGATGCGTTGCTCGAAACTTCTTCTTTCGGAGAAGGGATGTATATGGATACAGATAATAACGATTATTATATCTCGGACGATTTCCTCGTGGACGACGACGACAACGATGATGACGCTGACAGCGATGATAACAAAAAGGAGAGAGAGGACTTTGATCTTTTTGTTAATGGAGGAGACGAATGCTTTTTAACCTCTGCCATGATGGAGGAATGCACCGATTCACCACTTGTGATGTCGAGCAGTACTCATACCCTCGAAGATTACGATCCGGATCTGGATCTTTCTTGGGACAATCAAAAATATCAGGAAGAATGGACACATCTTGGTTCAAAGAACGACAATGATGGTGTCTTCCATTCCGAACTCGACGTTGAATCTTCTCATTTGTGTCAGCGGGGAACTGGTAATGGCCCTTGTGGTTATGGCTATATCTCCTCCGCTCCGATCTTAATCACCGATGGAGAAATACTCACGTCTGATCCTCCTGAAACGAATCTTGCCATGGCAAGTCCCCTGCTTCTTGGTATGGGGACCTCATTAGCTGGCATGGAGGAAGAAAGCTACAGCCAGGGTAATCTGGACGATGACATGCTTTGTGACGACATATAGAACTTACATTGTTGTACACCATGAGATTCTGGTGTTTCTTATCTGTAGAAGGAGGACCTGTTAATTTCCTTTCCTAGTTAGTTTTACTGTTTTTAGCATGGCATCCCCCGTATGGTGTACTGTATGCCACCGCCTTGTCGGTGTCCAAGGCCCATAGGGTTTATATCCGTCTGGTCAACAAGGAAGGTAAAATTGAGAAATGGTGATCCTCTTGATTTGGTGAGCGTCCGGTCAGCTGATGCTGAAAGTGATCTTGCTCCCTTACCAAGATCCTGGGATAGTGATATATGAAATAGATTGAGGGAGCCTGTCTGATTCATCTGCTTTCCTAGAAGCAGTGGCACTGCTGTTGAAAAGTAAGATTCTATACGCTCCTTGGATCAGCACCTCTGCCGGCTACCCCACATGGAAACACAGCCAACAACCGCAGTTTGATAGAACGACGCGAAATGGCAATGAAATAGGATGGAAAGGTGCTTCTACGTACCGCAGGGACCGTTTCGTGATGCTGGACCGGTGGAAAAAGAAGCAGAAGGCGGCAGCGAGGCTACGAACAGGGCAAAATAGCTGTTGGAGCAGCATCACTACTGAGAGTATCACTGCGAGCTCCATTCACTGCTGTTGACTACGCTACCGCTGGATATCAACACAACAACGCGCAGGTTCCTACAAGACGATTTTTCCAGCCAACATAACTTTTCAGCCCTACGCATTACATGGGACCTCAATACATCAATCGAACGCCAGGGAGCAGCTCTACAAAAGGGAATATAATCTACATGATATACTACGCGCATATGTGGGCGCAGAGCAAAAGGTCACGAGGGCTTGCCCTACGAAGGGGGAGCCATGTTAGGTCACAGATCCAAATTGTATATTTCATTCACCGATGGGTTGTCAGTTTTCGAGGGGAGATCAACCTGCCTAAAAAAGGTAAAGTGGGCTCACAACCCCATTTCCACGAGTTTAAAATGGCATGATGCAGTGATAGCAAAACCGAGAAACGGAACAACTGGACTAGGGATATCATGATTGATAAATCAAGCAGAGCAGTTACAAGTTAGACATTCTTCCTGCAGGGAATTTGGCTCCGGACGGTCGCGCAAGTCTTGAACCAAATCCTTAGATGTTATGACACAACCCCGCTGGGCTAGATAGGCTACTGATGACTTCCATTTTATGGACCATCTTTCAGTCAAGGACTATGCACGGTCTACTACAGCCATCTGGAAGTTGCTAGCCGCAAATGGATTAGTCTATTTCAGGTGTCTTCTTGTTGCGTTTAGAGATACTATAATTAGCCCGAAGTACATTCTATCTTATGCCACGTGAATAATCTATCAACCCACCACCATGAGATCCTCCTAGAAGATCACAGTCGATTATTGCTGTTCGGCTAAACAGATGGCTCCTAATTTAGCTCCATCGACTCCGGAGTTCATCCGTGACATGATCCTAAGCAAGGAACTTAAGCCATCTCAGATTGCCAACGCCGCTGACTGCCAGGGGAACGGTGAGGTCCCATTATACTTATGTTAGCAATTAACATATTTTAGCGGCTCTATCCGCTCCGAAATAAAATGCACGAATTACCTGCCACGCTCACCGGGACCTCGATATTTGGAGCAGAAAATTGGCTATTCCATATGTGGCAGACGCACTCTTATGTGACGCGACCTAAATACTCGCGTTGTCCTACTCGCAACGCTTGATACTGGCTTAGTAAGGGTATTTGCGGCGAGGGAAGGAATGAGAGAATAACAGGGAGTATGGAGGCATTTTGTAAGGCCACCTCAAAAGATCCATCACTATAGGTAGGGAGCTGAATCTGGCGACGATGGAAACTATTCTGGACCAGCGGTTTGAGAGTAAATTAGAAGGTTATGGTGAGCAAGGTGAGCTGGAAGGTGACGAGGGTGATTCTACACCCGCCAAGGCCTACGTGTATCTGCCAGAACGTGTGGAAATGATGCCGGAAACGGCCTCACTAGCTGTCATTTTTGGCGTCGATTCCACGGGTACTCACACTCTACCTGTAATTACCAAGTACATTATTTTACCCGAGAATAGAGAATATTTAGACTTGATCAGGAATCGGAAAACAAACACCGCTAGAAAAAGGTGAGCTGTAAACTCCATTCTAGATTTTAACCTTCTATGGAGCTGTATCCGGTTAAAAGCATCAAGCCGCCCCGTATAAAGAAAAAGTCATTTAGAACCTGACCCCGAGGACTATTGTACTTGGGCAGAAAAGATAAAATAAACCCATAGAAACAAAGTTATGAGCTCGTTAAAAGTAACCATCGTAAAGCCCTTTGATCCACAGCCCGCATGAATATCAGGGTATGAGACTCCATGCGTTTGTACGCGTGAAGATACAATGGAAGCCCGAAAACCGTCTAGATGCAATCATCGTCATTTCTAAATCGTGAAGATGCTTCGTCAATGCGTGATAATAAAGTGTCTTAGATAACTTTGGGCATGCTGACTTCGCTCAGCGAAGAATGAACGTGGCGTTTATCGGAACTGGACTGCTCCCCGTTGGACATAGCCACAAGCTTGTGGTTAGTTGAGGGCTTCCAATTAGTTGCTCCTATAATTTCCGCCCGATGCTTCAGTTTCGTATGATCAAAAGACGTAATGAACTTTTCATCCAAAGGGCGCGCCTTAGGATCTGCATATATGTGATATTCGGAAAGGATATCATGCATTGGCCAACCTTGGACCTTTCGAAAACAGCCGATAATACATCCGGTGCGGTGCTAAGTAAAACCTGGTTAGTCGCTTAGTTCGTCCCTCCTGGTGGATGCCAAGGACCTACCCTTCCCTTGTTACAGTGAACGAGAACAGGGTGATTCTGGCGATCGAGTAATAATTCTAAAACGCGGATTATAGTAGTCTCTGGAGTTTTCACATTCGGGTCTTTGTTCGGTTCGATCAGAATTCTCCGATGATTGATTCCATTCTCCAAAAGGAAGCTAATATGTACATTAGAGTACTGTTCTTCAACAAGAGTGCTGCAGAGAGTTAGCAGCAATAGAGTAATGAGGGCCCGAGCAACTTACATTATCGTTTTGAGACCCAACTTCTTGAGGGCCGGAAGGTTCCTGGGGTTCGGATAGGAACTCCTGTAAATGCCATGTACTACTTCTCCAAAGTTGGCAGGAAGAGTCGGCTGTGCGGGCTCCTCAACAGGATTGCTCTTCAGGCTTGGTCTATCTGCAGCTTTATCAAAGACAGTCAGAACACGAAAAGTCGTATTTACTACGGTCATCAACTCCAACAAGTTGCTCGTTGAGAAAGGCACTCACCTGTGCGGATATTGAGGTCATTGCCGGGAAATTTGGTGACCAACGGAGACGATCCCATGGCTGTCACTGTTCGAACTCGCTTCCTATGAGGACAAAAAGATGATGGTACAGAACCCCTCGAAAGAAAAGCCCTGTTCAAATGCGGGCCGAAGAAACGGCAGGCCGCCCTCACAGATAGATTGCAAGGTTGAGCTGAGGTAAAGAACGAACGACGGCTTGGAACAGTAATCCACCGTCAAGAGCCGTCTCCTCAAGCTCTAAGGGGGAGAGCTGGGCACCCTCACTGCCAAGACAAGGGGTAAGAAGTATGTCGACTAGGACAGAGTCCTACTCGAAAAGTGGCGGAAACCGAATATAATACATTGTCAATGGAAAATTCAAATGAAAGAAGTGGGACGATTAGCAAAACCAGCGCAGAGGATCAGATCAAGCTTAAGTAAGAGTAAAATCAGCATCTCAGAAATGTTGTCCAAGACAAAGACAAAAAGAAGACATGGGCAAAAAAGAAATATCTGGGGACAATCAGGGCGGTGAGCTCATGATCAGGGCAGCTTCCGCCTAATGAACTGCAGTGGCTGCTGCTTTGCTTCACTGCTTCATGGCAGCTGCCTGAGGCCCTGCTCTGCTGTCTCACCAGAGTCATGGAAGGAGTATAATAATGGTCAAGCACAGACTGTTATCTTTCTCATGCAGAGGAACACTGCAGAGAAACCAAACAGTGATATCCTTTGACAAAGCAGCCAATACCAGACAATGCCCTTCAAAGACAAAGGGGCTGTAGAAGAGACTCCAGACTCAAGGAAGTGATCTTCAGATCTCTGGATACCATAAACGAAGGTAAACGCTCGTTCCTAACTCCTGGCTATCTATTGTTGTAATATCGAAATGATGACATTTTAGGTAAATTTCCTGAGCACATCATAGGCCTCCTTGCATCAGCAAAGATCACAATACTCTTTGAAGCGAGAACTCCAGGAGCACTGTCTGCCATGAAATAGGAAAGAGAGAGCCAAGCTACGGCGTCTCTTCCCCAAGCCCAAACATCCCAACCGAATTATTCCAGGCGCTGTGGGAGAATGGATTAGCCAGATTTCACAAAAAGAGTCGATGGGATATTCCTGTAACTAACGCTTCGCAAACCTCTTCAACGGAAATCCCCTTCACACGAGCAATTACATGGGCGACATGGGCTATGGCTGCGGGCTCATTTCTACCTTTCACCATACATCCTTTCTGCCATTTTTCCTTCTTGACAGCTTTTGGTAGAGCTGGGGCTCCTTCAAGATATTTAGATGACGCGTGGGATGGGCGAATTTCACACTGGATGGAACAATCAGTTAGGAAGCGGCAATCTGAATTATGAGGCTCAATGATCACGCATACCCAAGGACCATCTGTCTCAATCTGAAGTCGTTCCAAAGGAATTGCCTTGACAACTTCCAGATTTTCTTCTGTCTTCATGCTGCAGCCATTTACACCGATATCAAGACCAAGGGCGACCAATCGATTCATTTCATCCAGAGTTCCAGTAAAACTATGCACCAGGCCCTTCTTGGGAAGTTTAGGGAGTCTCGGAGCAAGTAGTCTTTCGAAATCCTCGCTGGCAGCCCGAGAATGGAGAAAAAGAGGGAGTTGTATTTCCACTGCAAGATCTAATTGAGCCTCGAAGTACTTGAGTTGCTGTTCTTTGGGGCTCAAGAATAACCGATCATAGTCCAATCCAATTTCACCAAAGGCTACCGCATTGCCGGATTGTTTTGCCTCAGTTGCAAGAGTCTTGAGCTCATCAAGGAGTTTCGAGGGACCGCCGGAGAACGCATCAAACTCCTTTGCCTGGCAAGGATGAACTCCAATTGTTGCATAACAGAAACCCGCTTCAGATGACATATATTAGAGGTTATCTTTTAGACCAGATAGGAGGAATCGACGTACGATATTTAGTAGCCAGCTGGACAGCATGGCGAGACTCTACTAGATCTGAACCGGTGACCATGAATTTCTGGCAACCCACATCACGAGCACGTTGGATAATATCATCTAGATCGTCGTCGTGGGCCTGCTTTCCATGATAATTGCCCCTGAAAACAGGGTCACCAAGATTTATTCCAATCTGAATTTCCCATGCATCAGTTACGTCGATCGTTAAGAGACGCAGCCGCCACAGATCTTGGTTAAACCCACATCAACATATCGCAATGGCGCTTTTGTGTCACTCATTTTGACTGCAGCTAGTGTATGTGAGAAATTTGAAGATGCTGGCTTGAAGGAGATAGGCCTCAAAGGTACATGCCGCGAGTGTACTATTAAGGTACTTCTGTTTCGGGATACTGTGGTTATTGTCAGTTTAAGGCTATCGATTGTTTCACATATACCTCATAGTATCAATTCTGCTCATGAATTGTCTAAGTATGCATGAGAAATCAATTCAAGCACATACCTGGACTGGATTGCCAAAGAGCAATTCTTCTGGCGCCTATGCTCTCAAGGACAGAGATATTACTATTCTGCAGGGTTCTAGACAGTTGACCTATAGTGGATGCTCCGGACATCAGACAGATATCCCCAGTTTCTTCTAGGAAACAACTGACAAAGTTTCCTTTGTATTAATTACTCCTCTTCCTTGGTGCAGATTATGCAACGAACATATCACCTTATCAGGGGGCGGTTCCAGTCACACAGTGGCGCAGGTATACCCAACAGTGGCTTATTCTATTCGGTGTAATATTTACCCGAAAAGAGGTAGAATTGCCGAATCCGGAGCATTACTACATGCCCCTGCAACTTCGGGGTATTTGAGGGCGAGCCATCCTGCGTCTGCGAATGGAGAATGCATATTTACTAATTTCCATGAAGGAGACCCGAAGGGACTTGGGGCCATGAAGGATCTGAATGGCGTTATACACCTGTACGACTACAGCCTGCGTACGGCGTAATATATGCATCGGCGACAATTCCTACTAGGACTAGCGCTGCCAGTATGCCATAAACTTCCCCTCACTGCCTGAATTTGAGTCCTGGCATCTTATCCTCATCCCAACGTTCAAGGTTCCTCTGCTCAGAATACGAAGATGACTGGACAGAACCTCCTCTCAATTCAGCAAATTTCACAGCATGGGTCACCAGAGGATTGCTGGATTGTTGTAAACGATCAAGTCTGGGATGTGACTGATTTCCTGGAGGAACATCCTGGCGGATCTGCAAGTAAGAAGAAGCTATTGGTGTCTTTGGGGCGCCATGGCATATTGCCAACTGCTTATTGAGGACATGGAAAACTGACTCCAAGCCAGTCATCTTAAAATATGCGGGGCGTGATGCCACAAAGGCCTATTCTAAAGTTCACACTCCGAGCCTTATCAAATCGAATTTATCCCCAGACAAGCTGAAGGGTATTCTCGACCAATCCACTATTGACAATGAATGGATCAAACCACCGCCAAAAGAGAGCGACAAAGTTGTTTTGGAGAACGAGAAACCACCGCTGCATACGCTGATAAACTCGCACGATTTCGAAGTCGTAGCTTCCAAGACTGCAAGTAAGAAGACCTGGGCCTTCTATTCCAGCGCTGCAACGGACCTCATCACCCGTGACGCCAATAAGTCATGCTTTGACCGGATATGGTTCCGACCCCGGGTACTGAGGAATGTGCGCACCGTCAACACGCGCACGAAGATCCTCGGGGTTGACAGCAGTCTCCCACTTTTCGTGAGTCCAGCAGCTATGGCTAAGCTCATTCACCCGGATGGTGAGTGTACCATAGCAAGGGCATGTGCAAATAAGGGTATCATCCAAGGTGTACGTTCATTGCGGATTCAAACACTTCCCGTTCCAAATGCAATATTCTTAACATCAATGTCGGCTAGGTGTCGAATAACTCATCATTCCCAATCGAAGAGCTCCAGGGGGCAGCACCGTCTGGAAATTTTATTTTCCAGTTATATGTGAATCGGGATCGAGAGAAATCTGCGGAACTGCTCCGCAGGTGCTCAGCTAACCCGAACATCAAGGCCATCTTCGTGACCGTTGACGCAGCCTGGCCCGGTAAACGTGAGGCGGACGAACGAGTCAAAGCGGATGAGAGCCTGACGGTCCCCATGTCCCCATCGACAACACGCAATGACAAAAAGGGAGGCGGGCTCGGGCGCGTTATGGCTGGGTTCATCGACCCGGGACTCACCTGGGAAGATCTGGCCTGGGTGCGGCAACATACCCATCTCCCCGTTTGTCTGAAGGGAATTATGTCCGCAGACGATGCCATTCTAGCCATGAAATCGGGCCTAGATGGCATCCTGCTCAGTAACCACGGAGGACGCAATCTGGACACCAGTCCGCCATCCATCATCACCCTCCTTGAACTGCAGAAGCGCTGTCCCGAGATCTTCGATAAGATGGAAATCCACGTGGATAGTGGGATCCGACGAGGGACTGACATATTGAAAGCCATTTGTCTGGGTGCGACTGCAGTAGGAATCGGCCGGGCCATGCTCTTTGCGACAAATTACGGACAGGAAGGAGCTGAACATCTGATAGATAGTGAGTTAGACGTGCCCTTCCCCCCCCCTCTATGTTTGGCCATGATGGACTCACGGTGTGAACTTGTGAATCAGTTCTACAAGACGAGCTAGAGACGGCAATGCGGAACACAGGGATCACCAGTCTCGATGAAGCCAGCCCAGATCTCGTCAACACAGGAGACATCGACCATCTGGTTCCGGGGTCTCCGTCACATCCATACGCTCGAGCCATTGCAAAAGGGCGGCGTTTGTCTAGACTTTAGGATGGCTGCTGGCTATATTGGTACTGTATATATAGAGACAGAGAGGGTTTATGAGGCTGGACGCAGTGCTTGCGACATCCTTCCTAATAGAGAAGGAAGGAACGTGCCCAGCTCTTTCATGCTATTGAGCAACTAGTACGCTATATTTGGGGGGGTGTCGGGTGACAGATCTAGCTTTACAAAGTAACTACATGCTACCGCGGTATTGAAACTTCAAAGATGCATGGGATACCTGATCGTGCAGCATTCTGAGGAATCCTAATCGAGGATGTTTCGAAAGCAAGAGACGGACCTCGGTCCGAGTGTTCCCACGTGACACCCCTGTAAGTACGGGGATGGTCGGTGCCGTCCTCCGTATTGCGTCCCTTGGAACTTGAAACTCCTTTGAGTTTCGTCTCTGGCGAGTCGGATCCACGATGTGATACGCTACGCGTCATGGCCTGATCAACGCGGGTGAGGTGATCCTGGGACGGAGATGCCTATAGGTCTATTGAACACAGTGAAGGCCCTGTTTAAAGTTATCACTGCTGATCCCCTTTGCCCTGGACGATTCACAGAGAGCAACCATGCAAGAGTCGACCAGTCTGTCCGCTGCATGTTTCGAGAGTCAAGCCACAATGGATGGGCTCCAAAGCCATTGGACGGCCGGGCTTCGATCGAGCCACCAGGATTTCCGAGGTACGACGTTTAGCGCTGTCGAATCTCGTCACGTCTCGCATTTTCCGGGGAGAGCTATGACTCCATTATCCCAGCACATCCGCCCAAGCTCCCGCGTACATGGAAGCCTATCTCTCTCGCCGGACTTACGGAACCATGTAACGGAACGACGTCTCCTCACTTCCAGAACGCAGTTCAGTTCGACGTCCAGAGTTCCGATTACGTAGTGGCGCACTGCGCGTTTTATCCTGAGTGGTCTGGGATACCTGGGGAAATCGTGCATTTTCTACAACCGACCATGCTGCAATTTCTCACCTGCAGGAGTTCCATGGCGATCTGCGTATTGCATGGGCCTTCTATCCGCATGACCTGCGTCGTGCTTGTAGTCCTATGTTGTACACCGAGCAACATATTCGGTCTATACCTTGGTACTTTTGACCACGTAGCATCAGAAGTCATTCTGGGGATTCGACTGGAGAAAAAAGCAAACGGGAAGGCGATCTTATTCAGGTGATGTTCACCGGTGGATAAGCTTCAATCCCAACAACACCCAAATTTGGGGCTGGACATCACGCCAAACCGAGCTCACCTCATCGTTGACTCAGAGTCAGTACTTTCTGCTATTTTTAAGCAAGTTAATTAACCACGGTACATTAATCTTACTGTAGTTTTGTCCGTAATTAATATACTTATATTTAACCTTGCTTCTTTCCCTCCTTGTTTTCTCCCGTGTCACTGTTCTCCGCCTTCACTCATTCCTACTTCAGCTCATTCTACCTCTCGACTAGTGCTGATCCTCTGCAACCACTACAACAGTATACCACAACCACTACATCCAACACAATGGCAGCTCCACGCTCTACCTCGTTACGTGCTCTTCGTATCCTCTCACAGCAGCACACCGCTGTTCCCAACATCCGCCGTGGCTTGCACATCACCGGTGCCAACTCGGCCCAACCCATCAACAGTAGTGCGGACAGGACCACTCTATTCTCTTCTCTCAGTCTCGCGGATCTGAAGCGGGAGTGTCGGAGGAGGTCACTCCACGCCGACGGGCCCAAACCTGAGGTATGCATTGTCTAGAGGTTATGATAACATACGGGGAGTTTTGTGAGCTGATGCTGACCTGTCGCACATAGCTCATTGAACGTCTAGCCAACCATGACATGCTCCAGTCTCGTGCTTTTAGCATTGCGATGAGAAGAATCAACGGGAATGCCTTTTCAGAGTAGGTTTCCGACTCTATTGCCTTGAAGATGATTCCCTGAGGCGACGAGACTAACAACACCCCTTCCGATTAGCCAACCATCCACCAGACGCCAGATCAACACCTCCCGTTCACAGAAGACGGTCAACGACTCATCAACGGTCGATCTCGTCTTCCTACCGTCCATGGCGGAGATCGAAGCTCCTACACCTCGGGCCGGTCCTCGCATTCCGGTCTTTCCCGACATCTACCGCAGCCATGCAGACTTGGACGTCGAGTACACTCCCTCCCCGATGAAGCCTCAGATATTCACCATCGCCGATAACGCGGCCAGTGCGATGAGCGAGGTCGTCGACAACCACTCCGTCGAGATCGACCCATTCACCCTTACAGAGGCGGTGGGCAGATCGCGCCAGGGCGAGGAGCTGAAGAAACAACAGGCGTTGCAGGAGAAAGGTCCTATTAAGGAATTCTGGGCTGGGTTCCTGGATGATCTTTTAGGACCTAAACAGGATTCTGTGAGGAAATAATTTACTATTCATTGTCATGTGTATCTTTCATTTGTCTGTTTTGTGTGTCCTCAGATTGAACCATGTCCCATTGCTTTTATGACATGAATTTTCTATGAATGAGCTTTCAACAGTGGACTCGGTGTATGCTGTATTGTTCATTTCACTATTCAAATGCAATGAACGCTGTACTCGACTATATGAAAGTAGCAAGTGATGTAATATCCATCTATGACTCCGTATCTCCACCTCATCTATCAATCAATCCACATTGGCCGCATTTATCTCGGCGTAGTGGACAGCATCTATCCGACAAACCTCGGAACACTACAATAATTAATATATTGCGGAGTACGGAGTAAATCAATTTGATTTGATTTGAATGCAGGTATATCCCGCATGAATCTCCGTATGTCCGATATCATATCATATATGCCTCCCGGAAATGTAGATCCCGATGGATTGCTTTCACTGTTCAGATGGAGATCACCGGGGAAGTCCTTCAGGATTGTGGTCCCCTGTCTCTTGAGTCTTGACTCGATATTATTATTTATTATTCTGCCGATGCACTCAAGCTATCCGCATGAATGAGAAGATTTGTCCGGAGTAAACTACCAAGAACTACTTACTTCCTCGAAGCACTATACTCTCCGAGAGATATCTAGGCTTTTCACGTCCGTATGCTAGATTTGTTTGCTATATGCTATAAATTCCGTACTACTTCTAATAATATCCTAGAATCTTAATACCTATCCCAAGGGGAGCTCTCAATATCATGGGATACAACAGTGTTTACCTAGGATAAGCCCTTGATAAATCAATTCCCAGACATTCTTTCATGGTGTATAGGAATGTTTGCATTGCTTCTATGTCTACATCCAGAAAGACTATTTGCCCTGGTAATGGAAAGTCGTTCTTTTCTTTATCCCGTGTACGCCATGCTAGGTTTGCTTGTTTATCATTCCCATCTTGTAGTACCCCACTGTTGCCATAGTGGTTACCACTCTGGTCATTCTCTGGAAGTTTGTTGGAGGTGCAGTCATCAATAAATGCATATATGAAGCCTTTTGTAGTAGGAACTAGAACCTAGTAGTGATAGACTCTATAGATCTCCTATGTTAGAATGTGGTATTGGATAATACAAGAGAATTCTTAGAAAGAGCTTCGTACTCGATCAGAGGGATATAGTTTTATCTTCATATATCCACAGGCAAATAGGCGAGTGTATATCGATCTGCAGGACAAAATGGAAAATGGCATGCATGGCAAACATGGCAAACATGCTTGCAGGCCTGACGATACCTGACCAGGAGATTTCCAAATAGCTCGCATCATTATTGAATCGAGCTATTTACATCTAGTTCCATCCAGCCACAGCCTGGACAATGGGCCCTTTTTGCTGTACCAACTAGAGACAGAAAGATCCCAACGTCGCGTATTCCAAGCCAGGAACCAAGGCCTGCGCTGCCTGTCACCTAGTCCTCGTATGTCTTTATATCATATGTTTTGAACTCTTCCGCAAGGACGGGATGGAGGTATAATGCTGACAATATACAAAGCACTGTAGTGAATAATGCCAATCGCACACTGGCCTATCCACAAGCTGGGCTGCAAAGACCCCCTTCGCCAATCTACATGGAAGCCGCGTGGGAGATAGAGGGACGCATTCTGACGTTCGTGGACACCGGTGATAGCCATCGCTCTGGGACGGTTGTTAAATACGGTGGGAGGAATAGACAGTGGGGGAATATGCTGGCGTTGGATCTGCTCCAGTTGAAGGTCAATGAAGGCGAGAACGCATCTCGGGATCTCTCTGTGCCTATGGCAGGTATGCTTTGAGCTAAGCTTCATATGTTATTGTCAGGCTAACCACATGAAGCCTCTGGAGGTTTAAGGAACTTCATAAAGACCATTGCCTGTCTCCCTGAGGGATACCGTGGACATCTTCATGTTGACATCAATGATATCGACGACACTGTCGTCGCGAGAAATCTCACAATGCTGCTTATTGCGTTCAATCTCACGCCTGAAATAGCCAGCATCATCATCCTGCATCTCTGGTACTCGGCTTTTCTGCCCGAGTTCATTATCGACGAAATCAAGAACAAGATCCTCCCGATAGTCCTAGAGTTCCTGAAGACAATTGTTAAGTACTCTGAACTGCGGCAGGCTAAATGGCATCATAACAATGCGACACTGAGTGCACAGTTCCATGTAAAGGTCTGAGATCGAGTCCTCTCCTATTGTCTTGGGACTTACAGTTTATCGACGATGCGGCCGTGCTGGGAAGACCTGCTACCATGGCCGACGATAGACGAGATTACAGAGAGAAGGCTATGTCCAGACTTCCCCTTGTGGCGTGTTTCGAAACTGTAGTTTCGTAGCGACGGAGTCTTGCTGCCATTCGGGGCATCTCGCGAAAGCTTCAACGTGCAAAACCCGTAAGTATCTCGATCTCTCCTCTTTCTCTGGCAGTTCATTAATGAAACCAAGCATTTCCTTCGAAGGTCAATCATGGCCAATGCCAGACTCGGCGGATCCTCTGGACGGATGGACGCTCAGCGGGGCCCTACTCTCTTAAGACTCCTACCGTGCTAAAGACGATCTATACGGCCAACTCTACCTTTATGTCAGACAGGTCTTGGTCAAAGGCTGTGAGAAGCTCTCTGCCGTGAAGTTGGATTTCAGTCTCTTCCAGATGAACGCGGCAAGCCTACCGGGTCATATCGAGGCACTGAGGGTGCAGAGGCAGTTTTACAATCGGACCGAGGCCAGAAATTCTTTTCCTTTACCCTTGCATAATATGGCAGATACTAGATATCCTAAATATATTCGTTTCAATAGCTTGCCAACTTTGCGGATGTGACATACGTGGGACCTTCACACACCCTTCTTATTTGGACCACTTCTCCGACTCAAGGCGCAGAACCCAAAGGCAACGCTGACGCACTTTCTCAATGCCACCGACGAGATGACGACGGTGGATGATCAAAGAGAAGCGTGGTGAAGATCGATCGAGAAGATACAGGGGTTCTTTCCAGTCCTTCTCCGCGGGAACATGTACAATAACGAACTCATGAATTTTTTCAGGGCCAGTGATCTGTTCGTCGACAGGAATTCGCTCTTCCGGAAGCACATGGACGCTACGAGGCCCAGAGAGCTTAGACGCTTCCTCGGATATATGAAGTGCAGAGACACGATTGTCACGGAATGGCCGATGAGGTTGCGAGAGAAGCCAACCCGGCGTGAATTTGAGATGCTCTACTGGTCTGGGCACCGGGGCTCCGGGAGGTATATTGAATGGAGCCGAGCGGGTGGATAATGGATCCTGATACTTTTTTTTATGCGGATCAGACGATAGGAGCTTTTCAGAGGATCACGGAGCGAACTTTGCAGCGAGTCCAGGCCTGAAGATCGTTGAGGGCAGCTAATCATACGAGAGATCTCCTATCCGCTGCAGTTTCAAGGCGTCCAGGCAGTCCCGCAAGGGGTTCTCGTCGTTTGCTCCATCTCTCGTCGTTTTTCTATCTTCTCTTTTTCTCTCTGCCATTTTTTTCGTAATAAATAATCGGACTCATCAATTGTTGTTCGTTCTCTCTCTTTTTTTCTTGGTTATTTTTTCTCGCAGAAACTAACGCCACACTCCTTTAAACACTCTCCTTCATAATTCCCGTCAGAAGTGATAAATCAGAAAAGCCAGAAAGAAACATCGTAAAGACCCAGTACTTAATCGACCGGATACGTCAGAGACAATCCGCATTTCCCCTCATTTCCCTTTCGTCAAATGCAGCCGTCGAGGTTCCGTTGCTAGAGTCGTCGTTAGGATGCGTCTCTCTCCATCTCTCCTTGCTGCAGCGTTCCTTGCCACGAATGTGAAGGCCTTCTATCCCTTCGAGTTCCAACTCGAACAGGAGAGCAGCGAGACCGATGTTGAAGATCTGGAGCGTCGATTCTTTCCGTGGAAACTGGAGGATGATGATGGCGGGACCACCACTGACAGTTCCACGACCCTGGAGCTCAAGAGAGTTCCTGGACCGGTGGGTAGTTCTGTTCTCTTTTTGTGTTCTTTGAATATGAAAAAAAGGCCAACCCCACGGATATCATTCTGATATTGCGTTTCCTGCAGTTCCGACGTGACAATAAATACAAGGTGATCATGGCGGATACACCCTCCACCCCTAATAGTGCGGCCCTCAACCAAGATGGTCAGGACTTCTCTTATTTCGCCGTGGCTGCTCTCGGGTCGAAGAAACAGACTATGTGGTTACTGCTCGACACCGGTGGACAGAACTCTTGGGTCTTTGGGTCCGATTGCACGTCCGACGCATGTCAGCAACATAACACCTTTGGTGCAGAAGACAGTCAGACCCTAAAGGTCTCGACTACCACATGGGATGTTGGATATGGCACCGGCGCTGTCAGCGGCGTGCTCGCAAGTGACACCATCTCCATCGCCGGGTTGAATGTGCAGAGCAGCTTCGGCCTGGCCTCGAATGCCTCGAAGGACTTCCTCTCGTACCCCATGGACGGAATTCTGGGATTAGCCCCATCCAGTAAAAGCAACTCAGCCGTACCAACGTTCATGGACGACGTGGCCAGCGACAAGGTCCTCAAGTCGAACATCGTCAGCTTCAGCCTCTCTCGCGCCTCAGACGGCGGAAAGGATGGCGAAGTCACCTTCGGCGGTGTCGACGACAGTAAATTCTCCGGGAAGATCTCATACACAAACACCCAAGGACGAAGCGGGCTATGGAGCATTCCCCTCGACGATGCCAGCGTTGACAGCAACGCATGCCATTTCTCCGGTCGATCCGCCATCATTGACACAGGCACGTCGTATATCCTGCTACCTCCGGACGACGCAAAGACGCTGCACGCGCTCATCCCCGGTTCCTCCCAGTCCAGCGGCAGCAGCTACTACGTCGTGCCCTGCGACTCAACCGCAATAGTCCAGTTGACCTTTTCCGGAGTGACATACTCTATCTCTCCAAAGGACTATATCGGCTCCCGCTCCGGCTCCAATTGTCTCTCCACGATCATTCCACAGAAAACCTTCGAAGACACTGATTGGCTCGTCGGTGACGTCTTCCTTAAGAACGTCTACACCGTGTTCGATTATGATGCGAATAGAATCGGTTTTGCTCCTCGTGAAAACTCGACTTCGAGCAGTAACCACACCACATCCACTTCGACATCGACATCCACGGCCACCGCATCTGCATCGGACACTTCTTCTGGAACTGGAACTGGAACCTCGGGTTCAAAGACAGCCGTATCAACCGCAGCGGACGCTACGGGAAGCGTAGAAGCGTCCTCGCAAAAGTCCCAGGGAAGTACCTTAGTGATGGTTCAGGCTCCGGGCTGGGTTGTAATTGCCGTGATGTCAATCTTGTTGATATTTTAGTTCTGACTGGCGCGTTTTTGTGTTGTTTGGATCATCCCCTGGATAATTTCCATCTGGAATCATTTGCGTAATGCTACGTTCGCTACTTCAGACGTCAGACTTTCAACATACATACATTTTCCACTCGTTCAGGATAGATAGATAGGTTTTAAAGGAGTCCATCAAATTTTACTTTCATCTATCAATGTGTTGTTTCCTTAGAGCTGCGTATCTCTTTTTTTTTTTTTTCTTTGTAAAAAAGCGTGTATAGAGCATCTTGTATCTTGCATTGTCAGATACGCTCTATGCATTAATATCCGACGGCGTATCCCAATAACTACAGCACCTCGTCAGCGAGGTAAGTGTAAGACTTTGGATAAGGCTCTGCATAGCATCAGCATCGGCAAATACCCTCGAAAGAACCAGGGGTAGGAGGGAAAACATACCAAGAATAGACCGATCAAACTCGTCAACCGTATTAAACCCCGCAACAGCCATAAGAATATCCAAATCTGCCAAAAGCGATTTCATAATATGCCTCACCCCCTCCTCCCCCCAAGCCGGATTTCCACGCGCAGTTCAGGAGGGAGGGTTAGCTTGCCGTCGTGCGGGTGGTAGATGCGGTTGATCCCGATCAGGGTGAAGCCGATCGAGGCTGAGACGTGGTGACCGAAGATGGTGTCAATCAGTTATCGAGGGATGATGCGGTGACAATAGAAGGCTTGTCGATTGGCGAGGTGCGTGGTGGATATGCCTGCGTTCGAGGACGCATAGTACCTGGTCCCGTTAGTTATACGGGGTATATAATATGTATGGGTTCACGGGGAATGGGGAACATACCATCCAGCTTCCCCCAGTCTCTCCCTCGCCCTCTCTTCCAGTTTCTTAGGGTCTGCGAGACTGCCTAGCTAGCTGCATATAGACTAGGAGTACACGATATACCCGTGTTGAAAGGCGGAACTTTTCCCTCGTTCAGTTTCCAAAAGTTCTCTCGCTGACACGATGCCCATTGTGACGTGCTTCGTAGGGGAATGCTGGGATTCGATAGGCCAGACATGTTTGTATCCTTTTGGTCTGGTCAATTATGTTTTTGCAACCATGTAGAGTACCGCCGAAATATCCGAATTCTTAGGGCTTCCAACGTGGTATGACTTCACCATGATGAAAGTCAATGAAACCTGGCAGGACTGATGTCATTCATCTTTATTTTTACTATGCAACTGGCATTGCCCTAGTGTACGTCAGTACATTAATTTTCGGTCCAGACAACTGCAAAACAACTCTATACATAGCTGGGGGGGGTGTGCCGCCACATGAAACTATCAACAAGAAACCAAAATGCAATGGACCAAAATGTCTCAAAATGTCTCCTCTCTCATCCAATGGCTGGAGATGCTTTGCCTGAAACAATAGAATGCACACCAACACCAACACCACTGTTGGTAGGAGGGCCACGACTCATGCACGAAAACACACCAGAAAAAGAAAAATGACAATCGTAGCTTCCAATCAGAAACTAAATCACAAATACCCGTGCAGAACTTTCGAAACTCCTGTTTTCCCAATATCAAAACCAAGCCAGGTGATATTTCCCCCTGGTAAATGAAGATATCATATCACATCACAGCGAAACTGCTCGCTGGGGTTTCTCCCTTTCTTTCGAGGGGGGGAGCGGTACTGCAGCTTGTACCTATACCCAATCCAATAGTTCATGAATTGCAAAGCATCAAAACCGCTGTCTTTGATTCCGTGAACCATAACTCCGTCCAAGCCCCAAAAAGAGAAGGGGGAAGATATACAACGCTTAAACAGTCAAATATTGCCAGATTAACCGGTTGTAAAGAAGGCAACAAACTAAATATAGCAACCATGCAGACTAGCTGAGCACCGCACTGATGCGGTTGGAAGTCAAGGTTCCCGTGGTCGATGGTCCCTCGCCGCTGCCGGTGGAGCTCAAGGACCCGCGACCCCGACGGGGCTCGTCCGTGTTTTCCGGGCGAGACTCTCTCGGATTCTCTTCCTTCATACAAGCATTCTCCAGGATGTTGGTCCACTTCCCGCTCGTGCCAGCGTGGCTATGTTTGAGATGCTGCCTGAAGTGGTCCGCACGGTAGAACTTCTTCGCACGGTTGCATTCTCCGAACTTGTGTACGGCGGTCAGATGCTCGAACCGGCGTTCCCAGTCTGGCTGAGGGAAGTTAGGAAACTCTTCGCCACAGTAGCCACAGGCGTCATGAGACGGTCCAGAATTGGTCTGGGCCGAGGGAGACGCGGATGGATGAAATGCTGCCTGATAGCTTGGAAGTGCGGCACAAGACCATGAATGGTGACGAAGATGGAGGGAGTTTTGATGGCGTTCAGCTTCGTTCTTATTTTTGAACCGGTTGTTGCAGAACTGGCACGTGTACTGCTTTTCCATCTCATGGGCTCTAAACAAAAAGAAAATAAACGGCAATTAGCACCTCTGCTTTCTGCTACGCCATCAAAGTTTCAAGTCATGTTCACACCACTTACCGGAGTTCTTCGGGTGAATCAAACTTCTTGGGCTTTTTGAGGCAGCAGTCACAAATGTAGAGTCCTCCAATCTTGGACCCGGCAGCTTTTGCAGCACGAAGAGCATTCTGCATGGGAATCTTCCTTGTTCCATTTGTGGGCTTCGATTCCAGAGGACCTGGAGGAGCCTGGGGACTTCTGGTTATTGAAAGACCTGCCAGAGCGCCAGGAGACCCGATATTTACCGGAGGTTTCTCTTGTAGAGAGTCCAGGTCATGTGTTGGGGAAAGACCGCCGGGAGAGGGACGATCATAGGATACGCTGGTCAAACTGGTGCCTGCAAGTGAAAGAGCCGTCGAGGAAAAGGATCCATGGGTTCGCAGACTCGATGACGAAGAGGCCGAAAGAGAATCGCGACTGGGTATGTAGGCCGCGGGCGGTAAGCCATTCATGAAGAGATGGGTGCTAGATTTTCGTCGACCAAGCTCGCCACTGCTGGTGTTGGTGTGAAGCATCAACCGGTCGTGAACAGCCGGATCACGAGGCGGGGAAGATGCCCTTCGCTTTATTCCTGGTCGGGGTGCATTTACATAAAGAGGCGGCGTGGGTTCTCGTAGACGGAGAGACAGACCGGAATACTCGTCGGTCGTCGTCGTGAAGTCACCCTCAATATCCGGGAACATGGTCTGGTCGTAGCTGCCTCTGTTGGATCGACTAGGCAAGCTGAAAGTGTCCTCATGCTGTGGAGTAATGCCGCCGGTTTGACGGCGGTACGGATCGCGCAGATCGTAATCCACGGCAGAAGAAGGTGCGCTGCTGTCGGCACCAGGGCTTGGACAGTCCAGATAGTCCCTCCAGCCAGTCTTGGTTCCGGGGGATAGTCTATCTGACTGGGGGCTGTTGAACCACCTCACGTCCAGCATACCCGGTGAACTGTCAATAGCTCCTGGCGACGGTAGGCCGTTTCGCAGGTGAACGGGGAGTGAAGAGGTGAACAGGGACCTATTGTCGCTTCCATGGCTGACAGATTGTCGAGGAGAGGGAGTCTTTCCGATTTTAGACAGAAGATGTTGGTCGTACGCGTGGGAGGAATCTTTTACGCTTCGTCGGGAACAATCCAAGTCATCTGCTGGGCGACTACAGTATGATATCGAATTCAGTCAGCGCTACCAGAACAGACGAGTAGTGTGTGTCCATGTCATGTTTCTCTTCACTCACAATGAACCGGAGAAGTTGGTTGAGACGGAGAGGAGTGGTGGCTCAATCTTGATACGAGCATCTGTATTCCCGGAGAAAGAAGGTCTGTTCGGCCTGGGTTCGGGTTCATCGATAACCATGGGGTCCGGTTGATCGACGGGTTCGGGGCGGTAGTGGCCCCCCACCAGGCTCGAGCTGGGGTTGATGGGCGGAAGCTTGGTGTTTGCCAGGCGGGCGTTGGAATTTGCATGAAACCAGCCGGTGTCATGGCCATTCTCCAGATCGGTGATACGAGTGGGAGGTGGTAGGGGCGGAGGCGCGGAGCCGGGTATTTGCTTGGAAGGGACAGCCATGGGACTTCTCGAAGGAAATGGAGGGCCGGAGGTAGCAAGGGGAGAGGTATAGGAAGGACGATGGCCGTAGCCACTGCTGAAATCATGGATGCTGACCGACGGCGTAGAGAGTCGGGGCAACTCCATTCTGGAAGCGAAACGAACAAGACAGACCGATCGACATGAAAAAGGGGAGTTTTGGAAAGGACCGGATTCGGTGGAGCCGAGTTTTGACGAAAATAAAGAAAGAGAAAAGGGGGAGAAAGAAAAAAAAAAAAGAATTATTAGGTGATTCTGACTGAGAGTCAGGAACTACTGCTCAGCAGCGGTTGGGTGGATATGTAGCCAAGAGAGACACGCAACCCCGCCTTTGGGAGAATAGCGGGAAGGGAAGGGGGAAAAGAGGCTGTAGAGGCAACCCAGCGAGGTCCAATGGACGAGGTGGGATTCTCCTGGATGGGCAGAGAGAGGCGAGAGTCAGCCAGGAAGGAATGGGGACATGGATGGGGGTGCAAGGCGGATTGGACGAAGGCAAAACAATAGGGCTGAACTCACCTAACGATTCGCTAGATCATGAGAGGCAAATTAAGCAGAGTGAGGCGCTTAAAACGGTCAATTGTGTAAGGTAGAGAGTCGAGGAGGTCAGATCAGCGGCGGCGCGAGCTGCGTGGTGGGGAAGAAGGGAAGGGGAGCGAGCGAGAGGCGGGACCAGCTGGGAGCGGAGGCTGAGGCGACACGGATTGTAGCTTAGAAGGCGGACGGGATGGGACGGGGCAATGAGATGATATTACAAGCAGCAGGGAAGGGAGAGGGAAGAAAAGGAAGGATGATGGTCGGAGGAAGATGAAGAAGGCAAAGCAAAAGCAGCAGACAGGAAGGGAATTCTGCCGAGCAACAGGACGTAATTGGCTCCCTACAAGGCTGACCTCTTATTATTAACCGACCCCTACGGTAACCTTCGGGGTCGCGCGTATTGCGCGACCCTGACAACCACCCGAGCACCCCAGCCACCCGAGCACCGATTTTAGAACTTCGTAGAATTCCAACCCATCAACTTTATCATATAATTCAACCACCACCACCATGCCCAAATTCAATAAAAATTATGAAGATCGAATGCTCAAAGCTATTGACGCGTTAAGCACACAAAATCCCCCAAATATCGCCAAAACTGCACGTGAATATGGAGTTAAACGGCAAACCCTCTCCGCAAGGTGGAAGGGACGGTCCAATCTATGTGAACGACCACCAACCAACACCAGATTATCAGAAGAGCAAGAAAAGGCTCTGTGTCACTATGTTGATACTCTAGAGCAATTAAATATAAAGCCACTTGCACAAATGATCCAATCAAGTGCCAATTCTATTCTGAGATCAACCCATACCAGCCTAGACACCCCTCCACCTACTGTCAGCGAGAAATGGTTAAACTGATGGCTAGGAAGGCATCCTGAATATAAAAGACGTCGCTCTAGAGCTATAGAGCTTGACCACAAGCGTGCAGAGGATCATGAGGTTATTCAGGAGTGGTTTCAGAAGCTCCATCAGACCATCCAGAACCATGGGATATTAAAGGAGGATATCTACAATTTTGATGAGACTGGCTTCAATATCAGTGTTGGTTGTGATCAATGGATTATTACCAGGGACTTCAATATTAATAAGCCTCATATTGGGATGAATTCAAACTGTGAATATGTTACTGTGGTTGAAGCAGTCAATGCAGATGGCTGGACCTGCCCACCACTTATTCTCATGAGTGGTAGCTGTATACTTACAAATTGGTTTGAAGCTGCTGATATTCAACAAGACTATTCAATTGGAGTATCAGAAAATGGCTATATGACTGATACAATTGCCTTCCAATGGATTCAGTCATTCTATCGGCATACTAAAAGATATAGGAAGGGTCAATATACCCTTCTTATATGTGATGGATACGGCTCCCATCTAACACATGAATTTGTTGAATTCTGTGAGAAGACCAATATCATCACCTTCTTCTTACCTCCATATACAAGTCATTTCTTGCAGCCATTGGATGTTGGTGTTTTTCATGCATATAAGCACTGGCATTCAGAAGCAGTTGCAGATGCAACCTACTCAGAATACAGTAAATTTACTAAGGTTGAATTCCTTCATGCCTTAGGGGCAATTCGCAAGAAGACATTCAAAAAGCGTACTATTCGGCATGGATTCCAAAAGACTGGCATCATACCATTCAATCCATCAATTGTACTCAATCAAATGCCTCAACCACATCATCCATCCTCTTCATCCACCAATACCAATGATGTTGATTCCTGGGGCAGTACGCCAAAAAAAAGCTGAATGATTTAGGGAGATTGGTGATAGGATATGGGAGATTCATGATATCAACAAGGATCAATTTAATGAGGGCCTAGAGCTGCTTATTCATGGTGGTAGTATGCTAGCATCATATTCAGCTGCTATCGAAGCTGAGCTTGACCGGTATATTAAAGCTGCTAGGGACCGCGCAGCTTGATCACAGGCCTCTAGGCGCAGGATTCGCAAGGGAGGCATAGTATCAAGCTCAGAGCTTGAAGCTATAAATCGAAATACTGCGAATATTAATGAGCAGGCTGAAATAAAGAGGTGGAGGACTAAGTATAAGCGTTGCCTACCAGAGCTGCTGGATGTATGCATTCGACGAGGAATTATTATACGAAGGCAACGACATGCTAGGGCCCAAGCTGAAGAGTAGAGCTTTAGTTTAAATATATTTTGAAGTTAAATACTATAGAATTCGTTGAGATATTGAAGCTAGAAGGGGGGGGTCTAAAATTGGTGCTCGGGTGGCTGGGGTGCTCGGGTGGTTGTCAGGGTCGCGCAATACGCGCGACCCCGAAGGTTACCGTAGGGGTCGGTTATTATTATTATTATCAGTGTTATTATTACTGTTACCCTGTCCTCTACAATTATTAATGATTACTGCCAGTGTGTGTCTTTCTGATATTCCTCGCGGCATCAAAGCAGGGGCCATCTCTTGCATCTTGCGCAGAGCCAAACTGCTGCCGGCCACTGACAGCTCGCCGGTGGATGCTCTGTACATGCACTGCCACACTCGCAAATGGAGAGCATCGTGCATTATTATTCCCAGATGAGCGCCAGTGCACTGTGTTGGATTATGCCGCTGTAAGTGTACACTGTACGCGGTATATACTACAGAGTAGCAACTTACGAGAGCAAGAGAGAAAAAGCTGCTCTAAGACATCAACTTACCTAGGTAGATGTAACCAACTTGATCTCCGAACCCTGCATGTATCGTTGTGTCCACCGGTGACGCGTCCAGATTTCTTCCTACTTACAGGGGAAGTCTGAACCTTAATGGATCCATAATCCCGTCTCTCGTTCAGGCCAGCCTTAAGCCTTATTATTTATATAAATAATTTTACTTGACTCGAGGATCCGTCGGGAACCGCACCAAAGCCCTACTCTGGTAATCCAACGGTGAGAGCGTCTCCGAGAGGCGAGATGCAACCATGCAACGCTATTTCAATACAACAATGGAAGAGCAATAAATTAATCGTAATACATAGTTGTACGGAGTACGGAGTAGAAGAATAGTTAATAATCCAGAGTAGTAATTCTAATTAGCCGTGACCTCCATGCCCTAGCCCTAACCCTACATGGCAGCCCTAGTCTTCCCCCGCATCCCCAAGGCTTGCAATCATCGAACCTGCTGAGAGCATCGTCAATCCGGTTCGCCATGGCCATGAATCGCATCCCGGGTGAAAATATCTACATTGGAGGGTTGGTTTTGTCTCTCGTCCGGCGTTAGTCATTGATCGTATTTTTTTTTTTCAAAAGCGTAGAGCTTCCCTGGCTGACATTCTCATCCGCCCTTGCTAGCATCTTCTCCGTCAAGAATAAGGCCGCCTTAGCTCGGGCAAACATCACGCATATCCTTTCCGTCTTACGACTGCACCAGGCTGATGAGATCTTCGCGCCGTTTCAACATCATCAGATCGCCGTTGACGATGTCGATGATGAGAATCTCCTCGAACACTTCCCCGCGGCCATAAGATTCATCCAGTCCGGCCTGGATTCTGGTGGCAGTGTATTGGTTCATTGGTGAGGAACTCGAAATAATCGTCTTACCACTTCCTTCTCTCGTGGCCCTTTTCAATCTAACTGGTTATTCCAGTGCAATGGGCAAGTCCCGTTCCGCAACCATCTGCATCGCATACTTGCTTCACCAACAGCCCTCGTCACTAACGCCCGCATCTGCACTGGCCATTCTTCGAGAATCCCGACCATTATGCGAGCCCAATGAAGGTTTCATGGAACAGCTATCTCTCTACCACCAGATGGGCTGTCCAGATGACGTGATCAACCATCCCATTTACAGCCGTTGGCTGTACCGTCGTGAGGTGGAGGAGAGCGTTGCATGTGGACGCGGACCTGAACTGAACTCTGTATTATTTGAAGATGACCAGTCGCGTCGGACGGCGCAAACAGAAGATGGACCGATCGAGATCAAATGTCGAAAATGCCGGTCAGTGCATGAACTAAACCTTCTTGCCGATATTACTCTCATCAAAACTCAAACGGCTAACTCCTTTTTTATTTTACAGACGCAAGCTCGCCACAACCCCGTTCATAATTCCCCATGAACCACATCATTCTCGCCTTCAGAATCCAAGCCTGAACTCCACCAATACGGAATGTGCGCACATCTTCCTACACCCACTGACATGGATGCGACCATCACTCTTCCCATCGGGGACCACTGCTGAATCTGAACCATCTTCGGGGTCTGGGCTTGACAACTACTCGTCTACAGAGATAGCCCCGTTATCCGGACGTCTAATCTGTCCCAACCCCGCGTGCGGATCCAACATTGGCAAATTCGCCTGGGCAGGCATGCAATGCAGCTGTGGCAAGTGGGTGGTCCCCGCGATGGGCGTGGCTAAAGCCCGAATCGACATTGTCGATCGCTCGAAGACAGGCGCCGGCGGGCCTAGTAGGAATAGACTACCACCCGCGGTGATGGGGATTCGCCTACCACCTAGCATGCGAGGGCTGGATATGGATGCGGGGGGGCGAGGAGGAAATCTTTAATTTCGTTTATTATTTACTATTTCTTATTATTATGATCGCTTAGGCAGTTTTACGAGATATCCATGGAATACATATGCATGTGCCATGCAATGCACGGGGGAGTTAGATAACTAATTTCCTGGTTCTGGAATCTGTACGAGCTTCCAGAATCACGGCCCGGTCTGTTCTATCCCGTCCCCATTCTAACGCTTCTGGAAACAACGGAGGAATATTCCCGATTTAGACTAGCGCAGAATAAACCGTGGAAGCCTGAAGGTTAAATAATTAGTATGACTACAGGAGATTATTCTCGGTACTTCCTACCTAGATAAGTACCCGGCCGAGATTCGCACGATTACCGGGTGTATGGATTGTATCATACAGTACTATTGAACAGATACGATGCTTTACCCATCTGGGAAGGAAGTAAAAAGGGAGATACAGTGGCTGGCGAGAACGAGAGAACCTTATCCACAGCACAGCAGAAAATAAAATATTAATGTAAATGGGGTCGGTGATCCACGGAATATGGACCCGTCGCTTAACTTAACCGACTTGATTATAGCTACTAATTAATTTAATACGGAGTACTGTAGTGCCAAGCCGAAAGAAGGCATTTCCAAGTACAGTAGGTAAGATATTGAATACGGTCAATCATAGTGGAGACAATTTATTCGTCTCCAGTCTAATATCTATCTTACAGAGGCTACTTCCGCTTCTGCTCTGGTACGCGCATTCTTGACGTAAAAAGCCAATTGAGACCATACACTTGATTGACGAAATCATCTGAAATCATCTCCCCTGAGGATCCCGTATGCTCGTCAGATCGACACGGCCGGGTGATCTTACATCAGAGCTGCCCCAGACTATTGTAACTTGTAAGGATTCCTTGGATCCTGATGTGACGTCCAGTTGGAACTCCGCACGACGATAATCTCTCAACCCGTTCAAAGCAGACCGACAAGGTGATGGTAGTATCTCGCTCGTGGCAAAAACATCAACTACAACATCGCTAGTTTCAGCACAGCCACTAGACATTGTTCCAAATCTATGGGTTCATCATGTCTATCCAGCATCCGCGCTCACCCAGAGTGCTGCTCAATTGGCCCGTCACGTTCCAAGCAATCCCGTTCAAAACATGCTAGGATTCTTCAGATGTGATACTACAGTGCTACACCGGGGATTCAGTTCCAGGTCCCACAACAGATCATCAACAACTCGAGAACCGATAAGAGAACCCTCCAAGACCATCGTCTAGAATGCCTAGAGAATTGAATATGCGAATGCGGTGAGAGCGTCTCAACTCCTCGAGATGCACCAGGCCAATCCAGGCAATTTCATCAGCACATGGACAAAACAAGAAAAAAAGAAAAAAGACTCCATCGAATTGCTGACATGGCTCAGTGAGTAGTCATAGACGGCCCATCTGCTAGGGCTGATTGAGGTCGGGGGCAATGTAATTAGCCGGTTGGCCTGTTCACTCCACTGCAGCAGACACCCAAGGTCAGCAGATACTGACGTCTTGCATCGGCACAGGCATATCTTGGTGATTTTAGTGCTTATTTCTTTCAGTGTGGCCGCATGCTGATGTGAACCACTCACCCCGCCTCTTGCATCAGAAAGACACCTAGCCATGATACATAATCATCAGATAGTGGTGATACTTGCTAACTGACAAGCCTTCTTCCCCGCTGCGTAGGGTTCTGGGCTGTAGAGACTACCCAAAGTTTCTGCACGATCTGTCATCCGTCTTACCTCCGAGTCCAGAACCGAATCCAACCGGTGAGATTCCTCCAAGGCCCAGCGCTGTAGTTGGGCGTGCATAACTGTCGAGGCTAAGGTAAGCTGCCTATGCAACGCTCTGGCATGAACCTCAGCCCCAGCCTTCTCGGTCTGCTGTACCTGGACCCCACAAAAGCGGCTGGCCGTCAGATAGATACTAGTGGCCATAGACGTCATAGCAGTCCATCAAGCACTTCAAATTCTCCTTCACCAAAGGAATATATGAACGCATCAAGGGTAACTCGCGTAGAACAGTATCGTCTAGGCCCGCTACAGATACAGGGCGCACTGCAACTGCTGCAGTTCCTCAAGGCGTCCAGAAGGTCACCTGGTGCCCTCATATTGCAGATGAAACGATCCGATGTTGTCCCTTCGTGCATGGGTGACGGAAATAAGCCGCTTTGTGTCACGGAAACGAGTATGCATGAGCACGTCGTAGCATGCAAAGACAAAAAATAATAATAAATAAATAAAAAGGAGAAAGAGAGAGAGAGGTGAAGATCAAAAGAATGGAATATATTATTCCAAAGTTCCCTAAGGCGAGAATATATAGGTGACACGACGTAAGATCTGGCCAAAATGCTCAACTCAAGGAGTTTTATTTGGCACTGATGGAAAGAATGAAGGATCCTTTAGACGTTCACGATTTCTCCGAGCAATTTCAATGTTACGCAGTCGATCGACACGCATCTGGTAGAAGATCCTGCCATCTGCAGTCAGCATGGCATCTAACAGCATAACTGTTCATACAGCCATGTCAAGTCTGCACTGCAACGAAGAAAAATCATACTTATGCAAAGCAAAAATACGAGGCGAGTCATCTGCCTTCGATTGTGCCCCGGCCATCTCAATACCTTGGATCTTAAGTACTATTCGTCAGCACCCTAGATCCCAGCAGATAATCGTCTGACAAGAAGTGACGTTGGGAGAAAATCAATCATACCTTACTGTCTCTCTCCTTGGCATCGTCAGAAGTACTAATTTCGCTCTCATCTTTACCCTTCTCCTGAGAATCGGTATCATTGTCTGATGATTTCTTATCCTTCTTATTTTCCTGTTCCTTCTCCTTCTTTTTCCGTTGCTTTTCCTCGTACTCTTTCTTAACCTTCTCAATCTCTTGTGCCATTGCCTCTTCCTTTTTCTTCGCAGCCTCCTTTTCTGCATCGATTATGGGTGAGCAGAAATTATGATCCTTTAGATGAACCTGACAGACATAAAAGAAATCCTTTTGGCGAAGTTAGGGTCAGTTATTCTAGGTGGGATTCATCGTTCCCAGTTCCTCCTCAAGCACGAACGATCTTTATTTTTCTTTTATATATATTATCCCTGTCCCCTCTCTTCACCAGAACTCTTTCTATTTGACCGAACTCACCTTGTTGTCGGGAGTTATCAAAACACTGGTCGACGGTTTGCAACAGATAAGGCATGCTTTCGCACCGGTCTCCGCTACTCGGCGCAGATACCAGACGTTTGGAAGGGACATTGTTATAGTAATGAAGCTACTTCTTGTAGCTAGTATACTCTGAACTTTTGCTGGACTTGTAGCTGATGATTGGCGTCTGTGGAAGAGCTGGAAGTGAGACAATTGTGTCGTGGATGGAAGATGGAGACGACGTCGGTAGTTGTCATGTGATCCTATACAGCTTGCATGCATTTCCATATGAAGTGGCAGAGGATACGGAGTAGATATTTCTTAAATATAGATGCACATAGATGTGACTGTCTGTTACATTCATGAAATTAAACTATAACGACCTTGAAGCGCTGTATCTACACATAATCAATGCTGAATGCGGATATGATATGTTTCGTAATTGGAAAACTGCAAAGGAAGTCTATCTGAAGTCTATTGTGGCATTATACAAATAACAGAATATATGATCTCTGCAGGACACATTAAAACACTCAGGAACCTATCCTGACTTCCCCGGCCTGTACAAAAAAGGCCAATAACAGAACGTTCAATGTAAATATTGGAATAATCCGAAATCTCAACGTCCGAGTTTACTCAGTAACACTCTCCCGGATAGTCCTCAGAGCAATGGGACGCTTTATTCCAGTAGCGACTGCGGCAGTTTGCGCGCGTCTCTTGGCATCTGTCCAGAGGATGAATTCGGTGTATGTCTTTGGAAGGACCTGGATATCCTTCTCGACCAAGAAGGTATAATTGAACATGCCCGTCGACCTACGAGTACCGTGTTCTACGTCCCGGACCTTGGAGTCAACACGGACCTGAACCTTGGTGTACTTCTTATCTGAACCGTCGTGTTCCTGTGGCTCCGTGTAGGAGACCGTGGCCCGCAGGTACAGTACACTGCCCACAGGGACGGGATTCTCAAAGGTGCTGGGATCCAAGGAAATGAAATTGGGGCGTGCATGGGCAAACGAAGCGGCACAGCAGAATGCAAGCTCGAAGGTCTGCTTGAGGAGGAAGCCGCCGAAGATCATGAAGTTGTGTCGGTTGCGATACTGCGGCTGCATGATCATCGCAGATTTGAGCACCGTATCGCTCATATATACCGCGTTCGAAGGTCTCACAATCGGTGAATCGGGATCTGTCAAGAATTATAAGCATGCATGCACGCTTTGGTGATCACCAGCTCGCGTGAGAATATGGACCATTTCCTGAGTCGTCACTCACTTTTATACGACATCTGTTTCATCCACATGGAATGGATAAGATTGCTCTCTTCAATATCAGGTGCCTGTTCGAGGAGATCTCTCTTCCGCAGGGCCTTCTTCGCCAAATAATTCTCCTCGCCCTTCTTGAAAAGACGCCGTTCCTCTTCAGTTTCCACCAGCAGCGGTGCAACAGAAACGGGTCTACAAAAAAAGATGTAAGTCAATAAACATAATGGATCTCGTATGGAAGGCAAACTGATTTCCATCGCTTACTTTTTCGTGACGGGATCGAGCGACACCATGGTAAAGGCGCAAGTGATCAACACATCCTCTGGCTTGGCCTTTTGTCCTTCGGGAGGAGCTTTGGCTACCTGGAGAGAAATCTCCATACTCGATCTGCCGGTGGCATAAGTGACTTGCCCGCTGAGCTCGAGATCACATATTTCCATCAGCGGATGTTCAATCGTGATCCGGTCCACGGCAGCGGTAACAGTTGCAACCGAGTCTCCAGTGAGTCTATAAGCAACGACTCCAGCAAGAGCATCGAGATCCATCAACAATGCACCCAATCTGTGTCCTATCTTTGTTAACGCACTAATTCAGACCCGGGAAAGACGCGCATGAGATAGTGAGTGATCTACATACCTAATATGTCCTGTTGCATTGAGGTAAGTGTCTAGCAACCATTTATCCTGAGCCAATGGCAAAATCTAATTGACAGAAGAAATTTAGTTATAACTGTCCTCCTGCACTTGTCATATTTCCCTTCACACTCACCTCGCTATAGTAAGTATCTGACATCTTCTTGGGGGTTAGATCCGGCTTGGCCCTTGCAGCAGACGGCTGTCCGGTCTTGGCCTCTTGCCTGCTTCGCTCCAGTGCGTCAATCCAGGGGATTTTGACACGCATTGGCATAAATCGCGGCCCGGCGACAGCTCTCTCTGGACCTGAATAGTCTCTCGCCAGAAGTAGTTGAGGCTGAAATCTGGTAGCGGCCGGTAGCGGACGTGCCAAGCATCGCGAACGCGCGAGTACGGACCTCTTACCCGGTCCAAGCATATTGTTTTTCTCTTTCCAAATATGAGGCCAGAAAGGAAGAAAAGAGATGTAGAGGAGAACGACGGCGACTGTGGACAGGTAAGCTTTGGGACTTACAAAGAACTAGCTTTTCTTGTACCGAAAGTTTTCCCGCTCCGGCTCGAGACGGAAGGGAGCTAGAACAGATAGACAAGACGGCAAGACAGGTTAGATCTATGATGCCCACACTACAAGATGAAATGCACCAGCTACAGAGTTCGGTGATGCCTGTTCTATCCAAATTGAAATCAAATGCCTGAAAGACCCTAACGCCCGAGTAATGCATTCGGCCAACTTGACCGTCGCGCGAGACACTTATGCGCCATTCGGGCACTAAATACACATGAATCGAATAAGATCCAAGCAATATTGGCACATCATCATCAATCATGATTCCTTTCTCTCCTCTATGCCAGCTGCCTTCCTTGCCAATCGTAAATCTTTCTCTCCAAGCCCGAAATCGCGAGCATGCTTGCTGAATGCAGCTACAAGGTCTGCAAGAGAGCTTTTCAGTACAGCCAGCACGAGATCCACTTCAGGCACTCGACGTGCCGCAGCTTGCGCTTGAGGGTCACTGGAAGGTGGGAATGTGACATCAGTCCAATGTATACCAAGACCCCCGTTTATGAATGGCTCCAGATCTGTGATTGTCTTTGTAAAAAGGCATACAACGGTGGGAACATCGGCGCAGACTTTGCCAAACATGTCTTCGGTTACGCTCGCAACAAGCAGGCGGGTTAGGGATTCAATCGCATCAACGAGGGGGCATAGTGAAGCATGCGGCCTACCCAGGACAATGCTACGCAGTCTCTGAGCATACGTCTGACGCAGTGGCTGGCCTACCGGAGAACGCAGGAATTGTACGATAAACGGGTGAATAGTTTCTGGGCCAGTTTTGGGAGTAGGGCCGGTTAGCAACCGAAATTCTCGTGAAGAAGCAAGGAGCTTCTGTTTTCTTTCAGGGCTCAGCACGGCGGACGAAGCCCGGCCGAAGGCATCGCGGACTCTGGCACGCGCAACCGGGGTCCAGTCGGAAGATTGACCGTATGACTTAGCAGTGGTACCGATGGTCTCCGCGAACTGAGCAGGGCGCGAAGTTGCCTTTGGAGAAGCAGCGAAGATATTATCTTTTTTCGGCGGGTCTGCTAACCGAGGCAGAGTGTGAATCTCTGGTTGAGGTTTTCGGATCGTTTGCGATGATGGTTTGGACTTGTCCTGTTTGCTTTCGCTGATTCTGGTAGAAATTCCTTGGATAAGTTCAACGGAGGCATCCCGAATCTGAGACCAGGCAGCACCCCCTTCGCGGTCGATGTCATTGAAAATGGCTTTCCGGCGGTCAGGAAACCGCTGGCTAATAAAGCACAGCTCCCAGAAGGCAAAGGAATTCACAACCTCCTTCTTCGCCTTCAACCCGTTCAATAAACTACCATTTGGATCCTTTGCCTCCGCCGTAAGCGGCTGTCCTCGCTTGAGGGGTTCCTGGCCGAGGAAAATGGTGAAGAGAGCATTGGTAATTTCCCAACAGAAAACCAGTAAGGTACCTGAAACAAAGGATTGTAGAAATGCACCAACACCAACACCCGGGAAAAACCCTGGAGGCTTTGCGGCGGATCTAGCGAAGTTCCAAAACAGTTTCGCAAAGTACAGAGTAAAGCTCCATGCTGGGCGCCTAAGGAAGAGGGTGTAAACGACGGGAAAACTCATTGTGATCATCGATGTTCTTTTAAACACTGTAAGCATTTCAGGCATGGTGTTCCGTAAACTCTGTATGACTGGCTCCAGTGGGTGAGTTCTCTGATCCTTCCCTTCAGGATCCCGTTTTGCGACAGGTATGGGAATGCGGTCGTAATCGTAATAGAGATGGATCACAGATTGTACGACCGCTAGTGTTATGTGATATGTATGGATGTAAATCGGACGCTCGTTCAAGGTGGCCCGTTCATAAGGCCTTAACAAGTTTAGCAAAATAATAATAATAATAATAATAATAAATAAATAAAATAACCATGAGAAATCAAAAGACTGAAGAGGCACAACCTACCGCGCAGATTTTATCCATTCATAGCCATCATATGGAGCAGACCAGACATATACCTCATTAAACCACCAAGCGGAGAATAAATACCATCCAAGTGTTTGGATAATCTGTAGAGGAAAGAGATGTCTGAAGGCACTAATGGGAGGGGTTGTGGTTCTCGAGCCGACATGCAATTGACCGACGCGCAAGACAAAAATGGCCAAACTGGTAATGAATAGGAGGACTGTACGTATACCGCATACTCCGAGCGGAAACCATGACCAGAAATCTAGTAGCATCAGCTTCTGTCCCACGGAACTCGATTCACAACGAGGATACGAGGACATAGAATTGTATTGTACTTACAAGAACTTTTGTCGCCAATAATAAAGGCTGCAACGTAACAGGCAAGAAAGGCAAGCGCAGAGGCATGAACGAATCTCCGGTGCAATGCAGATGTCAATATGCGCCTATACGGCCTCGGCCTCGCAACAGCCATGATGAAGGAAGCTGGGCAATGGACGGTATCTCAGGTTGAGACGGAATGAACTTCACAGCATGATCAGGAGCGTAAAGAGTCCTAACGCCGTGGCAATAGACGCCGGGGGTGATGAAATGTCGAGGGGGAGAGAGCAGTGTGCTTGATTTCTTCGAAGCTGCGACTGAAATTATTTATGAAAAGCAATCAAAACACTGCACTAGCCACATATAGTCAGCTGACTTAAACAACTTGTGGCACATTAACCGCCTAGGGCCAAAACAGACTAGCGCCTACGTCATGTGGACTCCCTACTTGGACTCCAGGCTGCAAAGCATATCGTAAACACCTCCAGCACCCCAGCTATACCAACTTCCCCTTACTGATTCATTCATTGAGCCCGTGTGTTTTGATTGCCTTTTTTAGAAATGTCGTTTAATCAGCTAAGCTCTTTGGAGGCTCAGCCAACCACTGCGCGACGCTCCGGCGGCCCTGAGTATCATGACGATCCCGAGTTTCATCGACTCACCGAGAGTCTCTCCAACGAGCTGTTCACATTGACTTCCAATATTTCACGTCTGTCAAATCAGATTGTGCTTCTAGGTACCAAGCGAGATACTGAGCGCGTTCGCGAGCGCGTGCATGACCTGCTTGATGAGACCAGGACTGGGTTTAAGGACGCTGGAGAAGACCTCAAGAAATTGCAATCTTGGGAGGATATCAATGTACGCCTTTCCCCCTCTTATTTTTAGGCGCAGCTTTTTATTGGACCTAGTTAGCTCTATGGAGCAGTAATGGGGCAGGACTAACGTGGTAACCCAGCATTCCCAAAAATGGACACAGCAGAAGCTGTCTAATGAATTCAAAACCACGCTGGAAGAGTTTCAGGCCGTTCAACGCACTGCGCTAGAGAAGCAGCGGGCAGCTGCTGTTGCAGCGCATACGGCGCTCGAAGAAGGTGGGCCGACAACGACCGAAGGAGTATCTGCGCAACAGCAACAACAGCAGCAACTCGAAGAACAGCAACGACTTGCCAATCAAGACGAAGTCAATTTCCAGGAATCTCTGATCATTGAGCGCGAGGCAGAAATTCGCAACATTGAACAAAGTGTTGGCGAATTGAACGAGCTTTTCCGAGATGTAGCGCATATTGTTCATGAACAGGGGGGCCAATTGGATATCATCAGTGAGAACGTCGATAGAGTTACGACCGATGTCCAGGGCGCCAGTAGGGAGCTGCGCAGTGCGAGTAATTATCAGAAGGGTGCCAGAAACAAGGCTTGCTGCTTGCTTCTGATCCTTGGTGTGATCCTCACTATCATCGTCTTGGCTGCCACTCTTGGATAGAATGTTGTTTTGTTTCCGCTATCTCTGGATTTTAATGCTTTATGTGCCTGCGCTGTATCATTTGTTTCTTTCTGCGTGATATCCTATGTTGCATGAATGAACTGCAATGATCCACTCTGCTTCAATTGATTTTCTGCTGCTGTTTTATGGTCCTTCGTGCTGGGACAACGTCATACATGGATTGGGTAAGTGTATTAATTCCGTCCAGGTCGTGAGATATAGATATGGTACATAGCACTTTAGTACATATAAGTTATGAGGATTAATAAATGACAAAGACGTATCCCTACTCCCTTTCGCCTCTAATATACAGACCAAAAATGAAGCAGGAATATCCTCAAACATAGCCGTCCTTATTGACTGAAGAATCGGCTTGCTCTCATCCTCCATCCCTCCCAAGTATTCAACTTGGGCCGTACGTCCAAATAAAAATTCAACTTCCCGGGGCCCGCATTCGCAGTCAAACCAGATGCACCGGTGTTCCCTCCCGATGATTTCCCTTGATAGAAATCAATGACATACTCAATTCTCTCTCCATCACATCGTTCGACAACCCAGTCATGCCTGTCGAATGGGTGCTGGTAGCCGAATAATCCATTGATTCTGGCGCGAGGACTTAAAAATTGCGGCTCGACCCCGAGACCTCTGAAGGCATATAGCTTGGGACCACCACATTTCTTGCTACCAGGATCCGACGCTGGTGCACGGCTTTCCCATTCCAGGATCTGTTGCCAAGCACGCTCATTGACGGCGTTGTGAATTGGAATGATAGATGCTACGGACGTTGCCAAGTCTTTGGCTGACGTTGTGGACGAGGGTAAATTCCCTTTACGCATCAGAGCTTCGAAGAATTGTCGTTCTGAGGGATATATCCAATTTCCCGTGGACTCATCATGACCCGTCTCAGACTCTGCATTTGAAGGAGTACCGTGGGAAGCGGCATAGGGGGAAGCATATTGTGCGGAAGCAGCTTGTTCGTTGGTATCATGACCCGGGTTGAATGCTCGCGGAATACTGCTTATTTCACGATTGGTAGAAAGCGGTCGTTGTAGTTTCTCTCGGGACTTTTCCCCCTCCGGTTCGGCAGAGCCATTGGAAGAAGGCAGCTGGTGAGGAGCGCCGCTAGAGGCTCTATGCTGCTGTAACCAGATCTCGCGAGTTTTATGGTCGACTGGGCATTTTGCTGCAGGAGCAGGCTCTGGAGGAGCGGACGGAGTGCTCGCGGCAGTACCCATTTCCACTGTGGTCCTGCCAGGAAATGGCTTCTGGAAAATGACAATTCCTGCAACGGAACACAATCAATTATTGCATTCTCGTCGCTGTTCTGGAGCAATTAATAATTATCGCCTGGAGAAGATGCGAATGTTCGGCGGAGACGCGGATCAATTCTGGCCTCACCGCCTTGCGACCTCACCGCCGCCAGCCGTCGCACAATTACCCAACTCGGTAATCAGTTGAGCGCTTCTTTGTCCCCTTTCTTTCTCCCCTCTTCGGCTTTCTTGCATTCTCTCCCAGTGCTCTTATAGAACATTTGCGAGGGTCTTCAATTGCAAAAAAAAAAAAATGGCAGATTCCGATTGCACGATTTATCGGGCCAGCACTACTGCCCCAGTTAACATTGCTGTCATCAAGTATGTACCCAACCCCGCCGTTTCCCCCCTCTTCTTTTTCGTCCTTATTGCTCAGATCAATCCCTGACACTTGTATCTATAATAGATATTGGGGAAAGCGAAATGCAACTCTTAACTTGCCTACGAACTCCTCGCTTTCAGTGACTCTCTCACAGCGCTCACTGCGCACACTCACCACCGCCTCCTGCTCTGCCACCTACCCCGCCGCAGATTCTCTCACACTCAATGGCAAGCCGCAGGACATCCAGTCCTCGAAAAGGACCATTGCATGTCTCAGCAACTTGCGTTCTCTTCGAAGAGCCCTCGAAGAAGCTGATCCATCCCTTCCAAAACTGTCCACGCTCCCCCTCCGCATCGTCTCCGAGAACAACTTCCCTACCGCAGCCGGTCTCGCCAGCTCAGCAGCCGGCTTCGCTGCTCTTGTGCGTGCAGTTGCGGACCTCTACAGACTACCCCAGTCTCCGCGGGATATCAGCCGAATTGCCCGCCAGGGCTCTGGCTCCGCCTGCCGTTCAGTGATGGGCGGCTACGTGGCCTGGCGCGCAGGAACCCTCGCGGATGGTTCTGACAGTCTAGCTGAGGAGGTTGCACCGGCCTCTCACTGGCCGGAGATGCGCGCCATGATTCTTGTCGTCAGTGCCGAGAAGAAGGACGTCCCCAGTACAGATGGCATGCAAACCACCGTCGCTACGTCAAGCCTGTTTGCTACACGTGCCGCGTCTGTCGTCCCCGAACGTATGGCCGCCATGGAAGCCGCTATTCGCAATAAGGACTTCCCTGCTTTCGCTGAAATTACCATGCGCGACTCAAATAGTTTCCATGCCACCTGTCTGGACTCGTGGCCTCCAATCTTCTACATGAACGATATCTCTCGCGCCGCTATCCGTCTGGTACACGATATTAACTGCGCTGTCGGCCGCACTGTGTGTGCGTATACATTCGACGCAGGCCCAAATGCTGTTATTTACTATCTTGAAAAGGACTCTGAGCTTGTCGCGGGAACTTTCAAGGCCATCTTGTCCTCTAGCGCAGATGGCTGGGACGGTCCGTTCGGCGAACCGTTGAAGAACATCACCTCTCCCGGTGTGAGTTTGGATAAACTGGATTCCAGAGCCGTCGACATCCTCAAGGAAGGCGTGAGTCGAGTCATCCTGACCGGGGTAGGGGAAGGGCCGGTCAGTGTCGATGAACATCTCGTCAGTGAAACGGGAGAAATTGTTACTGACAGGTCTTAATTGCTTTTTATGGAAAGCCTGGTACCGCCCATTGCTGCTTTTAATGCATGGAGAAATATCAAAAGTAGATATATGAAAGGACATAAGTCTGATATCGTAACTATAATGAAGCATAATACATCTGCCGACTCTAGTTCATACATTCACTCCCTTCATTAGATACTACCAAGTCAACTCGATAGAAACATGAAACATTGAGACTTAGAGACACGTGGTTGAAAATATCATGGATTCAAGTTCCTCGAACAATACATATACCGTTTTCAATTCTATTGCCGGGCATATCGACTACAGGACATGATATCTAAAGACACTTTTATATCATTAACAACCCAACAGAACTCAACCCAGCAACGCCGACTTCTTCATCTCTTTGACCACAGGCACCTCTCTCCCCCTCAGTGGATCAGCAACAGCAAGGATGCTGTTTAAATATACCGCATCACCTCCATGAACACGCGGCAGTTCCTCAGTCTGAGGCCTGAATAACTCCGTGGGGTGCTCCTCTGCACTTGTGCCTGCCGGAGTGGAACTCGAAAGGTCGAATACTTCCTCGCGACAATCAGCACACATGGTTAGCAATTCATGCAGAGCCTTCTGTATGGCCGCCGCGCGTTCCCGCATTCCCCGTCGTAAAAGGGCGTCGACTAACGACTCAACCTCGGAGATAGCGCTGTTGGCCCGTTCAATGAGCCGTCGCACGCTGTTCACCAGATACTCCTCCTCGTAGACAGTGCCCTTCTTGCCCCGTGCGCGTTTGCGTTCTTCTCGACGGCGCGTTTTGGACGTCATCCGGGAGCTTGTTGTCTTTCCCGTGTACCTGGTGAAAATGCTGCGGCCGGCGAGGGTAGAGGCCTCCGTCGGGGCGAGGGAGACATTATCGGGGATGTCAGCCCCAGCTTCACCGGAAGTAGGGTCGCCTCCGAAAAAGGCCAGGGGGTCTTCTGCTCGGCGGACACGAAGTTCGCGAATTCGGGGCACTTGGGAGTTGAGTTGGTTCTTGCAGTCGGCAAGGAGGTCGGTCATAGACCCCATTGCGTCTGCGAGACCTGCGTCGACAATTTCTGCAATCAGGCTCTGCTTGCCATTCAATGCAAGGAGGCGTGTAGCGTCTGCGAAGCGGGAGCCACGGCAAAGTAGTCGAGCGGCCGCTGGGATATCATGTATATGCTCGGCATAGATTCTAGCAGCAGATACGTAGTCATGGCTCTCTTCTATCAGAGCTGCGGCCAGGGCAGTGGCGTGAGCAGTCATGTCTGCTTCGGACAGAGGAACCATTAAGGCGCAGTACAGGGACTCGCTCCAGCAATGGGCCAATTGGTAGGATTTGTGAGCTTCCTTGTAAAGGGAAAGGGATTCATAAGCTGCAATCAAGCGTTAGACATATTATTTTTTCCACTGAAGGGCCATCGGATAAAGAGACATACCGACAGCCGCGTCTTTGTGTTTTGATTGATCGGAGAGGTAGTCGGCATATACATGTGTAATATCCTGCAACTGCTCCGGTTGATATTTGTAGAGCTGAAGTGCTTCTACATACAGAGCATGCTTAATGGCATATGCCCGAAGTTCGTCGTATGCTTTGAGCGAGTGTAAATGCTTTAACGCTTTTGCAAAGCGCCCAAGGTAATTATCGATTTCATAATACCGTCGAAGTTCTGGGAGCTGTTGTAATTTCCGCAGGAATGGGAGATATTCTCTCGGGTCCTAAACAATGTTAAGAGGCTGGCCGTGGCATTTTGGTCTCTAGACTTACTCTCTGAGCCTGCTGGGCGACTAAGAGGGTCAATTCCAGGTCATAGAGGCCTAGCGCCTCGTTATAAAGTTGGTTTGCATCTGTCAAGAAGCACATGTGTTCAACTGCATCTTCTGCTTGCTCCTTATTTTGCTCTGAAACTTGGTAAGCCATATGCCAAAAGGGCGCCACGAACGGCTACACGACTGACCTCTTAGACGAGCAGCTAATCGAAGAGCTGCCTCCAGATCAGGCGGTGATTTGCAAACATGTGCTGTGATGAGGTTTCTTAAATTGGTGTCGACGCGGTTCTCCAGAGCAGCAAGGAACCCATCACAGATCCGGTTGACTTTGCTACTCTTGCTATGTTTCGTGAAGGGAACCGCAGCGTCCTCTTTCAGATCGGCTGTGGGTTCATCCTTGGCTATTTTCAACGTATCCTTGTAAAGTGTTTGCGAAACATCCTCCTCTCTACACAAAGTTAGCATGCTCACATGGGGCCTGCTTGGATAAGACATACCGCAAGCGGGAAAGAAAGTCGTCGATGAAGTCGGGTTTCTTCACCTGCTCGATAAACAGCGGAATGTTCTCCATAAACTGCTTGGGAGCATAGTCATGTAGAATATTCATGTCCACCATCTGGCTACGGCAGGCATGGAACGCAGAACAATAGTTTTTCTTATCGATGAAGGAGCGAATTCCTGCGAGGACGAGAGCCCTAGGGTAAATAGTTTCAAGATTTCCTCGAGGCATTTGCAAAGTCACGGCGAATATCGATGGCATTACCGTCACCAGACGCCCTCCGCGCTCGATACTCCGGCATCGCTCGTCTGTCTCAGGGGTATCCGCTGGGACTTCCATTTCTGCTAGTGGTCAGTTTGAAAATCTCAACTCTTTTGTGGAATCGGCTCTCTTTACCTTCCGCACTGGCCAAATGGACAAACTTGAGCAAGTGCTGAGAAGTTGTGAATAATAGATGAACTGGGGTAACCAAAAAGGATGTGCAGTTCTTTGCCAGTAGACGTTTATTTGCATACAGGGCTCCTGAGGGGGACAAGGTGATTAAGAGGTACTATGAAAGTCAGAAAGCTCCGCGAAAGATGAGAATTATTCAGACATACCTTTTCGTCGGGGATTTGCACAGCTTTCGCCCAATAGGTGTTAATCGCCGGGCTTTCCTTCCAGGCGGTGATTTCAGATTTATGAGATGAAGATGAAGTTATGGATGAATAAGAAATAATCATCCCAGGATGGAGGGTGTGAGAGAACCATAGTCCTGCATGCCCAACTGCTGTGGAAATCGAGTACAATTGCTCCGACTCCTCTGACTTGTGTACAATCTCAGTTGAGCGCGTTTCCAATGCCGTGAGTTCGATTTGCGTATTATTCGGACCATTGTCTCTGAGAATATACACTTCATTCTCATTCAGGAATGCAATCTGCCTGGGTCGGCTCTCAGGCGCTTCCGGTAATTGGTAGCTTGACTCGAGAACTGGAGGTTGAACAAGCTTATTTTTAATGGGCCACAGAAATACAGAGAAGTGGTCTTTCATTAGGACAGCAAATCGAGAGTTGCTTTTGCTAAATGCAACGTCAATGGCATTTGAATTGAGCTTCAGCTCATGGTGGGCCATTGGAGGAGGCACTCCTGATAGCCTCAGCGGAGTCAACTTCAGTATTTCTGCGAAAAGTTAGGAAACCGAACACATTCAATAGTCTCAATGAGAATTAAACATACTGCCATCAATTACGGCAACCGCCCCAATATCGTTCGGGGCCACCGTGGAACCGTGACAAACGTTGAAAACATAATCCTTGACCAATATTGAGCCTGCTAACGGTCAGCGAATTGTAGTGTAATGATACCATCATCAGCGAAATTACTTGCCCTGAGTGCCAATAACAAAGCGCAGGGCCCTTTCCTGATGCCATCTGAAAAAGAAGGGTGGCTTGTATTCAGTATCGGCTGCAACAAACACTTCGTGCTTTAAGTAGTAGTGGTAATTCCCCATTGTCCACAACTGCAGTCTGTCTCTGAAACGAACCGCGAGGACAGTGGAGTCGACATTCCAGCTTAGCTGAATATTCGAGGCCCACGACGCCCGCTCTTCTTCGCTAAGTCGAAGTGTGAACTGGCCGTGTCGTAAACCATTCCTCTCAAAGAAGACCACATCGACCCGATCGTCGAGTCTTTGGATACCAGCAATGAGGTTTCCAGACGGTCTCCAGCTCAGAGCCCCTTCCAGCCCGTCGACAGGCTCATTTACACTATCCAGAGTTCCCTCTCTCGAGTATACTCTGATGACTCGACGGACACCCCCTTCTACGCTGTTGACAGCGACGTAGGCGCCGTCTCCTCGCCAGCTGATACTCGTGCTCCCATCATCGTAATTGCTCAACTTTCCCTCATCGACTTTCTCGGGCACTGTCGGATCTCGCAGAGCCTTGGCTCTTTTCCCTTGAAATTGTGTTTCTCGCTTCCCCCAGCCGACAGAGACATGCTGGGAGACCTTGAGATCTTCCGGAGTAAATGCAATTTCGGAAACAGGCTCAAACTCCCTAGTCATGTAAAGGAGTGTATTTGTTCTCGTGGTAACCGCCAACAGCTCTTCATCGGGGGACCAGGCGGCTGCGGTGATGCCAACGTCCACCGTCCCCACAATCTCGATCTTGTCCTGGCCAGGGAACGGCTCTTCACGGACAACGACGATATCGCCGCCTTCCAGCACCAGACAAACGGTAAGATTATCTGCAAAATGGTGCAGGGAAAGGACCCGATCATATGGCAGGCCTGGCAAGAGACAAGGCGAATCCCAAGACGCGATGCATTCAAATGCGTCTGCGTCGACACAATCCGAGAAATACGCATCGCGCCGCTTTCTTCTCAGTTCGATGATAGGCTGTCCTTCTGAGGGGCCAAATGTGCAAATCACAGAGTCTGACGCCGTGTCCCATGTAGTTGCTGTTAGAGGTAGATGGCTTTGAAATTGTACCTCTGTGAGGTGCACATTCTTAAGGTTGCGCATCTTTACTCAGCCCACTGCCATCAACAAAAGACACAACAATGTCCCAGGTTGTGGGTTAATCAATTTTCTTTTGGAGTGCGATCTAAAAATCAGAGAATAAAATAGGCAAAAAAGAAGAGACTGTTCCTTTTACAGATGGAAGGTCGTGGAGAGCACAGAAACTCGTGACGCTGATTTCCTGATTTTTTTTTGCAGGAAAAGCGCCCGCGGCCAATGACTTCATCCACTTTAACTAACAATGCTTCCAGAGTCTACGCCAGCCTACAAAGCAGGCCTCAGCCGCATCTACAATGCATGAATTGCCGCAGTACGCCGAATTTGGCCAAAATGGCCTTCAGTAATTTGCTTTCTCTCTGTACATAATACACCGACGCTCCCACAAAGCACAATGTATTGACTATATTCCCACCTTCCGATGTTGCCGTCGTGCAAGGATCTCTCCCAAGAAATGTTTAGCGGGTCTTGTAAGTTTGCCAGACTGTACTCAACGATATTAGAAAGAAGTATACGATAGCCCGCAATAGAAGGAGAAGCATACCAGCAATGCCGAAGGGAGCAAAGAAGCCGACGGCTAAAAGTTACCAAAACATCAGTCACGCACGCCATTTACTACGATCAATTGGGTCACCTACTCATGAAGGCCCAGTATCTCCAGAAGAAGTACTTGGTCAGAGGGTTGAAGGGAATGTTGGAGCGAGGACCCTCGGCATAGTGGTACGGGGAAGAGAGCTGAGCGCGAGTGGTGGAGAAACCACGGCGAGCAACGAGGTTGGCGGCCATTCTGGCCCGGACAGCAGTAGCGGGGTTCATCTTCGGAGAGAGTCAGATGCGATTGACTACAGGAGGAAGCAATGCAGCACAACGAACCTTGAGTATAGGAGCAGGGAGTGTTCAACGTATGCGACGGTCGTCGGGAAGGGAAGGGAAGAGAGAGTGGAACGAGATGCTTCTTCGAGCGGCCCGAGATGGTCACGTGTGTATATATTCTGCCATCCGTCTCCGCCTCGACCTAAGGGAAAAATATAAAAAAAAAATCGCCGAATTCACTCCTAGCGAAGGTGGACACCCTCATATTTCGCCCAGCTCTCGTCCCTTGCGGTTCCGCGCCGAATTTGGCCAGAATAAGATGGACGACCTGTTTGATGTCTTCGAGGATCAGCCTCAGGCTGGCAGACCCTCTGACGAAACCCCCAGACCTCGAGCAAAGAAGGACAAGAGCAAGAAGCGCCAAGTAAACGGCGATGTGAAGGAGGATGGTGGAGAGACAAATGCGAAGGATGAGGGAACTCTGCCGGATGCACCCGCTGTGAAGACAGATGCTGAAGATTCTGGGGCCCCCGCGACGGAAAACGGACAACCTGACACGAAGCGACCGCGAATTGACCAGGAAGCAGTCCCTGTAGTGGCAGATACATTCGAAACCGAGCAAGAGCGTGAGATTGCAGCTTCTGCTGGCCTTCAAGGTTCGAAGGAGTCGGCTTCGGTGGTACTGTCGCACCAAGTTCGACATCAGGTCGCTATTCCGCCCGGCTATCCCTACGTTCCCATTTCTCAACATAATCCACCAGAACATCCTGCGCGAACGTGGCCGTTCACCCTTGATCCATTCCAACAGGTGGCAGTTGCATCAATTCAACGGGAAGAAAGTGTCCTCGTTTCCGCTCATACTAGTGCAGGGAAAACGGTGGTCGCGGAGTATGCTATTGCGCAGAGCTTGAAAAACAACCAAAGGGTTATCTACACAAGCCCTATAAAGGCTTTGAGTAATCAAAAATATAGAGAATTCGCCGCGGAGTTTGGAGATGTTGGCCTCATGACCGGCGATGTCACTATCAATCCAACGGCAACTTGCCTGGTTATGACGACGGAGGTGGGTGTTGCCGCGACATCGTTGCCTCGTCTTTGCTGACTGTCTTTCAGATTCTCCGTTCAATGTTGTATCGCGGTTCAGAGATTATGCGCGAAGTCGGGTGGGTTGTCTTTGATGAAATTCATTACATGCGAGATGCTAGTAAGTCCACAATGCAGTGTGGTCAATATGCATGGTTACTGAACGGCGGGTGTAGCTCGAGGTGTTGTCTGGGAAGAAACAATCATTCTTTTGCCGGACAAGGTTCGATATGTGTTCCTCTCTGCCACCATCCCCAACGCCATGCAGTTTGCCGAGTGGATCACGAAAATGCACAATCAGCCGTGTCACGTCGTATATACTGATTTCAGGCCTACGCCACTTCAACATTACTTCCATCCTGCCGGGGCGGATGGTATTCATCTCATCGTTGATGAGAAGGGAGTGTTCCGTGAAGATAATTTCCAGAAAGCTATGAGCTCCATTGCAGATAAGAAAGGCGACGACCCGTCGGATCCAATGGCTAAGGGCAAGGGCAAGGGAAAGAACAAGAAATTGAATAAGGGTGGCACAAAAGAACATTCCGACATTTATAAGATAGTCAGGATGATTATGATTAAGAATTATAATCCCGTCATCGTCTTCAGCTTCAGCAAACGTGAATGTGAGGCTGGTGCCTTGCAGATGAAGCAGTTGGCGTTCAATGATGAATCCGAGAAGAAGATGGTGAACAAGGTTTTCAACAGCGCGATTGAGATGCTATCGCCTGAAGATCAATCTCTGCCCCAAATACAGAATCTCTTGCCCCTCCTTGAGAAAGGTATTGGTGTTCATCACTCCGGACTCCTGCCAATTCTGAAGGAAACTATCGAGATTCTTTTCCAAGAAGGTCTCATCAAAGTTCTGTTCGCGACAGAGACATTTTCCATCGGCCTCAACATGCCCGCCAAGACTGTCGTCTTCACAAGTGTGCGAAAATTTGACGGGATCAGTCAGCGCTGGATTACGCCATCTGAATTCGTTCAGATGTCTGGTCGAGCTGGTCGGAGAGGTCTCGATGACAGAGGTATCGTTATCATGATGATCGGAGAGGAAATGGACCCAGCTGTTGCCAAGGAGATTGTCCGTGGCCAACAGGATCGGCTTAACTCGGCGTTTCATCTGGGCTACAATATGATTCTGAATCTGATGCGTGTAGAAGGGATCTCGCCAGAATTTATGCTGGAGAAGTGCTTCTACCAGTTCCAGAATACTTCGAATGTGGCCGAACTTGAGACTGGTTCGTCATCCCTGCTGATTTTATTGATGGTAGACTGTTCATAACTGACAGAGGTGCGCAGAGCTACGCAATTTGGAGGATGAGAAGGCCAACATGAACATTTCTGACGAAGGAACCATCCGTGAATATTATGATTTGAGGAAACAGCTTGATGGATTCTCGGAAGATATGCAAGTTGTCATGAGTCAGCCGAACTATTCGCTGAAGTTTACCAATCCTGGTCGATTGGTTCATATCAAACATATGAACTACGACTTTGGCTGGGGAATAGTCGTCAACTACAAGGAACGGAGACAGCCAAGGAACATGACCGAAGAGATCCCCCCTCACCAGAAGTACGTGGTAGATATTCTGCTGAAGGTTCCCGATGGAACGTCGGTGGGAACTAAAACATTCCAAGATCTTCCAGCGGGTGTGAGGCCGCCTAAAGATGGCGAAAAGTGTGTTATGGAAGTTGTGCCAGTTATGCTCAACTGCATCCATGCCTTTGGGCACTTCCGGCTTAAGCTTCCCGACGAACTGCGCTCGGCAGAGTCCAGGAATAGCGCAATGAAGATCCTCAACGAAGCCATCAGGCGTTTCCCGGATGGAGTTCCTGTCCTCGATCCCATTGAAAATATGGGGATTAAGGATGAGTCGTTCAAAAAACTTCTAAGAGTAAGACAGGCCCGTTCGATAAGGATGAGAGAAGATGCTAACGAAGATGCAGAAAATCGAGGTCCTTGAGTCTCGACTTTTCTCGAACCCCTTGCACAATTCACCGCGGCTGCCGGAACTATACGAGCAGTATGCCAAAAAGGTGGAATTGAGCTCGAAGATAAAGGAAATGAAGAAGAAGATCTCCCAGGCCATGTCCATCATACAGCTTGACGAGCTCAAATGCCGCAAGCGAGTCCTCCGCCGATTTGGGTTTATCAACGAGGCGGAAGTCGTGCAGCTCAAGGCCCGTGTGGCATGTGAAATCAGCACGGGCGATGAACTGATGCTCAGTGAGCTGCTCTTCAACGGCTTTTTCAACAAGCTCACTCCAGAGCAAGTAGCTGCGGTGCTGAGTGTCTTCGTTTTTGAAGAAAAGTCCAAGGAGACTCCTGCGCTCACTCGAGACGAGTTGGCGAAGCCACTCCGGGAGATTCAATCGCAGGCTCGGATCGTGGCTAAGGTATCGCAGGAGTCGAAGCTGTCACTCAATGAAGAAGAATATGTCCAGAGTTTCCACTGGGAGCTCATGGAAGTCATTTACGAATGGGCGAATGGCAAATCTTTCGCCGATATCTGGTAAGCTCTAGACCGCCCCGGAAGGAGAATAAATACAAAAAGGCTAACCATCCGCTTGCAGCAAAATGACGGATGTCTACGAAGGCAGTCTGATCCGGGTCTTCCGCCGACTGGAAGAATGTCTGCGGCAGATGGCGCAGGCCGCCAAAGTCATGGGCAGTGAAGAGCTCGAGAGCAAATTCGAGACGGCCATGACGAAGGTGCGCAGAGACATTGTTGCCGCACAGTCCTTGTATCTGTAAATTCCCCTGTACTCCTGTCGAACTTTTTAATTATTTTCTTTTCTTTCTTTTTTGATTACATTATTGTCACAAGCGTCTGTGTCTGTGTACCGTGTGGCTTGTCCCGGTTGTCTTGCATTATTCCGGCGTCAGGGTTAGGGAGGTCGCTTCAACCTTGCAGGAGGGCAACGGAAGAGGCAGGTCCAATTCCAGTGTATCGTAGAATGAATAGGTATTATTACTGCTACTCCATGGATAGAATTTGTACAGAAAGAAAATAGAAATTTCGTGGTTTTTCCTGCAGCGAATTTCCTGCGCGGAAGGGCTGCGTTGCCTCCCGCAACAGAAGCTCGTCACGATTTCCACCGCCTGTCTTTTAACTTCTCCCCACCCACCTGCTGCTGCAACTTTCTCCTTCTCTTCCCTCCCTCTGCTCCCACTCCATCATTCTTTTGGCCTCCTCCGCATCTGTTCATCCATCTGTCACCCGAGTCCTACTGGAATTTTACTTCTCTCTATCCCCAGGGTTGCCGTCCAAGCTTGTTTGTGGCTCACCATCATCATGAACAGCTTGGTGGCTACACCCCCTGTGCCTCCTCACTTCTATGAGTACAGCCGTCTCTCCCCCTCCCGTTCAAGTATGTTCCCGGATGGTCCTTTTTCTTCGTGGTATCTCCTGCTCTAACCTCGACAACCGCAGTTGCCGCCATGTCAAACCCGTCCCAGTCCTCCGCGAGCCGCAAACGGAAAGCCGAAGATGATGGCAATGATCATGACAGTCGAATGTCTGCTTCTCCTACCAACTCGCCTCCTTCCTTTGCTCCTCGGTCTCTCCCAACATCCCGTTATCTTAAGCGTGCCCGGCCAAATCTCTCTGGCAGATCTCTTTCCCTCCCTCGTTTAATAGAGACTCTCGACACAGATGCCCTACGTACGGTTCTTCGATCCATGTGTGAACGCCATCCGGACCTCGTTGATGAGGTCGTGCATACCTCTCCTCGGCCCAACGTTGCATCCACCTTGCAGGTGCTGAGGAACTACCAATCTACCCTCCAGTCCTCCTTCCCTTTGGGTGGCAACCCTGCCTCTGACTACGCCTACAATCGAGTACGGCAGCCCCTCAGCAACCTTCTCGAAGCTCTGAGCGACTTTACTCCTCACTTCTTGCCTCCTCACGAATCTCAGGCTTCTACATCTCTCAGTTATCTGGATGGTGCGACTGAAATTGTTCACTCACTGCCGAGATGGGATACACCACATAACAACATTGAACGGGATTCTGCCTACGATGAAATCTGCAAGGCATGGATTCTGGTTATCAGGGAGGCTGCTAAGCGTGCAGGAGGTATCCAGTTGCAATATGGCGGTTGGGATCAGAAGCTTGCAAAGCACAACGAGAACTCGGGTGGCAAACTGCAGGCAGCCGTCAACGAGCTCGGATCGATTCTCGGGTGGATGAACGGACAGGAGGGACAGAACTATCCGAACGCAGCAGGAGCCGAACTGGGCTCTGTGCGTGAGCAACTGCTTTCTGGAACGTATGGGCTCGGTACGCCGGTCAAGGTCGGGCCGTGGTAAGTCCCAAGGACTTCAGACAGCATCTTCGCATCATATTATACCGACAGCAACCTGGTCACTATGTTCCAAACTCGGGACTGCGACGTACGATATGACATGATACCTACTGCATGGAGCTTTAGATAGTTGATTGGTTAAATCGGCGTTTTCGTGCTCAAGGAACTTCGTTTCTTTCAGTTTAAGTTTCTGGGAATCCGAGCAATTATTTCTACTTTCTATCATGTCGACGTTCCCAGACTGTTCCTGTGGCGGTTAGTGCATTTTTCTTTTGGGGCCTTTGGTCGGCCAAGCATTTACCCACTTTGGTCTCTCTCTACTTGCCATCTCTTTACCATTTCCTTTTTCGATGCTAATATCCCTTCCGATTTCACCGGTGTTTCGGAAGTTCAGTGGACATCCATTCTCGAGTCCACTCAAGCGATTACCCTCATATGACCATCCAAAAATGCGTTTTCCAGGGGTTGTCCTGTCTTTGCCTCTCCCCCTTCTTCTACGTTCTGCACCCTCGCTTGTATACCCCTAGTTTATTTTCCTTTGTCGGAAGGTGGAAGGTATCCTCATCATGTACCTTGGCGTTTGACGTCGGGCGGATTTGTACATGTCAAGGAGTAGTTTATCTTACTTTTTATATGCAATCGATTCAAGATGTTGAATATAGAGAAACGGAATGATACGAATGTAGACATTTAAGTTGAATGCGGCTTGAACTGACCTTTAGAACCACTTGCCCATGGCCAAGTAGAATGCCTTATTATCCTGTAATAGTCCATACTCGCGCCCATATAAAACCATAAAGATTGCCCAGTGATTATATTTTCAAGTCCAGAGTCATCAATCACAAGAGGGGAAAAAGCTGGCAATTGACTGAAAACCGAAAAGATAAACGAGACCATATTCAATACTTCATAAAGCATGCTTTACGACGCGAAGAAGCCATGTAGCATCTTGCCACCCGCCTTCGTCTCCAGGCTTCTCTATTATTGTAGAGAGAGCATCTTCGTCAGCGCTGTCATCATCATCATCGTCATCATCTGTCATTTTTGACTGAAGCCTATCACGGTCGTCAGGGGGGTTGGTCTTGGAAGGTGTATCTGGGGCGTTGGTATTCCCTTCGGCGTCATTCTGGGCGTCGTTATGATCATGATAGTTATCATGGCTTATCTGACGGGATACAGCAGCAACAGAATCCTCATCCTTCTTCCGGAGATCCTGCGGTGGTGAAGGGCCATCATCGACGCTAAACAGTGTCCACTCGACGAGACGATCCAGCCATCCGCCGAATCCAAAGCCGCGCTCTCGCGTGAGACGGCGCATTTCCTGCTCGTCGATGTCTTCTTCCGAGTAGGACTCGTCGTCATATGTAGATGATGATGCTGGGGAAGAGAGACCATCGCGGGAGTCGTGGTCTTGTTCTTGTTGAATCCAGGCCATCTCGGCGCGAACGTGCTCGTCCACGAAATCTGGGAAACCTGGGAAACCTCCCATACTTGCAGCGGGACTGGCGATACCTGATCGTGACCGTCTCGAAGAGCTGATATGCGCGAATCCGACATCGGCAATTCCCTGGGTCATGGAGAGATCGAATCGGCTGCCCGATGAACTGCCTCTGCGAGAGCGAGAGCCGCGTCTTGAATATGCTCCTGGTGTTGATTTGCCAGATTTCGTCGTCTTCCTGCCGGATCTATGATGATGATTGTGGTGGGATGCGGAGACGTCATCAACGTCCGAAACTAAACTCGTTGAGCTCTCCCGTTTTGCGAGCCAGCTTTGGCCCTTTTCTTCACGCGTAGATTCCGCAAGTGCTATGCCGGCACGGAGCATCCATTCCGGGTCTTGATGCGGAGGGTGAAAATGAGGGTGGTGGTTGTGATTATGATTATGGCGGTGGTAATTATTCTGATCCGTCAGCCTACTATTACTTCTTTCGTCACTGTAGCCTTGACGATGTAGCGATCCAAGATCGGGGTTCCCAAATCGCAGACCGCCACTGCTCTTGCTTCGTGCATGTCGTCCGACACGGGAGCCGCTCCGGGAGTGCGAGAGGAGAGACGGTGTACCTGGGACGGAAGAACTGGAGAGATACGATGTCCCCGTGGGGTTGGTAGCATGGTGGAGATTGTGCGAAGCAGAATCGTTCGAGTCCTCTACGTTCCCATCGTCGACGGGGAATTGAGGAGCCAGTGGCGTAATGGAGGTGTGGTTCAATGACGGATAGGAACGGCGGGAACGAAACGAGGCCAGGGACGGATTGAGAGACTGCTTTAATTGTCAGAACATATGGGAAGACTGGGTAACCTGGTTAGGGAACATACATCTGTCGCCATTGCGAGAGAGTATCCTTGAAGCCAGGAGGTATGGCACCGATAAGGTCAATCGATGATCTATCAACTCAACTGACGACAGGAGATATTGTCACTTGTGCATGCACAGATGCAAGTGTCCAATGGAATTAATGTCAACTGAACAACAAAGACCAGAAGCACAAATAGAACAGCCTGAGGATCACATATGAATAAATAAGCTTGAAGCCAGCATGTGAAGAGAAATGTGGGAGAAGACGGCCAGGTCGTGGCGTGCTCGATCAGGTTATTCTGTTGCACTTGGAGTCATTCCTCTGCATCACGGGGATCTCTCAAATCTTCATCATCAGGTCTGCCATAGTGCGGAGGCCAGTCCCGATGAAATCATCATGCAAAAAGCAAGGCATCCTTGGTTCTGGCGAGTTTGTTGGGAAAGGTTGGGGAGAGTTTTAAAGCCGATCATTGTCATTGCGCACTGATCATCTTGTACTTTTTCTTTTAAATACCTGGCTATAAGAAATATACATTCATAGACTCAATAATATCCAATACTTGCTCGCTGTACTCCTCTTTGCTGCACTTTGTAAATAATCACTCGATCTTCCCCTTGTTCACAACAAAAGCCTCCAGTGCAGAAATGGCTGCCCACAACCGGTTCTCTGCTTCGGGGAAGACCAGAGAACGATTACTGTAGAACACCTCGTCGGCCACCTCCTCAGGATGCCGGGGCAAGCAGTGCATGAACTTCCACCCTTCCTTGGCACCTCCACGTTTGGCAAGTCCTGGGGTGATCTGGAAGCCCGCAAAGTCCCTCAGTCTCTTGACTTTCTCTGCTTCCTGTCCCATAGATATCCAAGTATCCGTCACCAGAATGTCGGCATCCTTTACTGCTTCTTCGGGGATATTGGTTTGTAGGAGCTTTCCCGGAGAGCTAACCCCCTCCCTGGATTTCTTGATAAACTCCAGCATGGCTGGAGGGATCTCGTAGCCCTTTGGCGTAGCAACTGCGAGATCGACGCCCATCTTTGCAGCAGCAATGGCCAAGTCGAACAAGACATTATTCGCATCACCCACCCAGGCAATCTTCAGTCCCTCGAGACCCAAACTCGACAACCCGGCTCCTTTGGAAGGGAAAGTCTCATGGATAGTCAAGAAGTCGGCGATAATCTGCAAGGGATGAAACGAGTCACAGAGGGCGTTGATGACAGGTACGGACGAATGTTTTGCAATTTCTGCGACGTCCGAGTGTTTCGCAACACGAGCGACAATACACGACACCATTGACGAGATAACCACCGCGGAATCGTAGACCGACTCGTTGACTCCCAATTGGATATCATCCTTGCCCAGGAACATAGGATGGCCTCCCATGCGTACCACAGCTCCTTCAGTTGATATTCTGGTCCTGGTACTCCTCTTATTGAAAATCATGGCCACGGTCTTCCCAGACAGCGACCCGAGCAGATTCTCGGGGATTGAGCCCGACTTGATTGTGCGCTTGTGTAGGCCCGCATTGCGAACGAGTGTCGTGAATTCGGAGGGTGTGAGGTCTGCAATGGAGAGAAGATGGCGAGGAGCAAACGGCGAGACAGGAGGAACGCTGTCGGATTGGGTAACATATCGGCGCAGGCTGTTGCTATAGCAGGTCTGTCGCAAGCTTAAGTTGATCAATTGAGGCGATTTGGACGCGCCATAGCGGGCTGCAGTTCTGAAGCTGCTGGCCATGTTGATGATGGTGTAGCAGATAGTAGGGACAGTGAGAAAAAAAAAAGAAAAGAAAAAGAAAAATGATGACTCAAAGCGCCAAAGAAACGATTGATAGACTATAATCTATTAGAATGACTCTTATTTTATTCGTGCGATGCACTAGCGATAATTGCAGCGTCATAAGTTAATTATAAGCAGGTATTAAAGTGTCTCTCTCCAGCAACCTTATATATATACAACTCTCTCTGCATCGTCATCGAATAGTCCATCGTGATCGATGCTGGACGTTGGCCGTCCTTCATCAGCATCACTTCTGCATCTTCCCCTTCCTTTTCATCATCTATTTAATTAATCTATCGATTGAAATACCCCCGGATCCTGAATACCCACAACTAACGTCACTCCGGCCATACCATGGCTGACGTGGGGACTTCGAAAGCTTCCTCACCGCGCCGATTGTCCTCGGCTACCGATTCCATATCGTCTCAGTCCCAAAAGACAATCAGGCCGTTCGAACTATCTTCAGAGTCCACTCCTCTTCTACTCCGCAGGGACGAAAATCTATATGGAACCCATTCGATAAGATCGTCATCGGTCTCGCAACGGAGCACTTCCGACAGCACCAGAAGCTCCCATAAGACCAAAGAACGCACACGACTTCCTACATGCATTTCTCTTACCGTGCTCATTGCTAGTACTCTCGGAATCCTGATATTCATATTCGCCGCGCCAGTCATTGTGAAGAGATATGCCGAGGAGGCCGCTGTGTTCGAGCCCCGGGATCTTTCGGTTGAGTCCAGTACCCCGGAAGGCATCCGCGCAAGGGTTCAGGGGGAGTTTACCCTTGATTCATCTCGTGTAGCAAGTAGACACGTTCGAGTTCTTGGTCAATTCGCTACGTGGATTGCACGGGAAGTGGAAACTGGACAGTCTGAGGTGCAAGTATATCTACCGGAGTATGGGGATCTACTCATCGGCATTGCATCCTTGCCGTCGATAAAAATCAGTATCCGGGATGGCCATGTCAACTGTCTGGACTTCTTGGCCGATCTGGCTGTTGGTGATGTTGGTGGTATACGCTCCGTTGCCAATGACTGGCTGGAGGGAAGGATTGAGCATCTACGATTGAGAGGCACGACAACAACACATCTGAAGTCCGGGTTGTTGAGTCTCGGAATGCAGACTTTATCGGATACTCTCACATTTGAAGGTTCGTTTCATACCCGTTGCCTCGGATGAAGATGTATCATTGACTAGTATCATCCTCTACAGAGAAGGATTTTCCTGCTCTCCCCGAGATTAACATTACCAAGGCGATCGCATACGATGATAATTCATCTAGCCAGGCAGCAGCCGTGGCGGTTGAGGTCTCTATCACCGCTCTGTTCGACTCTCCTTTTACCGTCACCATTCCGCCTCTCGGGTTTGACGTGCTCGTCCCGAATTGTTTACCAGGCGATCCTTATATTCTAGTTGCGGTTGCGAGGACAGGAGAAGTGGAAGTTCGTCCCAGGTCGCCTACCAATGTGGATTCATATGGTATCATCAAGAAGATTCCCAATGAACTAATAACGGCCTGTCCTGGTCAAAAGTCGTCGCCACTGGACATTCTCGTCAAGAATTACATCAACGGCCTTCGCACTACTATATACATACGCGGTGCTGATGCTCCATCGCCAGATACCCCTGCTTGGATTGTAGAACTGCTGAAGAGCGTCACGGTACCATTACCATTCATGGGTCACGCGCTAGATAATCTCGTGAAGAATTTCTCTATGTCCGATGTCAATCTGTCTCTTCCGGATCCAATGGCAGAGCCAGGAACGCCGGAAGCACAGCCCAAGATATCAGCCTTGGTAAAGGCGCTCATCAAACTGCCAGAGCAAATGAATTTCAAACTAGACGTCCCTCGTGTTCGTGCCATGGCCGATGTCTTCTACCATGACAAAAAGCTTGGGTTTTTGGATTTGTACCAATGGTTACCTGCCAACACGACTCTTGTGGAAGATTCAGATAGCTTGCCGGCTCTGTCAGTCGGATTTCGTATGCAAGATGCGCCGCTGCAAGTCACTGATGAGAACACTTTAGCGGAAATCATTCAGACCTTGATTCTTGGAAAGAAAGCAGTACGGCTCCGTGTTGTTGCGGCTGTGGATGCAGAAGTCTCAAATCGTTTGGGAACGTTTACCCTACGGAAAGTACCGGCAGAAGGCTCTTTGAGTGTTAAAGGCAAGTAACCTCCCCTTTCTCCAAGTGCTACGAAAGAAAAGAGGTCAGATATTGACTGTCTCGATAGTACCGTACGGCGGCTCGATCGACCAGTTAAACCCTAAAATAGAATCCCTAGAAATAGGGCCTACGACTGAATCTAGTGTACTGGTTAAAGCCACCATGAACTTCACAAACCCGACTCCCTATTCAGCAATAGTGCCCATGGCTGACTTGGTACTCCTTTACAATGGAACAGTGGTAGGCCATGTGGTAGCCCGAGATGTCTCGCTTATACCGGGTCTGAATACTGGCATCCACGTCGATTTGGTATGGAATCCATTAGCTTCCAGCGGAGCAAATGGGGTAGACGTTGGGCGGAAGATGGTTTCGCGATACATCTCAGGTGAGTTCTTTGATCCAGTCCGAATGTTCAGTGACCTAAACAATGTGTTTCAGGTTTCAACACAACAGTGAACGTCCGAAGCTACTGGGGAACAATACCGGCTCTCCCAAAACTGGGACAGGCAATGTCCAAGCTGGAATTTGAGATTCCGATACCTAAAGCACCAACTCCAGATGATGGCAAAGACCCTGACGGAGGCGACGATGAGGGTCGTTCGCGCTTCATCCAGGATGCAACGGTACTGTTGTCTACTCTAGTTTAATGTCATTCATCTCCACGAGCACACAAACTCTAGCCTCTTGATTGATTTCAGTTGGTGTGACAGATCCACACTAGAGCGAAGCTTAGCAAAATCTGCTAACTTGTTCAACCTCGTCCTAGCTACACCTTTGGTCATCAACGGCTGAATTCACTTTATATTCTCCTCTCCCTCACACCGCAATATTTGTTACATCTATAGACGCATCTGCATTCTATGAAAAGAAGGAACCAATCGGCACGATCGACTACCATGTTCCTATAAAAGTACCCCCGGGCATCTCGCGAACGCCACAGCTGCCGGTAAATCTCGACTTAAGTGGTGTTGGCTATGATGCCGTGAGGCGCGCACTGGGAAGGTCCCTGAAGATGGATGCTGAGGCGAAGGTGGGAGTTCGCATTAGACAATATGAAGACATTATAACCTATCATGGTACGGGGATTTCGGCGAATGTGCGGATATAGCTTTTGTTTCGAGGATTGAGTTGGAACTGGACTTTCTTTGGATGGGAAATTGGCGTTGCTTTTTGTATGGCGTTTCTCCAGGGATGTTTTTGTTTCTTCCATTTCCCATTCTTCTTGGTTCGCCGCAAAAGAAAAAGAAAGATGGGAATTCATATTTTTGGTTTCAGGGAAGAACAATAGGGCCTCTCTCGCTTTTGATGAAGTATAGAGCTCATTGATATTTATTTTCTTAGCTACCTTGATACGCCTATTAAAAGGGGGTTTTATACATATTCACACCAGCACCAAGACACTACAGCCTGTACGCTAACAGGACTGGTAGATTGTGAACAGGAGAATACCCTAACGGCACATGCGGCTTGTAGGGAAATGTTACATGGAGTCAATACAGATATTTTAGTAAAGGATATAGGTAGTAAAAACGCGAACAAAAAAAAGAAATAGAAAAGAAAAACTACCGGCAGGCCACGGGAAAGAAAATGGGCAAATATGAACGAATATAAGGCAGGTGCATGTCCTTCCTCTCGCCTTAACGTTTTAACATTTGATAAAGGTAATTGGATCCGCAGTACTTTTAACCGGGAGGAAGTTGGCTAGCATCGACAACATCTGCAGCCTCCTTCTCAACCTCTTCGTGGGGATCGGAGAGAGGGGACCGCGGGAGAGCCATGAGACCGGTCCGTGTGGATTCCAGAATACCATAGGGGCCGACCAGTTTCAAGAAGGAGTCGATACGGGATGGTTTGGCGGAACTGTTTGGATATATATGAATCAGCCAAAGCAATTCACATTTTGTAAGCATATATGGAAAAGACTTACACCTCGACAATGCAGTTGTTGTTGCTGATGTCCAAGACCTTCCCGCCAAACTGATGAGTCAAACGGGTAATGGCATCAAGATGCTCGTGCTTGTGTCTCAAAGCCTGACTCAGAGGCAGATCGCGCGGATGAAACTCGGAAGACCTCGTCTTTTTCTCAGCTTTCTCCTTCTGGCCATCGAGGTTCTCCACAGAAGCAGTAATCTCTCTATGATGCTCAAGCAGCTCCTCGAAGAATTCCGGGCCAAGAAGATTAATCTTCGCCAGCAGAAGCTCGCGCTGCACGAGAGCAGAGTCAGTGTAATCCAGCACTGCCCAGACGGGGACAAGGTCCTCAAGCTGCCGACGAGCCTGTTCGACAACACCATCCTGGCCTTGAAGAACGATGGTCATACGTGACAGGTCCTCGACCTCAGTATTGCAGACAACCAAGCTGTCGATGTTGAACCCTCGGGCAGCCAAGATACCGGACACGCGTGAGAGCACACCGGGTTCGTTCTGAACGAGACAGTTCAGAATGTGCCGCTTTGGAGGATTCGAAGGCGGCATAGGCGTCTCGTAGAGAATCGAGGAGACGGCCGTCGGAGCGTCCCATTGTGGTGAACCGTCCGAGACGGGGAGGGTTAGTGGCGATCGACGATGCAGCGCCTTGTAGGCGAGGGCTGAGGTAGAGCTAGATGATGCTCTGCATGACGCAGAAGTAGATGCAAAGGTGGATCGAAGCAGGGTTGCTCGCGAACGGGCTGTCCCAGCTGTTGTCGATGACAGCAGAGGTGCTGACAACGACGACGCTGACGACACCGCCAGAGCACGACGGAATGCCATCGTGTTCCCTTCTTCTTCTTCTCGATTCCTCCTAGTTTCCACCTGCGGAAGATGGCGCAGGCAAAACAATGGAGAGAGCAAGAAAGCTGATATCTCAGGGTTGGAGTCAGACTCAACATTTCCCAGCAACTTTATTTTTGGTCGCTTCCGATTTCGGGTTGTCGCTGACTTACCCGGTAACCAACCGTATTATAATTACGGAACAGTATGTAACATATATGGTACGGTATTCAGAATACCATATTACACGTGACATAACAGCGACCAGGCCGTTCTGGGACTAGCTCCGCCCGTGATCAAAGAAATGCATTTTGAAGATGCAACAGATCGCATTCTCCACGTCCACTTCAAGACATCCACGTCCTGGCAATATCTGGGGAAACAGTCCGCAACTGCTGTCCATGATCTGGATGACTTCATTCAGGGTCTAATCTTGTTCTGCCTGTCTCCGCTGGCTCAGTAACTTGTGACTCTGTTCTCCTTCCCGGTCTCTTTCATTGTTCCAGCTACTTGGCGTGTCTGCTGACTCCCACAAAACTTCATCTCCCGCAAGACCCGGTCGAGGATCTCTCATTTTCTCCTTCTTTCCCCCCTTCCACCGAGAAGTCTCAAGAAACTGGGGATTCTGTCCTAGTCTTTGCCGTTGTTCCACTCCACCATGGGTGACGACGAACACCGTCCTAAGCGTTCCCGCTTCGATCAGACCGAGCCGGAACCCCGACGACGTTCGCGATTTGATCGTCGTTCACGCTCTCCCTCGTCACGGAAACCAGACTCGGTTCGAGCTCGAAGCCCTCTTGGTCATGAGTCGCGAAGCCCCGATGCAGATGCATCGAAATCTACCCCTACGGATCCTGCTGCAGCTGCAGGTATGATTCATTACTTTATCTATGTTCCTTGGAGTCTTCTTCCTCTCGCGACAGAGCTGACAGATCGGTGGTAAATAGCGGCCGCAGCAGCCAGGATCAATGCTCAACTGCAAGCGAAGAAAGGCATTCAGCATGTCGACGTTCCTCCGATTCGATCGGTGAGCACCACATACCCCCGCGCAATCCATCTTAGAGCCCGTTGAGCTAACATATATACTGTTATAGACCTCGAGCCCCGTCCCAAAATCCGCCTCCCCTTCCGCCGCGGAGTCTAAATTGAACACGGACACGTACATTGCTGATGGCGATTACATCAGGGATATTGAGATTAATGATCTCCGCAATCGTTATACACTGACAAAGGGCTCTACACAGAAGATGGTAATTGCTCCTGTTGTATCTGCTGATCCTTCCAGGCACTGTTTCGCAAACCGGCGAATGCCGCAGCTATACACTTCTCTTTCTCCCCTCTTCCATTCTGCTTGTGGTTGTGACTTGAAAGCTTACCCAAAAGCAAACAATTCCATAGCATCCCACCTCCCCTCTGTTGCATCTGCTGACCTCGGCTGCGTGACTTTTAGATTAAAGATGAGACTGGCGCCGGTACGCCTTCACTCCATATGAGATACTGTTGTCAACTTTAATTTAGGAAGGAAGCTCATTACTTTTTTCAAGATGTCACCACTCGAGGAAATTACTATCCGGATAAAAGCATGGCCACTGCTGCGGTATGTGCCATGAGTCAGTATAGTGTGAGAAAGACAAACTGACTCTTTTTGTTTCCTAGAATCCTCCCTTGTATCTTCATGTTACTAGCACGACTAAGGAAGGCCTCGAAAAAGCTGTTGCCAAGATTGAGGAGCTCATGCAGAAAGAGCTGCCTAATTTGGTCGATGAGCGTCGTTTCCGTCGGCGAGAGCAGCCTGAGCCATTTGAGCGTGATGAATACGGCCGGGTATGGAATCTCCTATATCTTACTTTGCCCTGAGGCTAACATATATAATTTGTTTTTACTCAGCGCAAATGGCCGGAGGAACGCATTCCCGTTGATCTCGAGCCAATCCCTGGATTTAACCTACGCGCCCAGGTTGTCGGGCAGGGAGGTGCGTATGTGAAGCATATCCAGCAAAGAACCCGGTGTAAGGTCCAGATCAAAGGCCGTGGTTCTGGCTTTGTGGAGCAAAGTACCGGTAGAGAGAGCGACGAGCCGATGTACTTGCATGTAGCGTGAGTCTCTTTTTTTCTTTTTTTTTTTGTTCAACCCAAGCTAACCCGTGGATAGTGGCCCCAATCCCGACGACGTGAAAGTCGCGAAGGAGCTCTGCGAAGATCTGCTTTCAAATGTGCGAGAGCAATATCAGCGATTTAAAGAGAATCCACCCCAGCACAATTATGGCGGCTACGGTCAACGCGGAGACCGTTACCACTACGGTGGTGGCTATGGCGGTGGTTATTCGAACCACAACCATCATCAGCGCCAGGGAACGCCAGCCTCTGCAAGTCCGTCTACGCAAGCAGCGCCAGGAGCAACGGCCACCGTTGCTGCTGGAAGTCCTACTGACTATAGCGCTCAATATGCTCAGTATTACGGATCGGATCCATATGCCGCCTATGGTGGATATCAGAACTATGTCGCATATTATCAATACTACCAGCAGGCAGCTCAGCAAATGCAACAACAGGCGCAGCAGGATGCAGATCAGTCTCAAGGTTCTGCTCCACCGCCACCCCCAGCGAGCGAGGCGCCTCCACCACCTCCCCCTCCTGGGTCTGGCTCTCCTCCCCCTCCACCTGGCGGAAGCTATAACGCTGTGAGTAGAAACTGCATTTCATATCTCATATTGAGGCAAGCTAGTCAAACTAACCCTGCCTCTATAGGTCCCGCCACCACCTGGTCTCTAAGTCAGCCCAACCCCTATGAGAACAGCCTTTTTTTGACTCTTGAAATATTAGAAAGCAAGGGCACCCCTCATTACATGCGGAAAGATGTACCAACGAAAGATGTACAAATATCTATTTCTCCTCTTTTGTTGCTATTCTTTCGTGCTTTAAGTACTAGCTTCTCTTTGCGGATTCTTTCATTTCGACTACGGAGTAACTTGGTCATTATACTGTAGGCTGAAGGTAGGTATCTAGATAGGGTCTCGCTCGTTCCTCTTCGGGGTCGTTATGGACTACTCCATGTTTTCCCTCATAATACAATACATATAGGCATTATTGGTAGTACTTTCTTGTCTATGTCCCTAATGAATGAACATAAATAGAAGAAGCCATCCATTGCCACAGTTCCAAGGTCATAAAATAGATTGCTCGTGGAAACTAGTCAATCGTCCATCATCAATAAACACTATCACAATCGAATCTATTTCATTCCGGGATAATCATAACACTGCATATTAAAACCCGCCTGAGGCCGTCGAGAATGCCTAAACATACCCGGAAACATGACCTGCATGTACGGCGCAAGACCCCAGTCTATCATGTCTTCTTCCGGGACACTCGGGGGAGCCATTTTAGCTTTGCGACGCATTACGGCTGCGGGTCCTTCTTTGCAGAAGTCGCAGGCGAAGTTACATGGAGATGTCTTTTTATGTTGGTCTTCTTTCTCCTCGGATTTTATTCTCTGTGTTGTTGGCTGGGGGGTACGTCTCGTTTCAAGTTCGAGGTCTCCGCCGAATTCTTTGATAATCTCATGTCTGCACCGGGTGGTTGTTTCGCAGTATCGGATTACCTTGTTGAAGCTTTCTAGTCGGGCCTGCTGGTTTTGGCTCTTGGAGCGTGCGTCTCTGCTATTCTCCGTGTTTTCCAGACTATCCGTTTCAATGGTGGAGGTGCTATATGACCTCTTTATTCCGGTTCCGGCACGCGTTTGGACCTTTTCGGCATCACGACGGAGATGGTCGAGGATCCGGTCTCGCTCCTGCGTATTGTAGTAGATTAGGGATACGGCAGCGCAGCCGTCACGACCTGCACGGCCTGATTCTTGGACAAAGCCTTCGAAGCTCTTTGGGGGGTTCCAGTGGACTACGAAGCGGACGTGAGGGTTGTCAATGCCCATGCCAAAGGCGTTCGTGGCCACAACTATAGAGAATACCGGGCGTTGTTTATCGGGTTTGTCTGGAAATAGGTTGGTTGATGTCCACATCATCTGAATGCGGGATCGTTCTGCGGCGGGGAGGCCAGCATGGTATGGTATGGCGTGAATGTTGTCGCCGGATGCTAAGAGAGATGCGGCGAGTTTTTCACATGTAGAGCGGTATGAGACATATATGATGCCTGATATGGGTGGGAGTTTCATAGCAGCTTCTGTGCCTAATCTGGTCTCTCGTCGGTTCTGGATTGATTTCAGCCACGCTACAAGGTCGTCGACCTGAAACTCTTCCGGGTATGTAGGGTCACTGGCAAAGTCCTCGAGATAGCGAATCTCATAGTGGATATTGGGGCGGGCGGAAGGAGTAGTGAAGGTTTTCAGGGTGTTGATATCAAGTCCAAGCAGGTTGATGATATCTGCACGGACACGCGGTGTGGCAGTAGCCGTTAGAGCAGTAATCGGGATAGATGGATTTCTCAGCGCACGCTTGAACCAGGACAACTCCTTGTACGCAGGACGAAAGTCATGGCCCCATTCGCTGATACAATGGGCCTCATCAATCGCAATACGACGCAGTTCCCCCTGGGAGTGGATGGTTAATAAGTTACGCCGGAATGACTCCGTCAGACATAGTTCGGGAGTCACATAGAGAAGACGGGTTCTAGGATGTCCCGAAAGCAAGTCCTCTGTAATTTTTCTTCTTTCAGGCAAGGGAGTGGTTGAATTGATCGTTGCCACTGCTACGCCAAGTGCCTGGAGAGCAGTAACCTGGTCAACCTGGGGGAAATGTCAACATCACAGCCCTGAGGGGAGAGTACATCATCGATATTCATATCTTAAATCATAACTGACCATCAGTGCGAGCAGTGGACACACGACAACCGTCACTAGACAGAGAAAACGATCAGAATTGGATTCTCGGAAAGCAGAAAGCAGGTAGGTCTGGAGAAAGACTTGTCATTTACCCCCGTAGCTAACAACAGCCGGCAACTGAAAGCACAAGCTCTTGCCGAACGACGTAGACGCCTGCAGAAATACATCATGGTCTTCGATAGCCGCAGAGATGACCTCTCGTTGAAGGGGGCTGCAGGTAGTAAGTATACCATGTCAGCTTGTCTGTTTCGTAGGATCGATTACGACCAGCATCAACGCACCGGAAGGACTTCTTTTTGAAAACTCGATGCAGAGTAAAATCTATATCCACCTTAGCAAGATGAAAGTCTCTCCTCTTAGACATGACGACATTGTAGAGAAGAAGGAGCGTGCGCTGTTGCTCTTGACTGCTTTGAAGATAGGAAGACGCGCCGTCGCGATCGGGAGACCGCGATGTCACATGATGTGAATTTCTCGATTTGAGAGTAAGTTATTGACTTAACCGTTTGTATTTCATGAAGATGGTTAGGGAAGATGCTGCGAGGACTTTCATATACTGCATTCCATTCAGCTTCTTGGGCTAAATCTAATGGTGTATTGTTCAGTACTGCAATTCTGCAACTCTGTCCGGTAACCTAGTATAACAGAACTATCTGCATAGACAATTATCTAGAATGTGGTCCTATTAAAGTACCCGAGGAAGATGAATGAGCTGTCCTCGCCTGGACCATCGATGCCATCGGCTCAAAGATCGCGCAATCGCCCACCCACTGATCTATGGTCATCCCCTGTTGAAAATGCGACGCCAGATGTCGCGCTCGTTTGTCCCAACTGTCAAAGGTCTCCCAGCAGAAGCCACAGTAGCTCCGGACCCCATCTTGGCTCTGCTGGAGCAGATTCAGGTTCGGGTTCCAGCCCGCCCATTTCCGACAGCCATGGAACTTGTACAAGTGTTGCCACAGGTGATCCTTGCGAGGGAAGGTTCGTTCCTGTAGTGGGCGTTCGGAGCAGGCCTCAAACTCATGCGACTGCATATGTTCCTCTGTCGGCGAGTTGTGACCGCATAAGAGGCATTCTGGGCTGCCTTGCTTAACGCGCCAGACAGTTAGCGGTTGGTCTGCGGGTACTGGGATTGCGCAAACCCATGAATCTAGGCCGGGGAGGTGGATGGATTTCTCATGTCGAAGCCAGTCGTATTTCTTTTTGAAGGTGCGCCGACAGAAGGTGCATTGGTATATGCAGCGCTTGACGGGTCTGGTTACTGGTGACGGCAGAACAGTTGACTTCCCATCATCTGAGCTTTGCAGCGATGGAGACTGGAAATTTGAATGGGCGGAAAACTGGTAAGAATAGCAGGAAGATGCAGAATTCGACGATGTATACTCCAACACAGAGCACGCGTAGATCTCTGGATCTCTACTCGATGACGAGTTGCACGAGTCTATGTCTCCAGGACCGAAAGCGTCAAGACGGTCATTGTTAGCACCTAGAAAGCTGGACAGGGATTTCTCGATAGTAGACATTGAGACCGGTTCATCTTCAGGAGGTGAATTCCGCCATCGCTCGAACGGCGTCATGTTGGAGAAGGGAGACGGCGGTACAGGAGATCCCTGTGGGAAGACAACTTTGGAAATATCTCGCGTGGATTGCCGGTACCGTCGTCTGGCGTTCGCCAACCAACAACTGACCTGCGTCTTGGTCAATTTGGACTGTCGCGCAAGGGACGACTTTTCGTCTTCAGTGGGATACGGGTGATCGAGGTGGCACGCAAACCAGTTTCTCAATATTTGCGTCTTTCTGACCGAGCGGGACCAGGCCTTTTTGCTGTTGGAGGCTCTTGCTGTGGTATTCACTGGAGAAGGCTCATACGGCAGTGCCTGTACGCTGTCTGCCACGGTTCCCTCCTCGTTGACTCCGTGCAACTGACCGATGACGGGCTGGGGAGTTTCAAAGTTCGACGGCGGGCGCTTCTCTCCCCGGGCCAGACTGCATTCTCGGAAGAGCGCCACGCAGCTGGAACATGATGAGACGGGGTTGGGATTGGCAGAGGTCGTTTGAATAATGAAGCATGCTAGTCCCAGCCTGCTGCAATGGCTGCATGGGACAGGAGGATGATAGCTCCTGTTCTCGATGAAGTAGTCGTCTAACGTCAAGCCAGGGACCTCCGACGGCCAGACAGGGAACTCTTGATCCCCCAGCAGATCTGGTAGTATCATTTCTGATAGACAGGCAGATTCCACTGGGATGGAGGTTGATGCATCGTTGGCTGTTCCCATGTCAATGACTCAATGACTCAGACGAGAAATTTGGCCTGAAAAGCAATGCTCGTATTATATTTAGAATTAGCGCCATTAGCTAGTCGATAATCTTTGATGCTGAAGTTTATGAAGAAGTCGGAAGTGGAGATTGTCCCGAGAGGGCGCAGTCTTCTGTTCTATCTATCATTCTATTCTGGATTCACTCTGTATGATTTCTCTTCAAGTTGCTCCTCGTTCTCTCCATCAATCCCCCCAGTCCCCTTGCTATCCACAAATTCCAGAATCCTAACAACCCACCCCCTACTCTCATCCATTAGTAAAGATGAAAATATACCCCCCTCCTCGATACTTGATTTGATCACAGTATCTCCGGCTATGCTTCACATATTGTCATTAGGCCATGATCTGTTGAAATTTCCAATAGAACCAGAATCACATAAAGAATCTACAAAGAATAACTGAAGTATCAAGTCCGGCGGTGCGCTTGTCTTGCTAAGCTGGAATGGTTGAAGCCTAGAGTATAGCCACTCACTACATAATAGACAGAGCACATGTCAAAGGCATATCTAAAATATAAATTCTCCCTGTCGGTCAAATTGCGAACTTCCTGCCCCTCCGGCTGCGGTGGAAGCTCAGCAGCAAGTTTATCCCGCCTTCGATTCTCCTGGTCATTGACATAGTACAGAACTAAACACACCAGCAACGCAATAGTCCACATAGCGACGACTGCCCACATGGCATCCGGATAAGCAGGCGACTTGCGGTACGTCTGCGGACCGACCAGAAAGCCAACATAGTACCCGATCAACGAGACGGCGTTGACGGTGGTCCTCCTCGTGTGGCCGGCTGGATTCGACGAGATGACCGAAAAGACGAGCACTGGCACCGTTGTTGCCGATCACTAGGTAGTATCCGATCAACTGGCCCACAGGGTATGCGGTGATTCCTGAGCGGGAGAGGCCCATCATCAGTGCGATGCCTAGTGGCCCGAGGATCTGGCCGCCCGCAGCGCAGAACATGCGGTTGTTGACCTTGGTTGCTAGGTAGGAGATCCCAAGCATGGAGATCACTTCGACTACGCCTCCCAGCATAGTGAGGAGGAAAGTGATCTGGGAATCGAAGCCGAAGCTTTCGATGAGCTGGGTGAAGAACACGGTGATGCTGCCGTTGGGGATGTCGACGGTCACCATGAAGATAAATATCACGTATGTCTGGTGTGTGAGTTAGTTAACGAGTTTCCAGCATGATGCACCTCACAGTAGTCAGCAATCCGGGGATGAGAAAGATTGCTTTCCACGAAGAGAAACTGTAGTGGCCTTCGAAGCCGCGTGAGACTCCGTATGCCAGAATACCTCCGACGACTTGAACCACCCCGTTGAATGAGAACCAGATGGCACTTCGAAGAGCTTGGTCTTTCAACAGAAACCACTGCGCAGTAATCAGAACGAAGCCTAGTCGTAGCGGTTCAGAGTTATATCTAATGTCCGTAATGCATAGAAACTCCAGCTGTAACAGCACCTTCCAGCCCTCCCAGAAAGAACCGCACAGCCAGGACACCAACAGCATTGTCCGTGCCAGCCGTAGCAGGGAGTATTGCACCCCAAATGACCACCGAGACAGAGATGTATTTGCCCAGGGGGGATCACTGCATGAGACGGTTATGCGGATACTCAAAGACTAGATATCCGATGTAGAAGATGGTCCCAGTCAATGAATACTGACTGGCACTCATATTGGTATTCTTTTGATCCCCATGGATGAAGCGTATGACAGCGTTGTTTTGTCAAGATATTGCAGCAGATAGAGCCCGCACATCCAAGGAAGCATATGGAAATCGATCTTGCGGCGGACGTTTCTCTCTGTCTCCTTGCTGATCTCGACCTGGTGAGCTGCGAATTCCAAGGCCTCGTCCTGTCCACGCTCGTCTTCTACCTGGCATTCAGCATCTGAGCGGTCTTGGGAGGCGTTCAGGGCAATATTTTCCATGAAGTTCTTATCGTTGTCGTTCTCATCCGGCACGGCTGAGTTGGATGTGCTCATCGCGAGCCATATGCAGACCTAGCCTGCTTCTTCTGAGGATAAATAGTGAGCTTACAAAATCCAGAATCTGGGCATGTCAAGGATTCTATCCTCCTGCCCAGAAAGATACCATGCGTGGTTCTGGAGCTGGGAGGATTATTCCGTCATGCCTTGCCTCGGTTGGAAGAATAGATTGATGGAAAGGTCACGGTGCCTTCTGGTGTTAGCGACATAACCTCGATTAGAAGATACTTTCTTAGAAAAGCTCACGAAGAGCAAGAAGAAACCCCGTATCAGCAAGCACAAGGAACGTTCCCAACGGTGATCCCATTGGGGGGAGACTCAATGACCATCCAAGAAGCACTTCAAGTCCTTCAGCCTACTACATCATTGACTGATATTTTCGGTTCGTCTGGACTTTCTCCTGCGTCTGCAAACGCAGTGTATCCAGAAGGCCTCCTTAACTGGATTCCGTTTCAGAACCAAACAATCCATCCGTGATCGACGTTGCGTCAAACTGGTTATCGCCCATGGAAGGCTCGTTGTTTTGTCATGGAGGTGGGCTTGAGCTAGACGATATATTTACTGCATTTAACGAGTTGCTTTTATTGAGCAATAGCTATGCTATCGTTCTGCTCCAGTCCACCTACATCCCTTCTCGGTATCGACTGAAAAGAGCGAGCGCTACGACATCATAATCAAAATGTCATGCAAAAGATGATATTTTTAGATTTTATACTTACATCAAATCTTCTCAGAGGTCTTAGGATGATCTTGTACATTTCCAACAGATTGACGTGTTGCGCCGCGTACAATACTCCAGAGCCAGCACCGAACTAGAAATGGACAGCCTACATGCCGTCTAAATGCGCAGTTTCTGTGTATTTATCAGTCATCATTCTGATCAATATTCTACGAAATTGTTACCAAAGACCTCTCGTCGCTTGTGATGATGCATGGATTACACACCACGACCGCTGGACTCTGCGCATATAGCAGCACCATGCAGTAGGACGACTGTTCGAGATGGCAATGTGCATGCGAAAGGCATTTTTCTTGCACACAGACCTACGGTCGAGATAGGACAGTTTATGCAGCATGCCAGGTTGTTGGATCTTAAGAGGAGATTTGGAGATTGTGTCCTACGGCTATGACTACGGTCTTGGCTGCCCTCATCTACCAGTTTCTCTCGAGTTCCATGAAAAAGACATGGAATTGTCATTGATGATTATTGTATTCTTTTACTGTACAAGGGCAATCTATGACACCACAGGGTATATCCTAAAAAAATCCTCTATATGTGACCACCCCCAATGATATGACTTACAGTCCGATCTGTTCCCCTTCATCTCCACCCTTCGCCGCTTGTCCTGGCCAGCTGTCTTTGTAACTCCTCTCGAACGGCAATGACATCCGATACCCTGCGCTTTTGGGGTTGCCAGACCGATTCGATTTTCAACCATACTTCAACGAGTTCCTGTGATGTACTGCAGGTGCCGAATGCCCGGAGAATGGAGATGATGATACGACGGCCGAAGAATATGCCATTCTCGAGTTGGGCCTCGAGCTTGTCCAGTTCAGATTTCTGCTCTGGGCCGTCCTGGGTGCTGTGATTAGTCATATTTTCGTCGCTCTCGTAGTCACTGCCGAACAAGTCGTCCATGTCAATATCGTCCATATCGTCATGTCGGTGCTTATCAAATGTATCCATATCGGCGTTTTCTTCAACTTCAACTTCTATGTTTGCCTCTTCTTGTTTTTCTCTTCCCTGTTCCACGTCTGACAGCTCGTTGTCCTTCTGGGGTTCCGGTTCGGCTGATGGCAAAGACAGATATGACAGGCCGGGAGTATCTAGCCCCTTTTCTTTCTCTTGTTTTGTACTTGATAAAAGCGGATTCTCCCAGCCAAGTTTCGGTCGTTGATAGTTGTGACGCTCAGTGTACCTTGCTTTGGAATCGTAGACAGCCCGAATGAACGTCTGCCAGGCCTCTCGCAATTTATCAATAGACCATTGTTTTTTCTTACCCCCGAAACGGGCAAATCCCTCAAAAAGTAGAAAATACACAACTCCCCGGGGCGGGATAGCGACGGCTTCTTCCATGTCCCCAAGTACTGATATGAATCCTTCTAAATTCCCTGATGTTCGAGCGTGGTAGGAGAGAAGGATGTGGAAAGTCCTCGTATCAGGAGTTATCGGTAATGATTCTTGTAGGGCTCGATGGTGCTTGGGCATTGCATTCTTGAGAGAGGCTGAGAGGTGTAGAAGCTGGCCAAGTCTTTTTGTCTTATTCCGGTATACGGTGAATTCCGACGTTAGCGTTGGGTAGTGGTACTTAGGCCGATTGCCCGCGTCCAATTTTCTCTTCATCTTCCGTTGTTCATCCACCATCCGTTCATATAGCTGTTCTGCCGTGCGGACATCACCAGCTCGGATGAACGAGGCAATGAGGCAATTTACGACGACCGTATCAACGAGGCCACCAGAGGCAACAAAGGCCTGGAATGCCTCTCGGATACCATCAGAATCTCGCAATAATCCCATATAATACATATGGGAGACTTTCCCAAAGCGATCAAAGCTGAGACCACGGCTTTCCATCTCCTGTATTAGGCGGTCCGCAACGGTGAATTGGCCGGCTCTGATGGCTAGATCAAACAGGACACTGAAGACAACACCATCGGACTTTATTCCCGCTACCCGCTCCATCTGTTGCCATACGCCTATGGCTCTCTCCAAATCCCGCTTAAACACTCTACCACCCGCACGGCCAGTGAGGTGAATGGCAGATGTCCACAATGAGCGAGATATTGGGAGATCAGCAGCAATCATATCTTCCAACAAAGCCATAAAACGACGTGCATCCGGCCACCGTCGGTTGGGGGGGCTGGCGAATCGACGAAGAAGCACACCACGCGAGCGTTTAGAAAGCTGCGCTACTCCAGGACTCGGGAGGCGTCTATACAGACTAAAGAGATACTGTGTTGATTTTGCCTCATCTGTAAGCGCAGTGACGAATTCTTCAACAACCGGGCTTTCCAAAACATCAACATCACACGACCTATCCGGGGAATCAGTTGGATAACCATGGACACCAGTCGTGACAGTCCAAAGAGCCGGCCTCCAGCCCTGGGGGGCCATTTTACGGCCAAGCGTATCGCGGTATAATTTCTCCATGGAATTGAATGTATCCCAGGCCGGCGTACGCTGTTGATATCTGCCTGGGGGGATGATGCGCGATGCAGGAGAAGCTCTCGAAGCAGTTTCATGAACAGGATGATATCTTTCCGGAGAGGAAACCGGGTAGTCAAGTTCCCTAGAATAGCGGGTTTTCGACCGTTCGTCTAGTTCTCCTCTCAATCGCCAGTGTGTATCTTCTTTCTCTTTTAACCGTCGCGGCAAAGGTTCCTCTACCGAAGCATCCTTTAAACCAGCTTTAATATCATCCCCATCAGCACTGTTAGTATCCTCCAAAGCTTGTGGAAGTGTACTGGAAAACATCCTTTGTATCCTCGAAGAGCGCATTTCTTCACGCTCTGCTCGTGAACTCAGATATCCGAGTCGATTTCTAGACAACGGCAGCCTGTTGTCCGCGACGCCCGCGCTTCTCCACCTTGCCACATTACCCTCTGTAGCGGCCATTGACATCGTAGATAGCCCTCTGCCATGAGGGGAATGCTCGTGACAGAAACCGGCCATCACCAGCGAGGTGACAAAGATGTCAGCTACAGATGCAACGCTCGGGCGCGGACGTCGCGGATTGAATCTCCGGAAAGGGACATTGTGGGACGGGGGTTCTGAATTAGGCATGAAACTGGACTTGGGGAGGAATGAAGGATCCAAGTCCTGCTTGGAGTACAATCGCAGGGATGGGTGGTAGTAGCTTTCGGGGAATTTATTGGGACGAGGCATAAGACAGACATTGTGGCATTGGGTTAACCATGCATATCGCGGGGAGAAAATGGCGACGCCTGGAGGTCTGAGACAGCCGCTCTGTACAAAGCAGCGGCTGAAACAGAGCGATGTGAGAGCAAGGAAGGATGGTGAAGGCGATGAGATGAGGCCGCAGACACACTCAAATTATTCTCGCTGCAGGTTCAGAAGGCGGAGCCGCCGGACGTCCAATCGGAGCGGACTTGTTACCCAGGCCTCTTTTTCACGTTTCCCGCGCAGCAAAGACGCTTCTTCCACCTTGAGATCAAGCGAAACCCCGTCCAAGGAGATTCTGGCTACGAGTTACGGTGCTTCATCTCATTGTCCCCCCGAGGGCCCTCTCGATCGCCGGTTTCTCCCATCTCCGTGGCGCAACCGCCCCAAATCCTCCTGCAATGGGTAAATACAACCTCACAGCCCTGAGGGTGCGGCAGACGGCTCTCAACCAGAAGTCCAATGGCAAGATTTCCAAATTCCCACAGTGGTTTGACGTCGTGCGCGACATCCCCCCGTCTGAGGTCCTCATTCGAAACCAGCCACAGCAGCACCAGCTCATCCGACAGCGCGTGAAGACGATTCCCGGAACCTCGAAGCCGCAGGTCACTTTCGAGGTCCAGGAGAAACCTGTGAAACCAAAGAAGGCAAGCCGTTTGTTTCAGCCTGTTGAAATCAAATATGAGGAGGACCAGCTTCGGAAGGAATTCTTCCGTGATCATCCCTGGGAACTCGCCAGGCCCCGGGTTCTCGTTGAGAGCACAGGCAAGGACTTTGAGAGATATGATTGGAGTCGGATCCAACAGCCAGGAAAGAGACTGGACGGCGAGAGGTGTGTAGACTTGATTCGTATTTATCTCAATGAACGCCTTCACTACAGATATCCCGGGAAGAAGTGCTAACGCAGCTTTTACTACAATAGTGTCGTCCAACGACAGCTTTGGCTCCTCAACAATATACCCGATATGAACAAAAGTACTGCATACGATATTGCGCGTCGAGAGTTCTATCGACTCCGTTTGCAAGAGGACATTGAGCGACGGGTCGCTGCCGAGGAAGCGGAAGCCACCGGCGCGGTCTTTGGTCCGTCACTATTAGAGGTCGGAATGGAACTTGAGAACAAAGAGTTTGAGCACTGGAAGGAATGGGCCAAGATGGAAGTTGAAGTACAGAAGCAAAATAACGTGGCATTCGTTGGTGCCCCGGGGATATCGGGTGATGAGGAGCGCATTACTTTGGACGAGGAACCAGAGGCAGAGCCCGAGCCGGCAGTGGCTCCGCAAACAACCTGAGATGATGCTCGATGTCTATTTTCCCTTCAGTTTGGATTGTGTTTCTAATCTTCTATTGCGCTGCCTGTCTGGAAGTCCCAACCAGGAAAGGTCCATGGGCAATGTATAACTACTAAAAATCACTTGGGTTTCTCTTCTTGCCATTATCTTGCAGCCCTCATGTTATTATATAACCTCAAAAATAACTAACTACCACTGTATATAATAATATATAAGCATCAGTATACTAGGCCTCCATCCACCGTGCAGGAGCCAGAAAAGTGCACCAATGGCAGATCAGGCGTGCCGAAGCCTCATCTTATCGAGGGCGGAATTGCTTCACCTTGAAACATCCAGCCATCACCATCCCCTTCACTTCGCATCCTAGTTTTCTTTTGCTTCCATTTTGTTTGTTTTTCTTTCCTTTTATCCTTCAGTCCTTCCCTTTTAATATCAGCTATAGGCTCAATTTTCTGGTTGAATTTCTTCGTTCTTGTGATTCTCTGACTTATCTTCCCGTCACGCCACTCCAGGAGCCCTGCCATTTCTACACTCAGGTTTTCAAGGAGTCATCAAGGTTGAGTTCGAGGAAGCAGGGACAGTCATTTGGCAGGAGACTCTCGCAGGATTCCGTTGCGGGCGGCATCTTGCCCATTGGCCTCCGACGCCTGATGAGCCGCCCTTAGTTCACGGTCTGACACGCTGCCGCGCTGTGGCTTCGTCTCGCACCTCGCTTCGAGCTCGGATCGATTGATTACTACATGGCACTCTAAAATACCGGCAATTTGACAATACGTCTCTGTGTGTGGTGTCAATAAATGATGCTCTCATACGCATTTGACCGTCCCGAGAATCCTCGATATTCCTGCGTCATCGCGCGTTATCACCTCATCGGTTGATTTCTGCTCTCTCATCTTCGATCATGCTCTCCATGATGGTCCATCCCGAGGATACTATACGAGAACCTCGTTCCTACCATGTCGAAACAGGCGATGATGACGCCCCCGTCGGACCGTCCGAATCCACTCTACGTTCCCATCCAACCATTGATCTACTGCCCGACCATGAAGAGGGATTTACGCAAGCAACTGAGTTGACCAGGGACAATATAGGAGATCAACACTTACTGCCCAGGGCACTCACACAAGAGGAGACTATCGAACTTGTTCGTAGGACAGTTGAAATTGGATTTCAAGAGACCCAACGCTCTTTGGCCGGGAACGAGGCTGTCAGTGATGTGGTAAAGCCAAAGTTGACCATTGATCTGGGGTATTCCAACATAGTCCGTATACCTGAGGCGGTAGTAGATATTATCAAGGACGAGGTCGAGAGGTTTGTTTTCCACCCTCCGGGGAGGCGGGGAACCTTCGCCGGAAAGTCAAGTATGATGGTTAGAAGCTGACTTCCCAAGGCTCTCTTTGTCGAACAACCGCATATTCCATATTCCTTATCGGTTTTCAGAATGCTGCCATCTTCGTTATTTGAACATACGCGCGAACAATTTCCGCGAATTTCCCAGAGGGGTACGCTGCTTATACTCTCTCAGCTTCATCTTTCCTTAATCTAATATTGCTGGTTTAGGTATACAAATTGCCGTTACTTGAAATATTGGATATCAGTCGAAATAAAATCACCAAATTGCCCGATGAAATCAATAGACTGTCGTCTTTGCGTGTTTTATCTGTTGTACAGAATCGCCTTGATGATCTCCCGCTTGGCATTTCCGACATGAACAAACTTCAAATATTGAAGGTTGCAGGAAATCCCTTGAGACGCCCTTTGCGACGGGTTCTGGAGGCTGTAGAAGCTGAAATGACTCCGTCAGTGGCAGATAAGGAGAAGGAAATCGCGGCGACGGCGGAGCTGAAAAGGTTTCTCAAAACTCAGCAGCCGATCCCACCCTTAGATATTGATGCAGGAAGTGATCCAGGGTACGACCCTTGATGACGATATATTCTAGAGCCAAACTAATTCTACTTCAATAGAGATATCGTGCTGGATACTCCCAGGCCCGTCAAACGCGGACTAAACAGTCGCTTCCCCGTGATCCCAAGTATTGGTGACGGTTCTTCTGATTCGAGATCGTTCTCTCTATATCGCCCTCCCCCGATTCCCGTAAGATCCCATTATCGCATTGCTTCTGGTCAAGGAGTCCCATTTCACCGTCCTGGTTTCAACTCTTCTGGGGCAAATGAGCGCATTCGGAGCAACAGTGAGGGCATTATTCAGGCCTCTATTGCTGCGCGAAATAAGCGAATGGGAGCTATCAATCGGAAGAACGCAGATCTAAATACGTTGAACGAATTTCGGCCTTATAGGAATAGTCATTTGCGTGGTCTGAGCCATGGCTCTGTGCTGAGACCACGGCCATCTGGTCTTTCTAACCCCTCTGGCCCTAGTAGTCCCATGGAACGCCGTCGTTTGAGGGACGGATTTGTAAACCGGATGTCAAGCTTGCCAGAACATAGAGAAAGAGAAGTTCGTGAGCCTATCATTGAGGGTGCTAAAGCGATTTTATTCGCCCTTTTTCAAATCCAGTTCCATATCTCGATGTTGATAAATGTGATCAAGCAAGACGACTCTCGACGAAACAGCCTCGAGCTCGTGTTCTACAATGCTTCTACTCATGTGGATAGGCTCAATGAAGCTCTCGAGAATGCAGGGAATGCTACATCAGACGACGGCGACGCAGCGAGATTATCAAGAGAGGTTGTCAAACAAGAGTGTCAGACATGCATTATGGCATATATGCATGTTGGCACACAGCTGCGTAATGCCCTGGAGAAGATAGTAGCTAACGGCGACTCACGCTACATACGGTCTCTTATGTTGATGATGTACGGGAGTGCGGTTGAACTGCGGAACGCTTGCACGAGTCTTGGTATTGCATTGACAGGCGATAAGCGACATTCTATACAGAAGCCGCATAAACCACAGATTAACCAAGAGACATTTGGCACGGATCGAATTCCCGAACAGATGTCCCCTTCTAGAGAGCTACCCACGCAGTCGCGTCGGCAGCGAAGTGAAACCGTGATCAGGCACCCCCCTCCTCAGGCTAGTGGACCACAAACATCAAGTCAGGAAGCTTCGCCGAGTCTAACCCCTCCATCTTTCGGGCAAGATGGACGTAGTCGGTCGAACAGCAGGTCAGTCCCGGCTTACACGCCGGCAGTGCCCTCGCCACTCGCAACCCCCCATTCCCAAGAATTCTTTCTCCCGACACCAAACTCTGTTGTCTCTCGCATAAACCCGTTGACTGGGTTGGAAGAAATCGAGGAGGAACGAATTTTTGAGAAGATTTTTTACCAACTGACCCAAGCGTACAATGCTGCCCTTCAAGCTTTGCCCATGGCCTGTCGCCAATTCGCAAGATGTCTGGAGATGTCAGAGCAGTCACGAGAATCAGAAGGGGTACAATTACTCTGGAACAATCTCATACGCCGATGCCGCATATGCTTGGAGTTGTCGGAGGCACTTGGGCACCGCATTTCAAACATGAAGGTAAAAGAACCCGGTGGTGGCATGCGAAATCAGCGGGAGTTTTGGCAACTCTGCAAGGCCTTCATGCAGTCGTTTGTAGATCTTGCAACCGACATGCGGGATGTGAAGAACATGCACATCCTGCCTTCTGAAATAATTGTCGTCCTTCGGCCGGTTCAGAGGGCATGCAGAGAGGCCGGAAGATTGATAGAGGCATCCCCTTGGTCGTATGTCGCAGACATGGTTACCTCGACGCAGCCTCCGGCCAACATATACGGCCCGCCCTTATCGGCGCAGCATTTGCATCATTATCCATCCGTGTCTACCTCCACATTTGTGTCCCACGGCGGCTCTTTTTCGCCTGCTTCTGGCATGTCTCTCCCTGCGACCCCCTTGAGCGCTGCCCTCGGTCCTGCTGCGCAGGCAACCGTGCCATCCACGCCGGCAAGCGCTTATAGCGATAAGTTCTTTGAAGGAGACGTCTTCCAAAGAGCTGAGTCTTTACTTTCAATGCCGAATCAAGCACCTTTCTTCTCTCGGAGATGACCCTGATTCGGCATATTTCACATGGGGCTTTGTCCCTTGGTTCATCGGTCATTCGAACATAGAATGCTCAATCATCCAACATGGATTACAGTGTTTTCAAACAGCTATCATTTTGGCATCTTGCATCGCTTCATCTGCCAACCAACTTAACAGGCTGTGTATTTTCTCTTACCTGCTCCCTGGCAGGTACATAATAGTTTTCCCCTATTTCATCAAAATCTTCTCGTTTTTATTTCGGTATTTACGGGCCTCAGAACCAAAGGACTTGGATCGGAGCATATGTCATATGTTCATATAAAGGGGATGGTGCATAGCCTCTTTTTCTTCCTTTCGTGTTTATCTTTCTATCTAGTCCTCAATCTTGCATAGACACATCTGTGCTGATCCCAGGCTGGTGCTGGTTCATGGTTGCGGGTTCTTCACAAAACGCATGCATGTATTATGTCATGGTCATCTACAAAATCTTCCACCATAGCTTACCTTGTTACAGTGTATTTTGCGCTCCGGATATAACGGGTCAGATCTTGTGGTAGAAAAGTGAATGAGATAAACAGTTATTGTTTTAAATAGCCAGGAGTCATTTCTATGTGGTTTAGGGTTATAGCCAGTAAACATGTACGACTGTATACAACAGTGGAATTCAATGGAATGTTTCCGTTCTGTTTGTTTACTTACCAAATCTTCAAGAATGTATATCAGAGGAAAGTCGAAAAAGAAATTTTTTTGAAAAAATGAAAAAATGAAATCAATCTAACCCACAACAACGTCCCGAACATACGAAAACATCTCCCTCGGCTTATCAACAAAGACGCTATGTCCCGCACCCCGAAATAAATGATAAGTAATTCCTCGCCCAGAAGTCCAGTTTCCTGCAACATTTCCTCGCCTCACAGACGTCGGCATCGCGTTGTCCGCGTAGAACTCTTTATTCGGTGGATGAGCGAACCCCTGCGCACCACGCCATGTCATGTTCTGCAAGGCTACCTTCATGCCGATATGGTTAATCAGCATATCGTGTTCTCCCTGGTAAAAGTGGAGGGGGATATTGTTCCTTGTCACCAGGGTTGGGAGGAGCGAATATGCGGGCGGAGTGGGTTGTTTCTGGAGGGTGAAGTGAACACCGACATGTTACAAGCTGTGAAGGGTAAGGAGGTTTCTGTATCTGATGATGATGGAGCGATGATGTTTAGTGCTGATTGAACGTCTATGCGGCTGAAATATGTACTTGCTAGGAGGCTGGGATCTGGGGTGTTGCAGGTTGCGGTTATATCGTACATGTCGAAGCAAGGGTTAGCTTCGGCTGTGCCGAGGTAATCGAGGACTGTGGAGAAGGTGGCACAGGATCCGTAGCAGGTGTTGTTTAGGATGGAGTTGAGGACCTGTGTTGGGGTCTTTGGATATTTGTTGCAGAGGGGGTTTAGGGTGTTAGGCAAGCTCCGGCGTTGAAGAGGCATAAGACGACGTCGGTGCTGCGGTAGGAGGCGTTTAAGCTTGTGTCCGTTATTCCTGAGCTCATCGCGGCGTTTCATGTTAAGACCCTGCGGATTGCCTTGGATATGCAGCTTCCCCTTCGGGGGGTAGAGACTTGCTTCCCTGAGAATCGTGTCAAACCCGCATATGTGATCTGCCTCGGCGAATGCGGCAAGGATGTCATCGGGTATGCCAAGGATTTCGCTCTGAGACTGGAGGTAGCTGCCAATGCCTACGGACGATAGGGTTGCTGCGTTTGCCCAAGCGCCGTCTCCCATCGAGAGGGATTGGAGATTGATAGGGAACGAATCGTGATTCTTCACAATCTCAGTTGCAAAGTATGGGACATAGATACCCGCGTATGATTCTCCAATTAAATGGACTCGCTTTGACTGCAGATGCGGAAACCGAGCAAAGAACGACTTCAGCCATCTGTAGAAACTGGATGTCACTTGGTCATTATCTGCCACTGGGTAAGGGTCACTAGCAGTCGAAAACCCTGTGCCCACTGGCTGGTCAACGTAGAGGACATGGCCAAGCTTGGTCCAAGAATACGGATTTCGTGCCAGTTTGGAGGAATCGCCCACGAAAGAGATGGGCCCGTTTCCGGAGGTCAATCCAACAAGAGATGAGCAGCTGGGCCCGCCGGCAAACCAGACTATGAGAGTAATTGTTAGTATGGAGGTATCAATCACATCAAGACCGGTAGACTCACTGATGAGATTATCATCGTACATGGGGTCTTCAGTCTCGAAGAGCCAGAAAAAGAGAGCGTTCCCCTCAGGCATATCTGGAACAGGAAGCCGGCCAGCCCAGCTGCGCGGCAAAGAAGGACTGCCAGGCAGATGTCGTACTTCAAACTCAGACACGCAGAATGACAGCACCGAACGAGAAAGTAAAAGCAACCACACTACCAGTGATGCACGCAGATACGCGGCGAAAGTAATGATTCCCATGGCTTTCAACAGGACAAAAAACAATTAATTGCTTGATTTGGAGAAGTGATAGCAAAGACAAGTCAAAGAATTGACCGAATAGTCCAGCAAATCCGCAGTTGCAAACGACAAGGGAAACGGAGGGATAAAAGCAATGAGAGGCCGGGGGGGACAAGCAACAGTTAATCTCGGGCGTTTTCATAGATGCAAGCTTCCAGGGGATGAAATTGAAAAAGTCCATTGGCAATTATTGAGGAAGTGCTACTCCCATGTCGACGACAATAAGTGCATGGCCTATTGAGAATGGGGAATATGTACCGACGAGTTACATCGGACGGTGCCCGAGCTGAAATCTGGGATGCATTGATCGGGATGGCTACCAACATGGATGTTCTAGACAGTGTCTCGAGATGGTAGTTTGATGCCTATTGACAGAATCGAAGGGATCCTGGCAAAGAAGAAAGTCGTTTGATGCTCGATGGCGTTCACGTGAATTATAGTATGAATAGCCCTAGCCCTAATACCTAGTCACAAACGCATTCCTGATGAGGGAATATCACGTGTGCCAAGAAACCCCCTGCCAAGGCGCCGGATTCCGACGGAAGGGACCACCATGGCAGTTGGGAGCAATTTAATTGGCTTCTGTGATCCCTTATGTGGGGGTTTGTGGGCTAGTTCGTCCAATCGGGAAAGGAGACTCATGCGGGATGATATTGATAGTAGAGAGTAATAGTCCACGGGGAGCTGCAGAAGGAGAGATGCTACTGCAGCATCATCACGGCAGCAGATTAGGAGACAGTTAGATATCATGGTAGTGATAATGTAATAATTATAATAACATATCCCCACGTTCTCCTGCAGGAGACAACTCTAAATGCCTTTGCGCGACAGGTTGCAGTCAACTCTCAGAGTCAAACGTCTTCCCTGAGAAGTTAGAACGGACGGAGATCGCAGTAATCAAATAAACAGAACATGGCTCTCGGATTCCTGGCCGTCTTGTGCTTGCTTCTGGCAGCATCTGCTCACGCCTATATTCCGCGTGTCGGAAAGGTCAGTTGGTCAGATTTAGCCTCATTCAACCCCATTGCTCTATTTGATCGATTTCTGACATACGCGTAGTCGCTCAATACGAAGAGATCAGTGAATCAGGATTCGCCCTTCCCAGTCTACAATATCTCGGTGCCGGTGGACCATTTCTTCAATGAGTCCAAATACGAACCGCACACCGACGAGACATTCGAACTACGATACTGGTTCAACCCAGCTCACTACGAGCCCGGTGGTCCTGTAATTGTAATCTTGGCCGGCGAGACATCTGGAGAGGGTATGTCGTGATTATGTCTGAATAAAAGAAAAAGAAAAATACTCATGCTCGGCCCTCAAATAGATAGAATTCCATTCATACAAGACGGCATTGGAAACATTCTCGCGGAAGCCACCAATGGACTGAGCGTGGTTCTCGAACATCGGTACTATGGCGAAAGCATGCCGACGAGGAACTTGTCCACCGAGAGTCTTCGATTCTTGACAACCCAGCAGGCACTTGCCGATACGGCTTTCTTTGCGCGTAATGCGGTATTCGATGGGTTCGAGGATCAGAACTTGACTGCGCCCAATGCGCCGTGGATCTTGTATGGCGGTTCATATGCTGGTGGTTTCGCTGTATGTGAAGAACATGATGTTGTTCTCTCTGAATCTTGCTGACAAGCAGTAACCTGTCGAGGCATTTTCCAGGGTTCTCTACCCGGACCTGTATTGGGGCGCAATCTCATCCTCGGGTGTCACCGAGGCAATTGTGGATTTCTGGTCCTTCTACGAAGCAATGCGCCTCTACGGACCTAAGAAATGCATTTCCACGGACCAGAAGCTAGTCAATGTCCTAGACAACATTATGATCGGGAGAAATGACAGCGGCCTGACTCGGAAACTGAAGGGCCTATTTGGTGTCGCTGAGCTATCCCATGATTCTGATTTTGCCTGGCTGATTGCCAATGGCATCGCAGCCTGGGAGAGCCTGTTCTGGGATCCTCGTGTCAATGACCCTGCCTTCTTCGAGTTCTGTGGTAACATCACGGCCGGCCGTCTCTTGTATCCGGAGACGGCTAAAATGAAGAATACCGCTGCGGAGTTGATTGAACTGGGCGGTTGGGGAAATGAGCTGTCCACTCTTACCACAAGCCTGCTCAATCTTGTCGGATGGGTGAATCTCACAGAGGTATCCCCATGCACCCAGAGCGGGCAAACGGTCGAGCAGTGTTTCGGGCAATTCAACGTTACCTTCTACGAGCAGGACGATATTAGCCAAACATGGAGAGCGTGGCCGTATCAGACATGCACGCAGTAAGCCCTTTCCCCAGCCTTTCATGGACTCAATACGATTCAGCATTGCTAATTAAGTAGATGGGGCTACTGGCAAGTGGGCAGTACAGCGCCCAAGGAGATGCTGCCACTGGTATCGCGGACGATCGACATACCATCGCAGACGTTCCTGTGCAAGGCAGCCTTTGGCATTGACACGGAGCCGGATGTTGACGAAATCAATCAGTACGGGGGCTTTGACATTGAAGCGGAACGACTGGCGTTCATCGGTGGAGAATGGGATTCGTGGCGATGGGCATCAACGCAGGCACCTAATGCGAGACAACGACCAGACACGTTGGATAAGCCTGTTTTTGTCATACCTGATGCGGTGCATCACTGTAGGTTTTTATTGTTATTATTATTATTTGTCCAGTTTTGTTTTCATTTACACCAACTGGACCAATTATTGCACCTGCTTGGCGATGATGACTGACAAATATATACGCTCTCTCAAGGGGATGAATACGGTCGCAACCTAGATGAGATACGCCCAGGACAGCCACCGCTAAGGGTAATCCATGCTCAATTGAAGGAAGTGGCATTTGTTCGGGCCTGGTTGGCTGGTGAGTCTCAGCATACCCTCTATTCGCCCAGAAAACAACTGGATGTCGAAGAAAGTTCGGTCGTCTAACCGGTATGACAGAGTGGCGCGCATCTAGGCAGCATGAGTGAGGCGAAGGTCATTCTCTCTCTCCTGCAGGGATGTATACGGTATATTTTGAGTTATTTGAGGGCAAACAGTCTCATGTCCGCACTCTGTGCTACCTACTTGCACTAGTATTTAAGACGATGGCATTCGTAGGATAGCTCTTACATATGATAGGAATTCTGATAGATCTTCAGTGGCCTGTCATTTTATTTGTTTTTATTTAAATCTTTTTATCCTCTCACCGCAACATCTGGGGATATTTCTAGATCATCCGGGGTAGATACTAGAAAGACAGGGAGATCTGTAAGCAACCCGGCTCGGTCTATTTACAATTTTCAGAGAACTAGACAGAGTACGCCAGGGATGAATCCCATTTAAATGAATCCGAAGACATAAAGAGGGAAAAGATGAGGCGAAATGGCGGTCTCAACCGACGCCACGATATTATTATATCACTTACAAAGTAAGGTAGATCCCGGCACAGCCATTTTGACAGCCTCGACTGGACAATTACATTCATAATTATCTCGACAGCGTACGGTATGAATATGTAAGAGAAGTAGAGTATGAGTGAGTATGATATGCACAAACAAAATGTGGCCTACCGAGGCTGGCATCGGTGCATTATGCTTCTACTACGTCCTACTCCACAGCCAGCACATCCTGCATATGCATATACGCATGTTACATGGCTATATGCAACAGCTGCAGGTTACAGCAAGGGAGCTGGTCCATGCTGAAGATACTATGCAACCGTTCGGCGTCCAATTTCACTTCGCCGTCCACGGTATATACGACAGTACTAAGTGCTGGAAGTGCCGGAGTCCGATCCCCTGAACCTTGATATCAATTTTATAGGATAATAATATAATAAATACTATGGTGCAGATACTTATAGTAAGCAGTATCGGCACATGCTTCCGGAAGCCGTCAACGTGCTGCTATATCAATGTTAATATTCCAGACCGGCATTTGTCTACAGTACATGCAAGGATGAGGCAAAACAACTGCAAATACCGGAGGCTTGCAAGTCCATTCCTGCACTGCTCCGCGGAATGGTGCATCCGCAGCCGGTTACCATTGTGATTAGCATTATTGTGATATGATGCTGCTGTTGTCTGCGTGTCGCTGAGCTGTAAGGCGTGGTGGTGGTGGCCTTCAATGAGACATGGCAATCCCCCGAAAATGCAGCAAATTGAGTTGATATGTTCCTCGTGTTATTCTTCCACGTCAATTATACCGGTTAGTTAGTAACTCAGTATTTACTAAGGAGGAGTGTCACGGTGGTCGAGATTTTAAGGCAAACGCCTCACTTTGATTCAGGGGGCAACGCGCGCGACAACACACCTGGAAGGATAGTTTCTATTAAACATATACTATTAAATAGTTTAGTCCTTTACTATCAAGTGATATTTATCATAAATTGCCTTATCCGGTTGTCCGTTCGACCTAGGTTCATCCTCCTTTTCTCTCTCTATTTGGAATTGCTTTACCTTTATTCTTTCTTCCTGTGTCCCCTTGCTTGGCCTGGTTCTACAGAGACCACTGCCGATCGGGTCTATTTCCTCTTTGTTTGCCCTCGCATCACCGTTGCATGGGATGCGAACTCTTTTTTTTTTTTTTTTTTCTTTTCTCTCTTGTCTTTTAATCAAAATTAACTTTGCGCTTTCGTCGCTGGTTTGAAGGCTGGCGAGTGATGCGAACCATCCCCATCTGATGTTCTATTAGCATTAGCAAGCTCTTTGACCACTTGATCCGCCCATTCCGTCCTCAGTCGTCGCCTGCCTCGGGCTGATTCAAAGGCAGCAGGATAAACATTTTTATTTTCTAAGAGACAGAGAGAAAAAAAAATCTCCTGATCGGTGTCTCATCGCCCTTTCAGCTCTGTCTGTCACCTGACCCAGCAGGATCATGGGCATACTACATCAAAAGGACACTCGTGCAGTCTCTATCTCTTTCGATCTGCTCAATCTCTGAAGCCATCTGGATTAATAGAAAACGACAGTCTCTAACATTCTCGCTTGTCTTCCTCTGCAGCTTGCAAGAGGTTCTTCACTGGATATGGATTTCCAACGAACCAAGGAGGCAAGACGAGACACACACGGCAAGCCAGACGAAGGCACAGAATGCCCTTTGGATGTATGCGGCAAGGCAGCAGCAGGGGGAGCTGGAGGAGCTGGAACAGGAGCTGGTGATGCTGGCAGCAGTGAGCATCCAAAGGAGCGACCCAAGGACGATTCGCTCCAACATCGACAAAACAGTACCGGCTCTCCAAATGTGAACCCTCAGCAGTCTTCTACCTTCACGACGACGACGACAACATACAGCCATGCTCATAATCACAATCACAACCATCATCATGTCTCTTCATCATCCTCTCCCCCCCCTTCTCCTCGCTCCCTTTCCACCCGCACTATGCGACCCTCGTCAGCAGAGGCTATGGACATCCCAACCATCCTGGGATTGAGTCCCAGAGAACAGAAACTGCTACGCACAGCAAAGAAATACCCGCCAGTCACGAAAAAGACGCTGAGTGAGCTCGACCTCCCGTGTATCATGAACAACATCAATCTCCGCATGGATGCGAACTTTGACCGCGACCTGCATTTCAAGCCTGACCTGGATGGCGTCAAGGGTCAGCAGAAGAGGAAAGAGGCCGCTGATTACTGGGATGCCATGGCCGTAGAGATATCCATATATGCCTTCTGTGCAGCTCAGGGGCTGGAGCTTCGTGGAACTAACTGTGACCGGGACGATTTAGATCATGGGCAAACGTTTAGGCCTAGACTACCTTCTATGTTTGAGACGCTGCAGGATGTTCTCAAAACACTGGTCTCCGAGCGTGACCATGCCAGTGTCATGCAGAATTTGGAGGTGCCGTTGCTGATGCAGCAGATCCGCAAGGGCGTGCTGGATATGGTTGGTCTGGCCAGATGGCTTGCTGCGCTGTTGAAGACGCATTGCGCTCCCATGAGGGATGAATGGGCCGATCAGATGGTCGAGCAGATCAGCCAGGGCTCAAGGTCACAGGACTCAAAGGAAATCGTCAAGGGACTTCAGACACTTTTTGCTATTTTAGAGGCTATGAAACTGGTAGAATTTACACCTCCCCCCCCCAATGAAAGGCGTGAATTACTAACATCATCTAGGACGTAGCAAACCATCAGATCCGTGCATTTCGCCTTCTTCTCATTGAAGACACCATTCCCTTTCTCCAGGAATATTTCCGGCACAAGATCGAAAACAACTTCGACGTGGGGCCTTCGAAACAGTGGTACTTGGAGCTCCACTCTATGAACAAGGACACCACACAATCCACCGACGGATTCGGGCCCGTGGCAGTCATGTTCAAGGGACTCATCGACTTACTGCTCCAGTTCCACGCACCCGAAAGCTTCCCTGAGACATTCATCTTCGACTCCGAGCGGCTCTGGCAGCTGCGGTCTAATCTGCAGAATCTAATCAATCTGGACATCTGCTGGTATATCTTTGAATTGTACATCCACGATCAAAAGCGATACCTATCCAACCCAACACGAACATACAGCACATTCCGCTCTCGCATCTGGACCTTGATGGAAGAGAGCGACGATTACCACGGCATGCCCTGGCTCCAAAACGTCCGCAGTCTATCCCTTGAAATAGCCCGATTCGCATGTGCAGCCTGCGGGCCGGACCCGGTAGTGCCAGACGAAGTCATCGCACGGATCGAGGCCATGCTGGAGCGGCATCTATCCGATGAATTCGGGCTGTTCCGCGTGCTTCAGCTCTCCCTGCATGAAAAACTAGTCGCCAGGACCTATGCATGGGCGAGGAGGTATATGAACATGTCGCCTCTCGCCATTTGCGAGTCCCAGCGCCAACCGCGGTTCCCGCATGCACCACAGCCTCAGCCTCAAACACAGAATCAAAATCAGTCTCCGTTTCAAAGCCCGTCGCCCCTGGCCGGCTCTCAACGCCAAGAAGACATTGAGCGGATCGCGATGAGACTCGCACACATTGGCGTGCTGCATTGGAGAGTTTGGGCGCCTATCCTATACGCAAGTGAGGCATCGCTTTCATTCTCGCAAATTGACGAGGATGCTGGGGACGGCTAGAAACAACGACAGATTCCCACAGACACGCCGTCTTCTTCTGGGACTTAATTGAACATGCACGCATGTCTTTCTAATTTTATTTATCTATCTTTCCGCCTTTCCTTTCTTTGTTTCTTGCACTTCAGCGATTGAATATCTGCATGGCATTGGTAGTATCATAGTTATTGGATTGGATGGATTGGGCTCTTCTGTTCACAGGCACTCTTACTAGTTTTCTTATTCTCTTGTTCTTGGTATCTTCAGGCATACATACACAACGTGTATAGTAGCCACGTTCCATGCTGGGTGTACGTATTTAGTGATTTATCTGGGACGGGATAAAATAGATTTCGGAGTGATCACTTGGCTATTTAGATATGCATTAATAACTAACGTAATCAGTAAGCGGGCTGCGCACCATCTAGAAGTATGGTATATTTTGGCGCCCCAAAAGCATATATATTATAAAAAGCTAGTTACTATAGCGATTAACCGACCCCGAAGGCTACCGTAGGGGTCGGTTAGGATATTGCAATATTTTATGCCCAATAATATGATAATCACTGCACTGTGGTGGTGCCTATACATGCTACTCAACTGCAGCCGGTGCTGGTTCAATAGGCCGAGCGTTTTGAGCTTCTTGGACCTTATTCTCATGCTGTAGAAGCTGTTGGCCTTCCTCAATAGATAGACCCTCTGTAGTAGCTATCTGCCGCTTAGATTGCTTCCTTTTTTGAAGCTGCTTCTCATGTGCAGCTCATAAATCCTGGTTGTCTTTGGCAAGAATAATAGCGTTATTCATAGCTATCTCACGCCCCTTAATAAGCTGGTTTAATGCCATATTTGTTGGACTTGGGGGGCTCTCTGTACAATGACTTAGAAGCTTTTCGATTGTAGTTGCTTGCTTCTCAAGTTACTTAAGATTATGAGGTGTCTTTGGTGCTGAATTTGTTAATCGGCTGCCTGGTAGTGTGGGTGTCTTAAGTTGTATATTAAGCTGCGAAAGCACCCTTTCTAGATTAAATAGGATTAAGCCAGTTGCTGTGAAGCTATTGCAAATAGTTTCTGGCTTAAATATATCTGCATAGGCATAGGGATATGCCTCCAGAAAATCAAACTTGTCAATATGGTTGAAGCCAAGCTGCATCTTATTCTCAACAAACCTCCTATATGCTTTTTTCAATGGGGAAAAGCATACAACATCAAGAGGTTGTAAAAGATGTGATGAATGTGGAGGCATGTAGATTGGTATAATGTTGTTTTAGCTGCATATCTCATCAAATTTAAGAGTTAGATGGCTTCCATGGCCATCTAAGATGAGCAGACAATGTGCCGGGGGCACTGCGAAACTCCGGATCTCCCATATTTCCTATCTTAGAACACCGTAGAACCGCGGACTCCGACATACTAATGTATGGTGGAGCCCACGGCCGGAGTACTTAATGGAGGGTTCCCTCCCAGATAGTTACGGGAAAGAGAGCATTCTTTTGGTTTCTAGGTTGCTTCACTAGTATCGTCGTCATTGTATAGAGCGGAGCGAGGCTCCTTCGTCGTTGTGTTTCCTCTTATCGTTATATCGTTTTGCTAGATTGTTCAGTGTGTCCATTCCTGAGATCCCTCGATCACAACCCGGTTCCTGTCGCAGGGAACAACGCACGTACGCCCCCCATTACAGTGAGATCACTTATAAAGTGACCATACGCGCGCTTAAGCACTGCAAAGCACCCAACATCAAGTGGTTGTAGTAAATGTGAAGAATGTGGAGGCATACAAAGAGGAATAATATCATTCTCTGTGCAGATTCAGTCAAATTGGGGTGTAAGGTGGCTCCTATAGCCATCAAGAATCAGTAGCTGAAACCAGCCGTGTACGCATGAATTTGTTGATGGGATAAATAGCTTTTGTAGCCAATGTAAGCCAATCTCATTGGTAGTCCAGCCATTATTTAAGACTTCAAACCACCAGTCTTTTGGTAGGTTATCAAACCAACCCACAATAGCAACCTTGCCCTTAAAGATAATACAGGGTGGTAATGAAAAGCCATCTGCGCAGATTGCTTCAATAGTAGTAACCCATTCACAATTTCCTGGCTGTAGTAGATGTCTCTGACTGTAGAAGTCTGCTCATGTGACTACCTTCTGTGTAGATATAAGCCCTATTGCAAATCCTATCTCATCAAAGTTGTAGATATCCTCTGGCTGTATACCATTCTCTTCAATAACATGCTGTAAAGTCATAAACCACACATGTAGGGATTGAGGGTCTTCATTTAGGGCGCGCTGGTAGTCATAACGCGTTGAGAAGTGTGTATGAAGCTCATCACAACAGTTGACAAAGGTTGATGCCCAGTTAACGCCAACAGTTAATGGGGGGGTTGATCCACGCGCTGCAAGAAGGATATTGGCCATCTCTTGTATAGTAGAGGGCCTAGGCACTGCTCCACGCAAATCCATAGAGAAGATCCATTGAACAAGTGAATCCTCTTCTAGTTGGGTCAATTTATGGCCATTTGGGCGCTTATCAACATGTGCTGCTCTCCCTCCCGCGCGAGCAGCAAGAGTTTGGTAGGGTATATCATATAGCTTCGCTGCTGCGCGAAGAGATTTGATGCGGCCATTTTTTATATCAGATAGGGCCAACAGGATCCTGCCCTCTTGGTTGGTCAAATTTTGCGAAGATTCAGTGCGAATTGGTGGCATGGTAGATGGTTGAAGTTGGTATGTAGGTAGGAAGACGCGATTTCCGGTGGGGTGTGCCGTTCGGCCGTGTGTGCCGCTCGGCGTGAACTACGTTATGAAGTATGAATTAATCAGCAGTTGACCAGTTGACATTGTCACAGTAAATGCTTCGATTTATATTTATCTGGTCACCTGACCCTCAGCCTAATTACTGCCAGGAACAACACAATTAGTACCTATCTTCCCAGGTTCTCCAGGACTATTATCTGGGGGAAGAAAGGGGGAAGGAAAAATGAAACCAAATCTATCCCACCTCAAAACACGGCAACTAGTCCGTCTCGCCCAAATAATAGGCGTGACCAAGCGAGGCCCGAAGCTGGAATTGGCCGAGAGGATCTCCCGGGAGATATCAGCGTACCAGCTCCCATTGTCGAAGGAAAGTGGCCGAAACGGATTGCAAGATGGTACGGAAGGAGGCTTGGAAAATGCAAATGCAATGAGCATCTTGAGCCTCGACGTTGGGATCCAGAATCTGGGGATTGCGAATTTTATAGTTCCGCCGTTTGAACCGCTGAAATCAAGTTCAAGTGCTCGATCTGCAGCAATTGCCGATACGCTGGACCCAAAATGGACGACAAATAATAATATAACGCCCATCCTGAACGGATGGCAATGTCTAAAAGTCTCCGATATGGAAGTGCCACTCCCACCGGAGACACAGATAACACCGGAAGCAAAAGAAGAAGAAAAGGACGAGCTCACCCAAAGTACATCCAAGAAGAGTGTTATTCCCTTTTCCACTCCCGCCTACGCAGCCCGCGCATACACACTCATCACCTCATTACTGGAAAAGTACAAGCCCACCCACGTCCTTATTGAAAAGCAGCGGTTCCGATCTGGCGGTGGCGTGGCGGTTCAGGAGTGGACGCTTCGAGTTGGGGTTTTGGAGGGGATGCTTTATGCTGTTTTATATACATTGAAGCAACAACAACGACAACACCAAGGAACACAGCTGGAACAACAATATCTGCCTCCTCCATTGGTACATACCGTGGATCCACAACAGGTAATCAAATACTGGCGTGCGTTGAGCGGATCGCCGACTTTTCGACTTAGGGGCAAGAAATATGATCGTTTTCAACTTGAATCACCACCGACGAAAACAATGAAAATGACACCAGCAGACGTCAAAAGGACCAAAATCGACCTAGTCGGTACATGGTTATCGGTATCGAGAGAAAATGAGAATGAAAATGAAATGGCCCGATCTAGCGATACTCGCGATTCCAGTTCCAGTTACGCCGAACTAGACATTACTTCAAACGAATCAATACCGCAGACAATACTGCAAACCCCGAAAGTTCAAATCGCTACCAACCCCCAAGTCAGAGATATGGTAGACATATATCTGCGTCGTTGGGACGGGGGTCCTAGTCCTAGTCCTAGATCCAGCCGGGGAAGCACTATTTCTGGTGAACCCCCACCCCGTAAACTGGATGATCTGGCTGATTGTCTTTTGCAGGGGGTTACGTGGTTGGATTGGCAGGTTATGCGGTATCGGGTTCTCACTGAGGGGATTGATGATGTTCTTTCTTCTTTTCAGGAGATGAATGATTGAATACGCTATTATATATATGCCCGGATGACTATGTAATTATATATGGTTACTTATTATTATGTACGATAGACATGTATAATACGGATCACTACTCCAAAACATAAATTCGCTTTCGTACATGCAAGTCTAACTGAACTCGTCACAGAACGGCAGACATCTCCCCCAAGGCCTGCCTGGAAGTTAAAAGAAAAAGGGGTATATAATCTGTACAAAAAGAAAAATAACAGAAGATGTACACCTGACTTGGTGCACCGGTATCTAACGGCCGTTCAATAGGCTGCACCACCAAGGCCTGCCCCGGAAAGATAGTGCCCGAGAGAAAGGGGACAAAGGATAGGTATAGATGGTAAACGATAAAAAAATCCTTGTTGTAAAACGGAAGAATCCGTAAGATCCTAACCGGTGTGAAAAGAGAATGTTTTTTAAAAAAGTAAAAGCCTTGGGAGAAGACGCTGCCAATCGTGAACTCGTCACCCCATGACCTGCCATCATGGCTCGAAGAATCGAAAAGAATATAGACAATGCTCAAATAGAAAATAAATGCTTGTACCATAAATAATTGTCCAAAATAGGTACAGTGCCACCACTTATTCTGTGGTAGGATAGAAGAGATGCCCCAGGATAACCGTACCGTACCCTACATTTGAGACCGGGACGGTTTAAGGGACAGCATTTAGTGACGGCCAAGGACATTGGTGCGGGCCCGCTTTCTGAGGGTGAAACCGGTGGGGGCGGCGGCACCGCTGGACGGCTGGGTGCCGTTGTTGTAGCCGTAAGGAGGGCCAGAAGGAACGGTAGGAACAGTGGGGAAGGTCTTGGTAGAGCTGGAGGAAGCGCTGGGGGCATCAGCAGCAGGAGCACCAGGAGCAGTAGTGGTGGTCTCATAGAAACCACCTGCAGAGGTAGAGGCCTCGGTAGAAGCCTCAGGGGTAGCAGTGACGGTGACAACACTGGCAGCCTGGGAAAAGGTCAGCCGTTTAAGTTTATCCCAAATGCAATTGTAGAACTCACCACAGTGACGGTAACGGTGGCCTGGTCGCAGGTTCCAACATCCTCACCACCGGAGAGACCGGTGCTGGCGGTCGAGGTCGAGGTAGCACTGGGAACAGATACCACAGTGTAAGTGATGGTGGAAGTAGCAGAAATGCTGGGTGCCGGGGTCTAAGAAGGAAGTCAGTTGATATTGGGTTGCCCAATGTCCAGAGATTGTCCGATTGAACCTACCTGAGTGTAAGTCACGGTGCGAGTGGAAGTCTTGTGGATGGTGGTCGTGACGACGCTGGTGGAGGTGCCAGCAGTCACGGTGTAGGACAAGACCTCAGTGATGGGGGTGAGTTCAGTAGACACAGAAGTCGTATCAGCACCGAAAGAGACGATGGAAGTGACATCAGAGGAAGCACCAGAAGTAGCAGCACCGGAGGTGGCTGGCAAAGGAGCGGAAGTGACCAGGGGCACCGATGTGGCCACAGAAGAAGAGGCCGCAGACAAAGGAGTGACGGCGGGAGCAGAAGGCTCCAGAGGAGTCGGGATGATCCAGACAGAGGAAACGCTCACGGCAGGAGTCGAGGCATTATAGTTCCTGGCATGGAACTGACGGTGGCCATGGCGAAGGTCATGGGCTTCACCAACAGTGGCGAGGGCGGCCAGAAGGGCCACGGAGACCTTGGCAACGAACTGCATGTCGATAGATATGTGCGATATTTCTTGTTTTCTCTTGGAATGGTGTCAAACCGTGGATTTGTATGTACTGGATGATTTTCCGATATACACAAAAAAAGCGAGTGTGGGTGCGAAATCTATTCGCAGATTTAGCAAGCAAAAGAGTGACTGGGTTTGGAGAAAAGAAAGAGAGAGAGAGAAGGAGAGAAGACGCAGTCTTTTTTGAGGGAGAAAAGAGGGAGAGAGGAAGTAATTATCAGACAAAAGTAATATCTCTTAAATTAAGGAGACATCGAATTCCACGCTGTCTGTAATTTACCCGGTGGGCCCGCGTGCCCCTGACCCGGTAGAAATGCGCTGGATTGCATGTCCGATTGGCTATCTTAGAATTAGACTAAGATTTAGCGCATCTGTATGTGTATGGTAATTGTGTAATACGGAGTAATACGTCAGAAAGTACCTACATATGTGCACCCTGTAGATACCTGGTAATAGTACCTTATGCATATGCACATACTGAGAGTCTTCCAGGATGCTATGGAGTATTCAACATGACAGCTCATCATTCAATCAACAGACAGCACGCTTCATGCAAACAAAAGCCAGATATCGGGCAGACACACAGATCACAGGGAGGCTGCATACGCTAGAAGTAAGATCATGTTCTGGAGCATGCGGGTTGCTTGGACGATAACGCCATCCTGCAGTTATTATCAGGCTGCATCCGGTGTTTCACTTGGCGATGTAACAGTCCGCCATTTAGTATCCCAGCCGCTATCAAATTTATTAATTATTGCCTGTCAGTCTGTCCTGTCAGGTCAGCATCGTTATGGATCAATCCAACTCCTGAACAGAGCATGGATAGGCATAATGTCAAGTGTCCACCGACAGCAAACGGTCGTCTAGAACAGATCCACCAGATATGAGCTCCAGCCAAGCCAACGCTAAATATGACTGACGTAGTTAGATTGCTAATGCTCGCAGCTCCTGTCTCTCCCTCAAGACGATTATCTCTCCCTGCATAGAATTTTCCAGGTAATAATCTCATATTATAATAACCGTCCATCTCCCGTCCTCCATCCGCCATGACCGCTTCGTTCCAGACCCTGCGATCCCAGTACGCCTCCGCCCTGAAACGCTTCATTTCCTCCTCCAAAGCCTTCGAGATTATCACCTCCACTCCTCCCTCAGACAATTCCCATCCCCCTACCCCGGAGGTCCTCTACGTTCTCGATTCCTCCTTTAACCCTCCGACCGTCGCCCATCTCAGGATTGCCAGTTCTCCTTTCCTAGAGCAGCCCAGTCTGCCCTCACGTCTGCTCCTCCTCCTCGCCACGCAGAATGCTGACAAACCCTCCAAACCTGCCGCCTTCGAGGATCGCCTCGTCATGATGGAAATGTTTGCTCAAGATCTGCTGTCGAACCTGAAATCCACAGAGTCGAGACCCATCAATCTCCCGCAGATTGACATCGGCGTGACCAAAAAACCCTACTTCGTCAACAAGGCGACCGAGATAGAGTCTGCTGGCATCTACCCTCGATCCATCGAGCAGGTTCATCTGATAGGCTACGATACTCTCATCCGCGTCTTCAATCCGAAATACTACCCTCCTGAGCACACGCTCAAGCCGCTCGAGCCGTTCCTTGCCCGTCACCGGCTAAGGGTGACCGAGCGTCCGGACGATGAATGGGGTAGTGCCGAAGGTCAAATGGCCTTTCTTCAATCGCTGTCCAACGGCGCCTTGGGCTTCGAGGGTGCAAGGCCAGAATGGGCAGAGCGCATCCAGTTTGTAAAAGGGAAAGACCCCGACGAGCAGCCCGTCAGCTCGACTAGGGCCCGTCAAGCTGCTAAAGGCGAGGCAAATATCCACGATTTGGAATGGCTGGTCCCTTCCAATGTTCGTGACTATGTCCTGTCGCAGAATCCTTATACCAGCTGACTGTCTTTCTGGAAATAATTGACGAATATGTATGAACATCTTGAACAACTTATCCGACTGATACCACACTAATCACGACGCCTACACCGCCCCAACCTGCATATATAGAATAATACAAAAAAAGCATAATATACAAATTCATCTGCTATTTTAATCCTCCTTCTCCTCCCTCTTCCCTAACGTATATGCTAACCCTCCACCAACCATATTAACCAAACAAAGACCCATAGTAGCACCTCGAACGATTCCCCGTGCACTCCACTTTCGCATAAACGGCTGCCTTCGTCGACTAGCCAGCAAAAGATATAACCCGGACCACGCCGCGCTAATACCGGCACTGTCGACCTTGAAACCCTGCAGATTCGCATAACTGGTGAAGAGAAGCACAGGAGGGAATAGCATCGGCAGGAGCTGGAACGGACGCATATGTTGTGCTGTGATGAGTGTTGCGAGCATCGTGGGTGGGAAAGAGTTTTCTTCAGTTCATTGATGTAGGTGTTAGTATTAGTTGTAGCCCGGAAATTGAATGAAATCGTTGCGCCAGTGCGGCATCGTACCTCCCCATGCCCTGGCGTTTTGGACCAGGGACTTTCTCGTTTCTTCAGCTGTGGGAGTTGACGTTGTCATCTTTTTAATGATTGGTTTGGATAGAGCTCTCGTGGATGATTAAAGTAGGTGTATGTGTATACTGTAGCAAGCAGAGTAACTGGAGAATAAAAAGAAAGCAATCAGAAACACGTTGTACACAATCTTATTTAACAATTATATCAATGCCGTCAATGGTTGGAGCATGAAGTAATTATTCAACAACAGCGAGAACTTGCTCGGCGGAAGTCTAGCGTCAACGAACAGTCTGAGAACACCACGTTGATTATTGATATCCGTGGAAACGGCCATCTTTCTCCAGACTACCCACCTCCCATCCTCCATACTCATAGAACAACGTGAGAGGAGTGGTTTTTTTTTTTAAGAAAAAAAGAACAAAAAAAAGGAAAAAGAAAAAACAAAAGAGAAGCCGTCGCCTTCATCTTACGTCCACCTTTTTCCCACCGGCGGTATTGGGATTTCTTCTCCGCCCCGCGCCACTTCGTCTTATTATCATACTCTCCCTAGATTTTGGACGGGTATCTGCTTGAAATCCATTAAGAAAACAAGAGCGATTTTTCGAAAAAGGAAAATAAAAAAATACCCCACGCAATATACCGCGATGCCACCGGCCACCGCGTCCGGATCAGATGCGAGAGGTGAAGGCTCCGCAAGATCTCGCGAACACAATCAAGGGAACCAGGAGCGGAAGTACACTGTCGAACAAAAAGCGGCCGTGTTGAGGATACGAAAATGCTCGCCGACGGAGTACTATGAGATTCTGAGTTTGGAGAGGACGGCTTCGGATGGCGAGATCAAGAAGGCGTATCGGAAGCTGAGCTTGTTGACGCATCCTGATAAGAATGGGTATGAAGGGGCTGATGAGGCATTTAAGCGTGGGTTTTACTTTTTCTCCCTGGGAGTTATGGAGAGGAAGATGTCTTTGGTGCTGACTTGTCAACAGTGGTGTCGCGTGCTTTCCAGGTACTATCAGATCCCGAGAAGAAGTCCAAGTTCGATAAATTCGGCGGTGATCCAGATAGCAGGTTCAATCCTGGCGCTGCTGGCCCGTCCGGCGCTTCGCCGTTTGGTGGTGGCTTTGGTGGATTCCCGCGGTCAGCAGGCGCAGGTGGTCCTATGTTCGATGAGGAGATATCACCAGAAGAGCTATTTAACCGATTCTTCAGTGGTGGCTTTGGGGGCATGGGAGGTGGGTTCACTCCGTTTGGTACGCAGAGTCTCAGGCTGGAAGACCGATATATATCGCTTGCATTTTCTATTCTCATTGGATCTTCGCTGATTTTGGTCTTTTCTAGGTGGTCCTCAGTTTGTCTTCAACATGGGAGGAGGTCCTGGGTTCCGCGTCCATCAATTTGGAGGCACGAGGCCACGCAGAAGGCCACGGGAAGCCAATAATGCGCAGTCAGAACCGTTACCGTCTGCATGGACCATAATTCAACAACTCCTCCCTCTCATCCTCCTTTTTATCCTGCCGCTCCTCTCGTCGCTCTTCTCCGGCTCGTCCACTCCTTCCGGACCCTCTTATCGGTTTGACGCTGCTATTCCCCCATATGTTATGCAACGGACGACCCCCAGACTCAACATAAACTACTATCTCAATCCAAACGAGGTACAGGACTATAGTAACCGAAAATTCCATCAACTGGACCAAAAGGCGGAAGTCGACTATGTTAGCAAACTCCGATACGAGTGTGATAATGAAGTGAGGGTTCGGGACCGGATGGTCCAGGACGCTCAGGGCTGGTTCTTCCCCGATGTCGAGAAGATGAAGGCAGCGCGTTCCATGGAGTTGAGGAGTTGCAGGAGACTGGAGGACCTAAAAGGTAGATATTAACTAATAAGTAGAAAGGCGCCTACGTTTTGATATTCTCCCTCTCCTTTTCTCTCTTTTCTCTGTGGTCTTCTGATTCCCTTCTTCACCTGGCCTCCTTTGTTTTTTTCCAGTTTACTTAGCATCTGCTTTAGAGATGTCAATAATGCACTGTGGATCTGTTTTTCTGGCGAGCGTTTCTTTGGGGTTTCTTTCTTTCGAAATTGACTATTTTATTATTTCCTTGAGAATAAGGACGATGACATATGCACGAAACTTTTCTTTCTATCCCTAAGGAGTAGCAATCAACAATCATGAGCTCTAGGAGCTTTCCGTGTTCGTGGCGAATGACAGCTAAAAGCTCGAGACAGGCGGCAAATGCTCTGAGGTAAGCTTGGTTAATAATTGACTGCTACAGAGACAACCTCGACGTTGCCTGAAAGCGGGCAACCTGCCAATTAACAAGGCCTGGTCTACTCTTCTGTCCTCCAGCTATCTATTTGATCTGGACTCTGCTTCCGTTGAAAGTCCGTGGTGACCTGTCTTCCATTCGTTTCGCCCGTATTCTTATCTCACCAGGCCTTGGACCATCGCTCATTCGTATTCTCCGCATCGCCCAACCCCGCTGAGAGGAGCTTCATCCTGTTGACACCGGCGTCGACGAAGATGTCAGATACTATTTCTGATGCGGAAAAGGTCAGTTTTTATTTGCCTTTGAGGCTCTGCTAGCTTTTCGCTAACCTTTGGGGGGTATTTTTTCCGTCATTTAGATCCGCTTAAAGCGCCTCGCGAAGCTTGGAGATTCAGCCTCATCCTCACCCTCATCTTCACATGCCCAAGGACCAGCTGGAGCTCAGTCTACTGTGACACCTTCATCAGAGCATACAGCTGCTCCTAGCCCCTCTCAGCCACAGACTCCCGTCTCCAGTTCCCTGAACCACTCCCTTGCATCGTCTCCGCGTCCAGAGCCGCAGAAGTTAGAAGGAAAGAGGATCAAGATCGCACCCGCATCGGATTTACAGCGACCGCAATCTGCTACCCCTCCACTGCCCAGACCGGAGGAAAGCCTTGAGGCGTTCGAAAGTCGTACGCTGAGTGCCATTTTCAAGCTCACGTTGAACGAGGATCGGCAACGCGATGTCCACGGGAGCAAGCTGATATATCTACCTGGTCTTCGGAGCGAGCTTGAGGAACAGGGGCGGGATTTGCGCATCGAAACTACTATCTTGGACCAGGCTCTTGTCGAAGCGGCGTCAAGTTCGGGTCAGAAACCTTTGGATTACTTGTTGCCCTGTTGGAAGAGGATTTCAAGGCTGTATAAGGGTTTCCGTCGGGCACGCGAGGATGATCCTAAGTTCGGCGTTATCTCTGAGGCGAGGCGCCTCTGTATGAGTTATTGCATCTTTGCTTTTACTATGCCTGAGATGTTTGGGTATGTATATACCTGCGCCCTTATCTAGGCATTATCCCTTTTCGATTGATTGCGGAGGTGCTAATACTTTCTGGCTAGATACGATTCGCCAGAGCCATCACCACTCAAGTCGTACCTTCTTCTAGATGCAGATGATGATAAAGGTGTTGACTTTGAATTCCTCGGCGAAGCTGTCCGCAGGTTCGATGAGGATGAGAGTATTAAGCCCGCCTTCATCACAGCGGTGGAAGCAATGAGCAAAGAACTAGCCGAATTTAATGTCAATGATGACTACAGACCCTACGTAATGGTATGTCTGGATCCCGTTCCCCTTCTTCGGGGGGTGTCCTAATACACACTCCAGGCCTTGCGAAATCTCGTCCGGCATGCACCTATTGCTGCAGCGATCACAGAGTCCTCTATATTCAACGATACTCGAGATCCAGAAAGATTTGAGAAAGAAACGCTTCTAGGACCATGGTTTGCCCTGTCTCCGCTCCAAGGCAAAGTAACCATGACCTATTTCTCAAATCCAAAGACAAGGGACCAGGCATATATTCTCAATGCTCAGAGGTCTCTTCGAATGATGCAACAGATGATCAGTACGGAACTTCTTGACATTATCAATTATATGATTCGAGCTTCAAAGGACGCGCGAGATCGCATTTTGGACTGGTTTGCTACGGCTTTGAATATTAACCACAAACGACGGGCCATGCAGGTGGACTCCAACACCGTCTCCTCTGATGGCTTTATGTTTAATCTCACTACGTGCCTGGACCAGCTTTGCGAACCGTTCATGGATGCTTCTTTTACAAAGGTATGGTTCTTTTTCTTTAGGGAAGTTGGATATGGATCGGGCTGATTCGTTCTGCCACTGCAGATTGATAGAATTGACCCAAATTACCTCCATCGGAATCCCCGTGTAGATATGAAGGATGAGACGAAGCTTAATGCGGACCAGCATGCATCGGATGAGTTCTATTCCAAGAAAGTGGAAGGAACGTCTAACTTCATTTCTGAGATCTTCTTTTTGACTGTTGCTGCTCATCACTACGGGAGTGAGTCTTTGACTTCAAAACTGGAACAGCTCGAAAAGGATCTTCGCCACATGGAATCTACCATTGCCAAATTCGAGTCGGACAGGTCTAGATGGACCAACAACCCTGTCCAGTTGCGGGTATTTGAGCAGGCACTGCAGAAGTACAAGGACAAGCTCGACCTTGGCCTGTCTTTGAAATACTGCCTGCAGGGTCTCTTATTCGATGACGTATGGCAAGCACGGTCTATGCTTTTTATGAGATATGTCACCGTGTGGTTATTGAGGCTTGCCTCGGGTGTGACTTTTCCAAAGGAACCGATCAAGCTTCCCCTACCGGAAGAGCCGCCGGAGGTTTTTAAATGTCTTCCTGAATACTTCCTGGATGACATTGTCAGTAATTTCAAATTCATCATGTGGTGTATGCCTCAGATTATCACAGCCACTCAAGGTGACGAGCTTGTCATGCTTTGCATAACGTTCTTGGAGAGCTCGCAGTATATCAAAAACCCCTACCTGAAGGCGGGTTTGGTATCGATCATGTTCCGGGGGACGTGGCCTCGTCCTGGAGGTGTGCAAGGCGTCTTGGCGGACCTCCTGAACTCCCTGCCATTTGCCAACGACTATCTCTTGCACGCACTCATGAAGTTCTATATTGAAGCGGAGCACACAGGCACGCATACACAGTTCTTTGATAAATTTAATATCCGATATGAGATATTCCAGATCATCAAATGTATCTGGCCTAATCTTCTTTATCGAACGAAGCTCTCCAATCAGGCAAACCAGAATTTGGACTTCTTTGTCCGATACGTCAACCTTCTTCTGAACGACGTGACGTTCGTGCTTGACGAATCGTTCGGTGCGTTTATCACCATCCACAATACCCAAGTCGAACTCAGCAGGGAAGGCAGCACAATGGAACCAACGGTACGTCAGCAAAAGGAGGAGCAACTTGCGGCATCTCAACGCATGGCCAAATCATACATGCAGTTGACCAATGAGACTGTCGTCATGCTCAAGCTCTTCACGGATGCACTGGCGGACTCGTTCACAATGCCCGAAGTTGTACAGCGACTGGCGGACATGCTGGATTACAACTTGGATACCATGGTGGGACCGAAGAGCAGTAACCTGAAAGTTGCCAATCTCCAGGAATACGGATTCAACCCGCGATCCCTGCTGAGTGATATTGTTGATGTCTACCTGAATCTCATGAATAAGGAAAGCTTTATCTATGCTATCGCTCGAGATGGCCGGTCGTACAAGCCAGCGAATTTCGAGAAGGCGGCAGAAATCCTGAATAAGTGGCGTCTGAAATCGGCGGATGATATGAAGAAGTGGGAACTGCTGCAGAAGAAGGTCAAAGTAGCGAAGGAGGCAGATGAACAGGCAGAAGAGGACCTTGGCGAGATTCCGGATGAGTTCCTGGGTATGTCTACAGACAGGTTGACTGCTTAGGTGATATTGTTTGCTGACAATTGGATCACTTTTTCCAGATCCTTTGATGTACACATTAATGGAAGACCCGGTCATCCTTCCTGCGTCGAGAATATCGATTGATCGTTCAACAATCCGCTCGCACCTTCTCAGTGATCCGCATGACCCATTCAACCGAATGCCTCTGAAAATGGAAGATGTGAAGCCAGGTAGGTTTTTCTCTCTCTATTGTTGCCGTTCTTTGATAATTTGAGCATATGACTGACTGCGTCCTTCAGATACCGAACTCAAGGCCAAGATTGAGCAATTCAAGGCGAGTAGGATTGCAGAAAAAAGACAGAACTTGGTGCACACGGCGCCTGAAAGTATGGACATGTCTACTGGGTGATCAAATGTACTGGTACTGAAGTGGAGTGGGTCCATACGATATGAATAAATAATTTTGGTCACAATATACATGCAGTGATCCATAAATACTGTCTCAATGAGAATGGATTTGATAAATGACATATACTGTGTACGCGTAGTGTCTATTTAATTGTTAACTCGTGACTGTCGTGATAATACATCACGTGCAGTCAAGGTATAACGTCCAACGAGGCATCAACATTAATCTCAACAACACATCCATCTTTGATGGCCATTGATCGATACACCACGAACAGAAAGAAACGAAAAGAAAAGAGAAAAAAATGGGATCAACCATTTCTTCCTTGAGAACAGTACTTCCAGTATCGGACTTCTTCCCACCAACGCCAGAAGCATATGCGGTGCTGCTTTCCATCTTCCAGTATTTTCCTCTTGTAGGTATCGTTCTTTCTGAGATGTATTATATATCTATAAAGAAAAAGAGAAATGGATTCTAATTATAATGAAAAAAAGTTTACAACAATCCAATGGCTCCTCCCCTACCACCCAGCTGGGAAAACGTCCCTGAAATCCTCCCCGCTTAACATCCCGGGAAAACTTGGGTGGTTTCTCATGGAGATTGTCTCGCCGGTGACATTGCTCTATGTTCTTTTCACATTACCATCACAGAGCGTTGACAATAATAGTCATGTTGATGTTGGTGTTACTGCTGGTCTCCCACTCTCCAACCGCGTACTGGCGGGTTTATTCATCCTGCACTACATGAATAGAGCAATTATATCACCCTTCTTCGCAGCACCGAGTATGTCACCTATTCATGTACTTGTTGTTAGTATAGCGGGGTGGTTTAATTGGGTGAATGCTTCTTGTCTTGGGGGTTGGTTGGGGGGGTATTCTGTTTTTATTCGGGGGGTATGGATATGAATATGCATCATCTCCTAGTGGTCCTAACGGAGATGGTCAAAAAACCACTGCGTTGTTCCCAGGAATTCTCATTTTCTTCCTCGGTATGATTGGGAATATCTATTCGGAGAGACATTTATTCAGACTGAGGAGGGAAGAAGGGGATAGACGCGCTGCTACCACCGCCAACGACGACAAGAGAAAAGAGGTTGCAGAACAAAACCACAAAAAGAATAAATACAACAAGGTCTACGTCCTCCCTCCTGCAAAGGGTATCTTCCGTTCCATCCTCTACCCGCATTATGTCTTCGAGTGGCTCGAATGGCTTGGCTTCGCTCTCGTTGGCACTGCGGTCTTTCCGTCTAGCCGGTTTGTCGCACAGAGTTTCTCTTCTGCTGCTTGCTCAATTACGCTCGTGCCGTGGCTCGTTCCCTTTGCTGCTCTGGCTGAGAAGTTGCACATTCCACTTCCGCTTCCTGCTGTGCTGTTCTTTGTGAATGCAGTTGCGAATATGCTTCCGCATGCACGCTGGGGAAGGAAGTGGTATGTTGAGAAGTTTGGTGAGAGGGCAGTTGCTGGGCGGGGAGCTGTAGTGCCCTGGTGTACATGGTTGTAGTGCCTAAGTACGGACAATAGGGAAATACATATTGTATTCGAATATACAAAGTTGATAAAATCCTAACCACTCATATGATTATCAAATTAACCTGAAGAAATTGTTGAAATAAAACCACTGACAAAACCAGGACCACAAACACATGCTTGTACACCCGTGTTGAAACTTTGTCATGTTGAACTCCATTTACCCTGATGTTTTTTTCTCTAGTGCAAAACCCTGAACCCATATGTTGAACTTTTGGTATCATCATCATAACTCATCACAAACAAAACTCCCCGGTAATTCTCGAGGCGACAGGTTGAGAATGCCGCCCCATGTCGTGGCCATATGAAGAGAGAAATTATATTTATTTGGCATACTTCTGGCGGTAGAACTTGGCCGCATTGACCATGTTGGTCAAGGCAGCCTTGGTCTCCTTCCACTGACGTGTCTTCAGGCCGCAGTCGGGGTTGACCCAGAGCTGATCAGGGCGGAGGTATTCAAGCATCTCCTCAATACGGTCCTTGATCTCCTGCTCGCTGGGGACACGAGGGGAGTGGATATCGTACACACCAGGGCCAATGTGACGAGGGTAAGCTTCGTTCGTGAAGACCTTGAGCAGCTTAGCATCAGACTTGCTGTTCTCAATGCTCAGAACATCGGCATCCAGGGCAGCAATGGCATGGAAGAAGTCCTGGAACTCAGAGTAGCAGAAGTGGGAGTGGATCTGGGTGTTATCAGTGACACCAGATGTTGCCAGGCGGAAAGCCTTGACAGCCCAGGTGAGGTAGTCCTCACGCTCCTTACCAGAGCGGAGAGGCAGACCCTCACGAAGAGCAGGCTCATCAACCTGAATAACCTGGATACCAGCAGCTTCAAGGTCAACGACCTCGTCACGAAGAGCAAGGGCAAGTTGCTGAGCCTGAACTGACTGGTGAACATCATCACGAGGGAAGGACCAGCGAAGGCAAGTAATAGGGCCAGTAAGCATGCCCTTCATAGGCTTCTTGGAGATGGAAGCAGCATACTTCGACTCCTTGACGGTCATAGGGGCAGGACGAGAGATGTCACCAACAATGATTGGTGGGCGTACGCAACGGGATCCGTAACTCTGAACCCAGGCATGTGTGGTAAAGACGTAGCCAACGAGACGCTCTCCAAAGTACTGGACCATGTCGTTACGCTCGGGCTCACCATGGACGAAGACATCGAGATCAAGCTCCTCCTGGATCTTAACGACATCTTGGATCTCCTTCTCAATGAACTTCTCGTACTCCTCTGGAGTGATCTCTCCCTTTGTGAAGCGGTTACGCTGGATACGGATCTCCTTGGTCTGAGGGAAAGAACCGATGGTGGTGGTGGGGAAGAGAGGAAGGTTGATAGACTTGGTTTGGGCAGCGTAACGAGTGGGGAAGGGAGACTTGCGGTTGTGCATCTCATCAGTGACGGCAGCCTGCCTCTCCTTGACCTTGGGGTCGTTAGTCCTCTTGGAAGAGGCACGGGCCTGAACGGACTTAGCGTTAGCCTCGAGAGCTTCGCGGACGGTGGCGGGGCCATCAGTGACAGCCTTGGCAATCACGACAACTTCGCTGGCCTTCTCAACAGCAAAGCTGAACCAATCGCGAACCTCGGGGTCAAGAGACTTCTCGCTCTCGAGAGTATGAGGGACATGGAGGAGAGAACTGGAAGTAGCGACGATGACTCTATCTTTGCCCAACTTCTGGATAGCGAGCTCGACCTTCTCGATAGCAGTCTTGAAGTTGGTCTTCCAAATGTTACGGCCATCAACAACACCGGCAGAAAGAACTTGCTTGGGGCCAAGAGCGCCAATAACAGTCTCCAACTGCTCGGGGTTGCGAACGAGATCAACGTGAATGCCATAGAGGCTGTGAAGGGCAGGAAGGACATCGATGTTGTGGACAATATCGCCAAAGTAGGTAGCAAGAACAAGGCGAGGAGCCTTGTTGCCAAGGGAACCGATCTTCTCATAGGCAGGCTTGAAAGCGGCCTTGGACTTGGCAGGAAGGTCAAAGACGAGGACGGGCTCATCAATTTGGACATCCTCAACACCAGCCTCCTTGAGCTTAGCCAGAAGCTCAACGTACAAGGGGAGGAGCTTCTCAAGCTGGTCAATAGGATCGGTGGTCTGTCCACGATCGGCCTTGGCGAGGGTCAAGAAAGAAACAGGTCCCAGAATAACGGGACGAGTAGTGATTCCGGCCTCCTTGGCCTCGAGGAACTCAACAACAGGCTTGGGCTGAGTAGCCAGCTTGAAGACCTGGTTGTCTTGAAGAGTAGGCTTGACATAATGGTAGTTGGAGTCAAACCATTTGACCATTTCCTATATTGACTGTTAGCGCGAGGGGATATTTCCGACAGACGATTGTGATGATTTAGGAGAGGGGGCATACCAAGCTAGGAACATCGATAGCAGGCTTGCCATCCTGGGCAGGCTTCTGCAGACCTCTGCCCAGAGCGAAGTACTCGTCAATGGGGTCGAGGCCATACTTGGTATATCTCTCTGGGACAACCTATATATGTAGGCCAGTTAGTGGGGTGAACTAATACAAGAGCATGTGAGTAGGAGGGGCACATACACCGAAGAGCTGGATGTGGTCCAGGACCTGATCGTAGAAGGCGAAGTCATTACTGGGGATAACGTCGACACCAGCATCCTTCTGGATCTTCCAGTGCTCGAGACGGAGTCTCTTTCCCTCCTTCAACAGGTCATCACGAGAGATCTTGTCTGCCCAGTATGCCTCCGTAGCCTTCTTGAGGTCACGGAGTTTTCCCATACGAGGGAAACCAAGAACAGACCTGATGCAATATGTTAGCTTTCTAATTTGTACGGGTTGAGATTAATGGGGATATGGAGGGTTCTTACGATTGAACCATCCTGACGGGTATTCGAGAGCAGAAGCAGGACAAAGGAGGTGGGGGCGGGGTCTAAGGGAAAGATAGAGAAAAGAGTTGATGATGAAAAGAGATAGTTTCAGGAGAAGGATGAGAAGATAACAGACAAGGGCCAATTCCCTTGCAACTTCCAGATAAGACCTGGAAAAGAGAAGGAGGAGGGGAGGATGAGAAGGTGAGGATGAGAAAGGGAGGATGAGGAAGAGAAGGGGATAAGAAGAGAAGAGAAAATGGCGGAGGGGAAAAGTCAAGAGGTGTAATTAACGGATACCGGGAAATACGCGATAACATTCTGGCATGCAGGAAAAAGATCGCGGAGGTTTCCCGCCAGCCGTACAGATACTGTATTGGTAATTACAACTGGACTGACGTGATTGTGATTAGCAAAAAATAACCACAACTTTATCAACATCTTGTTCCGCTCACTCCGGCATCGGCCTCGCCAGGAGATATGGTACTGTATGTTACGGTACTGTCTGTCTGCCTGTATTGTATGGTAAATACCACGGTCTGACCGACTCAAATTACAACTGCCAGTAACCCTAGCAAAGTACTACCAAGTACCTACTCTGTACTCCGTCCCTATATCGATGATAGTACACGCAGTGTCGCTTTTCTGCAGTCATACATTGATGAGGACAGCAAGGCTAGTAGCAACGCAATTCAACTCAGTCAGATAAAGCCAGCAGGGCGAAAAGAGTAACCCCGAAAGGCTCACTGGCCCTTGCCATTGCCAACACTCCCATGCCCCATATGCCGTCCTTCCTCTTCTGGACATGTCGTGGTATCCTCTGCATCGATCGATCATGACTCGAATTCACTGCTCAGTTTCTTCGCCTGCAGAGACTGCGCATCTTTCTCCTTCTCCAACTACCCTTTTCACGCTATCTTTCTTCCTCAACCATTTCTTCTTCCTTCCCTAATCAGCCAGAATCACAACATCTACTACCTTGATCTTCCGTCCTGCTTCAGAACTGTCTTCAGTGCAGCACAATGGGCGTGCTTTGTCGTCATCTCAGGAGATGGTGGAAATCTGCCCGTCGATCTGACTCCGTCCAGAAATGTCAAGAAGACAAGTCAAAGCCATCTTCGTCGATCCACGAACATCCAGAAGGTGAGGATAACATCTCTGGATGTTTCCCGTCTTGACTTCAAACCCCATTCTGACGTGTACAAGGGCTATCTACATCTGCCGGGAAAACGAATGCTTCTGGAAAGGAACAGCGTCCCAGAGAGCAGCAGCACTCATCTGGACGCCTGTCTGGCAGATTAAGAAGGCGGCTCTCGAGAAAATCGAAATTGTTCCGTGCCCCTTCAAGAAAAGCACATCACCAAGACGTACGGTCTTTGTTCCCATCCGAATCTCCCAAGCTCTTCTTAAACCCTGCCTCGTTCGATGACTTTGGAAGCAGCTTGGTGAGTGAGAGAGAATACGACAGTGATGCCCAGTTTGTCAGCACTCCAAAGCATGCTGCTCAGGGTTCTCCGCGTCCAGTTACGACAAGTGGCCGGACACTATCGTCCTCTGGGCGGGACTATAACAAAATGGGCTTGAACAATACAACTGAACCACTCCGTTTCTTTCCAACACCGGACATTGGGGGTTTATCAGACAAAGACGGCGGTTTCTTCAACGCTGGCAAGGAACTTCCTGGGTCGGATTTCGTATTTTCTAAACTTCATGATTCGCAAACTCAAAATATACCAACCTTGGATGGAAAGGGTAAGGTAATAGACCTGCCCAGGCCAGCCAGTCCAATCGGATCAGCGATGGATGGTTCCAGGTATAATAGAATATCGGGAGAAACCATTAGCCTCCCGGACTGGCAGCAAGCATTCTTTGCTCCCAGTGAGGGAGCAGTTGGCACATTAAGGCCCCTAGCCAACAACAATTTGAATTCCAGCAATGGGCAGCAGCCCACTCTGCCACAACAAAATCACCAGTTGACACTTGCACATAGAAGCACTGGCGGGCAACTAGCTCAACCGGGCTCGTTAGATATGCTGAACGAGCACATATCAGATATCATTGTCGAAAAGAGACGGCACTCAGTGAAGCACCCAGGTCCAATTGGAAGCATCGCTGCGCGGTTGGCTTCAGCAGAGTCCTCGGATTCTCCGACTGAATACATCCCTGAACTTATTATCGAGAAAAGACGCCGCCAAACCTCAATTCCAGGTGTGCGTTCGATTCATCTTTGCGATCTCGACATATCTAGGGTCCTAGCATCATCATCGTCGATAACGCCACCAAATTTATCTCAAACGCAATCGTTTGATGAAAATCGACGGGAATATACACCAAGTTCCCGCAGCATATCTGATCAAGATGGTTCACAAGCTTGGCAGAAGAGTGCAGAGAAAATAGAAATGCCTACAAGAATGGTATCCCAGAGGGAATACGTATCCTCGATTTATTCGAGAAGTACTTGGTCTGCCAGCGCTTCTATCGACTCCATGAGGCCACATCCTTCCGGCTTTGGTTCGATAATTTATGAGCAAACCGAGCCAGAGAAGAGAAGTTCTGCCATGACCCCGGCTATCCAAAGCTCTGTGGCATCATCTCGAAACTCGGATTCAGAGGAGGAAAAAGGTGCGATCATCACCACAAAGGAACCCCAAAAAAGCAAGTTCACTGAGCACTTTGACCTCGACTACCAAACCCCTCTAGAGGTCGTATTCCCATATGCGCCTCGTAAAATTAGCATCGGATGGATGTCGGGTGGACGACGCCTCGGTTATGGATACACGATGGTGGGTACTGATGAAGATGACGAACGGTCATCACCAAAGGATTCATATTCGCTTGCAGAAAGCGAAAGGGACCATGCGCCAAATGAATTATCGACCGAGGACGAATTTCAGGAACACGCCGAGAAACGGCACACAGGGCAGCAGGAACAGATACCAACGTTAGGAGGAACGTCAACACATGTTCATGATATCGATTATCATGCTTACCAACGTCGCTGGTCCGGTGCAACTACCTTGCTAAGAAAGGTAAAGACGAAAGAAAGCACGGGTAGCGATTCTACGTCGCGTTCATTATGGACAAGGCTTTCAAGCCATGCAAGGAGAAATCGATGTGCGGACAATGCAAAATTTGCAGATCAAGGCCCCAGGCCAAGTTTCGAGTCAACCCAGAGAGCAAAGCGAAGTCATCGTACGAAGACTCTCTCTCTTATTGAAAGGCCGACTAGAAAACACACAAGGATATGGACTAAAATACGTCATCTGAGAAGCCTACAGATGATAAGACGCCATGCGACAGATGATTCATCTAAGCGGGAACTGGGATCTTCGGCAGAAAGCAGTCTTTCAAACGTGCATTGTTCAACCCTGAAAAGCGACACGAGCGAGATTGAGAATATAGATGGTGGAAAACGGCGGGCAAGTGCCGCGCAAGGCGAGATTCATACTGCAGTGGTCATATAGAGCAGGATAGGAGGCTTTAAAAGGCAGGGCAAATCTATTAGGACATGGCACAAACCAGAGATTGAAGATACGTGGAAAGACCATTTCGACAATGCTGTACCTTTCCGATTCGCCGGGTCAAAAGAGAGGAACATAGGCTTGTTGTGATTACTCATAACCATTGAATTAGGCTCGTGAATACATCATTAAGAATAGATCATTGATAACTGATTGACGTCAATTGTGAATTTCATGGGGACAGATATAGAAAGTGGGTTACAGTAAAAATCATGTAGGTATCATAACAAGAGAGAAGCAACCTTTAATAAAGATGCAAGAGATGTAACACAATCCTAATGGTCTACCTCTTTTGCCGTTTGGCGCTTTTATCACTCACACCACTCATAACACTCGCAGAGCGCTTATGTGTTTGTCCTGAGCCATCCTTGTCCCCGGCAGGTGTTGAAGGAGCAGTATCTCCATCAGCATTGCCTGTGGCAGCAGTAGCACTAGCATCTTGCATGGTTTCAGTGGAGGCACCTGCGGATTTGTTCTCTCCTGAAGTACCCGCAGTATTATTGGCAGGGCCTTGAGTATCATCAACCGTTGTGGCTTCAGGAACTGCTGCAGCAGACGGCACGGGCGAGGCAGGTTTATGTTGTGCTTCCGTCTTGATTTCAGGGATATCCTTTTTCTCCTTTGCCTCCTCAGTCTTCCGTTCCCTTTCTTCTCTGACGGCTTCCAGGACCTTGATCTCACTTTCAACCTTTTCGGATACTTTCCTTGTGTCAAGAAGGAGGTTGACTGAATGGATCAATTTCTCAAATTCCTTGCAGACGGTTTCGGTGGGCATGACGAGACGGAGTGGGACCTCGAGTTCTGAGAGAGCGGAGGCGAGTTTCTGTGTCTGGACATTCGACTTCGCCTGGGTCATTTTCTGGGCGCGTTCACTACGGAATTGGACACCCGGTGCCAGACGGTCGTGGTGTTGCACACCATATTTGGCTTCTTCGGCCGGAGTGAGTGTCTTCATCGGGTGCTGGTTATCTTTATTTGCTGCCGCCGCAGCTGTAGCTGCAGCCGCAGCAGATTTCTTGGTAGATGTAGCAGGGGCCGCACTTGGAGTGTCTGTTAGACTGTCACGACCGTGGTGGCCTTGTACAGGGGTCTGAACCGCCGGACTTTGGGCGCCCTCGGGACCGAGCAACGACCGCCTTTTCTTGCTCTTATCTGTCTGGAGAAGAGACTGGAGTAGCTGTCCTAGGCCTTGGCTAGATTGGTACATGGTCGTATTGCCCACGCTGATCGGGACCTCGAGTCTCGCGTAGAGCTCTCTGCGTTCCGTGATAAAGTTCTGCTCGTTGGCTGTTATGCGCTTAAGCTCCTCTAGGAGTATACCTTCTTCTCGCACTTCGTCAGCGGTGCGGTTGAGCTGCAAAGCAGAGAGCTCCTTCCGCGCTCTCTCCCGGTCCGGATCGAACTTCATCATCTTCTCGTGTAGGTCGAATTCCGCTTCAGACATTTCCGATGGTGGATACTCGAGCGCAAGCATAGTCGCAGCAACATAGTAGAAACGGGACTTCATCTGCTCCATCGTCCGATGTCGTTTGCTGGCTGGAACGAGCGCTGTGGCATTGGCTTCCGCGTCGATGGGTTGGGGTTGGTAGTCGTAACGATCAGCGATGACGACCCATCTGAGATCGTACTCCTGAACAATATCCATGAGATAATCTGTCTCCTCGCGTGTCCAGTGATCACTTCTCAGGTGCTTGTTGTACTCTTCGTCGGTGTACCTCCGGGGGACTCTAGCTTTGACATTGTATTTGGCAAATGGATATTCCTGCTCCGGCGAGTTCAGTTTGGCTTCCAATTCCTTCTTCTCATCCTCAATCATATCCGTTCCTTCAGGCATGGGTGGTTTGACAGGTTCTTCCACTCTTTGCCAATGGCGGAGGACGAGGCCGTCGGATCGAGCACCGTTGGTGAAAGGTACCATGCGCCTGGTGAGGGAGGAGTCAGCGTATTGTGCTGTTGTTTGACCAAGCGAAGACAATGTGGGATATACCATGGCCGGACTCTTGACTTGCTCATCCATTTTGGTCGGCCCTTGTATCGATTTTCGGTGATGGCGATCGGAGGTGCTCGCTCTCCTAGAAGCGCGTATAGTTCTCTGGGAACGCCTTCTGTAGAGACAACACGTTAGTTTAATCTTATTTCCTGCTAGGAGGTCAAAGCTCCGCATGTACCACAAACCTGGTCTTCTCTCAGCGACTTTCTGTTTCTTATGAGGTCTGGGTTGGCCCTCTGCGGGCAAATCCAGCATGTCGCGAACATCAGCAGCCGCCATGGTGGAGGGGTCCACAACGTAAGACGGGGGCCGGGACTCAGTATTCAGGAGGGAGTATCCAGTATGCCTAGCAAAGAATCACATCGAAAATAAATAAACGATGAAAAAGGAGGAAACAGCCCGAGGAAGATGGACGTTTTGTAAGCTGGAGGGAAATCTGCCGCAGAAAACCGGGGACACGTTGGTTAGTCAGCAAGTTGTCCTTAATTTCCATTTGACATGCATACAAAAAGTATGCGACAGGCACAGTCCACACTTAATAAACTGGACGATACTCTGATGGTCTGCCCTGCAGTTGATAGATTGGCAATACTATTCTTTTGGCTTGTTTAAATTATGCCCATATCAAGCACTATTATGTACATTTGAAACGAGGTGATGCGTGTAAAGACCCGCAGACTTAGTATGTCTGGGGTATAAGCTTTTAGCAAGAGGGCCTGCAAGCGCCTGGAATTTCACTCGGTGCAAGCAGACTCTGGAAATGTAACAAGGATAGCATATCTGTGGCATGCAGGGCATGAGTAGATCTAAACCGAACTGGCGCTGGATATTGGAACAAGTCTAACTCAAGTGTCTCTCGAACCATAGGGATCAACCCCTTTTCGATCGCTTCGGAAGATCGCTATTGCGACCATGTGTGATCAAGGAGACCTGTAACGTCATTAGCTGCAGTTTCAGCAGTTAGTGTGGATGTATTTCCATGGTATCACTCACCCCAAGGCTCGTCGTCGTCCTGCTTTCCATCTCTGATGTAGTAACTCCCGCTTATTACCCAAACCATCCAGCCTGCGTGATGGCTTGGTAGGAACTCCCTCAAGCACGAGGCATAGACGTCCTTGTAAGTTGTGCTGTCTTGCTCGAAACCGAACTCGGTCATCACAACAGGCAGGACATTCACTATACTCGAGTTCTTGGCGTCCAGGGCATTGAATCCAGAGCTCCTCAGGCTAGACGAGAGTGTGTCACAGCTGGATGTGGTAGAATCGTAGCTATGCAGCTCCAGGACAATTCTTGTCTGCGTACGTGAAATCATCTTTCCGGAAGCTAGTGCCATTACCCAAGTCCGCACCGGTGGGAATTGGGCTGTGTCGTGTCGTAATTGAGGCCAGAGAAGAAGACCAAGAGATCCGGATTTACTTGATGCACCTGGTTGGCGTTGTTTACCATGTTCTCATACCAATGCTGCCAGTTGTAGGTCTTGTTGATCAGGGCGGAGTTGTCCTCTGGCCTCCGCAGTTCATTTCGCATGCCAATGCTTTTCACAGCAGGTAGGAATTTTACCTGCCAGTAAGCGTCAGTAATTATATTCTACAGATCAGCGGGAAGACGTGTTAATGTTGATAGTACATGTTAAGCCATGTATCTCCACCCTCGGTGCCACTTGTCCACGTCGAAGTACTCGTCTCCAAACCACGAGTTCCCATCCGTCGTGGAGCGGCACCATTTGGCCTTGGAGACGTGATTGTCCAGGTGCACATAGATCCCTTGGCGATAGCATTCATGGGCAACCGCATTGAAGACCTACGTAAATCTTTGAATTAGCGAAGGAATCGTTGTTGAAACCGTCTCTGTTCATGTTCCCACCTGCAACCGAGTGGTATTTATCCCAAACTGCGGATTATGATGGATGATCTGTTGGAAAACTGGAGAGCCATTCTTTTCGCCCAAAGCATTGATGAGAGAGCTCTTGATAAGCACATCCGCTCCATTCTCGAAAATGTCGCCTACCATTTCCATTGCGAAAGTGAGACAGATCGAGTTCATCTCGAGATCCTTGATCTTGCTGACAATATCCTCGATGGACGTGTACTGGAGTCCCTCTGGCAACATGGTGTCTGCAGCGCCAGGCCAGTTAACGCCGGCATATGTCACATTGTTTCCATCAGAATCGACGATCCAACGGCCTGAGGCGGAGAGGGGTTTGGGAGAAATTGACTGAACAACTTGAGGGACCACAGCGCATAGCAGGGTCCCTATGAGGCGGAGAGAGAGCATGGTTTAAATGACGGTTGGGAGAAGATAACGTGCTCGGGTAAAGGATTATGGGAAACAAAGGGAAAGGAATTCCTCAATTGCCCTTATATGTCTTTCTGCGTGCCCGTCCATGGACATAGGAGATTTGAGCTGCTGCAGGATGTTTCCACCATGCGCCTCAGCATATTACCCATGATTGGCGGCATGAAAAGTATCCGTCTGCAAACTTCTGAGGAGATTGGCTTTTTGGTCGAGTACTATCTACATCTAGGTAATGAGATTGATCACTATATTTCCAAAGGCTGGTGTGAGCAGGGATCGGACACGAAGCAGTATACGCAGCAGTAGAAGTACCTCTTAGGCCAAATCGTGCCATGCCCATCCTACCAGAACGCCGCACGCAAACCTTTCCTCCAGGTAGCAGCAACGGGCAACCTTGGAACATTGCCCACTTACCAGCTGCAAATGAGTCCGACTTGAGCGGATATGCGCTATACGGGAATACAGAATCCGGCTCTGAGCTTAAGTTCATGTTTATCGATGTTAGAGTGTGGAACTCTAGCTACGGGACGCTACGGTATGAGCGTAGCAATTCCACGGCATCTCATCTCACAGTCTTATCTTCTCAGCTCGGCGCATCCGTAGAACTTGCCATCTTCCTATACCCAGCAAGGCTATGTACGCAGCTTAGAGCCTTCGTAGAACAGCTCCCATATGTCACTTGAGTTACCCGCATTCCACAGTGTGACTCGGACCACAAGTACACAGCGTATACCGAGTATAAACTTGTGTATCTTGATACCAATGCCATCCTTTATGTTGGATCACGTGGGATTCTGCCGCATAGGTCCGCCCTCGCTGACCCTCTTCACCACGTAGGCCTATCTAGCTAGCAACCAACCAAGGATACGCCTCCATTATTTGTCACAGGCTGTCATACCCCTGTGTAGACAAGCCCGTGACAATAGATAGGATCGTGATAAATTTTCTAGGAGAACATCTACATTGCTATGCACAATAATACGGGTGCACATCTTGGCATGTCAGTGGAAGTTGTGTAGCTGACTAGTGTGTTTATCATATAGAAATCGCGAAAGCGCCAAGACATTCTGCTCCGCTGTGCTCCCCTTTTGCTCTTTCGGCTTCGCTGTCAACATCGCTGACCCTCCGACACTCCAGCCCTACCCTGGTGGACTCATAGCCAAAGGATACCACCATGGCGCCCTCCAGGCCGTCATCGTCATCATGGCTCTCGTTCCTCTTTGCCGCATTCGCCGTCCTCTCTTTCTCCGTTCCCGCAAATGCCCTCTACTTCTATATGGACGGACGTCAGACAAAATGCTTCTTTGAGGACTTGCCCAAGGACACTCTGGTTGTCGGTACGTCTCGACTATCCTTATCTTGGTCTTATATGGAATTAATTTCCTTTACTCATCGCTCGCGAAAAAAAATAACTAGGACACTACAAGACCGAAGTCATCAACTACCAGAGTGGCACGTTCGCCGTCGATCCCAGCCTGACCATGCTCATCAGCGTCCAAGAGACCTTTGACAATGACCATCGGGTCGTCTTCCAGCGGACAAGTCATTCAGGCCGCTTCACTTTCTCCGCAGCTGACGCTGGCCAGCACAAGATCTGCTTGACCCCGGACTCGAACGCGGTGACCGGTGGCTGGCTCTCCGGTGCACCCACAGGTGGCGTCAAAGTAACCCTTGACGTTGCCATTGGAGAGACGAGCAAGATTGAAAGTGAGGATAAGGATAAAATGAAGGACATCGTGCAGAAGGTCAAGGATCTCAATGGGCGACTGCAGGATATCCGTCGAGAACAGGTGTTCCAGCGCGTAGGTCACACTTTATTTATTTGTTCTTTCTTCCCATGAAGGAAAAAAGTGAATCGTCGATGAAACTGACTTGGAATATACCTCTTCCAGGAACGGGAAGCGGAATTCCGCGATCAATCCGAAGCCACCAATTCCCGTGTCGTCCGTTGGACTCTGATCCAGCTCTTCGTCCTCTCCGCAACCTGCGCTTGGCAATTGTCTCATCTCCGCTCCTTCTTCATCAAGCAGAAACTGACTTGAACCACGAAAATTTAAACATAGATAGGAATGGAGAAGGGAGCAAAGATACTGTCAAGATCCCTCTGCTTGCACAGGAAGGGGACTTCCATGTCATTTCATTTCTTCTCGTGTCTAATATCTCGATTACTTTTTAATTACTTTTTATGTCTCTTTATTTCTCCTTTTCATCTTTTTTGTTTGGTCATGAAAATGATTTATGTGGGTGAGTTAGTTAACTTGTATTCCAAGTACCTATCGTATATCCGCCTCATATGGATGATGGGTCATGTTGGTATTGGTATTATCCCTTATGCTATTATAATGTAGATAATCATGGCCATAATGAAAAATTCTATTCCTAGTTCATTTGTTCATGTCAGTTTTGTAGACCATTTATTATAACTGTGCATTGTCTTATTCCATCATGACATATCCATGGAGTGAACAATATATAAAATGCATAGATGTTGACTGTAGTTAATCTTCATCCCCTGCTTAACTGTATATCCCTTGAACAATGCTTGATAACGTATATAATGTGTACGGAGTGATCATTCCATAAGTCACTCAATTAGTCCCTTATGAAAACGATATTTGCATGTCTGTAAGGGTTCGCACACTATCAATGTCAATGAGGCTAAGCCCGTCCTAATAAATGTACTCTGGAAAAGCCGAAGATATGAGGCACGGAAAGCAAGAAGTTACTGGAATGAGGATGAATAGAGATCGGAACACGCAGTTCAGCCTGGAGGCGTAAGAATCCATCTATTAATAGTCTCCTGAAAGCATGAGAAATTTCAAGAATATGCATGATTCTCATTCATCATTATTGTTACTATTCAAGTCTGAAGCTATATATTCTGTAGTGCCATTGCAGTCAGCGCCACTGATACAGAACTCAACAATGAGTTTCTCCAGATCAGAAAGTTTATACGGCTTGGTCATGTAGCCTTTCATTCCGACTTTAGAGGCACGCCCAAGGGCCTCATCAGTGACGTCTGCGCTAACAGCGAGAACCGTGGGAGACGGCGGTGGTGTGAGTAGTGACGATGTGGGAACTGATTGTGTACATGCGTGTGGCTTCTCGTTATATAGATCGGGCTGAAGACAAGTGGAGGAACCTTCAGGACTTTGAGAAGATTTGTTCCGATGTTCGTTGACCAATTCAAAGATCCTAGCTGTGGCTTGATATCCGTCCATTTCTGGCATCCAGAGATCCATCAAAACTAGGTCCACAGGTTTCATATTTCTCCCATTCTGGGATTGACCGCATCCACCAGACGCATGATGACAGTGATTTCCTGGTGCATTATTTCCGGATTTGGTCCCCTTTTGTGCCTGTTCTTCAGAATTGCGTAATGCCAGTGTATCCTGGATGATCCGTACAGCCTCCTTACCATCGCAGGCTTCGTAGACATCATGGTATCCAAGCTTCTTGAGCATGCTCACCAGCACACGCCGGTTGATCCGGTTATCTTCGGCAACCAGGAGAGTAAGGGGGTATTTTTCCCCCAGCTTACTGTCAAAGTTAGCTCCGCCCATGGTTGACGTTCGGCCACCGTCGGGAGTAGATATGGAGTATGAAGATGATGGAGATACGCCTTCATCAGTAAGACTTGGAGAAGGTTGTTGAATTGGTTTGGTTATATGACGAGGAAGGGAAGATGACTGAAAAGAGGTCCTGTTGATAGAACTATCTGCTCTGCCCGGCTTAGACCGGTCAACAGTACAAGGCGGCGGCGTGACTCTCATTTCTGGAGGAGAAGGACTATTGCTGCACGCATCAAGGTGATTGATGGGAAGTCTAATCTCGAACTCGCTACCACGATCGGGACCGGAAGTAGAGGAACGGACGCACACGAGATCGCCGCCCATCTTTCTTGCCAGACCCTTCGCAACGAGCAGTCCTAAGCCGAGCCCGTCCTTGCTCTGCGTGGTCGACGAATTCTCACGAGAGAAAGGCTTAAAGAGGTTCGGCAAGAACGCTTCAGGGATACCAGATCCTGTGTCCCGAATAGTAATCGAGACATGGTTGGTTTCGGGTTTAACAGTTGCATAGACAGTGATGGCACCCGTATTGGTAAATTTTATAGCATTCAGGAAAACACAAGAAACCAATTTTGCAAGGTCTCGGTTGTCCATAAGGAGAGTGTCAGGAAGCGTGGGGTCAACAGACCAGTCGATAACTTTAGACGAAACATGCCCGTTTGAGAAGCGTGAAGAAACCTCAATCTTCTCTCCGAATTGCGTTTGTCGACTCGCTGCAAAGTCAGGACGGCCGCCGACGTGAAGTGATTCATTCACGACAAGACGGAGTAGATCGCGCAGCTTGGTCAATTTCAAAGAATGATCCCTCAACTTCAGCCCCTCGAGAAGAAGATGGGGTGCCGACCTCCTGACCGCAAGGGACGGACGAGGGTTAGCCATATTAGCCACGGCTTCTTCAATCTGGCCTGTAGGTGTAGCTTGCATAATTTTCTCGCTCTCGTGAACGGCATCCCTGACCTCACTACTACGGGGCGAGCACTGTTCCTGCGAGGGAATCGGCAGAACCCTCTGTTTTGGGGGCGGCCCAAGATTCCGGTCGGAATCGTCTCGCCGTCGTTTGTATGGGTTCGCGGAAATATTGTCACCCTCAACAAAAATGGCTGCTTGGTCTTCACGCACAGTGGCCGAAGGTGGCGGGAACCCGGCTAGAATTTCAGTATCAAGCTCTTTCCGTGGAGTTTCTGGAACTTGCATATTCAGGTCGTACGCATGAACGACGTTATCGGCAGCTTCGACGACCCGCCTTGCGCTATCTATTACCACAGATTCTCAGCGGAGTGTTCATCAACACGGGAATGCCGGGCAGACATTACTAACCTTGAACCATTTCAATGCTTTCCTTTAGAGATCTGAAGACATCGTTCGTCTTCGCATGGTTCTTGCACTTGATAGCCTCGCGGACAGTGGCATGCATGACGTCTAGCATCCCGACAACGCCTTGCATTGGTGTCCGGAGCTCATGGGACAGGCTTCGTGCATATGGCTTCAGCGGTTGAATGTGGCATTTGGCAGGATCATGCGGCTGAACACTAGGGGAATCACGAACGACTGCCTCATGGTTCGGATTAGACAAATCAAGGCCCTGTTGCAGACCTGTCATTGCAGTGTCCATATCGAGCAGAATACGCTGTACAACCATGTCCTCTAAAGAGTACAGAGTCATCTCCAGAGACAACCACGAAAGGTTCCGCCTCCGCAAACCCTCGTCCGACCACATCAGACCTAGATGGGCCAGACACTTCCCTTGAGAAAATAATGGAATCGAGAGGTACGCTTTGGCAGCGAAAGGTATTTGGCCTGCCACGGATTGCCCCAGATCATCCGGAACCAAACAAGGCTTGTCGTATTCAACGTGGGACAATGGGTTTTCCCCAACGAAATACTTATTTCTTTCCATGCCCCGCTGATCTCCGTCATCGTAATAAAAAACCATGCCTAGCAAAGTACATTGACGCCGCCCCGTTGCGTGGATTTGTTCTTCAGCAGGGATCTTTCGGACAACAAATCCAGATTGAGCTCCGCAGGTAGAAGTCAAGTCAACCATCAGTCGATCCCAGAACATATCCGACTCCAAAGTTCTCAGTTTTCGCTTGAGATTTACAAGCCGTTCGATTGCATAACTCTCGGCGTTGTCGACAGGTCTGCCAGCAGACATGTCTAAAGACGGATCGTGGCTCTGAATGTTAGCCTTAGGACGATCACCATCGAAGCTTATGTACGGGGAAGATAGGAAGGAGAAGCTGCGATCGTCTGGGAAAGGTTTCGGCAGTTCTGGATCAAGCGAATCGGACATGGTCGGTAGCAAAGGAATCGAGCACAGGGAGACCTTACGGAGGTATGTATCGAAGGTAGGCAGACTGTACCCGGTAGTTTATTCGAAGCGGCGCGAGTCTAACTAGACGTAAGGCATTTCTTTTGATCTGATGGCGGTCACATAATTGAACTTCGTTAGCGAATGAAGCCTGACTAATTTAGGAGAAAGAGATCTTTCAGAAAAACTCGAGAAGCAATAGATTGTCTTCCTTTTCTGTACTCTCTCCCCATCTCTTTCCCTTGTTTCTGCACCTTGGTAATGTTTCATTAATGACATACATGAGTCTACAAGCAGTCGTTAAGCCCAGCAAGGTTGTGCCGCTAACAGAGACTGAATGTGAGCAAATTCAAAAATTATGTTGCCCAGTACCCTTCATTTCAACCCTGCTCTCAGAGTCTGTTCTTAGTTTCTTGTATGAAAGGCGTTGAGGTTGCTCTTGGGGGCTCCACTAATTAGTCTGACGCGCGGGCGGTTGTTAGGGTTTTCGGAGAGAAACAGAAATTCACTGTATGGATTTTGGAAAAGGGAGAAAAGTAGTAGGAATAGGACATGCACGAAGAGAAGGCCTTATTGTAATGTTGGTGCAGTAGCGGCTGTACCTGATGAATAATGTGATATCTGATAGAACCATGGAACGATACAAAACGACGAAACCTGGGACAGAGGCTCATTATCGAGAGGAGCAGAAGCGGGACGCTGGCGTGAGTGAGGAGCAAGCAGGAGGGGATTCAATAAGAATAGCAACCATTCGAGCGCGGCAGACCAGTAATATCGGCAGATTCCTCGAGTCTAGATTTGCCGGGGACGGGATGACACGACGTGCTATCTGTCTGGCGCACAAACCGACGGTGACGAGACGGAGGCCCTTATGGGACCTTACGTCGGTGGCCACTGGCGACGGATAGCAATTCGAAGACCTGGTCAGGGATGATCCGGATAGCTTCTCATCAAACAACCCATGGAAAGCCCATGTCTGAAAAGGCCCTCATCTTCGAGAAGCCGGGCATTATTGTCTCCAGCCGTTATGTCCGTCTGCATAGATTGTCTCGACCGTTCCAAAGACGGGCACCGCAGGACTCGCCACTGCGCGAGCGCTGGCGCCGCACCCGGTGCCGCACAGACTCGTCTAAACTCCCGGCGTACGTCAGTGATTTTGACTGCCGCTGCGAGGTCATCCCGCTATGCCTCGTGAAAAGTCGATACTGGATTGGACGTAGCTTGCAGGCTGCAGTCTGCATAAAATGCTGAAAGACATCCAGCAGCTATCTTGCAGCGCTGCCCATCTCAGTCCTGTTGAGTGGAGCAAGGCGTTGCAGGGACAGATCCTAATTGATCACGTGGGTCACGTGGGAAGTGGTCATGTTTTGTCTCCCGTGAAGGATTTCTCCCCGGAAACATTTCGGCATTGACCACGCAATTCTCCTCTTCCCGGAGACATCTATTCAGCACTGTTTTATTAGGTCTGATTATTACTATCTGCATTCACAAGGAAATCGACTGAATCTCGCCCGAAACTATCGTCAGCAGTTCCGACATAGGGCATAATAAGGTGGCACTACATCATGGAAACTGAGGCTACAAGACCTCCAGGAGGTGCAGACTGGGTACAGGAAGTGGTCTGAAACAACTGATGGGAAACAGGGATCTTTCCATACTTGATTTTTCATCTTCTTACGAAGCACAATATCACTATTCCGTTGTAACGGGTCGCAGGTCCACCTCGGCATTGGCATGTATATTCACCTTCAAGCTTACGCCTGCAGACGCCGTACACCTTACGCTATACGCTATACGGCGTAGATATAGATGCGATTTTGCAGGAATGTGGGAAGTTTATTCTTCCGTCCTCTCTGGATAAAACCTTAAAAGTCAACAACATCCGTGATTATTGGCTCTTACTGTCGATGCATATGGTCATTGAAGGGTCGCTAAGGTTATTGTTCCCCATCACTGTCGTCATCTTGACCGTATTAGTTCGAGGAACATGCATATAGGTTGCTCTTTGGGAAGTTGAATGCGCAGGTCATTTATCGGGCAACAAGCGTCCAGGAACTCGGGCGAGAGAACCTTGCACAAAATCGCAATGAAAAGCAGCAAACGTCACACGGTGGAAGATGATCAGTCTCGGAATCCATTGTCAATTGTGATATTATCGTTTATTTCCTTGGCGAATTTCTTTCATCTTTCATCTTGACAGTACATGTGAAAGTAGATGGCTGCGGGTCCGCGCTCTTCTTTTGGAGGTAACTAGCCACAGTCAAACAGAGTTGCATCATTATCAAGTGAAGACAAGACTTGAGACGCCATAGACGGTCTTCGGTAACCCGCAAATCCTAAACTGAAATAACATAACCCAAGATGCAACAACCGCAGAGTTTAATCCTGTCTCCCCTTCAGTAGCCGCTTGGTAACCTTATCTTTCTCAATGATGTACACCTGGGCACCCCAGCCAGACAGGGCGTCTCTGTCAACAGCACTTAGGAGTGCCTGAGAGATGGTCTCAAATAGATCCTCGGGCTCCTAGATACCAGGTCAGGATAATCAACAAGTTTTAGTGTATGTGTATTTAACGCACCAGGTTTGGCTCCCACAAACCCTCACAGGTGCCAAAAAGCTGTTGGCTCGCTGTCCCACTGACAATGAAGTCCTTTGCGAAATCGATACAGCCGATGGAATCGAACCCGCAGATGAATGGCTTCCCGGTTGTGTGGTTGATTCCGGCCACCACAGGACTGACAAAATACGGACCAAACCGCCTCTCGTACAAGGACGAGCTGACCAAATTGGCAAATGTCTGCGGGGAGATATGTCGTTCCTCACGGAGGCGGTACATGTTGACTTTGTAGCGGAAGAGATCCGAAACTGTAGCAACGTCTGTTGCAAGACCAGTCAAGCCAAGGTAGACAGAGGGAGCGTAGTTGAAGATCTTGGGGAAGTCGTTGGATACAGTCAAGGCCTGCATGCCTAAGCGGAGATCGCAGGCAATAGCAACGCAGTCCTTGCCTGTCATGGCGACACAGGCACCGCCATCTGGATGAATCTTGGTTAACCGACTATCTGTGACGACGGAAGGGAAGAATGGGATGGGACATGATGCATACTTATGTCAAAAGGTGAGCTCTGTGGATCGTAGTCAGTCAGCTTGTGGTTCGGTGGTCTCATGGAACGTCGGGCTCATTTACCATGATTGATGTAGCCTTTCTCTAAAAATTGCAAACAATTTGGCAAAAGAAAAACAATCTGATTAATTCGGACCTTGACGTGGCTGGAGTTGTTAAACGGGAGCTCGACGCTGGTTGTTTGGGTGGAAGTTGATGAAGCTGATCGAGCTGCCTCCAGCTAAGCAACGCGAAGAAGCTTTGGGCGGATGACGCTTCGCCCGCTGCTCTGCTTAACCGCCCTCCGCACCTCTGGAAACTTCTGCACTTCTGCCATCATACCTGCTCACTTCTTCCTGGTTCTTTTCTTTTGATTTTATTTCTTATTCTAAATTCCTCTTCTCATCCATTCCTGGGAATTACGCCTTTCTAGCTGTCCTGCGGTAGCTTGTCATACTTGGTCGGTTAAACCGACGGCACTCCCAAGTCACCGTCACCTTTACGCTCTGTATACAATGAGCTCCCACGTCGTTGTCCTGGATTCAGCTGCTCGAAGAGCTACAGTGAAGACTATACCGTCTAGGCATCTAGCTGATATTCTGCAAGAAGCATGTTCCAAGTTGGGTCTCGACCCAAGCCAGTATGGACTAAAGTAAGTTCGGCCCCGTGCGCATCAAGAACTCGTGCTTCAAGCTGACTTCCTGATCAAAAGATATAAGGGTAAAGACCTTGACCTCTCCCTTGCTTTCCGTCTCTCCGGCCTCATTTCCGGTGCAAAGCTCGAGATAGTTCAACTGTCACGGTCTCCTTCTGTCGTCACGGTCGGCCTACAGTTACCAGAATCCGAAGCGAGAGGTACTCCAAATGGACGCCTTGTCGACAAATTTCCAAGCACGACAACATTATGGCTTGTGTTGCGGAAGTTTGAAGCAGGAGTGGCCGGTAACGGGTCCACTAGGAATCTCACAGCGCGAGGTGTGCCTGCCACAAGCAACGGCGAGTCAGGGCCAGGTAGGCTGTTTTATGAGATGCCGGTCGTTCAGGTCATGGGTCGCACGCTGTCAACCTTCACGGATCTTCAGAAATCGCTTGCGCAACTGGGATTCAATAGTGGGAATATCCTTCTGAGACTCAGCTTCCGAAGGACAGAGGATCCGCTCGAAGAGGCTATGCTTAAAATTGAGGACTATTTCAAAGCAGTTGGTCATGATATTCTTACAGCGCAGCCATCTGCCATTTCCAAGACAAAAGCGCCAGCTGATGCTCCAAATATGGTGGGGCAACCTGAGGATCCTCTACCTGACAGTGTCTCCGGGGCCCCTGTTACATCAACACAGTCAGCTGAAACCTTACCTACATCATCTGCCACTCCTATTCCCGAAGCATCTATGGCACAATTCCCCTCATCTCGCCCCGTGACCGTCTTCTCTCCCCCAACCGGTAACACTCCTGTCTCCGCACAAGTTGCTCATAACGAGGGTGACTATGTACCCACAATGGACCAGGCACAAGCACATCAAAGGCGTCTTAACCTTCACTCCCGACCAACACGTCTTCCTTCAGACGCAGAAATCGCTGCTAAATTGGCCGCAGAGCAGGAAAGAATTGCAAACATTAAGACGGTTGATGTGAAGGTCCGGTTTCCAGACCAGAGCCAGGTAGTTGCAAAATTCGCGAACCAGGATACGGGGAGGTCGCTATATGATTTTGTGAGAACTTGCCTTGCGGAGCCGTTTGCTACGGAAAAGTTTACTCTTACATTCTCACCCCAATTTACAGGGCCAGGTCTAGGTGGGAGGAAGATTCAAACCGTAGTCTCGGAATCAGAGAAGTCCTTGTTGATCAAGGACCTGAGAATGGAGGGTCGAGTCCTGGTTAATTTCTCTTGGGATGCGAGCGCATCGCCTGCCGTCCGGGGTAGTAATGCTGGTCTACTCAGACCGGAACTTCGAAGTCAAGCACAGGAGCTTAAGATAGAGCAGCCTCCTGATGTGCCGGAGGAACCGAAAAGAAGCGTCGCTGGGAGCAGTGACGCTGATCGTGGTGAAGGACGATCCGGTGCGCGGAAAGGGGGTGTACCGAAATGGCTCAAGTTACCTGGGAAGAAATAATAGTCTTGATACATGGCTTTCTTTGCCTTTTCCTTTTTGACGATCTTGTTATGTATATGATGTTTGCTCTAATGATACACCGGTATAAGGTATGAGTTTATTGTCAGAGTAGCATCCTAGTACATAAACCAGTTCCGTAGTAGAACTCGTAGGGCTTTAGGAAGAACATCGCCCATGTCGGAAACATGAGAAACGAATCTGAATATATTTCTTACGTATGCTGTCTATCAGATTCCAAATGACTTGCAACTCCGTTTCTCTGTTTAGTCGACACTTCAGTGGTATACTATTTATTTGCCTTTTCCCGTTTCGATTGACCCGCCAAACCGGACACAAAATACAATTGGTGCTTCGATAAATTTTTCTTCATTCGTTAAGATGTTTTAAAGTAGACGAGAATAAGAAGAAAAAAACGAATCTAGTGACCCAGACGCCTGGCCTCAGCGATAACACCCTGCATGTCCTCGACCTTCTTCTTGCCGCGAGAGAAGGTACCGAGCTGTAGACAAATGTGTTAGTTTATATTTCCTCAGACAAGCCGGTGGAATATGAATAAGTCATAACGCGGGATCGACTGTAGTCGATTTATTTCCAGGTACGGAGAAAGAATCCATTGCGCTTTTCCCTAATCCTGAAACGGAAAATACGAAAGGGGCACATACCCTCTTCTTGGCAAGCTTCCTGGCCCGCTTATCCTGAGCGTTTCTCAGCAGTTCAATAATGCGGCGCTCATAGGGAGCAAGACCGACGACCTCGCGAGCGATTTCGCGGACGAAAGCGGTACGGCGAGAGGACTGGCCCTTGGTGCGGCTGATCCTGGTCTTGGGCGTGTTAAGGGGGGTCGTTTTCTGTTATAGAAGATATCCCTATGTCAGTCACTTCGCTTTTCTTTTCATAATTCATGCGTAGAAAACTTCTTCCACCCCAGTCTTCAGGTAATTCGGATGAGTCGTGCGTTCAATGTCAAATACGGGAGTCCATTCAGTTTCAATGTGATCAGCTGGCAGAAATATAATTTTTTTCTTCCCTCATGACTTGACTGCATATTTGCGCCTTGTATTTCCACCCTCAACAGCCGCTTCATTCACATCTTCCTCCCTTCCATATTTTCAGAGCAGCAAACAACCACAAAATGTGAAATAGACTCCCGACTCAGCTCGAACGCGACGCACAATCGAACCCATAAAAGATGACAGGATATTGGAGGGAGACAGCAAGAAAGGGGCAACATACGTGACCCTTGTTCAGGCCGACCACGATTCCGGAACGTTGTGGCGCCATCACGACAGTTGACGACTGAGGCTGTTGGGCGACGGTGTTGCTGGACGGGGAAGGGTGTTGTCGTTGTCGAAAGTCGAGATTGTCGTCGGTGCGGATTGCGGATGGAATCACGGGAAGACGTTGTGGTTGGTCCGCCCCGTATGGCTGTACGCGAGTGTGGGTAATTAGGTCTTAGGGCTTGGGGCTAGGGCCGAAAGGGAGCATGACTGGCGCCAAGACTTTCTCGTGCATCTTGATTAAAGCTTCAAGTCCTTCCACTTATCCTTTCCTGCCATCCCTGCATATATCTACAACGACTCATTATTTATCATTTGCTCATCATACTATCGATGCAGCATCAAGCCTGCGATGATTGGACCGTACATGCCTGCTGTTTGAATAATGGATCCGTTGTTCATAGCATCAGGACAAGTCAGTACGATGGGCGCCGACTGCTTAACCAAACCAAAATGAATGCTATAGCAGGATCAGGACTAGTTATGTTACTGGTGTAACTCCTTTATGAAGCCGATGCTGCAGGTTGTTCATTGGATACGATTGACATGGTTGCATCTAACGGCAATCTAATCTGGTTACTATGCAACATCTACAGGATGATCTGATGAGAGAGATAACCGAGTTTTTGACGATGCTAATTAACTAGGTTATGGCCGATGGAAACAATTAAATCTGGCCAGCAAGAAGGACAATTATTGCTCTCTACTATCCTCGCAATAATCTTGTTCCATGACCATTGCCAACCAAAACATTGAAGAAACTGAAATAGATAATAACCATGGGCACTCCATCTGAATACCTCCATCCAGCTCTCCCGACAGATTCTATCGTCGAGCTCATCGCTTCACTAGATCTCCCAGCACGGACAAGAATATAGCCCCTACAGGTCACAGCAGCTTACCATTCCATCTACCTTGTGCACTTCTCAAAGGATGTCGCAGTGAATATTCCCGTTCGCGCAGAAACAGATGGCTGTCACATTTTGGTCTACGAGTGTCCGGTCGGCACTTCCCCCATATCAAGATCTTGAATAAAGTAGGCGTGATGACTTGGTCCGCCAATACCGATATCCCCGTTCTGCAAATTATTCGCTATGGTGCATCGGAGGCTAATGTCATTTGGCATGGGTTTATGCTCTTGGAAAAGGCGCCTGGAGTGAGCGTGGACACGATCTACGATGATTTGAGTGCGGATTCGAAAAGGAGTCTGGTGGATCGGTTGACTGAATTCTTGATCCAACTTCACGCCAAACCATATAGTCTGGGTTACGTCGGGGCCTTGCGATTGATCCAGATAGTAAAGATAAATGTGTCATTCCCGGCCCTCCCTTGAGGAATACTTCTGGGACGTATCTGAAATCTGAAAATACTGGTCCGACGAGGAGCACCTGGAGACCCTCAACCCCATTTCCGGCCCGTATAGCAGTTACACGTCCTATCTCACGGCAAGTCTGGAGCGATATATCTATGCCATCAACAAACATCCCTCTCTATCCGACTGTCGCAACATGGCCCCTCGTATCCAGAAATTCATCACCGTTATCAGTTCCCCCCCACTTACACCTCCAAGCTCAACGATGTTAAATACGTCCTCGCGCACAAGGATATGCATTTCGCAAATATCATGTGCGACCCCTTTGACCCTAATATGCGAATCACCGCTGTTCTGGATTAAAATTCTCCAGTGTCGTCCTGCACCGCACTGGAATCCACTTCGAGCCTTCTTGTGGAACACGAAGTGGACACCTGAGACTAAGGAAGATTAGACGAAACCGGAGAAGCTGTTTTAGGATACGTGCAGGGCGAAAGGTGCCAAGCACCTGTTGGAAGAAGTGAAGCTGAAGGGGTTACAGGAACCCATGCAAACAGCTCTGAACTATATCCAGGCCATCGTGGAAGTATGTCCTCGAGGCCAGGCGCAGGATAGGCACTCTGTGGAAGGAAGTTGCGGAGACTGCCATGAATGCCTTTAGCGTATAGTTTATTATAGCGAATAGATGCCATATAAATACTATAGAGGTACTGAGTAGTATACCAGACGCACGCAGGAATTTCATCGAATTTTGTGCATAAGACTTGTTCAGAACGTTTGTTCAATTTTGAGCCGCTCGTACAGAATCAATTAGAAACACGCTTTCCAACACATCATTTTCTACATTTACTATATGCAATCTATGTTCTCATAACACCAGGCACTCGCACCTCAGTACGTCAGAGGCGTACTTTCAAAACCCCATCGAGATTCTCCTCCCAGCTCTCCATCAAAGACCCACAAAACAGTTCCAGCGCAGACGTATCCAGCGTAGCCTCTAGCTCACTTCGCAGTTGCTTGTCCTCTGGGCCATCAGTGCTATCTTCTCCCGCCAGGACGAGATCGATTAATGCGCCAAGTGTGCCGGATTCGGAAATACGCGACTTCAATGTATGAACGCTTGATCTAATGGTCTCGTAGATCTCGCGAGTTACGGTGACTAATCGTTCAACACGATCCTTCGGCAACGTTGCGGATTTGGAGGCCTTCTTGGAGGAAAGAGATGCCAACTGTGAAGCGGCCTTGAGGGTTTCCAAGACGGAGAAAATTTCATGGAAATATCTCCAAGACGGAGCCGATGGGATCTTAGATCGTATGGAGATCGCCGTCTCTGAGAGGAAGGTTGAAGAAGAAAAATGCTTCGATTTAGATACCAGCCACTCCTCCGTCTCGGCGAGGCACTTATTGGCTTCTTCTGAGGTTACGGACTTGCTGCCACTGATGAAAGAAGCTGTTTTCAGAAGATTAAGATTAGCCTTGGCACTTTCAACCTCTGCCACTGTCATGTCTGATCCCACGAGGTCATCTACGGAAGGGGGGTCGATCTCAGAGGTCGGCGGTTTCTGGATAGCTATATTCTTCAAGAGACTGAATAGCTGGTCTGTGAGCCTAGCTGATTTTATCCATTGATCCTATGCATAGTCAGTCGCTATAAGGTAACTGGCCATGATGCCCGAGAGTACTCACTCGAGGTAACGGCCCCAGTCGTACGCGTTCTTCGACAGTTAATTTACCAGGCGCTTCGCAGTTCATGAAAGCGCTGAAATCTCGCTGATCCGTCAATGATGAAGTATCTTTTGCTGCATTTCCATTCATATTAGTGAAATATCCAAAGTGAAGCGAACGCTGCACCAACGAAAATCCACTTGACTAACCTAGTTCATCATAACGGCTCATGGGATCACCACCAACAAGCCTCTGCATTCGCCTGACATCTAGCGCCCACATTCTGCGGCAGATGCTATCTTTCAATAGTCGTTGAAGATCTATACATCCTTTTACATTCACATAGCTTCCGTGATCCAAGCCACCGGTCCTGCTTCTGAGAGTCGAAAAACCCGCATTGCGGAAGAAGTTGAGCGCTTGTACAAATGCAGATTGTGGATTAAAATCCTTGAACTCCGCACCTTCAGTGGGAGGTGCTGAATGTGGGTGGATGGTTGCCAAGCGCGTGAAGAGATTATGCGCAACAGTCTCATACTGCAACTGCTTGACAGACAATTTGCTGAATGTCTTCAAGGCCAGAGATCCTGCACCAAGACAAAGGTAGATACGCACAAGAAGAAGCAAAGCCTGGTAATTGTGAGGTGAATCCAGAAGGAGACGCTCCAGAATGCCGGCAGCGCGGATCAACGCGGTATCTGGAACAACCTCTTGGTTGCCATTATGCCACGTTCCGCTAAAACGAATCAAACTCATAGCAGCAAGGAGGCAAAGGTCATCACCCGGTTGACTCTCAATCGTGGATGAGGCTTCATTTCCGTCCTTCGGTTTCGCGGGATGTGCTGTCTTTCTGTAAGCTTGGAGACACCGGGAAACAAAGCCCTCTGTTCGCTGCTTCAAAGCACTGTCCTCCGCGGATGGTAGGAGAAAACAGTACTCCAATTTCAGGGCATTGATCTTCGGGACGCCCTTGTTTTTCTGAAGAAAGAGGTCAGCCGTTTTCATGGGAAGGGCTCAGCGTCTTCCAAATTTAACCAACATACATCCTGGCTATCATCCTCATTTCCTACAGATTTAGCTGTATACTCCAAAATTTGCAGTAAGTCGGACCTATCCAAGGTCGTAACATACTTTCGCAGATCACCGAAGCAGTACAGCTTGTGTCTGTTGCGGTCAAAGTACTCTTGGCAGGCTGTTACCAAGTCTTGGGACTTGACGCTGGTCGATTGAACTCGCCATTGGACCAAATCCAGAAGAGCCAGATGTGCATTGCGGGATTTCGGTTCAAGCTTAATGAACTCGTCAATAAACTTCTGTGTCTCCGCAGTTGTTCTTGACAATGAAACAATTAGCCGTCTTCCAGACCGCCCAAGGTGTCCACATACTTACTCCAGAGCATTTAAGTTCCGTGTCGCAGTAACAAGCAAGTTCCATACAGTCCAATCATCGCGCTCTTGAAGAGCGCGTCTCTCAGCCTCGTCACTGGGCAGGGTAAGCAACTCCCTTGCATAGGACAAACCTTCAGCCCACAGTCCAGCCTTCTCCAGACTGAGTACCTTTTCCCTTATGAGAGACCAATCATTCTGAACGATGCGGGAGCTGAGACCGAGGTTCGGACTGTTGAGAATCTTCACAATTTCGGCATGACGATCTTGGGACTCAAAGATCCGAATAAGCAGGAACAGCTCCTCCGCATTTTGGATAGCTCTAGGAGGGCTCAGTAACTCCTTCTGTTGTCAAGAAAACAAGAAACCATCATCATCATGTTTCACAGGCCAGGCAAGACGGAGAGTTGGGCAACACGGAAAATAAAGGAAGTCTGCGTACCGGATCGGAAGGGACACTGTCAGCGGCCTTGGAGACCATCCGATAAGCCAAAGTTCCGAAGAGTTTCCGCTCAGCGTCTGAGCTAGAAGGGTCAATGGCAACGAGGTAGGTCAGGAAAATGGCCCAGAAGTGGTAGTTCCTTGTCTTTGGGAAATTACTCTGAAGACTCATGGCGGCCTGCGGATCGTCAAAAGTGGCTTTGTCAGTAGCCGACAGAGGAAAATAGAACACAAGCAATATACTGGGATGACATTATCAAAGGACTCCCCGTGAACTGACCTTTTGCGCCGACTTCCAAGCGTCATCCTCAAAGGCATATGTAAACCACCTCATTTGAATTTCCAGGTCCTGAGGCTTCGTCTTGGCGGCCTTCTCCCAGACATCCCGCAGAGTCCCCTCATGCCCATCCATCCTCTCTAGTGTCTGGTGGAGGATGTCCAACGTATCCAGGTCCGTCGTCGGTGGTTCCATGTTGCATAATTGGAGTGTCTCCGCGACGCCTCTCTGGCAATGTGTCTGGTCGGAATGACGGAAGAGAACATGTGCCCTCCATGCCTTTGCAATGCACAAGACATTAGCAGGAATAGATAAAAAGGAATGATCGAAATGTATGTCGTGTTTTTCGAGGCTGCGGGAAGACACTCGGCAGAGGACAAGAAAGCTACCACGCCGTTCACAGGAAGGGGGAAACACATGCGCACCCTCAGAAACCTCGTGTTTTCGCCCTTCTTCATCCGCTTCTCAATAAGCTGTAAGGCTTGTTTCAGATTCTGGCCGTCAATGGCATCCTGGATTTGCTTATTCCGTCTATGAAAGACGGCTTCGTTTGTGGATGACATTGGGAGTGAGCCACTGAAGATTACACCAGATAAGATTGAGCTAGGCCCTCACAATCTAGCTGGACCTAGAGAAAATAAAGACACAAGAAAGAAAGAGATACACAGCACGGTAGCTGTAGAGGATAGGATTGCAGTGCAGCAAAGCATGGAGGGGACCATAACTTTTTGCTGGGAGAATCCATTGGAGGAGCCGGAAGGCGGTGATGGCATCAATGTCGAGGATATCGAGAGTACAGAGTAAATAATATACAGCAGCATCTGTTTCACACATCCACATTGCTGGCTCTCTGTTCAGGAAGAAATTAACAGATTAAAGAAGTGAATCTCAAGAGAGTATTATGTGTAGACACGGAAATTTGCGTTTTGTTTCTCTGGCAGCTCAAACCAGCGAAACTCCCCAGACTACGGATTACTCCTTAATTAGATATCATTTCTACCAGGTACCATGTAATGCCGGCACATCGAAGAGTGGCTATAACTTCAGGACAAAGCATACAGCTTGTCCAATGCCAATGCATTGTATATGCTTCGTCATAAGTACAGGGGATATAAGATGTGCTGCTCAGCCTTCACAACCAGAAATCACATGAGAACCTGCCAGATCTGAAATACATATACTTATAGTGTGAAATACTGCATTGTACAGCGCAGAGTATTCGAGGGATAATAGTAACAGGCCGGCGACCAGGGCGAGGCTGTGGAATGTCTGAGTGGAGAAGCCCTAGGGAATTGTAGACCCAAAAGGGAAAAAGATGATAATTTCCGTCTCGACTAGGATAATTGGCATCCGCCCATGGAACCTGGAGGTTTAAAAGGGATATTATATGATATTGCTTGCATATTTCAAAGGAAATGAAATCGCCTTTCGTCCATCAGATACGGAAAGACGGTAATCTCAAGGAGTCTCCGCGACACCTATCCGTGCCTTGGGTCTTCTAAAACAGAGCAAGGAATCCGAAGATGAGAAGAGGTAATCGGTAATAGCGAAGGAGTTACCACATTGTCTTTCTCCGTAACGGAAGAACTACCGTGGTTGGGTCCACAACACGAATAGTCATGCACCTCCGTAATCATTTTTTGAGTACAGGCGATGACAGCCTCTTCTGCGTCATCTACAAATTATATCAGCAGGTCCGGTCCGGATCCAGAACTACCGAGGCATCTCCCAGGAAGCACGAAAGGAATCTTAGACCTTACGGCCACCCGAAGACAGTGGGTCCTGGAGATGGACAAGGACAAGCAAATGGTAAAACTAAAGGAGTCAAGTCACTTACCCATTCCTTCTTGCAATCACGATAAGCCCTGCAGGAGATTCCTGTTAGCCGAGACGAGAAAAAGGCGTACGTGGAAACGAAAACAACGCGGACAACTTGTCTTACACGAGAACGCAATGGTTGAGAGTGATGTCAAGACTGAGAAAGGGGGAGAAGGAAAGGGAGACATACTGAAAATAATCATGGCACATATCTCTGTCAAATGCATTCCGCTTCAGGCACTTGAGACTCCGGTCTGCGAAGTCTTGGCAGGGATCATAGTACTCGCTGGCACCCTTACTGTATTCCAGTTAGCCAACCTGAGATACTGATATCATATAGTCGACAAATTAAAGTAAGCCGCAGAAGGATGCCAAGGTGTTCGAGGGAAGAGCCTGGGATCAGAAGTTGGATGCCATATGCAAGTCCTGATTGACAACTCGTCTCGAAGGTGAAGTAGATAGCCATTGATGAAACTCCATTGGTCCATAATGCACAGAAAGGACATGCCTTATGCGGCATTGCAGTAAGCAAGACCGATAAGCACCACGAGAACAGTACCATCGATCGACAGAAGGAGAAGAGAAGGACATACTTGGAGAATTTTCTCTGCGCCTTATCCCAGGAATTGGGAGCGTCTTGGGCACTCTGTCCAGCCTGGGATGCCATTGACGGGATGCACTTTCGTTTTCCTTGTCCTTTTCTTTTCTCCCGTGGTGTTTTGAGGCGCAAACAGCGGTTGAATTGAGGCCGTTGGAAGGTGGACGTTGTCGTTATTCTCAGGGAAAAAGAAGCCGTCTGTATCCGCTGTCTTGGCGCGGAGATCTACGTGGCAACCAAAATATGCCTCTATTCCCTCCTCTCATACTCATCATTGCTACTGTATCTTGTTGTCATTTTATTGTCTTGCCTTCAATTGCTGCTTCTGCACAGACTGAGAGACAGCTGAGCTCAGCAAATTACATCCGAACCCCTTCCGATGCAGAGTCCAGACAGTTCCTGGCATCCTATGGATATCTCACTCTCAGCTATATTCATTCTATGGGAGCGCATCAACTCTTCTGGAAAGACACTGTGATCACGGCAGCTTCTTATTCCGCAGGTTTCAACTGTTCACAGCCATACTATCACATGGCTATCGATTGTCAGCAGATTTAGGTTCGTCACGGAGTTCAAAGTTGTTGCGATTGAGCCCCGGATCAACAAGGCATCCACCCCCATCCTGAGGGTGGAACGACTTGGTAACATGCATCGGCCTGGCTCCCGATATCTAGATAATGCGCAGACCAGGGAATAAGTCTATTGATAGATCTTAACCATTGTGCTGATCGTCACTACGTACTGAGTCAAGTAACGTTACTATGTAAGATGCAGTTATGTTCGGGAAGCCATGCATTAGATTCAGCTCCCAAGCCTTGGTGCAGGCCTAAACGCTGCTCTACTCACAGCTAATCTCAATCACCGTAATACTGACTGAACTCATGAAAGCAAAGCAAGTCCAAGCATAGGGCAGCAGAGGCCGTCGCAGCCGCGGAATGTGCACCACAGCTCCTATAGGCCATAGCTTGTGGCGATAGGGGGTGCGTTGGACAGAATCAAGGTCTATCAATAACCAAAGATCCGAGCCCGATAGCGAGAGCCGAACATCCTGATAAGTTCCCGGGCAGGTTTGCGTTTCACCCCTAATTCAGATCCCAAATCGAGTCATAAATTCCACTCCGTCCTCTTCCTGCGCTGTTGTGGCGCCGGGTGTGCGTTCTGACACTGTCGATGGAATGGCACAAGGAAATGCTTTACGGCTCCTTATCACTTGATAGCATTTTTCCCAAGGCCGAAAACATAACAAATTACAAAGATAAATAAATGAAAATAAATTGTCGCGTGAGTCGCGATGCAGCCAGGACCGCTCCATCACTGTCCAGTTGCATTTTACCCGACCACAGCAGGTCCGGGGTTTCAGCAGATTCCAATATGCAAAACCGCGCATGGGAGATAGTAGTTTCAAACAAAGCTGGATCTAGAACTCCATGTACGGTTGACGGTCGTAAAAAGTTCCCGGAGATAACCTGGATCATAGACAGCAGCAGAAGTCCGAAGGGGATTCTGGTGGAGAAGCATCTTCAATATACCAAACCAAATATAGGAACATTTTCCATGGCCTCTTCGCCTGGAATAGGATTATGCACCATCACAGTCTAGACCCACCATGGTTTACAGTGCTATGATGCATCAATCATATCAGTTAGATCTCATTCGTTTCCAGGGTGGATCAAACCCTGGTGAGGGGATGTATCATGGAGTGTGCGATGTGTCCATATCAATACCCAAACAGTTCTTAAGCACATGGAGTACAGGAATATACTATTTGTAGTATAATGTTAGCTAGACAAGTTCAACGTTATTGGTTAAGTGTAATGATGAAGGTTTGATCCTTTGGTGGAGGGAGTTGATTTCCGAATCAAGTCAGTATGGCAGTGAGTTGAAGAGATATAAAAACTTACCCTTTTATACCTGCCCTTTCGCTGCCCATATCCCTCTCCGCTCTCAAACAGTGAACATTCCTTAGATTCCAGGAAACTTCTTTTGAAGTGACCACACCTCGCCATCAGTGCTGCAGGGCAGATTCTGTTGTGTTTGCCTCGATTTGTATTCCATCAACCAAGGTTGGTCTGACTGCGAGCCCCCTGATCCCTAGCAGACACGGCTGGGTCCGCGACCATCCTGGAATCATAATCTAACCCATCCGATGACAGGACCATGGCCACCGTAGGAACCCTCACCGTCTCCCCGGTCCCAACTTCGCCGGCGCTTCTTCCGTTCTCAAAACGGCAGACCGCCAATGGCGGGAAACCTCTTATCAAGAGCGAAAGTGCAGTCTCAGTCCCTGAAAAAGTCATTTTTGACCCGAAGAAGCACCTTGCCTATTCTCCACCTTCTAAGTTGCACACCATGGAAGAGCTTGGATATCCTGAAAGCCGTGGCGTATCCCCCATTGGTGTCTCGGAGCCATTTCCATTGTTCACTCCCGAAGCCATTCAACAGATGAGAGCTGAGGTGTTCAAGAACGAAGTGTGGGACAAGTACCAATTCTCCAGTAACCTCGCCCAATGCCAACTAAGGGGCTTCGCAGCAGAGTAAGTTAGTCCGGTTCTATCTAGCCATTCGGTTTTGAAGCTGACGTTTCCGCTTGTGGGACAGGTGCGCACCGTTTATTTACGACGTTTGGAAAAGCCCCGAGACGCTTTCAATTATCTCCAAGATTGCAGGTGTGGACCTCGTCCCAGCAATTGACCTTGAGATCGGTCACATCAATATCTCAGTGCAAAGTGAAGAGGAGAAGAATAAAGAACTCGCAGCCGTGGAAGAAAAGAAAGCGACTGACGTCGACTGGAAAGATGACGACCCAATTGTAGACTGGCATACAGACAGCTACCCCTTTGTCTGTGTGACTATGCTTTCTGATTGCAGTACCATGGTTGGCGGAGAAACTGCGCTCAGGAAAGCAAATGGCGAAGTGGTCAAGGTCAGAGGACCACAGATGGTGAGTTCTGAGTTTGGAGCACAGAAGCATGCACCACTTGTGTGATGAAGACTAACAGCTGCTCCAGGGGTCGGCCGTTATCCTCCAAGGCCGGTACATCGAGCATCAGGCGCTCCGTGCTCTGGGAACGACCGAGCGCATCAGCATGGTTACCTCCTTCAGGCCCCGCTCCTCAGCTGTCAAGGATGACACGGTCCTAACAACCGTGCGTCCAATCTCAGACCTGGGAGAACTCTACCACCAGTTTGCCGAGTACCGATTTGATATCCTTCAGGACCGGTTCCGAGACGCGAATCGGCTCATACGTGACCAGAAGCGCGCAAAACGCCAGTTCGATACACGGGGAATCAAACGCTTCATCCGCGAACAGATTCAATTCTTGGAGCATATGGACAAAGAGATGGTGGACGACGACAAGGTCACGAAAGGCGTAGTCGACGACAGCCACCTGATCTCAGAGGACCTGAAGGAAAAGCAAAACAGAAAGCGGGAGGTCGAAGAAGCTCTGTAATCAACAGACTTCCACTACTTATGATGTATGAGTTCCCTTTGTCTTGCATATGCCGTTTCTTTTCTTTTTTGCCTGGCTGCTATGGATGCCATGAGATAGTTGGTTGCTTGCTGGGCCATTTTCATGCGCGTCTCCAGTTTTAATTCTCAAACTGTTTAAGTCGCTTTTTGGCACAATTTATTGTCGCATGGGAACTTGCTGGTGTACGCATATCTTTACTGGTTCAGCAACTTGGAGATCGGATTGGATATTTCCCAACGAATGGAACTGATTTGATTGATGCGAGACTCTGGTAGTAACGCAAATCTGGACGAGATTATTTATAGCTGTAGCGTATGAAGCTTGTAACAGGTGCCACATCTATGTTCAGTGAGCAGAGAAAGAACAGTAGATGTCGGGCTGCGGAACAAGAATAACAACGGGAAGAGGATCGGTGGTGTTTTTGACTTGTTGCGCCTTGCCCGACTGGCCTCTGCCGCTTGCCGTAGATATATATATGCTAATCCTAATTGGGAGTTTACTTATGTTCACATGATATTTACCCGATCTGGATAATAGTGCCTGAGGCCGCCAGGGTTCTCAGCTGGGCTTTTTCGACCTCCCGAAGCATGATCCCATCGCGACTCCGAACATGTTGATTCCCTTCAAGAATTATTTAATAGCATTCCATTCACTCCGATTTCTTCCATCTTCATTCACTTGATAAATGCGGCGCTAGTTGCGTGGTCCTCCCTGATGTCCTGAGGTCCCTTCTTCCGTCACTATCATCATCCTCTTCCACTCCTCGCCGCTGCCGTCCTGGGTACTCTTAGTCGCGACTCTGCGAATTTCTCCAAAGCCCTCCCTTTCCAAAGCCAGCACAAGACACTTTTAGAGATGTCCAGGCCCGCGACAAAAGTAGCTGCGGCTACGAACAGACCTTCTGCAAATAGCACACACGATGCGACCGCTAGAGCTATATTGGACGCATCTGGGGTAAGCTGATTTAGACCCTGACTCGCGTCAATGGAATCGCGCGGGACTGACGTGTTGGGTTTGGCTGTATAGATCTTGCAGACGCTACAGGGACATGTGGATGATCTCCGTAACCTTTTGCAGTGCGGAATCTGCATCCGGCCTCTTTACGAACCCTTTACTCTTGCTTGCGGACATACCTTCTGTTATAGCGTCAGTTCTCTCCCTCGGCATCCCATGCTATCTCCGGTGTGACCTAACAATATTCAGTGTTTGACGTCGTGGTTTGGGGATGGGAAGTCAAGCAAGACATGCCCGGACTGTCGAGCTTCGGTGAAATCCCAACCAGCTCCTGCTTATCTTGTAGGTCCTCCCCCTCACCGTGTGCTTTGCGCAGGCAACGAGTCTTTTTTCTGACGATGCTTTATAGGTTCGTGCGATGGTCCAGTTGTTTACGAGCCGTGCCGAGCTTCTGGAAAAAGAGGAGACAACGGCGGAGCATCGACGCTGTCAGCAAGAAGAAGCCCGAAAACTGGAAAGGGACAAGACCGACCTCAATCCCAAAACGGGAGGCCTATTTCATGGGATATTCAAAGAGAAGCTACCAGCCGCAAGGCCTATTATCGACCTTGAAGATGACGTCGTTCGCTGTCCACATTGTAACTGGGAACTTGAGGATGGAGGAACAAGCTGCGAACGATGCGGATTCCGCGACGACTCTGCGTCGGTGACTGCGACCGAGTCCGGAGCTGGTTGGACGGACTCTGAAGAGAATTCGGATATGACTGATTATATGGATGAAGTCGAGGATGGATTCGATGACGCGGATGACGATTTTCACTTCCATGACTTCTACGGACTACCATTTGATTTCCATCCATTAGATGATCTCCGGGGCCGTAATTGGTATCACGACCCGACCAGACCCCGCAATGGCCCCTACGGTTTGCCATTCAGCGACACTGCTTCTACCCACGACGAAAGCGAAGAGGATGAAGATTTCGAGGATGACGAAATGGCTTCTTTCATTGATGATGATGAGCACGATGACCAGGAAGAAAGCCACCATGACGATGAGCAAGATTACGACTCGCAATCGGACCGGTCGACGGTAGTTGGTGGGCCTGGCTATAGTCTTAGAGACCTTCACGACGGCATACAGATTGGGTCTGATGTCTCAACTTCTGGCGCTTCAGGTTCTCATGTTGAATCAGTAGGAGAGAATAGCTCTGAGGATGACGATGACGATGATGATGATGAGGATCCCATCAGACCGCCCACTGTGGGTAATCGACGTCGGGGAGCACAACAACCTAACAGGTCGGGGTCATCGAGCAATTTCCGTCCTGCTCTCGGGTTGCTTGATTCTATAGACCTGAGAAGCCTAAACCAGCGCTCTTTCGCCTGCAGCCGCGAGAATCACAACAACCAAGGTACCCAAACCACGGGATCGAGTGCCCAGAATGCAGTTCAAATTGACGACGACTCGGACGAAGGACCTGTTAGACCGACAAGAAGGACAAGAGGCAGGATGAATTGCTTATGACTGAAGACATCTGGCTATTTCTGGATGGCGGTAGAATGCTCTATGTCAGCGGATGCATTGGTTTCTCAATGGTGTATCGACTATCAGTATCATCTTCTGCAAAGACAATGGCGTAGTAAGACAAATGCCTTTGTTATAACTGCTTTGACTTATTAATTCAATTTAATAAGTCCTATGAAACCTTAACCATTGCAGGCATTCGACAGTTTAGAGTCTTAACTGTTGGAGAGAAATCAAATAGACAGGCGCTTGGGCAAGATAGAAGAGCTCGCTGGTCCCTTTGCCTGATTTTTTTCTGCTCCTCTCTATCTTAATATATGTTCCGCCTTGGTTAGGCTGAAAGAATGTTTCCAGGTATACATTGTGGCAGTCATCAGTTATTGCAGGTTAAGTAGTCCTGTCACAATTCTTTGATAAGTTACACCTTTCTTGTCAGCCTCTGATTTCCATGTCGCTTTTGTAAGGTCGTTAGATAATAATGCCAATTTGTATCATTCCTACGGCCCTACTCTTGTATGCAGGTAAAAGACCACAGAATACAATAAGAAATGTCTGCAAGGCCAGTCTAGATGGTCTATCCAAGAAGTATTATTTCATTTTCTTCTTTTCTCAGCACCAGCATTAGAATGCAGAAAGAGCCCCAACAAGAAACCCAATTGACTTTTCTACTCATTTCCATGTTATGCAAAAAAAGGGGGGCCGGGAAATAATAATAATAAATATATTTACATTTCTCAAAGCAGCCCTTGATCAGTCCTGCTTCGAGGTGGAAAATGAGACCTCAAACACCATTGCGCCATTCCGGCCATTGGATGATGATCCTGTGTAGAAGTTATTCGCGAAACAATTCCAGCGACCTAGGCGATGCTCTTTTCCGATGGCAGCAACAATACAGAGACCGGTTGGTTGAGGTTCAGGGGCTGATTTCGAGGGGCTTGAGGGAGCGAACTGCTGCTGTCCGGGTTTGGTGGTTTCGCAACGACGTTCGAAAACGGCAATATCGTTGACGACGCCCTTGATTAGAGGTTCAGGCTGTTCTTCGTTGTCACCTTCATCTTTAGAATTGGCATCCGTATCCATGTGATCACTGTCATTGTCTTTGGCTGGGGCATCGAATGCCAACGTTTGCTTTAACTGTAGTGATGGAGTGATCATGGCGCCTGGAGCACTAGCACCCACTGGACCTAGAGGATGTATCGTTTTCTTGTCCTCTGAGACTTGCCATGCGCGGATCCAGCCATCCCAGCTGCCACTGAGGACGATGTCAGTACCGGGAACTGTGGCCAGGGCTGTAATCCAGCGAGGCATGCGACGGAGATGTTTGGAGTTGAGTCTTGCTGTTTCCTGGTCCTGTTCGGACGATAGGTGGTCAATGGGTGGAAGGGGATCTAGACCGTGCGCCTGAGGGATTGTGTAGAGAGGCTTCTTTTTATGGACAGACCAGAGTGAGATGGCTCCCGAGTCGGAGCCAGTCACAAAGTGGTTTGGTGGTAGAGGAGCAACGCAGTCAAGGTTATTTTCGTGGTACGCGGCGTTCTTCGACGATCCGCCGCGGAAGACAAGCTGCGTCTCGTCTGCGACTTTCCACAGTCGAGCAGTACGGTCGCGCGCCCCGACACTGACACATTGGTCGATGGTCATGGCGGCAACAGAAGCGACATTGTCCTGGTGCCCGAACAGTGTTTCCACGTAGGCGTGGCCTGCTGAGCTCAATGACCACGTTTTGATGGTCCTATCAAAGGAGCCTGAAAATAGCTGTTCGCCGGAGCTCATAGAAGAAATATGTCTGGTGAAGGCGAGTCCGCTGATTGAGTCTCGATGTTGTGTAAAGGTTTTCATAGGCTTCATGGTCTCTGCATCCCAGATAATTAATTTCCTGTCTGCCCCGCCTGTCGCAACGAACTTTCCTGACGGTGAGACGGCAACGGACAGAATACTCCCTGTGTGGCCGTGCTCTTCGCCGCTCTCGGTCACTTTCTGTATGCCACGAACGAAATTCAACCTTTTAGGTTTCTTGCGCTGTGGTCGTGGGAGTCGTTTAGAAGTTCCATCAGCACTATTCATCCCCGAATTTGTTGTCAAATCGGGCGTAGCAAGTTCCCACTTTATTAACGTCTTGTCTTTCGAGACTGTGTAGACATAGGGCGCATGCACCGTAATGGAAGTGGTCGACTGGGTATCCGCTCGGAAAAATGAATGCGAAGCTGTTGAAAAAGATAACTGGGAAGCTATCTGACGATATGCACGTCCTTTAAATTCATCCTGCAACCAAGATTAGCTCAATTGCAACAAACAAGTAGGGCAGCAGGAACGTACCACGTCCTCCTTTAATCTCTCAGCGATCAAGTCCCGGTCAATCTCTGCCGCATCAAACCCAGCTTCATCTACCTCCTCCCGGATATTTTCCAAGTATCTCTCCGCAAGTTTCAATCTTCGCTCTGCGGCAGTCTCTCCCTCGTCCGACTCCGAACCGCTCTCTTCGTCTGACTCTCCTAACTCTCCTGACTCTATGATATCATCATCATCCTCCAGATCGCTTCCGGATATTGACTGATCTCTGTCTCGTGTCTTTTCCGCCCCTTTTTTACCGGAATCGCCGTTGGAAGTCACGCCTCGCTTTTTCGAAGCGGGAGCCGTGCTGCGGTCTTCTCTCTTTCGCTTGCGTTGGGAAGCGGGCAATGTGAAGAAGGACGACATATCGCGTAGTCTGGATTTCCGTACGTCAGGCCGCCTGAACTACTATTCTAGACGGCAAGTTATCACTGCTGGTGATCTTGACACGCAAGAAAACTTCGGGAATTATCTTCAACTTTTTTTTGGTGCTGGTGGTCCGTGCAGATGCAGGCCGGAGATTCGGCACAACGATAACGCCTAAATGATGACTCAGCAGACTAGCTCCCCGTCAGCTTCCAAGGCGTCAAGCTCGCCGCGGACTGTAGCTGTGAGATCCGTCTGGATTTGAATCCTTCTCAATCTACATTCTCTCCTCAAGCCTACATTTTGATCTTCTCTTTGTCTGTGCCTTGATTTAGTTCTGCTACTGTGAATATGTGAGTAGCTGGAGTTCTACGTGTCGGTCGTGTTGCATGCTGTCTAACGCTGTCGAAGGGAGGTACTACTGGGTATTACTGGAAAGGACTTTGTGATCCTTGCAGCATCCAAGGCTGCAACGAGAGGCCCGACTATCATCAAGGCAGAAGATGACAAGACACGACAACTAAACAAGCACACACTCATGGCTTTCTCTGGAGAGGCGGGAGATACAGGTTGGCCAACCTCTGATGCTAGCGAGGAAACCGCAGGATAGGGAGATCGGCATTGCTAACAGACCTTTTTTTGAATAGTCCAATTTGCGGAGTACATTCAAGCAAATATCTCTCTATACACAATGCGAAATGACACGGAACTGAGCCCTGCGGCTGTTGGAAGTTTCGTTCGAGGAGAACTGGCACGCAGTTTGAGGTCACGGAGTCCTTACACGGTAAACTTGCTGCTTGGTGGGATGGACCCCATCACAAACAAACCAAGTTTGTACTGGGTGGACTATTTGGCATCGTTGGCTCCAGTGCCATATGCCGCGCATGGCTATGCTCAGTGAGATAATCACCCTGGCAGACATTACTGTGTTTTCGGAGAATGGAGCTAACATCTTCCAGATACTACTGTCTGTCAATTCTTGACAAGCATCATCATCCCGATATTTCCTTCGAGCAAGGTCTGAAGATCCTGGAGATGTGCACAGACGAGCTTAAGCGGAGACTTCCCATTGATTTCAAAGGGGTATGTTATTTTTCAGGCGGTCAACTTTGCCTGTAGCATTTATTGACACTTTTGGATAGGTTCTGGTCAAGGTTGTTACAAAAGACGGTATTAAGGAAGTAGACTATGACAACAGCAAGCAGGTCCGGAGTGCTTAATTCAAGTCGGTCATCCCCAAATGCGCGGTGGCATTGACTTCATGATTATCGTTGGATTTCCTTTCTCCTCTGAGGTAATGGTTTTCGAAAATTCAGGTTGCATGACGGGTATTTTCTGTAGCACTCCATCTACGTAGACGAAACGATTAACGTATTCCACTAGTGAGTGGCCACCACCCACGAGCGGCCACCTCTCCGCGTTTTGGACGCGACTGAAAACCTCACTCAATTCAATCACCAGCCATGCCTCCAAAAGCGCGTCAAAATTCAAGAAATTCAGCCGAGTAAGAGGGCAGGATCTTGCTTGCTATTTCTGCTTTTAAAAAGTAAGAAATCTGCAATATTGCTGAAGCAGCATGTGTTTACAATGTTCCACATACAATGCTTTGAAGACGACTGAATGGCCATACTTTCCAAGTAGAAACATACACCAACAACCATAAATTAACTGAAAATGAAGAGGAATTGCTTGTATGATAGATCCTATCATTAATTCAATGTGGAGCACCTCCCTGACCCTCCTATATATAAGAAATGGCTAATATTCTTTTTGCTGAGCGCAGTACTACACCTATTTAATTAGTCAGAATAAACTAGGTCAGTAAGTTTATAATTATCAACATACTAAATATGAAGACCCTATGCCGGGTGTATAGGGGCTGAGTAGAGCAGAAAACATGTTTAATAACACAATTATATTGATAAGTTTAACTTTCTAAAAACCTTTCCAGAAGCTCACAAAAGCACTTTCTAAGCAGAAACTATTTAAAATAGCTTTTCAGGCATTAGCCTAGTTCTGTTTAATCCAGATAAGGTGCTCAGTCAGTTGGATATCTAGCTAAAGATCCCTACACCACTAGACAGTCAGTCAACAGATTCAGCACTTAAAATACCCTATATTACTAGGCAGTTAGAGAAGTAGGCATCTACAGTAAGGAAACTGCTTAGGGAACATGCTTAAAACTCTTTATCTTTGCTAGAAACATAATTAGACAAGATTACTAAAGGTCATGAATTGACTCTTAATAAGCTTATTCTTGTGTGTGAAGAAATACACAAATTTCATGCTGATAATGAATAGAAAGATTAAAAATAGAAGTGATCTAATAGGTAGCTAGCTATTGCAGAAGGGCCAGCTATTTAAGAGGGCCTAGGGCTATTCTAATGCAAGAATGAGGTCTATGAAGCTCAAGATACACTTCCTATAGATCTGTCACGGAGCTCAACTAGACGATGAATAGGATGCTATTCGACTATCTAGGCAGCTATCGACGAGAACTTCAAGCATGAAGAGGAAGGAAAAAGGAAGAGGTCTACGTGAAGCTGGACGACGTACTCCTATCCACGCGCCACGCTAATCCAAGTAAGGAAGCTCACGTGCTCGTCCTGGTCTACATGGCAAGGGCCCTGACAAGATCCAGTGTTTTCTGCAGTTGGACCATGTGTATAGGCACCACTGTAAAGGGGGGCGTATGTGCGTTGTTCCCTGCGACAGGAACCGGGTTGTGATCGAGGGATCTCAGGAATGGACACACTGAACAATCTAGCAAAACGATATAACGATAAAAGGAAACACAACGACGAAGGAGCCTCGCTCCGCTCTATACAATGACGACGATACTAGTGAAGCAACCTAGAAACCAAAAGAATGCTCTATTTCTCGTAACTATCTGGGAGGGAACCCTCCATTAAGTACTCCGGCCGCGGGATCCACCATACATTAGTATGTCGGAGTCCGCGGTTCTACGGTGTTCCAAGATAGGAAATATGGGAGATCCGGGGTTTCGCAGTGCCCCCGGCACACCACCAGTGTTCTAATTGTCATGTTCAGGGACATACTAGAGTCAGATGTCCTAATCCACTTAGTAATTAGTTTTTGAATAGAATTGCGATTGTTTGGTTGATATAGAACCCTAGAATCTCACCCAGAGGTGGGATTGGAGCGGAGGGTGGCCACTCACTAGTGGAATACGTTATATGTTGGCTGTTGGCTGTGTTTGCACTGTTTGCATACAAAGTGCCTTTTGCCGTTCGCGATCTTCGAAGTCCTCCATGATTTCCGTAGGCAAGTTGCACCCATTCCCTTTAAGGTCCCATACTCTAAGCAAAATGTCCAAGAGACAAGCAGAATTACCGTTGGAGGAGGAAATCCGAGCGAATTCCCCGGTCCCGAAAAAGGCACGTGTGGAGGATGAACTACCCGGAGATGAGTCGCGCAATGGTACAGCACACGCAGAACGGTTAACTGGCCGGGAGAGAGAATCGGACGAACATAACGGAGAAAACATCCTTGCAGCAGCAGACTGGGAGGGTGAAGAGCTTCAAGAAGCGACTCAGAATGAACCGGGAGCTTCAGACCTCGAGGACGACCGCCCAGTCGTGGCTGCGCCGAAACGTCAGGACAAGCCCATGGAAGGCTATAGCGACCTCTACCTCGACACGATCAATCGCACAGTCCTAGATTTTGATTTCGAAAAATTATGTTCCATCAGCCTCTCGAATATCAATGTCTATGCCTGTCTAGTGTGTGGGAAATACTTTCAGGGAAGGGGCCCCAAGTCGCATGCTTACTTTCACGCTCTGGAAGTTGGGCATCATGTTTTTATCAACATGGGCACCAAGAAGGTTTACGTCCTCCCGGAAGGATATGAAGTTACGAATAAAAGTTTGGATGACATTAAATATGTTGTGGACCCGCACTACGCGAAGGATGAGGTTATGAAGCTGGACAAAGAGGTCCACAATGCCTGGGATCTTGCAGGGAACCGCTACAGACCTGGTATGATATGGCACTCCATCCCAATGCACTATCTGGATTTGGGACTGATTTAACTGTCAAAGGGTTTGTTGGCATGAACAATATCAAAGCAAACGACTACCTAAATGTCGTGGTCCAGGTTTTAGCACATGTTCCCCCGATCCGCAATTTCTTTCTGCTGCATCAATTCCCTACGCTGGGAACACCACAGCTTGCACTTCGCTTTAGCACCTTGGTTCGGAAACTATGGAATCCTAAGGCGTTTCGGTCACACGTGTCGCCGCATGAGTTGCTGCAGGAGATTGCTCTACGATCATCGAAGCGCTTTACTCTCACGCAACAGTCCGATCCGGTAGAATTTCTTTCCTGGTTCTTGAATAATCTCCATCTTTCTCTGGGAGGGTCCAAGAAGCCTTCATCGACCCCTAAAAGTGTGATTCAAGCGGCCTTCCAGGGTCATCTAAGGATTGAAAGCCAAGCAATCACGGCGCATTCCGATACCCAAAATGCTCGTCTAGTATTTACCGAATCCGGCACCATCAACTCCCAAATTACCCCTTTTTTAATACTCACTCTGGATTTACCTCCTACGCCTCTCTTTCAGTCCGTGAACCGAGAGTCCATCATCCCCCAGGTTCCTTTGACTACTCTTTTAAACAAATACAATGGTATTACCGCGTCGGAGAAGATGGCCCACCGTGTCCGGCATCGCCTTCTACACCCGCTCCCGCCATACCTTCTATTCCATATCAAAAGATTCAGTAAAAACAGATTTGTTTCAGAACGAAATCCGACCATCGTCACCTTCCCCTCTCCACGCTCCCTGGACATGTCCCCCTACGTGGAGCCAAACCCGGAAATCTGGCCGCCGGGGGAACCTATCCTCTACGACCTCGTCGCCAACGTCATCCTGGACCCCATTGTGGCAGCACCCGGTACGGCTGAAGGTACTTCTGATAGGCCAGCCCAAAGCACTGCTGCCGCACCTACCACAGGCGCTGGAGCCGGCAGTGAAAAAGTGGCATGGCTCGTTCAACTTCAGGACAAAGCAATGGCAGCAGAGAACGCTCGAAACCATGGCCAAGACCGCGGTGGCGAGCGAGGACCGGAGTGGCTTGAGATCCAGGACTTGATTGTCAAGCGTGCAGAGAGCGAGACCTTGTTCACCAGAGAGGGTTACTTAATGGTCTGGGAACGTCGGAAGGTCCCTGGTTTGACGAATAACAATAAGAAGGGAAAGGCACCGGCTCGGTCTGCCGGTCAGTAAGAGGCCAGCTTTTGCTTTCTTCGTCTCCTTGAGAAAAAGTTCCGAGTAATGCAATTCGGGCAAGTTTGTCTCTATCTAATTTTTCATATGCTTCTATACTCAGGATAGGTCTTTTGTATATTACAAATCTACGAGGAGGAAGAATTAAACTGAAGATGAAGAATTCCGTATTTTTTCATGCAGATCTAGACCGATATGCATCCATGCATCTGCATATGTGACAGCAATAGAATCCTTGCCTGTTTATTATTCAATTGTCTCCGGTAAGAAAACTAAAAAATCTCCGCCACATTCGAGCTTGAATAGTTATATTAATAATGTCCTGCAACAACAACTAACCGATATGCCTGACCATCATTCACAGAGTTCCCCAACCGCAGAATGTTTTTCCAATATAGACAACTACCCGCGTAATTATGCTCCAAAAGCCGACATTCATGGCCGCTTGCATGCCCACCAGTACGGCTAGCTTGCCCATGTACGCAGCGGCATCTGCCATCGAGCCACCCCCTGCCCAGGCTCCCATTGGGCGAACGTCATATCGTAGTGTCGAGGGGAAAGCTCGAGATGATAGGTAAGAGGTTGCCAGAGAGCGAAGATAAAGTGACTCGAAAGGAATAAATAATGTAGTTGTGAGTATGGATGCAGCATGTGATGCGACAGAGTCCACAGGATGGGCGGACAGGATTGTGACTCTATGAGCTGGTGGTGGAATGCCTGAAGTCGTTGAACGTGGATGAGCCAGTGAGCGGGATGTATACGGACGTGTTTCTGTTTCCGATCGATTTTCAAATCCTTCTGGCAGTTGATTATTGTGAATGCCCTCGTTGTTTGGTTCCTCCACGCCGTCCGGGAGCACATTTGCAAGACTCGTGACTGGAGCGTCAACGGGTGATTCGACAATGGGATTGTTTGCGGGCATATCCTGAGGTTGGTTTTCCACGGCGGGAATAGAGGAATCCCCCCTTAAAGTAGCTGGAGCAGTGGCTGTGAAATTTGAAAGGCCATCACTTTCGCCGACATGCGAAGGATGACCGGCCGCAAGATTGTTTCCCTGGTTTGAAAGAAGGGAGTCCAGAAATTCGGTGATAGACCTACGGTCATTTGGGGCACCCCTGTGATTTTGTCTGGGATCCTCGTTACTAGCTCTGGCATTCTCTTGGCTCGAAGCTTGCACATTGCGGTTGGTAAGAACCTCCAGCTGCATGGTTATAATATCCGAGTTCTGATGGATTAAAGAAGCCCTGACGCGGGGTGATGTTGGAGGAGATGTTCCAGGAGATGGAACAGGCGAGAACAGAGTATTCGAACGTGAATTAGATTGGTCCACCCCGGCCTCGTCGCTAATTTGAGACCCGTTATTCATAGACTCATTAGGAAGAGCAGTGGTTGAGGGCACCGCCCGCGATGCCATCTCGAAATACTCATTGTCTACCTCCATCTCCATAGGTGACTGGGACATACGATTCTCATCGTTTGAGAAGACCTGGTCCATATCAAAAAGTGACTCAACCGGAGCTTGCGTGAAGTCAGGCAAGTGTTCTCGGCTGCCAGAAGTGTTATTGTGTAAACTCAGCTCCCCTGCGTCTTGAGAAGGCGCAATTGGTAGCTGTGACGATAGACGAGTCTGCGACTGGGCTGCTCCTAATTCAGTCTGCAGCTCCTCGATATGGCGCCGAAGAGACTCCATGCGTGCTCCTCTGGTACGAAGTCTTGCCCTGGGATCCGATCCTCGACGACTGGAGTCAAACCAGGACATTACCCAACGACTAAAAACCAATATTTCGCATTTCAAATCCTCAAAAAAAGTAAGTCTACCGCGGACATTCTCTTCTTCAGACCTGCGTCCAAGTGTTGGTACCATCCAATCAAGAAGGTCGTTCTCGAATGCGACTCTGATGGAATGTTCGTCGGCAAGACTGGGCTTCGTCAGTCGTCGGCGGATTAACCTGTAAAGCCGTACTTCTATAATCGGTCGCAGGTAGACGTAAAGGTAAATCATCAACGGAGGTGCTTTCAATAGGTCTGAGAAAAAGGCACTGAGTGATCGAAGGGACAAGCTTCTGGGCAAAGATGGGAGCCGAAACAGCAAAAGGCCGCCAAATGGAGTGAAAAGTTGAGCTCCAGGTATAACATATGGATGGATGAGATGTAGAGATTGTAAAAGAGAATAGATATAAGTCTGTACAGACAAGGCCAGTAAAGCTCCCCTCGTCCTAGGGCAGTTAGTCAACCGCGGTCACGGACTTCGATTGTTTGCAGGGCACATACGCTGAATGCAGAATTGAGAATATAGAGCGAATAATTCGAGTATACTCGTCATTAGGAGAGCGTCGCAGCAACGGGCTTTGCAAGATCAGCATTAAACGCTCAAGCGGATGATGTCGGCAGATGGACAGGCAGGAAGATATTGCCCATGCGGGAATTCCAGCAAAATAGAATCCCGGTAATCCCACGGAAGCACATTCAAAACGAATGATGTTCGCCAGTGGCACCTGCGTATAGCTTCTGAACGTCTAGATATCAAAGAAACATCAGCAAAGCAGACACTTTTGATTTCCGTAGTCTTCAAAAGGTCAGGAACCCGCCTCACCTGTACCCGGCCTGCGAGAGAAGACGTCCACCACGAGCCAATAAATACTAGGATCTGGTCTAGAGTTGCCACAAATAGACCGTAGTCATTTTCAGCGGCAATAAGGTTGATCTTCCGCTGTTCGTTCGAGATACCCGAATTACCATCCTCGCCGCTGACCACGACACCCATGGTTGAGAGTATGTCATTCTTAGCTCTTCTAAGCTCTCTCCCAAACTGTTTTGACTCGGGATTGATAGGATGGCCCCTTTCATCATAGTGCTGAACATATCCATCGGCACAGAGCGAAGCGGCCCTCCGCCGTGCAGAAGTTGAAAGGTCAGGAACACTGGACTCCGGGGCTTCGTACGGGGATCGACCCTTGGAGTATAGTTAGTATAATGCCACCGCAGGCAGTATAGGATTCATCGATATAGTATGTTTAAAGGACGGGCACGGAGATAGTAGAAATTTGAGCAATATAGTAGCATGCGCAGCGTGTATGGCTGATCCTCGACAGAAAGGAAACATGCAACAGATCTCCCTCTTCTAATAAAGAGAGAGCATATGATTGAAACATACCAGAGCGAGCCGATTTATATAAGCTTGTCTCCCCATTGTGCACCGTTAACATATCAGGGAGCTTCATGAGAGACCATGAGGCTGGTTGAGGAAACAACCGCAACCAGGATAAGATCAACAATAAGCAGCACCACAAAATTCAAAGACAGAAACCCGGATTGGATAAAGCCGATGAACGACAGCGATGTATCATTGCAAGTTAGCCAAGGCTGCATGACAGAAATGCACGAGAAACATCTGTATCGTCCTGGCGGCTATCGCGGCTATCGAGTCTAAGGACCAGCTTATCATATTTGACAAACAGTGCAAACTTCCAATAAAAAAAAATATCGGATGAAGTTCTGCGACGCTCAAAGTGAAGTTTCTCGCAGAGTTTCGCAGTCTGCTGTTTTTCAATCCCTTTGTCAACTGTATGATGGCACGATAGGTTCTTTTTGCTACTGCGATCCGGAAATTTCGAGTTTCAAGAATGACAAAAGCTACACTGAAGACGACCTTTGAGGCGTCTCGAACCATTCGTCCTTTATACACCGGAGGAAGCACTGCCCTTGATGCCAGTGGCCGTTTACTGGTGACTTGCTTGGGCGAGGACGCCCTGATAGTGGATTTGGAGAGGGGTGATCAACTTGCCAGTCTGGAAGGAGTAGGTCCTACTCATTATCTGCTGTTCAGTCTCAATTCTCTGACCGATGCACTCTAGGATGGAGAGATAATTACTAGTTTGGCGAGTACGTATTCTCTCTACGTCTATCATGGCTAATTGAGGTCTAACATGCGCTAACCGCTTGTATTAGTTACCCCTTCGGCATCGCATGTAATTGTTTGTTCACGCTCCATGAGCGCGCGAATATACTCATTAACGCCTCTTGACGAATCCTTGCGCACTATCAAAGCAGAACTCGTAAGAACGTTCAAACCGCACACAGCACCTGTCGTGACTACCGCAGTTGATTCTACTGGGACGTTGCTAGCAACCGGAGCTGCAGACGGGTCCATAAAAGTTTGGGATATCAGGGGCGGATATGTTACGCATACCTTCCACGGCCATGGCGGCGTGGTATCAGCATTGTGCTTCTTCGAAGTCAATGCACAGGATGGGGATAATCAGCAATCTTCAAAAAGGAAATCGTCGAAGAGGAAATACCGACATGATGAGGAAGAAGAAGCGGAAGATACTGTCTCCACTGAAGGAACTTCTGTCGCGGGATTTCGGCTTGCTTCCGGCAGCGAAGATGGAAAAGTACGAGTATGGGATCTACATAAACGGAAGTCTATTGCATCTCTCGAGTCCCATGTATCTGTTGTGCGGGACTTATCCTATTCTCCATCAGAGAATGCGTTGCTTTCCGCCAGCCGGGACAAAACCGTCATTGTGTGGGACGTGCGGACATGGAAGACTCGCAGGATCATTCCTATCATTGAGAGCGTCGAAGCGGCCGCCTTTGTCACTAGTAATGGTTTGTGTGTTATCGGCGGCGAAAATGGCAAGCTTCGTGTGTGGGACTGCAATAGGGGGAGCGAGGTGACCAAGGAGCAAGAACCGGGTCCTGAGTTTGAGACTGTCATGGCAATCCATTACCATCCTGGCCTGCAGTTTGCGATTACTGTTCACGCCGACCAGACTCTCAGACTTCACTCTCTAGAATCTTTGGCGGATTACAAACCTGGGTCCCCCCTTGACCCTTTGCCAGTCATCAGGCGCATATCGGGCAATGACGACGAGATTATCGATTTGGCATATGTCGGACCTGATCGATCGAAGCTTGCCTTGGCAACTAATTCGGAATCCATTAGGATTGTGTCGGTAGGGCCATTAGATGACGGAACGTCCGACCAAAGCAATGATGATTTCTTCGGGGCGGATGTTGCTCACTTAGAAGGCCACGGCGACATCATCATTTGTATTGATATCGACTGGTCGGGCCATTGGCTGGCGACAGGTGCGAAGGACAACACTGCACGCCTTTGGCGTTTGGATCCGACGAACTCCTCATACACTTGCTATGCCGTTTTCACGGGCCATGCAGAGTCTCTGGGAGCAATCAGTTTCCCACGAGTACCGCCACCATCTAGCACTTCTGCATATACCGATCCATTAAACCACCCCCCAGCCTTCTTGCTGACCGGCTCCCAAGATCGCACCGTCAAGCGATGGGATACAGGCAAGTTGACATCATCTCAAACATCCAAACTACACTCCCCTAAGGCAGTATTTACCCGGAAGGCTCACGAGAAGGATATCAATGCTTTGGATGTAAACCCTTCATCTACCCTTTTTGCCTCGGCCTCTCAGGACCGTACAGTGAAGATTTGGTCAACTGAGGACGGTTCAGTAGTGGGAATTCTCCGTGGCCATAGGAGGGGCGTGTGGTCTGTCCGTTTCTCTCCTCAAGACACTCCTGTCATCAGCTCCCAAGCCAAGAGCAGCACAAATAGGGGACTGATTGCGACGGGCTCTGGCGACAAAACGGTGAAGATTTGGAGTTTATCGGATTATAGCTGCCTCCTCACTTTCGAGGGACATACCAACAGCGTCCTCAAAGTACTCTGGCTCCCACCTTCCGACTTATCAGTCCCCGAGAATGGAGATGATGGGGAGGATGCAACAGGAGTGGCCCGCAAAGCTGCCGCGCAAGGTCGTCCTCTTGTTGCTTCCGCTGCCGCCGATGGGTTAGTAAAGATCTGGTCTCCATACACGGGTGAGCTTGAGACAACACTCGATAATCATACGGATAGAGTGTGGGCTCTAGCCAGTCCTACGCCATCTGGCTGTCGTGGCGACGTGAAACCTTCACCCTCAAGGATCTATACACCTTATGCTCTTGTCTCCGGGTCCGCCGACTCAACCGTCACTTTCTGGACCGATACCACATCCGCCACGTACTCTGCAGCAGTAAACGCGAACACCGAACGCATCGAACAAGACCAGCAGCTGCAGAATTACATCCGAGCAGGAGCATATCGCGAGGCCATAACGTTGGCTCTTCAACTTAACCATCCAGCCCGACTGCTCTCCCTCTTCACGGCTGCGATTGACGCCGCTGACGATCCAACCTCGGATTTGGATCCCGCCATCCGCCAGAACAGCTTGACCGGTAACCCATCCATCGATGAGGTTCTCCAGACCTTAGACCCTGAGAACCTCCGCACTCTTCTCCTCCGCCTCCGCGACTGGAACACGAACGCGCGCACATCCCACGTTGCCCAACGGATTCTTTTTGCCCTGTTCAGATCCTATCCTGCATCAACCTTTATTGAGCTCGCGCCTGCTAGTATCGTGAACCACGGCAAGAATAGCCGTGTCGCCGCTAGTATGAAGGATATTCTGCACGGTTTGGCTGCGTACACGGAGCGGCATTACCGCCGAGTCGAGGAGCTTGCTGATGAGAGTTTCCTTGTTGAATGGGTGCTAGGAGAGATGGATGGGGGAGTCGGCCTTGGAGCGCTGGGAGTTGGTGTGAACGGAGAGACTATAGAAGATGTTAATGGCGATATACCAGAACATGAGAAGGATATAATAATTCTGGGAGCATAGTTGGGAATCAATCTTATGGATGTGGATTGGATCTGTACAGACGAGGATTAATGCCCTCTTCTGTATCTCTTTTATGTGTTTCGGGCATATACTGTTGCATTTTTGAGGAGTATTTATTATATGTATGGGACGGAGGATATGAAAAGCTTTTCAGTTAGATATGGAAGTATTGTTTTGTTCTTATTTTATTCATCTTTGGAAGATGTTCCCTGCGTTTCATTAGATCGACTATATGTCTACTTCCTCCTTTAAGGGGTCCATCCAAAGCAATCATGATATAGCCGATCGAGTGCATCGTTGCTTCTTACTACCGTGCTCTTGAAGAGGTCTCCAGAGAGCGGTTTATCATCTGCTCATCCTTCACCTATAATCATCTCTCCGACGAGAAATACGATCACGATCACTATCCCGATGACGGTCATACCGCGAGGACGAATGCCTTGAGCTGTGGTAGTCTTCGTCCCTGTGTCTATGACTCCTTTCCCTATCCCTATCCCTATCCTTATCGCGGTCGCGGTCACGGTAATATCGATCACCTCTCCCGTCTGCCTCGCCATCATCATATCTTCTGCGTCTCGAATCCCAGCTGCTCGAGGAGATACTTCGATCTCGTCGTGAAGATCCGTGTCTTCGTCTCCCATGGCGATCACTATCGTCACGGCCATTCTCATAGTCGCGTCTCCGATACTCACGGTCACGATCCCTGTCTCTATCGCGTCCGCTCTTCTCCAGATTCCGATCCCGTCTTTCCCTCCAATCATCCTCATCCTTCTTCTTCATCTTAGCTTCTTTCTGAAGCTCCGCGAGTTCTTCTTCCGTGATATATTCTCCCGTCCGTTTGTTTCGCATAAGAACTGGCATGTAGACTCCTGTAGACTTCTCCCCGTCTTTCCCGCTCTTCCTAGACGACTTGCGCATCGCTGCCTTTCCCCAGGCACCGATTTCTGCCTCTGCCCCCTTGCTCCCAGAGAGTTCCTTCGCACCTATCCCGAGAAAGCCAGATCGACGCTCAGGAATGCGAGGTTGATTCGCTCTATCGCTCGGCGCGGATGAGTTGTATCTACCCCTCCCAACCGCTTGGCCTTCCTTCCAGCCCATCCCCCGCAGCAGGGCCGCGCCAAACTCCTCAACTGGTATCTCATTGTAGGCGTCCAGGGTCGCAGGGTCAGGACGTGAGGCGATGTCGGCACGAAATGAGCTCGTCTCGTCATAGTGCGCCACATAGTCATCTCTCTCTCTGTTAACGGGTGGCTTTGCGGATTCGATCACAAGGTCTGTTCTGTGTTCTGCGTCTCCTCGACTTTCCCTGACAAGAGCCTGTAATGCAATTTCATCCTCCGTAAGCACCTTCTGCCCTTCGCCTGGAGCAGGCAAAAGCGGTTCCGCTTCTTTCACATGCTGGTCTCCATTATTTTCGGCTGTGTCCTGCGTTGCGGGCTTTGAAGCATAACTGAGTCCATACGACATGCTAGGGCCGCATGTCTCGTCGCCTTCGATGGGTTTCCCACTCTTCTCTGCCTCCCGTAGCGCTTGTACCTCTTTCGGTAATAGATTCTTCCCTCTCGGTCTTCGGATATTAACCCCAGGGCGATTGCGCCAGTCATTTGTGCTTGTCACTGGTATGACCAGTTCGCGCTTGCTTTTGGAGTCATGGCTGTTCGCGGTAATAGCATTGCCAGTCTGACTGTCAAAGCCCGTCACCTCCTCATGAGCTGGGACACTTTCTTCCTCCTCAGACTCATCATCCTGTCGAAATTGACGCGGTCGCCGGCCTAGTGTACGGTTGGGTATTTCGAAGGCGCGGGTGGAAGATTGTAGATTGAAAGAGGCCATGTTCAGCGGCGTACCATTGGGCGCAGGAGCTTTGTGCTGAATTTGAGGCTTTTGCTTTCGTACCAACAAAGAATGAATAAAAGAAGATATATACCCCAGACCAGCTGGTGATTTATCTTTTCCCCCCAAAGCTAAATATGTGACGTTAACGCTGGGGAGGCGGCCTAGGAATTCCGGAGTGTTGGGGTGGCAAATAAAATACACAAGCGCGCGCTTAACTTGGCCATCTTAATTTGACATAGAAAGAACTCAAGCAACAATCCTCTTCTACTGCAGCAAAGGCTTATTTCTATTCAATACATTCCCATATTCTTCATCCATCCTATTAATACTAGTAGTACAAAAAAGACCCAGAACCAACCGCCGGATAGATGCTAGCGACAACCTGCAAACCAATAGAACCGGAAGGCTTTGGAACGCTAGAAACATTAAACGTAGAAAAAGTGGGAACAGGGCGATAGGAATAGCTAAGTAAAAGCAAAATAGTGCAAGGGTCATGACAAGGACATGAGGCGTAACAAAGAGAAGGAATGGGAAAGGCCACGGGAAGATGTCAGAGACGTAGAGGAATAATATGACATGTGGATTGGGAGTAAAAGACAAGGGTGAAGATGGTTTAGTGGAAATAAAGGTTCTTTTCGAATAATATGTACAGCGCAAAGAAAGCTGCGTAATAATAATAATCCCACCACGAGCAGCTAAAATCAAGCTTCAGACGTATCAACTGCTTGCCATTTGCGCCTGGGGAGCCCGTGGACTTCTGCTGGCGCCTGGCCCTGAACCAGTTTGGACGCTACCACTTCGCTGAGTTTGCGGAGTGGCGCTTCTGCTAGACTGAGGGACACCCCCATTCACGGGAGGGGAGTTCCCAACATTAACACGGCTTTGCTGTGCATTCTGTGGAGCACGCATCACAGGCGAATACCCTTGAATGTGGATTCCAGGTGTGCCGTTCGGAATGCTAGGCTGTGGATGTGCCTGGAAATTTGCATCATGCGGTATCTGGTAGTTTGCTTGAGAGGCGCCAAGATTACCCGCAGCTGCATTCATAGCAACCTGCGACATCCGCTGTTGCTGGTATTGGTGTAGGCGCTCAGTGGCAAGTTTGCTGACTTGTTCGGGCGGCATGTTTGGGTTGCTCCGTTGTATTTGGCTTTGGATAGTGCTAATTGTTGGAACCACTCCGCTGGAAAGAGGGTTGGGTTGACCCATGCGAGGAGAAGGAGTTGATACGCTTTGAGCACTACCGTTGTGGAAAGATGATGGATTTTGTATCCCTCCCACAGCCTGAAGGGTTGCGACCATAGCGGGATTGTTGTGTCCACCATTAGTATTTGACATATTCATGGTCGGCGAGTGAGACCCCTGAGGCGTGAATTGTTGGCCATGAAATTGTTGCTGCTGCGGTTGCTGTTGCTGTTGTCCTTGCTGCTGCTGTTGATGTTGGCGAGACTGCAATATGCGCTGCTGCTCTTGGAGACGGTTCGCTTCTCGAATCACTCGTGTATTGTCAGAAATAGCTTGGATCGGTATTCCCGGTCGGGAACCGTTTGGCTGTATCCCTGCCTGGGGCATCATCTTCATTGTCATCCCGTTGTGAGGTACAGGGCCATTGACAGGAGTGGCTCCAGGTATTCCTTGCATAGAGTGAGGACGATGGTTGATTCCGACGCCAGGCGGCAGTCCATTTGATAACCCGTTTGGGGCGTTACCGGGAAGTCCAGGAGCTGCAGGATTATGAGGTACTCCGGCTGGACGACCTGGGATGTTCATCATTTGCTGCTGGGCGGGAATTTGACCGGCACGTTGAGCAGCAAGGTTAGCCTGCCTATTAGTTAGCGACATGGTAGAGATTATAAGGAGTGTGTGGTAAAACCTACCCTTTGTTGGGCCAACATTTGCTGCCGGTACTGCTCTTGTCTCTCTTGCAGCTTTTGCTCCCGGTCGTACTTGAGTCGACTGAATTCAGCTGGGGACGAGATTGGAGGCTTCGGATGGTTCGCTTCATTGGCCTTCCTTAGCGATGCAAGATGAGAGGCTAAAGTAGGTTAGCAGAATAGACGAAATGGTTCGAAAGTTCAAATTCAGGTTGCGTGTTAGCATCGGCTTACCATGCTGCTGCTTCTGAAGCATTGTCTCCCGTTTCTTAGCCAGCTTTCGCATAGCATCAAGTAACGCAAGGTGCCTAGAGGACCTTCTGCGGTCAACCCTAACGGGCTGCGTCGTCCGCCGGCGAATCAATGTCTGTCCTTGGGAACTATTGCCCTGCTGCTGTTGTTGCTGTTGAGCAGCTTGCTGTTGCGCCAGCACATTGCGCTGAGCCGTTTCCAGCCTTTGATGGTAAGCCCGAAAGTACTGAGTTTTCGACATGTCAACTGGAAGCCCTTCCAGCCCAATCCAACGTTCAAAACATTCCCAAGGAGTCCGTCTTTCAGCGCCAGATGTAAATTGTGACGAGGGAGTGAGGCAGCTAGAGATGAGCGACCAATTGTACGAGTACTCTTTGACCAGGCGGCGTAGCTCATCATCTTCAGCATACGTCCATTGTGATGACTGCCTGGATTCAAAGAACCCGACCGATGGCATTGGATACTCCGTTGGGGGTCTGAAAGAATGTCCGGGATGTATACGATCACGTATGGGTTTGTTTTCAGGACGGAAAAGGGCGACGTCAGTCTGCTCCGGCGGTAGCTCCATTGTCTGGTATTCCCGCTCATTTTCATATTGAGTATAATCATATCTGCTACGTTTCCTGACTGGCTCATACTCATGGTACTTAATATGTCCAGTCGCATACTTCGACACGGGAACAATACTGGTTTTCCACTCCGCGTCTGGCAGTGCCTTAAATGTCGGCATGTTCGTCCCAGGGGCGATCGTGACAGGAGCGTAGAGTGGCAGCTCGCCGAGGAGCTTGTCCGCAGCTGGTGTCATATCCATTGAGAAGGTAAACTCGTCTAAACCGAGTGAGAAGATAGCTGCAGGCGCAATTGTGTCATGGAGATCATGACGAGGTTCGTCATTGAAACCATCGATGACAGAATCCTCCTCAGTTGAGGGAACAAGGTCTGGAGTAGGATGAGAAGTTCCAAGCATCTCTTCGTCTATTTCCTGTGCAGAGGAATCCGAGTCCGGTACGGCAACACTGCTTTTCAATGGAGGGATTCTAGCCTGAATCCGGAGAAATTCTCGGTGCTCTGGGTCACTGTTAACATAATCAGCGCACCAATCTGCGCAGCTCTTTGCTGCCGCAATCTTCCATTTCCGTTCTTCCCTGAAATCGGTACGCATCCATTTCATATGGTCCAGGAGAACGTCCCAGTGTGAAGCCTCCCGCGGGGGTTCAACAGATCGTTTCAGTTGGCGCAACGGCCATCTGTTAGCATTTTGAAGTGAATAAATGCGTCTGAGGGCGCGACAATCCATCTGTTCCTGATATTCGAGATAGTGATTTGCAGTGGACAGAGTCTTGTGAGCAGATGCCAGAAGTGTGTTAAGACTCACTCCCCGGGGAGGAGTGTAGGCTCTGTTTTGGAAGAGAGTAAACAGGTAGTCCTGCTCTTCATTCACTTTGGCAATCATGTCATCCGCGTTTCGACAAACTAAATCCATCGATTCACTTTTCTCCGGCTGCTGTCGCGGAAACACAACCGTTGATAACTTACTTCTTTCCTTCTCTCGTTCCTTTCGGTCCTTAAAACGAATTTTTGCAGCAGACGCCGAGGCTATCTTGTCAGGCCCAACCAACATACTCTTTGCAGGAGTGACAGCCCTTTCCGCTTGTGAAATCGAGAATTTCGGCGTCTCACCAAGAATTTCAGAGACAGATTTATGACGAATAGCGCCAGAAGAAACTCTGGTCATCATCCTTTCAGATGGAGGAACCGATGGCTGCTGGGGTTTCTCCAGAGTTGCAGACACCGCTGGGCTCTTCTTGGTGTCCAACTCGACAGGTTCTGATGGTTTAGCTGGAAGTTGCTCTTGAGTTTCTGGTTTAAGTGAAGGAACAGTTTCGCTTGGTTTCTTAGCTTCGGAAGGTAAGGATGGAATTTCAATTTCCTGGGTCACATTGATCTGGTCCTTTCCGACAGTTGACGTTGGGGCAACGCTCTCCTGAATAACCTCGTTGGCAGACGGATGATAGCCGTTCTTAGTAATGCCACTGATAGATTTCCCAGCAGACAGGGATTGAGCCTCTTCCAGTCTAAGCTGTTCGTCTGGTGTAGATGGAACCAGGTTCGCATGAGCTTCAGAGGGTTTGTCACGTTCAAATCCAGTTTGGTCGATCTTCTCCACTGCATCTGCCACTTCTTCAACAGGACTAGTCTCTGCAGATGTAGCAACAGGGACAGGAGTATTAGTCGAGCACGGCTCGACGGAAGACACTGGCGATAGAGGCTGATCGGCCGTCTGCGGAGGTCCTACAGCTGGCGACGGCCCCTCATTTGGTTTTGGGGTCAACGCAGCAGGGACACCATCTACAGGCGCTGGACCATCTCGGCCTGAAGAAAGGCCGTTAGATTCTCGAGCGTCATGGCTTCGGCTACGAAGAGGAGTTTCCAAGACAGAAGTCTTCGCCTTTTCCTGAGATTGCAAAGGAGATGGAACAAGTTGCATCGCCGATGACGATGGCTCACGAGGTTTCTCGGGTACAGGAGTCCGTACGCCTGGAACGACACTGGGATGTTGTCCAGCCGCTTGATTTTGAGCCTTCAGTTCATGCTCAAGGGCTGGTGCTGGAGGTTTCACAGACACCCTGGCTTCTACTCCTGGTGGTAGAGCAGGATCTGCCCCTCTGCGAGTCTTCGACTCAGCCCCTGTAGCCCCCAGCAATGCATCCTTGCCCGGCGGGCGTGGCAGGGGAGCTGCATTGTTGGCGAGAGGTGGAAGAGTGATCTCATTAAAATAGCGACCCCTAAATCAGGAGAATGAGCAAACATATACCAAAAATAAATACATAGGTAATTCTATGTGGGTGAGTATAGAGTAATGCAATGACGGGACTTACTTAGAAAGATCGTTGGCGTCGAGGAATGCTTGTTCTTTCTGTTGATACAATGAGTCCGCTGGAGCGCCCTCGGTCGCGCCCGGGAGGCCTACGGTCGCAAAGTAGAGCTCGCTCAACTTGCGCTTTCGCGTCAACAGACAACGTCTGACAAATACCAAGCAAACGATAAATCAGCATCGCATAACACGTTGATTATAATGGAACAAAATTAAAAATAAAATCCTTACGCGATCTCATCTTTCCTAGACCTGAGCAGCTCTTCACGGAGCATCGAGTCTATTTGGAGAACACAACATTCGATAAACGCGCTGAAAAAAATAGAAATGGATGGAGCGAAGTCATCCAGAAGGAAAAAATCGCTCAGAATCGATGAAAAGGACGGTGTTGGGGTGGTATGGGCTGGGAAGCACGACACGGGGATTTGACTTGAAAAGGCTTTTCGACGGGGTGGATTGAGTACGGGTCACTCTGCGTTGAGGGAGCGGACGGCCGGGAAGAGCAAGCAGGACAAAGGACAAAGCAGGTATTATTACCGTACGCCCGTACGGCGCTGTACCAAGAGGCCGCCGTTGTCCGTGGCGTTTGTTTCTTCTCTGTGGCATTAGCTCGTTCTGTGGCATTATACTCAACTGCTAGCACTCTTAACTCTGAAGTCTATCACCCCTGCCTTCTTCCTTTCATCTCCTCCGCCACTCGCACTCTTCCTTTATCATAAGTAGCAGAGGAATAGGTATCATCAGCGTTGACCCAGATTGATTAGCATTACGCCTTCGTTGGGTAACATGCCTGGAACGACCATCCATATGTAGCATAACAGGAAGGGACTACCCAGCTACCATGGTTCAATACTGAGGTTCAGTGTCTAACTTCTGTCATTTCTGTCATTTCTGTCATTCCTCTCTTGCGGTGTCAGTGGTGCGGATACTGACAATCAGTATACCGAGTACCAGTCTAAAGCTGGCTTATCTCTGAATATATGGCACATCCTCTGGAGAGATTCGAGAGAAGTGTACTGATGGATATTGGATATATCCGAGAAGACTGATTGATTGTTGGACCTAAGAGGGGTTCACTTTACCTACATCTATGAGACGATTGTCTATTGATGAGAACTTAATTCTATCAAGGATATTTCAACTGCGTAAAAAAAAAAAAGGGAATTATCCAGGAGTTGCTGTATAAGGGAATCTATTGATTCAACCTCATGCATGATGTGATACTGGTGAGCATCTTCACGGAATGGAATCAATTTTCAAAGTTGCTTGAATTTCCCCTTCAAAAACACTATAAATATAATGGGATGTAGTCAAGAGGCATCAATAAATCTATATGGTTTTATAGGGTTCATTCAGTACGCGATGGGCTTTCATTGATAGGCACGTACCAGGATCTCTGCCTTTGTCTATTTCAGTATGTTTCATGGATACTTCAGCAGTAAGATTCAACAAGAGCTCGAGTATCTATTAGATGTGGTTTCCGGACCTATCTACATCTCACAAGGCATTGACTTCTTGACGTTGAGCATCGAGGGCTTCTCTTTATGCCTGAGGCATAAACAAGGCATTAAATCTTGCCTATCACTGCTGATAAGTAATTAATAGCTCCGTCGCAGAAAAAAAAAGTTCACTGCTTCGACTTGCAACGCAACCTACGTACAGGCTTCTCCGCGATAACATCACCACAATTATAGCAAAAAATGACTAAAAGAAAGAGAGAAGAAGCCTTCAAACATGGACAGGTAGCTGAAAAAGCTTTGAAGATTACCAAATCGTCACAAGATGCAGAAACATCTTCATCGACTAGCCCGGATGATACCGCGCTGACTGTTCAAGTCATCACTGGTTCCTACGAACGAGTCCTGCATGGATTTACTGCCGCTATCTCATCTTCGTGTTTCTCCTCTGATCCAAAGAAACCGGATACAGGTTCATCGTCTGTCCAATTCGTGGATACCTTTTTGTTCGAGGCCCATGCATCTGCGATACGATGTCTTGCATTGTCTCCGCCTCCAAAGAATGATTCCTCAGGGCCCCAGAAGCTCATCCTTGCCAGCGGTGGTACAGACGAACGCATAAATCTCTATTCGTTGTCTGCTTCTCCAACGTTGGATGAAAATCATCCGTCCGTCCCGACTCTGGCCGGTAACAAGATTCTCGAGAACCCGAAGAACCGCGAATTGGGCTCATTGCTGCACCATTCCGCTAGCATCTCTGCGCTGTACTTCCCTTCGCATTCAAAGCTTCTCGCGGCTGCCGAAGACAACACTATTTCCGTTACCAGAACACGCGACTTTACTGTCGTGTCGACCATCAAAGCCCCCCGTCCAAAAGCCCAAGGAAGACCCACTGGTGATACTGCTCCTCCAGGGGGGGCACCATCAGGTGTCAATGACTTTGCCATACACCCTAGTATGAAACTCATGCTAAGTGTCGGAAGAGGAGAAAAGTGCATGAGGCTTTGGAATTTGGTCACCGGAAAGAAAGCTGGGGTTCTGAACTTCAGCAAAGACATCCTGCAGAGCGTCAACGAAAGTAAGTGGAGTACTGGGGAAGGACGGAAGATTGTCTGGAATTCTCGAGGAGAGGAGTTTGCAGTTGCCTTTGAATGGGGGGCTGTTGTCTTTGGAATAGTAAGTTTCTCCCAGATAAGTACAGCACACAGTTCACACTCCTGACTTTTTACGTAGGATTCGGTGCCCGTGTGCCGGTTGTTACCGAGCCCGCGAAGTAAGCTTCACCAGATTGAATATGTCGACCTTGACTCTTCTTCTGATGGTGGTGATGAACGACTCGTGGCTTCCACGGAGGATGGAAGGATCATCTTCTTTTCGACGAAGAAACTACGAAAAGCTGAAGAAGGCTCGGGGTCGTCAATGCCTTACGCTGAGGCTGTCGCTCAGCTCGGCGGTAAGCAGAATGGCCTGCCGGGTCGGATAAAGGATTTTAAGATTTTGAGCCTTCGAGGTGAATCGAAGGCGAGAGATGATGACTTTCTTCTTGTGACTGCTGGCAGTGATGGGACGGTTCGCGTGTGGATGTTAAATGGAAAGGAGCTCTCTTTAGAAGCACAAGCAAGGGACACTCCAGAATCCAAAGATGAGAGCCCCTCAAACCCTCGCCAGGTTGGAAGGCTTTTAAACTCTTATGAGACAGGCAACCGTATCACCTGTCTGAAAGCCTTCGTTATGTTGCCGCCGGAGGATGCGTCGGCCTCTGATGAGTCGTTAGATGAGTTCGAAGAGGAAGCTGAGGAATCTTCCGAGGACGAGGAAAGCGACGATGAATGAACAGAGGCTCACTATCCTTTCTGACCTGTTTTTATATACCCATTTGTATGATGAGAAGACGAGGCAAAGAAAGAAAGGGAACCATTGCCAATCTGGAGAACAGTACTTCTAGCATTTAACAACTGCATTATATACGTCACTATCACTTCAAGATATATCGCCAGATGCACAAGCTCAGAGGGCACACAGAGCCAATATTCGAAGGAAATAGGAAGCCTTATGCATGCATAGTGGATGTGTTAGAAGCGGAAGAGCAATGAGTCATGTGCAGAGCAAGGCAGAAGAGAAAGAAAAAAAGAGCAGCCACAAAACACCTCAGAAGTAGAATCTTTCCACCAAACATCCATTTTTTCCAATCGTCAACGACCATCTATCAGCATCTGCAGAAGAATAAATAATATAGCAGAGGCAATAGTAACAATTTACCAGCCGTGACTGATTCCTCCGTCCATACACCGCCCGCTGTAACTCTCCACTGCACAAAACCCCACTGACTCTGTCATTATCGCCTCCGCTCTAAGGTAGCAAATTTCTACAAAGGACCTGCCTCTCTTCCTGTTTGCTCTTTCTTCTCACTTCCTCAACAGCCTATCTTTTAGTCGTTGTCGGAACCCATTGTCACTATCGTAACCATGGCTGCCAACGGCGATTTTTCAGACGAGGAATCTTTGGGGCCTGGCTCCCCTGTGCTGGATGCCAACGCCAACGCACACGGCGACAGCGACATTGAAGAACAGGACCTTGACCAGCCTGCGAAGGGTGAGAAGCGCCCCAAGAAGTCTGCGATGAAGAAATCCGATGTGAAGCCTGTATCCGAGATCAAGCGGCCAGAACTGCCCGAACAGCCTGATCCGAGTACTCTCGACTTGTCAAAATTGACGCCTCTGTCCCCCGAGATTATTGCGCGCCAGGCCACTATCAACATTGGTACCATCGGACATGTCGCTCACGGCAAGTCAACTGTGGTGAAGGCTATTTCGGAAGTGCAGACCGTCCGTTTCAAGAACGAGCTGGAACGAAACATCACTATCAAGCTGGGTTATGCCAACGCCAAGATCTACAAGTGCGACAGTCCTGAGTGCCCCCGGCCAACATGCTACAAGAGCTACAAGAGTGAGAAGGAGATTGATCCTCCTTGCGAACGAGATGGGTGTACAGGACGGTATAGGCTATTGCGACATGTCTCGTACGTGGACAGTTTTACCAAAACCTTTCTTTTGATAGCATGGAGTTGTGTCCTGACTAATTTCCTTTTTTTTTGATAAATAACAGATTCGTTGACTGCCCTGGTCACGATATTCTCATGAGCACCATGTTGTCAGGCGCTGCTGTCATGGACGCAGCCCTGCTCCTGATTGCTGGAAACGAAGCCTGCCCCCAGCCTCAGACTTCAGAGCACTTGGCTGCTATCGAAATCATGAAACTCAGTCACATCATCATCCTTCAAAATAAGGTCGATCTGATGAGAGAAGATGGAGCGTTGCAGCACTACCAATCGATTCTGAAATTCATCAGAGGTACCGTGGCAGATGGCTCTCCCGTCATCCCTATCTCCGCGCAGCTGAAGTACAATATCGACGCTGTCAACGAGTATCTGGTTTCGCACATTCCTGTTCCAGTCCGTGATTTCACTGCTTCGCCTCATATGATCGTTATCCGGTCTTTTGATGTCAACAAGCCTGGTGCGGAGATTAGCGAGCTCAAGGGTGGTGTTGCCGGTGGCTCGATTCTGACTGGTGTGCTAAAGTTGAATGACGAGGTTGAGATTCGCCCTGGTCTTGTTACCAAGGACGAGAATGGCAAGATCCAATGCCGCCCCATCTTCTCCCGTGTTGTCTCTTTGTTTGCCGAGCACAACGACCTGAAATTCGCGGTTCCTGGTGGTCTCATTGGTGTTGGAACCCGGGTTGATCCTACGCTGTGCCGTGCGGATCGTTTGGTCGGTTTCGTCTTGGGTCACCGTGGACGTCTGCCAGCTATCTACACCGAACTGGAAGTCAACTACTTCCTGCTGCGCCGTCTGCTGGGTGTCAAGACTTCCGATGGAAAACAGGCCAAAGTCAGCAAACTGGCCAAGAATGAAGTTCTCATGGTAAACATCGGCTCGACCGCCACCGGTGCCAAGGTCCTAGGTGTAAAGGCAGACGCCGCGAAGCTCAGCTTGACCAGCCCGGCTTGTACCGAGATTGGGGAGAAGATTGCCATCAGTCGGAGAATTGAGAAGCACTGGCGACTGATCGGATGGGCAAATATTGTCGCGTAAGTACCTCATATTTTGTTGTTTGCAATCCCCTGGTATGTGCAGCTAACTAACTTCTTCTAGCGGTAACACTCTTGAGCCCATCATGGACTAAATAGTCTGTTCTTTTGAAACACAGTTTGCTTGATCCGACCGAGAGCTTTCTGGGGAATTTTCCAGCAATAGTTTCAGGAGAAAGCATTTTATTTCAGCTACCCCAAAAAGTTTACGGTATTTAATGAAGGAGCATAGAAATGAAGCGTCGAAAATTCCCCACACATAGAGAACGCAGGAACTCCAGCGAACATCCTATTCAGCTAGGGATTCACAAGTGCAAAATGAGTCCTTGTGCTAGAGATAAGATTGCCCAAAATGCCGAGACAATTCGCGTATTACTAGCGGCGGAGATGAGTTCGTTGGAGACAAGTTGATGTTACTGAAGTAGATTTAACTCCCTTTACTCGACGCTTGCTATGAAGTAAGCTGCAGAGTGCTACCACGTCATTTCTTCTTGGTCTTTTTTATCTTTTCTTTGTTTAACCTGCTTGTTTTGTCTGCATGTACCTATTCATGTGTATGCATTGTTTAAGTGAATAGTCTTATGAATGGGAGAAAGGAGATGCAAAAGGCCAGCGCACCCTCATGTAATAAGTGTAAACTTGTCTTCATCAGACTGGCTATCCTGTTTGGCCTTTGCAGCATAATAAAATGCATCTTCTATTCATCCCTTTGTCCATCCATAATATTATCCTGGTTCCGAGGCCACATTGCATTCGGAACGGTGACTAAGTAACCCCAGTAACTAGTTAACTAGCTAGTTACATAAATCCATCTCACTTTTGACAACCAAACCAAGACAGCGCTATCTCTGCTGTCATCCTATCTAGAGCCATGTATATACTCGAGGTATGCCCAGAATTCTATCTATTTATTTTCTTTCTTGCTTTTTGCACAACACAAACCGAAGCTGGTAATCCCAAGAGAAACTGATGGCCATTGTAATAGCAACTCGCGCGGTTCCTCGACCGACCACTCTTCCCTTGGAAGAATATCATCGTGGGGTTTTCACTTGGGCAGTATATCCTGGAAGGGCTTCTGTCGCTTCGGCAGTATAAGATTCTACAGCGAACCAAGCCTCCCAAGGTCCTCGAAGGGGAGGTATCACAGGAGGTCTTTGACAAGAGCCAGGTATGTTCCGCGTAAAGTCGCGGCATGGATGGCAATACTAATAACTGCATTGGAACTCATTTAGGCATATGCTCGCGCAAAGGCTAAGTTCGGCTTCATCACCGGTCTGTATGGACAAATCCAAAATATCGCCTTCGTCTATGGAAACGTCTTGCCCAAGATCTGGGGCTTCAGCGGTCTGTTTCTAGCACGGTACCTTCCCTCGCGTTTCCAAGGCGAAATTTCGCAGACACTGGTCTTTTTCTTCATCTTCAATATCATCAGCACGGTCCTATCCCTCCCGATATCGTACTATGGCACGTTCGTCCTGGAACAGAAATTCGGGTTCAACAAACAGACACCCAAGCTGTGGATCTCGGATATGCTCAAGGGTCAGGCACTAGGGGTTGTTCTCGGAGGTCCGATTATAAGTGCCATGCTCAAGATCATTCAGAAGACTGGAAACGAGTTCTTCTACTATCTTTGGCTCTTTAGTGTCTTTGTCCAGATCTTCGCCATCACCATCTACCCCAGTGTTATCCTACCGCTGTTCAATAAACTTTCTCCCCTTCCACCTGGTGAACTCAAGACTGGCGTGGAGAATCTAGCTAAGAAGTTGAACTTCCCCTTGTCGGAGTTGTATGTGATTGACGGCAGTAAGCGGAGTTCTCACAGCAACGCTTATTTCTATGGCCTGCCGTGGAAGAAGCACATTGTTATCTACGATACATTGATCGAACAGAGCGAACCCGAGGAAGTCGTTGCTGTCTTGAGCCATGAACTTGGTCATTGGAGTCTTGGCCATACCACGAAGCTCTTGGGTATTACTCAGGTACGCCATCTATTTCATTTCTATGCAGCATCCCTATTTCTACAATTAGCTGACTACTCCAGTTCCACATGTTCTACATCTTTGCGCTCTTCTCGGTCTTCGTTAACAACGAATCGCTGTACGAGTCCTTTGGGTTTCACAATCAACAGCCTATCATGATTGGATTCTTGTTGTTCTCGGATGCCTTGGTACCAATGGATGCTGTGCTCAAGCTCTTTATGAACATCCTGAGCCGAAAGTTTGAATTCCAAGCCGGTATGGTTTACCTACGGCCAGCGCCTCAAAATGAATACCCTAACAACATTATAGATGCCTTTGCCCTGAAACTTGGCTACTCCGATAAGCTCGCGCAGTCGCTCCTTAAACTCCAGATTGAGAACCTGAGCGCCATGGATGCCGACTGGATGTATGCCAGCTACCACTATTCTCACCCCATCCTTACCGAGCGATTGAGTGCAATTGGCTGGAAGGGTGGCAAGGTCACCGACAGCAGAAAGGAGGATAGTGACAAGCCTGCCAAAGCGGCGGATCGGGAGTTGTAACTCTCAACAGTTCCGAAGACGAGACTGGGTTGACTGAGGAGCGGCTCTCCCATGTGGGAGAAAATTTTCAATATCTTAGAAAGCAAAGGTCTTCTTTCTCGAACGAAATTTCCATGGGGTATTTGCAGCGCATATAATGAGGATCTGGAAATCTTCAAAGAGTCTTGGAAGCTAGACAGAAAACCAGAAAACATGGAAGCCGTCATGCAAGAAAAGAAACTGAAATAAACATCTCATTCCTCAGCCTCAGCTGCATCTCTATTACTAGCCTTTGCTCTCTTTTCGGCCAACCTCCTTTCCTTCTTCTTCTTCTTCCTCTCTTCTTTATCAACTCCCCCTGTAGTACTAGCGACAGGAGCCTCGGCCTCATCATCGACATCCATCACCTGCTCACCCATCCCATCATCACCGCCCGTAGTCTCCTGCTGCCAACCGGCTGTATTCGGAGAATCGTTCTTATTATTATCATCTCCCAACTCCACCCCCTGCTCCCCATCTGCAGGCTTCGCAACTGTCAAATCCCGACCCAGCACTTCGCCTGCCAAGCCGGCCTGAACACGCTTGAGGTTATGTAGCGTGAGATTAGGCGCAGCAGCTGTTGTGCGCGAGACGGGGCCGTGCTCTGTGATGAATGCGCTGGGTTGTAGTGCTGGGTCTGTAGCGGCGCGGTCGAGATAGGCGGATAGGAAGTCGTGTGCGGCGGACTGAGAGATGTGCTGTGAGGATAGGATTGTCGTTGGTGGGAGGGCAGAGGGTCCTTGTGTGGTCATTTTGTTCTTTCACCTTTGTAGAGTAGTCGGTGACTGTTGTTAAAGAGTGAGGGATTTGGGACCGTCTGTAAATGATTTTTGAATTTCGAGGTTGAATCTAGGTCTAGAAAGTAGAGTCTTATGAAATATACGGTCGATAAGAGGTTTAATTGACCTGATCAAATAGCGAAGGAAGACGAAGCTGGAACTGCAATCAAGATGAAGCCCTGGAAACGTTTTTTTTTTTTTGTTCGGGCCGGAGATCCATTTTCTGCGAATTCCAACTCCGCAATTGTCCATCTTCCTGCTTGAACTATTAAAGATTACCCAGATACCTCCCTGACACCGCGAATTGAATTGATCCGAATTCTAGTCCTCCGGCAAGGTCAATTTCGACGGATTCATCCATCGGCCATCGTCGCATATGCTCAACATGCTCTGTCTCCGGTGCAGGGCCTTGCCCTCTGCCCTCAGGACATCTGCCATGCAGTCACAAGTAACAAGGTGCGTCTTGGCCTCTTCTCGAGAGAGATCGACTTATTTCTTTCTATATGAGCCTACCGGATACTCACACACAAAACAGAATCCCATTCTCTCAACCGCCATCTTCATCTCTCCGCGCATTCTCCGCAATTTCCCCATTCCCAGCTCACCAATTCCTCCGTCCCTCTACTCAGAATGTCCATGTCCCGTCCCTATTCCGTCCATCATTATCGACGGCACCCCAGTCCGGACTTGGATTCGCATTCGCATCCTCCCCGGCCCAAACCAGGTCTTTCTCCGCCAGCGCCTCCCTGGGCGGTAAGCGTCGCACGTATAACCCGTCCCGGAGAGTGCAGAAAAGGCGTCATGGGTTTCTGGCGCGGTTGAGGACGCGTGCCGGTCGGAAGATCCTGAAGAATAGGAAGGCCAAAGGGAGGAAGTATCTGAGTTGGTAAAGATGTGGTTTAGGTTTGTTTGTGTTGCTTTTTTTTTTTTTTTTTCGTCATGTCGTGGAGGTTCGATCTAATTAGGCGATGAAATGCCAATATGGGACTTTCTAATTCCTTTTTTTATCAATGGCTTTTCCCACCTATCCTGGTTCTGGCTGATGCTAAGATTTATGGTGCTATTGGACGGGCTTTGGGTTGGTAGCCAGAGTACTAGTTCCGGCTTGCTACATGCTTGGAATTCCTACACTGCTTGCGCCTATGTTGTTTTCACTGTCTGTGATTCTACATGGCCCTCCTTGAACTCCATGGGCTTACGGCAAAGAGTGTCTGTGCCGAAGGTATGCCGTCCAGGCCAGCTGGGAAGGGATATATATGCGACATTACTTGAATATGGTACTGTACATAGAAGAATATCAGGGCAATCCAGTCACCTCTTGCCTTCTCTTCGTCTAATATCTTTATAAAATTCCAAGCATCATGTTAAATTCACAGCATCTCTGATCTAGTCGTCCGTGTCCCATCCAGTTCTGCAATGCAGCTAGGATGCTCCAGCTCCCCCCATATAGTATTCACGGGCTCGGAAACAATAGAGACATTTTGCATCGCAGCTGATTTGATGCTCCTCTTCCTCTGTGTACGGAAGAAAAGGAAACTGACCAGGCAACCGAGAAGGAACAAGCCAACTCCCAGGCCAACGACTAAACCGATAATGGTGCTTGTGTTTGTCTGAGAGTGTCCACTGCTGGATGAAGGCACCGATGCCGTTGCATTCCCTGTCGATGAAGAAGAGGTCGAGTTTGCGAAAGTAGAATTTATGAAAATAGGCGTCGGTGCTGCTATGGACCCTGATAGAGACGAAACTGCTGAACTCGTGTACCCTGCTTCGAAACCAGCTGTTGCCGTGATGGTTGGATTCCCCAAGGTGAACTGTGGGAAAGAAGAAGATCGATTACAACAATCGTCGGCAGAGCAGCAGTAATTATTCGAATTCGCTCCACAGCGCATGACCCATTCGCCTCCTCCCATGCTCTCTATACAGGTTACCCGGTTAGCAAGAGCCTACCCTGAATGAAGATACCAGCAAGCAAGAAGAAGCTGACCTCCTCGCAACGAATATAGCTACTCACCTGCAACACAATGCCCGAAACACGCTGGCGAAGACCATGTCTTATCCGAACAAGTCCCTCTAATAAATTGGAGCTTATTCCCCGTTGTTCCATCCCACCAGCCCTCTGGCTGGCAAAGGCCATTAGAAGTGCACAGGAAGCCCTGCGTGCAGCATACACTCGCAGCTCCTGTGTCGTTACATGGCACATCATTCGACACGTCACCATTTGGCGTATAGCAGAGTGTCCCATTTGTCAGGTCAATTTGAAGAAGAGCCAGCACGATGATGATAATGAGGTAATAGTAGTGGCATGTTGCTGGCGTTGGAGACACACTCATTCCGAATGCATGTCATTCGTCTGGAAACAAACATACAAGAACATACAAGCGCAGAAAACAGGCAGTCTGGAAAACTCTCAATTCAGTATCGTTCTCGCCGAAATTGTCAGACAGGACGATAGGCCTTTGATATCCGGGTTAACGCATCGAAATGACTGATTCGAGAAGGGTGAACGTTACAAAAGTGGGCTTTCTATGGATATAGTGAAGAGAAATTCACAATTTTCGAGAAAGGGACAGGACAGCAGATAAATCCATTGACAGTCAGTCTTGAATATGCGAGAGGAAGAGACCTCAACCTCAGCGCTTAGAAGATCTTCGAGGTTGTTTGACTGGACGTCTGCATAGCCACTGCGTTTCAGATTAATGTTCAGATAGCACAAGCGCCTTTGAATGGCCCCTATTTACACTACAGAGGTATAGCGCGTGAAGTACTGCACTTATTCTTCCCAGTTCTAGGATCTCGTGGTTCTATTATTGGGAAAACTTGGCTGTATACACACACAGCATCTCTATCAAGTTGACCGAATCCTCGCACAAAACGAGCTCCATGTCGATCTAACAAGTCATTCATTCGCCTCATTCATCGTCCTCTTCATCCTCTGAACCCGTTTCGAAATCGTTCTCGTCCTCATCTTCGTCGGATTCCTCATCTTCGTCACCGTCCGTCTTCAGTCCATAGTCATCCTCGAACTTCTTGAGAGGCTGCACCTCGGGGTTGAACCCCGATGACTGAAGGCCTTTTTGGATTTTCTGCACAGATTAGCGGTCATTAACCTGTAATTCTTATGGACAATGCGCAGGACATCTGTTCTTACCTCCTCAAGCACCGTTGCGCAAGTGACAACAAGATTGGAGGTTTTCGGGTCAAACAAAGGCAGAATGATCACTCGTAGCGCTTCTTGAACCTGGTCGACGCTGATGTCTCTCACTCGCTTCAACATCGTCTCCTTATAGTCGCTAGGCAGCTGCCGGATCACCTGGCGGATGAAACTGCCTTTCGCTGCGCCAGCAATGCTGGCCTGTTCGTTGGCAAAGCTAACAACGATGCTGCTGATAGCGCCCTCTAACATCAGAGGATCGAATGGTGTCGCGCCAGATATGTGATCTTTGACAATCTTTTTGCTTGCCTCAAAGGCCTTGTGCGCGTTTGGAGACCGATACACATCGAAATTGATGAACCCTGTGTCAATATTATAGGCAAAATTCGTCCCATAGGCCAAGCCCTTTCCACGAACGGCAACCCAAAGAGGGCCCTCGACGGCATTCATGTAAGCATTCGCTACTAGTAACGCCGGGAGCTTCGGGTGATCATAGGAATCAAGGCCCCTTGCCGTCGCGTAGGCAAAGGATGAGTCGACTGTCGGCATAGGAATGATATAGGACTTCCCGCCTAGTTTCTGACCAATTTTGCTCAACAACGATCTTCGATTGGTAACCGGCCGTAGAGTGGTGCCAGGACCCAAACTCTGCGTGAATGGCTGCCAAGAAGATACGGGGTTGGAAAGTTTGTCAAGGTCTGCAATAACCAGAACCCGGATGTTCTCAAATTGGAAGAGACTCTTCCGGACCTCCTCCATGTACCCAACCACAACGTCAGGTTGATCAGCAAGGAGTCGCTTAATGCGCTTAAGGTAACGTGCCTTCACCAGGGTACTCCTGGCCCTCACGATGGACTCAGAAGCGTAGTGGATCATTACATGCACGGCAGCAAGCATGTCATCGCCACTTCGCTTGGAGTCCGGTACATCAGAAAGGAGCCGAGCAGTAATCGCTCGAAGCCTCTCAACGTCGAAGATAGAATTCCAACAAAGCTCACGGAGCCAAGATATTGCTGTGCTATATTTCTCTACTTCCACCTGGAAAGATATGCGCAGCATCTCCGAATTTCCAAGAGTCCGGGCACTTTCCATGGTGTAGCCAACGGTGTCCTTCTCCAACTCGACGACGACTTGTTCGAAATTGATGGTCCTGCCATTGCGACTGAGGGGGAGGCTGAAGAAAGCCTCTGTGAAGACGGACAATAGCGGGCGTAGGTGAACCGGCACGGACTCCACCGAAACAAGAACAGAGAGCTGCACAAAGCTGCTCTGGATATGCTCAAAGTGTATGAAAAGCGGCTTACCAGAATCGTCGCTATCCACGAGCTTCTGGACTCGGTGTTCAGGATGACCGGCCTTCAAAGCTGCACCAGACCTAGCAGTTGTGGTCTCTATGAAATGGATTGATTCAACGCCGGGGATCTTATGCTCCTCCAGCATCTGCTTTGGAATCTCTTTGTCGTTCTCAGCTTTCGCCTTTTCGAGACGCTCGGCCAATTTTTTCAACCCCTCTGCGCCAAGGCCCTTCTTCTGCGCCGCAACTCTAGCTTCTTCATCTTTCTTCAGCTTCTCCGCAAGCTTTGATGATGGTACCCCAAGGACAGAGACATGGTGAGCATCAGCGATCCACTGTTTAATAAAGCTGCGCCAATCACTCTCGCTCCATTTCTCCAAGACGTCATACTCCCTCAGACTGGCAACATCCAACATGGTCGAGCCATCCCTGTTCCCATACAAGAAATCAGAGATGACATATTCTGCGAACGAAGAAGCGGAGTTCTCTGTGGAAAATTTCCAAGTTCGCCGTTGCCGGTCAATACATTCGCGCAAGTATTTCATGTCTAGCTGGGCAGCCATGCCATCTTTTAACACTTCGAAGAATCTCCTTTCTACTTGTTCAAGTTTCTCAGTTTCTACGCTGGTCAGCGTGAAACGGATCTCAATACTCGGATGATCCTCAGTGGAGTAATAAACGGCACTGGCTACTTGTTCCTTCTCAACCAGAATGTTCTCCAAAAGAGAGGCAGATGAGCCGGCCAGGTATAGTAGCACCACATTGAGCGCCCCAGCTGAGAAATGTAAGCGTTGTTCTTTCGAAGTCTAAGCGGGGCCGGACAGATTGTTAACTCACTTTGGACCGGATCAACGCAGCTTGGCCCTAGAAATCTGATTTCAATTTCACCAAAAGATTCATCTTCTTCGGGAAACTCCACCTTCTCTATAGTCGATTTTTCCAACGCTGGGGCCTGGTGGGAATCTATCCAGGGCCTCTTGAAGGGTGAATCAGGGCTTGGAATGACGTCTAGAATAGTATTTTCAAACTCGTCCAGAGTCTCAAGAAGGTTGGCATGATCTACCTCCCCCATTATGACCAAACATAGGTTCCTAGGCTGATACATCTCACGATGGAATGCCCTAATCCTTTCCGCTGTAAGGACCCGCAGCTGTTCCATCATGCCTCCGGTCTCGTACCGAAACCCGACCCCACGAGGATACAAAAGCCTCCGAGAAGTTAAGTCAATCAGCTCCGCGGCATTGTTTTGCACACCCTGCATTTCTGAGTACACTACTCCTGCATCGTTGCCTGTAGCATCAATATGATGCACTTCTGTGTAGCAACCTTCGTCTGTCAGAGTTGGTGCAATGACATGTTCTAGATATACTGGCAGAATCCGGGCAAATCCTTCCCAGCCAGCAGTATCCAGCGTGTAGGCTGTATGGTCCGTAGCAGTCCAGGCATTCGTGTTCGAGTATACACGGGTTGCCAGCTTATCAAGAAATCCCTTGTAGCGGTAATTCCGAGAACCCATGAAACAAAGATGTTCCAGAGTATGAGGAGCTCCGGAGTCATCATGAATTTCGGTGGCAAGCACAAAATATCCGGTCACCTTGGGGCCCTTCTGATCAATGACTACCGCCCTCATGCCCGTTCTCTCCGACTCATACTGGGTGAACTCGCTAGGCGAGTAGTCAGGCTTGAATTTCTGAAGCAATTTAAAGTGGCTTCTTTGGCTAGGAGACATCTTGAATGGCGGCAAGGCAAGAAATTTTGGGGATTTTACTTGTGTCAACGAGCCGGTGGCCAAATTCCGAGGCAAACTGGATAGGCTGATTCAGTTAGCAAGCTAGGCTGGGCCAATGTGAGAAAAAAAAAAAACGATCGAAGCATCTGGAGAACAAGAAATGGCGGGGGAGATGATTGACATCGGACAACAATGAGCATGGGAAATATACCTGTTCCATAACTGACAGGCAAGGAGGAAACATAAAGGAAGAAGAGAGAGGAAGGCCACTCCTATGGGAAAATGGCGCATGCTGAGAAATGAACCCAAATGATGCTAGCAGTCCATGATGTTGCTCTGCAGAATTGACGTAAAAGTCCGGCAAACCCTCAAAAGACGACCACAACGCTGGATAGGCAGGAAAACCAAGAGAATACTCACATATACCAAGCAAAATTCGCCCGATTCAGGCCCGGTATGGAGATACGGGACAACACGATGGATTACTTCGTGTCCAGAGAGCTCCCGAGCTGGAATTTGGTCAGTTGGAGCAAAGTCTGGGTCCCGTTACGCATAAGACCAGTACGTCGGCTCTCAAGCAGAACCTCCGCGTGCGTTCCTTCTATCAGAAAGGGACTCCGGGAGACGTGACGCCAATGTATATGCCTATACAGGCCTTACAGATCTATGTCTGTCATCCAAGAGTCGCAGTAATTTTCGCCAGCACAACTCTTTCGGAGGTTCTGACGCTGCGTGCCTGAGGCGGTGACTCCAAGTCACATGGTTTCGTGAAGCTATGCCGTTAGCGACAGCTAAGCTCTCTCTTTGCCCCTCTCTCTGCTTGCACTGCAAGTCTTCTGGCCCTGTCCATCTTCAGAAGCCACAAATCGCTTGGATTCCGGTATATCATTGTCTGCGTCGCACCTACTCTTACTGTAGGACCCCTTAAGCGTGCATCTACTTGAGAATTGGCAGCCACCAGGCACAATCCAACATGTCACAGAAAACTTCCGAACCGGAAGTATGCCAGACGCTTCTAGATTTCGTCTCTGAAGGCACATATCCGGGGTCAGAGAATATTGCTGTGTCAGAATTTCCTCCATCTGTGCTGTCGAAGGAATTGGAGCTTATCTCGGAAGCAAGACAGCAAGTAGAGGTATGTCTTTGGGATTCAATTGGTTTCTTGGTTGACTGCCCGGTTGCCAACAGCTTTTTGCTGACATCTGTACTCGGTAATAGAAGGAAATAGGTTTTCAGAGTCGGGAAAACACCTTTGATGCCGATGGTTGGATGTCGCAGGCAAAGCAGCTCCATGCGGACATTGAGCGTTCAAGGCTCACTGCGCGAGAGATTGTTGCACAGCATGAGAAGACAAAGCCATTTGAATTGAAGGTTGCAGATGCTGCAGCCAAAGTCAAGCTGGTTCAAACGGAAATCGCGTTCAATCAGGCTGTAACGAGCACGTTGGAGGCGGTACAGAAACTCTGTCAGCAGCTCGATGCTGGACGAGTAGCTCTGAGTTGTGGACAGGTCACGGCCGCCATTGAGACCGTAGAGGAGATAACGAAGTCTTTGAAAAAGGATAGCCTTTTTACGAATACTAATATAATGAATATACTGTCCAAAAATATCATGGGGCTTCGACAAGAGGTTGCGGAGTATCTCCGTACACGCTGGAATGAGCAGGTGAGGATCGACAAGGATAAGCGGGAGTTGCAGGTCAGAACAATTGACGGTAAGAAGACTTGTGGTTTTATGAGCTGGATTATCACTGAAAAAGGTAGTAGGAATCACTTTGGAAGAGACTGTCGCGGCTCTATTGCGACTCGAGCTGTTCCCCTCGGTCAATGAAAAATTTCAAAGGGACCTGACTGCTACCATAATAGATGCAATAATACTGCCTGGCGTTGACGGTCGCAGTCATGGTGTGCGAGTTGGGGAATTCGCTATTAACGTTGATCCTGAGCCATCAGCTGCACCAGTCTCCGAAGTGCTGGATCGTATAGTTGAAGTACTAGGCTACTTGCGATGTTGCCTCCCGACATTAATACTTGACCTGCTTTCTGATTCTTTCGTTCCCAAACTTTCGTCGGATCTGATATCGGGTTGGTTGTCATCTGCGATACCTACTGACCTCTCTGGTCTTGGAGAATTTGAGAAGACGCTGAACCATGTCCTCCAGTTCACTCAGACGCTGGAGTCGCTTGGTTGGCATGGTGAAGAAGAGCTTGTTTCTTGGGTACAGCAAGCCCCCCGTCTGTGGCTCACGAGACGTCGAATTCATTCGTTAGACCAGGTTCGCAACGTTCTCGCCGCCAAGGGAGGCATAACGAGACAAGTTGAGAAGGTAGAGACAGAGAATGTAACACAAGCAGACCAAACTCTACTGCATACGACTTTCGACGAATGGCATGCCCAATGGGATAACAATAAGGAAGAGGTTACTTTAAGAGAAAAGTACAATATCACTGACATTCCTGATGCCGTCCTTGCTATTGTCCGACAACAGATTGCGGACGCCGAGGCCCTATCACAGCCTACGTACGTTGTCTGGCCATTCCTGTTTCATACTCTAGCTAACTTGGCCCAGATATTCCACGTCTAAGGTTGCTCCCTCTGGGCCGGGTCTCTTAGCTCTTCCAACTTTGATTATTGCCATGTACAAGGCTATAGCGTCGTCATTTTACGTTCTTAAACTCAAGTCAGGACAAATATATCTCTATAATGACAGCCAATACCTGGCTAGTCAGATACGCGCCATAGCTGAGGAACGCCAGCTAACGAGGCTCAAGCCTGATATCGTCTCACTCGAGAAGTTTGGCAAGCTTGCTTACATGAAGGAAATGCAAGTTCAACGCACCATTGTCTCAGACCTGCTCGATGGAGCTCAAGGTTTCAATCGCTGCTCGGAGCAGCCATTCTTAGGAGAATGTGAGAATGCAGTGAGCGCGACTGTTGACCGAATTCGCGACGTCTACAAAGAATGGCAACCGATCCTCTCTTATTCCGCACTTCTTCAGTCTATTGGTTCTCTACTGTCCACGGTTCTGAACAAAATTATCATTGATACTGAAGAGCTAGGTGATATTCCCGAAGCCCAATCCAAACGACTTGTGCTATTCTGTAACAAGATCTCGACGTTGGAGGATCTCTTCATGCCCGAGCCGGTTGCTGGTGCGGAAGCCGTGCCTATGACCGCAATATATGTTCCAAATTGGTTCAAATTCCAATATCTGGTTAATATTCTTGAAAGCTCACTTGCCGATATCAAGTACCTCTGGGTTGAAGGAGAACTCCGTCTAGAGTTTTCAGCCGATGAGGTTGTTGACCTGATTAAAGCACTGTTTGCTGAATCTGACCACCGGCGGAAAGCAATTGCAGAGATTCGAAGAACATCAAGAGGATAGGGAGACCGAAAATGTGCATTGTATATACGAAGCTCTACTATCTGGTAAAAAATAGAAGAAAGCACTGGAGTGTTCGTATTTTCTGTACAGCGTATGTCTGCCGTCTCCGGGATTTACACAACTGGCCGCGCGGGTTGCCGTATTTTTTTCTCTGGCTCTGATCCAAGTTGCGACAACCGCAAAATATGGGCAGATCACACAAAGTATTTTTAAATTAGACTATACAACATTCGTCCTCAATCATGGCTCTGGATCTGAATAATATTTCTACTGCAGCCTCATCTCAGACCTCGCAGAAGCAGGTCCGAGTGCAGTTAACCACCAAGAATGAAGACATTGCATTGCCCGAAAATGCGGGCCCAATTCTCGTTCCCACAGGTGAATGATCCCTTAGAGTTCTCTGCAGTGGTCAAGTATCATTTAGACTAATTATATAATGTTCTACAGGCTTGCGAAGATATGCACTGTCAACATTGGTGAACAACCTTCTTGGGAATGAGAAGCCTGTCCCATTCGAATTCCTGATTAATGGCACTTTCCTCCGAACTTCGATCGACGAATACTTAACTGCAAATGAAATATCTTCGGAGACGACGCTTGAGATTGAATATATCAGGGCACTGATTCCACCATTACATATCGCCTCCTTCCAGCATGACGACTGGGTAAGCTCGACCGATGTACTTTCTGCAACATCGCCAGCTGCTTCTTGGACATCAAACCCATCAGGCATTTCGCAGGGCCAGGAGAGGATTCTTTCTGGAAGCTACGATGGCCTACTTCGAGTATGGAATATGTCGTCTCAGACGATTGCCATTTCGCCGTCTGCCGCCGATGGCGGGCATACTGCTTCCATCAAAGCCGCAAAATTCGTTAGTCCGAATCAAATTGCTTCGGCTGGACTTGACCGAACAGTACGATTATGGAAGTACTCCGGAGACGAGGATGGTTTCTCAGGAACCATCTCTCCCCAGCTTGAGCTGTATGGGCATAAATCAGGCATCAACTCTCTGGCTGTAAATGCGCCCTCGAATCGTATCTTGTCCGCTTCGTCGGACCACACTGTCGGGTTTTGGTCGACAAAGAAATCAAACGCCCCTGCTGCCCTGGAGAATTTAATACCGTCCGGGTCCGCAAAGGGATCGAAAAGACGGAAGCTGAATTCTTCAGTGAGCGTCCCGCAGCGGGGACCCTTGACTCTTTTGACCTCACACACTGGACCAGTTTCTGCAGCGATCTTTGATGCCAAGGACTCCACAGTTGGGTATTCGACGTCTTGGGACCATTCCCTACGAACTTGGGATCTTGTTACGGCTTCACTGGTGGATACCCGCATCACGTCCCATTCCCTTCTTTCTCTTGAACATCTTCCCGAACTCAACCTGCTTGCTGCTGGTACGTCTGCTCGACACCTTACTCTCATCGATCCTCGTGCCTCAGCAACAGCCGTCTCGGCCATGACGCTGCGGGGACACACGAATGCGGTTGTGGCATTGGCTCGCGACCCTCACAGCACGTACGGCTTAATTAGTGGTAGTCATGATGGTACCTGCCGAATCTGGGATGTTCGGTCTACGAAGACGGACAGGAATGGAGTCGTGGGGGAGAGCACGTACTCGATTTCGCGGAAGAGTCTGGAGGAAGAAGGGAAAGCCGACAGCAAGCGGGTTGGTGGAGAGGGCATTAAGGTCTTCAGCGTCTGCTGGGACAAAACCATTGGTATTGTAAGCGCAGGTGAGGATAAGAGGATTCAGATCAACCGTGGAGAGGGTGTGCTGCCGTCTACGAAAGAGTGAAATTGCATATATGGGGCTGGCGTTCTGAATGCGGCTGAAAAGTATATCTCTTTTTTCTTTTGTCTCTTTACGTGTACTATGGAGTACTGCAGAGTATACCAAATAAAGCGATTTCCTGCATAGATATGTGCATATTGTAAAAGTGCCTATCTTGACCTAAGGCCTGAGAGAAGAACTATTGATATCAGGTTATTTCCATCCTCATTTATCTATACATATAATACATACATCGCAGCTGGGCTATCCATAAAAATCAAGCAAGAGAAAATAACGCCTTCCCATGCCCCCAACAAGATAAGTTGCAAGGATATGATTCCCAACGAAAAGTAACACCGAAGACATGAGCTTAAAGTTTCCTCTCCATCCGGTTGAGTTTGATGGCCGTTTTGATCTGTAAAATTAAAAAAAAGAACACAATCAGCACCCGCCAAAGATGAAGAAAAGAAAGAAAGAAAGCAAGGGGCACAAACTTGAGTTCTTGTCCTCTGTCCCCTCACAGGCAAGCCCAACGCATGTCTTCTTCCTCGGTACGTTCCCGTCTCCTTCAATCGCTTGATATTATCAAGTATCTGCCTCCGGAGGTCATTCTCGATCTTCATATCTGACAACGCGGCTGTAAGGTCGAGGACCTGCTTATTCGCCAAGTCGCGGACTTTGCATGTTGGATGGATGTGGAAGCGTGCTAGCAGACGGGAGGAAGTGAAGGAACCGATTCCGAAGAATGTCTCGAGGGATTTCTGTGCAGGAGCTGTTAGATCCAGGAAGCCATTGGGTTGACATAGGTAGTGAATGAAATGAATGGGCTTGCTTGCCTTGACGAGGTTCCGCTCAGGGAAGTTGACACCGAGAATGAAGACCTGGTTAGATAACCACAGTTAACCCGTCTGTCGTACATTTGGGCGGATTGAGCACTGTACCATCTTGACTATAGACGTCTGTCGACCAGAACAATTCGGTCTCAATGGCAGCGAGTTGTTGATATCGGTATGCAGCAGTATTGGATACGAGTGCGGAAGAAATCAAGCGGTAACAAGGTTCTTCCGGGTCTTCGAATATCACCGGCAGCGACCCCGTACGGTAGCATCGCCAAGAAAAGGGCATCTCCGCATGGCAGTCTGCAAGCTGGCCTTCCCGCTATTGAAGGCTGTTTCGATCTTTCTCATCACCATCTCCCAAAAGTGCGCTGCATCATCCAAACAGCCATGAATTTCAGAAACCTTTTTGTCTCTCTCTTTCTGATCCTCGCGATCGGACTCGCGCTGGTACAGGCTGATGAAGCCAAACAGCCGCGAGGTCCTAAGATTACCAGCAAGGTAATCTATTCTGTCATTGATTGTCGAGCTTGCATTGGGAAGAATATATCCTGATCGTCGATAGGTCTACTTCGACATTGAGCACGGGGGTAAGCCTCTGGGCAGAATTGTGCTTGGATTGTACGGAAAGACTGTTCCCAAGGTGGGTGATTACATCCCTACGGTGCGCACATCTGGTTCTGGTATTGACATTTCCCCCCTCTAGACAGCGGAGAATTTCCGGTATGTTTGTTCCTCGTTGACCTAAGACCCTTCGATTTTCATGAGCTGAATCATTGCGAAGAGTATTGGCTACTGGCGATGAGGGCTACGGCTACGAAGGCTCCAACTTCCACCGCGTTATCAAGGGCTTCATGATTCAAGGTGGTGATTTCACAAAGGGTGACGGTCAGTGTCAAGTTTAAAGATACCCAGGAACGCTGTGGATGCTGATTGGTCTGGCTCAGGGACTGGAGGAAAGTCGATCTACGGAGCGAAGTTCAAGGATGAGAACTTCAAGCTTAGGCACACTCGGAAGGGCCTTCTGAGTAATTTCCAAATCCCCATGAGGCTTTTTGTTCGCTCATGTGTGGTTAATGTATTGTTCTAGGCATGGCAAACGCCGGCAAGGATACCAACGGTTCTCAGTTCTTCATCACCACCGTTCCTACCCCGTATGCATATTTCCGATGCCCCCAGTTGATGCGTTTTTTTTTTTTTGCTGATTGTCCTTTTTCAGATGGCTCGACGGTCGCCACGTCGTCTTCGGCGAAGTCCTTGAGGGCTATGAAATTGTCGAACTGATTGAGAATGTACCCAAGGGCGCAATGGACCGACCCTTGGAGCCGGTCAAGGTCGTGAAGAGCGGAGAGTTGGATGCGGAAAAGACAGACCAAGGTAGCCATGAAGAACTGTAGACCTACGTTGATCGAGTTCCTTGCTGCTTCGCGAGCCTTCTGCTGAAATCAAAACATCGATGTCTGACTATGTCCCGTTAGTCACACCTGCGATCGTACCCGACCGCGTTGATCAGTTTCAGCAGAATCTGTGAGTATTCGGGCAGCGAGATTTTCGATGGAGGAGCCCTGTGTACCATAAACAGCGAAATAGACAACTTCCTCCGTAGAGTGGCAACTCACGGATACGTCATATGATCGGTTCATGGCAACGGAAACTTATGAGGCATGCGTGTTTATAGTTTCGAGTCAGACCTAAATTCTCCATGGTTAAGAGACGTTTCTATTAGTCTCATGCCGCTTCTTCGCCCTGTCGTTGTGTCATAGGCCATGTGGGCTGTCAGATGCAGCGAATTTGAACCACTCGTAGGAGCCCCTGGAGAGCCCTGTCTATTCCCACGCCACCTAAACCGGACAAATGCATGTACGTGCTGTACTATGCAGTACAGTCTTCAGTTACATTCCATCTCCATGCACGGAAGGACGGCCCCTTCTGACGTTACTCTTGCTTTGAACCATGAACCGTTGGTCCATGGGGTAGATAGACAGCACGGAGGCATTCTCAGACTATCAGTGTGATTGATCAACCTCTGCTTATTGGAAGAGATGGCCTAGCGGTGTAGATGCATGTCCAGAATGAGAATATCCCCTTTCTCCGCTGTCTGTTCTACCGTTTCCATCTGTGGTTGTCCGGTCTGCACAGCGTAAGGCTGTTTAGGAGAACAGAACAGTCAGTCCATCAGCCTCTAGCCTCAGCGAAGATTTTTTTAAATAAAATTCAAAACCAAGGAGGGAAACAGCCAAAGGGAAAGAATATTTGTGAAAAAAGAAAAAGTCTAAAACATAAGCCTATAACCGAGGACAAAAACAACTGGATTACTATTTCATTGGAGGCGAAATGTGTTTTGGCAGCGAAGAGAACGGCTTTTCTCGCTTTTTTTTTGCCTTTTCGCCTTCGTGTAATTTTTGGTATTTGAATTACCTGGCACGCCTGTGTGTAATAATCGTTCTTCAACTCCCACAACTTCTCGTCTTCCCCTTCTTCCTCCATCTCTCCTACTTAACTCCTTTCCTCCCTTTCATATCGCCTATTTTTCTTTTATTCACTTTTCCTTTCTCTTTCCTTTGGAGATCTCCTTACGCTTTGAATTTTGGGAGACCTAGTTCTACTTTTTCTCCCCTGATCTCTTCTTGTCTTTTTTTTTTCCTAGTCGCCACTTGATAGAGAGACGGAGACAAAGTCACTCGTCTTCGCGTCACTCTCGTTTTTTCTTCTTAGAAATCTCTCAAGAGATACAGCGCTGTACTATCGTCTACAGACTTGCAGAAGGCTTCCTTCGATTCTTGACAACTACCAGTATTAGTTACTGAGTTGTCACTCGCTTCTGCTCTCGCGAGGAAAAAAAAAAAAAAACTACCTTCGCAGTCCTTGATTTCGTGCACTTTCTTTACGCCTAGCAGATCAAGGCAAAAAATTCAGAGTTGTCAACCTTTTGCGCTACGTCTTTAGAACTAATATCTGAACGCAATACCACAAATATGGCCGACAGTCTGAAAGTCGAAAAGCTCTCCTTGAACGATTCCCAGCACGCCCCTCCCGCGGCTGCTCATACTACGCCATCTGGACGTGCCGCCTATATCCCTCCTCACCTTCGCCAGCAGCGTAATGCTGGTGCTGTAGGCTTGGATGGCGCTGGCTCTTCGCCTGGTGGAAGGAACGCTGGCGCTTGGAACGCGAAGTATGTTCTCCCTGATTGTTATATCCACATCTGTTGCTTTCTGGATCCCCCTTTTGCTTCGTGGCTAACTGCAATAATAATTTCTTGCAGCCGAACTGGTTCCCGTGGTGGCAGCTGGGCAAATGCCTCTTCTTTCAACCCTCGCAATTCCGCCAATGGTAACCCTGACTGGAGTTCCCCTGATGGTCCACGCCGGCCCTTCGACCCAAATGCTTACGGACACCCAGGTTACGGTGGCTCCCAGAGCGGTCCCTCCAGTACTCCCAGAGGCTCGGGAGACGGTCAATGGCGCGATGGCAAACATATCCCCGGTCCCGCGAACGCCCGTTTGGAGCGCGAACTTTTCGGTGTTCCCAATGACCCCTCCAAGCAGACTACTGGCATCAACTTTGCCAACTATGATGATATCCCCGTGGAGGCCTCCGGCCACAACGTCCCCGAACCCGTTAACGCCTTCACGAACCCGCCTCTGGATGACCATCTGCTCTCGAACATTAAGCTCGCCAGTTACAAAATCCCCACCCCTGTTCAAAAGTATTCTATTCCCATTGTCATGAACGGTCGTGACCTCATGGCATGTGCACAGACTGGTTCTGGAAAGACCGGTGGTTTCTTGTTCCCGATCCTTTCCCAGGCATATCAGAACGGGCCTTCTGCTGCCCCTGCACCGGCTCAGGGTCAACTCAGCTATGGCCGGCAGCGCAAGGCTTACCCTACTTCCTTGATCCTTGCCCCTACTCGCGAGCTTGTCTCTCAGATCTTTGATGAGGCCCGCAAGTTCGCCTATCGCTCCTGGGTTCGTCCATGTGTCGTGTACGGAGGTGCCGATATTGGCTCTCAACTGCGCCAAATCGAGCGCGGCTGTGATATGCTGGTCGCTACTCCTGGTCGTTTGGTTGACCTTATCGAACGTGGCCGTATCTCCCTGGTTAACATCAAATACTTGGTTCTTGATGAGGCTGACCGCATGCTGGACATGGGTTTCGAACCCCAGATTCGCCGTATTGTTGAGGGTGAGGATATGCCCTCTGTGAATGACCGCCAGACACTCATGTTCTCCGCCACTTTCCCTCGTGATATCCAGATGCTTGCCCGCGATTTTTTGAAGGACTACGTTTTCCTGTCCGTCGGTCGCGTTGGATCTACGTCTGAGAACATCACTCAGAAGGTCGAGTATGTCGAGGACCATGACAAGCGTTCTGTCCTCTTGGATATCCTCCACACCCACGGAACCAGCGGTCTTACCCTTATTTTTGTCGAAACCAAGCGCATGGCTGATTCCCTGTCCGACTTCCTCATCAACCAGCGCTTCCCTGCAACCGCCATCCATGGTGACCGCACTCAGCGCGAGCGTGAACGCGCTCTGGAGTTCTTCCGTAGCGGACGTTGCCCAATTCTGGTTGCCACTGCTGTTGCTGCCCGTGGTCTCGATATTCCTAATGTTACCCACGTCATCAACTATGACCTGCCCACCGATATCGACGACTATGTTCACAGAATTGGTCGTACCGGTCGTGCCGGTAACACCGGTATCGCCACTGCTTTCTTCAACCGTGGCAACCGCGGTGTTGTGCGCGACTTGATCGACCTTTTGAAAGAGGCTCACCAGGAAGTACCATCCTTCTTGGAGAGTATTGCGCGCGAAGGCAGCGGCTATGGCGGTCGTGGTGGCCGTGGTGGCCGTGGCCGTGGTGCAAATGCTACCCGTGACATGCGTCGCATGGGCGGCGGCATGGGCGGTCCTCCTTCCTTTAGCGGTAACACCTACAGCGGTGGTCCTAGTAGCTATGGTGGCAACTTTGGTGGTCCTCCCTCGTATGGCGGTGGTGGCTATAGCGGATACGGTGGTGGATACGGCAACCCGTCTGGCCCTACTGGACCATCTTCCTGGTGGTAAATCGGTTGTGGTCTCTGGCGAGGCCGTCGGGTCTGATTGGCTCCTTTCCTTCTATCTCTATGCCTATTGCTTAACGGAAACGATCAGAACGATTCACTGAGGTTTCTTTCTTCATTATTCTCCTCTCAGGACCGGCTTTGTCACGACCGCAACGACTTTCTAGAATTTCGTTTCCGTTTCAGTCTTCGATTTGACGTGTGGTTATCTTTTTCTTTTTACCTCCTCGCTCGGCAGTTCGCAAGTTTCGTCTGGTTTCGGTTTTCTTTTCCTGTTCTGTCATATTTAGACGTGGTCATTCGATGCAGTCCGATATCTCCAGCTACTCCTGCTTATGACGCTATATGATCGTACGCATCTTCTTCGGACATTGCGTGGGCACCATAGATTGCGTTGAGCTTTTGCGATCGATTTTATCAGATACCCTTTTGCCAGGCGTCCGTGTGGGGGAACGCTTGGACGTCGCGCCATGCGGGAGCGTCGACTTTTCGTCCCCAGAAAAGTGCTTTTCGTCGTTTCATCTGCTCGGTGCTATTGCAGCTGCATCGACCTTGTCTTGCTACATAGAATTTCTTTTACGGTTTCGGTATCTAAGGGCGGGTCTTCTTTTCCTCCAGCTTTTCTCCATGCATGCGCTTTTTTTTACGAGTAACAAGAAGGGAAACGAAAGAGGAAAAAGAGAAATCGTGCCATCTCCTTCGTGATAGAGAAGGGGAAGTCCGATTGCGGGTCTTCTTCAGCCAACGCTTTCGCACGACATTTATGTCCACAGTGCACATAGACGAAGGTTCTATTGGTGTGGGTTATTTGCATTGTGTATGGCGTTGGCTTGGGCTGCTATGTCCACAGAAAAAAAAAAAAAATAACCAAAACTACCTCCCCCTGCACTTGGGTCCGCAGGGAATGATATCCGAATGGGATCTTTCTTTTTTCTTTCTTCATTTCTCGGACTCGTGGCGGATGGGAAGCTACTTTGCTGGCGCTTGATGGAAATGCTGGTCCGCACACATCATCATGCCACTAATAGTCTTTTGGCATGGAGATGAGTATGCCGAATACGACCTTTCGATGGCATGGGGACTCGTGCTTTTAAGGGGCCTTCCGTGGCAAGGAAAGGAAGAGAAAAAAAAAGTTCTATTTGTTTTTGTCTACGTAACTCGTGTAGTTGAATCTTAATGCAGGAACATTCCGTGTTAGTTGATTACGAGTCTCTGATGTAGCTTGGGTGGTTGCTCAGAATCGCGTCTCTCCCTAGTTTCTTGAGAAATAGGCATGGTAGAAACACTCCGTAGAGAACAGGTAATTCTGTCTTATTGCAACTAGAGCAGGGCTGGACTGGAGGCTGTTCTAACTTCTGCAAGTATTAATAGCGAGTGAATAAAGCGGAGGATCGACGGCGGAGAGTCGAGTCACTGGACAAGCAGGAATAATATCAAATTTAATGATTACGCCCTGTCTTTCTTCTCTTCTTGCCAACTGTCGACAAAGACCGGAACCGTGCCCTGCAGAATTTTATCGCCGTCCTTTGCAGGTCTTCCTTCATCCTCCTTCTCCTTCGTCACTCTACTCCTAGCTGGGAGTTTACATCATTTAGTTGTCTAAGCTTCCTTTTTTTTGGCCGCCAGCTGCATACATCCATCCATCTATTATCTGACTGAACTTGGCGCTCAGGAGGCCTTGTCGTCTTCTTTCCCAGCGCTGATCAGTTTCGGGGTCCTTTTCCCCCTGCTCAGTAATCTGCTATTTGGATATTACAGGGGTGAAGAGGGAAGAAAGGGCTCCTCCAGGGCTGGAAGTATACACGAAAATGGTCGACATTGAAGGAACTTCTGTCGCGGAAGATCCCTTGACGCGTCCAACAGTGGAAGCATCTCATGGTGCATGCGACCGTGAGGCTGGCGCTGAGCTCGAACTCGATCAAGACCAGGCTCATGGGCAAGGCGACGGTAATGAGAACGACAACGACAACGATCAGGACCCTTGTTCCACGCACAATACAACGGCCAGTGCAACGGTGGGCACGCGACGTCAGACTAACGGGACAATTGGGTCCGTTTATTCGGGCAATAAAATTCGACACCTCAAGAAAGAGGATGGGATTCCGCTCTGGCGCAAGGATATTCAATTTGAGTTCCTCAAGTTAGTGTTCGAAGACCAGACGCCTGTCTTCACGCGGTATTCGGATGGAGCTCGAAATGTCGTCTTTGCGGATATCTACCTTGATGCCATGGCGAGGAGTAGTAAGACAAGCAAAGTGCTGAAAGACAAGTTACAAAGCGACAGACAGGCAGCTATTGGAATGGCGATGGTCTGTCTTTTGGTCAATGTGGGCAGGATGAATACTACCCTTAACTGTGCGTTCGTTTATTTCCTTCCATGTCCTCTTCCCCATGGGAATTATCTTTGCTAATACCTAATGTCGGTCTAGTTTTCCCTGAAATGCGTGCTCAATTGCGAACATACCACCCAATCCCTTCTCTACAAGCTCACCAGGAGCAAAACACCGACAAACAGTTGCAAGATGCACCCCGTCTCAAGTCCATTCTCAAAGGCGCATCCGAGGATACCGATCAGCCCAATACGCTCGAGCGGATCAAACGTCTCCCTGTTCCCCGGACAAATCCTGTGAATCTCATCTTCGTCCTGGCGCAGTACGCACCCAAGGTATCCGAGATACACTTCTTCCCTCCTCGAGACTTCTTCGATCTTGTCGTGAGATCCACACTCAGCAGCAGGAGTCGTGCGAGAGCCTTCCTTTGGCTTATGTGGTGGTATCTCGAGAGCGATTTTTCCAGGGGGGCTGCGCTCAATAACCCTTTTGGGCCTGGACTCGACGGTGAAGGGACCGAAGGCTTGCCAATCAAGGTTCCGGTTTTTGAAAGCCTTACTGAGGAGCAAGCAAACGAGGAAAACATCGATACGCCATCTGAGATTGAGTATGGGGAGTCGAAACGCCTCGAACGCAAGCGTAAGTGGAAAGCCTAGTCTCTCATTTCTGGCACTACCCGGTTCTGTTGGCTAATTTCCTTTCAAGGCATCTTGGAGGAGGATGAGCCTACCGCGAGACTGATCAAGCGTCCCAAAAAAGGTTTGAGTTTCCATGCCGTATTCAGAAGTTTGTGTTCCCTGCTAACCTGGACGCGCCAGATTCCGGCTACGATGAAGACCAGGTTTCAGGAGACCTTGCATCTGGTGAGTCTTGTAGCCGGCTGGTGTTTGGTTTTCCTTAATCTCACTAACTTTCTCCCAAGTCCGAGGTGATAGAATCAGCCTTGGGGGCTTCGGGTCGGCGGTGTCAACCCCGTTGCATCCCTCTTTAAAGCGATCTGCGGAGGATGAGGAGGACGAACGGACTCCCGGCCAGTCGGCCCGTGCACGGAGCAATAAGAAGGCCAAGCGGGACCCCTCAGCGAACAGTTCTGCTGGCCAACAGCGCCTCATTCTGAAGACGAAGATGGAGCAAACACCAGATACCGCGTCTCCTGCGCCTCCTGGTTCAGGCCATCCGATTCTGAACCAATTTGAACCTCCGCTGTCGCAGCCTGTTCCCCCGGCCGCCACAACTAGCACGGCTCCCAGCAGCTCCCGCCGTCCTCGACCCCTTACCCAGCACCAACTCGCTGTTGAACAAAACCGCCGTCAACGCGTGGAGTATATGCTTGCGAAGCGGAAGAATGAAGAGTACAGTTTACTTCGCAAAAAGCGGGAAAGTGAGTTTCCATTTGCTCGCTACGCGCGCTTGCTCCAGGGCCTCCCCGACGGCTACGATACAGAGGACGAGGAACATTCGTGGGGGAAAGGCGGACTTATCCCGAACCCCCTTGAAGAGGAAGACTTTGGTGAATGTGCAAGTTACTACCTGTCCGTAATACGGAAGGCAGCCAGGAGGCTCGACCGATGGGACTATGAGGGCGCCAATGGACCCAAAAGGGATAGGAAGAAGGAGAGAGAAGAACGTGCGAAAAGAAGATTACAGAACGGATTGAGCGGCAATGGAAAAAATAATGGCTTCTCCAACACTGCCAATTCTAATAGTGCCACCCTGGAAACGGGAAGCATCCGCGCGACTCCCTCTCGAAGCAAGGGTAAAGCCCCACGCAGCAGCGCGAAACGGAAATCTGCCGCTGGCTCGACAGTCACCCCGAACAAGAAACAGGCGTCATCCTCCGCCCGTAGTAAAGGCGGCCGCGCCCGTACGGGTGGTCGCAGTGGAACCGGAGCTGCCGGCATAGCAGACTCTACCACAAATAGTCTAGATGTTCCATCCCACGGCCGGGGAACTCTTTCTCCGCTGGGCCCGTCGGCGCATGCAGATGCGGATGTGGAGATCGAAGGAGATGACGGCCTCGATGATATCGACAAGGAGCTCCTGGGCGAAGGCACAGGCGATGAAGGGGATGAGACTCACCACCGTCCTGCGTCTACTTCTCGTTCTCACCCTCCTCGCTCTCGTGCCGCTCATCCTTCTTTCGATGAGTCAGGCATTGACGACAGCTTCCTGGCTGATGATGATAACGATAATGAGCCTCTGACCTCTGAAAATGAGGTAGAGTTAGGAAGCGATATCGACATGGAAGAGGGCAACTCCGATGCGGCCAGTAGCTTGAGTTCCTCGCCGGCACGCGATATTGTAGGGAAAGTTGAGCCTGAAGCCGAAGCTTTGGCCGATGACGATGATCTCATGTAGAATGAGATTAATATTGCAGGACGAACGAATGTGCATGCAACAGCAACTGTACCATACCAATCTATCTTTTTTTCTCTCTCTTGCATCTCCTTCCCATTATGCATATGGGGTTTTTTCTATCATCACTTTGTCTTTTCCATTTTAGCGCTCAGGTCTTGGCATTTTTTGCTCACTGATCTGAGCATGGGGTGAGTGATGGCAGCGGGTAAGATGTAGTCTCGATAAAACGCACCCAGTCTTGTTTCAGTCCTCTCCAAAAAAAAGGAAAGTTCGGCATTTTCCCTTTTTGCCTGTGTGATCAATTGTGTCAACGCATCTCCATTCAGGGTCCAGCTCGTAGCTGATGAGCCACATCATTGCACGGAAACCTTGAGATTATGATTGCCCTGTTGTATAGCCATTGCCTCCTCTAGATCTGGGGAGTAAGGCTCAGGCTCTAACCTTCCCTCTCCCGCCGCGGAAATGGTTTCCTCGACAAGATCTTCAGACTCGGTTGTTTTTGTTGCCCATCGCTGGACCCAATTTAAGCATCCAGAATGGATCCAGGTGGTCATAACAACACGCAGTGGTTTCATACACGAGTTTTCGTTTTAGGTGTACTTATGAATATCGTTTGGCAATAATAAGACTCTTGGTGGGGGAAAGAGCTTACTTTGCCCCCTTCCTTGCTACAATCTGCAGTAACAACTCACTAGCCTTAGCATATGTTATATTTTCAGACCTGAAAATGCCGTGATCATCAATTGTCGTTTCCATATGATGATTGAGGTCAGTTATTGTTGAGGGTTCAGAATGCTCAGACATTTTCACGACCACGCTAGGAGCCAAAGAGCTTGGTGATGGAAGAACCTCAGGTCGTAGCTTCCCAGGTTCTGTACTCATCAAGCATGGGATAGAGGGGTTTTCAAACTTATATTCTAGAATAGGAACCAGTAGGCAGCTCATATTAACACGTGACTTATCACTGAGCATCACCCTGAGTAGTGGCATCCAGAAGGGGAAAGGGTGATTCTAGAATAAAAAGTCTGTATAGCTACGTACTGGTTACCTAAAATCCACAGATGTACAACACATGAATTAGCAATAATCATGAGTTTCTCCTAGATATCCTATGTATGGCAAGACTAGCTATACCAACCTGTGCGGGATATAGGCTCGTGATCTTTGGTATATCGTTTATTAAATGTCACTGCCAAATAAAGAGATATCTTGAGGTAAAGGAAAGAATGCCGTACAGCAAGCAAGAGGCAGCGTCAATTAATAATCCTGACTTTTTGCGGAGCCCTGTCTACTCCATAGTACATAATCTCAACTTCATAAAACGCCTCGAACGCCTTATGAATACGAAACTCGTGTCAAACAATTGCATCTTCACTCTCCTGGGGGTTGAAAAAGCTGTGGCTTCATGTTAATTCGGCAAAGTTTTGCAATACAACCGCTCAGTTGTAGTAGGGACTGCACGCCATCCAGGATGCGCATATGTGTGAAACCGATCTCTTTGATGAATTCCAATTTGGAATGTTCTGAGAGAGTGGGAATTGTCTTCGTCACGCGGAACATGGTGCTGATAATATCATGGGAAGAGTAACCCAGACCCCTAGCAAACATAAGAGTCAGAACAGAACAACCAGTTGAATAGATAAGGCAGATTTCCATGGATTCCCAGCTTACCAGAGCTCATTCAATGTGTCCAGAGCTACGTCGACCTTTCCTTCCCAGCATGCCTTAATCATAGCTTGCACTTTGATCGGATGAGGACTATCGACGACACGGAAGACATTGTCCCCGCTCACGAACCCAAATCCAGACCATGTGCTTTGTAGGTTGTTAATTGCCTGGCGCATATCACCTTCGGCGCTGAAAACTAGAGCGGCAATCCCGTCTTCTGAATATTCCACCTTTTCAGCCTCGCATATTTGTACAATCCTCTTCACTACCTGTGCATCTGTCAACCGGGCATAGCGAAGGATAGCACATCGAGACTGGATAGGCTCAATGATCTTATTTGACTGGTTGCAAGCAAAGGCAAAACGAGTAGTGGACGAGTAGATTTCCATTGTACGTCGCAGAGCTTGCTGAGCACCGGGGGTCATGCTGGAATAGAATATCTGTGTGAATATAGTCGCAAATACCCAATGCGTTAGGAACACGTACCTATCTGCTTCGTCTAAAATGACAATTTTATGCCGACCGGGGGGGAGTGTGACTTTCTTCTGGGCGAATCCCTTGATGCGGTTTCGTACGACATCGATACCTGCGCCAGCACTATGAGAAATTATGTTCCTCGTGCATATTCCGTATTCTTTTCTCCATGGTGAATGACGACGAACCTCTTTCATCACTAGCATTTAGTTCCAAGACTGCCTCCTTGTATGCATCACCCAGTAACTGTCTCGCTAAACACAACACCGATGTCGTCTTTCCAATTCCAGGCATACCCGAAATGATAACATGGGGCATGTTTCCATCTTTCGCTATAATTTTCAAACGCTCGATAGTCTCTGTGTTTCCCACGATATCATCAAGAAAGACAGGTCGGTACTTCTCGACCCTAAGAGGGAGACGTCCATCAGCATGTGAAGTGTATGCAATCAAATATAGTCTTCAATATCACGGTAATAAAATGCAAGTGAAGCAATCATATGGCTTCACAATTCAATGAAGCACTTACCAGGGCAATTCATAGTCTTGAGGGGCACCAGCTGTAACAGCTGTTGCGCCCTTGCGAGCCGCAGCTGTTGATGATTCTCCCTGTGCCATTCTCGAAATTATCTGACATAAATGGAATGGGTATTAAAGAAATGGAGCTGGCTCTGGTATCTACCTCTTTGAAGCAGAAACACATGGGGGAGACGCGAAATTGACGCGTCGGAGGATACTCCACGCCTATCTAATAATCGATTCTATCAATCTCCGGCCCGTGCTTTGACTTCAACTCTGCATACGTTCAACATTGATTCTCAAGGCTTTATATTACACGACGGACTTATTTTTATCAATCAGATCGAACTTTTATTCGCTCCTTTTTCAACCGTATCATCTTTCCCCTGGTCTTCTTTCAGGAAATCAGGCATCGTTACTACATGGATCATAGTGCCGGTTTCCTATAGTCAGCACGAGACGTCCCTTAGGAACTTCTTCACCGCAACGAATATATATTAAAAAAGCGACGCTGTCGAATTTTTGTCTATTTGAAGCGCCTGTGTACATAATCGTCAAACCAAGATCTCCCAATGGGAACGAACACTGTCCGCCGCAATCTCTTCCACCACAACCTCAGCAGGCGTCCTGCGTCCGGTGTTTCAGCGAATGCTACCACACAAGGAGGAAGTGATGGTATCTCAAGCCTCTCATCTCGCATTCTGGGATCTGCGTCATCTGATGCAGGGGTCTCGTTGAAGGCGGGATCTTACGATAATGGGGAGATCGTGGCTAAAGACAAAAATGGCAACTACAAGCTCGACATTCCTCTGATACCACCGTTTCTCGATAGTGAGAATGGCGATCGGCTAGAAAGTGTAGATGAAGGTGGAGGAGCGGGTGCTGTAGCTGTCGGACGCACAGGCGAGGCAGATATTAATGGATGCGATAAACAAAGTACGTCGGTTGTGGATGATTGATTCTATTTGGAGAACGATGAGGTATGCTCACCATTGCATTTAAAGAGATCGAGGTGAAGCTGGCCGATATAATGGGTCGAAATCGTCGAAATGGGCAAATGAGCAATGGACCAGCTGGTAGGTGTTGTCATAGATGCAACTGAAGACCCTACACCTTTCGCTTTGCAAATCTTCTGAGGAGAATAGGCTGCTCTTAGTACACGGTCAATTGCTAATCTTAACAGAGGTCTTAAATCTCATTCACCAGAATCTTCGGGACAAGGTAGCAGCTTTGGAAGAAGACAACTGGATGTACGATGGGAACTAGTGCACCCATCCGCCCATACATGACAGTCGGCCATTCTGTCAATGTCAGCCAAATACTACGATCAACTTCGGACCACTAAATTACAAAACCGCCATCAGTCCTACTTAGTCCAACTCGATGTTCGTGGGCGGCTCTGCGACCCGTTTCGGTGCTCCCCTGCCTTGCAACGCCCCTCTCCCGCCCGCACCTCCTGGGCCGCCTCCGAAAAGCATACTGCCCATCATGTCCAGCAGTGGGTTGGTCTGTTTCGGGATAGTAATACCAAAATACAATTCGCCGATCTGTGCCAGCACATCGTCCCATATGCCAACTTCTTGGATGTCCGACGCATAGTGTGCGGTGAGCTGTCTGAAAAGATCCGCGCTCCCGCGTTGGATTGTAAGGAGCAGCATGCTTATGAAGTTCAACAAGGGTATTGTTGGAAAAACTCGGACGTCAGAACTCGCGCTGCTCACTTCCTGTGCGCCAAGCGAGGGGTTCGAGAAAGATAGTCGCGACGTAAATATCAACAAAGCTTTGTTCGCACTGCGAAGGTTTCCGATAAGGAGATACGGAAATACTGCACGGGATGCGTAGATGGCAGCTGTCCGCGGCTCGTCATTCGTGTACCACTCATACTCGAGCTTCGCTAAGGTCTCAGCTGATCCTAATGTACCGAGGACGAGATGCTTTTCAGCCTCGTACGGCTCATTCTCTGAGTATCAAAGTCAATACAGGCACCTTTCATTCCAGGCCCTCTTGAGGCAGCAGGCATCACACACCTTCAGCATACACCGATCCAACAGCATGGTGTAAGTCAGGGTCTCCTCGCTCCAACGGCCCGAATCGTCCGCTCCAGCCGATTATTTCCTGGATAAACCTCTTTCTCGTTGGCTCATCGGGTGGGAATTCATGCAGAAGCTCAATTAGACGCTCTGTAGATAAGACCTCGGGTTAGCTAGCTGGATTATTCTTACAGTGCATGAACACCCTTATGTTTTTAGGAGAAAAATCGACGTTTTAAGACTCACTCTTCCGAGCTCTCCCTTGCGTATCGTCATCGCCGGAAATCTCCCAGCCAGCCTTACTGTACACCTCTGACACCAGCATAATTGCCAGATCTCCACCGCTGGCGGAGGCTCCCTGCTGGGATCCTGCTCTCAAAAGTTCGGTTGCACCGCCAGCCAGTATATCGGCTGCTGCATCGTAGTTCGCTTGTTTGATATACCGCACAGCGATAACACGTAATTGCTGGTGGGCTTCGTAATAAGCTCCGGAGGATATCCTAAGGGTAACCAGAGAGGGAATATTAGCACTTGTACTGGTGGAATAATAACAGAGAAAAAGGGACGTTTAACAAGTAAACAAGGTGGGCAGTACTATGATCACTCACTTCTCTCTCTGTCGAGCAATCGTCTTCTCGATTCGGGAGGTCATTTTTGCTTCAAGCTCGTCCGAAGACAGCGTCTTAAACTGTTACTTCGGGATGAGGTTGGGGAATCGTCTGAAAGCGGCCGTCACCTACAGGACTGAGAAAAGGGATGGCACGCGATAAATATCACGAAAAGGTGGAAATCAGAGCGGCTTGGATTCGAGCTGGAACACACAAAGACAGCTCTGCGGGGAATATTAGTATGGGAAGATGCGGCCGGAGTAGATGAAGGTCGAAGTTCCGAAATCTATATATAATTGCATATATTTGTATCCACTGGATGCAGTTCGCAATGAAAACACAGCTTTTTAAACCTTTGTCAACCGTGTATTCATTCCCTGCTTGCCATCTTATGCTTCATACATATGCAGGCATATTCACTATATCAATCAAACTTCGAATATGAGCGACCGTGCTTGACTTATGATTGTTACTGTCTACACGCGCCTCTTCCTCCCACTCTTGAATCAATCACGCCTTTATCATCTAGAAATTAATGACTAGAAACCATGGATCGACATGTCTTCAATGTTCAGCCTGCTAGCATGTTTGTGGGCTCCAAAATTGCCACTATTCGACGCCCGAAGGTAGGCCTTTCATCTCTTTCTACGATTGCTTTAAGATAATTGACCATGATCGTTAGGAGATTGCCTGTTTTTCATATGATGATGAACACCGCTTCTCTCGTGGTACATCATCCTTGCGTTATTACTACCCACCACGGCTCCCAGCGGATTTAAATCATGGGTTTGATGTCTTCCAAAAGTTGGATGATTCGGCAGATGAGCATTTAGATGCCTTACTGGATACTATTATTGCCCTGGAGAAAGAGACAGAGACGAAATGCGAGGCGGATATCATTACATGGAGAGGCATGATGACCAAGGTGAGTTGGATCGAGCAATGGGATAAATGAGAGGAGAAGGTTTCCTTGACTAAATATTAGACAAACTGCATCGTATTCAATAGATTCTGACTGTCCCATTTGATCATATGAATGGGTGCGTACAATGTTGACTGTGCTGAAGATCTTCTCATTGACTATTTATTATCCAGTTTCGAGATGAACGCGACATGCTTCCAAGTGAGAAGGTCTCTCGGATTGAAAGAAATTCTGGCTTCTATTAATCTGACTCCTACTTCCATCCACAGGGCACTATGTATGTATGGCAGATTGACTCCGGATAAAGACAAATTTGCAAACTAACCCGATTTCTTTAGTTTTATCGAGGAGAATAACGCATACAAGAATGAGCAAAAGCGTATCCAACGGAATCAACAGATGCCAGTTGGAATGGCTTCGCAAGATCTAATGGCATACTGGGGTATATTCCAAATACTTCGTCGCTTATTTCATTGTTCAAGTAGAATACTGATTTTTCCTAGGCTATAAATTCGAAACCTTGTCTGTTCTCCGAGATACTTGGGACGCAACGTCTCGCGAAGAAATCGAAACTCGTGATCAACAAGTAGTCAACAACAACGCTCAGTATTGCTCTGTCGTCCGGACTGGAATAGGTGGCGTGCGGATAATCCTCGGTGGCGAGGTTGACGCTGGTATGTGTCTTTGGCCTACATCTTAACCTCATGCATCTCTAAAATGCATTTTTGTTAATCCATTGCTAATGGTAACTCGCATAGTTTGGGACTGTAAGCCTGACAGGAAAGAGGATCCTATCAATTGGGTGGAATTGAAAACGACCGCAGAGATACGGAATGACCGTGACATGCTCAAGTACGAACGCAAACTTCTCAAATTCTGGGCGCAGTCATTCCTCCTCGGTGTCCCCAAGATCATTGTCGGATTTCGTGACCAACAAGGTATTCTCCGCCGTCTTGAAGAGCTTGAAACTTCAAGTATACCGGTTAAGGTTAAGAAGCACGGAAAAGGCGTTTGGGATGGGAACATCTGTATCAACTTCGCAGCAGAGTTTCTTGGATGTATGTACCATATGGAAGTGCTGCTGAATCTCACTGGACTGACCCCTTCACAGGGCTAAAGAGTATCATCCGTGGGAACGGCACGTGGAGGATTCGCAAGCGAGAGAAATCTTCAGTCGTTGAAGTCTTTAAGATCGAGGAAAGTGGATATGGGGACATAATCTCTCCAGCCTTTTCAGCTTGGCGATCTAAGACTGGCATGCTCAAATGATTGAATTTTTATTTTTATTTTTTTCATTCGTCTTCTTAGCATCCGGATGTCACCAGCCAATTGGAGATATCCTGCGTGGACATATCGAATAATATAAGGGGTGCAATGACCTCCTGCTTTGGGACATCATGCTAGAGCAGACTGGATATCTTTGCACTCTTACTACAGCGCTATACTTCTGCATGTTGGAGGTGATGAAACTACCAACGTGCTAATATAACTGGGTTGGGTTCTCCAGGCACCGAAGCAGAACATTTCATCTGCAACCCTGGTATCATTCCTAGTGGTTTCCACCTTATACATCTTCGGTGGATGGACGCTTCCCTGGAAAGCCTAACTAAACGTATCTTCCTGAGCCTATTGAGAGAACTGCTTTGTAGCTTCGGCTATGCAGCCGTTTTATCACAAATTAATTCTTAGACAAATCACATAATGTTTTATTCCCAGCTAGGAGGCTCACCTTAGCCCACACTCCGTTGAGCTTCTGAAGTGATAGCTAGGCCTGTGTGGAATACCGCTGAAGATGGTTTGAGGGTATTGGGTAAAAAAAAATGAATAGGATACTTCTATAGTCGAATAAGAAACCCTCTATAATTTTGCACTATTCAATTTCCATTTGCGCTAGACTGGGTATTCTTTAAAGACTCCCGTTTCCGTAGAAATTCCTCTCGCTCTGCTCTTTTTGCTGCAGCCTTAAGGGCTCTTTTGTGACCTTGCCCTTTGACGTGGACAGTCCACTGTTCCTCATTCATCATTGTCTTGCGACACATGTCACAAGTGACGCATTTAGGTAGACCACTCGTCGGTTTCTGAGCTTGCGCTTCCTTAGCTTCAAGCGTGACCCTCGCCAGTTCTGAAAGCGACTTGGGACCAGGACAAGGCTCATTATGGAGAAAGGAATGTACAAGACGCTCAGACGCCTGCTTCACGCATGTATCCCAATGATCGACATTGCTGCTGTCCAGTAGATAAAGGCGACTTGTCATCCTGGTCTCCGCCAGTGCTTTCCATAATTTGTTCCGGATCCACTTGATTTGTGATACGGCATACTGACGAGTAGCTGTCTTGATAGACTCGATACACGAGCGCCGCAGGTTTTCAAGCTCTTCTCCGGTGGATGATCCATCGCGTAGTGCAGAAAAGTACGGCCCCAACTCCTTGAATCCAATGGACACCCATACACCTTTCGTTTGGTCGACAGTAAGGCCTTGAGACTGCTTTTCTTGTATGTATAATAACATTCTTTCGGCTTCAGACATTAAGCCCTGTTCAATCATGGTATCGACTCGCGCGTCAAGTCGGGAATTTAAAATTTCCTTATCTGCGTGGACCCAAAAAATCAGGGTCTGGTAGCGCAGTCCTCCTCTGCCACCAGCAGAGTTCTCATCCATACTAGCTATCTGCCTCTGACATCTTTGTTCTGCATAGATCTCAGAGGCAGGTCGGCCTGTCTGGAAGTATATTTCCAAGGAGCGTCGTATTTTGCGCGTCTCATTTGGATGCCACCGACTCGCCATGGCTGGATCAACCTCCCTCAGTTTCTGCAAAAGCACGTCCGTCGGCGCATTCAATATTGGCCACTTTTCAGGCGAGGAAGACTCAGAATCATCAAGCTCGGATCCGGAGCCAGCTTCCTCTCTATCCACAAGCTGGTCCTTGAACAGGACCGTCTGGGTGTAATAGTGGGTTCCTCCCACAAGGATGGGTAGCTTCCCTCGAGAATGTATATCCTTAATGAGTCGCAGGCATTCCTTTTTAAATATTCCAACTCGCCATGGTTCTTTCTCTAGTCCAATGCAGCCGATCATGTGGTGTGGAATCCCGTTTCTTTCCTCAACCGGTATTTGATTCGTAATAATAGGTAGGCCGTGGTACATTTGCATTGCATCGCCATTGATGATTTCGCCATTGAAGCGGGACGCCAAGTCCACTGCAAGCTATCTGTAGCCATTAGAACTATCTTCGAGGTACGAAAGTGAAGTATTGAAGTATGAACGAGAACAATTAACGCTGAAAGAGAAAAGCCAGCCCGCAATCAAGAATATTTCTCACCTTTGATTTACCAGTACCCGTAGCACCAACGACAGCTATGAGTGGTTCCATGATTGTTGGGCGTGTACGACGGAGGATTCGTTGAAGGAAATAGAGCATCTGGAAGAAAAGTGGGCGGGATGCAGCATTGTGACCCTGAGGGAACAACCTGCAAGGTTTGTTGGATATCTATTCCTAGCGGATACAGTTACTCCCTATGTGAGGCCATCTGGATATGGGAAAAGCAATGTAATAATGAATGAATAACTTGTTCTGTACGAAGTTAGAACTGCGAGATCTCTTAAGTCTAACCATCACGTCAGACTCTCACGTGATGGAAATAATATCGTCGTAAATCCTACGGTGAGTCAATTCTAACTTCTATGGTCGTTCTTGGTATATTCAACAAAGAAGGGGGAGAAATGGCTTTCAATAATTCAAGTATAGAGCCCCCGTCGATCGTTGTCAAGGACCTGTCTTACAAGTTTCAGGATGGCACACCCGGTCTGGTAGATATAAACCTAGACCTCCCTGCAGGGAGCAGAACCCTGCTCATCGGCGGTAGGTTAAAACAGAGACAAGAAGTGAGTATACAGAGAAAAAAAAAGCTAATATTTTGAATTGGTAGCCAACGGTGCTGGGAAGACGACCCTTCTGCGCTTACTGGCAGGGAAACGTCTGGCACCCTCCAACACGATAACCGTGGCCGGCATTGATCCCTTCCAACAAGGACTGGAGGGTGTGACTTATCTCGGGGTTGAATGGGTTCTCAATCCCATCGTTCGGACGGACATTGATGTCCCGGCACTTCTTGCCTCTGTTGGAGGTAATGCTTATCACGAGCGAAGGGATGAGCTCGTGCGCATCCTTGACATAGACCTGCGCTGGCGCATGCATGCCGTTTCAGACGGTGAACGACGTCGAGTCCAGCTTGCCATGGGCTTACTTCGCCCCTGGCAAGTATTGCTCCTTGACGAAATCACCGTGGATTTAGATCTACTTTCACGGAGCAATTTCCTTGCTTGGCTCAAACAGGAAACTGAATCGAGGCCCTGCACGATTGTCTACGCTACGCACATCCTGGACAACCTGGCTCAATGGCCAACCCATCTAGTGCACATGCACCTCGGCAATGTCAGACAAGCGGGCCCCATTGAAGAATTCAAGGTTGAAGCCCCTCAAGGGACCGGCGAAAATAGCCAATTGGGTGAACTCGTTCTCAAATGGCTCAAAGAGGATTTACAGGCCAGAGGCCCTAGAAATCAGAGACCAAGCCAGGAGAAGACCTATGAGTCTCTGGAAGGGAAAGGTGGGTATGGTTTCGAGAAAAGGGGCTAGTTTCCCAGTGGAGGTTTAAAATTTGAATCTGACGTCTATTTAAATATTCAACTATTATACGCTACAGGCATGGTCGGGGTTCAATGGGGAGCATTTTATATTCAACATTGGGTTCATTCAACATCCCAGGAGTTTCTGAATTTGCCGTTAATTATGTCTGTTGGTTTATGTCCTCGGAGATTCATTTGATTTAACTTCTTTTGGCCTTCCCTGTACCAACTACACTATATTTCACAGATGCATGTTCTGAATGGCATATATGCGTGTCGAGATGTCCTCACTCGCTACTGCAAGCTCAAAACTCAGTCCATCCTGCTTTTCTTTGTCAGAGACCCCATCCGGTTCCGTTGAACTGGCAGGGCGCCACGACAGCTGCGTCACCGTCTTTGATGGGGATATAAACTTGTCAACCACAGCAATATTGCGAAGTTCGAGACTGTCATTTTCAACCTGGTAGATAGAAATCTCACCACTGTCCTCCCCTGTCGCGAGAATGAATGAGCCTTTCTGCCTAGTCGGCAAGAAAGAAATAGCCGTAACGGATGTCTTGAAGGAGGCTGTCGATTTGCAAGTAAATGTGTCTTCCTCCATTTTCCAAATTTTCACCGACTTGTCACGGCCTGCCGTTGCAAAGACGGGAATTTCCGACATTGGAGCCCACGCTGCCCCAAGAATCATTCTCGAATGGCCCTTCGGATTCGAGGTAAAGAGTGAGAAGGATGACAGATCTTGCTCATTCCGCTCGAAAACTGCCCACTGTCGATCTCTTCCGACGCTGAGAAGATAATGGTCATCCCCAGAGAAGCATAGGCTTGTGATGGTCAGAGAGTGTGCGACGAGGGAAGGCTTTATTTCATGCCAATCAGACGTATCATATAAACGTATCACCGCATGGTCAATTGAACTTGCTTTGCAAGCAGTAGCAATGAGCGTGCGGTCGTGGCTGACAGCCACGGCAGATATTTCATAACCATGGCCATATAATTTCTCGTGCTCTGGCCACAGTGTGTAACGAGCTAGATGGTCTTCAAGTGGCGGATGGTTCAGGTCGAATAACGCAGATTGAGTGGTCTGAGGCTGGCCAGTAGTCGAGCTACCCACCCCTCCCTCCTCCAGTGGGACGCCCTCTCCAATTGGTTTATTTGACAGTCCGAGTACTGGGATCTCTGCAGTGTCTGGAAGATCTTCGGTCGATCCTCTAAATCCAGAAAGCTTCTCCAATAGTCGGGCAATTGGCTTCGGCTGGTTGAAAATCCGCAAGAGTTTCTCATCTGCACCAGAAACAAAACGCGAGGAACCCAATGTATCGATACAATTGAGGTCATATCCATGAATCTGTGGCCTAGAAAACTCATGCCACGATTGCAGGCCATCACGGAGCCATTCCGCATGGAGCCGTGTTGTCTGATCTGAGCTAGTTGAAAGAAGATACCCTCCGTTAACATCCCACTGTATGTCATTGACGGATCGGACGTGACCGGAGATTCCTAGCGCTTGAACCCAAATCTCTGCATGCTCATCGTATTTCCACGCCCTCCAACTGCCCGTTCGGCCCAGGCAGACAACCTGTTTACCGTCCGGGGACCAGAGGCCTATCCAAAAACCACCTGTACTACCGGTTGCTGAAGTAGAGCCCTTCTGTACACTCATCTCTCCCATACGCTCTGTTGAAAACCAAACCCCCGAGACTGGATCAGGCTCCCATATGGTTAATGTATTATCGGCGGAGGCCGTTAGGAGTTGCGTTCGTTGAGAGTCCGGGTTCCATGCCACAGTATATATCCAATCTTCATTTCCGAAAAGAAGGGCCTCAAAGGTTATAGAGTACTTTGACCCTGCTGCTTCGAATTCATGAGCCTTGTTAGACAACGTTGGTTCCATGCCACCAAGCATTGGGTCTTCATCGGCCAGCGCAATAGGAGCCACACCACCTCTCTGCACTCGCCAAAGTCGAGTATACTTGTCCTGGCTAGCAGAGGCAAGTAGAAGGTCGTGAGTCTTGCTTCGCCGATCGATCGTAAAGGACAAAGACCTCACCCAGCCTTCATGGCCCGTAAGTGCTGCTCCAAGTCTAAAGTCAGCATCGACGAGCAGGTTGTCTGCAACGTATATCTGCACAACATTCGTAGTGCCTGCGACAGCTAACAACATAGACTGGTCATCCTCAGATGTCTGAAGTCGCTTCAGAGACAAAGCCAACGGGAAAAAACGTGGTTTCATGGATATTGTCTTCAACGGCTCCCCAGCACTACTTTCTCGTAGCGTAAGCCTCCAGACCTTAACCGTTCCATCCGCTGCTCCTGAAGCAAAGATATCTGTGCCGTCGGCTACAGCTATTGTGTTGATCGAGCCCTCGTGGCCTTCGAGAGTGCACGCATGCGTGAACCGACGAGCGTTATCTGGGTCTGATCGCCATAGTCGTATCGTTCGATCCACAGATCCAGTTAGAAGAACGCTCGTACCAGTCGAGGGACATCTGTGAAATCTGACAGCAGTGACCTTGTCGGCGTGTCCAGATAGCAGAGAGTAGACTCCATGGTGGGAAGTGTCCTGAGTTGATCATCTGATGAGATTCCAACTCGTTCTATTTTCAAAATGACAGGATCACAGTTAACATACCCTGGGATCCCATAGGGCGATATTATTGTCTGCACCAAACGCGAGGATGCCTGACTGAACATCCCAATCCGCAGCGGCCGAGTGCCTGTTCCCCCCAACACTAATGTACTCGGTCGTGACGGACACCATCAATACCAACTCAAAGGAACTTTCCGCTAAAATCTCGTATATTGGACAAGTTGATATTTGCCTGTATAAGGAACAGGAGATGTGCTGGGATTGAAAGTTTCACGTTCTTCTTGAGCTTTTCTTTTTTTCTGATCTGGCAAGTTAAAGTTATCGATAAGCACGAATCAGGAATTCCCCTCTTGCCAGACAGACAGAACTTCTCTGCGCCGCGCAATCATCCAGCAATTTGGCCCTCAGAACACCAGTATGGCTTCTCAAGTATTATCCGATTCTCTTGTGGCAGGGAATAATACATCTGACCTCATTTCTATCACTGTTGAGTTCACGTTCGTCCTCTTTCCAATGTATTGTTACTCCCAAGGTACAATGCTAACCTGCTGCAACAGTGGAGGGTTAGAATTGCTGTTCTCTAATGAGCGCACACACAATGTTTCACTACCTGCACAACTACATAATGGAATCCGGCCGAATATCACCTATTTGCTTCAATACCTTATCGATAACGTCATGAAGGACCAGAGAAGGGAACTCTTCGTGTTGGAGGGAAATGTGTAGGTGATGGAAGCCGGCTTCTGGAAAATCAATGCTGATGAAAGATGGCAGGCGGCCTGGCATTCTTGTTCTTATCAATGATGCGGATTGGGAACTTGAGGGCGAGGAGAAGTATGAACTCCAACAAGGCGATAACATAGTATTCGTTTCTACACTGCATGGGGGTTAAGCAATCTTTTGAGAACAATCCTACATGCCGATCTAGCCTATCTTACGGCATCGAAATTACAGAGATGGAACAGCAAGATGCCTTGATTCAGTTGGGTATTTTATCTAAAACGATATGTTTTGTTCGGCCGTGGAAAGTACAGTTATACCACATCTTCTACATGCTGCTGTGAGATCCTTTCCGGCTCGCGAGGGGTTCGGATACCACTTTGCGGTGTGATTGGCGTCGTTGATCCGCCCGCTGGACTTCCTAACCCCAACGAGGGAGTCACTGTCCCGCTAGAAGGCACTTGGATCTTGATATCTTCGGGTGAAGGGGGGAGAATCTCCTCTGGAAGGTCGGGGATCTTGATCCGTCTCGCCTCGTTTTGATAGCTCTCAGGTATAATCTGAGAAGAGAAAGGAGAAAATATTAGCCGACCAATACTGATGGGATCCTTAAGATATTATTTACCTCGATGATCTCATTTCTGGGGAATTGTAAAAAGGGAATGTCTGCGGAATTGCAGGCCATCAGGTAACCATACAATACCCGTAAGACACTTTCGTGTGCAATAATAAGTAGATCATTCCGTTCTCGCTCCAACTCCAGAATTATGGGTTCGAGCCTCACAGCAAGATCATGATACGACTATCAAGCAACACCCATCTCGTCAGTCATCTCATCACTTATATAAACCATGGGGCCAGAATTCAGACGAACCTCTCCGCGGGGGTATCGGTGGTGGTAGGGATCAAGTTCGTGTTTCGCAACTTCTTCGGGGTATTCTTCCCGAATTTTGCTCTCTGACATATTTTCGCACACGCCGGGATTTAGCTGGCTCATTTGTGATCTATGGCGAACCTTATAGCCCTGCTCATGAAGATACTTGGCGGTCTCGACTGTTCTGCGCCTTGTAGATGTCCATACTGTCAAAGGTTTCAGTTCATAGTCCGTGTCTCCTTGGTCAATCACCGACTGTTTCACAGCCTCCCTATGTCGCAACAAGCATTCTGTCATTTTCTTGGCATAATCATTCCCTTTCTCAGACAAGGAAGCATCGGATTTGTAAGATGTTTCAGGAGATACACCGGCCTATTGTTTAATGTAGATTTGTTAGTAAACTAGCTAAGCGCACTGCCATTCCAGCAAAGACACAAGAGTCCAAGGTAGCTCGCTTACCCGCGCAAAATACGTATGTCTAGATTTGATGTGAAGATTAAGAAGGTAAAACACTATGCGATTAGAAAGATATCCAAAACTGCGGTTGTTTATTATCAGTCGCTCTCCTGCATTTATCATCTGTATAATTAGAAGTTAGCACCAAGGAACCTTTAAAAGCAAATTTCTGGACCACCTGCCTTGATGTAATTCAAATCTTTCTCCTCTATCGTCTGAAAATGAGGAATGCGGGCCGAGATCCGGGCTAAATACTGTTTCACTGCATCATCTGGGTCCCATCCCACATACTAATAGAAGTCAGGAGTCGGTTATTCTTGCTGGTTAATTCGACGGAGCCGATAACTTACGTCTGGAGAAGAAATCTTCACCCTGCGGACGTTCTCTTCAATGATCCGTTCATCATCACACCATGACTCGATAAAGAGTGTCTTTGAAAAAGAAGAATGAGTTAGTCCTGCTGATCTTCAAATACAAAAGACGGACCTACTTCAATGTCATGCTTTGCAAACTCATTCGCAAGCGATTTCCTTCCAGAGGCCAAGGGATTAACAGCATCGTATATGGCTATTTGTCCATTTTCATGGTTCAAAAAATGATAGATATCCTCTCGACATTTTTTCACGATTTTCTGTCTTAGCAGCACAGATGATGCGGACGCTGCATGGATGAGATTAGCGCCTCGGTGAGATACTAAACTGAAGCACGAGGAAAGACATGTCATGCCCCGGTGGGCAAAGGGAATAGTCTGCGTACCATTAACGAAAAAGTAATCATCCGGTATGTCTTGGCCAACAGGGATCGTAGCACGTCTATAATCGCCAAGGTGGAAAATTCTAGTTTTGACCCCTAGCCTAAATAGTGCGGTCAATCTGGAAGTCATACGCATAAAATGCCAAAGGTGGAATATTCGGCAGGGCAAAGGGTAATTCCCACTAACCATCGAAGATAGCGCGCCAAAGCGACAGATATGTGTCTGAAAGAAGAGAAGAAACATTAGCATCTGGTGAAGAAGTGACGCTTCATACTGTTCGACGAACGTTTTCCCCCTTGCTGGAAGTCCAACTGTGATAATAACGATCCGACCCGAGTGGAAAAGTCGACCCGACTCTGTGCTGTATAACTGAGCCGGTGCTAACTCGGATTTCTCTGGTAGGTCATGGATCGCATCGACAAAGGTGGACGATCTGCGTCGAAAACGCGGGGAATTTGCAACAATCTCCGCCGTTCTGATTCATGTCAGATAAACAGATCCTCTGCCAAAGCCTGGGATTTATCACGAAAGAGTTATAAAGCTAGAGTCCCAGGCGACGTCGAAAGGGACCCAGAGCATAATACTCCGTACTCCGTAGATAAGCTAAATTTCTGGGGCTAACTTACAGTAGTGTATCCATCGTTGATCAAACCCGACCAGTCAGAGTATGTAGTCGAAAGGGAGCCGGGAATCGCGGGACTCTCAAATTTCAAAGGTTCAGAACAAGTAAGGCGAAGTAGAAGAGAGGCAATCAACCAAGCACGTAAGAATGCGCCAAATGGAGTCTGAGGGGGGGAAACTTGGTTAAATCGCAGAATGGGGACTAAAGGATCGCACGGGTATCGTAAAAACTCGGAGGCACGTAAGGGAACCAAATGCGCAAAGACAGGATATTAGCAGGAGATAGCACGCGTCAATTCGTCAAACCGAGGCCGGAAGCACAGAAGCCAAAGAGATGAGAAGGCATTCTCGTGTCGATGCAGGAGTGTCTGCAGGCCACCTCATGGCGGTCCCGTGCAGGCTCAAAGCGGCTAAGCGTCGACTCGAGCAGCCGGCGGGAGACAAAGACGCAAGTTCTCTGCCAAGGCCCGGAAGTAAGAGCAGAGACGTGACTTTTTTTCGCGGCTGCTGAGCTCTTCTTCACTTCACACCTCCGCATTGCTGCGCTGTCTCTGGCATTGTTGCTTTGCCGAAATTGACTAGTTCATATTTTTTACTTTTTTTCTAGACAGCCCTACGGTCTTCTGCGACCCGTGTTGTCGCCTTTTTTTTTTTTTCTGGTCTCTTTCAGGGCTGGTCTCCGTTCTCTCTCCATTGGCAGTCACCGATCAGACTGCCTGTCTCTATCGAATCTCCTGCATCAACATCGTATACCTCATTATAATACAAGATGTCCGACCTAATCTCCTCCCTACCTTTCCTTACGGACAATGCTATAGCCGCGACTATAAAGGATGCATACTCCTCGTTCTCAGAGCGCAGAGCGGCCCTCGGGCTCCCCAACCCGGGAACTGTGGATAATGTCGGCAGGGAGGTGCAGAAGGAGGTTCTTTTGTCCAATTTCATGTTCACCGGTTTGCGTGCAGACTTGACAAAGGTTTTTGGCATGTCTCCTCTTTTCCGCATCTCGCATGCGTTCTCCATGGGCTCCTCCGGGAACCTTCCTCCATACGCTTTCTCCGCCATGTACGGAACTCCAAAGGTAGGTTGATGATGAATCTTGCTGCCCATGAGTATCTGCAACGAGTGTCCAAGTCTGTGGCTAAGAAGCCGGAAGGTGTTTATGCAAGGCAATATCGGAAGCGACGGTGCTCTCGCTGCTGTTGGGAACTACCGTTGGAATGACGCGTTGGTCACCAAGACCAACGCCCAGATAATGGCCGGAGCAAGCCAGGGCCTTCTTCAAATCGACAATGATTATACCGGTTCCGATTTCTCGGCCTCGCTCAAGGCATTCAACCCATCCTTCTTGGAAGGCGGCCTTACCGGCATTTTCGTCGGAAGCTACCTCCAGTCCGTCACCCCCCGCCTGGCTCTGGGCTTTGAGGCAATCTGGCAACGTCAAGGCCTGAATACTAGACCAGAAACTGCACTCTCCTATTGCGCGAAGTACAAGGGAGATGATTGGATTGCAAGTGCTCAGCTGCAGGCACAGGGTGTTCTCTCGGCCACATACTGGAAAAAGCTCTCCGAAAAAGTTGAAGCTGGAGTTGACATGAACCTTCAGTTTGCTCCCAATGCTGCGGCTACCTTGATGGGTGGCCCTAGCAGGGATGGTACAACCTCAATTGGTGCCAAATATGACTTCCGGGCTTCCACTTTCCGCGCACAAGTCGACAGTGCCGGAAAGGTCAGCTGCCTCCTGGAGAAGCGGATAGCGATGCCCATCTCCCTTACCTTTGCTGGGGAGATTGATCAGGCCAAGGTAAACATCTTCTACGCGTTTGTTTATATCCCATGTGTCTGGTCGGGACTGATCACTTCTCTTTCGTAGCAATCGGCTAAACTCGGTCTTGCTGTGTCTCTTGAGATTGCTGGCGATGAACTCATGGAGCAGCAAGACAAGATTGAAGCCCAGGGAATTGTTCCTCCTCCCTTCTAGACATTTCGCGACTCCTCACCACTACGAGATCTAGTACGCCTCGCGACATTGGAGTGAGTTGTACTCCGACTTATTCCCCCTTCCCCCTCATAACTCTTCGTGGTCTGTTTTATTAGTTCTTCCCTCTCTGAATTGTCTTGAAAATATGGTATATCACTTCCTCAGCTTGCTATCTCGTGCGCGATATGCTGAGCAAGAGACAGTCACCCGGGGCCATAAAGGCATCTTTTGTATAGACTCGTATTCTGTTCCACTGATTTTCCCCCGATTTCCATCACTGGCTTTCTATATGGATGTTGGTCGGTTGTCTTGTCCTCGTGGTTACCTTCTGCTCTGACCGCTATATTGGCCGGTCAAAAACTTCTGGGCATGAGATGCATGGGTGTACTCGCGGGGAGCTGTTTCATTATTTTCTTTTTATTGTTCTTTTCTTTCCATGACATAGATGGGGAAATGTAAAACAGTTTTAACTCGGATAGCGGAGTCAACTAGTACACAGACATGCAAATCTACGCAATAAGAATGATGTGAACTTTCTTATTGAATGAGTGTTGTGATTATTTTAAAACATACACGGAGAATGAGGTTATATTTAGACCCTCGGCTTACACTCAACGCTTATGATGTAGATGTGCAATGGTCCATCGACTTTTTGCTCTGGACTCAGTATGTAGACATGAAACTACTGCCCTCAGACATATCAATTCACCTCCCCTTCCAATTAGAATGCCAGTCTTATAGACGGCCAGATCTAGGCCCTGGTAGTTTCGGTTCTGACATTTGAACAAGACAACCGCATCCGCCATGAGAAGGGATACTATATGCTGGATGTCGATCCAAGAATCGAATATCGGGCATATCCGAGAAAATTTGAGAAACATTCTTCAGGTTATGTATATAGTTTGCCATAGTGATCATTTTATCTCATATAAGCTATATTGCCGTCGTACAGTGTTCGTCATCAATAAATATCATTCATCTAAACCCCGTGCATTTCTTTAAATAATGATGGTTACATAGATTCACTTGATCAGCTCCCTAAGTAGGTAAGTTACTCAAACGTCGAGTCTATAGTCTATACGTCGTGTGATTTGAACCGTCCCTCAAAACGAGATGAATGTAATAAGAAGAGTATGTACAATGACATCAGACACGCAAGTAGGGGTTTTTTTATCAGTGGATATATCATTGCCAGACTATAAATAGGCTCATAGACAAGATGAGGCTGGAAAACAGAGCAAGAAGGCAGTTTCATATCATGATCATGTGGACAACGCTGTGACATTAGAATTTGAAAGAAACGAAGAATAGTAAGGAATAAATAAACATTACGACTTTGGAGGCAAGCTCGGTCTTTTATGCTACATACGGAAATTAATATTATCAGTCTCTTTTTGGCTCTTTCTCGCGTCATTCTGCTGTTTCGTGATATGAATATCCCACATCTCCGGTCAAGGTAGTGTGCACTGGCTTTGTGAATAATTACGACGTGGCAAGCTACCGAGTAATCATTTAATGCTTCAAGTTACTTCGTCGATGTTGTTAGAGTACTCGCCTGATATACGCTGTAGCCTTGTGTTTCAAAGTACTGGATAGAAAATAGCCAACACAGATTCAATCAGTGCTATTGATTCTACCATTACTCGCTGTAACTTCGGCTAGTCTCTCCGCAGTCGATTTCACAGCAACCTTCCAGTTGTGTAGCTGTCAAATACGCATTGCATCTTGTCGCCCTAGTCCCAATGCAGCGAAGGTTCTCTGTCTGTCTATCCGGGGATATTGGATTCAAAGTTTCATACAACCCATGTTTTGGTTCTGGCAGAAATTCGCCACAAACTCTATTTAATCACTCGAGCATAGATAGCAGACGAAGAAATAATCCCTCTTTTTAGAAGAAGGGAAGACATGGAAATGGAGGTCACATGGACCGTGTCGGGCGTTAGGATGTCATGTCTGGTAGGGTTTCCACTGTTGTAACCTAGACTGACGCTGCATGCAAGGCCGGCCCCATAACGTTCTGAGATGAATCCGCTTCCAAATTCTTCTAGAGGAACTTGGCCGAAGAGATCCGACTCGCGAAGATGCCAGTGACGGGAGGGTCCAGGCATTTAATCTCAATTTGGTTTTTATACTCATAGGTAGTAGTGTATGTCTGGGATTAGATGTTATTGCAACAGCAGTGCAGAGTAACTGCAGAAACAATACAACTAACTAGGCCATAGAGAGCTTACCACGATCGTTCATGTTATTGGACAAGGTCTTTGACTCTAAATCTATAATCCTATTGGAATATTAATATTAATATAATACTCCGTGTAGCAAACTGCGGAAGCTTGCGTCCAGAACCCTTGCTACGGGTAGGAGTCGAGCCCAGCCCCAAAGCCATCTTCCTGCATTCATGACCGCCACAAATGCATAAATGCGTATGCAGTGTGCCATGGAGAAGTCTGGCCCTTACGCTGGTGCAGTCAACAACTCAACGCTCGTACTCTGTAGAACTCGATGAAACACGTGACACGAAGAGAATCGGAAATTTTTTTCGGTAAAATAATAACCATTATTTAATTTGGGCAGATCCACGACCATACGGGCGACCTCACTTTTGCGTTCAGAGTTGAGATATAATTGCCTGTCTTTGTAGGTAACAGCTAATTATATTTAGTACAGAAATGGCATTTAAACACTACCTCTATTATAGCATTCGTGCCCCGTGATAACGGATGTCTCTGTTAGTACACGTGAGGTTCTGCCGTCCTAGACCGCCCTCGCTACCTATCTCACGGCACAGGCAGGCCTACCTAGTAATACGACCATACATGCGCCTATCCATTAGTCTCTAGTTAGGGGCCAGGTCGGAAATGGAGAAAATTGGTATCTATTTGCCTATGAATGATCGGCATTCTGACGTCATATACACTACCGTATCCAAAGTCTCTTGAATTTCAATACGCGCATCAAAAATACCCCATGCAATGTCCACTGTAAGTGAGTTTTACCTGCCGTTAACTACAACCCGATGTTCGGCTACATTGATTTGGTTATACTCCCTCTATAGTTAAGCCAGCAGGCATAGACACATAGGAGGAACCTAGATACCTTAGTAATTTATAAACCTGTGAGTATACGTAAAATACCAACCAAATAGTGGACACCAGGGCTGCTCAGGGAAGGTACGAGGCATGACTGGGGTCCCATGACCGCCAGGGCTGCCTGGGAAAGCCAATCGTATGGACCCTGGAAAAAATTACAATCAGTCACCCGACAACACTGTTGAACAGTCTGCTAATAATAATAATAATACACTGGTGCTTCAGCACAGACAAGCATTTCATTTCTATACAGATGGATGCAGTGTGACAGTAATACCTACACCTTCACGTGAAAGATCAGCTCATAGTAGGAATGTCAGTCCCATTGGCATGAATCTGGCTGCAAGAGGCAGGTGCTTCTTCCTGGGCTGGGCTGCAAAGAGATAAGACGGGGAAAATCATAAAATTGCCTACTACTACTATGTACCTACGTACGTACAGAAAGGGTTATTCCTGATGATTCCAGATACTCTGGATCATCCCTGCTCATCTTGTTTGGGACAAAACAATTGCATGATGCCTGTATGGAATTTGATATCTATTCTTCCATCTTCATGAAAGTGGCTCGAGTCAACCCTGATTGCTGTCGGCGACGCCTCCAAAAGTCATCTGGCCTATGAGTAAAGCCCGACGCTTTGCACCTAATCTCCAGGGTTCCACTTCTGCCATCATCACAGCAGCAGTTCAGCCTCTTAAGTCCCACTATCACAGGCCTGAAGTTGTTATTACAAGGAACCACAGAAACCCTAATAGTGGCAGTTTAGATGCCACTGCACTTGTCCCCCATAGTTAATAATAATAATCCTCTGGCATTATTATTATCCTCATTATACAAACGGTGAATCAAAAGTAGTTATTTGCATCCATCTTGCTGTAGGTACTACTAGCACTAGGCATGCATGTATAGAGTATCCAGTAGACAGCAGCCCTGTCACGTATGGGGTAAGCAGTCTAGTAAATAAATATCTGTTCAGATATGAGTTACCATGAAAATAAGGGTATGACATATTCCTCCTGCACAAGATACATGTGGTGGATATGTCACTAATACTTTGGAGACATACACCCCTTGTTATACACTGTACCATAGGTGCCAAAAACGGCTACTCAGCAGACTTAGTAGGTACTGTATGTAATCCACCATACCATCTAAGACATTTCCTGCTGAGGGTCCAGCGACAGTCATCACCGTAGCAGATATAGATACGAAATGATCGATAGATGATTATTATTGTTATTTTTATTTTTATTACTACGTAGCCCCCATAAATAATAAGAAGACGCAAGTATGCTTTGTACAGCAAGGTGATTTCTGCGCCTCTGCCACACCCACTAGAACCTTTCCCGCCCCTCCGAAAGTCGCCTCGCCTACAGCCGCTTTACGCTTACCACCAGATACTTACTTACCTTACCGGAGAGGGTTCATCCTGTGTACATCTCCCCGTCCCCCTTCTGCATGTCCATCATCGCATCCTGCAGTTATCAGACCCGATCCTGCTTTAATTTTCTTTCTTTCTTTCCTTCTTTCTTTCCCTCCTCCTTCCGCTGCTTCATTCCGCGTTCCTGCAGCGTGGTTTGCTTTGAGCTTGTGGTCGCTCCATCAACGTCACTTGCTCACTATCTTCCTCCGAACCATCCTCCTCCCCTGGAAACTCCGTTCTGCCGTCAACAACCCCGCCATTTTAACAAGATCTGCCTGTAAGACTGGTGCTAATCGAAGAACGTCCTGCCATCTCGATTCGGGCAAAGTTGACTGCAGGCAATTCTCCCTCCTCGCAAGCGCCGCCGCCTGTCCTGCTCGAGGGACCTGCACTCTTGGCGCTCAGCCGCGCTGCACCTCCGTCTATTGGCCCTTGGTGTGAGCCTTCCACCTCTGTGATTCGGCCGTCCGCGAGTCCGCTTCTCAACCTTTCATCTCACGCGGACCTCCACCTAACATCCACCGCTCGGATATCCGCCCATCCACATTCCAAATAGTTGCTCCACCGGTTACAGTCCGCCCCAAACGGACTTCGCATCTCACTTCTGCGTTCATTCCCGTCCGCTGCTGAACTGCACTCCTCCTTTCTCACGGTAGTGCTGAACTCGCCCACTCCAACCACCTCCACACCTTCGTGATGTCACAGAGTCGGTCTGGGGCATTCTCAAACCTACGTATGGGTGGTAAGCACGCCTGCTATTAACCCAATGGCTTCTTTAATTATCCCGTGGCCTTTACTGATGTCTCATTGTGCTTGTTCAGAGGTCATACGTGAAAAGGTCCAGGATGGACTGACTGGAGAGACACGGGAGATTCAATACACACAATGCAAAATCGTCGGAAATGGTTCGTTCGGTGTTGTTTTCCAGACCAAGATGGCTCCTAGCGGCGAGGATGCTGCCATCAAACGCGTTCTTCAAGACAAGCGTTTCAAGGTGTGTTTTCGGAGCCTCTCCTCTCCCCCCTGGAGGGCATCGAATCTCCCGAGAGGTAACTGCTGACTTTCTTTCTTTTCAGAATCGTGAACTTCAGATCATGCGAATCGTGCGACATCCCAACATTGTAGAGTTGAAGGCTTTCTACTACTCCAATGGCGAGAGGGTATGTTTTTCCTTGCTGGCCTGCTAACTGCAGTCTGGAAATTTGTACATCTGGTTGACCACATTTTAATGTCCGGCTTGCAGAAAGACGAAGTCTATCTGAATCTCGTTCTTGAATATGTGCCGGAGACGGTCTACCGGGCGTCACGATATTTTAATAAGATGAAAACTACCATGCCGATGCTCGAAGTGAAGCTCTACATCTACCAGCTCTTCCGCTCTCTAGCGTACATCCACTCCCAGGGCATCTGTCACCGGGACATCAAACCTCAAAATCTCCTGCTCGACCCGACCACTGGCATCCTTAAACTCTGTGACTTTGGCTCTGCTAAAATCTTGGTGCCCAATGAGCCCAACGTCTCTTACATCTGCTCCCGTTACTATCGTGCCCCAGAATTGATTTTTGGTGCTACAAACTACATGACTAAAATTGGTATTGACTCTGCTTCAGTAATTTATTATCCCATTTGCAGTGATCACTAACGGTTCACAGATGTCTGGTCTACTGGTTGTGTGATGGCAGAGTTGATGCTGGGGCAGCCGCTATTCCCAGGAGAGTCCGGGATTGACCAGCTGGTGGAGATTATCAAAGTTCTGGGGACTCCGACTCGTGAGCAGATCCGTACGATGAACCCCAACTACATGGAACATAAGTTCCCGCAAATCAAACCTCATCCCTTCAACAAAGTATGAAATCCCACAATTTGACATGTGCATGGGGGCAGTTACTAAAAATCAGTCCTCAGGTCTTCCGAAGAGCTCCCCATGAAGCCATAGACTTGATTTCGGCTCTCCTAGAGTATACACCAACACGACGTCTGTCAGCTATCGAGGCAATGTGCCACCCTTTCTTTGATGAACTCAGGGATCCTAACACGCGGCTACCCGATTCCCGCCATCCTAACAATCCACCAAGAGACTTGCCCAATCTCTTCGACTTCTCTCGACATGGTATCTAATCTCACCACCTATCATTAACCTCTTTAACCAAGTGCTTTTTTACTAATGGAGTCCTTTTTAGAACTCTCCATTGCCCCCTCCTTGAACAACCTCCTGGTTCCCCCTCATGCGCGTCCTGCACTTCTGGAGCGCAAGCTCGATATTGATAACTTCACGCCTCTTACGAAGGAAGAAATGATGGCGCACCTTGACTGAGTCAAGACTTTAGCGCCTACGAAGTGTACGCCTGTTTGCGGTGCTATCATTTTGCACATGTTCCCGAAAAAAGAAAATTGTTTTTTTCATGCCATACGAGTTCCCTTTCATGCATCAGGTGGTCTTCGGCTGGGAAATTGTTCTTCAAATTCATGGCCTTGGCCACCTGGGAAGGTTTTGGAGACTCGTTCCCTCTGGAGGTGGTGGAAAATTAGGGGAAAGGGAAACATCAGTCTGTGACTTGATGGGAGGGTGAGGTGTTAGGGTTGGGGGAAAGAGTTTTTCAGGGAGCGGCGGATCATACGCTTTCACGCAAAGGGGGTGGATTTTTTGTGCTCTGCAGTTGCGGGGGGTGTCTGAAAAGCAGCTCTTTGGAGAAAAGTGATACCCTTTCTGCGTGAGTCTGCCTTCGGGATTTAAGTCTGTACAGCTTCATATCTCGATCGGGGGTGGGTTACGGGAACACAATGCAGCAAAGTCGACATGGAGGAGTAAGAGATGGGACGAACTCCGGCGACTGCGTCAGTATCGTGATGAGATGTCCTTCCATTGGACGCACTCCGGTTGTATCTACTTGGAATATAGATGTTGGTGGATCTGTCCTGACTTGCTGCGCCAGATGCACCTTTCCCTTTGCTCTTTCTTCTCTTGTCTCCTTCTCAGGCCTTTACTCTCATATCAGGCCGTCTCATTCGTTTGGTTCAGCTTGGCTACTGGTCGCCCTTGACCTTGCCATTGACGAAGCTACATGTCTTTTTATTCCGAAAGCAGACTACTTGTTTCTTTTCCAATCTAGAGACTCTCAAGATATATACACAAAAACTTTCCTTCCTGGGTTGTACGACCATTCGAGTCGCCAGGTTTGTTATATCCTTAACACTATGCACCGCAAACACCTATGGTAAATCTGTATTGACCCTGGGCCCTTATTAAAAATGCTGGCAGATGCAGACTATACAGAGCCTGAAACCTGGTAGGATTTATATTTGGCACTTTGTCAATGTCCAGTCCATGTTCACTTGTGTCCTGTGGAAGCAGGTTTCCTCAATGCATATTACATAATCATGGAACGGATCATCATATGGTCCGACGTGTTTTGCTGGCGGCTTTGCGCGCACTAGTATACCCTGGTACCTTGGATGAGATAACCCGAAGCTTCTCTTTTGCCCACCTTTCACTGTGAGCTATAGTTTCTTGTGCGAATCCACACCGAACTAGCTGTCCGTGGTAAAGCTAATTTAGGGGGCCTGGATAAGCAAGAATCGCATATGGCGGACTACGAACGTCGAAACTCTGGCCCTAGAGGCGGCGGACGAAAGAGGCGTTACAGAGGTGAGAGTTGGTCTTTAGCTACGTTACATGGTTCAGGGTTTTTTACTAATTACTCTTGGGCCTTTAAGATGAAGACGATTCTGACCGACGTCTCCAGAGGCGTAGATACGAGGAGCCTCTTGTCGTTAAGGTCCGAAGACAGCTGCTGAGGATTGCGGAGTCGGTACGAATTCACCTACCCTTTTCGTTCCCTTTGCGCCTTTTAGTTGATGGGGCTAGTCAACCAATTGTGCGTAGCTAACGTTGGTTTTTTGCTGTACGTTAGGCTGCTAGGAGGGCAGAAGATGATATTTCAAGTATTGCGGAAACGGTAGCCGAGAACTACGAGGATGAGGAAATGAGGAATACATTCGTTCGCCTTGTTATTGACCTGTACGTATTTCGGTCTTCTTCTCTTAGTTGGGTTCTTGTGTGTGTGTGTGCTTCCCGGGTAGGCTAACATGACGGTCTTTCATAGTGTCTTAGAACAACCTTTGAAAATCCCATTCATTGCGGCCATAATTCTCGTTGTCAACAGCCGGAAATTAGAACTAGTGACGGATGTCCTAAGGCAGACTGGCGAGTCTGTGCAGAATTATATTAATACTGGTTCCTGGCGCGAGGTTAAACTCCTTCTGCGCTTCCTGGGTTGCCTCCAGAATCTCTTCGAGGGCGAGGGTATTTTTCCAATTCTGGAAGAGCTGTTTGCGCGCGCCGTTGATCTTCAAACTGCTTCCTCGGAAGACGTGAGTCCGGTTCTTTGTACGAACAAAAAATGCGTCTTGACTGACATCTGTATTTCAGTTATTAGGGCTTGAGCTTGTGAAGGCCATTCTTTTTACCATTCCGTATGTGATGGCCTCTTCCGCGACTGGCTTTGAATCTCAGGCATCTGCTCTTCTAGAGAAGACAGATATCATTGCGTCCACTCCTCACTCTCTTGTGGATTTGGTGGATCCCTTTGGCCCTGAGGATGGCAAACCGTCATCGGTTCAAACTATCATCGGTTTGCTTCAGAAACAGCTTCAGGGAGAATCCAGTAGAGCTTGGGAGCTTTCGTGCATTCCTCGTCCGTGGAAAAGAGTGCAGGATCCGGAATCGGAGGAATACAGCCCCCAAGAGACAGGGCCGAAGCACCCGTTCCCGCAAATAACTGTTCCTAACCCTGTGATAAATGGCCCAAGGGCCATTTTCCCGGAGGTTTACTTCTCAGTATACTCATACCAGGATGTGGAGACCGTCCCACCGACATCAGATATTGCATCCTCTCTGCTGAGAGATGCCCTTGTTGACACGATTAACATCATGGATGTGAATCGTATCGCAACGGCCAAATTTCTTATTGATGTCGACTGCTACTTTTCGCCGGACACTTTTGTGAAGCGCGCTACGCCTTTTGACAAGTTGCGTGACCTCGCTGGTGATCGTTGTACGTGGAAGCCTGAAGATGTTGCGGTAGATGCTGTGTATTCCCAATTATTCCAGCTCCCAACCCCAGAACACAAACTGGTCTACTACCACTCGGTACTCACGGAGTGCTGCAAGATTGCACCAGCTGCTATTGCACCAAGTTTAGGGCGTGCGATTCGCTTTTTGTACCGCAATCTGGAAAGGCTTGATTTGGACTTGAGTTTTCGTTTCCTCGATTGGTTCGCTCATCATCTTAGCAACTTTGGCTTCACATGGAAATGGAGCGAATGGTCAGTATTACGGGAACGGTATGGAAAGACAAAACAGAAGCAGATACACTGACGATTGGAAAACAGGATTGATGATATCGAACTTCCTGCAGTTCATCCAAGGATGGCTTTCATTACGGGTGCTATCGACAAGGAAATTCGACTCAGCTTTGCGCAACGCATCAAAGGAACCCTTCCGGATCCCTACCAGCCCTTGATATCTGAAGGAAAGGAAAAGGATACACCCGATTTCAAATATTCATTAGAAAGTAAGTTCGATTTTTTTCTCCAGTGCTGAGATTCGGACCTTCCGGGTCATGAAAACTAACGTGAATTGCAGCGACGCCGTACGCCAAGGAAGGGAGTGAAATTATGCAGCTCATCCGCAGAAAGGCGGCTAACGACGAAATCCAGCCATTGATTGTGGCGATCGAGGAGCAAGCTAAGAGTTTGGGAGTGGAGGACCCCATGCTCCCTTCAACCGACGCCTTTGTCACTTCTATATGTTTCGTTGGGTCAAAATCACTCTCCCACGTACTTTCATGCATTGAACGAAACAAGGAGCGATTATTGTCAATTGGGCCCCAATCGCCACGCGCTCGTCGCCAGATCATTACCTCAGTCATGGAATACTGGGCTGATCAACCGGGCATCGCAATCAACATAATTGACAAACTGCTGAACTATACAATTTTGACACCACTCTCAGTCATTGAATGGGCGCTAGTGGACAACCTGGCCGCAGGAACGATTCTTGCCAAGACGCACATTTACGAGATGATCTCCGCTACTGTTGGGAAAGTAACAAACCGTCTGAGGCAGATAGTCATCGCGCGTACCCAGCCGGCATTGTATGAGCCGCAACTAAGTATTCTGGACGAGACCTTGACACGTGAGATGAGTGATATGCAAGCTCTCTTCCGGTTAATTGAGGATTCAGTCGTCTCTATTGCTAGTGGCAACAACGACCAGCTGATGGAGAGAGGCGACGGGAGCGGAAACCTTCCCGAGGATGAGATCATCCGTGAATGGGGCCGTAGATGGCTACGAGTTTTCAGGAGGAAAGCTGCCGTCGAGGAGTCTTTTATATCTGAACTCATGGCCCATGCAAGACCAGTTGGTACAATCGCGCCTACACCACCTATCCCGGACGTGCAGAACAGCGACGTCACAATCGCTGCTGCAGCTGTAGCAGATGGCGACTTGGATGTCGCTGATGCAGATGGTGTCGCTGATATCTCTTAAAATCGCCCTAATTAACTACCTTCACTACCTTGACTGGTTATTGATAGTCTTCGTGTCCTGCCGCTTGTCCTGCCGCTCAGTTAGGCATATGTCCACACTCTGTGCCGATGTGTTTTGTGTTTCTACTTAACTCACTCATCCGTCTATGTATTCGGGAAGATTATATTTCTTTTTTACATTCCAGATCGCTTCGAGAGTGTATCTCTTTTCCTGTTTTCTATATGTAAATGTCCATTCGGTAGCAGGACACAATAACTTAGAATCTCGATAGTAAGGGGTAAAGAAGAAAGCAAAAAAAAAAAAAAAAAAACAAAGAGAAAGCATTGTCTACACAAAAGCAACTTTGTACATCCGACTATGTAAAAGTGATTGGTTTTGTATCTTGCCTGTTGCATGAGAGCAACGTTCAGGCATGCTTAATCGGGGCATGACTTCTCATACAGCAGATACTCCCTATGTTCCTCTACCTTCAAAGACAAGATGCGACGTATAAAACTGACCCATCCCACAGACCGTCCAATAAAATATGTCCAGCAAAAGAAGAAATAATTAAATGAATATAATGAGACTTGGATGTACGGCATCCAAAGAGAGCCGTAACAGAAATTGACGACAACGGAAAAAAGAAAGAAATCATAACTCGCACTAAAGGTGGTCGGATCACAGTATCAAGGCTCTCAGGCAACATGAAGATGGTAATGTTTTTGGAATGTCAGGAATGGTACCCTGCATCACCGCAGGCCTGTGAACCGGTTCATAGAGCAACTTGATGAGTTCACCTCACTATCAGACACGGATTAATGGGACTAGGTGAGAGCCTGCCTCGATAGCTAGTTCCGTTCGTTCTCAGCGAAATAGACGATTGCTCGATCTCCACTCCTGTTGGACTTTTTTTTCTTCTTCTCTCCCCTTTTCTTTCTTTTTGTCTCTCTTACCCGTGACTCAAAAATCTTGCATCTTTTCCTACTTTCGGCTTGCCTTTTCTAGACTCGACCAGCTAGTCGATATTGCAGTCTTCCAAACGTATCCATTCAGATAGGATTGGAATCACAGATCCTTCTTGTTCTGTTCATCAGCAAGATAGGTACGATCATCAGTACCTTCGACGCTCTTGAGGATATCCTCCATTTCCTTAGTCTGTCTGTCCCACTCTTCTTTTCCCATCTTGGTCTCACGACGGAAAAGTTCCTCGTTGGGCTTCCGGTAGCTACCTCCTAGGCGATCCCACAAAGTGGTGAACTGGCCATAGTTGTAGTTGAAGTACAGATGGTGCATCGTGTGGCAAGCAGCGCCGTTGATGACGGGACTGTTGGCGACATACTCACCGTCATGGATCATGACGGTCCAGAAGTTGATGAAGCCGAAGAGGAAGACATATGCCATCTTCTGAAGAGGGAAAATGAAGGGGAAAATGTGATAAGGAAGGCTCTGGGACCAACCGTCAACGGGGTGAAAGGCGTGGGAGGCAAAGGGGCTAGGCATAATCCACTTGTGATGGGGCTTGTGCAGTTTCTTGTACACAAGAGGATTGTGGAGGCCCCTATGGATCCAGTAGATGCAGAGATCGGTGAAAGCGATAAAGAGTGGGAACTGCAGAATGCTATAGTACGGGAAAGGCTCTTCATCGAATGAGTCGTAGAGTTTGGCGTAGCCTCTAACCTCGGCGACAAAGAAAGGGACGGTCAACAAGGACATGACGGGCATTGCACGCATGGTCTGCGCGATCTCCAGTGGTATCTGGTTCTTGAGGTATTTGGGATGCTTGACGGTGGTCTTGTCCCAGATGAATATGTACGACAGAGTGGCACAGATGAAGTAGACGATCAAGCCGAAGATCCTGCAGATGGGCTGTGTTAGTCGTGGGCCGCAGGACAGATGAAAAGGCCGATTAGGTTAGGACAGAAGGGGAGGATATACCAAGTGATGAAAAAGAAGCTAGTGGTCTGCCGGTAGATGTTGTTCCTGGGCCATGCGCTCATGTAGGCAAAGCGCGACGGCTCGAGTTGGAAGAAGCTGGTCGCAGGTTCATAGACATACGGAGTGGACGCCCCGAAGAAGGACAGGGTGCTGTTTGGGGCATTGATGAACGTGGGAACGGAGACGGACGATGAAAGAGATGCCGGAAGAAGGCTGGCATAGATGCGATCGCCGATGTAGGTGTCGAACACCTCGAGGACGATATCCATATTTACACTATGGTGCGGAGCGGGGGTTCGACGGAGATGCGAGAGAAGACAAAAGGCAGGACGAAGTCACAGGAGCCAGGAGGAAAGCCAAGAGAGCCTGGAGAGGAGGACGAGCAGGATCAATTGAGTGTTGAGGCGTCGCTATATATAAGTAGCAAGGAAGTAGGTAGTAGGTTTACTCCGAAGAAGCGAAAGGAGACAATAAAACGCGGAATCGTCACACGAGAACGGAAACGCCAGAGCCGTCTGGCAAATCATGGGCTGTCGTGCCCCTTCGCCGGCCCGGCTTTATCTGATCGTTGGGAGAGTCAATTGTCCGAGCTGCAGGCAGCCATATATTGGTGCGGTGTGCAGTACGGTGAAGGTTGTTTATAAAAATAAGCATTGTACGATCATGGCATGATATATATCCACTTGGCATATTATAGAGATTGTAATATGATAAATATTGTTTTGCAGCAATGTCAGTTCCAATGCACATACAGAGTATGTATATGGGCCTTGGCAATAGCACCTCCGTTCCTGTTATGCACAGTTATGCACACGGCCCGAGAGTTCGCATGGGCCACATGCGCTTGTGGCGTCTATACAGAGCCGCGCGAAGCGTCAAGGGCGTCTAGTACGTTTACCCACACTCCCTCAAACCAACTCTTTCTTCTAAGTTCTTCCTGTCGCAGGGACTATCCCAGTCTCAATACCTGTCCTTCATCCCCTTGTCTCCCTCTCTCCTAACCCCCCTTCTTTGTCTCTCTCTCTATCCCTCTCTCTAACTCTCTTAGGCTCTGCCATCTTCAGCACGCAGAGTCCGTCATCCCTTGATCCTCCCAGCCGTGTGCCCGCATCTTCGCCCCTTGCGCGCGGTTATGCTGTCTCTTTGAACTCTCGGCAAATTCATTCGTATTTCCTTTACCTTCTTGCCTCACTCATCTGAATCCACTTCGGTCGCGCGCAGTCGTTGGTTCTGTCCAATTCTTTTCGACTCCTACCTCGAACGGATTGAAGCACGGGAAGTGACACAATATGTACAACACACATCGCGGGATGGTTTCTGCTCCCAACTCCCGTCTATCGGAGTTGCTGGATCAGCTTCGCCAGGAATTTGAAAACCAGTCGAGGAGCACTGGCGAATTCGAGCATCAATGTGCGTTTCTTTCTCAAGTCTCTTCTGTTCTCCAATATTCGAGACAGGGCAGGCAATGCATGCCTATACAAGTACGCGTTGGGTCGTTGATGGTCATTCTCTTTGCTAATCCAATTAATTTCCCTTTTCTAGTGACTGGCCAGCTTCAGGAAATGGAGATGATCCGACAAAAGGTCTATCAACTGGAACAGGCTCAGGTCAAAATGAAACAAGAGTTGGTCCCACTCATGTCTGCGGATCTCAGTCACGAAGCATACTAACCCAGTTGTCCGTGGCGTTTAGTTATGAAGCAGAGATTCGAATGTTGCGAAGTGAACTTGAGAATCGGGGTCTGCCTATCGCCGGTCACGCACAGCATACCGGTCCGTCTCAAGCACCTCCGCCAGCATTAGGACACGGTCCAAGCAATTTGTTTGGTGGGATCATAGCGAACCCAGGAGGTAGTGGTCCCGGTCTTGCCCCTCCCCCTCACCAGGATCAGCAGCCTCCCCAGCATACCCTTCAACAGCCTGCTCCCGCGGCCCAACCAGGAGCGCCGCAGCCACCGCAGAGCTCCTTTGGAGGATATCAGCCTGGTGCTGCTGTGAACGGTATGTGCTACATGGTATTTGACTGGTTCTCTGGCAGCTAACACCTCTCTTTGTTTCCGTTTGCACAGGTTATGGTCCACCGCCGCCAACCGCATCCCCTGGTCCAGGTAAAGGACGGGTGCGCGCCCCTCCTGGACCTGCAACTCCCCAGCAGACCCACCAGCTCGCGTACGCAGATCCCAGAGCCTCCCCTCAGATCGCTCGCCCAACTCCTCCTAGTCAAGCTCTCGTTCGCGAACGACCTGGTAACATGCTTGCCAATTGGAATCTGGATGATTTGCCCGCTTCTCAGAAAAAGGAGGGTGCTGATTGGTATGCGGTTTTCAACCCTGAGGTCCAGCGGGTGCTCGATGTGGATCTCGTTCATCATCTCGTTCATGACAGCGTCGTCTGCTGTGTCCGATTCAGCCGCGATGGCAAGTATTTAGCGACTGGCTGCAATCGATCCGCCCAAATTTTCGACGTGACTACCGGCCAAAATGTTGCTACGCTCCAGGATGAGACTGTTGATAAGGACGGTGACCTCTACATTCGCAGTGTCTGTTTCAGCCCTGATGGGAAGTATCTCGCAACTGGCGCCGAAGATAAGCAAATCAGGGTGAGTAACATCCACTTTCGGGACCTCGCACCTTCATTTTCGGTTTTTCCCCCATGTATTGAATATTTCATTAGCTAACTTCTCTTCTTTACCCCTGTAGGTCTGGGACATCGCCGCCAGAACAATTAAACATATTTTCACCGGTCACGAGCAAGACATATACTCCCTCGACTATGCGGGCAACGGGCGGTATATCGCTTCTGGCAGTGGTGACAAGACGGTTCGCCTCTGGGATGTTCTTGAAGGCAAACTTTTCTACACTCTCACTATTGAGGATGGAGTGACCACAGTTGCTATGTCCCCTGATGGCCACTACGTCGCTGCAGGCTCGCTAGACAAGACTGTCCGGGTCTGGGATACCACTAGCGGACGACTAATGGAGCGTCTGGAAAGCCCTGACGGACACAAGGATAGTGTGTATTCCGTTGCTTTTGCCCCCAATGGCCGTGACCTTGTCAGTGGCAGTCTTGATAAGACCATCAAGCTCTGGGAGCTTTCGGCACCAAGGGCCCCTCAGCCTGCGGGCTCTGTTAGAGGCGGTAAATGTGTGCGGACATTTGAGGGTCACAAGGTACGTCTATATCCTGAAATTCCTGTTGCATGCTGTACACTGCTAACTGCCCAACTATCAGGACTTCGTTCTCAGTGTCTGCCTTACACCAGACGGCCACTGGGTTATGAGTGGCTCGAAGGACAGAGGTGTTCAATTCTGGGATCCGATTACTGGAAATGCGCAGATGATGCTTCAAGGCCACAAGAACTCAGGTCAGTGTTTTTGAATCTCCTCTACCTCTGGTCATTGAGAAGACGTGTCTTTTTAACTTTTGATGCCAGTGATCTCGGTCGCCCCAAGCCCTACGAACAACTTGTTCGCTACTGGCAGTGGCGATATGCGCGCAAGAATCTGGAGGTCAGTATATGCACACTAGTACCCATCTCTACGGTTGCACTCTTTGCTGACCAAAACATCTTCGTCTCTTCAGATACTCTACATATACTGGACGGTGATGAGATTGATTATCGGAACTTTTGGCGTAAGATGTGGCTTGTATGTGTTTTTACTGTGGCAAACAGGGTTGAATTTGGCTTGTCTCGTTGCGTTTGATTTATTACAGGCCTCCCCTGCTCAACAAGCAAGCTTATGTAGTGATTTGGCTCTAGGTAGCACACTCCAGGATTATGTTCTTATGTAGTCTATTCAGTGTTGTTTGTATACTTTGCTGGTCCATTCTGGTCTCTGTTTAATTTAAACGGCCTTTTAACAGATTTTCTAGCTTTAGCCAGGCTGACAGGTGGCACCGCGTACTCTCGGTCATGTCACGTAGTTTTGAGGCCATTGAAGATTTACTGAAAGGGGGCCTCCTACTATATAGTATAGCTTCTCTGAGAGGCGCCATACCTAGGTTACAGTGGGATCTAAATGCAGGATCCCCGGTCCTTGTCTAAGGTCTGAATTTGTGTTTCCCTTGGCTGGATGTAGCTTTCTGGGGTTCGAAATAGTATCTTTGTAGGGTTATAGGTACAGATATTTCACCTTATTACTACATGAATACCTTAAATCTCTGTAAACATCTTTAATGTCTCCCTCTCTGGCAGGGAATGACAAGGGTATGTTTCTACGTAGACAGCGTACGCAAGGGGCAAAAATAACCCAACGATAATTAGTTATTTATCCATGTCCTGATTATTTAAGTTGGCGAAGTAACTACTCCGTACAGCGTAATATCTCCAGTTTCCATCATGAGTGGATAGAAAAAGCAAATACAGTGAAATTGCTGATCTGCCGATAACTAAGATCTCTTTTTAAGCATAGATTTATTTTATATATACCCCCGTATATAATATATATTGGATTGCCCTTTTTATAAATTTGTAGACTTGGGTCAACTCAGATGACTTTGTGGTTTACCGCGATATCCTCCGCGATGAATAATTAATTGTATTTCAAACGCCAAATTGCCAGTAACAAATAGACCATCGCTGCGAGAAAGCCGCATAATTACAGCCGTGAGTGGCATAGATAGATATTCGATGGATTTCGAAACGAGGTAATGTAAACTGCGCAAGGAAGTAATGTGATTCTACGCCGTAAGCATCGGGCAGGGTATTATTATTATTTAGTTATTTTAGTATTAATATAATATGATAATTGTTATGGAATGAATATGGATGACTGCAACTGCAACGATGTCCGGTGGCTGAGCCTCTGCTGCTGGAATTTCTTGGGCCATTGGCGGCTAAAGTGAAATTCTCTGATGGGCTGCACGGGGCGCCGTGCCGTGCATTAATATCTGCCAAACAATTGGACTTTCGTCTCCCAAACAGGCAAATGGACAAGAGACTATTCCGTCTTCTTATTGTTGTTTACAATGTAAAGGTACTGCAGTTCCATCAGCCAGACATACTTAATATGATCGGCACCATGAGGTTTGAACAGGAAAAAATACAATATGCGAGCGCACTGCGTATCGTCTCATCTAGTAACACAGGGGGGAAGCATCGGGATCCGGCCTGGATGGAATATGGATGATCCATAGGAAACTGTCACATTACGTAGATTCCTGCATAGCTCCCTCGTCTTGAACAACCGGACTGGATCTGACATAGGGTCGCAAGCGATGCTTCTTAGGGCCAAGCCTTTTTGCCTGGACTCTGTCGGTAGCCTGCATGATCCGCCTGGTACAACTCTTTTTTTTTTTTTAATCGCCAATCGCGGCTATCGAGACGACATCTGATTGATTGACGGATTGATCTGCTCTTCCGCGACCAGCCCATTTAATATTATTTCTCGAGCCCGTCGGACTTTTCGGTGCTCTCGTGAGTCGTGAGTAAAAATCCCCCAGATCTCAGTGGAGACAAGCCTCGTACCCCTCAGTGCTGTACGTGTTCATTAGCTATTATGATCCAGGATTCCTGGTGTTTTAGTCAATGCCAATATACGGTGTGGGTCGTAGTAATTACTATGACCCTTGACAGTCTTCCGTACTTTGGTATTCAGTCCTCCGATGGCCTGGATGTTTTGTCTCAAGGACAAACAACTAATCCAGCTGTGCCCTCGGAAGCAGTTGCTGTAGTATGGATGACCAGGATGCCCCCTGCCATCTGCCCATGGCAATGAACGAGAGTACCTAGTATCTATACTGTACATGATGCAGACAGTCAGTCACAATGGCTCTGCGGTCCTCGACGATGAAACACCCACGGGTATTGATTGCTCTTCTCTGGATGGTTGTGTTGTGGTGATGGACAGGAACTGAACTGCCGAAACCCCCACCCGCAGGAGTCATCCGTCACAGCAGAAGAACGAGAGCAACTGATTTACAGCCTGCGCTGTACGAAATCGATGTTATCGTTATTATTATTATTATTTATTATTATGATTATACGGAGTCTGGCGCACTCCGTGGACAGGGATCAGCGATAAGCTTTCCCTTTTCGCTCTGCCAGAACCTGGCGATACTGGAGTTTAGCTCTCTTGGATTTCTTCCATCCCCGCGGTTTCCACGGCCCTAGCCATTGCCATATATATGTAATCTGTCAGTATAAATATACTATATATACATGCCGTGCATACATATATATCCCTGCCGGTTCTAGATCACCACCTTGCTGCCGCTGCTGCTCTGAGGAGATCCCCGTACACGCTCAACAAGTCCCAATGCTCCAGTATTTGTACAGTTGCCTGAATCAGAGCTCCCAGCACTCACTTTAGATCTTCGCCTTTTATCCCATTTGAACCCTTCTTGTCCTTCTGGCTCTGCCTGAATACTCGACCCTCTTCAGACATATCTCCCCGTTCCTCGCTCGCCCTACTTCGGAAGAAGATCCCATACCAGCACCGTTGGAGCAATTCAGTTTCAGTTCACCCATAGCGGGGGAAAGGAGAAAGGACACGCTAGGAAGAAAAGCAGGCAAAGAACCGGGACAGGTCAACAATAGAGAGTTCAAGCGAAGCAGTATTGCTCTTCCGTCTCCTCGTCGGATCGTTTCCTGAAACACCCAGCATCATACCATATTCCACCTCCAGAATGGAGGCAGCTGAGCCAGTCTCCTACGGATTCCCAGGCCAAGGAATGGGGGCTGTCGAATCTCGTCGTCTAATGCACTTAGATTTTACCCATAGCCTTCCCTTTTACGCCAACCCCACAGCTTCCTTTTCGTTGCCCTTTCACTCATCATCACAGACGTCTTCAGGCAACTACAGCTTCGGTCATATCCTCAATGGCCACCCCAGTCCATTCCAACAGCTCTTTATTACCAATCATCAACACTCCAACTCCCAGCCGTTGCAGCAGCGGCTTTCGTCAGATCCGTCTTCACTGCACCCTTTGCCCGAGATTCGACCAGCCAAGAATGCTCTCTGTCGGGTGCTGAAGGATCAGTCGCAGAAGGCCGATCACGGCCCAGGAATACAGTCATCGACTCCTCACCCCCCTGGCGATTGGGGTGTCCACAAGGAAAACCAGAGTTCCACTGAGGCCGAATTCTTCACGGAAGTCGACATCCTGATGAAAGCAATCCAGTCCAAGGTCGGCTCGCGGCCTACAGAGTCGCATTCTCTACCCCCTCTGCAGCAAGTAGCGCATAACAATGTACACGGCTTCTCGTCTGCTTATTCGACGCCTCTATCAGCAGATTTTTGTACCCTGTCATTTGAAGGACAAACCACTGCTTCCGGAAAGAAGCGCAAGTACACATGCACTCTTCCCCATTGCGCCAAGAGCTTTGCTCAAAAGACCCATCTCGATATTCACATGCGAGCCCACACGGGAGACAAGCCATTCGTAAGTAAAACCATTCGGTCTCTCATATGATCGCAGACCGCAATGCTCATTAAATAATCCCGGCCTTATAACAGGTTTGTAAGGAGCCCTCTTGCGGCCAACGCTTTTCCCAGCTAGGCAACTTGAAGGTAAACGATCAAATGCCCTCCCATCACTCAGTATGAACATGTACCCTAATATCCCATTCCGCTATTTTAGACTCACCAACGGCGCCATACCGGGGAGAAACCTTACTCATGCGACATCTGCCACAAGAGATTTGCTCAACGGGGCAATGTTCGTGCGCATAAAATCACACATCAACAGGCTAAGCCGTTTACTTGTCTTTTGGACGATTGTGGGAAGCACTTCACCCAGCTCGGGAACCTCAAGGTACGGCACCATGCCTCCCGGTTGTGCAGGTTGTGTAATAACAATGGGCGCGTAATGTGCAGTCCCATCAGAACAAATTCCACGCTGCAACATTGCGACATCTGACAATTAAGTTCTCTTCCTTGTCCGAGGCAGAATTGATGAGTCACCAAGATCGAGAGCTCTGGGAGTACTTCGCTGCATTATATAAGAACAGCAACAAAGGAATTAAGGGCCGGGGAAAGGACCGTAAGATCTCCACCACAACGAAGTCTGGTTCTTCCAGCCCCGAGGCACCTAACCCGCCGGATGTGGATGAATACGCCAAGCAGTCTCAGCGGATCTATGAGGACTCATCGTACACTGGTGGTTCCAGCAGTGACGAGGAGGATGCGGAAAATTATTATGTCGACAGCCGGCATCAATGATGCCTCTATCTCATCCAAGATTCCAGACCAGAGGGGGAAGTGAAATTCCCTTTGACATCTCGCGAATTTACTGTGCCACAGCACCACCATGACAACGTAGGTCCAGCGAAATCTTCAGAAATCTCAATCGTCTGCCTTGTGCGATGATGGTGTGGTTTGTTTGGTTTGCCAGCAAACTTCATCTTCCGGATCTCTTCAGATTATATTTAGTGACGAGAATAACCAGAAGGGGTTAGTGTCTTCATCATTGAGTAATTTTCTGACTCGAATCGAATACCCCAAGCTCCCGGATTCTTTCCCGGGTGCGGCCTTGGTAGTGTGTTGAGTGTTTACAAAGTACGACCGCACAACAAACGAAGAGTAAGATGAATAGGAATAGGGAAAGAGGGTGGGAGCAAATGAGAAGCTGTCCAATGTAACGTAAGTTGTGAAACTTGGGACCATAATTTGGAATTTCTGCCGCAGGACAGGTTTTTGACGAGGTCTTTTATGCTTCGCTTGCAGCTGCTTTTGGTAGTAGATAGGTTTTCGTATTCTCGTACACCAAGAATGTCGCCCACGTACTTGGCAAGACCCTAAATAAATTAGGTCCTAGGCCCTTGTAGAATCCTGCGATGCCTTCTTTTGCCCATATTTGTGCAATTACGTCTGTGGTTCCCCGATATATAAGGTGTGAATCGTATGTTTGTAACCGAGACCTCAGAACCTGGTATGGATATGTAACACATCCGGCAAAAATCTTCGATATGCTGGAGATGATAAAAAAATCGACATTTCCAAGCTGCTGCCCGGCGTAGCTAGAATCCAAAGCTCCCGCGCGGTATACTTTCAACTTCTCATATGCCATAAATTGAAGCGCTCCATGGCTGACCCCAAAAAGAGCGGGCAAAATTCCACGGTAGAAGCCTGGAAGGCCTTCTGTCCGTAAAATCTGCAGAGCTCCAGAAGTGAAGGATGGGTAAGCGCCTGGGGAACGAGAACCGGAGGACAGCATTCGGGTTTTGATGACCCATACAGGGTTTGTTGCAATAGAAGTCAGAATACCTATATTGCACGAATAACTAATCAATATTATGAGTTATACCAGGCAGGACAATCCCCTAGGTAGAAAAGTGGGCCAGAAGGGTCATTCATACCTGCTGTCCCCGATGCCACAAAGTAATCCGTCGAAGTAAGCTCTTGATTTGTAGAGCCGCGGGAACCTTGCATAGCATCTTTGATGTTGCTGTAGCAGAAGAAATAGACCCCCCAGCTTATTGAATTCCCGATTATATTGGAGGTCAACCCTCTGTAGAATGCAGAGACGCCACCCTCATGGTGAAATATTTCTCGGATCACTCTAACTGAACCTCCAATTCGGGAGTGAGATGATTGATCAACTTCAGCCACGTCCGGATAAAGTTAGCTAAGTAACATTGCTTGGTTTAACCCTGGAGACGTGGGAATGCACTAAGTACCTTGAAGTCTTGTCTTGATCAAATCAAGTGGATGAAGGCAAAGAGTAGAGGCTAGCCCAGCCGTGAACCCAGCTGCAGTCTCCACGAAGGATTGCGACAGACCATCTTTACCAGTCATGGGCCTTTAAGCCCTACAGGTTTTTGCAGTGTCTTGTACTGGTAAACAATAGCCTTTGACGAATCCGCGGGAGGATTTGAACAATCCAGGGTGTATCACTGTAATCTGGAAAACTTAGTCTGCCGGACCGGAGCAATGAAGACCTCGGCAGTATCTAGTGGATACTCGCCCTAACCGACCCCTACGGTAACCTTCGGGGTCGCGCATATTGCGCGACCCTGACAACCACCCGAGCACCAATTTTAGACCCCCCCTTCTAGCTTCAATATCTCAACGAATTCTATAGTGTTTAACTTCAAAATATATTTAAATCAAAGCTCTACTCTTCAGCTTGGGCCCTAGTATGTCGTTGCCTTTGTATAATAATTCCTCGTCAAATGCACAGATCCAGCAGATCTGGTAGGCAACGCTTATACTTAGTCCTCCACCTCTTTATTTCAGCCTGCTCATCAATATTTGCAGTATTTTAATTTATAGCTTCAAGATCTGAGCTTGATATTATGCCTCCCTTGCAAGTCCTATGCCTAGAGGCCTGTGATCAAGCTGCGCGGTCCCTAGCAGCTTTAATATATTGGTCAAACTCAGCTTTGATAGCAGCTGAATATGATGCTAACATACTACTACCATGAATAAGTAGCTCTAGGCCCTTATTAAATTGAATCTTGTTGTTATCATGAATTTCCCATATCCTATCACCAATCTCCCTAAATCATTCAGCTTTTTTTGGCGTACTGCCCCAGGAATCAATATTATTTATATTAGTGGATGAAGAGGATAGATAATGTGATTAAGGTATTTGATTGAGTACAATTGATGGATTAAATGATATGATATCAGTCTTTTGGAATCTATGCTAAATAGTATGCTTTTTGAATGTCTTCTTGTGAATTACCCCTAAGGCATAAAGGAATTTAACCTTAGTAGAATTCCAACCCATCAACTTTATCATATAATTCAACCACCACCATGCCCAAATTCAATAAAAATTATGAAGATCGAATGCTCAAAGCTATTGACGCGTTAAACACACCAAATCCCCCAAATATCACCAAAACTACACATGAATATGGAGTTAAACAGCAAACCCTCTCTGCAAGGTGGAAGGGACAGTCCAATCTATGTGAATGACTACCAACCAATACTAGATTATCAGAAGAGCAAGAAAAGGCTCTATATTACTATGTTGATACTCTAGAGCAATTAAATATAAAGCTACTTGCATAAATAATCTAATTAAGTACTAATTCTATTCTGAAATCAACCTATATTAGCTTAGACTCCCCTCCACCTACTGTCAGTGAGAAATGGTTAAACTAATGGCTAGGAAGACATCTTAAATATAAAAGATATCATTATAGAGCTATAAAGCTTGACCACAAGTGTGCAGAGGATTATAAGGTTATTTAAGAGTGATTTCAGAAGCTCTATCAGATTATCTAGAACCATAGGATATTAAAGGAGGATATCTACAATTTTAATAAGACTAGCTTCAATATTGGTGCTAGTTGTGATTAATGGTTTATTATCAGAGACTTTAGTATTAATAAGCCTTATATTAAGATAAATTTAAACTATGAATATATTATTATAGTTGAAGCAGTTAATGCAGATAGCTAAACCTGCCCATTACTTATTCTTATAAGTGGTAGTTATATATTTATAAATTAGTTTGAAGCTGCTGATATTTAGTAAGACTATTTAATTAAAGTATTAGAAAATAGCTATATAACTAATATAATTATCTTTTAATAGATTTAGTCATTCTATCAGCATATTAAAAGATATAGAAAGGATCAATATACCCTTCTTATATATGATAGATATAGCTCCTATCTAATATACAAATTTATTAAATTCTGTGAGAAGACCAATATTATCACCTTCTTCTTACCTCTATATATAAGTCATTTCTTGCAGCCATTGGATATTAGTATTTTTTATATATATAAGTATTAGTATTTAGAAGCAGTTGCAGATATAACCTACTCAAAATACAGTAAATTTACGAAGTTCTAAAATCGGTACTTGGGTGGCTGGGGTGCTCGGGTGGTTGTCAGGGTCGGTTAGATAATATGAAATATCTAGCATCTCCCAGGCTCGTAATAATAAGTCAAATGAAGCCTATCAGAAAGTACAGTGTACGAGCAAAGAAAATGCCCTCCCTCCTCTTGACATTCGTCTATGAGCGAAAGTCCCATTTTTCTTGTACTTGCTATTATCTCCTAATGCATAGCCTTGGAGAGTAAAGAAAGCTTTGCTATTAACCTTTTAACACAGTAGACTCATATAAAAATACATTTACCCGTGTCTATTTAACCCTCCAACGAAAAGTAGATCCAAAGAAAGAACAATTTCCGAATGTTCCGCATTATCACAATGTCGCTCCCAGTCCACCGAGCCTTAAACTAAGAAGACGATTTCGAGTTGGAAAAGGACATGCTTAGAATCATGAAGCCTCAACTCAGTCATCTTTCAGGCAAGTGGTGAGAACAGCCTATTGGTAAGGTTAGTGGCTGGGCGCACCGAAGGGAATGAACGCCTGCGTACTTGAAGAGTGACGGTTTTGGTTCACTATAAGTGTAACCTTCATTTATCAATCAGCAATAAGAATTTTTTCATTTTTTCATGTGCCCTGGAAAATACATACCAAGATAGATGATCAAAGGCAAATACCCGCTGCCAGGAATAGATGGGTTAGCCGAGTATTGATAATGGTGTAAAGGACGAAAGACGCTACTCACTAGTGGATTGCAACTCTTGAGACTTCAATTGCCTTCGAGATGCGCTCCTTTCATGGGGGAATCACAATAATTAGCAATGGAAAAAGGAAAGACAGGGGCGGACATCTTACCTTGGTTTCCTCAGAGAATTGGACCATTCTGCCGGTGATGTTGTTGCAGACGACGAAACTTAAGAAAAGAAATTCTGCCCTAGTAAACCGTACGAGGACAGCAAACGTAGCAGATTCACCACCGAATTTAGTTTAATCTGACGAGTGGCAGGAGATTTGCTATATGGCAAGGGTCGTTGCGGCGCGTGGAGAGAAAAGTGCTCTGGAAATTTCCCCGAAGCCGGTACTGCACCTGACTGATACTCCGCATGCACGAAAGCTCAAAGCTTGGTCAGGACTAGCAGAATAATAACAGCAAATTTCACATTTCTCATAAGTCATTTCTTCAGCCAATTCTACACTTCAAACAGATTATCGGTTAATTTTCTTCATATTTTCTTTGAGTCCAGACTTATACTGTTACTTTTATACTGACTGTTGGCGCCATGTCCGGCGCGAGACACTGGTAGGACTTTTCGCTCGCTGATTCCACAGATTGAAATAAAACTGACTATTTTTGCAGGGAGCAGGACAAGGAAGCCACCGTATACATTGGGAACCTCGATGAACGGGTCACAGATAGCTTGGTGTGGGAGCTGATGCTGCAGGCCGGGCGCATCGTTAACGTTCATCTGCCCAAAGATCGCGTTACTCAATCCCACCAAGGCTATGGGTTTGTGGAATTTATCAGCGAGGAGGATGCCGAATATGCTTCGCGAATAATGAACGGAATCCGTCTCTATGGGAAGCCCATACGCGTCAATAAAGCATCAGCCGATAAACAAAAGGCAGTTGAAATTGGTGCAGAACTTTTCGTCGGGAACCTCGACCCCATGGTTACAGAGCAGGTCCTTTATGACACATTCAGCCGTTTTGGAAATCTAACTTCTATACCAAAGGTAAGCACCTTCTTGACTGAGCACTACGCAGTACTGACCTGATTTTAGATTGCACGAGATGACAATAACCTATCAAAAGGTTACGGCTTCGTATCATTTACCGACTTCGAATCTTCGGACGCTGCGATAACAAATATGAATGGCCAATATCTCATGAACAAACAGGTCTCAGTACAATACGCATATAAGAAGGACGGAAAAGGTGAAAGGCATGGCGATCAAGCAGAACGGACATTAGCTGCACAGGCTCGCAAGCATAACGTTCGTCTTCCGACTCAACCACTGCCATCGCAATTCGCTGCCGCAGGGCCACCTGTGGTGCCAACCACGGTGGTGAATGGTGATATTTCTCGTCCTTTGGCAAGTGGACCTCCGGATGTAGGTGTGGGAAGAGGCGTTGCACCGAACATGGCGTTTCAGAATGTGCCTCCTCCACAGCAAAATCGCCCTATGCCTCCTACTACTCCGCTTACGACTCCGCCGGGCTTGCCAGCAAGACCTCCTCCTTCGCAAGTTGGCTATGGTGGCCCACAAGCTTTTCTTCCCCCGGGCTTTAACAATGCTAACCAGCAGCCACCGTTCCTTCCCCAAGCAGCACCACCGCTAGGGTTTGGACCTCCTGCTGGAACCCCTGGCCCTCCACCCCCGCTACCCCCGGGCTTCCAACAGCCAGGGTATGGAAGAGCGCGGTAATGATGCACGAGGGACCCCGAGGCGAAAGGTTCTGGAAGCTTTTACAGCACGTTTTTATGACTATGGATATCAGGACGTATCTTCCCGATTTAAAAAAAGATTATTGCAGCAGCATACCCGAGAACTTGATAGGCCATGGGATAGTTTGTATGTAAGATATGTCGATCAGTGTGCTGGTGAATTTCAGATTGCTAATTAACAGAAGACTTCCTAAGAGCAACTGTATCTGAGATACAACCTCATACTTGCCCTTCTAATTTTTTTTTTTTTTTCATGGTCCTTGGACGATTCTTTGACTGAGAGTATATACTATTCAATATTTTCTGTGAAGTGAAATTATATTCCCACAGCTGTTACAGATCAGTAATCCCCACCTTCCAGATTGCAAAAGAAAGGATATAATGAATGACTTGATCCATCGTACAAAGGGGAAAGAAAGACATAGCGTAGAGCCTAGCAAAGAAGCCACTGAAATCACAAGGCAAGAGAACCAAAACTGTAAGATTTAAGGAAATAAGGATTGAGTCTACGAGTGGAAATGAGATCAAGACAGATGGACGGCAACATCGCCTTGTAATGAAAGGAAGGCTATGAAAATGAGACGAATTTGGGGTCCCTGGGACGGCCGTCAGGTCCGATATTGTTCTTCGCAAACCGCTGCTCCGTGTAGATCCGGCGTGCTTCATCGAACTCGACCCCTCGGCCCTTCATTATTTTCCTAATTTCGCGCTTTGCCTTCTGATTTAGTCCTTCTCTGATGTCACCGTCTGCAATATTAGCGGAGAGATCGAAATTCGATGAAGTCAGACCAGCTTCTACATCTCCCATGAAGCTGGAGGGGCTGAGACGGTGATAGAGATATTCCGGGACTTCGGAAAATAAAGGTAACCATCGAGATCGGGAGAGAAAGAGCGCTGGTAGATTTAGCAGAATTAGTCGCTTGCAACCCGCTTGCTTCGAATATATCTGGACGTACCTGTACCACAAATCACAACAGAAAAGGTAAGGAAATAAAGAAGATAGCCCATGACGGTCGCCCGAATCGACGTACTCGTAAGATATCAACGTAGTGAATGTGTTAATATTAGTTGCTCCAAGAGTTCGAAGCAATCAAGATGCCCTTAGATCATCCTCGGAGATAGACAGAGGAGAAAGTAAGGAACGATAGTCAGGTAGCAACCTGCTACCGGCAGTGTTTGGTAGTATATCGAGGCTTATTGGATGACGCTGGGGATTGCGGCTTGTCTTCTTGGTAACAGCCCTACAGCGTACATACAGGTTTAGCTTACGAGTACAACGTACAATGTCGTTGCCTTACCTGCGAGGCATACATGGTTTGGAATGTAGCCTATTCCCAAAACGGCCCGCTTAGCGAGATGCCCGTGGCACACAACTGTCAACTGGCCGTCGATATACTTCATCTACTACCTGCGAACGCTGACTCTCTCGTTGAAATACCGTCCTCATATCCCCGAAGACGTCTCCAAAATGGCTACCGAAAGGACCAACGTTTCCAATGACCTCGTTTGGCTGATCACCCGTATGCCCTCCTTACGCCACTGTCCACATAGTTCGGATCACAGCTACAAGGCCAAGCTAACATCAGCTGTCATGGATAATAGGCAGCCAGAGCTCTTATTTGGTTAAGCGCAAGACTGGCGGTGGTGTTCAGTTTTCTCGCGATCCCCTCAACTTGCAGAACAAGCATTCTTTCAAGGTACATTACTAGCCAGTGGCTCGTGTTTTTCGTCAAGTGGCTAACACGATTTCTCATTCCAGTATGCTGGATATGCAAATGACAAGGTACCGCGATATAATTCCAGAGTCACGTATAACCTATAGCAATACTGACTCGGAGCTGTAGGCCATTGGTGTTCAGCCTACCGAGAACGGTGGCGTTGCTGTGACCACCAAGAAAGCTAGCAACAAGCAGCAACCCGCGAAGAACACGGTTACCGTGACCTGGGGCCCCAATTCATCCACCCGCAAGTAAGAATCACCTCATACCGACGGAAATTGGACAGATATATCGGATTGGAAAGGTATTTTGAAGGAAGGTTGCTGACCGAAGGGTCTATTGCAGGATCTACAAGGGCGTCGCGGACAAGACCGCTAAGAACGGCTACCGTGCAGATCTCCGCGAAGATGCTGTTGCCCGCGTCAGTGCTATCCGCCAATCTCAACAGCCGAAGAAGGACACCCCCCCGAAGAAGCTCCGCGGTTCTCAGGCAAAGAAGGCTGCGGAGAAGGAGTCGGCATAAGTGCGGATATGAGTGAATATTAAGGGCCAAGGGTCCCGAACAAATGGATCTTTGGGACAGAAAAAGGAGATAATGCCAGAGAAAAGAGGAAAGAGAGGTCAGCAAGAAGGGAGGTAAAAGAAAAGGCAAGATGGTAAGCAGCGCCATGCTGGGCAATGGCAGGGGTGCACATGTGAATTCTGCCCTCGTGTTACAGAGCGTTTAGATAGCACTTGGGGTGCCATTATCGTAAAAGGTAATGACTTCAATCATGGACAGCTTTAATATTGAAAGCCTTCTGAAATAGGTATGATCTATCTCCTCGTGAGGCAAATAAATCTGCGTCAAGATGTGCTTTTCTGCCAACCAGATATTATCGGTGTTTCTTGTTTTGACAGGGATCCAAAGCCAAACGTTATGCATCACGGGAATCTGATGGTTGACCTAATTGTTCCCGGATGATGGCAGACATAGCCTGTACACGGCGCAAGATCATGAAGCAACCGAGTATTTATCGTAAATTGCAGCGTCGTCAAAACTCCAGGCCTCCAAGCCGCTTTTTCCCGAAGAGACGACAGGCCGGATCGGACAAATTCGGCTCTGTGTAGAGAATCATGTTCGAGAAGCACGCAAGAATTATCTCATTGCCGGAGACTGGGATATCGGGACCTCCGGGCACATGGAAAAGGACCTAAGAGAACGGGTGCGGAGACCAGGACGATTGCATGCTGCCGTGGTGTACCGAACATGGTATGGTGTCTTTCAAACATCTCTGCAACAGTACCATTGGTGTATGCCGAATACCGTAAATAATACCGCACATGCGGAGCGTGGAGAATTCCATGTTAGCTCCCCTCACTAAAAATTACCTAGGCACTAGGTACGTAGTATGTAGTACTCCGTACTAACAGTAAACAATCAGTTGAATTGTTTGTTGATAGACAACAGCTGTACAGGGTATATTATATTAGTATTAACAGAACCCCTTTCCTCAGCTGTACTCGTAACAGCATCTACATTTCACCCATCCAGGTCGAATTTTCTGTTACGCCCCCGAGGACAGTTGCATCTATCTTACAGACGGTTCCTCCGTATGTATACCCCGTACTGCTGCACCCCAGCCTGTGCTATCCCGAGGCGGTTTGCCGTTGTCATTTACCCCTCCATCGACATCAACCCCCTTCCTTCCTTCCTTCCTTCCTTCCTTCCTTCCTTCCTTTCTCTCTTCCGTCGTAGAGACCTTCCTTCTTTCTCCCTAGCTTCATCCTCTTTTGTCTCTTGTCTTCCCACAGCCATCATCCACTGATTCAAGGGCGTCTTATTCAGTGCAAATTTGTTGTAGCTTATCATAATCCAACAACATAGTCCACCATGGTCAAAGCAGGTCAGCTCTTTCTGCATCACTGTACGTAAACCATTGCGTTACTGACTCTGGTAGTTGTTCTTGGTGCATCTGGTGGCATTGGCCAGGTTTGTTTCCTCCTATCTCATTAACAGAACCAGATGGTTAACTAATTCGTTCAACAGCCCCTTTCACTCCTCCTCAAGGCTTCACCCCTCGTGGATGAACTTTCTCTTTATGATGTCGTGAACACTCCTGGTGTGGCAGCTGACCTGTCCCACATCTCGACTGCTGCTGTGAGTGACAATTACTCCTACTTTTTATATCCCAACATCTGCTTGCATTTCTTGAGCGTCACTCTTACATGCATACAGAAAATTTCGGGTTACTTGCCAAAGGATGATGGACTGAAGTCTGCCTTGACTGGTGCCGACATCGTTGTCATTCCAGCTGGCATTCCTCGTAAGTCTACCAATCCTGGCAGTATCGTTTACCTGGCCTAATAAAGTTGTTCAATAGGCAAGCCTGGCATGACCCGTGATGATCTTTTCAAGATCAATGCTGGAATTGTACGGGACTTGGTCAAGGGTATTGCGGAGTTCTCCCCCAAGGCCTTTGTCCTTATCATTTCCAACCCAGTGAACTCCACTGTCCCAATCGCCGCGGAGGTGCTCAAAGCTGCTGGTGTCTTTGACCCCAAGCGCCTCTTTGGTGTGACCACATTGGACGTTGTCCGTGCAGAGACTTTCACCCAGGTTTTCTCGGGCGAGAAGGTCCCATCTGCTGTCACTATCCCCGTCGTTGGTGGTCACTCCGGCGAAACGATTGTGCCACTCTTCAGCAAGGCTTCACCAGCTTTCCAGATTCCTGCCGACAAATATGATGCGCTAGTTAACCGTGAGTATGCAAGACTGAACAAAAATTATGGTCACTGACGATCAGCAGGCGTTCAATTTGGCGGTGACGAGGTTGTCAAGGCCAAGGACGGAGCCGGTTCGGCTACTCTTTCCATGGCTTTCGCCGGTTTCAGGTTTGGTTCTTTATCTGGAAGATACAACTCTTTTGGCTAATCTATCGTAGATTTGCCGAGTGCGTGCTTAAGGCCGTGAAGGGCGAGAAAGGAATCGTCGAACCCACTTTTGTCTACTTGCCCGGTGTTTCCGGCGGTGATGCGATCGCCAAAGAAACTGGCGTCGACTTCTTTTCTATTCCAGTAGAGCTGGGTGTAAGTGACAGCATTTGCAAAAACCTCTCTTTTCCAAGTTCAGCCAGTTAACATGATATATAGCCTAATGGTGCGGAGAAAGCAATCAACGTCCTTGGAGGAATTACCGAGCAGGAGAAGAAACTTCTGGAGACTAGTGCGAAGGGCCTCAAGGGCAACATCGAAAAGGGGATCGACTTCGTCAAGAATCCTCCTCCAAAGTAAAAACTATTCCCATTAACCATTCTTGGGGGTCTGCCGGTGGATCTTTTTATACCGCGTTCTATATCCGTCGGATAATATCCATCGGCGACCTTTATTCGGTCCATGGACATGAAAGAGCCCGGCTAATTATTGGCATCCTATAACGATAGGCTTTAAAGCGTGAGAACAAAAAATTATGACGAAGGCTGGCGGTTGGTGGTTTCGCTTGAGCATTTGAGTTGACGGCAGAAGATATGAAAGGCAGCAATGAGACAATGATCTCTTTATCATACCTGCAAAAGTCAAATTGTAGAATACTAGTTAAGGTGTCGCATACGGCTTCCAGTAACTCTTTTGATCTAGGAAGTATCGCTGAACCGCGAAAGGGTTGGCTCTTTGATATTCGATTTAGCCCTGCAGCTCATCTTAGTCGTCTTCCTGCCTTCTCTTGTCTGGTTAACAGAGGCGCTTAAAACTGTCACTAAAATCAGGGCTTAGGCTGGATCGTTTTAATTTGGAATGTCGCCCCAGGGAGTTCTGCAGTCTCCGCTTGCACTGTGGTGTTGATACCCATATCTGCCAGAGCACCGCGAATCACACCACATGGAAACCACAAATACTGCGCATGTCAGGCTTTGTATATTCGAATATATTGGATATGTTGACATACCGCTTGGGCCCTCACAATTGCTTCGCTTCGTACGGATGTGCTCATTCTCGTAAGTGGTCGAAAGGTATTATCAGTCAACACATAGACTCCCTAAGAAGCCGACAGGCCCATGTCAGCCCGATTCCAGCAAAATTTGTGAAAGATTTCACAAACCCCTACTAAGCTTACCCTATGGTTTGTTTTTAAATTATCCACTTGTTTCCTAAAGAGAGTTGTCCAGAGGTCCTTGCATAGAAACTTGATAACGTCGAGGTTGTCTGTAAAGCGAGGACGGTCTCGAGAGAACCTGCGGCGAGGCCATTTCAGCTCTAGTCAGTCATGTATTAGGAGCGAGAGAAGGCATCTACTAATAAATAGTCTACCTTTCTGCAAGTCCCTGTCCGACTCTGTAGCCCAGGGATTCGAGACGGAAGAAGGCCGCTTCCCTAGCCTCTTCATTATCTGGCTGCTTGCCATCCGTCGAAAGCTCCTTCGCCAGGCGCTCTGCCATGGGTACGAGCTCTATGATAAGGAAGTCGAGGCAGGAGGCGCCCAGGAAGCGAGCATTAGGATCGGAGACATTAAATGGCCGAATGGCTGAGTCAAAGGACATTGTAAATGCTTCGACTGAAGGACAAGAGTAGGTAATGGGAATCTCAAGCTGGGTTTCGCAGTTGGACAGATTGTTATTTAGCCAAACATGTATGTCCGATCCCAGAAACTGTAGCCTGGTCAAGCTATTGGTTTTGTGAAGTGCCTCAATCCATTGCCCTTACGTACCCAGGGCCTGCAGAGAATAGTAACCCCTTTCGGTCCTCTCGTTTCGCCCCGGGGAAGGCTATGTCAGGTGACATCTGCCAATTATTCTCCCATGAGCCTGCAATGCAGGCTGTTTTGACCTTCGCGGGCAACAGTGGAAATCTGAAGTATGTTATTTTATCTCTATACTATCTACTATGAGCGTTGACTTTACAAGGGTATTGTGTTAGGCATGCAGTTACCATTTACGAATTTCTAGGTACAGTATAGAGATGCATGAGAGTAAATGACTCAATTCATATTTAGCCGTACAACACCGCGTTTCTGCTACTAATTATTAAACGGCAGTCATTGACCCGGCGAAAAGGCTGCCCATTGGTAAAATGAATGTCAGTTAGAGCCCCCTCGGATCCATTCCAAAGGCAACTTTCTTTTCATTGGGAGAAGCTAATTCAAGCGTAAACAGACCTTAAAAAAACCATTTCTATGCGGTATCATATTCCTCGCCACCCTCAAAACACCGTATGATGATCAAGTCCCGTCAAATTATGGAATCAAATGCACCAGGCGCCTGCAAGTAACTCATCCATTATGCATTGTAGCCAGCACTCCGGCTCGGCAATTGCGAATCATTCTGACCCGAAACAAGATGATTTCTACCATTCACAAAATTGCTGCTGAATGTGTTACCAAGTCCATTGAGGAAGCCTCCATCCGGTAAATTTAATGTGCGTCGCTTAGCTGGTCTTACTGGAGAACCATTGTCATCATCGTCATCGCTTCCAGTGAGATCAATAACTTGTGCTGCTGGCCGTTTCTTTGACGAAGCAAGGACAGAGGGCGATGTTGAAATCTCCTGGGATTGGACTGGAGTTTTTTGTAGTGAGACATTAATGGGAAGTGGCTCCTGTTTGACGGATGCGCTCCCAGAATCCCCGACTTCTATTAATTCATCATCCTCAGTAGTTGGTGTGCCACTATCGGGTACTAAATGGTCATCTCGTCGAACGCTAGACCAACGTCCATTGGGTTCTATAACAACCTGATCCACATCAACAGGCGTCGAGTTAAGTATATCATCGACGTACCTAAATTGTCAGAGCCGCGAAACCTAGAAATGTGGGGTATAGAAAGATAAGGACTAGGTATGAAGCTCACTGATCAATCTGCAAGGATTCAAAACTAGTTGCCTTGGAGCAAACCGGACATGTCCAAGTTGGCGCTTGTTCTTGAAGTTGCAGAAAAGACGAGGCATCGAAGCATTGATTGTGGGTACATAACACAGAACGGCAGGGCACTTCGATTCGAAGCGTCGATAGTGGGCACTTCAGGGACATAACAGTTGACGTAGCAACAATATCAGAATCCTCAGCCCTGTTTTTCACTGAAAGGGGAAGAAGAATTAGCATATAGGGTATCAGGTGGAAGATTGATAAGTCGTACTCTCTCGAATCACTTGTTCCTTGGAGATAGTCTTTCTTGCTTTCAATTCAGTGACAAGTTTCTCAACTGGATTTCGCTGTACGAGATTGACAACTACAAAAAATCTCTAGGGATCGTCAGTAGGACCAGCCAAAATTCCGTTGGCAGCAGATGGTCGCCTCATCCAAGGGCCAGAGTCAAATAAGTATCTTCAGCTTACCTTTTGAGTAAGAGCATAAGTTATAACAACTTGATTTGGGTACCCTGGTTTCTTGCGAATATGGTCTGTTATATCTGCAGGCCTTGTCGTACCAGGTTTGTTTTTGAGTCCCCTCAAGTTAGCCTTAACTTCGTCGAGATTTACTTTGAGCTCTACTTGATGAGGAAATGCAATATCAGACTTCGTGTACTGGTTAAGACCAGTATCAGCCGCGCAGTAAACCATCACACGAATCGTGGAATCGGTTTGAAGTTTGGAGACCATGTTCGGAGAAAGCATAACTTTTAGTTCCACATTATCCCTTGTCTGCTCGCGTACTTCATTATGTTAGAAGGCAACTAAACACAGTAGCATGCTCGATAGAAGATAATCTCACCCTTGCATTCCACAGCAGGAGTGAGAGGCTCCAGTATCTTATAGAATGGGCTATCTTTGAAGGTCAAGCGACCTTGAATCATATAAGTAGTTGTCCTTTGAAGCAGGTAGGAAGTGATCCAGTGAAATACGCACCAGATGTGAATGGCTGTGAGGGTATTGGTATGCCCAGTGGTGAAGATCTATTTTGTGTAGGCAAAGAGTGCGCAATTGAATGTGGTTGGTATTGATGATATGGAGTTGACAGTGTTGACGGCCCAGGCATTGAGCGCTGGGCCATAGAGTATATGAATCTCCTTAAATGGTCATAGCGATCGATCCGTCCCTCTTGAACAAGCTCCTCTATGTCTGTAATCAAATCCACGTCATGATTAATTCACTGTTTCGAGAATGCGCTTTTCTATCGGCGCTGGGGACGCGAGGGATAGAGAGGGCAACGAACGTTGGATTATGCGAATCTGAAGTGTAGCCTTGACTCCGGACACTGCGAGTGTCTCGCTCCTCAGTATGTCCTTGAGCTGTGCATTTGTTAAAGTTTTCACCAAAGCGATGACGCTTTGCAGCTCGGAGGGCTGGACAGCAGAAGCCATGCTTGATCAAGTCAAAAGGGAAGAATGGGCACTGGTCATCTAGAAAACCTGCTTTCGAATGTCCTTATGGGAGATGGTTCAAGAGTACCAGGAAAGCTGCAGGTACTGCATAGAAAGGCATTTCAACTCAATTCTGACTGGAGAGGGATTTGGGAATGAAGGTTGAGAAAGAGAGAGGGAGAGTTACTCTGATTGCGCTCGACAATAGTGACTTCGGAGAAAGAGACGGGTTTCCGAGTGGAGGATGACATAAGACAGATTTCTCTGCACCAAAAAAAAAAAAAAAAAAAACTAATTAACTACGAAAGCTCGGAGACTGATCTGATTACAATCAGATCACGGTTAACTGCCAAGCCTTTGCATCTGTAATCTTAACCGCGACTTCTTCGAGGAAAGAGAGAAAAAAAAAGACAAAAGGGGGGGAAAGAAGAAAGCCTTTCCATAAAATGGCGAAGAGCGTGAGGGCCAGCGTTTCCAAACGCAACAGGGCGAAGCTTCGAGCAACGGTTTTCGGCCCTGCTGTTGATGCACGGACGGAAAGGCTTTCAGCAAAGCTACAAGAACTTGCTTCTCATGCGAAGGAACAAGAGAGGTCAAGTATGGAGTTAGATATCACTGGAACGGGTAAGTTGGCATATCTTAATTGCCTGGTTGAAAGTTAGGGTGCAGCTTTTGTTCTAATTGCTCTATGCAGATCGTAACAGTGACTCCAAAATTCGAAATTCGGAAGAAGGTTGCTCTCCTCCCTTTCTCATTTCTTCTCGCATTATTTAATATTGCCGAGAATAGCGCTTGATTTCGAGGGGCTAACAGTTTCTGGTTTCTAAAGATATGGACATTGATGGAGAAGCCACCAAATCCATCAGGAATCACCCTCGCCGATCCAAAGGCATCCAGAAACGTAACAAGAGAAAGAGCCATTCGTCCATAGTTTTTGCTCGGCGTCCATCGGGCCCAAAGAAAGCCCCCAAGAAAAAGTGAAATCAACTAGGCTTTCTTTTGAAAGGAAAAAAGTGTAAAGTATCATACAGCATCTCAAAAACGGAACCTGGGTCTGATGGCGGTTACGATGGTCAATTCAAGCTTCGATACTACTTCATCTTTCGACCTAGTCCTTCTATATTTGCTCAGCATGGAACCATCTCCTGTCGTTTATTCCCATAGACACTACCATCCATTACTAGGAAAATATATTGAGCAAACAAGCAGGCTGTGGCTTAGCAGCTTAATACAATGTATTATTATTCCATATGCCTTGTGATGTATTCCTTTGCAAGCTGTAACCATGCTTCAAACATATAAACTTCATATTATCATCATTATTAGTATTAAGATAAGACCACCGAACACCTCCACAGAGTACGAGATATCATGACAGTGCCCCAGCTGTGCATGAGGTTTACAGCATGTACTGTTCGAGTAGGCGGTGTGCTAGTAGTCTGGTTATTGGAATTATTTACTCCCTTCAGAGTAACCGTGAACCTGCTCGAACTAATCAATTGGTAATGCGCGTTTACTTGAAAGATTCTCGTTGATCTAATTTTCACATTGGACAATATGACAGCTTCATCGAATTGCATTGTTCGGGATTGACAAACAGGTCGATCCGATTCCCATGGGCACCGCCATGGTCATCATATTGAAGAATTGGGCGAGTTTGATCGCAAATGCCATAATTCCTGTGGCCATTATCGTCTTTGCTTCGGGGTTCTTTCCTTATAAGGCCATGCTTCCTGGCCTCGCGAGGCTCGACGGGTCAAACAGTGCTACTATACCTCCGGCTATTTTCGATAAGGTCATTTTTATGGTCGTCGATGCGCTGCGAAGGTACGGTTATCTCCGATTTTCAGAGCAATATAGCGCGAGCTGAAACCTGTACCCAGTGACTTTGTCTATTCGAATAGTTCAGGTTTCTTGTTTACGCAAAGGTCAGTTCAAACGCCATAGCCGGTCAACTTCTGCAGCATGAGCTCAAAATGCATGGCTGAAACAGCTTGATCCGAACTGGTGCCGCTCTACCTTTCACTGCTCATGCTAGCGCTCCAACGGTGACAATGCCTCGCCTCAAGGCGATAACAACGGGATCTGTTCCGTCGTTTTTGGATGCTGTTCTCAACGTTGCTGAATCCGATACCACATCGACCCTCGCAAACCGAGATACATGGTTAGCACAGCTGAAAGCGAAAGGTGGCCGGCTTGTGATGTATGGGGACGACACTTGGCTCAAGCTCTTCCCCGGAATGTTTGATAGGTCTGACGGGACAACGAGCTTTTTCGTGTCGGTCAGTATCTTTCATGTATTACCTTCAATGCAGCTGGTAACATTGAACTAAGTTCTTTCATCCAGGATTTCGTTGAAGTAGATAACAATGTGACCCGTCATATCCCTGACGAGCTGTTAAATGCTGACTGGACAGCGTTGATTATGCATTACCTTGGTCTTGACCATATTGGCCATAAATCTGGCCCTAGAAGGTGAGAAATCGAAATTGGCGACCGTTGGCATTCTCAGTATTGACAAATACAGCCCCTATATGATGTCTAAGCATCACGAAATGGATTCTATTGTGGCTCAGATCTATACAGCTATGGAAGAAGAAGCGCATCTTCAATCCACGCTTTTTATACTGTGTGGTGATCACGGCATGAACGATGCAGGGAACCATGGGGGATCTTCAGCGGGGGAGACTTCTCCTGCTTTGCTCTTTATCTCCCCTAAATTCCAGACTCGGGGGGCTCCTAATGAAAGCCCATTAGAAGAAGCTGATGACCTACAATATTATCGAACTGTCGAACAATCAGACATCACTCCGACACTAGCTGGGCTTCTTGGGATTCCTATTCCTTTGAATAGTTTAGGTGTCTTCATACCTGAGCTTCTCATGATGTGGGATCATGGTATGGGGCCATTCTTTAATTTTAAAAGCATATCTAACACACCTTATCGAATAGCATCTCATAGGGTTCATATCCTATTAGAGAACTCGAGGCAGTTACTGAGGACAGTTCAAGCGACATTCCCAAGTTACACATTCGAGCCCTCGTTAGCCCCACTCAACTGTGACCCTCTGTTGCTGAGTGGTGTCGAAGGAGTCGTATGCGCATGGTTTCGGGCTTATGAGGTCCTTCGCGATTTCCTAGATACTGGCAGCGTCAATTCTGAGATCGAACCTAGTCTTTTACAGTTCTCAAAAACCGCCCAGCGGGTAATGAGCAATGCTGCTACTAATTATGATGTTTCCAGGCTTTATGTAGGTTTATTCATCAGCAGTGCTGCCCTTCTGTTGTCTTTGTGGTCATCGTACAAGGCGATCTTGAAATTCAAGTGGCCCGGTGTTTTTTGGATTTTCGGCATTATGAGCTATGGAGCTATGATGTTTGCAAGCAGCTATGTGGAGGAGGAGCAGCAATTTTGGTATTGGATCTTTACAGGATGGACATTCTATCTACATGCGAAATCTTCCGCACGTCGACATTGGTTCTCACACTTCGAAGCTGGATCTAAGAAAGGTCTTGGTCCACTTGCGTTTCTAACCCCTAAACCCGGAACGGTCTTGCTTGCTATGTTTCACCGTATAGTAAGACGCTGGAATCAGACAGGTCAGAAGTTTGCTGGCGACTCTGATATTGCTCGAAACTTCTTACCTTCCCATCAAAATATCCTCTGGGCTCTCATTATCCTAACATATATGGATTCATGCAGACACCTTTTCCTGAGCTTGCCTCGATATTGGATTTGGCGACTAATTGCAGCCACTCTTACTATTGCAGCTTTTTCTTTCAAGGCTACCTTCGTGGTGTCCGACTCTCCCGAACTCCTGAGCCCTTCCATATTGATATACATGAGAATGGTATTCAGTGGCATGTCATTGATATTACAGGCAAGGGCTGTTTTCTTCGGAGTTTCTATACTCGCCATTATTTCGATTAATACCCATAAGAAAAAGAATGGGGCATGGTTTCAAGCACAAGGCAAGTTGGGGGAGATATGACGCTGCATTCTAAGACTCGGACTGACCGTTAGTAGCAGCTTCAAGTACCACATTCCACGAAGCTCTGACTCTGTTCTTGTTAACTCAATCGAGACCAACGAACATTCCGCTGTTTCTAATTTTCAGGATGCAATTTCTTATTCTTACTTCGATGGACTTGACCGCCATGGAGGTGACCATAACGTCCATATTCGCCCAGTATGTGGCATTCTTCGCATTTGGGGGTTCGAACGCGATTTCTTCCGTCGACCTGTCTAGTGCATACAATGGTATTGGTAGCTACAACATTGCTTTCGTGGGCTTCTTGACATTCGTGAGCAATTGGGCCGGTCCAATATGGTGGTCTTCGGCCAGTCATCTTCTTCTACCAACCCAAACGCCAATAGAGAAACGAGACCAGATTTCTCTGCAAACTCTTTTTGTCACGGTCAGTTTATTTTCCGTAATGGCTGCATGCACCGCACTGAGATCTCATCTTTTCATCTGGACTGTATTCTCACCAAAGTTCCTTTACACGGTTGCATGGACCACGGCGAATCACGTCGCGGTGAACCTCATGGGGGGATGTGGATTTCGTTTTTTGGCGATCTTGACGGAGGACTTCATTCGTGGGCTATCTATAGTGGTAAAACGCATGTTTTGAGAATGCGCCCATGTAAAAAATGGTATGATCTCAACTATAGCAGACCATCGAAAAGGTCATCAATGGCATTCTTTCTTCGCCTTTTCTTCTTTGTCGTTTCCAGTCTCGTGCTTTCTGTGCTTGTAGATGCTGAACGATCTACTGGTTCGGATTTATGGTATGTACGATGTGTAAAAACAGTATTTTCGGTTCGATGGATGACTTCACCTACATCTTCCCTCCCCGATATAGCGTTGGGCGAACTCGCCCTTACCAATCTCTTCTGAGATGACTGGGTTTTCATATCCCTGTCAATTCCAGTTGCCTTGGTAAGACGAGATAAGGCGCATACCAATACTGTGCCGAGCGCTGAGAACTGCGTGTCAGCTACAATCGTTGAGAAAGCTCTGACGACGTTAGCATGAACTAATAAAACAGGGAAGATAAAATTATTGAGGTAGACATTGCAACAAACGTACAAGTAGCATCTTGGCGCAATATGCGATGCCAGATATTGCCTATATACTTCCGCAAGGCTTGTCATGCCAGGAGATAGCGGCGGGTTCTCGAGAGACCTTGCAATATTTGAGGTTACACGTTTCAGCATGGACAGCCATTTCCACCATTTTGACTTTCTATGCTGGTTTTTGTTGCGATGGAAGATCAGATGAAGCGTGCGGTGCACAGCAAGGATTTCTTCACAGTCCATGCTCGGTTTATGTAACAGCAAGTCGGTATGTCTGAGAACGCAAAAGCTTTGCCAAGGGCTATGAAAAATCGGCTTCGACCAACAGGATTGAGGATGCTGCTTTCACTAGAGTATAAGAAAGCAGATGCTTCAAAATAAATGATAATAAAAATAATAAATGATCGGAGCGTGGTAAAAACCATAGTTAGAGTCCGTGTGATTAACGTAATCAATCACCGAGCTGGGCAGAATTTTCCGAGTTTAGAACACCACCCCTTATTCCTCAAATTATTCAACACCACAATAATGGCAGATAATTCTAAAGAACGGCGCATGCAGCTGGCTCTAAATACCTATAAGAAAAGGTAATTTTTATTAATTTGAAAGGCTGCAGCTGCATTTTATGTCCCTCTAAGTACTTTAATAACTAAAGTCCATGAAATATCTACAAGAAAGAATACTATTGCCAACAGCCAGAAATTATCAGATATAGAAGAATCTACCTTTTCAGCATATATTCTAAATATAGATTAATGTGGCCTACCTTTGCATGTCAAATATTCACTATTTAGCTTATCTTTTATTTAAAGTATCCTTTCTATCCTCTAAGCTAGCTATTATCAGAGAATGCTGGGTCTATGACGATCAGCTGTAATAGGACGAGAAGAGGAAAGCAACTCGCTATTTGGTCGTACTGTCTAGGAATATCGTACATGAGGAGAAGAAGAAAAAAGGAAAAAAGGTGAAAGACGTGGTGGGGAGGAGGAAATAGGAGGCGAGGGCAGCTGCCTGCCCTCAGCCCTAGCCCTGTGCCCTACTTGTTTGATCTGCTGGCACCTTCTAAGACATGCCAGTGCCAGGGTCACATGCTGACGGTCATACATCAGGTATGGTCGTCACAGGGTCCACTGCTATATTTAATATTATAAAAAATTAAAGTCAAAATATAACCAAAGATATGATTATCAATATACAAAGTATGAAGATCCAGAACTTATCAACAAGTGGTTTAAGCTGGTTCAAGATATTATCCAGAAATATGGAGTTCTTTGTAACGGTCTCAAGGTAGTTTATTCAACTAGCTAGGCCACTCTACGAGTACATTAAATCTTGAAGAAAAGGAAGGGAAAGAGGTGGTGTAGCTCCTAGGGGTTTGTTTATGTTGTGGAATATGCATGTAACTCAGGGAAGAAGGGCAGAATGAAGCTGTATCGACTACACGTACGTAACCTACTAAGGAACAGATGCCATTCTGTTCTATCTCTATGTCTCTTTTTTCTCTACATATAATCAGGGGCCCGGATTCTCAGGGGTTGGAGAGGGAGCCAAGCCGCCATACCACGTGACCTTTTCCATATCAGTTTACCATAGGGAGCTCGGGATAGAATAACATAAGCAGGGAGGTGAAGGATGGCAGAATGAAGTTTGTAGACCGGCCTGCAAACTTCTAGTTGCTTGCTGTTGGTGTTAGCTGAGGGTATCCGAAGCCATATATCGGGCCTAGCCCGTCACAGTGTCAGGGCCCTTGCCATGTAGACCAGGACGAGCACGTGAGTTTCCTTATTTGGATTAGCGTGGTGCGTGGATAGGAATACGCCGTCCAGCTTCACGTAGATCTCTTCCTTTTTCCCTCCTCTCCATGCTTGAAGTTCTCGTCGATAGCTGCCTAGATAGTTGAATAGCATCCTATTCATCGTCTAGTTGAGTTCCGTGACACACAGATATCCAGCTAAAGACCCCTATACCACCAAAAAGTTGATCAACAGATTCAACACTCAAAACACCCTATACTGCTAGGCAGCTAGAAAAGCAGGTATCTGTGACAAGAAAACTGCTTAGGGAATATGTTCAAAGCCCTTTATCTTTGTTAGAAACACACTTAGACAAGCTTATTAAGGGCCATGAATTGGCTCTAAATAAGCTTATAATTACATAGGAAGAAGTATGCAAATTCCATGCTAATAATAAATGAAATGACCAAAAGCAGAAGTAATCTAATAAGCAGCTAGCTACTGCAGAAAAGCCAGCTATTTAAGAGAGTCTAGAGCAATTTCAGCATAAGAATGAGGTCTATAAAGCTCAAGATGCACTTCATATAGATCCAGCATTTTCTACAGTTAGACCACATGTATAAGCCCCCCCACAGTGTTCTAATTATCATGTTTGGGGATATACTAGAGTTAGATGTCCTAACCCATCTAATAATTAGTTTTTATATAGAAATGCAATTGTTTTGTTGATATTGATATGGAAAAGGTCACGTGGTATGGCGGCTTGGCTCCCTCTCCAACCCCTGAGAATCCGGGCCCCTGATTATATGTAGAGAAAAAAGAGACATAGAGATAGAACAGAATGGCATCCGTTCCTTAGTAGGTTACGTACGTGTAGTCGATACAGCTTCATTCTGCCCTTCTTCCCTGAGTTACATGCATATTCCACAACAGGTATATTATAAGTGCTGACCCAGCAGTAAAAAAAAGGGTCTGTGAAAGTTGGTACATTAACTAATTTAAGTATAAAATATATATTGCAAACTTTGTATAGCAATCCACAATGACTAAGATAATACTATATATCTTGCCAAGCCATTATGATAGTGGTAGTCTAGTGATAAAGTCCAAAATAATACTATTTATTAGATTTTATGATATTAATAATGGTTTAAGTATGTCAAGGTGCGGGCTCACAGGTGGTCAGAAACAGATAGATTAGGTAGTTGATACTCAGGCTAGCTACAGGATCTCTATCTATCAGCTCCAGGTTGCAAGCAGGCTGGTACAGGTGGGCTCGATAGACAGGACGTAGCTCAAAGAGCTACAACAGGATCAAGGCAAGGAGTCAGAGATAACTTCGTTGTGGGTCACGTGGTCGGTAATTTTTTACCTGAAGACTATTAATAATACCTGACTGAAATCTCAGAGATACACTTCCCTCTTTAAAGGATAAGGAGAGAGTAAACTTTCTGTCATTTGAAAGGCTGGTGCTTGTTTTGCTACCGGAGAGAAGGGCGGCACGCGAACTGATGGAGCATCCTTTTCTCTTTTCTTCAACTCAAATAAGCATGCAATTCTTCAAAATGAATCCACTGGCAGTTGTACCAATGCGTGCAGTGCGGTCCAATTCCAAAGTTGATTATGAGTAGCTTCAGCGATGACATGGATTATACTCGCACAAAAAGGTGGGGTTCAGCAAAAGCGAAGGGTGCTGGTTAATTCAACCTACTCCGCAGTGGGTGCCCAGAACGTCTAAGGGAAAGCCAGGGATGAAACTCTGGCCAAGCTGTGATGTACTTGAAAACAGATAGAGTTACCAATCTTTTTCACAAGAAATGTTGAGTGTGAGATACAATTGGCAAGGACAAAATCCAATCATCACGATGTTTTCTTTCTCTTTGAGATCGATCGCTGATGTACAAATTTTTGTCTCGCCTGTGCGATCTCTTCTTCCTGACATTGAAGTTTGTTGAGTCCTTCCTGAAGAGCTTGTGAGTCAATGAAAATAGCACTTCCGACAATAGTCTGCTCAGCGCTGACTGGCTTGAAGGTGATGTGTGGGAGTAGACATCAGGCAGACATGTTAATATCTTGCCCTTGCTTGGTGCTGCTATCAAGGGAGTCTATCTTGGGACATGACTGAAACCCAGCCTGGACCACAGACTTGAGGAGGTTTGTATCAAATTCAATTATACAGCTAACTTTCTTTGCCCTATCCCATAGGCAAATGCAGTCTGCTAGAAGAACCTTTAGGTCATGTCCAAAGGCTCTGTATCTCTGTCAAGGGATAATTTGTGCAAGGACGTCTGAGATAGCTTTGAATTCTTGGAGCACTTGCTTGCGCTTTGGTTTCTGATCAAAATCTTGAGAAAGTGGATTCTGCCCCTCATATGTGAGAGATCTCCATAGAGCTTCTCTGCTGCAGTTCCCCTAGCTGATTGCATTAAGAAATTTTCTATGAAGAACGTACTCAATGTCACATTCCATATTTCAGCAGAGACACCACTAGCAAGTGACTATCAGAACATTAAAGGAGGAAAGGCACCTAGAACTCACAGAGTAGGGCTTCCAAATGGTGTCCCACCACCAACATTTAGACTCGAATCGAGATACCACATCCAAGCCGACCAGGGCACAGAATGGTTTCCCAATGGGTCAGAATATCGGTTGGGCCCAATTAAAGAGAGATTGAAACAAGAAACAGCAAGAAATAAAATGAAACAGAAATTTCCATCGCCGACAGCGTAGATGATCCATGATAAACCATGACATAAACTTCCAGCAGCGACAACTCTTTTTTAGCAATGGCAAGTAACGGGTGTCGAAGTACATCACAGCCTATAGCTCATTCAGAATTCGAACTAGGAAGTTCTCGGCCCGTTCTCTAAAGTGGGACAACGGTCGTACCACATTCCCATGGCTGGGTAGGTGCATGGAGCACTTCTGAGACCATTATTGACACCATGAGAACGCCGTGGGGTGTACGTTCGGACGTACACTATTTCACGCTCAGCAGCACTTGTTCCTCGGTCAAACTGAGAGCGCCGGCGTCGTTGCTCATCACGATATTGCTGGCCGACACGAGGAGCAAACAGCCCTAACATGTAAAACCAGTTTTGAGTAACAAATTTTCTTTGCGGTATTTGAGTCGCGCACTTACCGACGTGTTCTGCATTTTCAATGCTCCGACGCATTTTCGATGGGTTGTCGGGACCAGGGAAGCGATCCTCAGTACCAGCAAGAGGGCCAGTACCAGTATGAAAAATCTAAACACGGAGATGAACACGCGTTGGCTCAAATTTGAAGTACCCAACATACCTTGGGACGAAAAGATGGGTGCTCTAACATAACAGAGCTATTACGAAACTTCTGTACCAAGCAATCTTTCCCTTGGATTGCTGTAACGAAGTCTCAGAAAAATAGCACGTCAATAGTGTTGCTTGAATACTTACTTGCATATGATACCTCGGCGACTTTGTCACTATTGAAGCAGTTCCTAAGCAAGGCCGTCAGCACTACGAAACTCGGCTCTCCTTCCAGGCAAATCGTACCAACTGCGCCCCGCTCGAGCATTGACAAACTAAGATATAATCAGTTCGAGTACAACAAGCGAACAAGTAGTATATTCCGCCCTACATCTATTATGTCGATCGGCTAATCAATATACGTCAGCCAGGTCCTTCAAACCGGAAAACTTTCGATAAACAAGTGATCGACTTACATCTTCAAAGTTGATAAAAGCATAACCGACGCTAAAATAAGACGTGGGTAAGCATAATCCATGTATCCTGCTGTCGACGGTGACATACTTGCAGTTGTTCGCAAAATCTTATCAGAAGGAGTCAGCAGATAGTTTCAATACTAAGGAAGCAAGTTTCTCTGACCAATGCGCAAGTACATGAAATCGTATTTTCCATGGCTCGTCTCATCCACAATCGCCTTTAGCATTGCCTGTTAATTGAGGTTAAAGATAGCCAGATCTGATTATTTCATTTATCGCTCCTACCTGATCAATCTTATTTGGGATATTACGCAGCATGATCTTCATGGTATTCATTAGCATGCAGCCTGTATATGCAGCATGATTGGGGCACATACCGTAGTGCGGACATCGAGACCAAGTCGAATCCGTTCAATATCGACAGAATTCTGATTATTGGACCTTAGATCGGCGTAGTGGTGTGGTGACGACAATAACCTGTTATCAGCTGTAGACATCCAGTCCATGAGAGTAGCACGCTCGCCAGAAGGAATTGTAGAGCGACCAGTAGGGCTAAGCTCCATATAGGGGCTGCGGATCGGCCGACTTGAAGTCCAGGAATAATGCTTGCGGTACGGAGTTTCATTACGAGAATAAATCTCCTTTCCGGGAGAGCAGCCTGTAAATTTAGCTTGAGGTTTGTCGTCTATATCCGGTCTAAACAGCGTAACCTCAAGGAGACAATTCTTCAACGTTTTAGTCAGCATCGAACAGCACGAATATGACTCAAAACGACATGGCAGAGGGAAAGAATTCTTTCACTTACATCAACCGAAGTACCATTGAGAGTAGTCATCGCATTCTCTGCGTCACGAGTGTCAAAAAATTCAATATGAAACTCGCTAACGTTTCCCTGTCCACTGGGCAGGTGATTTAGCGACTTGACGTCACCAAAGGTTGTAACAAGAGTCTCAAGTGAGTGAGCCACGGTGTGCTGATTCAGTCGCGGGTTACGACCATCATAGTAGACGGACACGAGTAACTGGCCCTCAAAGTCCGAGGTTTGGGACAAGAGAGATGGCTCAGAATGCTGTACATATTCCCTGGCGGTAATGGGAACGACACGCCATTCAGGATGAAGAAAGCAAACCTTTTCCATTGCACCTTTTGCCTCACGGCTGTCGGTAAATGCGACATACACCTTTCCCAAGGAACTAAGTTCAGTGAGAACAGGCCCTTTGAGTGTGCCAAACTCACGGCGCTTTTCAGAGGTTAGCCACTATTGCCATAATGCTTCGACAAGGAGGAAGACATATGAAAAAGACAGGATAAAAGGCAAAAAGAAAAGAAAATCATAAGGCAGAGGCTATTCTGAAAGGAGCGTTAAAAAGAGAAAGGTTGTTACACAAAAGCTTGAACTTTCGATGACTCTAGAAGAGACTTGCACAAGAAGATGATGCCAGTTAATAATAACTTTTAAGGTTAACTTACGTTGAAAAACCCAGCCAGGGCCATATAAGAGAGAGTTGCCGGGACTTTCTCAATCACGAACGCGCGGCTTCGTCTTTCAGAATCAAGGTGCTCCGCAGTTGCAGTAGAAGGAACAGGATCCCTCAAGGGCTGAGACTTTCCGATGCACCCAGTATCTACTGGATTTTGTTCAGAGAACTTCTTGGATACATTTACTAGCCCATTGGTATCCGAGAAAGAACCAGCAGTTAGATAGCCAATCCCAGACCGGCCATGGGTCATAGAAAGTGTCGGACTTCCACTGGGAGCACCGCCAGCTGTACCAACAGGCGTGAAGCTTTCTGCAGTTGGAGAAAGTTGCATCCGGCTAGACGCGCTTGTTTGGACCAGAAACGGGTCAGAGGCAGACCTTGTCACAAATCAGTTTAGACCTACACCATATTTTATACCCACTCTCTTTTGGATAAACTTACAGCGAGTAGACTCCACAAAACTTGTCATCGCTAAGCCGGACACATAAGCTGGAATCGCGACCCCTGGACCGTACGTCCTCAGGAGAAAACGCAGTAAGCTTGGTATCCGGAGACCCATGAGGAGACACGGCCCCAATAGAAGAGCAGGGGCTGCTCATGACGCAAGAAGAATCGCAGGCCCTCATCGCAATATTCTCGTCGTGCATAGTTTGCCCCAAAGCAAACTATACGTAAGAGAGCCTGCTAACTGGAGAAATGGCTAGACTTTTCCAGGTTAGGTCGACAAGGAATACGACGCGTCGGTGATATGTTTGTGGGGAGGGGGAATGATATAAGTAAAACGGTTACCACAGTCAAGGGCCCTGGAGGACGCAATTGGACCTTATGTCATGAAAACATTGATCAGGACAAAGGACACAAACAAGACCCGCAGTTCCCAATTCAGAATAGCAGATATTGAAAGAGGCAGTTATATGAGTACGAGCAAATATTGCTGATGGATGCTGTGAGGGACTTGCATCTAGTATATTCCATTAGTTTAGAAGCAACAATAACAGGATCACATCTCCACCCAAATTTAGCCATCATATGTGTGATGGAGATGCATCAAAGCACAATCTAATAAGAATTAATTGTCTTGCTGAGTGAGTTGGCATTGACTAAAGCTAGCTATGCCATCCTTGCAATGTGAGAGATGACAGGTAGGTAATCTAGCACCTACCTAGGTAGATGACTGTGTTTCTGTTCCACTCCATATAAAATTATGAATTTTAGCTAGCAGAAAGACTTACCTGGGATAAGGGCAGACTATCTCATACCAATAGAAAACCAAGAAAGTCAAAGAACCGGCATTCCCATAGTTGAATTTCACCTTGAAGAATGGAGACATCCCGACAAGCCATAAGGGAACAAATAAAAAAAAAAATAAGCCCATGATTTCTTGAGAAAAGAGAGACAACAGATGACTCGAGATCCCAAGAATCACTCCACAAGTGGGTTCCCGAGAAACTCATAGATCATGCTCATTCAAGGATTGTCAGCGGCTAGTAATAAGGCATCGAAGAATGCCAGGCAACTTCTTGCATTGCAGCTTCAATCATCTCAACATGCATTTACGCATTTTGGTGGCATTGCAAATGGGCACAATAAGAATTGGCACCCACATAAATGAATACACCGAAATGTCTGCAAATATAAGCATGAGTAAAGGGTTAAGTGACCAGAGAAGTCTTCTTGGGCGAAGCTTATTCGTTATGAAGATCATTTCGAGTTCCCCAAAGATGGGTCTCCAGAAGTCAGCCTGATATTGGCAGAATCATAGTAGTCAGTTGGTTCCATAGTGCTAGCAACAGTAACTGGCAAGGCTTCACGTGTAATGTATGTCCCAAGAACCCTTGTTTGCGATATTCGGGTTGTGACAGTTCACGTAAAGCTTCGGGAGTTAAAATGTCACACAGCCACCCCCCTTTGCCTCTTAGTCCACAGCTGCCTGTAAGTCTAAAGTAAAGGGAACTTGTTCAGTTGAAAAAGAGCAAATCTGAACAACATAGACGTAAGAAAGAGGATAGGAACAGCAGAAGTAGGAACAATAGGTGTAGTGGTAGTGCTTGTTTCTCAACTGAGCACAGATATGGAGCACGGAGCAACTACACCACTAGTACAGTGCTGTCCTTGAAATTGCCAGTGAACTGACAACAGCCATTTCATACCCGGTGCACTGTGCACCCTGGACATTCCGAGCTTCTTGAACTCATCGAACTGTATCATTTCTTCTTTTCTTGCGCCCTTCATCCCTTGGATGAGGTACTCCTGTCAACATGCGTCCCGTTGTTCCAGCCCGCAATGAATCTTCTTACTTACTAAACCAGGTGAGTACCAAGAAGAAGTCGATTTCGGTATATATAACTAATGATTCGAGCTTGATATGCAGATAATTATTTCGCCATCCGACACCGACTACCTTGATCAGCTAATTCCCTCAATTCGAGAATACAGTTATGGAAACCGAACGTCGCAACTCTTACAGTCTCTATCTAAATTCGCTAGTGACAAGGAATCAGAGATAGAGGGTATTTGCAACAGTAATCACCAGGAGTTCGTAACATCTGTGAACCAGCTTCTTCGCATTAGAGAGGGCACCGTTAGCCTGACGGCTGAGATACTAGACCTCAATCAGTCTATTCAAGCAAGCACGGAAAGATTGGCCGATCAGAAGAAGTCCTTAGTCGAATCACGAAGTCACCGGCAGAATATCGATGAAACATTCCGTGCTATTCAAGACTGTTTGGAGGTGTTACGCTTGGCAAATCAAGTTCACGATCTGTTGGCAAAAAAGAATCACTATGCAGCCCTACGCGCGCTCGATGAGCTCCAAAATGTCCATCTCAAGGGGGTGACTCAGTACAAGATTGCGGAGATGATCCAGCGATCAGTTCCTTCGACGCAGAGAGCTATAGCCGAGGCAGTCATGTCCGACTTGAACACCTGGCTGTATAGGATTCGTGAGATGTCACAATATCTCGGGGAAATAGCTCTGTATCACACAGATCTGAGGAAGACAAGGCGGAAAGAAAGAGCGGAAAAGATACCATATCTGGGACACTTCAAGCTAAATTCTGCAATCGAATTGGTCTCAGACGAACATGAAGAATATGACCTATTGCAAAATGATGAGCTCCAAGTTGATTTCACTCCGCTATTCGAATGTTTACTTATCCATCAGTCCTTGGGCCATATGGACAAATTTAGAATTGAATATGCGAACACGCGACGACGTCAGAAGGAGCTCTTAATCCCTGCCTCCATAACTTTGGTTGACGATGATGGTGCTAGCCTCCACAATCTGCTCGAGGAAATGGCAGGCTTTGCTATCGTGGAACGATCCACAATGAAAAGGGTTCCTGAGTTAAGGTCTTCCGTTGATGTAGTAGCCCTCAATCTCAATCCATCGAAGCTCCAATGAATCTAACGAAACAATGGCCAGGTCGATGAACTCTGGGATTCGATGTGCCAGGCCGCTGTCAGCTTAATATCCAAAGCTCTTCATGAGGTTGACAATGCTGAAAGCTTGTTAAAAATAAAAAACCTCATCGCCTTGTTTATGCAGACAATGAATGTTCGTGGCTTTTGTCTATAAATTTCTGTAATGCTCAATACTGATACTCACAACAACAGACCTGGGATTTTCCCGTTGGAGTTTTTGACGACTTCCTGTTGGTCCTTTTTGAGAAGTATGCTGAACTACTCAAGAAAAGGTTCAGCGATGATTTCCAGGAGGTTCGTCGTATCTCTAACTTTATACTCATGCAAACTAATGTCTTAGATTGTTTCTACGGACGACTATATGCCAATGCCAATTCAGTCTCTCGAGGAGTTTGACAAAGTCCTCAGTGTCAGTTGGTACAATCCCGAGAAACCGCGAGAAGAGCAAATGTTGGAGACACCATTCCTTAATGATTAATGTCTGTTTTCTAGACGTCGGCTAATAAGTGTAGCTTCCCGTGCGTTCTGCCATTCTCGCAGATGTATCCCCTATGCTGTATCGACATCCGGAACTTCTTAAATCAATTCTATTTCTTCGCCAACGATGACTTCCCGCATCCGAATGTCATAGATGAGTCATTGAAAAATGTAAGTCCTTGGTGAATTATTGAGGAAATATGCGGAGACCTCTAATTTTCAAGCGACTCAGACATTAGATGAACTTCTTTCCTTCAAAGTTTGTGACACTCTTGTCGAACGCCTTGCTTCCCAGTATCTGGGACAAATTGTTCAGATCCTTATAAATTTGGAGCATTTCGAGTTGGCTTGTCAAGAGCTCGAGATACTCCTTGCTGCGGCGAGATCCCAGAATTTTGCAGGCGGGCCAATCACTCTGAGGGCCACTGGAAAATTTAGAAGTAACAAGAAGGCAGCAGAGAAACGCATATTTGAAGTTGTCAACTCAAAAATTGACGATCTTATCGAAACGGCTGAATATGACTGGCTGGCTCCAACTCCGCCCACAGAACCTAGCAACTATATGCAGACTTTAACTCGATTTCTTTCCAATATAATGAATTCAACATTGCTCGGTCTGCCAACAGAGATCAAAGAACTTATATACTTTGATGCTTTAAGTCATGCAGCAAATATGATCCTTGTGTGTCTTCTATGACATTCCATCTCCATTAGTGAGCAAGTGCTGATAGTGTTATTTCAGGCACAACCACTTTCTCCAGAAGTGAAGAGGATAAATTCCAATGGGGTTGCTGCCCTCGCAAAGGATGTTGAGTATCTTTCCAGATTTGTGGACAGTCTTGGCGTACCAATTCTTCGAGAGAACCTTGATGAGCTGCAGCAAACCGTGCAGTTGATGCAAGCAGATAACGCGGATGAGTTCTATGACATTTCTACAAGAAACAAGAAGTATGGTCGTGTAGACGCTATTAACGGCCCGATCCTCCTAGAGAAGTATGCGTACCCTTAGCAACTACCTAGGTGCCAAGTCCCAGTCGAATTGCTAACCAAATTAGGGTTACGCACTCCCTCCAAAGCCCTGTGAAATTGGACAAATTTACGACGCTCTCTTCGAGATTCGGGAAGAAGTAATAAGATTGTGAATCTTTTTTAATCATTATTCCCTCTAAGGGAAATAGAATCTCGGCTTGATTCCACTGGCTACAGATAGCCTCGAACAAGCACCAAGCTGAATATTTTCAATCTCATTGAATAAACCTGTCACTAAACACGACTTCTCGATCGCATTTACTGTAATTCGAACTCGTGGTTTATCGCTGGGCCTCATTTTCACTGGGAACAATTAGCCAAGAATAAATACAATATTCATGGCAATTGAAGTGCCATGTAAAATTGGAATTTAACGACCTCCATACCTGTTGTGGTGGTAAATGGGCGTAGGGTGCGTACATGCCCTCGAACATCGGGGGTTGAGGTTGGCCATACGCTGTTGCTGGGTCTGGCTGCACTGCTCCAGCGTACATGGTTGGTTGTCGATAGTCTTGACCTTGAGGAATGCCATGTCCTAAGGAGCCGTACTCTGGTGGAGGAATATGGTGTTGATGGTGCTGAACTCCGTGTGAAGGGGGAAGCTGGCTTGCAGGGGAGGCGGTGGTAGTGCCAGCTGTTTGGCTGGAGCGTTTGGCATGAGATGAAGCCTCCTCCCGAGGTACTATATCAATAAGGAAGTCAAACATATCAGACTTGGATAGAGCTGCCGCAATATCAGACCGCTGGAGAGTCCGCCGTTTGTTATCTTCAGCATGGATCCATGCTCGCATTGTTAACTCGGTGATGAAGATATCGCAGCCTTTGGCAAACAAGATAGGAGCCTCGGCCGAAATCATTTTCACTTCGGGGTCAGCTTTCATGACCTTTTTTATTCGTGCTAACGGTAGCTGGTGGATTTTATAGTCATGATTATCTGATTCGAGGTGGTTGATAACGTGTTGCCAGTAGGTTGTCAATATATCACGGGCAGTCCCTTGGAGGCCTTGATTGACCTATATTGCAGTCAGCACCAATGCAAGTTGATTTCACCGTCACTGACATTTGCCCAAGTGCCTGTATACAACTCAGCAACGGGCGCATATCCTTGAGCTGAAAGCTAGTTCGCGTTGAATTGTTAGCGATATGAAAATCCATAACATCAATTTAAGTACAGAAATGACCGGCAGGTATACCGCAGCACTTGCACCTACAGATACGTAATGTCAGCTTGCATTCAGAGAGAAGTTAACAGGGAAATGAACTTGATCGAGGCTGTGGATCTATTACCATAATGTCCACCATTTCTGATATCGTATATAGGCTGCTGCCTGCTTTGTTGTTGCCCGGTGCCTCTTGGAGCTTGATCCATAGTGGAGATATGATTTGCAAATTGTAGAAATTGTAAATTTATCTACATGGAGAATGGCAGACCCAACGATTCTGTCTGCAGGGAAATGAAATAGAAGAGTTAACAGGATGACAAGGATCAGGGAGGGAAAGGATTAAGCCTGAATAGTTAACTAACGTAATCGGACACCGTACCGCCCACATTGAACCGCTCAGTCACCTTGCTGTTGCCCCTTGTTACTATTTTACTACACTACAACACCATGGATCCATTATCAAAGTAGCCACGGCTGCAGCTTGCATTTAATGCTTATAAAAAGGACTTTTATCCATCAATTATGAAGGTAGGATTGGCTCACAATGCTACTTACAATCTTGAGAAACCATCAAAGAGAGATGGCTTTCTAAAGGAAAGAGCCGCTAATGTAAAAATTGACTAATACTAAAGAAGATACTCTTTCAACATAGATTCTGGACATAAGGTAATGTGGCTTACCTCTTTAAATATCTGCTGTACTTATATTATCTCACTTAACTATTATTATATGTCCAAGTCCCATCTTGTTTCAAATCTATTGATGAGAAATACTGTGGGTGATCACCTGACGCCCAGTCCCACCTGCCGCCCGAATTAAGCAGACCGACGTTCTAAATCATAGAGATTTCAACCTTCATAATTTCTTCAATATGACTCCAATTGAGGCGGCGTTAGAAGCAATTGAATCCTTGAAGCCAGATGAATCAATTAATTACACCAAAATTGCCAACCAGTTTGGAGTAAGCTGGTCAACATTGTCAAGGCGCCACCGCGGGGTTCAGCACTCAAAAGACCACCAGTATGAAAAGCAGCAAGTCCTCACCAACCAACATGAAAAGGAGCTTATAAAGTATATAAATAAGCTTACTGAATGTAGCTTATTTGCCTCCCATAAGATGCTTTGAAATTTTGCAAAAGAAATTGCTGGGAAGAAGCCTGGGAAGCATTGGCTAGGCCACTTCCTACAGAGGCATCAAGATTAATTTATTTCCACCTATACAACTGCTATCAATTCTGTGTGAAAATGAGCTAATTCCACATATAAATATACTTTATATTTCAAGTTGTTAATCAAGAAATTGGAGGAATATGAGATACAGCCAGAGGATATTTATAATATGGATGAGAAGGGTTTTCTTATTAGAATGCTGTCCAAAGGCCTCTAGATCTTCTCTAGACATAAATATGAGCAAAGAGGCTTCAAACAATGCTTGCAGGATGAAAATTATGAGTGGATTACCTCTATTGCTTGCATCTGTGCTGATAAGATATCTCTGTCTTTAGGCCTAATTTATCAAGCAGTCAGTGGTAATATACAAGACACATAGCTTCAGGACTTCAATCTTAAAGGGCATAGCTGCTTTTTTACTTCATCACTAAGTGACTGGACCAATGATGAGCTTAGATTTGCATGGCTAAAGGATATTTTTGACTGACAGACCAAAGATAAGGCCTAAAGGCACTGGAGGCTCCTAAACCTTGATAGCCATAGATCTTATCTTATAATAAAGTTTATAAACTACTGTGATGCCAATAAGATCCTTTTAATAACTTATCCACTTTATTCAACTCATGTACTGTAGCTACTTGATATTAAGATCTTCAGTCCTCTGTCTGTTGCATACAGTAGTCAGTTAGAGAAATTTTTACATACTTCTTAAGGCCTTAGCTATATTACAAAATAGGACTTCTTTAGGCTCTTTTGGCTAGCTTAGGGAAAGGTATTATCATCAAGAGATATACTATCTTCATGGAGAGCTGTTGGGATATTACCATTAAATCCTGAAGTTGTATTGGCCCAATTCAGCAAAACACCAGACTTTAGACCTTTATCTAGTGAGTCTTCACGCTCTATCCTACAGGTGTCAGGGCCCTTGCCATGTAGACCAGGACGAGCACGTGAGCTTCCTTACTTGGATTAGCGTGGCGCGTGGATAGGAGTACGTCGTCCAGCTTCATGTAGATCTCTTCCTTTTTCCTTCCTCTTCATGCTTGAAGTTCTCATTGATAGCTGCCTAGATAGTTGAATAGCATCCTATTCATTGTCTAGTTAAGTTCTGTGACATAACTTCAAGCATCTAACTTATCCTTGTGTCGCCTGGGCTGGAGTCTGATTTTCACCAACCACTGACTCACCCAGAGTTGAACTGACAGAGTCAATGAATTTGAACAAAATGAATCCCTGAACCTAAGAATAGAATGACTGATTGAATTGCCAAATGGCAAGACCCTCTGATACAGCTAGCACTGAACCAGCTGGAATAACCTTAAGTCTGAATATGAAAGAACTAAATTAATATGACTCTATTATATTTAGCAATCATAGGGAACTTAACTATATCAGCTTAAATAAATTTTGCAGATAAATAATTGCTGATTTAGAAGCCTTATTTGAAGATATTCAGTCTAGATACTGAGATTATAAAGAAATAATTAAAGATTAGAAGATCTAGATTGCAAAGGCTATTATAAAAAAGTAGGAGATTACTATTGATCTGATCTTATTATAATAAGAAGTTCAGTGTCTATAGAAGGAGTTGAATTAAGCTATAACAGAATAAGATATTTATATCTGACAGATTGCCAAAACCATTGTTGATAGAAACATAGACTTTTAGGTTAGACTGAGTTTTATCACCTGCAAGTCAGCTAAGCTCTTTGATCCCTTTATACTTACTGATGGCAAGAAATCTTATTTTAAAGATTAGCTTCTACTAATAAACTAAAAGCTTTCTGCAAATAGCAACTATTATAATATCCTAAAATTTTAAATTGTGTATGTAGCAGGCTGCTGTGAAGGCAAGATATAGAAGTATATTATGCCTTAAATAAGAGAAGGAGCTCTTAGCCCTTATATAGATACAAAAAATATTTTTAATTACTTAAAGATAATTTATAGGGATCCTAACTGGATTATAATAGCTAAGAATCAGTTTCACTAGCTGTATATAAAGAATATTAATAAATTTTATAATTTTTTTTCTGAATTCCTTTACCTTGCAGCTAAAGCAGAAGTCTTTAAAGATAGCTAGAAAAATAAATTATACTATTAGATCACAACAGAGCTGCAGAAGCTGACTATGACTAAGAAACTTAAAGAAAGATCATTTTAGGAGTTTTCAAACCTCTACTCCCAGATTGCAGGTCACCTGGAAGTTATTAATCATTAAGTTTAAAAGAGCTGTACTTTCACTCTTACTAAGACTAGTTAGACTACTCAAGTTAAAAAGGAAACCACCCCTGGTACTCCATAATCTAATAGCACCTTCATGACTGAAGACTTATAAGAATATTTAATGAAAGAAGGACAGTGTTTTAGATGCTATAAGCAGGGATATTAATCCTAAGACTGCCCAGAGAAGCAATCCTAATTAGGATTAAAGTTCTTTAAAAGGAAGAAGGACAACAGCAACCAGTCAGAAAATGTCTAACCTAGGATAAAGTTTTCTCTCTGGGTTATATTAATGGCAGCTTAAAAGAAGTGGATTTAGGTAGATTATTTAGGGGGCAAAGTTTTACTGTACCTAGCTAGGTAGCACATAATAAAATTAGCATACCTTTATCTGCTTTAGCTGACATAGGAGCAAATGATTATCTATTCTTTAATATATATCACACCACTAAAATTGCTAAATTTTTAAAGATCTTTATCTAGCAACTAGATCAATTAAGCAAGATAAAAGGCTTTAATAGACAACTAAGCCCTCTTATTATTATATGGTTGTGCTACACTTGTGGATTAGTAGCTGAAGATTCCTCAATCAGCCTTTTCTCATTCTGGACCTTGGCCAGCACAACATAATTGTGGGGAGGAAATGGTTTATAGAATAAGATATCTGGCTAGATATGAAAAATCACTATTTGATTTAGCCTAATCAGAGGCTCTTAACTGTAAAGATCTAGGCTAAACAAAATACTATTATCTCTAAATAAATTCTTAAGCGCCCAATACCAACACCTAAATATCAGAACCACATAGAATACTAAGATAAACTGTGGAGGAGAAGGGACTGTTACCAATAATTAGGAACCATAGAATAGGATTATTATGCAAACAATGGAAAAAAGATACAGGCACTAGCTCCAGAGAATCCTAACTAGGGCTACCTAACTGAGACTGCAACTCTCCAGATAGATGCTCAAGAAGAGGTCTGCCAGCCTACATTATATAATAAGAAGCTAGTTGATATTGTTATCATAGGAGCTGTACCCTTCCACTAGTACCTCAGCAAAGAGGGAACTAAGGCATGTATTACAAGCCTATTGGAAATTAATCAAATAATAGAGGAAAAACATGCTATGGAACATGAAGCTGAGGAGATAGCAGATTAGGAACTTGTCAAATAAAAACTGCCAAAATACTATTAGGGATATAAAGATATCTTCTCAAAGGCTATATCAGATAGGCTGTTACCCTATTAGACTAATAACTACAAGATTATACTAAAGAAAAGAAAAATATTAAAAGAAATAGGCTATAGCTCTTTGTATAAGTAATCAACAAAAAAGCTAAAAATAGCCTAAAATTATATTGTTGACAATCTCTTAAAAAGGTTTATTGGACTTAGCATAGCACCATATACTTTGCTTATTTTAATAGCCTAGAAGTTAGGAGGTGGATTATGATTCTGTGTTGACTATCAGAAATTAAATTCAATCATTAAGAAAGACTGATACCCTATCCCCCTAATAGATAAGCTGATAGAATGACTATCCAGTGCTAAAATATTTATGAAACTTAATATCTGATAAGGATTCTATAGGATTTGTATGAGTCCAGAATCAGAAGACCTTACCACCTTCTGAACCCAATATAGAACCTTTAAATATTATATTCTATTTTTTGGACTGACTAATGGTCCTATTGTATTCTAGAGATTTATTAATAAGATTCTTATAGACTATCTAGATTATTTTATTATAAGATATGTAGATAATCTCTTGATCTATAACCAGAATAAGGAGAAATATATAGAATATATAAAAAAGGTCTTAGAATGCCTTTGCAGTGCTGGGTTACAGGTGAATATCAAGAAATATGAATTCTATGTTATATATACTAAGTATCTTAGTTTTATCCTGACTACAGAAGGCATGGAGGTTGACCTAAAGAAAATAATAATAATCTAGGATTGGAAGACCCTTAACACAATATAAAAGGTCTAGTCATTTCTAAAATTCTATAATTTTTATAAGAAATTTATAAAAGACTACAGCTAGATATCTAAACCCCTTCATAAACTTACTAAAAGGAATGTCTCCTTTAATTAGGATAAGAATTATGAAAATACTTTCAAGGATCTAAAAGAACAGCTTTCTAACATCCTTATTCTATGCCACTACTATCCAGATTTTGAAACTAAATTAAAGACAGATACCTTAAATAATATAATAGCAGGAGTCCTATCACAAAAGCATGATAACTAATAACACCCAATAATATATTACTCTAAGAGCATATCAGCTGCTGAAAAGAATTATAAGATCTATAATAAGGAACTACTAGCAATCATATAAGCTCTATAAAAATAATAAACAGAATTAGAAGGACTCTAGCTACAAAAATAATTTAATATTTTTATTGATTATAAGGCTCTTGAATACTTTATATCAATAAAGAAGCTAAATACTAGATAAGCTTATTAGATTGAGTTCTTATTATAATTTTATTTTGTAATTTGATATTATCTTAAGAAATAGAACACACTTGCTGATACTCTCAGTTGCCTTTAAAAAAGTTTAGATACTCTAGACTGCAACTATCAATTCCAGATCCTCTTGAAGCTAGACTCCCTAGAATCCTAGATTTATAAAGAGGTCAGCCTATCCCCTATCAATCCTTAGATTTATATTGTTGATTGGATCCTTTAAATGAACTGAGAGGCCCCTAAGCTAGAAGAATACTGAACAAAGGCAGAAACTAACTAAAATAGACTATAAGAGTTGAGGGATAGCCTACTGCTTTAAAATAATTGCCTAATAATCTTAGGTAATGACCTAACCCTGTATACACACCTTTTAGATAAGGTTTATAGGCAAATATCCACAGCATATTCTGGATAAATAAAGACTTAGCAGCTAGTATAGGCTTAGTACTACTGGCCTAGCTGGTATTAAGATATTAAATAATATATATGGAACTGTGTTAAATACTAAAGAGCTAAAAATTTTTAAGATAAGAAGCTTAGATTACTGCAGCCATTACTAGTACTTAATCACCTTTGGCAGTATATCTCTATGGACTTCCACTCCTTTCTTAAAGATAAGAATAGATTTAATGCAGTTCTAGTATTTGTGGACTAGCTCAGCAAATGCCCTATCAGCATCTTTTGTCATAAAGGAATCACTGCAGAGCAGATGGCGTGACTATTCATTAAATATATATATTACTAATAAGGGCCCCCTGACAGTGTTGTATCTGATCTAGGCCCCTAATTTATTTTCACTTTCTGGAAGGTATTCTGCCAAATCTTAGGAATCAAACTAAAACTCTCCACCCCTCACTATGCAAAGACAGATAGGCAAACAGAAATAATTAACTAATATATCACAATGTGCCTACAACCCTTTATCAATCACTATCAGGATAACTAATCTGAATTTCTGTCCCTAATTAACTTTGCTGCTGCAACCCTTCCCTCTGAAACCACCTTAGCCTCCCTCTTCCTTATTGATTGCAGATATGAACCCCAAATCTTATTTAATTAGATCAGCCTCACAACCCTTATCCCACAAAATAAGAGGGTTAGCAGGGAATAAGCTAAGAGGATAGCAAAGCAGATGCAGAAAATATGGCTAACAGCAAAGGAAAATGCTATAGCTGTTTAAAAACACCAGAAGATCTAGGCAGATTGTCACTATCAGGAAGTGGACTTTGGAGTTAGGGATTCAGTTTAGCTATCCCTGAAGGCATATAAAATAAGCCAACCTAGCAAAAAGCTGGATAGCTAGATGGCAGGACCCTTCCAAATTTTAGAAAGGATGGGTCACTCCTATCAATTAAAGCTTCCCAAATCCATGAAGATCCACCTGATATTCTCACCTGATAAGCTACATTGAGCTGCAGATGATCCTTTCTTGAGATAACAGATTAAGCCCCCAGAGCCTGTAATTATCAATAGAGAGTGAGAATGGGAAGTTAAAAAAATACTGGCATTATGGCTCAACAAATAGCAGCTCCAATATCAAGTTAAATAGGTGGGCTATGATGAAGACAACACATGGTATCCTACCTGAAATTTCAAGGGATCCCCCCATCAATTGTGAGACTATCATACAGCGTATCCTTCCCACCCTGGACCACCATGGTATTTGAACAAATGGCTGAAGGCCTGGGAGAATGATAATGACCTACTGGATCACAGAGATGACAACTTACCAGCTTGAGGGCTGGGGACAGCCCTCTTAAAGAGGGGGGTAATGTCAGGGCCCTTGCCATGTAGACCAGGACGAGCACGTGAGCTTCCTTACTTGGATTAGCGTGGCGTGTGGATAGGAGTACGTCGTCCAGCTTCACGTAGATCTCTTCCTTTTTCCTTCCTCTTCATGCTTGAAGTTCTCGTCGATAGCTGCCTAGATAGTCGAATAGCATCCTATTCATCGTCTAGTTGAGTTCCGTGACAACAGGCAGAAGACTGGCAGAAGATTGAAAGACTTCTAAATCAGGTGGTTACTAATGTGTATGATAAAAACACCAAGAAGTTGAGTTCTATGACGCATCACCTCTCTACTGAGAATATACTGCTCAGACTACGTTGTGAAGGTCTTGAATCAGCCTTCCAGAATGAGAAGAAGAAGCATCAATGTGGGAAACCTCTGCAGTTTGAATTATCTCCTCTAGAAAATGGTGGTGCAGTCTTTTATTCAAAGGCCCATCAGCAGCAAGAGAAGCTAGAGAAGCAACATTTATTGGAGGAGCATAAGCACATTCAGGCATCTAATCAGGAACTGCGCCTCCTAGAGGCTAAGAAAAAGAAGCAGCAGAAGGAGGAGGAGCGCTAGCAAAAGGAGGCAGGTCTACAGCTTCAAAAAGACCTTAATTAGGTGAAGAAGATGACAAAGAAGCCTTCTAGAGCTTCAAATACACAGAGGATTCATCCTACTGAGCCAGTGGCTGCTGAAGTTGTTGAAGGGGTCCCCCTGGTAGTAAATTGTCAAGGCCAGCCAATTCGACTACCACACCGTTTCTGGGGTTGAGTAAAGATAGTGAATAATATCTATATAATGCTTTCTTTAAAGCACCAAGAATTTAGAAGATAGTATCTAATGTATGGGGTTCAATTGCTTCATGTTGGGTCTTGTTGTTGGTGGTGAAATCGGGCGGCAGGCGGGAACGGGCGTCAGGTGATCACCCACAGTAGATAATGGATAGGCGCATGTATGGTCGTATTACTAGGTAGGCCTGCCTGTGCCGTGAGATAGGTAGCGAGGGCGGTCTAGGACGGCAGAACCTCACGTGTACTAACAGTAGATAATGGATAGGCGCATGTATGGTCGTATTACTAGGTAGGCCTGCCTGTGCCGTGAGATAGGTAGCGAGGGCGGTCTAGGACGGCAGAACCTCACGTGTACTAACAGTAGATGATACACTATATAAAATGCAATCCAGAGCTCAAATCCAAAAATAGTAGTAGTAGGCTTCCATTTTGGTGTCGTTTTCCAGTCTAGCCTAAGACTATGCATGGTCTATCCACCCCAGTAGGGTAAGGATTTGGGTCAGCTAGCGAAGTACAGTATCGCGGTGCCAGCCCAGAGGCCCTTCGAGTTACGTCTTGTCTGTCTGTATATAGACTGACCTGTAGCCTGCCTGAGTATCCAATCCAATCGGTATCCGTCCGTTCTCTGAACCGTTTCCCTACCACCCTGAACCTGCACCTTGACACCCATTCTTTTTCTTTGAAACATGGTGTACCATTACCTGGTGCAGTTGCAAAGTACAGGTAGTTTCACAATGCATCTCTCTGACCCGGCAATGCTGGTCAGGAATGATAATGGCAACCTCAACAGGCCAGGGTGTGATGTTTTCTCCTTGAGTTGTGACTATCTGAATGTGCTAATAGACCCCTAATCCATGTTTCTAGCATATACCAGTGGGTTATACTGCAAGTCCACCAAATCCAAAGTGGATGTAGTCTGGATGTCACTCCCAGCGTTGTTTGCAATAAAGTGAGGGATGTAATGACTTTCAGTGCCACCATGAGCGCCAATGAGTCTAAATCTTGCGAAAGTCTAAATTCCATTAGTAACTCAGGTCAAGTAGATATGCTAAGCATTGGCATATCTCATGTATGAAAGATCCGGTTAGGAAGCCGAATGAAGTCAATTGCGCCATTGAGAAGCCAGCTACAGCAGAGGTCAGCTATAGGCGACCACAACATATCATTGCTCGAAAGTAGTTGGGGTTGGCTGCATTGCATCATTTGCGTTGCAAGTTCCTGAGGAATAGTAAGAAATTTGCTAAAGTAGACTAACCTCGGTCTTGGCGGCAGGTTCTCAGCGCTAAGCGGTTTATCTAGTGTCCTCCCATCACAAACATGAGTTATATGACCACGTGTAAGGGGCCCTAGTTTTCCTGTTTCGTACATTTGTATGAGTGCTAAGATGTTTGTTCTTTGGCATTTATTCCCTGGATCTCTTAGGCCACACAATACGTTCTTGAGGCTGAACAACCCAAAGGGATTGGGAATGCAGGAAGAAACTCCTCCTTTGGGGCCATTTCACAACGACAGTATATATTGTAAGAGGAAAGACACATGGAAGAGAACCTGGATTATAAGAGATATGCTATCACTCTGTTCCCAATACCTCAATATGGGCAACCTACCAAATGGGAGAGATATGGCGCTGAGTGTTAAGTTATTACTGATATCCTGATATTATTGTTAATGGGTGTTTAAATAAGAAAACAGTGGTGATCATGAGATGAAACTATCAAGGTTGCCGCTGGACTGCTCGTATTTTGTTCATATATTATTATTTACTTTTACTAGTGAAAGGACCCAGTTGTAAATCATGTGACTCTGTGCATTGTGCGGAATTCCATTTCTGTGGGAAAATTTTTTTTGCCCTCCATTTCTCTTCACAACTCCTACGTGACTAGTCTTCTCTATCTGGCCTCGCGCAACAAAATATTGGGTCATCATTTCCTCTCAACGGCCTTTTGGTTATAGGGAAATCCCAGGGCACTCCTTGACCATATTACTTAATCACTTTCCTTTTTCTTTTTGCTATATCGCCATTTGCGGTAACAGTTCTAAACTTTGAAATGGCAGCAAAGTTGATAGATTCTGAAAAACCTGAAGATGAGGTTGACTTGACAGATGGCCAAATCCAACAACTTCTTCTGGAAGCAGAAACGCGAATGGGACCACCTGAGACGAAGTCTTCTGAATTTCTCACCACTAATAGCGCATCTGCTGATAAATCGAAGTCAGAGTCAGCACTGTTAAAGTATCTCTCCATCCTGCTACATGCAGAGCTAGAAAAAAAAAGGCTAATGAGCTTTAGCATTCCAGGTTTATCGTTAGATAAAGTTTTAAGACCCTATGTCCGCAAAGAGGGCGAAGTTGCTACAACAGACTCACGAGCCATCATCTCTTCTCAAAGGGACATGTCTATAGTACATGACCAAATACGACCTTCCAATAAACAAGGTCGGAATTCGTTGAAAGTAAGTCCACTTTAGTTCAACGTTCTTATTGCTCATTGCATGAGGAAATTCTACCCAACGCTTCGGCACTTGAAGTAGTCTCATGACCCGTATTGGGTCGCGCTACCCCAGTGAGAGCCTTTCTTGTTTTCATAGTTACTCTGAAGATCTACCCTTTCACAATAATCCTGTTTCAGATAGCATCTGGTATTTCTGTTACTGACTGTACGGTGAGAAGGATAAGACGACTGCAGGAAGTGATTGGTTCGATTTGCCGAAAACAGAATTGACAACAGAGCTCGGAAGGGATTTAAAACTTCTACGCATGCGTTCTGTGCTTGACCCGAAAAGGCACTATAAAAAAGAGAACGGAAACTCGGGGCTCCCAGAGTTTTCTCAAGTTGGAACTGTTATCGAAGGTCCGACTGAATTCTTTAGTGCACGTATTACAAAGAAGGAACGCAAGAGAACTTTTGTCGGGGAAGCTCTTGCTGTTGAGCGGGAGACGAGGCATTTTGAAACCAAATACAATAATATCCAGGCGTCTAAAAGAAGCGGCAAAAAGTCCTTCTACAGAAGTCTGAGAGCCAAGAGAAACCGGAAGGCTTTCCCACTTACATGAAAGCAAATAGGAACCGGGTATATTGAAGACGAGTTTATCCGGTCACAAATCAGCAAGGTCCGATACCACGATCGTGCTACGTCCACCGGATATTGGAACAATGCGCTAATATCATTAGTCGTCTCGGCTTCAGTTGAACATGCCTGCCACAGTGCATTCAACAAGTCTCTGTTCCCGTCGTTAGTACCGAAGATCGTATATGATGTGTAGTGACGACTGATCGCCAGCACACTTACTTGCATATCAATAGCCGCATGACGACCTTCCTCAAGGACTTCTTCATGGTTTGCCTTCCCTTCTTGCAAGATGTCGTCCAATTCATTGGCAGCCGTTCTCTGAAGAAGATGATCGTCTCCACGGGGAGCAGGAGAAAGGACCGCGCTGTTTGTCACAAGGCTAAATGCCAACACTCGAATTCCACAGTGTCTGGCGACAATTATTTCTGGTATTGTCGACATGCCAACCAAATCGGCGCCTAGCTGTCGAAGCATACGACATTCTGCCCTGGTCTCGTAGCTGTTCATAGTTAGCCTGGTTTACTTGGATCTTAGTTGAAGTTATGATAACTACCTTGGACCACCAACAAATGCGTACACACCTTCGTGCAGCCTCCTCTTAGTACTTGAAGGTATGACCGTTTTCCAAGCTTTATGCACAAAGCGGCGAAGTTGAAGGTCATATGCATCTGATAATGGAGGAAAGCGAGTCCCGAATTCGTTTATATTAGGGCCCCGTAGTGGATGAATTCCTGCCAAACCAGCGAGGAATATATGCTAGGAAAGGTCAGTTGGTGTAGTGCTTCTCCAGAAAGGCAAACGTACATCGTTCAGCAATACAATATCTCCAACTGCATACTCAGAGTTCAAGCCTCCTGCGGCATTCGTTACTGCGATCAATGAATTATGATTAGTTAAGAACATAACAATCAAAGAAGAGAGAACCTACAGACTACCGTGTCAACCCCCAAGAGACTGAAAACGCGAATTGGAAATGTTATACGCTCAATTGAATGACCCTCGTAGTAACTACACAGCAAACCATAAGCCACTCCAGCACATACCTAAATAATCAGGGAATAACTAAAGAGACTCACTGCGCACGGCCAACCATTAAAACGGCCGGGATCCTTTGAGCAATTAACCCAAAAACCAGTTTTCCAGCATGTCCAGTAACTTCTGAAAGTAAGAATAACAGGTCCAGACAATGACTTCTTTCTCGTGGGCTTACCTGTGAGATGGGGGAAATGTGGAATGGAGCTGTAATCATACTCCGCTTTAGGCATGTCATAGATTGTATCTGCAAGTCCGCCCAGCCCTGAACCACAGACAATGGCGACCCGAGGTTTTTGAAGAGGGGTCGGTAGACGTTGGCTCAAATATGAAACTGCTTCTTGGGCCTGTTCAAGCAGAGACATATTTCGCGGCAGTTCAGTCATTGTCAATGTAATGCTAAGGGTGCAGTTATACAGAAAGGCAATTATAGTGATAACCAACAAAACATAGGAGTTAGCTCCAAGGAGATAAAGACGCGGGTAAAAGGGCTCGGGCGATGGTGGAACCTTGAGGAAGCAGGGCTTCAATAGCAGTGAATACGCTGTACGGACTACATGGGTCACCAAAAAAAATTATACGGGAGAATCTAATAATAATAGCAAATATTTCCTGAAGGGGCAATAATTATTGGAATTTAGCTATGGAGTAGACCATACTAACCTGTACCTAGTACGGAGACACGGACGTATGGACGAAATTCAGAAGGCGGTCAATAGTTAAACGTCCCGTGAGAGATTTATAGCGTACTTTACTGTATAAGAGTACGGAGGTAATAGTACTGCATTGGCTTCTCCCCTGCAACTTGGGTAGCTTTTTCTTTCGTGATTTGGGGGGGAGGATTCGTCTATCATGTATTTCAACTCAACTTCACGCTCCTTTTTCAAAACCAGCAGGCAGCTAAAGGTGAATTCAGACTGCCTATCGACTTCGTGTTATATATGCTAACAGCTACGAAAAAGTCCGCCTGGCTCTCGCGTCCTCTGACAAACTCGGGCTCTCCTGCTTTTTCGAATCTGGAACAGAAGCCATTGTCTGTCACCAATCACCCAAGTGGTTCCCCAGTGTTAGGCTATTTCTTCTTATACCCAAATGGCCTGTTACATGAATACTGAATTGCTTGTCTCTAGTGCACCTAAGCAATCGCCAAGATTTTACATGAAAGAATGGTCAGCTCCTCGAGCCGTTCTCCGAAATTTGTTTTGTAGCATCGGTTGTTAATGTGATACAGGTCTGAACGTCTTGACTCTATTGCCGAAAAATCCCGACTTCCTAGAAGTGTACAGGCAGTTTATTTACGACCACTCAGAAGGAAGGCCGAATACGGCCTTCCGGTTTGTGATCTTCAGTTAAGATCATACAGTGTGCGAAATGTCGAATTCTTTGCTGATTTTGCAATACGGGCTGCCTACTATTTGAAACTTCCTGTATCCGGCCCTGTACCTTTGCCCCGGATTGTGGAACGGTGGACAGTGCCTCGGAGCAACTTTGTGCATAAAAAAAGCCAAGAAAATTTTGAACGTGTTACGCTTCGTCGACTTATCCAAATAAAAGATGGCCATCCCCAAGCGGTGCAGGCGTGGCTCGCGTTCCTACGGAAACATGCGTTTTACGGGGTTGGAATGAAAGCAAATATTTGGGATTATGAAAGTCTCGGTGCGTTCTTATCATTATATAAAGGATTCCTCCACTAACTGTCATGACCATGGAATATCAGACGTCGCAAAATCTATGGATGAAGCTCTTCCCGAAATTGAGAAGTCGGTCGAGTTCGATCTTGCACAATTTGGTCAGCGAAAAGATATAAAGACTGAAAACTCTATATTCGAGGTCTTAGGCAATGAGCGGTTTTCTCATAATAAAAGCCCTCTAATAGATGTCCGCAGGGACTAGTTATCAAGTCTAGTGCAGTGCAATTTCTTCTCTCTGGCAAGATATTCAGCTCTAAAACTTCGTCCTATTCTTCCGGCTGCAGTGGACGAGTCCTATCGGAAGTATCGACGATGAGATAGCGGCATGTACATTAATGTATGGTTTTGTTATGTGAAGTGCGGAGTAGATATTGCCATTATATGGGCTCTTGAGTTCCAACCCTGTCCTGACACGATCCATAACGTCTCACATTAAGTCTTTTCTCGAATGTACGCGCATGACTTCCTAGCCATTCAATATAATGTCAAGACTAGTCTGATCTTGAGATATTATGGCTGGTGATTGAGATTAAGTGCCGCTAATTGCCTCGAAATGAGCATTGTTAGCTGTAGCGGTTGGATACTCCCCCATCTTATACATAATAATATGAATACAGTGAAGTGCTATTAAGAAACACCCTCCACCGCCCAGCAATCACCTTCCCTTATTGCGTGTTTTGACTGGTAGACTTATTATTTCCGTAGGCGGTGTATGGAAAGTCATTTTCAATGACATCCCACTGCAAGGGGCGCCAATGCCAACATTATACTGCCGCATTTACAAAAAATTTTTCAAATTCTTGTGCATATCATTAAATGGACAAAGTTGCAGGCTATACTATAGTTCGAGACGGACATACCACGGTTACTCTGGTTAAGCCTTAGCAGAAAATAAACACAGATATCGGGTTTAAAGGAATCTGTCAAAAGCCAGTAAGATCTGTCTAAAGAATATGGCGTCACTACCTACTCTGTGCACTGAGCAAGAATGAAAAAATAATATACTAAATCTAATATCCTCAAATAGTCTTTGCTATGATTCACTACCTCGATTTGGCATTGCAATCTGGTTCCTATCGCTTACCGTAGGTACCGCGTATAGACGACTTCGGAGTTGTACAGCTTCGGGTTCTCCTCACGCAAGCCCAGATGTGAAATTAAGAATAATGCGCATGATACTGGTGTGATATTAAACCATACTAATGCAATTGATGGAAAAAATAGGCAACTTCAGAGTCTGTCACCCGGGGATCCTACTTGGAGTTTAACTTTTTACTAAAGTTGTCCAGGGGATGAGTACCAAATTTCTCCACGATGGTCAATACTTCCTGACATACCAACGGAGGGTCGGGATTTGTATTCCGTTGCAACGGGTTCACTGCGGATCACAATGTTATTTTCAGCAGAGGTGGAATAGCACGGGCGCAAGACAGCCCTTCCCAGCAGATGGTCAAGTTATTTTTTCGGGCATCCAGCCCACAGGTATTCCACACCTAGGAAACTACCTGGGAGCTTTGCGTGAGTGGGTACGGCTGCAAAATAAGGCAACGGAAAATACGAGGCTATTCTTTTCTATCGCAGATTTGCATTCCTTAACAGTACCTCAAGATGCTTCGCGGCTGAGGGAGTGGAGGAAGCAGGCATTCGCGACATTGCTTGCTGTAGGCATAGATCCTGTCCGCTCGACAATATTTTATCAGTCTTCGGTATGTCAGGATATTTTTATTTAATTTTTCTGCTGGTGATATTAACATAAGTGATTAGGTTTCGGCGCATTCAGAGTTGATGTGGATCTTAAGTACGGTTGCATCAATGGGCTATTTGTCCCGCATGACCCAGTGGAAGGTTAGTCTTGGTTTATTGTCACAGTTGTATATTTCTAAATCCTGAAGCTAATTCGTATAGAGTAAACTTCGTCTGCCCGAAGATGTGGATTTAGAAGATGCAAGGGCGAGGTCGAGTCTCAGACTTGGGCTCTTTTCGTATCCAGTCCTTCAGGCCGCAGATATCCTTGTTCATAGGTTTGATAACAGACAATGTTTGTGGAACGCAGTTAACCAGGGGTAGGGCCACTCACGTTCCTGTCGGGGAGGACCAGAAGCAACATATTGAATTTTCGCGATATACGGCCAACAGCTTTAATCATCTCTATGGGCCTATTTTCCCGGTTCCAGAGGCTCTTATATGTGAGATATTCTCCGCATTGCAAGCTTATATATGCCAGTTATTAATTGCACTAGCCCCTTCAAAGCGAGTGATGTCTCTCAAAGAGCCAACCTCCAAAATGTCCAAGTCCCACGCCGATGAACGATCGAGGATTTTACTTACTGATTCATCCGATGATATCCATAAGAAGATCAAGATTGCCCTCACTGATTCGTTTCCGACAATTACTTATGACCCGGTCAGTCGGCCTGGTGTGTCTAATCTGATCGAGATTCTTGCTCATGTTGAGGGCAAACGATGCACGGAGCTTGCGTTAGAGTACCATTCGGCTAGTCTTCGATCATTTAAGGAACATGTCGCAAGCAGATTGTCCAGTCATCTGAGTGACATAAGAGAGAGATACCTTTCGCTTATGGAAGACCGGACTGGCTACCTTGATGCTGTCGCGGACAAGGGTGCGCAAGTCGCTCGGTCTAATGCTGATGCTACTTTACAGCAGGTGAAGCATGTCCTTGGCCTGTGAGGCTCCAGCCCGGGAGGACTAGTGCTATGTTACTTTGTGATGGAATAGTTGTCAGATTGAGAGCATGGTGTTTTTGGGATAGTCTCATGTGTAATAACTAGGGGCTTCTAATAACCAGAGGTGGCTCTTCACAAAAAGGTAGAGCTTTTTTTTCATCGTGAACTTTTTTGTTTCGAGATAACCACTTTCTGTTGGTGGTAATTATTTGCCAATCCATATTTAAACAGCGCTAATCTATTTTTAATTGGTGCCTGTATTGGGAACATTTGATTCTAATCAGTTACCAAATGAGTCATTGTATAATGCATAGTATATAGCATGTGAGAGTTATGTGACTGCATCCAGATATCCAATGTTGCCAATTGGAAGAAAAAGGGTTAGCAGGATATACTCATCATCAGCCAGTTCCTCGTGGGGTACTACTATTACTTCCCCTGAGTGTAATACATAACAATGAGCTTAATAGTAACAATAATAATAGTTAAGAAGAAGGAACTAAACATTTGACTTGGGTGTGGTTATAGAAGAGGACATCAAATGTCCTATCTGTAATTTGATACCATATCAGAGCCCAGTTTATGCACCTCAGTTCATGTGTTACTGATTACCGTCCCTCACCGCCTCAATATCAGTTTGGTTGCAAGAACATATGGCATTAACTAATTAACCTTTTCTAACCATTTTTGCAGTGTTATAGGATTAAAAAAATAATATAATAAATCATGATTACTTAACAACATTCAATCAAGAGTGCTTATAAAATAGATAGATCAATTCACTCAGTGAGGCCTACCACTTATAAATTTAATGTTGGCCAACTTTGCAGGAGAAATATCTGGTAAAAAGCCTAAGAAAAACGGGCTTCATACTAGATCAAGGCTTATTCAGATAAAGTGATTTCTTGCTTTTCTATAAGCCTTAATTTAAATAGAAAAAAAGGCAGATTCAGCATTTAAATACGCTTTATATTTTGAGTTTATTAGATGGAAAATAAAGTAATATAGTCTTAACCTAAAGCAAATTTATAATATAGATAAGAAGGGCTTTATACTTAAAGTAAATATAAAATGGAAAGAATCTTTACTTGGTGTATGTCACGGAACTCAACTAGACAATGAATAGGATGCTATTCAGCTATCTAGGCAGCTATCGACGAGAACTTCAAGCATGGAGAGGAAGGAAAAAGGGAAGAGATCTACGTGAAGCTGGACGACGTACTCCTATCCACGCGCCACGCTAATCCAAGTAAGGAAGCTCACGTGCTCGTCCTGGTCTACATGGCAAGGGCCCTGACAGTGTAAGTATAAATAAGAAGGATATAAGTAGTATCTTTAAGATAATAATTAAAAATAATTGATTATATTTATGCCAATAGAACTGCTTTAGCACCTAGTCTTATTTATATAATAAAATTAAGTTTTATCTAGGATTCTTAGCTTTAAAATTATAATATTTAAATACAGAGATGCTTTTTTACAGCCTTAAAATTAGGATAAACTAATAATAATATTAGATATTACTAGTTGATGGATATTTTTAATAAAGAAATAAAATATAATAAGCTAAAGATAGTACCTTCTTATCTTTAATAAATATAAATCATATTACAATGAAGTTTATTAAATATTATGATTTAAATAAGATATTATTAGTAATATTTTAAATATATATAATATATACTTTACAGCCTCTTAATATCACTATTTTCTAGCTGATCTATAGCTTCAAAATAATATTATAGCAACTTCTAAGGCTTTAAAAAGACTTAAAAAGCAGATTTCTAAGTAAGCAAAATCAAAAGTGCAGCCTAAGGCTTATTCAGAGGATAATGGGGTGGTTATTATTATGAATCATAGGGGCTGCATGATATGGCCCCTGTATATTTTCAGGCCTAATTTTTATACTTATTTATTTTCTTAAATCTCATTTAGTGCTACGCCAGAAATTTATTATATTCAATTATTATGTGGTGTTGTAAAGCTTCAAAATATTCTGTATAATAAGCTGTTGAAATCAGTCATCAGGTGGGGTTAGTCATCAGGCGGTGAGGGACGGTAACGTAATTCCCGGGTAATTCAGCCATCCCAGGTAGTCCAGCCACTCCACCAATTTGACCATGCATAGAAACTTGAAGCTATCCCCAACAACTTTCTATTAAAACTATTCAGAATAGTATGTAGGATATTTAGGCTTAATATAATCAATATTATACAATAAGAACATGTTAATAAAAAATACTCTAATATCTCTAAAGCTCGAGGGTATAAAACTACTTAAGACCTCATTTTCTTATTCCTTTGATCCTTTCTTAATATAATTAGATCTCCTATTTCGTATATATAACACTATTATTAAAGGTATTTTATTGTTTCAATCAACCCTTTTTCTACTTATTTTTCTTATATTCTACTTAGAAATCATGCAATTCCTTTAATATAAAGTAATCTTAGTGTATAATAAATTTATATCTCTTTATTAACTCCTCAAAGACTTTCTTTAAAAATAACATGACATTAAAAGTGTCTAAAATATTTTCTAAATTAAGGAACCCTTTTTTATATGATTAATAAGCTATTAACGTATTCCACAAATAAGTGGCCACCACAAGCAACCAGCCACCTCCACCCTGATTTCCACCTCTAGGCGAGATTCTAGGGTCTACATCAACAAAACAAATGTATTTCTGTATAAAAGCTAATTATTAATTGGATTAGGATATCTAACTTTAGTATGTCCCTAAACATGTCAATTAGAACACTGTGGGGGGCTTATATATATAACCTAATTGTAGAAAGTGCTGGATCTATATAAAGTATATCTTGAGTTTTATAGATCTTGTTCTTGTGCTAAAATTGCTTTATGCTTTTTTAAATAGCTAGCCTTTCTACAATAGCCAACAACCTATTAGATTACTTCTATTTTTGGTCTTCTTATTTATTATTAATATAAAATTTATGTATTTCTTCCTGTGTGTAATCATAAGCTTGTTTAAAGCTAATTTATGACTTTTAATAAGCTTGTCCAAGTGTATTTTTAAAGATGAAGGATTTTAAATATTCTTAAACGGTTTTCTTATTACAAATCCCTACTTTTTAACTGCCCAATAGTATATGATAATTTTTTTTAAATACTGAATCTATTTATTGACTGTCTAATGGTACAGAGGTTTTTAACTAAATATCTAACTAACTAGGCACTATATCTGGATTAAATAAAACTAGGCCAGCACTTGCAAAGATATTTTGAATACTTTCTGCTTTAAAGACTTTCATAAGCTTGTGGAAAGATCTAAGAAATTAAGCTTATTGATATAATTAATTTTCAAATATGCTTTCTGCTCCACTAAACTCCTATATCCCTTTTTAAAAGTGAAAGCAGCCTATATCCAGAGATTAAAGGGTATAAGAAGAATGTGTAGGCATACAGATAAAATGATATTATTTTTGTTATGTATTTAATTAAATTAAGATATAAAATAACTACTGTAATATTAAGAATTAAAAGATAATATCCCCCAATTATACAATTAAAAATAGCAGGAATAAAGAGATTTTTAAATTAATAAAGGATTATCTTGTTAATAGTTTATTTATTAAGACTAACTTCAATCCTACTATTGTGTATACAAGAGCTTGAAATCTTAATATTAACCCTCTATATAGACCTTCCCCTTAAGGATAATATGTAAGGAAAGTGCTTAACTAGTAGGATTAATATAATATATTCAATTTTATTTATGATTATCTAGCTGTACAAGAGTGGCTTTTATATAATAATTAATTTTAATAATTACTTATGCTGTAATTATTAGGCCTATAATAAAATTAATCTTATTAAAATTATAGATATCTTTTGTTATATAATCCTAGGCTGTATTATAGTGATTTATATATAATTAAATTACTTCTTAATAGATTTAGGATCTTCATATTTAGCATGTCAATACTCATAATATCTTAAGTGTGTTTTCAACTAACCTTGTTGATTAATAAAGTTATATACCCATTTCTCTTAATATATTAAAGTGTAGTATCATAAAATATTATATTAGCTATTTCTTCTATACGTAGTTACGAAGGTGCTCCACATTAATCTAGTGAAAGAACTTATTGTATAAGTGATTCCTATTTATATTAAATTAATTTATGGTTATTAGCAGGTGTTTCTGCTTGAAAAATATATCCATTTAATCCTCTCTAAAATATTATATAATAAAATATTAAAATAGTGTGTGCTTCACTAATGTTGCAGATTTCTTAAGAATACTTTTTTAAAATAGAGATAGTAAGTAGGATTCTTCCCTCTTAAATTTCCTCGAGTTTGACACACTTTTGGAGGCATGATGGGTGGTTGAGTTGAGTAAGGTTTTTTGACTAGGGCCAAAATGCGATGAGGTGGCCGCTCATCTGGAATATGTTATAATAAGATATTACTAATATTGATAAATTAGTAAAGTACTTTTATAATTTAAAAAAGGAGTAGATATTGTTAAAGACATTTAACCTTTTTTTGATATCTATTAAGAATTAAAAAACTGTTCCACTCTATTCTTATCTCCTTATCTCATATTCTTTAATATTTGTCTTTATTCTACTGTCTCTGTGACCCTTATTAGCTGACTCTTACATAGCAAAGCCTATTTATGTCCTTAGCTAGCTGATGCAAATCCTACTTCAAAAAGGTGTATATAGACCATGCATAGTCTGATGAAAAATGGACTCTAAAATGGAAGTCATCATATCATCATCATCATCATCAATATATAAAATATTTAATTTACTAAATTAATATTAGCTGTAGTTAAGCATCATATATGAATATTATTATACTGTGATGATTATTATATTATTAGATATAAAATATTGCAATGTCCTAATTGCTATAGTAATTAGCTTTTATAATATATATGCTTTCAGGGTGTTAAAATATATCATACTTCTGGGCTACAGTCAGATGGTGCACAGCTCACTTATGAATTATGTTATATATATTTATATAATCATGCAACATCAAATAGATCATTGTCCATTTAAGAACTTTTGTATAATCTTTTTAATATTATGGTAAATTTTAATAAAAAGGCTTATTTTTAAACAACTGCTCATGAGCTATTAGAAGTTTATAAGATATAATTACATACTAACTAATTTAATAGCTTTTCTTTAAGAAAATATTTATCATTAATAAAATAGTGTTACTTTAAATTCAGTTAAATTGTATATACTAGCTGTATAGCCTATATAAATATATATATAAATTAGCCTTAACAACTAATATAGCTTAAAAATTGAAGCTATGATTTTCTTTCTAGAGACGTATTGTCTTTAGATAATCTCAGAGAATGACTTTTGACCTATCTAAAATCTAACATAATTGGTAAAAGACTTTCTAAGATTAAATATTAGTCTTACACACATTAGCACCTGGCCAATATATGTTATTTATTTATAGTGAGGCA